TACCTTAGCGCATTATATCGCTTCCACAAATCAGGCACAGCCGGTCAAGCACGCCTTCACATTCTGCTAAAGTCAAGTCAATTCTCTCTTGCTCGATCACTTGACAATATTCACGAACCTGCAATCACGCATTCACGGGGAATGGCTCAGAATTATGGAGTAGAGAAATAAAGCTCGTAGCCTTTTCATTATATAGAATCCTCGCATCATATTATGCGTGGTCATCATTCATTTGTAGAAGCTAAAGTAGGGAAAGAAAAAAAAAAGAACATTGATATCGAGCAAAAGGAGAAACTTTTACTTTTCTTTTTAGTAAGCAGTAGGCACCTTCTCGCCCTTCTTCTCATACTCGTAAACCTGGTCAGGGTCGGTACCAATGACAGGGTTGTGCGGGTTGTGGCCATCCATGGTGGGATCATGGCCCTGCTGAGTGACGTGGTGGTCATCGGACTGCGAAAGAGTGTACTCCTCGTCATCAATGTGCTTGAACAGGAACCAGAAGATGACGGTGAGGATACCGCCGGCAATGGCACAACCGCCAAAGTCCCAGGTGAGGTAGGGATCCTTGATGACGGCGGAGCAGGCAAGACCGATGAGGTAGGCAATAGCGGTGGAGAAGAGGTTGATGGCGGAAACGAGACCACGCATGTTGGGTGGTGCGCGCGAGTAAGCGATACCGTAAGCGGGGACGTTGATGAACAGCTCGGAGATACCGCCAATGGCGTAGGGGATGGCGACCCACCAGATGGTGATGGGGGCGACGAGCGAGACACCGTCGGCGTCAACACAGGTCTCGCTGGAGCCGTACTTGCCACAAGGGCCGAGCTTGTAGGCGTAGGAGTTCAGGACGGTGTAGCCGATGCCTCCGAGAGTGGAGAGAGCAAGACCGGTGGTCATGCGAGCAACAGGGCCGTAGCGGATGTGGAAGTGACGGAGCATAGGGTAGAGACCGTAGTTCAGGACGGGAGCCATGAGGATGATGGACAGAGAGTTGAAGTTGCTGATGACGTCGTTGGGGACACCGTTGGTGGTGAGCATAGTGGTCAGGTAAGAAGCGGCAGAACCGATACCGTTGTCGTTGAGGTACTGGATGGGGAAGAAGCAGAAGATACCAGTGGCCTGGAAGGTGCGGCGCACATCCTCGACGAACTGGTCGCTCCACTCAGTGTGGTAACCGGTGCCACGGGCAGCAATGACCGATGGCTTAGCAGGCTCCCAGAAACCGTGACGGCCAATTCTCTTGAGACCGCCAGCGCGGAAGCAGATGCTGAGGACCTTGAAGACGTTGGGGAGATCGGAACCGCCTGGAGGGTGGAGGACGAGGCGCTTGCGAAGGAACCAGAGAAGGAGGGGAAGAGGGATGTAGAGGATGAGAGGGATGAGGAAAGCCAACCACCAGCCGACGTACTTCTCGCAGTAGGCCGTAGCTACACCCATGAAACCTCCGATGTTGATGAGAAGGTAGAACCAGAGCATGGCACGCTCGGTAGAGGCTTCGGGGTCAATGATAACCTTCTCACCCTTCTTGGTGGTGGTCACAACGGGCACAGTCTCGGGCATTTGGTCGAGGAGAAGAGGCGAGACATTGGGCTTGAAGATACCTGCGAACTGAATTAGTTGACTGCGTAGAGTGCGTGGTTTGATGGTGTAGACTTACCGGAACCGACAGCAAGAAGGTAAACGGAGATGAAGAAGGGGGTCTTGGCGGCACCAGAGGCGAGAAGACCAGGAGCGGAAGCGCCAACCAGAAGCACGTGGGCAATACCGAAAAGCAAAACACCCCAGCAAATGAGCTTAAAACGACCAGTCTTTGCATCGGCAAGGTAACCGAAGATCAGGGGAAGGGCGTAGCAAAGCAGGGAGAATGATTGAGAAACAGCGTTGGCCTTGACGGTACCCATGCCAAGAGCACCAGCGGTCTGCTGAGTGCCTTCTGCGGGTGCACCATATCCGTTACCCCCAACAGGCATGGGACGGTTGACAAAGTTGCTGAACAAGGGCTGACATCCGTAGTATGAAGCACGCTCACAGAACTCGACCACACAGATCAGGTAAGCGACAGTGGGCAGAGAGCCAGGAATACGACGGAGAGTCTTGCGCTCCTCCTCGGTGGGCTTGCCCTCGTAGTCCTCAGTGGTGAGACCGGGAGCGTGAGCAGGCTCAGCACCAGAGGTGTAAGGACGCTTCTCGTCAATGGAGCGTTCCGGTGATATTTGGTCGGCCATGGTGAATGTGTGTTGGTCGAAGTGAAAACGGCTGAAGGAGAAACTCGCAGCAACGTGGGCATGGGTCTATCTCATATACGCTCACACCTCACTCTCTCCCCGGGGGGCCCTTCACTCTGTGCATTGACCGCACAGGCGAAATCCGGGTGATACAGCATGGCGGCGAGATAAGGCTATGATCATCAGAGGATCCGAGGCACACTGGACGAGGCAATTCTTGGTTCAATCTCCAACAGGCAGGTCAACAGAACGGGCGCGCCGTTCGAGCCCCCGGCCCCCAAGCTCTTCGCCGCCCATAGAACAGAGTGCGACTCGGTCGAGTGCGGGCCCTGTCCGCTGGATGCTCACCTGCCGTAAAAAGCTAGCACACGTTGAGACAAGTCCAGGCCTGGGCATTCCTCCAAGCTTCCGCCAAACGATGGTGATAAGCAAATACAAGACCACCTGACGCTCGCCAAAGCATGCCAATTATTGGATGTGGTCTTGCATCGTCTTGGTTGAGCTTATCACGCAATCTGAGCAATTAAATGACTTTGTTTGTTGCTTTCGAGTCGCGAGACAAGGGCACAAACAATAATTCTACGTGCGCAGGCGATTGACCTGTTTCCCACTCGGCCCAAAGCGATATTTGACCTTCTTGGCCTTGAGCACGCCATCACTGAACCGAATAGCCAACACTCGGCAAGTGTCCTCGACTCCCCGTCGCAAGAACGAAGTCAGGTCAGGTCTGGGACAAGCAGCGGCAAGCAAGGCCCACCACCCTCCCGACGGATGAATTGTGGAAATGTCGCGTGTGCGCCTCCCCTCCAGCAGATAACCACAAAAGCACGCGATCACAATTGACCAGCAAAAAAAAGGGAACCGCTTGTCAAGGAAACCCTTTCTTTCAAATCATCGCGGAGGGAAATCGTGGAGCGACCAGTCGGCGTTCCGCCGCCTATCTGACAGCGGCAAAAGCTTGGGTAATAAGTGCTTCTCTGACTGGTCGAAATTAGCACAGCTTATTGCTCCTAGACTCCTCAGGCGCCTAAGCTTTGTCTCGCATATTGGCTTGCTTCGCTGTACCTTCGAGATGCTTTCCTCGATATGCACAAAGGAATCAGGGCAACCGCGGCGTTCCGGCAGGGACGGAGGGCCAAGCAGAGGCGTTGTTGCTTGGTTACCAGGGTTCCCTTAGCATTTGCCACATTGGATCCTTCGACAAGTCTCGAAGTACTATCGTTGATCTTTCGCTTCGTTGCAAAAAGGAAGCATTATTCAAACGTGATGGAAGTGACGAGATGAAGCTCGCCACTATCTCGAATACGAGGAGAGCGAGCGAGCGGCAAGTCTAACAGTCCGCTCCGCTTGAGCCTCGCTTCAGAGATAGCGGGGTCGTATATCGACTTGCCGTTCCTTCGGATGCAACCTCCCTATCACATGGTGCATAGTGGTAATCTTGCATTCAGGCGAACACTGGTGCATCGCATCCCACTCTCTGCGTCCACTTGACTCACTCGGCGTCCACACGTTTATGACAGCCTTATCGACTCATGCTGCAAATCATATGCGCTTTCGAGCATCAACAACGAGCCAGCCCTATCTTGCACGGATGGTGCTCCGAGTCGTTTCTGGTACAGTATGCTTTTTCCAGTCTAAAGTCATGCGGTTACATCAAGCTGCAGGTTCGCGAGTCAAAAATGTTCCAGAGGAGCGGTGGCTAGCGGGATGGAGGTGATCGTCCGCGTGCAGAGCGGGCTGCCCAAGGTTCGCAGCTTCGCACGATTGTTCCGTGAACTCCTCCAGACTCCAGGAACACGCGGAAGAGCCAGAAGCTTCATCGTCGTGCCTGAGGAACGAGTCACGAGAGTGCTCTGCTGTGTGAACCGAGAATATGTTGTCGCGTGCAGAGCTCGCATTGGCCTTTATTCGAACATCAATATAGCGTCTGGCATGACTCTCAACCTCAGGCATGTCGTTCAGCAAGAGCCATACTCTGTTTAAGGTCATGACCAAGACGACCTCTTGCAACGCCATCTCGGACTATACCTTCCTTGCAATCACATGCTCACCTTCCTATTCCAGCTCTGTTCCATCCTCTAACATCTGGGCTGAAAGCTTGCATTGTTGCTTGCATTTGGAACAAGCCATGCTCCGCCATTGTTGTGTGGCTTTGTGTGGCTGAGGTGAAGCTAGAGTTCAGCTGTTGCAGTCGTGATGCAGTCGTGATGCCGTTGTGTTGCTGTTCCGTTGCACTCAAGGACACCAATAGCGGAGTGAGCGGACCGGCGGAAGCTGCGGAACATGCGGACTAGCGGAAGCTGCGAACTCAGCGCAATGAGTGGAATGAGTTCATGACAGATGGTGAAGCCCGAGTGGTCTAAAGTCTCGGTCGAGCTTCGCCGATGGTGAGGGTAAGACCCTGGCATTATTCCAAAACGACAATATATCGAGAAGAAAGCATACCTGTTCTCTACAGTGTATAGTCACTGCTACAGTGCCAGCATAAGCTGATGGCTGAAATGAAATGCCGAGGTACAAGCATGTTCTCTCAACTGGTCGAGACTTTCCGCGTGGAGACGCAGCTTTTGTGAACTTTTGGACGTCTTTCGTCCAGGCTTGCCGCAATTCTGTTTTGATGTAACACACATGTTTCTAGTACTGTACATTTCTGAACATCACACGTTCTTGCTCGTGCTTCTTCTCTATCCTCTTCTCCTCTTATCTTTCGCCTTGCATTCAGGCCACGACACCAGCACTTCTCAATTCATCAACCTGCTTTTCCGAATATCCGATCTGCGTCAACACCTCACTAGTATGCTGTCCCAGTGTGGGCGGGGGCGACCGAATGCCAGGCGTGCTTTCCGAGAACTTGACGGGCGTGTTGACGAGTTTGATGGTTCCACAGCTGGGGTGTTCGACCTCCTGGACCATATCCCTCGCCAGCACTGTCGTTACTTTATCAGATTTGTCCCTCAAGTGGATGTTCGAGTGTAGGAGCAGATGAGAAGAAATGGAGAAGAAACTTACCATGCTCATGCGCCATCGTCCCAGCGATATCATTGACAGCCGCATACGGCATCCCACTCCCCTCCAACACATCCAACCACTGCTGCGTAGTCTTCTGCTTCGTGATCGTTGTAATCAGCTCTTCCAACAAATCTCTATTCTCCACTCTGTTTGCGTTTGTAACGAATTTCGGATCGTCCTTCCACTCAGGCTTCTGCAGGCGATCGCAAAGAACACCGAATAACCTATCGTTACCTCCTCCTAGCATGATACTGCCGTCGGAGGTTTCAAAGCCTTTGTAGGGGACGATGGAGGGGTGTGCGGTGCCCCAGCGTCCAGAGTCTGGTTTGCCAGAGATTAAGTGGGAGGAGGCGAGGTTGCTGAGGGTAGCGACTTGGCAGTCTGAGAGTGATATGTCGATGTATTGGCCTTTGTTGGTGAAGCCGCGTTGGATCAGGGAAGCGAGGATGGAATTGGAGGTGTAGAGACCAGTAGTCAGATCGGTGACTGCGACGCCTACTTTTGCGGGTGGAGCGTCGCGGTGGCCGGTTATGTGCATGAGACCCATTTCCCTTTTGCCGTATCAGTAATCCCTCCGAGTAGAATGGACAGTAGAGGAGAAGGGAAAAGGACATGGGGAAGAAGAAACATACGCTTCAACCATAACATCATAGCCAGCTCTATTCGCATATGGCCCCGTCTGTCCATATCCAGTGATACTCGCATAGATCAATCTCGGATTCACCTCCTTCAACGTCTCAAAGTCCATCTTATACTTCTTCAGCGCACCAGGGAGATAATTCTCAACTAGCACATCGCATTCCTTGGCAAGTTTATGCAAGACTTCCACGCCCTGGGGAGACTGAAACGAAAGAGCTAGGGACTTTTTGTTGCGGTTGACAGAGAGGAAGTATGCCGATTCGCCGGGAGTGCTTTGTTGATCAGGGGTGCCTTTGATGTGAGGGGCGTAAGGAGGACCCCAGGCTCGTGTGTCGTCGCCGCGGGTCGGGTGTTCGATTTTGATGACCTCGGCGCCTAGGTCACCGAGGATTTGTGTACAGTATGGCTGTTGGGTGTTTGCTGTCAGTGAGATAATTCGTATGGTGATTTTGCGGCTGAGGATATTAGAGGATACGATTCGGATCGTAGTGAGCATGTGTCTCTTCTCCCTCCTTTTGCTCTGCTCGAGCTGAGTAGTTTTCCATTGAAGATTGTTTCATGGTCCACAGAGCCCATCCAGCGTTTCAACATCTAATTCTCGCGACACACCTCCTCTTTTTGAAGATTCTGCTCTTCTCCTTGCTCTCAGCGATCCAACTTGGTCTATACTCCATCTTCTCTTGCGCGTGCAATATGCCTTCGCTCAGTGATCCCATCTCTTCACCACATCTCTGTACCACAGCTCTTTGCCACATATCTCTCACCACTCCTCCACTGTACCCCATCTCCAGTATCCTTTCCACAAACCACCCAAAAGGCAAAACAGACAACCAGCAAGGGAATCAAAAGAAACAGAAAGCACTTACACCAGCAAGCACCCTAGTCATATCCAACACCTTGATCCCCTTCAATGGCAGCACTTCTTTCGCCGGTGTCGCCGTAGCCAGTCTACGACAATGTGTGGATACCCTCGGCCGTGTGAGCATCGACACCCCATTCCTGAGCAATTGTTGAGCTTGCATCGTTGGTCGTTGTCGCTGGTGTTGCGACTGGAGATGTAAGTTGCGAATACTTGACAAAAGACCTCTTTGTACAAGATAGGAGGAAAAAACGAGACAAAAGGAACAATTGTATGTGTAGCACAATCGAAGTTCGATGCGGCTGTTGCGGTTGCGGAGGTGAGACTATGTGGGGATGACTTCGGGCCCGAGTCTCCGATTTGCGTTGCTTTGTTGGAATACGGGACCGAGGCCCGATAACAATCTTGGACAGGTAATGACCGACGAAAAAAGAAGCAGGAGAAAGACAGCACTGCCAATAGCTGTTCTGTAGTCACGTACGGGACAGAGGGTTGTTGGCAGAGAAAATGTTCATTTCATCGACGGTCCTTGTATAGATTCTCAACACCTCATCCTCCCTCCTAGAAAACCACCCCTTTGCCGGAACACCATTTCCCAATGCATAAACACGAAAATGTTAGATAGAAAATCCTCCTCCGATGCTCAAGTGACTTTTTTATGTACGCCTATCCTCGGACTGAGCATTCCAGCGATATATGAAAACAACGATAAACGGCAGTCAAGCGCGATTAGCACATGACGTAGGTGCACTTGCCCTTGGCCTCGCGACCCTGCTCGTTGGCCTCGAGAGCGTACTCAATCTCGACGTCCAGATCTCTTCTGTTGCGGTCGTTGGGCTTGCAGAGCAGAGTGCCGTTGAGCTTCTCGCCGGCCTCGACAGTAAGGTTGTCGTCGAGGTAGAAGACGGTCTGCTTCCAATGCGTGTACTTTGTGTGGGGGCCGGTGCTGAACTTGACGGGCTTGTGGCAGGCAGAGAACTCAATGTCGAACCAGGCGATCAGGGCGTGCACGTAGTCGGTGCGGCGGACGGGGAGGGAGTAGGGGAGGTGGAAGGCCAGGTCGGCGACCTTGCAGGTGTAGAGGTCGAGGGTGATGAGAGGTGCGGGGTCGGTGACGACGGCCTTGAGGTCGACAGTATCGACGAGGGGCTCGGTGAGGGCGGTGCGCTTGAGAGGAGAGTAGTTGAAGCCCCAGACGTTGTCCCAGACTGTGTATTCAAAGTCAGCGCATGCAGAAAACAGACAGCAGAAGGCAGCACTCACAGTTGATCTTCTCCTCCTTGTAGTCACCATCCTCGATACCAGCGACAAAGATGGTGGCCTTGTCGGGGAAAATGAGACCGCCCTTCTTGAGGTAGCGGTCACGGGCCCACAGGACGGTGTCCAGCATGGACTCGTAGAGCAGGAAGTAGCCCATCCACTCGGAGATGATGATGTCGACCTCGGGGAAGGGGAGAACAACCTCCTCCATCTTGCCTTGGAGGAGAGTGATCTTGTCGCTCAAACCGTTGACCTCGACAATCTCCTTGGCCTTGTCGATGATGGTCGACATGTCGACTCCAATGACGTGCTTGGCGCCAGCCTTTGCGGCGAACCTGTAGCTCGAGTCTCAGCATGCTGCCGTATGGGAAAGTATGGAAGAAGGGAATGCGCACATGGACAGAATGCTGGTTCCGCAGCCGACATCGAGGACGACCTTGTCCTTGAACAGGTGACGGTTCTGGTAAATGGCGTCGCGGTAGCTGCGAGTGCGCACGTCGTCCTTGAGCATCTCCTCGTGGATTCCGTGGTGGTTGTAGCTGTCGAGTCTGTCAGTCTTGGGCTCGTTGAACGTGCGCGTCGAGGGTCGTCACCTGTTGAAGTAGTGCTGCTCGGTGTGGGCAAGACCGGCGAGACGGTCGCCTTGTTGCGGTGCGGCTGCGTTGTTGGCCATGGTTGCTTTGAATGTGCTGAGATGAATTGGGAGAGGGCGACGAGATTCGAGAAAATGAAAGCGACAGAAGATACAAAAGTCGAAGGAGATTTTTCGGCAGAGGGAGATGATGCTTTTTCATCGACAAGCAGAAGCTTCGACTTCTACCATAATCTGTCCGAGCGTCTTGGTCCGACTTTGGCAGAAAAAACTCCGCCTACAAAGGACCCTGGAAAAGACTCGACTGTTCCGCAGGGACTGCCTTGGCACAGGGAGAAGATGATTGAAGCAAAAGAAAGCATAATCTATATCTACAGCTAAGAATGGTATGGTTCCAGACACATTATCAGCCGACGACTTGGTCAGCACCTGCCATGGTCGCATCATCTATCCCGCCAGACCGCTCAGCCGGCGGTATGAAGTGGCTGTAGACTTCTTCGTTATTGTCCACCAACCAGCTCAAGTCCTTTTCCTCAGGAGGAAGCAATGCTGCCAATCCTTCGCCAGGCTTTGGATAGTTCGCTGTAGGATTATCAAGTTCGTTATACCCTTCATCCACGTCGTCATCTGGTCGTACTGGTAGCGGATAATATGCATGTTCCGACTCGTCAGACCGAGGCTCTGGCGGATTGGGTGGTAAAGATTCAGCTCTGGACTTCGGAGGGTTTAGTAGAGCTTCTAGTGTGGTAGGTATAGGTGTATGTGAAGCTCCTGGTGGGAACAGTGCGAGTTCTGGATGCGCTAGATCTGCACGCAGTAACAACTCGACTAGCGCATGTGTCGGGAGTAACGACAAGACTTCTCGTTTCTGCTCATGTCAGCTTCGAAGCAGAGTCACAGTGTCAAAAAGATACACACCTGGTGGTCCATCAAGTCCCCGCCGCTGACGAAAGAGTCAACATCAACCTCGGGCGGCGGTCTGACGGTACAGTCTGAACAGAACCACTCCATATCGGCTACATCGACAACTTCCTGACTGATGGGCGGATAGTGGCAGTAGCGGTGGTATGGGGTGTTGCAGCCATCACAAAATACTATCATGTTGGTGGCTGGACTGTGAGGTCGGAGGCATTGCTTGCACACTGCCAGTTCCGGGTTCCTACGTCCCCAATTGCGCTTCCGTTTTGTGCCAGAGGTGGGTGAGGGTATGACGGGAACAAAGGTGGTGGGTTTGGTGATGGCGCGTCCAGATCGAGAGGTTGTCGCCAGCGCAGTGTTTTCAGCATCGTCCATCAAGTCGTCGGCGTCTTCGCTGTCAGAGCTGACTTCGTGAACCTTGATGCCTTCAGCAAGAGGCTTCCTGCCGCCTCTGCCACCTCTGCCTCTCGGACGACCTCCTCTTCCCCTGCCACGACCCCGACCTGTGGATGGTGGCGTTTCGGCAGCAGCTGATGATGGAGACATTGCGGCTCCTGCCATCGCACCCCGACCCCTGCCCCTGCCTCGACTGCCTCGTGGACGGCCCCCGCGATTCTTGCCTCGCACGACAGGAGTACTCGTGACATGGATTGATGAGTCTATATGCTCCTCTTTGACAATCGAGCCGATATCGTTTGCACCGCCGGTATCTAGCGTGGTCGAAGTGGTCATATTCTTGAGGACAGCATTCCTGGCAGCTTCCCACTCTTGGGTACCATAGACGGCGGATAGATTCGGTGGAGGCAAGCGTTCGAGAATCGATTCGGTAGCTGGAGAGAATGATTTGATGGTGGAAGTAGCAGGGCGATCGTCTATCGGGGCATTGATCGTAGGGGCTGCAACAGCCGGCGCATCGGTTGATGAGGCGCTTAGCGACGCTGGCTGGGTCGAGTTGGCAGGGGGGATGGCAGCTGGTTGGGAAAGATGCGAGGCAGGAGCGTTCGCTATCGGTGTATTGTCATTGGGGGCAGTCGACATGTCGACGTCGAGCAAGGGCAGTTGCGACAAACGACTTACCTACTTGACGTCCAGCATGACACAATCCAAAGCTACAGCGGGGATGCACCGCCACAAGTCCGCTTCGAACGCCACAGTTTGAGAATGAGGTCAGCGTTGCGGGATTTGGCCGCAACAAGATCAACAAATCCAGGCCTGACTTGCTCGCACGACAACAACAAGAATGACTACCCCCCAACGGCCGTCCATTGCTGTCACGGCGGGCAACCAGACAGAGCGCCACGACTTTGCAGGCTCGACGACTCCTCCGCCGCAGTCGATCCCCGAAGACGCTCCCGTCCCTCCGCAACACCGTCCAATCTCTCCCCAGCCCTCGACCTCGTCGTCCAAGAAGACAACGGGACCCGCACGTCCACGATGGATCCTCCACATGCAGGCCCAGATGTGGCGCTTCCTCATGGGCATTGGCATGCTGCTGCACCGCATGGCCCCTCCGCACCCGCCGAAACCCTCCTTCAAGCGCTCCATCAAGGCCACCGTCAGTAACGTGCCCGGTGACTTTGAGCTGCACTTCTACGTCCCCAAGGACTACGAGCAGAACCGTCGATCCAACTTTGCAAAGAAAAAGTACCCTTGTGTCATCAACTTCCACGGCGGAGGTTTCACCCTGGGCAGTCCGAGCGACGACGCCCGCTGGTGTGGAACCGTCGTCGATGAATGTGCTGCCGTCGTCGTCTCTGTCGATTACCGCCTGGCTCCCGAGAACCCTTTCCCCACCGCCGTCGAGGATGGAGTCGACGCTATCCTCTACATGGCCAACAACGCCGACGAGCTCGGTATCGACGAGAACAAGATCGCCCTGTCTGGTTTCAGCTCGGGCGCCAACATGGCCTTTAGCGTGCCAATCAGACTCTACGACCACCAAAGCGAGTTCAGCAGAGTCGAAACACACGGCGCCTCTTCGTCCATGCTCAGTCTGCCTAGGACTCAGGACGCCGGCTCGTCCAGTCTCAGTGTCGACCGTATCGTTCGCAGCCGCAGCCACACTGTAGCCCCCACCCTCGCCTCGTTGCAGAAACAGCAAATGTCAGTCAAGCAAGTCGAGACGACTCAATCCGTTTCTCTCTGCGCCATCGTCCCCTGGTACCCGTCCTGCGACTACACCCAAACCCGTGAAGAGCGCAGAAACACGTCCGTCCGTACCGATCAGGATCTGCCTGCCATCTTCACAAACCTCTTCGACGAGTCATACCTCCATCCTCCAGACACAATCCCACTGGACTCACCTTACCTTTCTCCCGGCATCGCACCCACCGCTCTCCTCGCCGAAGCACTCCCTCAAGACATTATTATGCATACTTGTCAATGGGACATGCTGCTGGCCGAGGGCGAAAAGTTCCGTGACCGCTTGACCGGCAAAGGCATCAACAAGACGGTCCACTACAAGATGATTGAAGGCGTGCCTCATGGCTGGGACAAGGCACCCAATCCTCTCAAGCCCACTCCTGGTGTCAAGCAACATTATCTCAATGCTACCAATCACCTGCGACGCATATTTGCCAAGCAAGGTGGTGATGCTAATGAAGATGCCACTGTCGGTGGTGTTGCTGGCGAGGGCAGAAGAAAGAGCACCCTGGTTAATTAGATGGTCATGTTTAGTCACGCAATTTAGCCTGTTTGTTTCTTTCTGTTCCCGATTCGCTTCCATACTGCCTTCTTTTGCAAGATGCTTCATGCATTGTCCTTATGGGGACAGGGGTATGAAGGTATTCTTTCTATCGTCACGTGTGGGTGTGGCGATTTCAGGCAGCAACTGGCTACCGTCCTTAGATTCCATTGGTTCAATTCGCATTCAACGACTCATGATGGTTCTCCCATTCGACTTCCTCGCCATATAAAGCTCTGTTCCGCTGCCATATCTTCATCACCACAAATATCGTATTCCCCTCCTCCGCTCCACTACCACCACATTTTGCTCTACCATTACCAACACAGCATCAGCAACCTTCTCTTCAACCCACCACAACAATGTTTACCAAAACCTCAGATCCCTACATCACCGCCGTCCTCACCAGCTCCCATTCAATCCTCGATCTCTCTGGCAAGCAACCCTTTACTCTTCTCATCACACTGACTCTCCACGCCAGCGCACCTATCCTCTGCTACACCTCACCCCACTCCACATTCTTCCTGCCCCGAAATGCCTTGACTGACATGGGCATCATCTTCCGCAACCACCACACCAAAGACGAAATCAAAACCTGTCACATTGACAGTTGCAAGACCCCAGGGTTTGCGAGAAGACTAGATTCGAAAACAAAGTTGGTGTTGATACCCGAAGAACCTGTGGTGTACGAAGTACCTTTTACCATCAACTCAGACAAGCAAAGGGATGCAGAAGACTTTGACCCTTGGTTTGCGTCTATAACCAGTGGGTTTGGAGATGGAGGTGTTTATGAGGCGGAATTGCCCCTCTATCGCACGATCGATTGGTGGAGGTATGCGAGAGCTTGCGACCTTCACGATACCCAGTCCACTGAGTCCACCACTATTGCATCATCATCCATTCCAGCTAGATTTGGATCGGTGGTGGACTCGGTGATGCGATGGTGGAAGGGGGATATAGACACGGAGACCAAATACGGTGTTCCGGTCTTGCCTCATAATCAACAACTCCCAGTATACACCGAGGGCGAGGGACTGCTGTTTTCGTGTGTTGGGGAGAATATGGTGTGGCCAGATGAGTTGCTGGAGAAGCAAAGGATTAACAAAGAGAGAAGAGATGGCGAGGAGAGAAGAAAAGCTGAGCAGAAGAGACGTGATGGGCACGCGAGAGAATAGGTTCGTATACACCCACCAAGGTATGGTAAGAGAACAAGAAAGACCGTAGAAGCATGAACCAAACAAAAGAAAGGGGTATGGAGACTCGTAGCCCCGTAGACCCCGTGCGTTTTATCCTCCTCCTCTCCACCACCACCTTCTCCCCCTTGCCAGCTAGAAAACTAGCCTTCTTTCTCATAAGGCTTCATCAATTCGTTATTTTCCACATCATGCGGAAACTTCTCCTCCAACGCAGTAGTGTGACACCAAGGCTTACACTCCACCTCCTCCCTGATCTTTTCCGAAAAACACCCACTCCACCCTTTTCTCGGATACTTGACCACCACATCTTGCAACGTCGCTTCATGCACATATCCGCTTCTGTACCCCATATTATCATACTGCGTCGCCAACTGTATCAGCAAACCTATAGTTGTGATGCACCCAGTTTCCACGGGATCTTGGTGGCGTATGATTGCTTCAGCGACTGCTTCAGCTTGAGCAGTGGGAGCATTGAAGTTTTTGAGCTTGTGCAGGGCTAGGAAGCCGCCGTGGAACTCAAAGCTTAGGAACGTGCCACGGGTGTGTTTGTCGCAAGTGCCGATGTCATGAAACAGACAGCAGAGTAACCAAGTTTCGTGACTGAACTTCCAAGTGGGGAATTGTTGGGTGGCTATTGCTATGCCTGCGATATGTCTCACACCATTAGCTTTCTTGTTTCTTGATAAAGGGGATGCGAGAGAGGGCGACAAAAGTACCGAAGTAGAAAACTCGCATGCTGTGGTTGAAGGTGTGTTCTGGCAACTCGGACTTTACGTACTCCGTGGCGGCTTTGACCAGCGGCGTATCGGGCAAAGGCACTTGAGAGCAGAGTTGACGTGTAGGGGGTGTGTTGTATTCCTTGTCGCCGCCCCATCGTGAGGGATCGCAGGGAAGTGCTGTCCAGCCATACTCTGCAATCTGTTCGTCGCGGGAGAGAGCCATGATGTTTGTTTACCAAAGGAAACTCCGGGTTCACTGAGGAAGAGTGACAGTTTTTGTTGTATAGCCAGCAGCAGAAAAGCTCGAGATTTGATGTTATGCCTCTGATTATCTGCGGTGATTGGAAGTCGATATCATATTACATCATGGTCTCGTCAGTGGGGGGAACTTCGTTTTTGACATACCTGCCTCCGGTCCTAGAATCGCATCTGGAGGTACTGAGTCTGCGGCAGAACACACCATCCCAGATTAAACAAGACTGATCCTACGATAAGAGCATGCATCTCTGTCATCCACCACGACTCGGTGTCACTGCTTGCATACGCTTTGCCGAGGGGAAGAATCCATGTGACGAGTGCAGCTATCGCAGTTGGCTGGTTCAGTATCGCTAGCACAGCAGTAGCGAAGAGGTATATGGTAAGTGAAGACCCGCTACATTCAAAAGGAATTTAGAGACGACATCACTTGCATACGGAGCTTAGCAGCTTACTAGAGAAGGAAAGCTCCAACGACGACGAGTACGAATACACCAATTGTGCGATAGTACTCTGGCAATTCTTGTAGATTGAACCAAATATGAACGACGCAGACAGAATCCGGTACTTGCTAACAAGCGAGAGAGTAATCTTATGTTGACTGCGAGGGAAGCTTGCGCACACAAGACATGCAAAAGTGGTTGAGAACAAAGCTTCTGAGGGGAAACCGGGGATACGGCTGAATACGGGGGATGCTCGTCTCAGATACGTACATACGGTATACTGTTTGAACGTATCAAAATCGTGCTCGAGCACCCTACAATCGCAGCTGTGAATTCATAAGAATGAGAATAGTGTCTCGTTGTAAGGTTGGCTACTTTAAGTTGTGCTTGGCCGACAGTTACCATGCCACTTGCCACCTCGTCTTACTAAATCCCACAATCTGCGAGAACGCCTGATCACGGTCTTCCATATTTGTCAAGAGCCACTCTTTATCACCATCGAGTTTACTCGAGATACGCAAGTCTCTGCCGGTGTCTTTGACAGGAGCCAACTTGCTTTTGTTCCTTTCCTTCTTCTCGATCGTGAATATCAGGTCGTAGTTGAGAACAAAGATGACTCGATGGCCAATGTTTGTTTCGAATCTGATTGAGCGTGAACTGATGATGAGGCGGCCTTTGTCGCCGTTGAGATGGGCGGAGTAGAAGCCGTAGTCTTTGTTGGTGCTGGTTGCGAGGCCGACGTTCTCGTTCTGTTGGTAGTGGTCACCTTCGTCTTGTAGTGACTTGATTGCCCATTCAGCTATGGCATCGTCGGGTCAGCTGAAGCTCATGAGGTCAACGCAATGGGGTGTGACTTACCATGCGTGGGTATGTTCCAGAATACTCGACGGGGAACCGATGCAAGCAGTCGATAATCTGGAAAATTAGACGCGAGAGGAAACAAGCCAAAGAAGGCGATTCCTGCGCCGATCTGCGCGGACTTGATCAAGACGTAGGTAGGGACAAAAGTGGTGATAATGATGCCAACGACGAATAGCGAGAGAGTTGCCATAGTTCTACTAGGAACTCTCCATTCGTAGAAGCTGCAGAAGTGTTAGTAAGTAGATTACAGAAGAGCAGTGAGTTACAACATACTTTCGTAGGATCTCAAACATGTTGGCGATGTCTGCAAGCTGAACCATGACCCACGGACCCGCCACTTCCTGGAGTCTCTCTAGCCAGGAGCCGTCTCCTTGCTTCTCGATGAACTCGGTCAAGTCGAGGGGATCTTGTTGCTGGTCCTCGGTACGCTCGAGGTCTGTGCGAACATCTTCGAGCGTCTTGTCGACAAAGCGCTTTCTCAAGATCAAATAGACGACACCAGACAGCTATAGTGGTCATTGTTGGTTAGCAGACTGGTAGAAGGAGACGGAGCTGAGACCGTACCATGCTAGGCAGCAGTAGACTGTAGTAGACCAATGTCATGTAGAGTACGAGGACGGTCGACGTTGTGGCTGGGTCTTCCCATCTGTATACTTTTCTTATTCGCATGACAAATCTTTGGAAAGGCGCAGATGCGATGATGGTTCGCTCGACATTTGGCATGATGGATTCTTTGGTCAATTCGGGCGGACTGGAACCGTAGCCGATGTATTGACCGCCGTACTGTTGAGCGTAGTATTGTGCGAGCTGCAGAGAGATTAGTGGTTGCCAGAGTTGCAGACGACAGATCAAAGCGTACGTGAGTTCCATATGCCCTCCAGTCGACGGCGGTGTGTCCATCAAGAGTCTTGTGTTCGAATTCTGAGCGACTCTTCTTTGCGATATTCTTGGGCATGACGCGACACTGTGCAACATGACGATCCATGGTCCATCGTACGTAAATGTTCTGTCGTTCCCTTATGAGGCCATCACGCTCTTGCACAGCAATCTCCCTCTCTCTTTCAGTCACAGCTTCTTGAACACGGTCCTCAGCTTGCACCAGCTTCACTTCTTGTCCATGCGAGATTTCCTTGGTTGCGATGTTGGCTGCTGCTTGTTGACTGCTCTGAGCAGAGATCTTGTCCTTGATAGTGTCTACTGGATGATGCAGCAAAGCATCTACCGAGATGCTGCTCGGTTCTGGCAGGTCATGGCCAAGTCGAGATCTGTTCGACTTGGCTGTCGAGTCGTTTGCGAGGATGGGATTCGTTGTCGACGTGTCCGAAGGCTTGCTGATATGCAAGACCCTGCGCGCCTTTGCAGCGGCCGAGTGTCTGCGATCGTTGAGTGAATCTTTCAGGCTGTGGTGTGTTGGTGAGACGGTATGGTCTGGCGTTACTGGGTTGGTGAGCTGAACACGATCATGCTGGTTGATAATTGCGCGATCAGGGACGCCCTTGGTCTCGACTGGTTTCGTCTCCATAGCCGCCGCGTCACGATCCGTGAGGTACGGTAATGATGATCTGCTGTATCAGCCTTGGTCAATATTGATGGTGGAGATGAAAGCAGATGCAACTATAGCGTCATGCTGTGAAATGTTGACAAACATTGCAACTCCAAGTTCCTTGACTTGTCCATGAAAATGCAGGGCAAACAAGATTGGCAGGCATGGCGTCAAGACTGGTCATCGCATCGATGCACCCCTCAGCCGCTTTTGCATAACGTCGAATTGTGGGGACGGAGCTGTCTCCACGCTACAGTCAAGTCAAGTCAGGGTCCAAGGATCCACTTAAAGAACATTTCTTCCCGGCGATCGTATACATCTGTCTGTCTATCAAGAAAGCCATCTGACTACTTTGTGGTCTAGTCTTGCAACTTACTACCCTCTGCATTCCTCATGAACCTCGCATCTTTCCCTGGTATCGAGAGTTGATCCCGTTGGCGCCAAAAGGCACTTCACCAAGTGAGAGGGTTCTCGTCAAAAGACAGGAACATGCCAGACGTCTCCTCACGAGTCGCCTTGTCGATCTAAAATTTGCGTCAATACTTATGCGGGAGTTCTTGTTGCTGACAGCTCACCTTGCCGACCATGCCATCAATAGCGACATCCATGGGCGTAGTCCTATCCTCAGGTACCCCCAGTGCTTCTTGAGCCTTGCGCCCGTTATCAGTTTGAATGCCACTGGAAAGCTAGTCAGCACGCCCTCGGCCGGAAACCTGTAAGCATCTCAACTCACCCAGGATGTATTGCGACAGCGATCAGATCAGGATTCTCGATATGAATGCGGCGGATGAGCAGATTCATCGCAGCTTTGGACGCCCCGTAGCTTGCGATTGGAGGAACAAAGTACTCTTGCATAGATATAGATCCAACAACAGAGCTGATATAAGCAAACACTGGCTTCTCTGCTTTCTGCAACAGAGGCAGTGTGGCTTGGAACAGACGCACTGTACCTGCAGTGTTCACATCGAAGTGCTCCATCAGATCCTTGGTCTGCATCTTGGAGACTTCAACAAAGGCATGGATTGCAAACAGTCCGGAGTTTGCAATCACAAGGTCGAGGCGATTGATCTGATGACCGTCGAGGCTAGACATGGCCTCTTGAGCGTCGGTGTCTGATGTGCTCTCGATCTTGACGATTATGATGCTACTGCCCTCAGCCTTGGGGAGCTCATTCAATCGAGCTGCTTCCGGAGAATTGGGTTGGCGGACTGTAGCGATGACTGTCGTGTTGGGGCGACTGAGGTATTTGGTTACAAAAGCATAGCCGATTCCCTTGTTGGCTCCCGAGATTAGTACGTTGTAAGTCATTGCGCTGGATTTGGGAGGTAAATGGGTCGGTGATGTTAACTTCCTCCACTGCGGTTCACTGCTGCCTTCTTATCTGCTCAATAGCGCCACATGGTAAGCGCTGAACAGAGGGGTTTGTCAGATGGCGATATTGACTGCAGCATGGTATACAGATCACACCGGTCGAATCATCCTGCAGCTGCGGCGTATAGCAAATCTCACCCGATAACTCCGTAGAATACCTGGATGTCCTGGGATGCTTGACCCTTCGACCGAACCAGTGAACGGTTATTCCCCAGAAGCTACAATCAGCCGGCTTGGAGATATGGATCCAAGCTCCGTCCTAAATCCCTCTACCGGATATCATTGATCCATACAATGGTACCACAAGAATGTGGTAGCCTGAAGTCGTTTTGTGAATGGTTTCGCTGTTTCTTAGGTACCCTCAACGATGCGCCCGGGAGAACAGGCTGCAGTCTCCCTTGCCAAGAACAAACCTCAAGACGCATGACGACGATCTCCTTGGAGTTCAGACTTACAAGCAATAACCACGTACAGCTTATTGGAGATCAGTGGGATCTGGCGTCAAATCTATGCTGCTGCCTGCGAAAGGGAGGGTTTCGAAGACGCAGTCAGACATCTCCACAACGAGTCCAACGCGTGGGCATCATCTCGGCCATTGACTCACCACCCAATATTGTTCGACGATCATCAAGACACTCCAAACTTTTCTGCATACCGCAAGGCTCGCACCGTTGAGACGAAGCGACGCCTAAGGGACGCGTGGTTCACAGGGTCGACAATGGTGACGACCACAATCATATCCTGCTGGTGAGAATGCTATAAACCACCAAGCATTCGTCTGCCACATCGTGTCGCATCACCAAAACCTGACCTCTTCTACATCACCGAAGTCCGACCCTTCCTGCATCATGGTATCCCAGATCCTACTCTTTGATCAATCTCGAAGTGCCAGTGAGTCATGCTCTTTCCGTCAGCATCACATGCCTTGACCCTGTTGACGCAAATCAAGGTCACCTGCTGCAGCGTATCCTGAGCAAGCAGCCCAGAATCGTTCTGCTCGACAGCCCCTACTCCAAATGCCGAGGTCAACAAGTCGGATGGTTGATGAGTGATGAATGGCCCCAAAACATGTCCGACGACACCAAAATCGCTTTCCGGGCTGCTGCGGCGGAAGCGATAAAGCAATGGCAACACGCCCTTGCAGAAGCCGCTAGAAAGGCAAGTGAAGATCATTTCTAATGGTCGAATGTAAGACTGACGCACAGCTGTAGGATAAGATCCTCATGGCTCACGATCACCCATTCAGCTCTGCGGATCCAGCTGTGGTTCTTGATCTCATCCACTCCGCCGGCGGCCGCGCTTTCCATCCGCCTGGGGACAAAAACTTCACCTCGATCCCTGCATCTTTGCTTCTCCACGAAAACACTGTGCCCATATTGACAATCCGCGATCCACGTCTGGCAGTCACCTCGGCCTATCGCGTTCTTATAGACATGGGTTTGCCACATGGAAGTGGACGTCCGAACTTCATCATCAGCACTTCATTGCAATGGCAGCGACTGCTATACGACTTCTTTACCTCGCATGGCATCACGCCACTGGTCGTTGACGCTGATGATCTAATGACAAGCCCACGATACGCACGCGCATTGTGTGAGAAACTAGATATGGATCCGAAACAAGCATACCTCTCATGGCCAGCAGCCACCGAGGAGGAGAAAAGTGCATTGCATCCGATGTTCCTTGCGAGCCAGAGAAACCTCCTAGAGTCAGAAGGTCCCAATTCCGGTAGAGCTGCGAAGAACATCGATTTTGAGAAGGTAGAGCAGGAATGGGAGGATGAGTTTGGCGAAGACCTGGCAATGGTGAAGGAGATGATTGCTCTTGCTATGCCGCACTATGAGTGGTTCCAAGCGAAGCGCTTCAGGGCTGAACAGAACGACTCAGGTCAGTAAGCAAGACGACGAGACAACACATATCATGCCCCAAGGTCCCTGAGTCCATATTCGCAAATCAGACGGTGTTTAGAAACTTCTAGGCGCACATCGTCTGAAGATCAGACGACAGCTACCTTGCCGACTTAGCGCCAATGAACAAACTCCCCATCTGCAATCAAGCAGATACGCTCCATTGTGATCTGAATCTTCCCCATGATCAAGTTCGCAGACAGGAAATGGCCCAGATGATTCGTAGCCCATTGGCTTTCCATGCCCTCTGGAGAAAACTTGAAGTCGGTGGCCATGATACCCGCATTGCTTAGCAAAACATGGATATGCGGTACATCGACCCAAGCATTTACCTTCGCTGCAGTGTCGCGCACTGCAGTCAAAGAAGAGTAATTCACATCCAGCAAATAGATCTGCACTCCGGGTTTGCCTTTGAGGTTGTGGATGCTACTTACTCAAGCTTGGTTGCGTTGCGACCAGTGAGGCTCAGCAGACTTGGGCGTACTGTAGCGAGGGAACGGACAAAACTGATGCCTAGAGTGGAGAGAGATACGCCGGTGGTAAGAATGACTTCTCCTTTGATCTGGCTGCCCAACTTCTTCGCGAGTTCGCTGGCTGCGGTGGTGGGGCTGTAGGCTGACGTCAAGAATCCTTCGAACTGCTTTGTAGCTACTAAAGACGCATCTTCTTCGAAAGTTTGAGTACCTACTACAACACCTGAAACATGGAGGCCTCCACACCAAGCACTGATCCACAGCGAACGACCCCGGATCCCATACCCAAAGGCTCTCGCTCATTCCGCGCAAGTGTCGATACCTCCGTGCTTCAGCAAGATCAAGAGATGTGGAAACGAGCTCGTTTGTTTGTGCGAAACATCACTTCTCGCTACACCAATTATGCAAATCAACCCATCGACATCTTCGAAAGAGACCTTCACAATCTCTGGTACCTGTTCATTGGAGCTGCAAAAGTGACGCCTACAGACGAAGCTGCGGCGGATAGATTGGCTATACAGGTACTGGTGGCTCGTGAGATGGGGTTACTGAGGAGACTTGAAGAGCCAGGTACAGATGAAAAGGCTGCGCACATATCTGAGGCGGCGAATGGTGCACCATCTCGGATGTGGGTAGATCTGCCATTCCTAGCCACGGATTTACGGGAAGCTTGGAAAGAAGCGATGACGGGAAGGACTGCTGTGCCTTCCAATCAGCTCGCCAACCTCGGTGGCTTCACTGCGCGCCTTGTAGCATTTGGCGTATGCGAGGTGGAGTTGTCTCAATGTGGGCTTTTGCTGCTACGAGAAGCACTGGAAACTCCACGGCCGATACTCCCAACCGACAGTGCTGATCAGAAAGACATACCGTTATCTCACTTCATGCCTGCATTGTCAGCTTGGCTCCGACATGGCAGTTACAAGCTGCTCGGACTCTGTGCCCGCGGTCATGCTTCAGCCTCGAGCACTGACGATGCAGAAAGCCCTGAGGATCAATGGGTGACAGCTGGACCTCTGTTGTCAACCTTATCTCCAGAGCAAAGAAGCAGAACACCGGGCTTCTCCATGACTCGGTGGGAGTTCTGGAAACAGAGATTGGCTGAAGTTGCTGGTGATCATGGTGCTCTTGAGGACACTGTCCAGGGACAGGCGAGACATTGCTTCGGTTTCTTGGACTCGTGGGAGCGCATTACGGGTGGTGACGGTCATGACCGCGAGATAGCGAGGAAGGCATATTATGGTATTGAATAGATCCAGTAGCTCGATTGAGTGCATCAAGTGTTGCTTACATCATCATCGGCTGTCGAAAGACTTCTTGATCTCGGGTACGCGCTTTCCTCAGTGCTTACACTCTTCATGCGACGATTTGAACGCAATTTTGGCAGCAGTTGCTGTGCAGTGGCTGCTGGACGCGACTGATCTAAGCCACTCGCTAAACGTTTGTTGTCGACGAAGGCTTGTGTATAGACTCATCGTCCACAAACATGTCGGAGTGAGAAATGAAGATTTCGCTCAACGCGCCCGAGGCTGTGCGTGCTGCGCGCGAGTCGAGAATACGCGGGATACGCAATACGCTCCCTTTGATACGGTGCTATACGCAACAACTCAACAACTTGACTATTCTTGACCGTAAGGTTTTTTTTGGCAGGTACTGTAATATTTCTGTGAGCTTTTCCTTATAGTCTACTCTCTTCCTCGCGTCTTTGTTGTCGATCATTCTTCTTGCAAGCCCTTGCCGCCCTATCACAATGAGAAAAACATATACCGCATCCACATACTCCAACGATACGCTGGAATCTTCACGACACAATACGATACGCGCTAGTCTGAACGATAACGACTGGAACGACTCTCCCCCACCTTATACTCTAATCGCCGGCGATTCCAACACACTCACAGGAAACGATGGTCGCGTCAGCCTCGATGTCAACTCAAAACTTGCCCGCACGCTGTCGGTCTTCATCAAAGATCGCCCAGAACAATCACCCCCAGAGTATCAGGAATCGGAAATCGAAGAATTCGCACAACCACCACCCCTCAATATCGTCATTCAAATCGTTGGCAGTCGTGGAGATGTACAACCCTTCATCGCTCTCGGCAATGAGCTTCAGAAGTCTGGTCATAGGGTCCGCCTGGCGACACACGATATCTTTCGCGATTTTGTCACCAAACCTGGCCTGGAGTTCTACCCCATCGGAGGCGATCCGAATGAACTTATGTCTTACATGGTCAAGAATCCCGGTTTGATCCCAAGCATGAAGTCCATGCAAGCAGGAGAGATCACGAAAAAGAGAGCGATGATCCGAGAGATGCTCGAAGGCTGCTGGAGATCGTGTATCGAGCCAGATGATGCTACGGGTGCCCCTTTTGTCGCCGATGCAATCGTTGCCAATCCGCCAAGTTTTGCTCATGTGCATTGTGCTCAGGCTCTGGGCATTCCGGTGCATTTGATGTTCACCATGCCATGGACGGCGACCAAGAGCTTTCCTCATCCCTTGGCCAACATCAAAGACAACAAGGCGGAGCCCAGTATAATCAACCGACTTTCTTATGCGATGGTAGAGTGGATGACATGGCAAGGCCTTGCTGACGTGGTCAACGGATGGCGTGAGACATTGGACTTGGAACCAGTGCCCACAACCGAAGGGCCCTTTCTGGCATACACGCAAAACATACCTACAACGTATTGCTGGTCTGGTGCTCTTGTGCCCAAGCCATCAGACTGGGGCCAACACATTGACGTCTGCGGCTTCTTCTTTCGAGACACGCCAGATTACAAGCCACCTCAAGACCTGCAAGATTTTCTCAATGCTGGATCAACACCAATATACATTGGTTTCGGCAGCATAGTATTGGAAGACCCTGAGAAGATATCTCTGATCATTGCTGAAGCTGTCAGAATTACTGGCGTCCGTTGTGTTCTCTCGAAGGGTTGGGCAGGGCTGAGTAACGTGTCACAGTCACCGGATATCTTCGAGCTGGGTGATTGTCCGCATGGTAAGTATTGAGATTTACTGAATATGTGTCTTCAGACGACTGACTATGATATTCAGAATGGCTTTTCCAACATGTCTCAGCGGTCATCCATCATGGAGGAGCAGGCACAACTGCGTGTGGTCTCAAGAACGGGCTTCCATCCTTGGTATGCCCTTTCTTTGGCGAGTAAGTACTTTCCCCGTGATCTATCTGGGAGTTCACATAACTGATGACGAGCCAGTCAACCATTCTGGGGAGAAATGATTCATGCCGCTGGCGCAGGACCCAAACCGATACACCACAAAAGCCTCTCAGTCGACAACCTCAGCGAAGCCATCAGATTTCTCACAACGCCAGAAGCAGCAGAGTTTGCCCATCTCATCGCGCAACGAATGTCCACAGAGAGTGGCGTGCAGACCGCCGTCCAATCCTTCCACCGCAACTTACCCCGCCAAACCATCCGCTGCGATATCCTGCCACATCTGCCAGCCGTATGGACATACAAAACATCCTCCAAACACACAATCAAGCTCTCGAAACTAGCTGCAGAACTCCTCATCGACCGCCTCAAAATTGATGGCAAGAAGCTGGGTATGAATGAACTTCGGACCTACATCATCGAGAACAAACGCTGGGATCCGATCACGGGTGCTGCAAGTGCGGCTATCGGTACGGTGTACAGGTCTGGTATGGCGATTGGTGACGGGTTCAGAGCACAAGGAAAGCAACCTTGCCAGATAGAAGAGTATCTCTCTGTTTCAGGCACGTCAACACCAAGATCGAGGAGTCGCAGCAGATCAAGGCAGACGGTGGAGGGCAATGAAGATGATTCGAGGTCCATCCTTTCATCACACCAGGACGACGCCGACAACAAATCCCTCATAGCGACATCCGCCGAAGCGCCCAACCAAAAGAAGCAAAACCAAGATGGAAAGCGCATAGCGAAAGGTTTCGGCAAAGCAGGCAATACAATACTCAAAGGCGGACTCATCGACATCCCCTTCGCTTTGGCAGAAGGTCTACGCAACGCGCCCGCCATGTACGGCGACAAACCGCGCGACTTTGGCCCAGTCATCGACTGGAAAACCGGCGGCATAGTCGCAGGCAAAGGTCTAGTCTTCGGCCTTTACGACGGCATTTCCGGCCTTGTCACTGAGCCAGTCAAAGGAGCAAAGAAAGAAGGTGCTTTGGGTGCACTGAAAGGCTTCGGTCGAGGACTAGGTGGCATGTACTGGAAACCCAATGCTGGATTGGCGGGTTTGCTTGGATATACGATGCAGGGAATTTACAAGAGTGTGTACAGTGCGATTCATACTGGCACGAGGAAAACGATCGCAGCGGCACGGAGAGAAGAGGGTATTTTGCTGCTTGCAAAGGCAAGAGGAGATCAAAGCTTCGATCTCGGACAGATCGTTACAGCGTTCGAGGAGATAAAGAAGGATGATTGTCGTTAGTAATTCTACGCGGTATTCACATCTCAATATCATGGCCCTTTCCCCGCGGTCCGTGAGATATCAATAAGGTTTTGACTCTGTTCATACGATTGACCCAAGTGTTCCCATGCAGATGCCCTTATTCCCGGCACAGCAGATTGAAGAGTGCACGCTGCATATCTTGCTCTTGATTTCACCTCCTCATCGTCGACTCTCGGAAACACCCCCCTCTCCAGCAAGTTCAGGACATGACATCTGCACTCCTCACGACGGTGGTCATGGGGCTTTGTCTTATAGTCCAGACAACGGTTTGGTTTCTTAACATTATGAATATGGCATGCGCCTTTCCCGGTGTTTGGGTGCTGCTACCCGTCCGTCCCAAGCAGCATCAACTTTTGTCCGCACTTTATTGCACCTTCTCTCTCACCACGATACATGCGCTCGCTAAGCAGCTTGCTATTCTCCATTTCGAGTCATCATCGATTACTCCATGGATCTGGGTCGTGGCTTCCAGCCAGATACATCCCGTGTGCGCGATTTCTTGTCTAATGGCTCGTCAAGAGATTTCCCGAACTCGATCAAAGCATTTGAGGAAGAGTGGCGATGGACGGCATCAAGGTTCAGCCGCTTCTTGGTGGAAAAGCGATTTTGGAACAACAATGGTCTGCTTGATCCCTGCTGCAACACTCAACGCTATCATCAGTGCTGCTATGCTCCTGTTTGAGAAAGAGTTCGATCAGCATCCACCTCAAGCATGGACGCCACTGCTACAGGTCAGTATGTACTGCTTTACGGTCCTCTTGTTCATAGGATGTCGCTATGCCGACTATATGATCCTATGCGAAGACGAACGGTGTTCGTATCCTCTGGACAGATACGATATCGTCGTCGGGTTGATCGGAGTTCTGACGCTCTCCATCGTTCGCTCGCTGTGTGAAGCGCTTATGCCAGTATCGGCTTTCAGTCTATAAGCATAAGGAGTCCGATCATCACGCTGGTATGACAATTATCAGTTCTCTGGTGATCGCATCTGAAGAATAGCAGAACTCTGCTGGCAAGGGGGCATGAGATACGGATGCGTAGAATACCAGGAGAAATCATGATTATGTTTTCTCTGAACGTTGCTCAAGAGGTTGAATCTTACACTAGCGCGATCAAGTATATATCTTGATGATGTTGCCAGAATAATCTTCTCCTGCAGCAGTAGTAAAATAAAGGTGAGGCCCATGTGTGCTTTTGCAGAATCTGGGGTCGACAAACTCCCGAGAAGTGGTCGGTCCTTCCTCCGGATGTTGGTTGATCGTTGATGATGCGTTGGAACGATTTGCAACTTGGCAATGACTCAAAGCACCGTGATGGATTCGCTTACATCATCTATCTGAATTTTGCCCAACTGTCAGGCCCCTTTACGCACAGTACGGAGCACGGCTAGAGCTCTTCCGTAATCCCTATCCGAAGAATCCGTCAGCATTCATACATCAGTTCGACCTCGCACCCGGCAAATCGTGGCCATCTTTTTCACACTCTGATTTGACTATTTCCGTCCTCGAACACGAATCATAGAGCTACTCACAATGAGATCCTTCACCTCAACATCTCTGCTGTCGACACTGGCTCTCTGTCACCGTGTCAAGGCAGCAGCCACTTGCACCAACTTCACCATCGTAGGAGAGAACAACTACACCAAGCCTTCATCCATGACCTTTGCCGTCAGCCAAGGTGTCGTCTGCAGCGGGACGTCAAACTGCTCAGTACCAGTCGGAGGAATTGTGACCGACCATCGCATGACAAATTTGACCGATTCCACAATGGACTGGGCATACCCACTCATTAGCAACGCAACTGGATATCCTTTCGGCACCACACTGGTTGGCGCCGTGGATAACACCACGTATACGATCAACGCAGGCTCTTCAGGATACATTGGCTTCACACCCACATACAGATGCACGCAAGGAACCTTCTCAGGATGCGAGGACAAGGGTCTGGATGGCACACCTGTAGAAGCATGTACACCGTTTGGCTGGGAGACAGGCACAATCAACGGTACCTTGGCAGCGATCGCGACGTCGCCAGAGACTGCGATGGCGCTTGTATGCAACCCAGCGAATACGAGTCTGGCGTCGAGTGGTAACAATACCAATTTCTGCATCAATCCGACCAATTCGTCTTCTGGAAACACTACGGCGCCGGATTTGAGGGCTGGCGCTGCTGTTTCGAGTAGCGTGGGCACGGTGCTGTTGTCTGTCGCTCTACTGATTGCAACAATTGGAGTCTGAACCATCATGTGTGTAGCCAATCTACTCGATACAGTGACTCAGATGATCCTCGAAACGTTCCTCGGTCGTCGGACTCTCATACCCTGGTCAGTTCGTGAATATCTACATGATCAGCCTCGGTTTCTGCAGCCGCACAGCTTTGTATTCGAAGCTTGAATTTTCTCAAGCCACTCCAATATAGCATACCGAGACCATGGGAATGGTAGAATATGTGCGCGACTCGTCCAGATAAAGTCAGCGATACATGTCGTGGACATCCTTTCTGCGGCCACAGCGGGCTAGGGGGTCAGGAGATCACACTTGCGGGGTGAGGGAGAGCTATATCATCTCGGCCCAGGTGAATGGATTATGAACTTGCAGCTCGCGTCGGCCTGTTTCTTTGTTTGGAGTAGTCCTCAAGCTTTTCGAGCAATGCCATGCCATATACGCTGGTGAGACTTGACAATCCATACTCTTGGACGTGCCATGACATGTGCCTCGTCAGCGACTAAGCTCCATTAGGATTGTGACTCCAAAAGCCATGTCTCGATGTATGGCTTGCATCGTGGCGCGGCATAGAAAGGAAACGCGTTGACTCGCAGACAGCTCATGATGTGGACATGACATGTCTCCCGAGTGGCCAGAAGTCGCGGCTGCCAAGCGACCATGTTGGACTGATCACTCTCTCTTCTTGGCCAATCACAGGTGTTTGGTACTGCGCGGGCTGAACATACCTGCCCCGACTCTTCGTTAACGTTGAAGGATGCCAGCTTCTCGTCCGTAACGCGGTCAATGACGATGTAGACGCTCCTAGCGATCCTTCGTGCCTTCCTGAGGTGCTCACAGATGATTTGGTTCGTGCAATTGGGTTTGACATCGTCCTGAAAAGTCCGCGCTTTGCTGCCGATCGTAGCTACGCCCTGGTTGCACTGCCAGCTACTAGATGTCGTTGATAGAAGATCGCTACCTGCGCATGATATCTTCGGCCAGGCAGATCCTGGCTTTGAGGCTTATAAATACCTTGGACTCCTCTCCCCTCTATGTTTTACCAGCTCTCTCGCGCACTAACCTTGACCTCACCCAGATAGCTTACGGCAAAGATGCGACCTTTGCTTTCCCTTTCGAGGTCCCTTCCACTCCTAGCAGCGGCACAAACCGACAACTACGTAGGCGGTGCTGGCATCATATCACCAGGAGGACCTTCGGCCGTCAATGCTTCCTTGGAGGCCACAGAACTGGCTGGTCGCCATCCCAATGGAACCGCTTCAACCACGTTCCAACGTCTCGTCGACGATACTCAAGAAACATGGACATGGCGTGTGAACATTACCGACATCGCTGTTCCCAACGAACCTACGAACCTCGGAATGTCCTCGGCGAATTCTTCTGAGCACCTACATATCGTCAATACTCAGTGGGAACTCCAGTGGCCTGATGACAACAACGCTAGCGAAAGCTTTACGGATTTCCTCAGGAGAATCGACTCAAAGGCATATTTCAACGCCATTATTGTGAATCTGCTGTCCAACATCACTCGAGCGTATTCGAACCAGACCAACGGAAATTGTACGGCCGTACTCGGGGACGACTGCGTTCGCTCGATAGAATCCGCTGCATCTACTGGCAATTATCTGAAGACCTCGGATCTTACAGGTTGTGCGAGTACTCTGAATGTGGCTCGAACTGATACTGGAGCCGATCTTGGGTTCGGTAAGATTGTCGGCCACAAATCCGTGATGGGCTTTGACATACTGATCTTTTTGACATCCAGAAATCAGCTCTGCCTTCATCGATCGCAATGTCTCTTCGCCCGAGCTACAGCCATACGGAACCTTATTCTATTCCACCTCCCGCACCTTTACGAGTGACAACCTTACTTTGTTCAATGAAGCGGAGAGCGCGGTGCAATTATTCATCATGCAAATTGTGCCCTTGAACGCGTCAAAGAGCAATACTGATGCCACTGTGCTTTGCCAGATTGTTGATGGATCCAAGACATCTGGAGCCATAAGCTGGCGTCAAAGCTCGGCAGCAGCTTGGGCGGTCGTCATGACGGCGTTCATTGTCATGATGTGTCAGTAGTTCTATAGCAAATCATTCTCTCTGCCTTTGCGGAGCGACGGTATTATTATGACAGGCTCGATGGAAGCCCTGAGTCAAGTCTCAGAATCGTTGTCGGTCTGGTGATACTGATATCTACGTGCCTTGCGCAGTCATGGGAGCAACACCTCGGTCAGCGACGCGCGGGAGATTCTATCGTCGAATAGAGCTGACGCTATATGTAAAGCTGCTGACCTTAAACCTCTGATGCACACATTCTTACACGGACTCTCCTTGTGAATCTCGTACGCCGAGGCATCATACTAGAGATTCCAAAGACAGGTAACATGCCACAAGTCGTGGCTAGCTTGCTGGCCTGTCCACCCTGACCCTCCGGTGATCGCCTCATATTGTGTCTTGAACCACTTCTACAGGAACCAGGTTTGGAGGAATTGAGAAGGAGATATCTTATTCCGTTGCTCTAGCAGAAGTGTGGTTCTCCTGCGAAGACTTGCTCACCTGATCAACGACTATGTACCCAGCGTAAGGTGTTCCAGAGGCCTCCCGATACCTGCCCGAGTAAACCACACGCGGGCGAAAGTGCTCCCGAGTCTCAGAACGTTCTCTGCAAGCGTCCTCGCAAGAATATGTACGAGCTGACGAAGGATTGCAAGATTATGCAGACGTCTGACCATGGCGCAAGCACGGAAACAGCCACTTGGATGCATTCTCCTCGATGCAGGGAGTGTGGCAGCGTGAGACGAGCCGTTCGCTTGCAGCACACAATTACACCGTTGGTTCGAACAGAAGTCGAGTCACCAGATCTTACGAAAAGTGTTCAACAATCTGTCGAATTTGGATCAAACACATCATCACTCGCGCGAGCGCAAAATCCGAAAGACATCGACCGAGATAGATCTCCTATCTCCGAAGCTGCTCGATCAGACTAGCTCCATCCCTTTCGCGTGGCCTTTGCGCGTGGAACACGGCAAATCTTGTGCGCATCAGCCCCCAAAACAACAAGTGCTGTGCATGACAAACGACAAAACTACTGTACTTGTCTGCTGGAATCGACTCCTTGACCGAGCATCCGCAAACGAACACCGTCAACTTACTTGATCCTTCCTGGTTTGAAATCACCAAACGATCGTCGTTGTTACTTTGCAGAGAGGCAGCCAATCGTCGGTTTCGGTCTTTTGTCCAGAGTCGGAGACCGAATCTCCAGTCCGAGACTAAGAGCATCCCGGTACATAACTTGCGTCGCACCCGCCGTCATTGTTTTTTTTTCTCCTACACGGCTCGACTCTACTTATCCTCCCTTTGTGACCTGTCCTACCCATCTCCCAACGATGGCGCTCTCGGAAAAATCCAGTGAGAGCCTACAGTCGACACCCTCACCAATCGAAAATCCTCCCGTCGTTCCAAACGAGCAAGCCGCGCCAAGCAATGGAGCCGCCGTCGACGAGAAGGACATCGAAGCCGCCGCACCGAGAGCATCACCACCAAATTTCCTTGGCCAAGTCCCCAATGGAGGACTTCAAGCATGGCTACAAGTCATCGCAGGATTCTCACTGTTCTTCAACACATGGGTATGTACAACCAATACTATCATGTCTGCCGCATGAACACTAACACCGGAGATCAGGGAATTCTCAACACTGTTAGCTTACCCGCCCTTGGCAATACAATTAAGCTTAACTAACCAAGCTTCTTCTAGTTCGGAGTCTTTCAAACTTACTACGAGTCCGGTGTGCTGATCCATGCGTCGTCATCTAACATCTCATGGGTCGGTGCTATCCAGTCATACTGCGTTCTGTTGATGGGCTTCCTGTCTGGACCCATCTTCGATCGTGGTTACCTTCGACCATTGCTCTGCGTAGGGTCTTTCCTAGTCGTGATAGGCTTTATGATGTTGTCTCTTTGTCATACCTTTTGGCAAGTTCTTCTGGCGCAAGGATTTTGCATCGGTATTGGTTCTGGACTCTTGTTCGTCCCTGCCGTCGCCATTCTTCCGACCTACTTCAACACTAAGCTCGGTCTTGCGATCGGTCTTGCTGCATCTGGCAGTTCCATGGGAGGTATCATCTACCCCATTGTCTTCTACAGATTGCTCGATCAGATCGGTTTCGGCTGGTCAGTTCGTGTATTGGGCTTCCTCGCTCTGGCTACTCTACTCATCCCCATCTTCGTCATGAAGCAACGTGTGAAGCCACCAAAGGCTCGCGCTCTGATCGATACGACCGTCTTCCAGGATGTCCCATTCATGCTATTCACCCTCGGAGCCATGATAGGATTTATCGGCCTCTACACCGTTTTGTTCTACATCTCCTTCTTCGGCCAGGCCAATGGCTACACTGATGCCAGCATGTCCTTCTACATTGTGCCGATTCTGAACGCTGCTTCAGTGTTCGGCCGTACATTGCCAAACGCACTCTCCGATAAGACTGGCTCTTTCAACATCATTCTGCCAGGCGCGGCTGTCTGCTCGATCCTCATCTTCTGTATGATCGCTGTCGATGGTCTGGGCAGCATCGTCGCGCTTGCCATTCTCTTTGGATTTTTCTCCGGAGTCTTCATTGCTTTGCCCCCGGTATGCTTAGTCGCTCTGACGGCAGATAAGTCGAAAATCGGAAGCAGAATCGGCATGGCCTTCGGGTTCATGGGTTTTGGCACTCTAGCTGGTGTAAGTACAAATGATATGCTGATATGTCGAGATGTCGGGAAAATCCGGTGGTGGTTCGATTCGCCCTTCCAGAGACTTTGCTGATCAAATTTCCGTTACAGGGACCCGGAGGCGGTGCTATCTTGCAGAACTATGGCCCTACCAACAACTGGACCGGACTATGGGTGTACGGTGGCGTTTCCTGTGCTGTTGCTGCTGCCATCTTCACATTAGTCAGATTCATGAAGGCCGGAGGCAAACTCATGGTCAAAGTGTAAAAGCAGCACACTACAACAACAACCACACGAGAAGATTTCCTTCCATTCAAAAGTAGTAGTTTGTAATACCAGACACTCTCGAAGTGCTCACAGAACTATCGAACTCGGGGTTTCCCCCTGCATCATACTCTCCGCTTGATCCCTACCCAATATTCAACAGGCTTCTTCGTGAACCCCTCCGAACACTTCAGCTCCTCCTGCTGCAGCTCGAGATCATACCGTCTGAACAGTGTTGCCACAATCAGTTGCAGTTCCATCATCGCCACGTTCTGTCCCACACAAGCCCTGGGTCCATGACTGAAAGTAATGAACGCCATTTTCTGCCTTTGTGTAAGGCGTTCGGGAAGCCAGCGATCAGGATTGAACACTTCCACATCATCTCCCCAGATATCCAGGTCATGATGAAGTGTAAAGCTAGGCACGCTCAACACCGTACCCATTGGGAAGTGATGCCCTTCGAAGCATACTCCCTCAGCAGAAGTGACGATGCGCGGTAGCCTAAGTGCAGAAGTCGAGTGCAACCGCATCCCCTCATGGATACACCTCTTTAGAAACTCCGCATTCTTAATTTGCTTATGCATCGCCACCTTCTCATTGCCAGGAATCGCAGCATCTAGTTCTCTTTGCAAGCGAGGAAGGATGGTTCCAGGGGCATCCCGCTCGCCAGCAAGAATCAAATAGATGATTGCACAGGCGGTGTTGGAGATTGTATCGCTGCCAGCTATCAACTGCGTCAATGCTTCTGAGACCACTTCTTCGTATGGCACAGCTTCACCGTCGGGGTCTTTGGCTTTGAGGAGGAGGGCCAGGATGTCGTGTCTGTCTGACTCCTTGGCCATCTCCTGCTGTACAGCGTCCAAGCGTTGAGAAACTGCTAACGCGGCGATACCGTGGAGATCCTTGACTGACTGCAGACCCCTGCTGAAAAAAGCATCAGGGAGGAACTCCGCAAAAGGCCGTAGTGCAGGCATCCATCCCAGAGTTGCAGAGACCTCGCCTCGTCTGTTCAGTGTCTCTGCTCCAGCGATGCGAGTCATGTAGCCATCGGGCCGCTGAGAAACGCATTCATCTCTGCCTGTCTTCACCATTCCGAATGCCTTTCCAAAAGCCAAGTGTCCGATGATGTCGAAAGCGATATACGTGCACCAGGGCATCATATTGACACTCTTATACTCACTCCCTTCCTCTTCTGCCTCTTTCGCAATGCTATCCAATTTCCCCACCCAAGTCTCGAGGTCCTCGGCCATATAAGGCTCAAATCTCCCCACAGCACCAGGGGAGAAGGCATGTGCCACCACTCGTCTCTTCCTCGCATGTTGTGCTCTGTCTCTGGTATTGAATACACCAGGCACTCCAGAGACAAACGCATCGTAAAACTCCGATTTCAGCCATCCAGTACCGTGGGCATATACGAGGGAGATGGCTTCTTCAGAAGCAATGGAGATGTGGTTGTAGCCAACGCGGACGAGGGTGCCGTATTTGCGGTGAGCAGAGTGAATGGCGGAGTAGCGTTTGCGGCGGCGAGAGTGATAGGCTAGCCATAGATTGCTGAACTTTGCGAAAGGAGGGCCAGGAAATGAGTGGAGAGGGGAGAAGGTGGTGAGGTATGGGATGAAGTAGTAGAGAGTGATCCACAGAGGAAGGAGGATCAGAGTTAGCAGGATATAAGTTAAGAGGTCCATATCTATGCAACTGTGATCAAAGAATAAAGAAGGAAGTTCGGAACCAATCTTCATTCCTTTTCTACTCTGTTCGATAGCACATGGGGTGTCAATAATCTTGCTCTAGGGTGTAAGATCGAGGTGTTTGTGTAGTACTCCCCACCCTTTGTGCGACTGCAATGTATCAAGGTCTTAATCACTGGTCGTGGTTAAGGCAAGTGCCACCGCTAACGGAAAAGCTACTGAATGGTTATATGATAAGCAAAACTCGGGATATTCCAACCTATCATTGTGTTCCAGTGCGAAGATATCCAGAAAACTGTCGAATTCTTTGGTCCTCTCATTGAGAAGCGGGTTGCTGATCGCTATACTCAGCCTCACTCTTCACGGTCTTCTGCTTCTGCTGCTTCATTTTGTGAACCCAGATATACACAAAAGGGTACACCGTCTCCGGCACCATAGTCAACACAATGACCCAAAAACTCGTCTTCGACCCCACATACCACCAATCCTGCGGCACCTTGAGATACCGCCACACAAAGACCCCATTAGCAGTCCAACAACCAAGATATCTCGTAACCCTATCTGGTCATCAGTCATCGCATCCACATCCTCGGCAATTCCACAAGAAGCACTCACCGAACTGTTGGAGTCCGTATGACGACACTCACTCATGATTGTATGCTGCCACCTCGAAACTATCGTTATACCAGAGACGTGCCGGCGCCGGATCCAGCGGGTGAGACCTACTTCTTGGCGCCAACACCTTCAATAATCAACATGGCAATAAGGCTGTGCAAAGGATGTTTCTGCTTCCGTTGCTTCCTCAAAGGTGAATGTCGCGACATGCTCGGTCGGCTGTACCGGAAGCTGACCCCAGCCGAGCGGCCCGATAGTGTCGTCCACATCACCCCAGATCCATCTTATGGCTGTTTGACCAGCCTTCAACTTGGTATCGTAATTCCTGCTTTTGACAAGCACTTTCTGATACCGATGAAACAAACAACTGCTCTCAAACATGGCCGTACGTGTAATCTGTTCTCCAGGGCGCAGAGTAAGGATCTGGTGTCGAGCGGGTGAAGTAGCAGTATAAGGGAACGAGAGAGCTTGCAGTTGTTCTGCACTGAAAGCTGGTAATGGCTGCTGCAGGTAGAAAGGTGGTGGTGGTAGTGAAACTTCTTCCCCAGTCTCAGAGTCGAAAACGCACAAGAAGGTATCCCAGAGGTAGTTGTTTGAGGACAAGATCGAATCGAACGTATTGATTGTAACTCCTTGTGTCACTGCAGCGTCGAGAGCAAAAGCCAGATTGAGATGCATCTTCTCGGGTGCGCGACACGGTCCGGAGTCTGGATGTCGAGATGTCAGAGAGACAGATGCTGTGATCGATGGTGTCGTTTCGGCGCTCAAGCGAGCCATGATTCTAGACTGCGGTCAGTAGCATCTTCTGGAGGTTTAAATCAGACGAGACTTACCCTGAAGACTCGACGCACAAGACGAGATATGTGAACAGCATCTGTGCCGCATTATCCCAGCCACCTGCATGCAAGACTTCGAGCACGACGCCTGTCTTCGTCGAATCTTGAGTGACAATTCTGGGTCCATCGTCCAGGGCCATGTTATCATCATGGTAGAGGAAAATATGTGATTGAGGTTGTTCTGGCGGTCCAGTATAGCTAATTGGGCTCCTGCCGCCAAGAGGGAAGGGTATCTAATATTTATAAAATCTGCTCTTCTCTTGTTCATCCCTCAGCGGCTCTCGGAGTTTCAAGGAAGCAATAGACGACGACATACAACCCTTGGGCCCATCAATTACTTGCCGCTCGACCTCCGCTACCCAGCACTGTTGGTATTCCTCTTCTTGAATTGACTCCCTCGACCCTACAAATCTGTGTGAAAATCTATGCCATACGTACATCGGGGCTGGCCAAGGGTCCTGGATCTGGGTCTTGCTCTTCATCTTCATCTTCCATATCCACATCTTCTGCTTCTTCGGCCTCGTGTTCGACGTCCTCGAGATGGGCTGTGCTGTCGACTTCGGGCTCGTCTTCTTCACCGTCTTCGTCTTCGGCTTCGTCGTCCTCACCCTCACCTTCTTCACCCTCCTCGCCGTCTTCGCCATAGTCCTCCGCTTCTTCGGCACCTGCAATGCCATCCTCGTTTTCCTCCTCAGTATCAGTGATCAGCTCGCTATCCTTGACACTCGCGAAACGGGGATTAAGATTTGGAAACATCGGAGGCTTGACAGAGGCGTGAGAACTGGAAGCCAGGCCAGAGTTGACAACATCCTCGTCGATATCGCTGAGCTCACTATCGCTCTCGTCATCGGCCGAATCGTGGATACTACCTGCGACGCTGCCTTCTGCCGTGTCGATACCTTGCTGCTCAGCCAATTTGGAAGACGGACGTCGTGTTTCTATAACGACCGAGACTTCCTGGCGCGGCCGAGCGGGTCCGGCACCGGCTGGTGTCGTAGGCCCGGCGCCAAGCCTGGCAATACAAGCGTCAGCGCAGAGACGAACTTCCCGTCTGCCCACACCGATTTTGCGACGTGATGCGGGTGCTTGATCTCCTGTCGGTGGTGTTGCGGTACCGTCAGGCACCGAAGTAGCAGCAGAAAGACCAAGGGGTTTGGCGGGTGCATCAGGTGCACCATCCACGTTCATGAGGTGTGACAGATTCATCATAGGATTTCGTTCCACAGAAGGGGTGGCAGCTTGCTCCTTAGCGAGTGCCTCTTGCTTGATAGCCTCGTCTTTCGCTTCTTCCATTGTCCACAATCTCCGCCCTACTGTATCGTACAGATATGCGTACGCATCTCCAATCAAGTCATCGATTGTTGCTGCCTTCATCAAGCCACCGTTGATTTTCTTGAGCTCGATGACTTCTTGCATGGTTTCCAGCACAGGATGGGTGGCATTCGCAGGCGCTTGACACCATTTTTCCAGATAGTCTTTGCGTCTGAGAAAATCGGCATGGTTAATACCGCTGAAGATGGCTGTCTCTTGAGCGATAGGAATCTGTCCATGGCGACGAAGCACTTTTAGATAGGCAGTACAAAGACACTGCCAAAGATTGCCATGCTCGAAGAACTCTCCGGTCTTCTTGCGGACTCTACGTGCAAGCGCATCGAGCAATGACCGATCTTCCAGAAACTCGAGAATTTTGATGAACATGTCGGCATATCTGGTCGTGTAGACAAAGTGACGGCCAGACCGCTCGTTTTCGGGTCTCCAAACATTCATCATCATAGTCTTCGTAAACATTTGCTGCATAAGCTCATGTTTCGCGGCTAGACAGTATGATTCTTTGGTACCATCACGGAAGAGTATGGCAGCTGTTCTGTATATCATGCGATGGTGCCAATGCAGCTTATCTGCCGCACGAAGACTCCGAAGTACTTTGAGCATGTAAGGCTCCCATGAGTCAAAGTCGGAGACAGGATCGATCTTCGCAGCATAGGGTGTAGCGGTCAGAATACTGCATGCCTCAGCAGCGTCGATGAAGTGTCTATTGACCATCTTGTTTACCACAGACACGAGCTTGTAGTGAGGCTCGAGAATGGGTTCGCGCTTCGAGTCCTTCTTTGGCGGCAATAAGTTGATAGACTCGCAAAACTCATTGATGATGGCATCGATACTGGGGGGGCGATCAGCGTCCCTCGCAGCGTTGCAATACATCTTCCACAGGCATTTGCCGAGATAGAAGTGCAGTTTCCATTTGTTAGGGTTGATGCGGATAGCACGACGGAAGAGTTCTCTAGCAACCTTGAAAGCAGAAAAAGGAGTCAATGCTTTGAACGGAGGAACCTTCGTGATGGTCGCACGACTCTGGAATCTCTCAAGGTCGTCGAGCGCAAAGGCCTTCATGCCGAACGGCTCTCTGGATGACGAGTAGATTCTCATGGCGAAATCGGCAAACATCTCGCCAAACTTTGCCTGTGTATCTGCACTCGGCTCAGCAGAGCGCATTGCCAATGACACAGCCATGGTATAGCAGTGTACGGCAGCTCGTTGCCATGTCACCAGCTCGGTCATGTCCCCGTTCACCTTTTCTGCAGTCCACGAAACAGCTTCTTCGATCTTGGAGTCATATGCTTGAGCCAAACGGAACCAGAGCTCCCAGTCGTCCATGCTATACTCAAGAGCTTGTACAAAGAATGCCACTGCAATGTTGAGATCTTCGGTCGGGGTAGGACCTATACGCTTCTGTGCTCTGAACCTGCTAAGTGAGATCTGACCCATGAGGAAGTACCAGCCTTTGGCAGCTAGAATGGCATGTTCAGCGGGGACTGGCGTCAGATCAATCTCGCCCTCTCCTCTTAAACATTTGTACAAATCAATAGGATTGATGTGAGACTTGAGGAAGGCTCTGTAAATCTCACGATTGCGAAGGATCGCGTCTGATGGTTTCTTGCGTCCAATGATACCGTGTACCTTCTCGATTGTATCTTTTAGAGGGTGTTTCGGCAGCTCTGGCGTCTTGATTCTGGCAGCCAAGTTTAGTAACAAGTCGACAGCTTGCATACCAGACGTCCTGTCAACAAAAGCATCGTGAATGCAGTTGTGTTCCCTGAGCGCATAACTCGGGTTGAGAAAACATTTGAGGCCAAACATGTCGTAGAGAATTTGAGCGAACTCGAGGTCGAAATCGTCATTCTGCTCCTCTGACTCGTTCCGGAAGCGAAGGACTTCGGTCTTTGAAAGTTTGAGGAACACTCGTTCAGCTCCACCACACATATCTCGGGCTCCGAGCACTTGATGAACCGCTCTCAAGAACTCGAACAAAGACTCATTGGGCTTCTCGACAGTCTCTCTGTTTTGGGCCAGGCTCTCGCGATAGAACTTGTACAGCAATGTCCAGGATACTAGTTGCAGTTCCCGAAGGACCTTTGTCACAGCGACGAAAGACTTGAGTGGGGCGCCATTGCTAGTTGAGGGCGCTTGTCTTGCACCAACCTTGATCTCATCTTGCAGCAATGTGTAAGCATGTAGCACTTTCTGCAGGTCGACTAAACAGCCCGTCGCGCTTTGGAGGCGCTCGTCGTCCATGCAGTCCAGAGCATCGGTGTGGGAGTTGACAGATGCACTGATCTTGCCGATGAGGTCCTTGATGAGGCGCACGTACTTGAGCAAAACAGTTTGGCGCTCGTTGGCAGTCTTCTCGGAGTATGAGGATGACTTGAGATCTGAGAGCAAAAGTTCAATGACGCGGAAGTAGCAACAAACAACCATGGGTTGATAATCGATTGTTTCATAGGCCTCACGGAGTCTTTGCCAAAGGGAAACTTGCATGCCAATATTGCTGTTTTTGAGAAAGTTTAGAAGCTCAGAGGGGGTCGAGGCAGAATGTGCAGGCTCAACATCCTCAGCAGGCGCGGTGATAACGTCACTATGGGCTTCCTGGTGCAATGTCTCCAGAAGCGGCTCAAGGCCTTCGATCACTACGGTAGGATCATTCTGAGTTGGATCGAAAACCCTGGTGAAGAAGTCCTGCGTCGTCAGTCTTGAGAGTTCTCTATCAATGGCTTCGATTGACATCTGTGGCATGACCGAGTTGTTTGGTAGGTCAATGACAGCTTCTCCGACCGCCTCAAATATCGACCTCAGTTCAGACCAACAGGCAATAACATGCTCTTGCGAGATATTGTTCGAGACGCTGATGTGGTGTGTGACGGTCCACAGGTAGCGCAAATTGAGTTGATCCTTCAAGCTCGGCTGTTGTAATAGGCTGGTGCGCAAGTTCATGGCATCGCGCGCAAGGTTACCCCATCTTTCAGCGCGGTATTCTTGTAGCTGCAGAGTATCCGCATCGACACCACTGTTGGGTTCCTTTACGAGCGAATGGACATCTACATGCAGCTCAAACAGAGTTTGTATGACCTCGATAAATGCCAACGCTTCGTCCAGCTGCTGCATCTTTGTGTCTGTGAGCAGGACCTTATCCCACTTCAGCACAAACTCAGACAGCGTTTCAAAAACGAACGTGTCAGTTGTGACAAGAACACGAACCAAGAGAGCTTTGAAATCTTGCGGCCATGTATGGCCGACATAGCTTGATGTACTTGCGCATAATTCGGGACGTAGAAGTAGAGCATGATCAGGGTGCAAGAATTGCACAATCCATTCGTAGAGCACGTCGTTGATGTGGAGAAATTCTGAGTTGATATGGGACGTGAAGCGGTCGAGCTCGGCGCGGAGACCCAGATCGGGCTTGTCGACAGACCGAGATTGGGTGCTAGGAGCAGCAGAGAAGCGTCCGCTTGGCTTGACGTGAGCATCAGAGGTGGTGTCCAGATCGCTGTTAGCATTGAGCAATACCCGCGCTCGTTCGTCAGAATAGTCGTTTAGGAAGGCATACATATCCACACAAGCAAGGTCCGCACCTTGGGACATTGCCTCTGTGTCAGTCGCAGCTTCGCGTAGATCCTTACGAGCATTGGGTGAGACGGCGAATTTGGGTAGATTGAGTCTCGCGAAGAGCTCGTCAAGAGACTCAAAGAGCTGATTGTCGACATAATCCAAATTTGCCAACGCATCATCGGCTTGAGCAGGATTCACCAGGGTTTCATCTTCTATCTGACTCTGATCAAGGATCGACTCTCTGGCACGGAGACGCTTGCTTTTCGAGCGCGCGCCCTCAGCAAAGGCGCTGTCGATCAGCCCGGCGGCATCGCTTGAGCGTTTGCGTGTAGGCAGAACGGTCACAGCTGACGCGTGAGGAGTAGTCTCCGCGTTTGCAGACTCTGCGAAAGCGGATGGGACCACGGTGGGCTGACCACCATCAGTACCAGGAAACTGAGCATCGACCAGTGAAGACATCTCAGGGGGTCCATCCGACACTTGACGAGGTGATGGCTGGTCAAGCTCGATATGTTCCACGTCGGGAGACTGACGATTTGAGTTGAAAAAAATGCCGAGACCGGGCAGAGCCGACATCGTACCTGCCTGCTCGGCGAGGTAGTGCCGGAGAAGGATGTCACCTAGATCATGCCATGATTTGGGAGCGCTGAGCACACAGCGAAGTGCTGAACTTGACGAGGTAGGTAATGTAGGATGCTTTTGTTGGTAATTGTGGATGACGGAGTAGTTGGCAAGTTTCTTCTTGAGCATGCCAGAGAGTTGTCGTCTCTTCATGGTTGACAGGGGAGCTTGTAATACAGACAGCTCATCTTGTAATTTGACAACAAGCTCCCGTAGCTGTTGACCAGCCAATGTTTCCGAGATGCCAGGGATTGATAAGACAGAGTCCAGACCCTGCGCATCGTCGTCCAGCACAGCTTCGAGACAGCAACGAGCAATACGGTGGCTGCCCAGCATTTCTCCGACTGCAGCAGATCGTCTCCACAGGTCCAGGTCCGAGTCATCCTTGTCTATGGCCTCAACAAAACATTCCAGAGCGGCGGCGGACGCCTTGATGATGCGGTTGGTATTGAGCTGAGCATCCTGTGTCGAGTGCAGCAGTTCGTACTGTAGAGACTCCAGCAGGAACTGGCCGTGGTTCTTGTATGCGAGATGGATGATTTGGGGCAGTGTGCTGGGAGCATTTTCTCCAGTTGGCACAATGTGCTCTCGGTGATGAGAGTAATAATCATCCGCGTCGGGCTGAGGAGCGTAAAGTTCGAGTCGATTTATTTCTTGTTGCGACTCAGGATATTTGAAGATGTCTGATTCGAACAGTGCACGGTATGCTTCGGCGGCTTGTGCATAGGAGGGAGGACCGTCCGAGTGAAACTTCAGGGCAGTCTGATATAGCTTGAGGGCTTCTTCAATCTGGATTTCCTTGGTGTCGTCGATCTCGATGTCTTCTTCATGGTCGGATTCGACATTGAGGGCTTTGAAGGTGGCCATGGTGAATGCTGGCAGGCCCGAATGGCCACGCGAGGGTTGTGAGTATCTTGCAGGCCGGCATACGAGTTTGCGTGTAGACGAGGAATGTGCGCAAAGCACAAGCAAGCGTGTGTTTGACGGTCTACCAAGGTGCTTGCTGCCGAAGGAGCGTCAGAGGGTCGCGCTTGCCCGCGGGGACGCCAAGCTGGAGATGATGGCGCGTCCATTGAGCAACAGCAGCAGCAACAGCGACCTGAAACTCACATCCAATTACGGGACGACTGTTTGAATTGGAAGGAGCGCTTCTGCCTACTGCCCTCTTCCTTCTTCCTCACCGGCGCATGGTTCACCCACCTCATACCCACTAGCGACAATGATCCAGACAGCTGTCCCCGAGTTCGCATCCACCTCCTGCCGCTCTCAGTCAGCCAACTGACAATAACAATCAGGATCTTCGAGGACGACTCGACCTCGGTGGTAGAGATTCGCACAGAGAACCTGCAGTCTCTACGGGAATTGGGCCCGCCCGATCTAGTCCACCTGGTCAAGCAACCCGTCAAGTCGACCGGCAAGCAGGTACATCGCAATGCGCCGAGGCCTCCTGAAGCTCGTCATGTCTGACCAAGTCTTGCCTACAGGTCGGAGTCTATCATCACGTCACAGGCGCCGATGCCTCCTCGTCCGCCAGTCTTGCCGCCTACATCAACACCCTCGTCTACTCTCCGCACGACAAGACCAACAAAGTCACCTCGGGGCTCTACTGCTGTTACAATGCCTTCTCTCGACTCGACATGCGCGTCCAAGTCCAGATTCCTGGCACCGTAGAGAGCTACTGCGTCAACGAGCGTGGCGACAAGCTCGAAGCTTCGGAAGAACACTGGCTGGAGACCTACCTGTGCAGTGTCCTGCGCGCTTACTCGTACGCCGACGATGGCTCGGGGGATACCATCAAGAAGATTGTTGGAGTCCGCCGCTTCAATCCCATCACAAACACCGAGGCCGAGCACAAGTTCCTCGATGCTGCCGAACGTCTCTTCTTTGCTGGTGAGCTTGCGCAGCACACTACCCACTCCACTCATCGCTGACTCAATGTGCAGGCTGGCAGCTGGGCTCCGATCCCGAGATCCAAGTACCCAATCTCGTGTCCAATCACCTAACCACCGGCCTCCTGAACTACGTTAGAACCACTGGCCGCTACGCCTCAGGCATCAACCTCTTCGAGAAGCTACGCACACGCGACCCGGAGATATCATCTCTGCTCGCCCGTGTTTACATTATGGGAGACGAGGAAGTCAAGGCTGTGCAGTTGCTGCGCGAAGCCATTCACACCATGCCCATGGACTACCCTTTGCTCGATTGCCAGGCCGAGTATTGTTTGTCCAAAGGCAGAAGCGACTTGGCTCTGGAAATTGCAAAGAGAAGTGTCATCTCGGCACCCAGCGAGTTCGCGACCTGGGCGAGGTTGGCCGAAGTCTACATCAGCATGGAGCAGTGGGACATGGCCCTGTTGACTCTCAACTCGTGCCCCATGTTCACCTACCAGGACAAGGACTCACCGCGTATGCCTGAACCTGCTCGCGTTTCTCTTCCACTCGCTCCAGAAGCCATGTGCGACGAGATTGACGACTCCAACACCGTAGGGGAAGAGCTCGTACACCCTAATCTGCGCAGATTGAGTGCTGCGAATTATAAGGGCACCTTCCAGAAAGCATACTCTCTCCTAACTGAAGTCACCAAGCGCATCGGCTGGGATCACCTTCTCAAGATCCGTAGTCAGGTTTTTGTCATGGAAGAAGAGTACCGCCACGAAAGACAGGCTGTCGTCCAGCAGGAGGCCCATTCGCGAAGCGCTAGTACCACTGCTCTGCGGAGTCCTGCTACCACTGATGATCGTCCATCAACTGCTGGTTCCGTCTTCACCAACGGCGATACGCCACCCGCTTCTGCTGCTTTGGGAGACGATGTTCCAAAACCACAACACACAATTACGGCAGTGCCCTCGATGGAGACCCCAGATCCTCAGCCCCCAGCAGCTGATCCGCAGCACCTTCAATACACCCAGTTCCAGCACAAGCGTCTTTGCGAGCGTTGGCTCGACAATCTCTTCATGGTTCTGTATGAAGATTTGCGCATCTATACCATCTGGAGAACAGAGGCTCAACAATACAAGTCGCAACAACTCGCTTACAAGAAGTCTGCCGACGAGTGGGAGATTCTTGGTGAGCTTGCAGACCGCTTGCATAGACCAGACGATGCAGCCGAAGCCTGGGAAGCATGCCTCAACATGCGTTTCTCGCCCAAGGGCATGCGCGGCATTCTCTCTGCCTATGAGAGATACGGCGACGTACGGGGAGAGCTGGGTGCTCTGATCAGACTGATCGCTTGGCAGTACAAGTGGTACTCAGAGGTGAGGGCAATTTTGAACACGTTTTATCTCTTGAAAGTTGCTAACAATCACTGTGCAGTTCTCACCGTCCTTAGTCCATGTCATCAGGAAATTGATCGAAGAAGAAGGTGCTGTCAAGGTCAGAAGTATCATCCAGGCAACCTCTCTTCCTCAGCATATTCTGGACCTGACACATCAATACGCCGGTTTGTGTGCTGCTTTCAGAAGTAGTGGGAGTGAAGCTTGAGGTTTATAATGAGGATACCCTTTGTTTATCATCGCGTTTTGAAGCATTTTCATTGTCTCGACTGGTCAGAAAAATCAATACTTCAGCTCGTGCCCCTGTCAGCACAGCGCTGCTCGACGCAATCCATGCGCACGTACCGACCGACCTACCAAATACAGTCAGAAATTCATCCCGGGATGGAAATCCCATGTGAGTTGATATGCACGTTGGCATGCCGGCAAACAATGGTAGCGAGCAACGTGCTACAGCCAAGCATCTATACAAGGACGGAATACTCGATATATTATTGACAGATGTCATCGAGATACCTTCCATATTATCCCTCGTGGTCACAGCCCTGGCGATTGAATCACTGCCGCACGGAAAGCAAGATGCCGTGGGTTTGCTTCTGTCTGACATAACATGGCTCCTGACTCCTACGCGGCCTCCCTGTCGAGGGTCAAAATTGAGCCTTTTCTTCGCGTTCTCACATGTTGTTGTCCACATGCAATCAAGAATCTGACCAATGACGACGCCGGCTTACTTCTGTGCTCGCTCATCATCGTCCTCCTCGCATCTAACCATTCCAGATCATATCAAGACGCATTTTGAGGCACCGACTCAGGCGCTCGATCAGCAGACGAGTCTGGTGATCTTTCGGGAGCATGCCAATTGAACACTCGGATATTCACTCGGATCATGTCACCGTACGAAAACCCCTACAGAACGTCCCGATATCCCTACCTTGCACTCTCACAAATGGGGCTTGAACGGCAAGTCGCATGTCAAGCCCAAAACCTCAGCTCCCATGAATAAACATTACCTCGTGTTTTACGACTGACTCACAGCGAGACACGGGGAAAACACTGCGAACGCCTGCTAGCCCACATTCCCAGTAATTATACGTCTGAAACATGAAAGCGTGAGCGTTGGAGGGTCCGGTCAACATCATAGCAAAGGTATGCGCGACGAATGCAACACTCCGCAGCATCCGCGAGACCACAATCCCATGCGAGATGACCAGGCCCCTTCTCTATACAAGCACATTATATCACGATTCCACCCCTTGCCGCTGTAAGCGAGACAGCTGAGAACACGATCGTCAGAAAAAACAGCCGGCAGATACGGTCATGCAGCAACGATAACACGCGCGTGCGGCGGCTCGGTCACCTCGGATCCCCCATGCCATGCCCTTCTTCTTCCTTCTCTGACAGCGGCCCTGGCTTTGCTCGCAAGTCTTTTTTACTTCTCCACACGACAGCGACACAAGCATATGCAGAGTCGCGAGCTTGCCTAATTGATTTTAATATATGTTAGCTAGGGAACGTGCATCCGGCTTCGCAGCCAATGAAAGCGACGTCTTAGCGCCATTTCGACAACAATAAAGCCTTCGCTAAGTCCGCTCTACAGCCTGCATACGATAGCGTGCCTCTGGGATGGGTATCCCCGCTGACACCTGTTTCTCACGTTGTTGAGCTGAGCAGTTTTTTCTTGGTGTTTTGGGAATGCCTCTCGTTCTATATTCCGATGAATCGATGGCATGGTCCCACTTTCGCTCCATACTCCACTAGGGCTGCACCTCCTTTGCCTTCAAGCCGAGAAAGCATATTAAACAAGACGGGATGAGGCGTGGCCCATATAGGTTTATATGGTAGCTTGCAAAGGGCGTGGAAAATCCTGGACCGAGCCAGCTTTGTCAACCACTATCTACCCGAGGGATAGTTGCCGCTAATCAATGCATTACTTTAGCAAGTGATTCCTCCTTTCTCCGGCGCTTCGTCTGAGTTTCACACTCCTTGTCTGCTTGAATCTCACCTCTGGTTTGGTCCATACGAAAGCCTTCCTTGGGAACCTGGATCACCCCGCCTGGAAACTAACAAAACCCAGACTGCACGCCGCAGGTTACAAGCTTGACACCGAGAACCACTTCTTCGGGATCTGTCTGGCTTCTGCATTCTCCAACTATGGCAATCACGACTGTGGACTTCAAGTCCTTATCCCTGTCGTCTGTTGGTTCTGTCGCCACCACACTTGTCTCTCACTATCTTGTGACGGTGTTCATCTGTTTCGTTATAGGATATATAGTATATCAACGATGTTTTGCGCCTCTGGCTGGGGTACCTGGACCTTTCTGGGCGAGTCTAGGGAAAGGGTGGTTGATTGTGAGGGCGAAGAGAGGCGATCTGCACCGGGAGTTGATTCGGTTGCACGAGTTGCATGGACCGTTGGTGAGAGTTGCGCCAAAAGAACTGTGAGTGCTCAACTGTCCTCCCATCTCTCTCATTGTGAAGCCTATCCAGAGAAAGGAACCAGTAGATAGTTCGGTCAGCTTGACTACCGTCTTCGTTCAGTCGTCGCACCCTGCTTCCAGCACCATACTGTCTACCTCTCTTTCCTGGTATCCCTTTCTCTATCCTCAAATCAGACAGCAACGCCCATTTCATATCAGGATCTAACATTGTCTGTCTCCAACCAGGAGCGTAGCAGACCTCGATGGTATAAAGATGATCTACGGCGCCGGTTCTCAATTCAACAAGTCGGACTGGTACTCGGTCCTCAAGGGTCACCGTACCTTTGACCCCTTCGCTGAACAAGACCCTCACGTCCATGCCGCACAAAAGAAGTTGGTCATTCGCCCTTATGCTATGGAGACACTCAAGGATCTTGAACCCTACGTTGATTCCACAATCTATCACTTCGTCACCCGCATGCGCGAAAAGATGTCTTCTCAGATCGATCTAGGCCACTGGTTCCAGATGTTCGCTTTTGATGTCATTGGTGAGATCACATTCTCGAAGCGCTTTGGCTTCATGGATACCGAACATGATGATGGCAGTCTGAAGTCTGTGGAGAGCACTTTAGCTTCTGCATCTTGGCTAGGGCACGTACCTTGGGTATTCTGGACTCACGACTATCTAAAGCCCTACATTGGCAACTGGTTAGGTGTCACCAACCGTACGGGCAGCCTGATGCAACGCGCCCTCAAGGAGGTCGAAGAGCGCAAAGTACGCGGTACAGACCGCAATGATATTCTCGAAAAGTTCTTCCGTCTGCAAAGAGAAAAACCTGATCAAGTCACCGATGTAGCCGTTATCAGTATGGCTGCTGCGAACATCACTGCTGGTTCTGATACCACGGCGATTTCACTACGGAGTATCATCTACCACTTGCTACAAAACCCACAACATTTGGCTACGCTAAGGCAAGAGATTGATCAAGCGCAAAGGGAACACAGACTCAGTGATCCAGTCACCATGGAAGAAGCAGAAAAGCTACCCTTCCTCCAAGCAACCATCCTCGAAGGTCTTCGCGTTCATCCAGCCATTGGCGGCCTCTTGCCTCGCCGCGTTCCCCCCGGCGGCTGCGTAATCGCTGGCCGTTACATCCCTGCCGGCCATGTCGTTGGCGCCTCAGCATGGGTAGTCAATCGCAACACTACAGTCTTTGGGCATGATGCTAGCGAGTTCAATCCTCATCGCTGGCTCAAAGGTAATAAAGCTGAGATGCAAAGGTATTTCCTCACGTTTGGTGGTGCGAGTCGCATGTGTTTTGGACGAAACATCGCATTCATGGAGATGACGAAAATGGTACCGACGTTTTTGAGGTGGTTCGATGTGAGGCTTGCGGATCCGAGTAGACCGTTGGTTGAGAAGAATTTGTGAGTTTTCGAGACCGCTGTTGCACTTGATGGCGCTGGCTGGTATTTTAACGAAAGACTCAGCGCTGACTTCTGATGATAGCTTTTTTGTCTTGCAGGAAGGCCTTATTGTCAATATCAAACCTAGAGATGGAAGCACCGAAGAACAACAGGCTAATGAGGGCGCTGAGAAGGAAGCTGATGGGTTTTAGACGGGGTGTGGTCTTGAATTTTTTTCTCCTTGTCCCCAATGGACTTCGTTTCCCGCTATACTCTATACCACGGCTGGGGCAATCTATCGAGGGCCAGTGCCTTACTTCGATGGCTTTCGTTGGTCTCTTGCGAAGCGCAAGTTTTTCCCGAGAGCCAGATAATGTTACATCATTCGACATCCTCGAGAAAGACTCATTCTGCGCAGAGCCAGTAACTTGCACATACCGTTCAGTACAACAGGACCCATCAAGCATGATGAGAAGATTCTATGTTCGTTCCGGTGATCAGAAAACACCATCTCGAAGAGTTCGTCATGGCCAAATCTTGACTACGGACTCACATGCTGCTTGTCTCACACAGCTCGCTATAGATACCCAAAGGCGAGCCTCGGACAGATATGACAGACTGGACTCTCTCAGATCCTTGACAGCTCAGGTACGTGGGACTTTGTACAGTACAGGGCCTTTGGGCCGAGGGCTGAGTCTGACCACGACTGACGGCGCAATTTCTCGGCGCTCGTGCTCAAGCCAGTCCGTGCTAATTTATACGCCATCGCGGATGAGAAATACTGTTTCCTTCCCGCCTGTTCTCTGCAGGATCACTTATTCAACGTCGACCTTACGTTCTTGATCCCACGCCTATTTGAATTTTACAAGACGCTCGACGCGCCCCGACAGCCGCGACTGGAGGTTTGAGGACAGCGTCGGGTTAAGAAGTACAAATTATCCTGTTATTCGAACAAAGGTGACAAGGGGATCGCCTGATCTGCAGTGCACAGTAGCGAGCATGCGCTTTGGGCGATTGTGGTTGTGTGGCTTGCAGGAAACCTGCAGCTCAGCCATCCTCCTCGCAGATTACCACTGGGCTCCTGCAGCATCTTGTCGGATACCTCTTTTCCCTTCCTTCCAAGGTTTCTGCTGTGTTTGGGAGTGACATAGGCATACTCAGTATCACGGAGAAGATAAAGAGATGAGTCATGAGGTAAGAGGTCAACAGCAAAGGCGCGAAGGAGAAGCGCTAGCTTGAAGAGTTGGTCTTCGCCAATCTATCGTTGGTCCTATATTGGTAGGATTCAGTGTTGAGTGCGCGATGGATCTAGAAGCACACTTGTCAGTTCGCTGTTTGTATAGTGCTGACAGTCGGTACGTATTCTTCGCAGGACTTCCGGAGTATTGGACCTTCTTCTCCCACCATTGTTCACTTCTGGGTCTGACAAGTGCCTTTACGTGCCTCACTTGTTGCTACTCGTGGCCTTGAGAGACCGTGTACTAGCCGCCTTGTCTTTGTTCTCCGTCATTTGCGGCTGAGTATTGCTCAAAGTTAACACCGAGGAACCAAGGCAGGCGCAAGAACCAACGAACCTACCTTATCTGGATGGCATACGCAACATTGCGACACTTAATCAGCAACCAACCTTGATCAATAAGATCCGCGGGCCAAAGGCTGTCGGACATCCGGTCGAACAGAAAAACACACATAAGAGCTGCAGCTAATCCTTTCCCGAAGAAATCAGTCGTGTTTCACAAACTCCCACTCACCTGCGCGTATGAGGACAAGAAGGATTGCAGCACGATCCTGACCGCCAATTCCAACATCTCCTGCATCCTGCAATCAAGAGGAAGAAACCCCAAAAGCAGTGAGAAAATTACTTGTATATCAACCATGGACTCTGAACAGTCGCAACCTCTTCACTCACCCCCTCAAGTCATCATATCGCCGTCTCCTGCTCTGTCGCAGAGCTCTACAGTTTTTGACTCTACACCGCGACCTCCACGTCAACGAGCAACGTTCGCGCGACTGGCTTCTGTGGATGATGGACAATATACAGTGATTAAAGACCATGAAGATGATATCACGGATGCATCACTCTATAACGATGACCACAACACTGCTCACTCAGAACCTCAAGGTCTAGGCATCAGCGTTGACAAGGATGTCGCAGCGCTTCAAGATGACTTGAAGAAAGGGTTTGGGTTGGATGAGCACGAGTTGCCTATATGGAGTCCTAAGAGGAAGGCTAGTGCGTTTAGTTCGCAGAGCAGTTTTCCACAGACGACTGCGTATGAGCCTGATATACAGCGTTTGCGCAATCGACGCAGTTTCGCAGAGTCGCTGAAGGCTGTTTATGATGGTAAGTGGTTCTGAACCCTGGTTGGTGAATTTTGAAGGCATTACGAGCGCATGGGGACTCACTGGATCAAGCAGACTTTGGACCTACGGATTCCTGTGCTGCTCACCAACATTTCCATCACAATCGCGGCAACTGGCTTTCGGTAACGATACTGGTACTGGCCTTCTACTCAACAATCATGTCTGGTATCTTTCTCATCCTGGCCTTGCGCGGACCACGATACAACTGGATCCGCAAAGGGGGAAGCATGACACCCTACATTGCAGATCTATTGACTGCTTTCTTTGCCAAGACTATCGAATTGTCATTTGCAACAGTCTTCGTTTCGTTTCTGGGCCAAGTCCTTTCACGCAGAGCATTCATGAAGAATCAAGGTCGAGGCATCACTCTTGCGGAAATGGATATGCGCAGTTGGGTCATGCAGCCCGGAACGATGATTACCCATTTCGAAGCCCTCAAGTCCAGCATCTTCTCTTTTCTGGGTGTGCTTTCGCTGGTTGCTGCTGTAGTAGCTATGCTATACACCACTGCTTCCGAGTCTCTGGTTCAACCATATCTGCGCTATGGGCCGTGGGAACACGGATCCATGCAAGGCCTAGTCAAAACCATCTGGGCCAACCCCGCCTACCTAGGCGCCAACTGTGGCACCCCCATCACAGCAACCGAAGATTCAATTGCAGGTAACACCTGTCTTCAAATCCAATATGCTGCTCACAGTTACTACAATTATCAACGCTACATCAGTGATTGGTCTACGATTTCCAGAAATGGAAATGGAAGTAGTGATCCAGCGTTGAGACCGAAAGGCTTTGCGATGATCTTTGAGAATACGACAGTCAAGGCTCCGTGGGTGGATTTGGAGTGGAGTAATGTCACGAGCAATTCGAAGAAGTTTGGCAGGATTGTCAATAACGTGACGTTGGCTTTGCCGCATGCAGGTGTGCCAGGTGCGGCGTGGGATGCCGTCAACAATATCTTGCAACCAGAGGTGAGTAGACCATGACTCAAAGAAACGTCGAGCAGCAAATTAACAGAACCACAGGATCTGGATGGTCAAGGCGTCTACCAACTCCAAGCGTCCGTCCCATCACCAGCAGTCAACGTGCTATGCGCCCACATGACAGCAGCAGAACTCGCGCCAATCGTCTACACAGAATGGAACAACAACACCCTCAACAACACTCTCTGGCCCACCGGAGCACAAATGGCCTTCTACCAGCCTGGGACCGAACCCAACGGCACTTATCTCAATGCAACCTCCGTCGACGATATCTTCGAATGGGGCCCCAAGTACCTCACTTCACCTCCCGTGTTTCCAAAACTGCCACAGAGTTACAATACACTGATGAACCATACGGGCGTCTATGGCCGAAAAGCAATCTATCTGCTAGGTAGAGACGCAACAGACAACTTTGCTCTGTGCTCGCTAAAAGTATTCCAAACGCCCTTTTGCAGTACAGAGTACAATGCTTCAGTCGTGGGAGCATCTCTAGAAGCAAAATGTGTCGACGACCCCAAAGACAACCTGACAAACCCCATGCGCTTCTTCAACACGGCTCCAAAGCCCTTGCAAGGCAACGACACCATCAACAAAGATTGGCCCTACATCGGCACCGAATGGTCAAACTCGCTCTCCCTCAACGCCGGCATCGACGACGGACAAGCAGCCAACGCACGTCTCCTCACCGAACTGATCCTCTCTGCACCTCAACTCCCCAGCGATCGCCCGTCCATCGCCGAAGCCCTCGCCGTGCTTGCTTCCTCTACTCTACTCATGTCCTGGCAAGACGCCCCCTTTGTCCAATTCTACAACTACAGCTCCACTTTGCTATCACCAGGCCAATACCAATCCTTCCCCGCCACCCTCCGCGCCCAAGAATACGCATCGGGGGGTTCAGGCTCTTCCGGCACACATACATTTTACCTAGTCCTGTTTTCCATTTTCTTCATCAATGTGTTGTGTTTAGTCTACTTTATCAGTCAAAATGGTTTGATTACTGATTTTTCGGAACCGTTGAATTTGTTTAGTCTGGCGGTTAATAGTCCGCCGTCTGACATGATGGCTGGGAGCTGCGGAGCGGGACCGAAGGGAGAACAGTTCAGAGGGAGGTGGTTTGTCGGGCAGGCTGGGGAGCATTTGTTCATGGAAAGTGGTGTTGATGGTGGAGGGGTGAGTGAGGAAGGCAGGGAGGAGCAGATGCAGAGGGGAAAGGTATATGGATCGGGAGTGCAGGGATCGAGTCCGTTGAGTCCCATGAGGGCGGTGTTTGAGAAGATGAGTAGGCGGAAGAGTTGGTTCTGAGGAAAGGAGGAGGCTGGAGAGTGTACTCTAGTTCAGGGTTGTGTATAACAGAAGTTCCATTTTTGTTCTTCCAGTCTGGTCTAGGAAAATGTGATCAAGGAAACCTAGGATAGAAGCTGTCGTGGTCGTCGCAGGCTAGAAGACCATGGGGTCACAGAAGATCTCATGATAGTCAGTATCTGTCGTTCGAAAAGGTCCGGGGATATCCTTATTATGATAGTCATCCACCACACCTGTGATGCAGGCTCAATGAGTCTTGTTGTTGAGGTCATTTGGCCAGCCAGCCACTCAAAGCGATATGCAAGAGGTGAGCTGGGAAAGATCAAGTGGATTTGGGCGAAAAGGAAAAAAGAAATTGAGTTTCCATCAAGCAAGAATGGCTCGACACTCGATGATGATTCGCATCCAGCTTGCTTGTTTGGATCATGCGTAGAAAAGGTTTACTTGACATGGCAAGTGGTTCTTAGCTTGTGAGTGTTGGCTACCTTGTTTGATAACTCAGAAAGATGCACGATTTGAGAAAAGGGTTGGTGATCAGTGCGAGTAAAGAGGGAACAATTGGGACTCTGTTGAGCAAGAATCATGAAAATCGGCGAGAACATCATCGTACTGGTTCAACATGATATTAGCAGAGTTAGCTACTACATCTCAGAATTTCATAAACTCTCATACATGACCCACCAACCTCCGATCCATCCTGCCCATTCCCACCCGTACCCACCTATAAGCACTCATCCCTTCATCACAACTCACGCATTACAAACCCCCATCCTTCTCCTCAGCATTCTCGATATCGCCCACCTCAGCCTTGTCCTTGCCGCCAGGAACGTTTCTCTCCTTGGCCTTCTTAGCCGCAGCAGCAGGACCAGATTTGTCGGCAGTGTCATCTGCATCTTCATCCGCATCCTCGTCGTCAGGGTCGGCGGCTTCTTCCTGGTCGTCGAGCTCGGCAGGGTCGACTTCGTCGTCGTCTTCGCCGGCGGGTTCTTCGTCGTCGTCGTCTAGGTCGTCTTCTTCGTCATCGGCGGCGGGAGCGGCGTCTTTGGTTGTCTTGCGCTTTTTCGAGGCCGAGGGGGCTGTGAGATGGTGTTAGAAGGTGCTACCGAGGGTGGAGAGGGAGAAGTGAGGATAGACGTACCGGGCTTAGCAGCGACTTCGTCGTCATCGTCGTCTGAGGCGGCATCGCCCTCGGCTTCGGAAGAGTCGTACCTGTGGCAGCAGACATTAGCACTTGTCCTTGCAAGAGGTCATCGACTATCAATGGCCGTCCATGCATCGCAGACGGCGACGGACGCGACAGAGCAGCAACGCGCAGCAGACAGCATGACGTCAAAAGCAGCACTTACTCCTCTTCCTCCTCACTATCCTCAGGAAGCGATTGAAGCTCCTCCTCTTCGCTCTCCTCAGCTCTGCGTTTGCGTGTTCCAACCATTGTTGCGTTTGATGTGGTGATGACAGAAGTGGGAAAAAGGGGGAAAGGAAAGGAGACAGAGGGAAGCAGGGAAACAGGGTAAGAGGAAGGAAGCAAGGCAACGGGCTGGGAACGAGAGGGTTCGGCAACAGCTGGAGAATCCGGGGGAAGCTATGAAGACGTTTTGTTGCTGGCCGCTGCTCGATTTGGAAGCAGCACCGCGGCCCGGGTTGCACGAGAGAGGAGGAGAAGGAGCTTGGGCCACTTGATCTGTCGTTCTGGTCGCCATCACGGGTTGGGGCTTTGTTTTGTTATTGGTTGGATTCGATCATTTTGTGCTTGTGTCGTGCTATTTGCTATTGTTTGTTTGTTGTGTCCTGTTGCTGTTATCAACTTGTTGGTTGTATACAAGGCTACAATAAAGGCGCAGGTAGCAATGACCCGTGACGGAATGGATCCACCTCAAGACGTGAGTATTTGCTTACCAAACATAGTTCATGCGATCAAAGACCATCCCAAGAGAGGTCTTGGAATCATGAAGTTACCTAGCGTGCGATACACCACTTTCAAAACCTCCTCAAAATTGGAGAGACATGGTCGTTTCTCAAACTAGAAACCATGTCGAGAGGGCGACCCTGTCTGACCTTTGACGTCGTTGGAAGTGTTCTTCCGTAGACCTCATTGATATGGTTCAAGACGAGCACACTAGGACTCACAGGTGGTTTGGTGTCAGATTGAGTTACTGACAACCGATTGGCAGGACGTGTTGGGAACAAGAGCGGACACCGGAAGCTTGGAATCCAAGTCCGGTGACTACAGTCATCTTCGTACGTATGGAAAGCTTGCGGCTCCAATCATTGTTCGTTAAGAGCTGTCCAGCTGGTGAGATCGAGTATCTCGATTCCGGTCCGGGTCCCTCCTCATCCAGTTGCTTCTCACGGGCACGCAACTCCTTCATCGTTCTTACATCCTCGTAACCTTGCGGCATCACGTCGTTCCAATCTCCCTCGGAATGACAATTGTTGCAGATCGTCTCAGTTGAAGATCGCCACCATAGTCGCAAGCTCCTGAACCTTGAGTTTTCACAACGTGTGCACTTGTCATAGATTCTCTCGTCGAACATGACTGGCCGGTGGACTTTCCAAGGCAGATCGCGAATCCAAGACTCTGAACACCATTTCCACAGTATAGTAGCTCGTACAAAACGCTCCGCTTTGGCAAAGTCCTCACCCCCACGAGAACCATGGAGCAGTTCTTTACGGGTTGAGAAGTCCCTGACGCTCTTGCAGTCTTCATAGCCCTCCGGCATTGTGCGGTCCGGGTCATCTGCTGAGAAACGGCAACCATGGCAAAGAAAGATCTGAGATCCGGTATGACTTTGGGTAGGAGCCACATGATTTTTGTGCCACCACAGCCTCGAGCCCCCGCACCTTGTCTTGTTGCATCCACTGCAACAACGTTCGATCGGTTCGGAGCTGACAACAGGTGAGTATGTCTTCCAAGGGAGGCCCGTGCGTGTCCATGGATACTGCATCAACAAGGCTCTGATGAGTCGTTTTCGAACATACGCCGGGTGATGCCTCATCCGAGCATGGTGCATGGTCTTGGATGATTTGCTGCGCTCGCGATATACGGGATCCTCTTCACCTCGTTGCCTGCGTGCTGCGTTCTCAGCATCGCGACGAGCGCGATAGACATCTTCGTTTGATCGCAGCTGAGCTGAACGGCGTCTACTGGCTTCGAGCCTACGCTCGTGGCCAATATGGTCTTCTCGCAGTCGAGCCTCATAGCGTCTGCTGGTTTCGAGGTGACTTTTCCAGCGAACAGGATCGTAATGTTCCGAGACGGTAGCGGCGGAGGTGGAGGACAGCTTTCGCGAAGTTGGTGAATTGAGACTGGTCGGAAGACTCGAGGTCGGACGTGTCAGCGTGGCTTGCGCAGAATTCGACCCAATCTGGCGATGATTGGAAGACGGTGTATGAGAGGAAGTATTGGCATGTCCTAATGCCAATCCGTCGAGCTGTTGCTTGCGTGCCCTTGAGTCTTTCAAGAAGACATAGATCTGACGTCTTCATATCCTTTGGGCATTATCTCGCCGGCCTTATCGATCCAAATAGCACTAAAGGCAGAGAAACATCGCGAACCCGGCAAAGCTGTACGAGATTTGAGATGTGATGAATCGCTGCGAAGAGAGCTTGAAGACACTCTCCAGGAACCGAAAAGGCCGTCAATGTTTCTGGACCCTTCATTGTGAAATAGGGAATGTGCTCGAGAACGTGTGGAGGTTCGCGATTTTGACATGGAAAGGGAAACAGAACCGAGATTCCTCAATATTGACGCCATGGCAGTATCGTTGATCCCGAACCGGGGAAGGAGACGCGTGAGGATCAAGAGTTACAAGATTCCGTCTGGCGACGACGTGTAGACTGCTCGCGGCGGCAGAACGACGACCGTGCGCTTGCATAAACTGCACACAAAGCTATGTATTCGAGAGGCAGTCGTTGACAAAGATGTGGAGCGTGTCTTGCCAGGTCTTTCATGTGCTATGGAGCGGGACGCGTTAAAGGACGTGAGTAACACACGAGCAGCATCATGGAGCAGAGGTTGGTAGGAGGGCACAAATGTGGTCGCCCACCCCAAGAGTCGAACACAAGCGCAGAAGTTTGTTGGATGCCAAGGCGGTCAGTGCGCTATGGGAACTGCGCGCTTTCCCACCACGCCAACGAACCGTGAAAGTGAACGACAGCTCATCGGCAAAATTCTGACACAGCGCACCGCGACACGCAACCTGCACCAACTTCGGCCATCCGCTGCCATCACGCCCTCTGCTAAACCGAAGCCTGCATTGCACGTGTATACCAGAGAAACTTTTATCTCATCTGGTCTCTGTTGATCCGCTGCGCTGCGCACAAAACTTGGGCTCGCTCGTGTCGCGCTCAAATCGCCAAGATCTGCGTTCTGCATCTTTTCTCTCGGTCGCATTTCCTCCATGCGTGGTGCTGCCTTCACTACTCGAGAGGCCATGATATTCTGAGACTCACCCAAAAAACACCATTACTTGTCGACTTGAACAAATTGTCCAACTTTGATAGAAATCTGGAGCTTTGCCACCACCATCGTCCGGATACAGTCATAATCAATATTCAATTTCTGTCATCAACATGCCTGGTATCGCTCCCCCTCGTCGGCCCCAACGTCTGTCTGGCCTTGGAGGCAAGACCCCCGGCTCTTTCAAACCAATCCCCCGGCCAGCAAAGAGATCAGAATGTGGTTGCGACGCCCCCAGCTTCGAGGTCATCGATGGTGCCAAGATTTGTTTGAACTGTGGTACCCAAGTCAGCGAGCAGAACATTGTTGCTGAGGTCACTTTCGGAGAGTCGTCTACTGGTGCTGCCACAGTTGAAGGTGGTATCGTCAATGAGAACTCACGACACGCAAAGACATTGGGTGCCGCTGCTGCCCGCAGGTTGGGTGCTTCTATGCAAAGCAGAGAGGACAGTGAGAACAACGGTCGCGAATCCCTGCGTTTGTTCACTGCACGCCTGCCCATTCCTCCAGACGTCTCGGACAAGGCCATGGGTATCTGGAAACTGGCCTCTAACAGCAACTTCACCCAAGGTCGTCGCGCTGACGAGGTCGCTGGCGCTTGTCTGTACATTGCATGCCGAAACAAGGCTGAGAACACTGTTTTGCTCATGGACATCGCCGAAGTCATTTCAGTCAATGTCTTCAGCTTGGGAGATACGTATAAGGGTCTGCTGGCTAACCTCTTCGTGGACTTCAAAGAGACCACCAAGATGATCGAGATTGAGCCATTGATTCTCAAGTACGCCAGCAAGCTTGAATTCGGCGAAAAGACGCGCCAGGTCGCCGAGGATGCTGTCAAGATCATTCGTCGTATGAAGAGAGATTGGATCGTCACAGGAAGACACCCGGCCGGTCTCTGTGGTGCTTGCCTTATCCTGGCTGCTCGCATGAACAACTTCCGCCGCACCGTTAGAGAAGTCGTTTTCGTCGTCAAAGTTGCTGATCTCACAATCTCGAAACGTCTTGAAGAGTTTAAGCGTACACGCGCTGCACATCTCAAGATTGATGAGTTTCGCGAAAAGGGTGTCAGGATCAGAGAACAAGCCGATCCGCCCGCTTTGTTGGAAGCTGAACTCCGCAAACAAAAGCTCTTGAGAAAGCAACTGAAGCGCAAGGCGTATGAACTGAGCAAAGAATCATCACGTCAATCTTCTGCAACTCCCGAGCCAGGCTCGTTCTCTCATGCAGAAGCAGTTCAATCTGCCAAACGACAAAAGGTGTCAAGCGCCCGCAGCAATGCTATCGTCCAAGCAGCAACGCAGCAACAACCCCGCCGCGACGCAGACGGTTTTGCCATTCCCGATATTCCAATTGATCCCTCACTTGGCCGAAGCTCCAGTATCGACTCTGATTCCACAGCAAACCCCCAAGCGTCCGCTACCCCTGATCCTACCGAGATCATCAAAGTCAAGAGTAGTCGCAAGAAGAAGGAAGTCATTGCACCACCACCACTTACCGATGCCGACTTCATGGCCGAGGAAGAACTCGAAGGCGAAATCCAAAACATCCTTCTCGAGCGCGAATGTATCTCGTCAAAGGAACAAGCCGAAAAGGAGAAGATCGAAGAACGCGCAAAGACACTCGCAGAACAACAACGTGCCGCCATTGTTCAACAGAACGCTCTGAGGCTAACTGCAATGGGCCGCACACACACACTCGTCTCCGACTCCGAGATCATCGGCGAAGACGAGTTTGCCGACGACCCGGAAGTCGCTAACGCACTTCTCAGCGAAGAGCAAGTCAAAGTGAAGGAAATGATTTGGGTCGCACACAACGAAGACTGGCTTCGCGCCCAACAAGCCAAGCAGTTGAAAAAGGCACTCGAAGAAGCAGAAGGCAAGGACAAAAAAGTCAACAAACGCAAGAAGAGAGGTCGCATGGGCGATGGCACTGTCCTCACCGATGCAGGAACACCTGTTGAGTCGCCAGCAGATGCTTCGTTGCGTATGCTGGAGAAGAGAGCACCCAAGGGGTTCTCACAAAGAGTCAATTATGCTGCTCTGGGCAAGATCTACGGTGATCGCAGACACGGCGAGTCAAGAGCCGGATCCGAGGCTTCCACCCCAGCACCAGAGGGTGTGCGTGCTGCTACTCCATCCACTCCCTCGCAATCACCCGAACTCGCACATGACGCTCTGCCCACACCAGCAGCCACGCAATTGTCACCACAAATGGGCTCCGCACAGCCTGCTACCAAGGGAGACGCACCAGCAGAAGACGAGCAAGCAGAAGAAGAGGAAGAGGAGGAAGAAGACGAGGGCGACTACTGGCCAGACGAAGAAGTTCAACCTACCTCTCCACACTACGAGGATGAAGAAGAGTTTGAAGCTGCTACCGAAGATGTTACTGGAAACTTTGGCATCGCTGATGACGAGTATGGCGGTGATGATGGTGATGGGTGGTAATGGTGGTAGTCGATGAAGAGTGAAGACGTTGACACAAAGCGGGACCGGTGGAAAACCATGGGAGTATTATGGTTATGTGGCTGGCAGGTGCTCACAGCGCAAGTATATTACTGAGGACAGATAGAGTTAAACACTCGCTCTTCATCATGGAAGAACGAAGGCAAAAAACCTCCTACACCATGCACAGTGTGGTCATAAGCCAGTCCCACTTACAATTCGAATCAGTATTACTTGCTAAGCTCAAGGCAACTCAAGCCAATTCTAGAGGTGGTTAAGGCAATTCAATACAATAACCCCAGTTCTATGACTTACGTGACCCTGGCAAGGTCACCCTAGCGGCCACGACACTTGTTGCAGGTAAGCGCCGTGATAGAGAGTTTGATAGAGCGATGGTAGAAGGTGTAAAGCGCAATAAGAGTAAGGATTCGGAGGATCTTAAAGTGCTTTATGTGTTCTGGCTCTGCTTAAGACCATCCGCAATAGAGGAATTCGCGGAGAATGTGCCCAGGTCGAAGTTCTTCGAGTAAAGAGGCCAGAACAGGGACCCTAGAAGATTGGAGCCCTGATCGAAATGTGTCTAACGACGTCGGCTCTTCTTGTGGCGAGCGTAAATCATTCGGAGGCAATTCCGGTTGAACATGAAAGGAAGGTAAAGCGTCGTCATCCAACTCAAAATGAGAGATTCGGGATGTCCTGGAGGCCTCTCTCAGCGAGTTTGACAACCATAGTCTTCTCACTCTTGAGGTCGTTAACGATTGAATCGGCGAACATGAGTTACAGTCATGGGTCAGACTGCCGGTAGTCGCATAATCAGCTACCCTTTCGTACGGCATCAACATCTGGTAGTAGAGCTGATCCTTCATGTTTTTCCAACCAACATCTGGCTCGCTGGTAGGGTCATGCTCATGATCCGAAAATCTGACATAGCACGGCTGTAGGGTCCTCTCGAAAACTCGAGCAACAGGATCAACTGTAGCACAGAATGTCACTACTCGTATGCATATACGGATTCGTTCCAGAGTCTTCTCGTGCATATATGGCAAAGATGCTCCATCTGCCTTTCGGCAGGCGAGGTCATACATCAAGGTTGTCGCACTCGCGTGAGCTTGGAAACTTAAGTATGTTGTTAGTGCGGACCAATCAAAGCGACAGTGGAAGACTAACAGGACGATCCAGCAGCGCTCAAATATGGCGCCTTGGTCCAGAAGCAAACCCAGAATAGAAGCTGTCTGATGTGCCGCGACCACAGAGTCGTGGGCTAGTCCTTCGAGTTGAAGAGCTCGCTTTAACACAGGCACCTGATCCGGATCAAAGCGACCGAGCGCAAGGACAATGCGACGATGGAACATCATCAGGGTCCCGAGGTATAAGCAATGACAGAGGTATATCGAGTAGCGGCTCTTGCTATCTAGATCTGTAGCCGCTTGATCTACCATAGTGGACAACTGCATAAAAGGCGGCATTTCTCGATACCATTTCAGAAGCTGGAGCCTTATCTCATGCGTGTCGTAAAGAATGTTGCTCGATGAAGCGAGGCTTAGATCGAGAATATTGCGTTGAACAACAGCAATCTTGACCATTTGAATTTGTACACTGTCCTCCATGTCGCTTCCGATGGAGTGATCGTGTATGGTAGCATTAGATTTGTCCAGCGCATCCCATACATTGCCTGATATGTATCCGATGGTTGATGATATCCAGGCACCAAGGAACATCATACAACGCCAGGCTCTCCTGGAACTTAGCCACAGTTCTGATGATATTTCCTGAGGACGGCGATCGCTTTGGATATCGTGCTTTCTGCAGAAGCTGATGCCCAGCTCAATGTAGCCTAGAGCTGCAGTCATCCGGCTCAAGGCGTGGAACAAAGCCATCAAGGTGCAGAAAGTGGCTGATGCCAAGGATCCAGCATCCAGGCAATACTCGAAGAGTACACTGGCGATTCGATAGAAATCATCTTTAGGAAGTTCGCTATGCTCTTTGTTTGTTGTGTACAAGCAACCGACAGCAGCCAAACAACTCAGCCTGCACAGGGCGTGAGCAGAAGACTGACGGCCACCGCTTACACGAAAGACTTGGTCAAATGAAGACTCGATCTGATCCTGAGAGAAGATGCCAAACAATTTACCAGCGCCATGGTGGAAGCACGATATCGCGGTGCGAAATTTGTTCTCGCAAGGAATCTCATGACGGTTTGTGAGCCCCTCAAAAGACCCGACAAAATTGCGCGGCTCTTGCCATGTGGACATGGAGATCGAGGATCTTGGCTCTGATATACTCTCAGATCTATGAGTCGTTAGAGAAGGTTTTACAAGATGGTTACCATGCTCCCGGCTATGGTCGAACGTCTCCAAGGCGGCGGTTGGACGACCCGAAATATCGGGATCAGATGGGGGCAGGGCTCTTGCAAATTCTAACATCGTATCCATGTCTGTATCGGTTTGTCTCAGGAGTTCTAGGAGCTTATGTGCTTCGAATTGGGAAGCAGATTTGAAGTGACTCAAAAGTTGCGTGACATCCGCATACTGCCTTTGTAGTGCATCGTGCTTGCGCTTGAGCGCTATAATTGGCGGCGCATCGGGTTCTGCAGTATAAGTGCAACTCTGCTGAGAAATGCTACATGCCGAGCATGTTGGTCGTTTACCATCGCACTATAGATATGTCACAGATTAATTCTAATCTTTTGATGGATATACGAATTTGCGATTGAAACGTGCCTTCTTCTTCCGCTGGCGGCAGCAGACACACGCGACAGGTATTTGAACGCGCTTTTGTTTGCCTTTAGCATTAGCTTTGCCATCACTCATGTTAGTGGAATTCGGGTCAGACGCAACTAAAGCCGTCGTTCAACGGTAGATATACCGAGATGAAGACAGCCTAAGCCTTTGTCTAGAAATTGGTGAAACAGACGATTGAAAGGAAAATGTTGAGCTGCTGGGGACTCGCGAATTCCTCAACCGTCTTAAACGGCCTGAGTTGACATTTGCAGGCCGATACCTAGTGACGTCAAAGGACCAAAAGATCACGCTAGGGGAGGCGGTCAAATGACGTGCCAAGATACACGGGCCTGACTCCGATGGTAAAGTGGAGATGCTTCACCGGTGTGATAGCTAGCGAATTGACGGCAGTCGCTGCAGCTGTCGTTGCAGGAACGTATGCTCACTCCACCTGGCCCAGTATATACTTCATGCTGCCTTTGGTTGTCAAGGTTTTGTCACTCGGAACCAGTGTTCGCAGAGAAGGCCTCGGATCTGGGATTAGTGGCGAGAGCGAGGCGGAAACCATATTCGAACTGGATGACTTCAAACACGGTCTTGTACTCATACAAGGTCCGGATCATGTTGTACGACAATTCTGTTGTCACTATGGACATCCGATCCGCGGTATAGACATCACAGCGAACAGGGCTCGCGAGCTTTTGTCGTTGGCACTAGTATACCTCTTTGTTGCGTACTTCCCGGCTGGTCTGATTGCTCTGTTGTGGTTACACGACGATGCACAGACATTATGGCTATTGTATCAGCTCTATGTCGTTTTCGCAATGCACGTCGGTCGTCTAATGGGTCTCAATGGAGGACCGAAGAACGAATTGCAAGACTTCTCAAGAAAGGAAAAGAAGTGGTTTTGCAAAATTCTTTTGAGCCATCTGTTGTCTTCAAAGTCGAGACAGTGTGGTTTGAGAATGCAAGCGAAGGGAAGAAAGGTGTTACAGCTACAATTGCCGCACATAAGCGCCTTGAAGGCGAGACGATCAGGAACGATACGAGCTGCGATACTTCAATTCTAGTCAACGTATAACCACTACCTAGGCCATCGCTCTTGTGACCTTCGGCACGTACTGACAACTGCTCGAGTACCCACGCTCCTCGTTGGTGTAAACGACATGAAAGGACCACTACAACTCCCGCCAGAGCTACTTTCTCGGATCGTCGATCTCGTCGCTATTGGCGAAACATTGGAAACCAACCGCGATGATGAACCATTCAATCAAGACTGCAATAACAAGTACAACATCGACAATGAGCCACCAGCGTCGGGTCTCAGCTACCAGCACAGTATGCTTGCCATAACTCCGCGCCCAGATGTTACCACCCTACGCAACCTGCGACTCGCTTCGAGAGGCTTCGCTCAGATGTGCACAACACGTCTCTTCGGTTGTATCCGGCTTTTACCAACCGAGGAGTCTTCTTTCAGCTACAATCAGATTTTGTCGGAGCCCGTCTTGTCAAACCAGGTCCGAAAAGTCGTCTTCCAAACCAGAATGGTACCTGGGGGTAGTACTTCGTTTTGGAGTCGCCAGGAACCCGGTCCGGGAGATGATTATAGCAGACCTCATCCCTTTTTTCTGGATGCCTTGCAACAAGTAGGACGATTTTCTAATCTGACCCATGTGGAGATGGTATTCGGAAGTCAATGCATTGCTCCTGATAGCTCCAACGAAACCACAGAAAGGGTCAGGTTCCGGGAAGGAGTATTGAGCGCCCTCTACGCCGGGCTCAATCATTGCGAACATCCCGCTATGGAGGTCTTCAACTTAAGCATCAAGAACTTACAAGATCGCACTCCTCACGCTCTGATCAATAACAACGAGGATGAAGACGAAGCCGTACGTGATATCAAATTCAGAAAGAATTTCGCACAGGTCATGTCGCGGATCACTCACCTCAGCCTCCAAGTCGCTACCGAAGACGAGGAATCTGCGCCGGAGACGACACTGGATCTTCCTGAAAGTCACAACTTCTTTGGGTACGAACTGAGGAAATACTGGGTCGCACCCATCGCTGAGAATCTTGTCTACTTCAAGCTGTACGCATGCGATATGTTGTTCGGCACGTTTCCTGCCTGTAACTTACCAAAACTACCCGAGTTACGCACATTGATCCTCGGAAACCTGAGTATGTGTAACGAGGACCACATCGATTGGATCCTCAGCCACGCAGCGACTCTGGAAGAATTGATTCTCGATGATGCTGTAGTAGCGGTTGGGACAGTTCTTTACGCCGAGGTAGCCGATGAAGCCAGTCGTCGTATCATTTACTCTTCTTTGACGATTGAGGATGGACGCCCTCTTTACCAACCAAAACTGGATCACGCTTTGCCGAAGCGACGCTCGCTGTGGCTGACGCGTTGGCATCACATTTTTGGTCGTCTGCAACGCAGTCTGCCAAAACTGAAGCACTTCGCTATGGGTCACGGTAACTGGGATGAGCACAAGGCGTTCGACGAGGCCGAGATACTGCAGAATGTGTTGACAGACGCGAGGTATCAGTATCTGGACCGTGGAACCGGTCCAGATAACTGATTAGTTGCCGAAGGTGATGACAAAGCCTCCAATGACTGGGAAGAGGATGAGGAGGACATCATGTTCTAACCCGATTGCGATGAGGAGGACTAACAGGCGCTAAGAAAGTTCATCGATGAGCTGTAGAGAAGAAGGTAGCAATTCACGAGATGCTCGATTCAATAGTATTCCCGTCCCTGTTCGCTAGATGCTAGTATGACTCCACTACCATTGAGAAACCCATGTTTATCGGTCGTTGCTACGACACGTCTTCTGAGATGCTTGACCGCACATTTCAATGCTCCAAATCCACGTTTGGGTACGTACGTCCGTACAACGCGGGGCTGGCTGCAGAAGGATGGCTTCGCAGATCTCATCCTTCATGACACCAATCTCATTCCGCCCTACTTCGAAAGCACTTATCCCTTGACACATCCGCCATCCTCGTTGTTGTTTACGTGACATATGGAAAAGCAAAGTCGTCCAGAAGCAGGCGACCCCTGTGACAATACAAGTAAGTCCTGGATCCTCTTTACTATCATCGCCACCTGGACTCATTCACCATAGGCAAATTCCACTTCCAACAACCGCCACCGGATCACGATACAAGCACTTCGAAACCGAGTCTGGCAAAGCGTATAGCAGTGGTCTTTGTCACACAGACCTTGTTCGTAGGCATAACCTTGCTTGGTCTGGATTGGTATCATGGCAGCTACGATCTGACTCTCAACGTCAGCCATGTACTTTGGTGGCATCTTTTCATATGCTTTGGTGTTGCGAATATAGGTGCGCAGGTTGTGTTGAGTAAGACTGGGTTTGGGCATATATCATAGTATTTCGTTTCGAAGTAAAGTCTACGCTGGGCATCATCGCAGAGCACGCTAATCTAGACCAGCGAGTCGATCCTCTGGCCCATTTCTTGCATAGCCTCATCTTCATCCTTCTTTAAGCCGTCATCTTCAATGGAAGCAATCAGCTCCACACCCCGCGGATGAAGCCCTCTGGCTTCCTCCTTCTTACCAAACACAACATCAACTTGCGCATGCAGCCTAAAGCTTGCGGACTATTTTCACCCAACTCCTTGCGTAAAGTGGGTGGAAAGGAGTGCCAGAATAGGGACTGAGTATTGGAAGTCATGTTGAGCGAGAGACGCAAAGTTGTTTGACAGAGGTGAGGGTGGTGAAATCATCAGAGTTGTTCATTGTGCTTGTTTATGCGGGAGGGATTTATGTTGCTGCTCGGTGGAGTCAAATACATCGGGTGAGGAGGTATGAATGTACTTAGCCTGCTATCAGATGGATCTGATGCCGTCGTTGACGATTCTCGAAAGGATGCCTAGATAAAAGCCAGGGTGACAGAGAGGTGTGTGGTCGGGGGCCGGCGTCAAGTGGAGCTCGGTGTGGACCCTGGCAACGCCGTGTTTGGGTGTTTGGTCCCGACAGAAATCCATTCACGTCATCCTTTGATTCTTTCGACAAAGACGACCAGCAACACAATCCATTCACACACGACACAAGATGGAAGCGCCACCCAAACCGACGACGTCGTCGCTTTTCGAGGTTTATTTACGTCTCCGACCATCGTTCGCACCCAATGCAGAGAGATTCCTCGACGTCGACACTGCCGACGACAAGGCAGCGCCGACACACATCACAATCCACCCACCCGCCCACGACCAGCGGAGAAAAGCTGTCGAGACTTTCAAGTTCACACGAGTGTTTGAAGAGGAGGCTACACAATTGGACTTGTTCCATGGCACTGGCTTGGACTCGATGATGCAGGGTGTGCTGGGCGCCGAGGGTAGAGAGGGACGTGACGGTCTCTTTGCTACTCTCGGTGTCACTGGCTCGGGAAAGGTCTGCGCATAGACACGTCTGATACTGCTGTAGCACAATCTGACGATAGACAGAGTCACACGATCCTGGGCTCGCGCTCGCAGCGTGGCCTCACCCAACTCGCCCTCGACGTCCTCTACCAGAACCTCGGTGACCAGCTCATCTCGACAAGACGCGACCAACTCGCTCTCCAGTCCATCTTCTCCTCAGATACCTCCGAAGCGCATATGTCAGCGGCCAATCAGTACCTCGAATCCATCTACGGCGATGCTCCGTCAGACACTCGTGCCCACTCGAGAGCGCAATCAAGAGCCGCAACTCCCCTCATGGTACGATCAACTTCTTCTTCAAAACAGCCTCTCTACCCCAGTCTCAACCATGTCTCCACAACTTCGTGTCTCGCCTGTGCCACAAAGACCGATCAGCGCCATTCATGTGTGCCAAACCCTCAACCGCAATCCTCATTCTTCAGTTTCCTTCAGCGCCCGCAAGCTAAGACGCAGCCACCAAAGGATATCTCCTTCGTTTCAAACCCCCGTCCCTCGTCCGCTATGGCTCCCAAGCGCCACATGCCCAGAGTCTCTAGCATGCCCCAGTTCCCCATCATCCAAGGCACCGACCTCGACGTCGACCAATCCGCCGAATTCGCCATTGTCGTCAGCATGTACGAAGTCTACAACGATCGCATCTTCGACTTGCTCGCTGGTTCCGCCGCCTTCCAGCCCTCAAAGACATCAACAGCTAAACGCAGACATTTACTCTACAAGAGCACCGAACACAGCCCTGACCGCAAAGTCGTCGCTGGTCTACGAAAAGTCGTATGCGAGAACCTCGATGAGGCCCTTCTTGTGCTTGAGACCGGTTTGACAGAACGTAGAGTTGCTGGCACGGGGAGCAATGCTGTCAGCAGTAGAAGTCACGGCTTCTTTTGTGTCGAAGTCAAGAAGAGACTTGCAGGCGCTGCGACCTCAAACTGGTCCAGCAGTGCCTTGACCATCGTTGATCTTGCTGGTAAGTTATTCCTGGTCCACCTCTGGAGCACTGATCAAGGCATGATATCTAACAATCGCAGGCTCCGAACGCGCCCGCGCAGCAAAAACAGCAGGCTCCACTCTCGCCGAAGCAGGCAAAATCAACGAGTCCCTCATGTATCTCGGCCAGTGCATGCAGATGCAGTCCGACAACGCTGACCCCTTGAAGTCATCCGCTATCGTCCCCTTCCGCCAATGCAAACTGACCGAACTGCTCTTCTCAAACTCCTTCCCCTCATCTTCATCCTCACACCATACACGTTCGCCCAAACCACCTCAAAAGGGCATCATGATTGTGACTGCAGACCCCTTGGGCGATTACAACGCTACAAGTCAGATCCTCCGCTACTCTGCTCTAGCTAGAGAAGTCACCGTTCCTCGCATACCCAGCTACACCAGCACCATGGTTCCTCTGGCTCGCCCTGGTACTTCTGCTTCTGGCCGTCTCACACCTTCAAATCCTGCCTCCAACGATGCAGCGCTGGAAGCTGCCCTAGCTGAACTCGCCCTGCTTCGTCAAGACCTCGAACTCACTCAACTGCGACTTGAAGAAGAAACTCAACGCCGCAAGGAAGCTGAAGCGTCTTGGTTGACTGCTTCTTCACAACTCGAAACCCTGGAACTCGAACTCCGCGAGGAGATTTGGGAAGAGTTCGAAGGACAACTCGCACACGAACGTCAGCGATACCTTGCTCATCGTGATGCAGAGCAAGAAAATGTGAACCAACACATGGACGCCAAATTGGACCTGCTCTCCCGAGGAATGAGCCAAGTAGAGGTATGTGAAGATGCAGACGCAGAAGGTGAAGAGAAGATTGCAGAGTTGGAAGAGGAAAACGAAAGACTCAGAGAGAAAGTGGAGAGGATGGAACGGGAGAGGGAAAACCAAAGCCCGGTGCGCAAGATGCGAGTGTTGAAGCCGAGGAAGTGGGAGGGTCAAGAGGAGTTTGGAGTGGGTTTCATGGGAAGTCCCTAATGAGTGCCTGACGTGACTGGGAATGGTGGGTGAGCTTTGGGCAACAGCCATGTTTCGTATGTCTTGTATTATCTTCTGGAGTGATTAGGTTTTCTTTGGCCTTTGAGTAATTCGGTCGTCGGTTGGGGAATAATCTTGTGCTATCAAATCGGGGGTTTACAAGGTTAGGGCTTCCAAAGAGCAATTGCAAACACTTCAAAGAACTTTCCCCTCCTCTGGGTTGAATCCATTCTTTGCTCATCTACAAGGGTGTTTTTCTGTTTCTCGATTCTCAACACTCCAGATTGAGGCGCTTTTTTTCTTCCCGGGAAATAACTGAATACCCCAAAACTCGATCACATCGATGACAAAAATCCACATAATCTGCCTGACTTTTCTCAAAAGATCTGTTGACGTCTTCTCCAAACTATCCATCCCTTGACGAACTGCATTTGCAGATCTGGAATGCCTATATTCTGGACATTCTGGACATTCTGGACATTTTGGACATTCTGGACATTTCTGCACATGGACAAGCTCCGAAATTGTGGTTTCAAGAGGTGAGGGAGGCTCCCCGGTCTATCACTTCTGTTGACCCACAATGCCTTGCATATCGGTATAAGCTCATTTGAAGGAAAAGGACAGAGGGTTAGAAGGGAAAAACACAGTAAAGCACAGAACACGCGTGTTTGGACGTGAGTGAGTGAGTCCATTGTTGCTGGTGACAGATAGACTTCTTCTATCATCAACCCTCTTTGTTCGTTTTGCGCAGCAGCACCGTGTCCTGTGGTCGCACATGCTTCTATTCTCGTCAGCACGCCTTGTTTTTCTACTCCTAGGGCCTGCCTTTTTTGTTAAACACCATCTAGCTCTCTTCGTTGGCACGACGCTTAAACTCTCTGATTCCCATCGTTGGCACCCACTTTTCTCTCTCTGATGCATTGTCATCATATGCATCTTTGGCAGCAGACATCAAAGGGTACAAGCACATCATACAGAGCCGACCTCTTCAGTATTGCCAGTTTGGTCAGCCCCTTGCTCAGGGATTCCTCTTCAGAGAATCAATCGAGTTACTTTCCCTCCCTCTCACATCTTAGAAGACACGGGCACTGTCGTTGGTACCCGCGCATGCTGGTCCTTGATGCTCTCCATAGCTTCCGCTGTTCCCCTTTGGCCAGCCACATATGCCACCCGTCACAGCTGCAGCTTGTCCCTAGTGATGGGTTCTGCTGTGAGATAGAGATCGAGGTGGGAGGGATACCGTGGAGGTCGCGATGGGGTGTTCGTACCAAATCGTAGCGTGTATAGACCTGCAGAGGAAGTTTGACACCGCCCTCAATACGAAGAGGCTACTGGTAGAGCTGATGGCTTGGTTGAGCTGCTTTACCTGTCCGTCGAGGACATCGAGATGATGTGAGCATTATATCTTTATCACCCACAGTCGTTTTTTTTTTTTCTTTTTTTGTTTGATTGTTTGTTCTTCGGTTGGTTGGCTGGTCGGCTCATTTTTTCTTTTTTTCTTCGTCTTCACAGTCTTGTGTTGAAGTATATATAAGATCGCGATGATTCCTTCCCTTATCCAGAAGTTGAGAGCAGGTATAGCTGCAGAAATTGCACGAAGTCGTTGTTAGAAGGGAAGCAAAGCTCCCGTAACGACAGCGACTCTCTGTGGGTTTTGGGTGCCGTCTGCAAAGGACTGTGCATTGCTATGGTGAGAGATACACTCTAGCCTTTCTCAGTGGATATTTGCTGCTTGCTGAAAGAACTGTGCGTTTCGATAGTGAGAGATAAATACTAGTGTTCGTGGGAGAGTCGTGAGTGAAAGCCAACGAAACACACCATCTTGTTTATCGCAGTAAACGCCCCAAGGAGTTTGTGATGTTATCGGCTTTCTTTGACATGCTTCCTATAACCAGATGATCTGTGAACTACTACGATTGTCCACGTAACATGTCTCTGCAGCTTGAGAAGAAGTAAAGGAGAGAGCAAAAAGTAAATTTATAAACTGAGAAGAAACCAGAAGTCTATTCTATCTTCAACTTTGCAGAAGGGATATATCAATCAGAAGAAACCAAAAAAAACCAATGCCTGTCTAATTGGCATTGCGCTTATACAGCGAAAGCCTCGAAGGTCCACCACAAAGCTGGCCTGGCATACCCTTACAAGCCATGTTACAATCACTCGACGTAGCATTTCCAGTACCTGCTGCCAACGCGTTGCCAGTCCAGCACTCTCTTCCATATTCTACGCCGAAAAATCCTGCGTTGGCTGCAGCAGCAATCTTAGCACACTGATCCACTGACATGGAGTCGCTTGAGGTCACAGCACTCAACGCCCTCGGACTATCCTTGTAGCAAGAGTAGAACGAGTAGCTTCCGACAGTGTTGAGGTTCATAGGATCAGTGAATACCTTGGTGCTGTTATCGCTGTAGTACATGTTGAGTCTGTTGCCGCCGCCACAGTAAGCAGTGCTGTTGCCAGGGCAGAGCATGTTGCAAGTGCTGTTGTCGGATTGCTGTACACTTCCAGTACGAGGGTAAGGTCCACAGTAACATTCTGAGGCGAACTCGATTCCAAACCACGAATACTGGGAACAGTAGGATGCACACATGGCGGGAGTCATGCCGGTGGTGTTTGTGAAAGAGCGGGCGGTGAGGGCGCGACCGTTGGAGCCTTCGCTGTAACAGCCCTGTGCTGCGTAACCGGAGACGGTGGGGATGATGATAGGTGTGGTCGATGTCGAAGACGATGAAGTCGATGAGGCTGAAGTTGAAGATGAGGACGAGGCACTGCTTGTAATGTCTGAGTTCACGGCAGACGAGGAAGATGAGGACGACACTGACGACGACAGAGCTGACGATGACGAAGCCGACGACGACGAGACCGTCGAGGATGGCGCTGCTGTCGATGATACCGTCGGTGATGCCGAAGATGAGCTCATGGAGGATGACACGGAGGACGAGCTTGTTGACGCAACGCTTGAAGTGCTCGAGACCGACGAGCTACTTACAGTATCACCGGAAGAGCTCGTTGACGATACGCTCGAGCTGCTAACACTTGTACTCGAGCTGCTAACACTTGTACTCGAGCTGCTCGCACTCGCGTTCGAGGAGCTAGTCGCACTTGCGCTCGAGGTGGATGCACTTGTGCTTGAGGAGCTAGTCGCACTGATTGAGCTGTCAGAGCTTGATGAGCTTGATGTGCTTGACGGGAGATCTGACGATGATACTGACGAGCTACTTAAGGAGCTGCTTGTAACAGAACTTGCCGTTGACGAAACTGTGGACGACGTTGACGTAGAGGTGGAAGTGGACGATTGGCTTGACGTGACAACCGAAGACACACTCGATGACGACGACGAAGATGTAGAGCTACCAGATGATGAGAGGACGGGATTGTACTTGTACAAACTCAGGCCATTGGGGCCGCCACAGTATTCAAACTTGTCGGCGGAGCAGACCATGTTGCAGCGTCCATCCGTGGCAGGACCAGATTGAGAGCTGACGGCATTCGAGCAGTAGCACTCCGACGAGTACTCCGTGGCAAAAAATGTATAGCCTGAGCAGAAAGAAGCGCAGAGTTCAAGAGTGTTGGAGCTGTTCGAGAAAGACTTGCCTTGCAAAGCACGACCGCCAATCTCCTTCCAGCATCCTTGGTAGACGTAACTGCCCACGGTAGGCTTGGCAACAGGACCAGTTGGGGTCACAGAGCTCGTTGAGCTGCTGCTAGAGACTACGGGACTGCTGCTCGAGCTCAGAGACGTTGAGGTTGCCGAAGTTGAGGTAGTAGACGCCGAGGTCGTAGAAGTCAACGAAGTGGAGGACACGACAGAGGAGCTCAAAGATCCAGAGGAGGCGGACGATGAAGTCACCGTCGAACTGGAAGAAACAGCAGATCTGTTTTGCACAGTAGCAAACGACGTTCCAATCAAGGTGACCTTGCTGCTAGGATCAATCGCGCTGTAGTACGAGCAAACAGTACCATCAAAGGCTGTACCAACACAAACAGCGCTGTTGGCACATGTAGTCATGCATGAACTCAGGTCAGATGCTGCTCTCTTTCTCGCAAGGCCGTTAATGACAGTACCAGAATATGTTGTATCTTTCTCCACTATGAAAGAAACGCCGGCAATGGTGGTCGGTGATACAGAAGCTGATGTGGCGCTGGTAGTGCTTGACACAATTGTGCCGCTCGACGAAGAAGAGGCGCTACTAGAACTGCTCACGGCGCTTGACGAGCTCATACTCGTAGCGGAGCTAGAGGAACTCACGGTTGGTGAGGAGCTTGCTGGAAGTTTGACCTTCTGGTACATGTTCAAACCGGAGGGTCCGCCGCAGATCTGGGTCGAGTTACCAGCACAGGGCATTTTGCATCGCCCATCTGATGTCGACACCGAACCAGCCTGGATAGCGTTGCCACAATAACACTCCTGGGAGTACTCAACACCGAAGAAGTCATAAGATGAGCAGAAAGCGGCGCAGAAATCAACGCTGACAGATGAGTTGGCCTTGTTCAGGGAGTTAAGTGCGCGACCGTTGGTAGCTTCCGTGTAACATCCAATATGCGAGTAATTGCCAGCAGATTGAACAGTGACGGGTCCGGTGGGAGTACTTGGAGCATTACTAGTTGTGGTAGTCGTTGTCGAAGATGTGACGTTGGTGTAGTAGACGTTCAAGAAGTCAGCACCGCCACATCTCTGAGTAGCGTTTCCCGCACAAGGAACACTACAGCCAGTCTCATCCTTCTGCAGGATCGAGTTGGCGTAAATGCTGTTTCCACAATAGCACTCTGATCCATACTCTGTGCCGAAAAATTGGAATCCACTACAGAAGGCAGCGCAGCTTTCCAAAGTATTGGAAGACGAAGCGCGACCGTTGCCGTTGAGAGCACGGCGATCGTGTGTCTCGTTGAAGCAACCCATGTAGGTATAGCCGCTCAAAGGAGGAACTGAGGATGGGGTAGTAGTAGCGGCGGAAGAGCTTGTTGCGCTCGAGACGGTGGAAGACAGAGATCCAAGACTTCCAGACGTGCTTGAAGAAGACAAAGATGCACTCGATGAGCTCGAAGACATCGCATTCTTTCCATAGAGCACCATCAATGATCCAGCACCGCACAGCTGTGCGTTGTTTCCCTTGCAAGCCATGCTACATTTGCTGTCGGTCGTTAGCTGCGAAGTGGAGGCTCTCGCGTTGCCACAATAACACTCTGACGCATACTCCAGCCCAAACATCGAGAAGCCCTTGCTAATACAAAAGTCTCCACACTTCTGGACTGTCATGTCGTTGGTGTTCAGGGTTGCGGCATTGATGGTCCTGGCACCTTGATCGTTGAAGCAGCCCACGTAGTTGTATCCGCCGTATGATGGGACGATAGCCTGGACCTGAGTAGAAGTGTTTCCATCGAAACGGGAAGTGTCAGCGAAGAGTGACATGTGGGATCCAGGGTTAGTGTAGCCGTTACCACCACAAGTCTGGTTCTCATTGCCACCGCAGTTGAAGTTGCAGTCAGTGTTCAGATCCATCTGAAGAGGAAGTGCCTGTCCACACCAGCATTCACGCTGATACTGAGTACCCGCGAATCGGTATCCCAGAGATGCGCACTTAGCGATACAGATATCGTTTGTCATAGTAGGGCTGGTCACCGGATTAACCGCTAGCTGTCTTCCGGGGTTGTTCTCTTTGAAGCAACCGACGTATCCATATTGTGCAGTACCGTTCGAGAGAAGAGAACCAACTTGCTCGGCCACAGCATTGCAGTTGAACTGGATGATCTGCTTGCCCATGTTGGGGTCACCGGTGTTGATGGTCCATGTTGCGTTGCCATAGTAGCTAGGAACGTTGACTTGCGATCTTGGCACAGAGCAATAAAGCGTGGCGGTCTGACTTTCGTTGGCTTGGAGGAGCGTACCCTCGGCGAGATCGATCGTGTTGACTGCTTCAATGATACCGGGAATGCCGTAGGGAGGCTTCGAGACGGTCAGTGAGAGAGGCACTGCCGAACCTGTGCCGTTGTTCGTGACACGCATCTTGAGACTGCGAGTCTGACCTTCGAGCACGTCTCCGAAGGTAAAAGGTTGGCCAGGCTGGTAGGTTACCCAGCCTGATCCGTCGACAGTCTGGAACTCGATCAGGGCGGAAGGGTTGCTTCCCGCACGACCGACAACATCAAGCAAGCTCGAACTGCCATCAGTGTTGACTCGGAGATAGACAGCGTGATTGCCAGTGACATCGGGATTGTAGTTGATGTCGACAGTGGCGACACTGTTTGGGTCGATAGTGGTAGGAATCTTGGAGAAGGTGAAGTAGCCGACCTGAACATCGCCGCTGTCGCTGACATTGGGCTGGATCCAAGGACCAGTCTCGCTGACGACAGACCAAGTGATGTTATTAACGGTCAAAAGACTGTCTCCCCGGTTGCTGAAGAGCGAAGACTGAGTGGTCCCGCCAACTTGTCCGCCAACAATGACGTTGAAAGAAACGGTGTTGGGAGCAATCGCCATCAGCGCCTTCTTTGAGTTTGCAGTACCCTTCAAGGTGATAGGCACGGAGCTGGAGTATTTGGCGACACTGTTTGTGGTGTTGACCAGGATGTCGCTAGACAACAGACCAACTGTTGTGGGAGCAAAGGTGGCGTTCAAACTAAATGTCTGCCCAGCAGTAAGAGTAAGGGGTGTGGTCACAGCGCCGATCTTGAAGTTTGCGTTGCCAGTCAATGACACACTATTGACAGTGAGGCCAATGTTTGCTTTGCATGTGATGGTGATCGGAGCGGACACACTGCCGATGGCAGTATTGGGCAGAGAGTAAGGCGAGGAGCAGTTGAGAGGGAGGTTGACAGGTGATCCGAAGGCATAGAGAGCACCCTGAGTGGTTCCAACATAGGCGATCCCATTTCCGAAGACCGGACGAGAGAACTTGGTAACTCCAGGGATATTGAAAGCCTTGATGAGCTTCAGGTTACCACCATCTGACGGAGGTATGGCATCATACACTCTGAGATTAAGGCCCTCTACATCAGTAGTCCAGAGGAGACCAGTGCCTTCTTGCCCATTGAGCGAGGTGGTAGTACCGTGACCAACACCAAGAATGTAAGCGTTCTTCTCAGGAGTGTTGGAAACAAGCGTGAACTGAGGGTCTCCGCTAGCCGAACAACTGAACTTGAAGACATGCGTCTGGTACTGGATGACGTTGATGTAAATGTATCCACCGCCAAGAGGCATAACACCTGCACCGGCGTACACGGAGTTCTCGTTTTGGGTAACTTGAACCGCGGCGTCAAGCTTGTTCGGTCCCATCTGGTAACCTCCCAGGTTGTCAAGGTTGAGCCAGTAGGTTTTGCCGCTCTTGCCTGTTACAACTCCCATACGGGCCACATTGGCACACTTGAAGACGTCTGTGGGTAGGAGTTCTAGAGGACTGGTCCCCAGATCCTTATCCGCTCCATCGAGCTGTGTCTTCTCCCAAGGCATGAAGAAGTCAACTGGCGTGATTTTGCCGTCCGAGCCGATAGCGAAATTGACAGCAGCCTCTTCGAGACTGGTTGGAGGCTGACGGCCAGGAAGAGAGTTGCCGGTAGCTTTGAGTTGAGATGCATAGCCGTTACCACTGGCGAGGAACATACTGCCTTTGCCGTCGTAGGCAAGACCACCACCAGACATCCAAACACCCGCACCAGGAATCGTGTTTGGCTCGGGGCCGCCTTCCATAGCCCAGGCTTCGACAACAGCGCCTGTGGTGCGGTGGAAACCGATGACGGCTCCAGTGAAGTTCCATTTGACACAGTGGGAAGCCCAGCCTGTGTAGATGAAGTCTCCGACTTGAAGCATACCAGGACGAGCGTGCTGGTTTCCGCCGATGAACATGCGGTTGGGGTTGTTGCGGAACTGAAGTCCGTCGATCAACTTTGGGAAGCCGTTGACCTCCGACAAATCGGCAGTGTTGATGGCATGGAAGTAGTAGCGGCCGTTGAGACGACCGGGGGGGCTGTTCTTGGAAAAGGCACCGTTTTGGAAACTATCACTGTAGGTCTTCGCGGTGAGGTACCAAATGCCAGTATCGGGATCGATGACACCAGTAGCTGTGACACCAACTGTGGGATTGATGTCGACGCAACCATCGAGATCAGCAGTCAAGAAGGGTACGTGCATGTTCCTCGAGGCAATAATGTCTCCAGTCTTCGCATTGATCTTGTAGAGGTTGTTCTGCGTAGTCGCAATATAAACATACTGGATGCCATCACTGAGAGTGTAGACTAGAGGTTGAGAGAAGATCTGCTCGGCACCGATGCCTTGGAAATTGCCAGGCAATGCGGCTCTCCAAAGTTGACCAAAGGAATCACCTCCAACGACTGAAGGGTCCATGTTGTGGTTGCTGTAAGGTGTCCAGTCAGCATATACGCCTAGCAAGCACAACTGTGTGCGTCCGAGACAGTACTCACGTTTGATAGCCCGCACGACTGTTGTCACCACCCCAGGTGATGGTGTCCGTGCTTGCAAGAGACTCGACATTGCTGGTGAACAGGAATGCGAACAGGAACGCGACAAGCGCATTGAACGACAGCATCCTGATAGAAATCACAGAGGTCCTGGATGTTGGTACATGGAAGTTGTGTGCAGACCCATCGTGCCTATAAAGCCTCGAGCTCAACAAGCATTGAACCTTTTCACATGGCTTCAGCATACAATATGAGCTGAACAAACCATGGCTGGACTACGAGCTGAACATGTCTCGGGAGATGTATGGTGGAAAAACGCCACACCGATAGGCGGACCGTGAGCTGTCTGGAATGAGAGATCAACTGAGTGGAAAAGGTGCACACGGAAGTTTTCTCGCTACAAGTTCCAAGCTTCTGGTGCCTGGTTTGGGCGTCAATCGCGTAGCAAGTGTCGAAGGAACCGTCTATTGACGCCACAACCTAGGGCACGCCAACTTTCGTCGTCAAGCCAGCTTTGCAGACTCCAGACCCAGACGAAATATGCATCTGAGGGGCTCGACTTGCTATTTGCTCGAGGTCGTAAAGGCATGTTCTAGACGTTGAAGCCAGGTCCAACGTGGAAGATGGGACAAAGTCTCCGTTGAAAGTTACATGGGTATCCAGATCATGTCCCTGGGGTGTACCTGAATAGTCCGCTCTACCAGATGAGACAATACCAGAGAAGCTTGTGAGACCTTCTACGGTGCAAGGTGGTTGACAACACAGTTTGAGTCAGGCACACAAGTTCGGGGACCCCGGCTGGGGTGTTGGCCGATTCCGGTTGCTGCCAGTCTAGGAACGTCCTAGCATGATCGCTGTCTCCGAACCTTCTCACAATCCTCGTGACAAGAATAGCCTTCCAAATATTAGCTGTCGAGTTGTGCAGAAGGAGCTGATGCCCAGCTTTTGCCCAGCCTTGGCAGAGGTGGCCACGCTCAGCGGTTCAGCTTGAATGTCTCACCCGCGGACAGGGCGGAAAGGTACCACTTCAATCGTCGTTGCAACCCAGGGAAACGATCATGTCGCGGAGTAGAACATGCAACGACATCGGTGAGCAATGCGCAACAACATCAATGTACGCTGTGGACAGTACCTTGGAGCGGCATGACGATGCTAGTGACTCTACAAGGTGACAGTCACTCCTGTATCTGCAGGAACAGGAAGAAGAAAGTATCCCCTGTCGCGGATATCCTCCGATAGATGGTACGCTATTGTTGGAATGGGGAGGAGCTCGCAAGTTGGCATCCGGATCTGGGAATGGGCGCGCTCCCCTGCGTATGTCATGTGGTCTGAAAGCTGAAGTTGCGGCAACGTTGGCACCGCAGCGGCAAGATGATAGAAACAGCTGATGGGGAAGAATAGTAACAGACGGCGGTGTGCAGAAGGCTGATAGCATTGGAGCTATTATCAGATCTTGCCAAGCTATGAGTATCCCGCCTTTCTGCTCCCCACCAGGGAACGACTGCCATGCAAATTTCCCTGCAGCAACTACTAACCACAATCCCCTATTGAATACGATCTGGTTCGCCAATCTCTGAAATTTTGGCTAGAGATCACAGATGATGCTTCTCAATTGACCTGTGTCTGTATCCGCCTGTCTTATTAGTGAGAGACCGCCGCTTCGCATTCACAGGATATCTTGAGTCATAACAGTAACTATCCTGATCTCTCAAGGTTGGTCTGATGCACAGCGAAATTTGATGAGCCGAAAGGATGGAGCTCGGGAAGCTTGACGAGAGCTTGCAACCTCTTACGCCTAGTCGCAACCTGACTCGAACAGTTCGTATCTCGCAGCCATGTCGAATCGTGTACGTACCATCAACCAATAAGCCTTCTCGATCGTTTATTGATCAACTTAAAACAGCTCTTGACCGTGTTGGTACATTGGTCTGCTGGCCAAACGCTTCCTCATCTGCTAGAGGCGCACGACAATGTGGGGTCTCTGCTGGCAGTGAGCATGGCAAGAGAGCTCAGACACACAAGGACTGGGTTCAATTGCTCAGCGCTCATGCCGTTGTTGGACCACCATTGTCCAGAGTGGGCAGCTGCTTACGCTGGTCTAGCATAGCTACCCTCGAAGGCTTCAAACCCTCTTTTCAGTCCACTGGACTTCAGCTTGTCCGACACGGTACTATGCAACGCTCCCTACGCCTCTTGCATTGTCCACTCGCATTTGCAGCTGAGCATGAGTTCACAGCTGATCAGAAGATTTACAACATACGACGCAAGAGGTATAAAGATGTGGTCGTTTCCCAGCCAAAAACCTCAATTCAACACAACTATCCATCCTTATCCCATCTGAAAAGCCGCTCGAACAATCAGCCAATATGAAGCTCACCCTGTTCCTCTTTGCTCTTCCTGCTCTGGGAAACCCTCTCCAGAACATGTTCGAGAAGCGTGCCGCTTGCAACGCTGTATGCCGTGATCTTCACCTCTCATGAGGAGGGATTATACTGATTCCATGTCAAGACAACTGTGCTCGTGCTGTGACTGGCACCGCAGCTGGTCTCTCTGTTTCCCAATCTAGAGTCAATACCGACTGCTCTAGCTTCCAGCAAGAGACTGTTTACCCTTCCGCTACTACCATCACCATCACCTCCGGCAGCGAGTTCACCACAATTCAACCAGATCTTGCTGGAATCACTATTGTTCCTTCCAGTCTGCCCAGCTATGTCAGCAAGGCCTGCACACCTTCCATGGCTGCTTCTGCCCGTTTCGCGTCCGCCTGCTCTTGCGCTGGAGTCACCGTCAGCACCACCATCGCTCCAACTCCGACCGCGACAAACGTTGTCCCCGCCATTTGTGGCCGTGGCTACTTCACAGGTCAAGCTTGCCAGCCTCAACAATATTCCATTGGTTCCACTGATGCTGCCGGATGCACCAGACGCTGTGAAGACGTTTCTAACTTCGGTTTCGGATGCTTCCGTGGTGAAGTAGTGGACGGCCAGTGCATCCTCAACATCCGTTGTTGTACTCAGTAGAGTTGTGCGTCTGGCACGAATGGCCGCACGGCTTGTGATGACTATGAGATTCGTGAGAATACGGCTGACGTACAGCTGATACGTATGGTTGCCATGCCGTCTCTTGAGTCTCTGGTATACCGAGTGGGAAGTTCGACAATTTGCAAACAAACACTGTCATTTTCGATCTGTTTCATAGTTGTACGGTATCGAGTCGTTCCTTATATTCCGTCCAAGATACTCCGTTGTAAATCGAAACACGGCTGAACTCCTGATAGAGGACCGACTGTACCAAACTATGCCGAGCAATTTGACTGAGTATCGGTAGACTAGAGCACCGACGTTAAGTGTTTGCTGGCATCCTGTTTGATTATGTCCTTTGAGTTGTACTCCTATGTATGCGCTGTCTGGCATAAAGCTGCTATACTAAGCCTAATCATGCCAAGTCACTCCAGGTGAATAGCTTGTATATCTTTGCCGCTGTCTTTGCTCGCCCGCAAGATGACGTACAGAACTGCGGGGTCGAGGCTCGACCTTCCGTTTATAATCGTTCAAGAAATTTGTACCATCTGTTCAAGCATCCAAGAGCACTTTGAGTAGGCACTGCAGATATGTACAGGGGTATTCAGATACTAATACAAAATCTCGACTGTCTAGATTTTGTTCTCCCTCGCCTGTCGCGCCTCCTGCTTGTCTTGCTCATCCGGGAAATCCTTGGTCAGATAATCCATAAACTTGTCCACAGGCGCCGCCATCAATCCTGTCAACAGCTCCAAGTAATAACTTGTCGGTGCACCTGGGTGACTCTTTGTTGGTACAATCTTCTTGGTGCGTTCGAAGCTCACTGCCAATTGTTCGCTCTCTTCACGGGACAGCAAGCCTTCGAGGCGAGGCATGTCTTCTTCCTTCTCGTGCTCGATATGATGGTGGAGGAGATCCATCAATGTGTCCAGCAGAGGCATGAATTGCGGATCAACTGGTGTCATGTCTTGCACTTTGTAGAGGTAGTCCTTGACCTAGACCAACACCATTAGCTTTGACCTGCAAACACAGATGCTAGAGAATAAACGTACTCCTTGATGTTGCTCCTTGTCGGTCTTGGCCAGTCGGATACCCTCTTCTCCGAGATGCTTCGCCATAGCAGGGTACCAGGTCAACTCTTCACTGATGGCGTGGCGGGCCACAGTCCAAGTGAGCTGATTTCTCCAGCGAACTTTTGCCGCATCGTCGGTGGCATTTTTTATGTTTTCGTACAGAATATCGAACTCGTCGTGGTCAGCACCAATCGCCTCGGAAAGTAATTTGCCCATGTTGATTTTTGTGGTGTTTTCGGTTTGAGACCAAGTTATGTATATTTGGATTGAGGCTCGTAGTTGATAGAAGAGAGATGGGGTCAAGAGGACCAAGTATTACTCCGCTTCCTCGAGAGACATCGTTGACGACATGACGATTACAACTCCGTACTAGGCCAAATGAATACAGTGTTTGTGTTTGGCGTTCTTGCCGCTGTTGCCGTCCAGGGTCATCTGTGGGGTAGATGCATGACGAGGTGTTGCATGACTAATCCCCGACTCTTGATTCGCTCAGAGATCGAGTCAGGGCCTCCACGCTGTTGTCGAAAAGAATAATCGCTCCATATGTGCCAGCGAGCGAGTGTTATATCACTTGTCATTCGGCACGTCCACCATGTCAAGAAGCGACTCTAGCGCGATAGCTGCCAGTCTTCTCTGGTCAAACACACCGATTTGAAGGTAGAATTTTCACGACACCTTCTTCGCCTCGAGCCTTATCTGCAAAGAGCTCAGGAAATCAACCCACGTACGGGAATCTTCTTGTTCGCACCTTTGGTCGCAAGAGCAAACAAACACGTGGTCGCTGTTTCCCGCATGAAATTGCTGTACCATACCTGATATGGCTAGATCGCCTTGGAAATCCTCCAAGTCGACGACTGGGCATCTGCAGGAGGATCTCATGGGCGGATGCGCTGGCCCAATCTCTCAATCATCCCTTCTTATCTTGACGGAGCTCACGAAAATCACATTGCTGAATAGTCGACAGCTCCTAGCTGGGTCTCTCGAGACTCATCGTTCAAGCTCTATCTTGTACAGAATATTGCTGCGCATTGCTATATCCTATTTGAGGATAGCAGCTGTTTACCCCGCTTGTCGTGTGCGCCCGTCTCCATCGTGATGGCTTCCTCCCAAGTTGACGACACCAAAACTTCGAAACAACTCGAGGCGTTGCCTCATCCGGTCAATGTCATCTTCGATGATGAGTCTTCTTCGCTCGGCAAAGGCGATATCCTTGGTGCTGAGCATGTCGATCTGGTCCTCAATGCCAAGATGCATCTGGTCAACAATGCAATTGATGAGATAGGGTTCACTGGATATCATTGGAAGTTGTTTGTGCTCAATGGTTTTGGGTGAGTCAATCTTCCTTACAGGAACTCGGCCGTACTGTTTTTGTGCTTGCTTCGAACCTGTGATGTATCGTTCCAAGCGGTGCTCGGTCACATCGTGGACCTATCTCAGCGACTCACGCATTTTCGTACATCTCGAGTACATGATAAAGCTGACATGATCTGCTGCACTACATAGCTACGCAGTAGACTCGTTACTTCTCCTGGTCCAAGGAAATATAGCCTCGTATGCTGCCAAAGAGTTCAACCCATCCTTTCCCAAAGGTGAGGCAAGACGAGACCTCGAATGATCAATGTGGACTCATTCAAACATTCCTCAGGCCTCACGATTGCCGCTTATGTCGGTATGTTGGTTGGCGCTCTCTTCTGGGGCTTCTCAGCGGATGTTATCGGCCGCAAATTCGCGTTCAACTTTTCCCTCATGATCTCGTCTGTCTTCGCCATCGTTGCAGGCGCTTCTCCAAACTGGATCGTACTTGGTCTCTTCATATGCTTGTCTGCATTTGGAAGTGGAGGCAATCTCGTACTTGACACTGCTGTTTTCCTCGAGTATCTTCCCAGTCAGAGTCAATGGATGATCACTGCCTTGGCCGCTTGGTGGGGACTTGGTCAATTGGTTGCCGGTCTTTTTTCTTGGGCTTTCCTACCCGGCTACTCTTGTGCGACCGTTGCGACTTGTACCCGTGCTAACAACATGGGTTGGCGCTATGTCTGGTTTGCAAACGGCGCTCTGGTCTTTGCCATGTCTCTTGCCCGAATCTTCGTCATCAAGCTGAAGGAAACGCCCAAGTTTCTGATCGGTGAGGGAAAGGATGCTGAAGTGATCGAGACTCTGCAGTTCATTGCCAACAAATACAATAGACCTTGCAGTCTGACTTTGGAGCAGCTGGAGGCTTGTGGTGACAGTCGTGAAACGCAAGTACACTATCTCAGAAGCGGACTAGATGGCGTGCTAACGTGGAAATTCAGGACATATAACTCGCATGCCAAACACAAGTTTTCTCCCATGGAAATCGTCATCCACTGTCGCGGTCTGTTCGCTACCAGACGTATGGGGCTCTCAACATCCTTGATCTGGTTCTCATGGCTGCTCATCGGTCTCGCTTACCCCTTGTACAACGTCTTCCTACCCACCTACCTGGCTACTCGCGGTGCACAGTTTGGCGAGCAGTCCCAGTTCGTTTACTGGCGCAACTATGCCATCGCCAATACATGTTCCATCCCCTCTCCCATCTTGGCAGGATTCATGTGCAGAAGTAAATTCTTCTGGGGTAGACGAGGCACCATGATCATTGGCGCTCTCATCACCATGGCTTTCTTCTTCGCATACACTCAAGTCAGGAACAACGCACAGAATCTGGCATTCACTTGCTGTATAAGCTTTTTCTTGGTACGTCTACACTTGCTTGAATTTGAGATTGGATGGAAATATGATAGGCTGACTTGCTCTCAGAATGTGTACTACGCTACGCTGTATGCCTATACTCCTGAAGTCCTACCATCCGCTCACCGTGGCACTGGCAACGGTATCGCAATCGCACTGAATCGCGTCATGGGTATCATGAGCGCAATCGTGGCTACGTAAGTTCTCTTATCACGGATAACCCAAGTCACAGGAAGGTATTCCATTGCTAACGTTGAGATGATCTCCTAGATATGCTAACACCAGTACTCCCGTTCCGATCTACATTTGTGCTGCGCTATACATTGTGATGGCTGCGGTCGCTGCTGCATTCCCCTTTGAACCTATGGGCAAGAGAAGTTCTTGATGACGGGCCTGATTCGATTCTTCGATTAAGGCGTACTTGTCAGTAAAGCTACTTCGACTTGGAAAACCTCAGGAGATGAGGATATGGATAGGGGCGCGCGTGACATCAGATAAATCTCCAGAGTTGTGACAATAACCGGGAGTGCTCGTTCAACCAAATTCCTCGGGCGGCAATTGTCAAGTTCCATCTGTTCCACGTGGGTGGCTGAGTATGGACCAGGTATTCATCCATATTCATTGCGCTGCTCAACAGCTCTGAAGTGTATGCTCAAGACTGTCCCATCACATCTTGTTGATTACATTATGAATCTGGGCCATACCAGGGTCGTACTCCCGTCAACACTGCATATACATTCTCAAAGTGCTGCGCTGCATGTGAACTGGTTACACAGCTCGTGAGTATGATCTGGGTTCTGCTGTCTTTATTGTTTCATGTATCTTATGTGCAAGTAGTGGTACCGGAAGATAGTGGCTAAGATCCACCGAAGTAATTCAGTACCAAATTGTCACGCCACTGCCATGCGGACCGTCTTGCGAATTGTGTTGCTTTGACTTAATACTGTCTAGGTCCCATCTTTATCGTCAAGTTTCTACCCCCATATCGGTGATGATATAGCGAGGTCATGTCCCACACAACGATGGTCTTTCTCGCTAAGCCGCTAGCTTCTACCCTCTTGACGCAGCATCAGCAAGAACATCCGCCGCAATCTTCTCGCCAAGTGCATAGACAGTCGCCTGAGGATGACCAGGCGGCAAGAAAGGGAAAGCCGATGCATCCACCACACGCAACGCATTCACACCAATAACCCTCGCCTTTGAATCCACCACAGCCATCGGGTTATCGACCTTGCCCATCGCACAAGTGCAAGAAGCATGCCATACCGTTGCAACATATTGCCTTACAAACTCTTCGATATCAGCATCAGAGGTGATGTTCCTGCCAGGCAGGAGCTCCTCGCTGATAAGCACTGGTTGGATCGCGCTAGCGCCGAAGAAATCTCTTCCGCGCTTGACGGCTTGGATGGCTACTTCGACGTCGCTGGAGTTACTAAGCCAGCCTGGATTGACGAGAGGAGCATCGTTGGTATCGTTCGAAGTGATGGAGATGCTGCCGCGCGAAAGAGGCGTGATGAGTGCGATCGAAACAGAAGCATATTGTTTGGAGTCTGAGACCTGAACTCCCTTCATATTCGGAGGGAAGCTAGTCAAGAGGAATTCGAGGTTTGGCCAATCTGCAGGGAAGGCCGAGAGTGCTTGTTGCGTTTTGTTGCTCAGTTGGGCAAAATTTTGCTCTGGTAGTTTCTCCCAGCCTAGGTAGTCGCCTCCTGAGTTTGTGAGTATACCTGTTGCATTCTTGTTGTATTGCATTGCGGCTTCGTTGGCGAAGGTTGTGTTGACCAGACCTTGTTGGGTCTCCAGGTCCACTTCGTACATGATTGGGAAGAGGACATGGTCCCACATGTTTGACCCGACGCCTGGTCGATCGGCAATTATTGAGATGTTGTATTGCTGCAAAGTCGACTTGGGCCCCACTCCCGATACCATCAGAAGCTGCGGTGACTGGATTGCGCCAGCAGAGAGAATGACTTCTCGAGTTGCGTTCAGAGTGTAGGGTGTGCCAGCAGTCTCGACCACGACTCCAGTGGCGGTTTTGTTGGCATTGAACAGGATCTTCTTAGCCATAGTATGGATGAACACTTCCAGGCGCGATTTGTCATCGGCGAGCGATTGCTGAAGGTATGATGCCTCACTCGTACTGCGTGTCTGATCGTCAGGACGAAGTGTCGCGGGCACGTATTGTGATCCTATCAGCTCTCCACTACTGAAGTCAGGTATGTCCGAGATTCCAATTTGTCTCAAAGCAAGTTGGCCCCAAGAAGCGAAAGGTGTAGCCCAGTGAGCGTGAGAAACGTGGATGGGACCATCGGCACCTGAGAAAGCAGAAGCATTTGCCGAAGGAACAGTAGCGTTTGCTGCACGAAAATGTTGGTCGTTCGGTGATGTGTAGTTGATGCTTTTCTCAAAGAAGGGCAGAAAAGAGTCGAAAGCATAGGTTTGATCATCTACTGCATCTGCCCATGCGGCGTATGATTGTCTCGTGCCTCGGTGATAGGCCATGACGTTGAGAGCGGAACTGTTGTGCACATGTAAGCCTCAAGTCCAAACGAGCTGGACACTTTCTCTACGTACCTTCCTCCGAGAGTCTTCCCGCGAGCATAACCAAACGTCTGGTTCTCCAGACTAGCTTGTGGAGTGGTCTTGAAGTTCCAGTCTACTGACGGGTGACCCAGATTTTGTGAGTAATATCCCGGCACGATGGTGAGATTGCCGTTCTCGAGTTCGTAGAAACCGCCGGCCTCGACCACTGCCACGGTATATGTTCCATTCCCAGCAAGGCGAGTCGCCATCACTAAACCAGCAGTACCTCCGCCGACGACGACATCTATATCTGGTCAGATCTGCTATCACGAACCATATCGAACCAACGTACAGTCGTAGCTTGCATTTGTGCCTGCACGGCCGAAGTGTTTCGAGTATGCTGCACTACCGAAAGATGAGGCAACAGCGTGGGTAGCAGCGACGAGCGCACATAACGACAAGACCGATCGCATTGTTAGCTATGGATATGCGATCTAGATCGAATGGGAAAGCCAAACAACTTATTTGTATGCGGTCTTCTTACCTCGTTGGTGATCGTAGACGTTGCTACAGAGCCTCATAGGGGAACGAACCGCAACCTGATCGTAGATCGACTTCAATAACCTTATTTTGTACGCTACACAGTCGACGATCATGAGCAAACGTGTTGCTGCAAAGACTCGGATAGGAAGGAGCAATGCACTCCATGGTAGATCTATCCACAATGACGATGCTTGCCGTCCGGAGATCGTACCTACACGAGTCAAGCTGAAGCTAACAAATGCCGAAGATCCAACGATCTGTTGAGAACGTCATTGGGATTTGTTTATTGTGTAGTGCAGCTTGTTCTGCGACACGTGCCAGGAGTCGTTCCGTCTTCGAACAGATGCTCTGCGCATCGTGGAGTCAGACCCTCGTCGTCGTCGCTGGGTCACTGGTTCGTAGCGTGATGTGACAGACAGATCTTGATTGTGATCTTCTCCACTCATCAATCGCGCCCGACTCTACAGGCAGCATTGACCACCATGATGATTATCGCGGTGAGATGAAATGATCCGGAGTGGTTGAAGGAAATTGCCATACTTCTGACGGCTTTCGAGAAGGTGTGTAGATATGCAAACAGTAAAAGAGAAGAGCTGAGGTTGATACTCAGGTGCGCACAGACCATTGGAAATTCTTCCCCTCCAATCCTTCGATAACACCTTCCTATCTTGTTCACCGTCAGGCCTTTGGAAGAGATGACTCAAAGATACAGGTATAAAGGTCGAGATACCGACCATCCATGTAGACCGTCGTGACATAACAATATTCTCACCACCACGAGTTCGTCAATTACGACTCTCATCACCGGTCAACATGATTTCGGCGAGGTTCGCACAGCTTTGATCATCTACAAATCTGATTCAGACTGGCTTCCATCAGCCGAAAGTACTCATCTCTTCTCGGATCACGCTGTTAGGTCGAACAAGTTATTCAGTACAACATGGTTCTACTTGATTCCGGTTCACTTGCTGAGCTCTCCCTACACGACCCCAAGCACTTCGGAATTCAGCACTCTCAAACTATCCATCGGCTGGTACTTCTGAAGCTCTGGAACATCACCATTGGCTCGCAAGTACTTGAACTGGGGTGCGGTCAGGGCGATTGTACAACCGCTCTCGCCGATGCTGTGGGCAATCAGGGCAAGGTAGTAGCGGTGGACCCAGCAGATCTGGGTTACGGCAACCCATACACTCTCGGCCAAGCACAAAACCACATCTCACAAGGGCCACTGGGCGGTCGTATTGAGTGGGTGCAACAACAACCTCTGGATTATCTTTCCTCTCTCGCAGCATCTTCCACTCTAGAAACCAGGGCGTTCGACGCAACAGTGCTTGCACACTCTCTATGGTATTTTCCCTCGCATCAACTGACCCTCGATACTTTTCGTGCTTTGAAGCAGCATAGCAAGCGTCTATTGCTTGCCGAGTGGTCATTGGTGGCCACATACCCTTCAGCACAGCCCCACGTTCTAGCCGCTCTCGCACAAGCAGCACTTGAATGCCACAAGCCCAAGAGCACCTCGAATGTCCGGATAGTGCTGGGACCAAAACGGCTCACAGAACTAGCTTTGGCTGCTGGTTGGAAATTGGAAACTGAGACTTGCGTGCAGCCTACCGAGGGGCTCCTAGATGGACAATGGGAAGTATCTGCTTGTCTTTCTCCTTCTTTTGAGAAGCAGATCGAGGAGTTTCTAGGTGATGGGAGAGATAGAGATGTGGTTCTTGCGTTGAGGGATGCATGTGAGGCAAGTTTAGAAGTTGTGCAGGAAGGTCGCAAGGGAGTAAAGTCAATGGATGTTTGGGTTGCAAGTTTTGTTTGATACGATCGACTTAGCGGTCTATCGAGGGGTAAATAGACCGTCCACATTGAGGACATCCTCAACATCATAGAATAACATTTCGGTGTTGAGCAGGTATCCATTTCTGACCTCTAAGGACCTATAACATGACACATACAGCCTTTTTCACGGATGATCGCGCGTGATGGATGGCAGGCAAATCTCCGCTTCTGCATATACAAGTTTCGCAGCGGATGGGTGGTGTGACCGACTTCCAAGTCAGAAACAAGCGATCTGCAAGTCTCAGACTATCCATCAGCTGTGCAAACATCACAAATGAGGTATAAGTGATATGATCACTTCCAAGCACAAGTTTGTCTGTTCAGCGATCGGACTTTCGTCTCGCTGATACAGTCATCGAATCCAGGCAACCACCGCACACCCATTATTCCCTCCAATCGAACCTCCTACAAGACCTGCACGTCCAACACACTTCACCGCCCACAATCCGGAATCGATTGGTCATCTCTCTTTTCCCACACATCCAGCAACGTGGCGGCCAGGTCTCCTGACTCTCTGCCGGAGCTCGCGGGAGACCATGTGTAGGAAATGGCGCAAAACCTCCACCTTTGTTGTGCTGAGGGAAATTTTCAGCGACACGGATATAGCTGATGTTTGTATAGGTTTGTTGGAACATTAGGGGAGTTATCCGGGCGTTGCGGATGAATCGGCATGTCGCTGTCAGGAAGAGAGCTGATGGAAAATCGAGAACTTTATAGATCTCCCATAGAAGCTCGCAGGGCAAGTTCAGAAGACGGGCTTGCGTATCTTCGACTGAGTGTTCTTGCATTGTTTTCAAGATGCGAAAAAGATGTAGTTACTTGGTTATCTGCTGATGCGATGGTTTTGTGACTGGCGGGGTCAATGGTCATATAGCGGCACGTACAGCTGCACATAAGCGCCCACTGGAGAATTCTGTGGACCGATCAGAAAGTTTGGGATATCCATTGAGCTATTGAGCATAGTGTCTAATTATGGTAACTTGTTCTACAAGCTCTGTGCCTAGCATCTTCTGACATCCACTCTGGCATAAAATGATTTCGTCAATAGCCACTTACTGTCTCCGTACCTTCTGATCTCTGCTTCCTCTAGAGCAGCTCAAGCACCCGACTCGCGAACAATCACAACGTCACGCGCATGATCCTCTGCCATTAAGCCTCGCTCACGAAGTTCCATAAAAGAGACCTCTCTGAGTCTTTCGATACGCTCCCAAGCCCTGCGAACAAAGCGCCAACGAGTCGAGCTGTCGGAGATCGTCAGTCGAACTGGTTGTCCGAAAGATACTTCGATTCTGACTCTTTGCTTGTCCTCATGGGTACCCATCCAGTATTTAAGCCCCTCTTGTAGTTCACCAGAAGGCAACTTTTTCCAGTCATCCGCTCCTAGCCACCGATACTGACAAACCGATGTGCTCAGGGCGGAAACACGATTTTGCCATCGTGGACAAGGTGTGTTCTGACATTTGACAAGTCGTGTTTCACCGAGCAGACACGTGTTTGTCAAGCAGGAAAAAGTTGCAGATCGTTCTGTGTCCATAAGGACCCACGTCAAGGCTCGAGCATCCTTCAGCGAAACGTGTATACAAGCGTCTGAGTTACCATATTGAGGGCAAGCAAGAACGAGCTTGCCATCACCGTTAATTCCAGTCCAGCGAATCTTTTGGAGGATATAGTCAAGGAAGATATTCAAGCCACGTTGCAAGTGATGCTTCAGCTTCTTGGCCCAGTCTCGAAATGTTGGCTTTCTGAGTGCTTCAAGAAGTCCTCCACGTTGCATTGATGGTCGCGTTTAACAACTGTCCTCCTTGCAGCCCACTCTGCACTTCCCGCAGATTCTACCCAGCAGGCCATGTGCCAAGCTCCTTGATCTCACTCGTGGTGGTCGATCTTGAGACAGTGTTGTATCTTTCTGATATGACGGGACAGCTTTCATTTATGAAAGAGGACGTTCCGATGGTAATAAAGCGATCCTGACTGATGAATAAGCGCTCTGCGGGTTCGTCAATGGATCCGGCCTTCCAGTGCATTTTCCATGAAGTTTCTGGTTGATAGATGACGCCACCTCGAATCGAGATCCCAATCAGTGACAGATATCGTGATTCATTTCCCGAATTATACAGCGACGAAGCTGGTGATTCAGATCCCGAATCCTGCGATATGTATGTGCCAGGGCCCCAGAGGCTCAAGAGATCTTCTGGCGTGATAAGAAAGTCGTGTCTCGCATGAGGCTCTAGAGCTCGCACTGTGAAGGCCATGACTTCCGAGTCGATCATATCTCCAGCACAAGTCAGGTTCACTAGCTGAAAGCAGGTTTGACCACCGGGTGATCCCGCGGTCCCGTTGAGCCTGACTTGCGATAGAGAGTGCTCCAAGAAAAAAGGACTCATCTCTCCAATATGCGCTTGCCCGAAGGACAAGGCTGCAACACAAAGCGCCTGTACAGCTAGAGCACATCTGGCAGTGGTCTGGCGCGGATTACCTTGGAAGCGTTCTTTTGGGATGAACAAATGATCCAAGACATCATTACTTGCTAGCCAGAGTCTCTTGACGCAATCTATAGTAGAGGTCCCATTCGCAACATATATGCTCGTACCTGGAGTAACCGACTCAAGTACACAGCGCTCCAGACTTGCGACGTAGTCGACAGGGAACCGAATAGCTTGAACTTGGTCCTGGTCGTTGATGCTGAGAATGACAAAATAGTCGCTCACCACTTCCTTTGACTGCAGCCATTGGAGGAGTTTGACCAGGCGGACCAGAACATGATGACACTGGCCAAGAACGTCATGGACCCATTACCTATCTGTTTGCGCAGGCGACCCGTAACAAATTGACGCAACATGGTCGAAAGAATGAATTTTTACATCGTCGTTCCATAGCGTGCGACCATGGGGTGTAGGTATAACTCCACCAAGACCGCAGAGCTCAGATATCTTTCGTTTGACCTCAGCTACGGTAGGCTTGCCAGAATTGTGAGGCCGGGCAGGTTGAACGTAGTCTGATCGATAAGGCGTGGCATCTTCCTCATGCTCAGCTGGCGAAGTCAACTCGTAACAGATCCAGGGACTTTGTTCTGCATCTTCAAAAATGAGGTCGACGACCTCCCTCGAGGTCAGGCCAATCGCGAACAGGTCCTTGAGCCAATCAAAAGCATTTCCGGGTCGAGTCAAAGCATCAGCATGTGTGTCCAGCAATCTGATACAAGTCTTTCCGTCCTTTGCTTCGATACCGGCTGCCAAAGCTACCTGAGGGTCCTGCGCAATGCCGGCATTTGGAAGAGGGGAGGCAAGAGACGACTCTTGGTGCGGAACCTGCGATGGCTGTTCTGAAGGCGAAGGTGACGCCATGGTGTATGGCTCGGAGATGGAGGAGGAAGCTGAAGGATTTATAAGTCGCAAATCTTGAGTTAAATGCTTCAAGATAGCGACAAATGTCCTTCCGGGATCCGTAAGTCTAAGGCAGTGTCGACATGCATCGTTGCTGGGACAGCAAACTACAGCTAGTATTTGCTAAGTCTATCGAATGAATGGTGGTATTGTCGGTATTGTCTTGGGTGCATGACAACCCTTAAGTACAATAGTTCGATTTGCAATGGGGCTGACGCACGAAGCAATTGCTTCGGGGCTTGTTGTGCTGTTCACGAAGATTTCAAGCTGTCAACGAGTCGGCGAGCCCCATAACATGGCACTCGCAATCATCGAGGCATGAAAGCCAACGTCGTCGGGAAAGCAAGAAGATCAGATGTGCAAACATGGAAGAGAGGTGCGAGAAGGCGGTGGAAAGCCTCGGTGCAGGCCAGAACCGGCGGAAGTGGTGTTTGCAACGACCCGCGTTGTCAACATCGAATTCATGGCGACATCACCGTGTCACATATGCCAAGGACTACATCTTTGCTCGCAACGCATCTCGTGTTCTTTCTGCACACAAGACGCATGTACGACCACATCAAAGGGTTATTTCTTGATCCAGATATGGACCATAGCTGATCTGCAATATTGTTCGCAGCATGGCGGTCACCTGGACAGTCTTGGTATCTTGGCCCAACAGCTCCGTTGCTATTTTGCGACCGAAGAACGATATGTGAAGCAGATCGGTGTTTTGACTGCATGTGAGTGTTGTAACAATTCACGCCATGGCTCCGGCACAGTACGAGGTCTGATATGATACTATTCTCGCTGCATTATAATTCTCATCTGCCTGCCCAAGCGGTCGCTGCTTCTGCATTCGGTTTTTGCAAAGCGACTAGACGTCGTGTGCGGACCTGACCCAACTTCACAATGCGTATACCTAAATTTCTAGCACTCTTTGTGGGGACGAAGGCTGCATGGGCCGCTTGTCCTGGTCCTCTTGTCATCGACGATTTTTCGAAATGGTCGTCTAATCTGAACAGTCTAAATGAATGGGCCAGCCGTATATCAATCGACTTTCATGTATTTCGCTTTTCTTTGGTTATCGTCTCTGCTGCAGCTCTGTGTTCCTTCCTAGCAGAGCCTTTTGCTAAGTTATCCAGACGATGGCTCCATTTCGGCCAGCGCAGCCAATGGCAAGCTGTCTGTAGTGTCCAACGCCAATTCATACTTCTACGAGACCTTCCCATGTCAGGCTGCCTCTTGGCCCGTCAAGCGCAAATCATGGTGACAGATATGTGCTTTGCCTCGAAGTGATCTCTATAACGTAAGCCATGACAGTCAACAGTAACGAGAAAGATCTTCTGTTTGGAAAGCACAGATCTACACTCGGGAGTCAATACAAGACCAGAGTGCAAACCATGCTGAAAAGTCTGGCCAGGTAGACTGACGGGCACTCTAAGAAGGGCCTGCGTGAAGGCACGTTCTCACAGACCAAGTCACACGAATGATCAAATCAATGTCCAAGGATATCTTCTTCGGTTATTGTGTAGCTACTGTACAAAGAGGACCTGCCTCACTGTCGTCGATTCAAGGAAGAATATGTTTTCACGACGTTTAACCAAGGGGAGCACCACACAGCAGAGCTTGGCCAAGCTGTAAGAGTCGTTAGTCTGACAATCTTTGAACACAGCCTCAGATGAAAACTCACAATTGGGATTGCGCAGCAGCGAGCCTGTTGCCCCTCTTCGGCGCAAATGTTGATGAAGTCCTCTGCGCTGGTAGGGGTTGTGGGGGCTGGGAAAAAATTGATATCAGTACATGTGGTGATAGAGGACAGGCAACTCAATGCTTACGGTTTGCGCAGTTCAAGTCAGCGAGACCGAGAACATCAGTGGCACAACATTGGATGTTGCTGTATGTGCCGGTGCAGATGCCAACTTGGCGGGCTGAGACGTCGGCAGGGGCTGCTGCGACGAGGGCGCTGCCGATGAAGGCGGAGATGATGGTTGAGGCGAGCATTTTGGTGGTAGATGTGAAGTTGGAAGAGTAGTTTGGAAGGAAGATATTGTTATGATTGATAAAGATGCTGGTGTGATTAATTGAGCAGGCTCTGCACGAAAGGTACGCTTCTTTATACCCGTCTCTTTCTTATGGTCAACTTGATTTTGGTGTGAGCATTCTCAAGTCCTTGGTCGGACGATCGTCATCTCTGTGTTCAAGTCACTCTTGACCCTTGGGTGATCAGCTATAACGGGTCGTCTGCTCTTGCTGCCTCTCAAGACCTGCCGTAGGGGTCAGAAGCCTGTTAGATTGTTACATTGCAGTCGTTGCAAGGATGTGACCAATTGAGATCAGATATCGACCATCATCAGAAGAAGCCGCTGACGGTAGTCGGGCGGTGCAGTGCCAGTGAGCCGAATCATCTGACGTTTATATGGTCCCTTAATATATTTTGTGTTCTGAAGTTGGAGGTGGTCTTTGTTCTTGAACCCGTCCCATGACGATTGTTGCACACACGCGAAGCTCGTAGCATTGTTTAGCTCATGTCCAGAGGTGGGACGACTGCCCCGTCCTTTTAGTATGTTTGAGATTGAAGCTGATCGTCAGTTTTTCAGCTTCAATCGTGCTTGGATTTGTTGAAAATAGAAACTGCATCGCGGAATGAGAGAAGGTGGTTGAAAGGCAAAGGAGTGGGGAAAGCAGGAACTCGGCCGACGCTTGCGCCTTGATTGGCCATGCCGCCTTCGGTTCTCTCCGATCGTCATGAAACTTCTGTCAACAACAAGCCGCTCGAACCCTGAAAGTTGGAAATTCGGATGCAGGTTGAACGTCATCAGAAATCGCTACCATTGAGTTGTGAAAAATTCCTTCCACTCCAACTCGAACCCGCGTCCTCCTTCGCTACCTCACGAAAATCCAATGGGTACGATGCAGCGTCATCATCTGAGTCCAAGGATCATGGCACAATCCCTGCTGGAGTCCTCGCCGCGTCATCCTCCACTTCGGCACTTCACACGGCCAAGGTCCAGAGAGGTGATATGGTCTATCAGGAATTCCGGCCCGGAATGAACGTCAAGGTATCAACAAGGAAAGTCTTGTGATTCTAGCCAAGACGATGTTGCACTGGACAATGCCGAGCGGGCTGTTCTAAGATCATCCAGCTCTTGCACCTTGAATCTTAGCACATCTACAAGCATAGCTGTCTGATTCCGATTGTAAAAGTCGAGGAGCAGACTCTCGACAAGCGTTTTTTGATCGTGATCTGAAGATCCAATCCAGGCTGCGCACAGGCAAAGGCTGGCATACGAATTACCCAGCGGTGCATATCGCTCTGCTTCCAGAGTCAAGGTGAGGAGTTCGCTGCTCCGCTGTTCCGCCTCTTGGGACAGATCTCGACTTGACGTGACATCGATAGCATAGAGCACGCGATTCAGCAAGACGAGCACCGCTACATTGATGGAATGGGCACGCTGATAGAGAGCATGGGCGTATGCTGTCGAGTCCGGTCTCTGTGTATCGGACGACGCTTTAGTCTGCTCCAAACATTGTCGAGAAGCAGATGTCAAGGCTTGGAGTTTCTGATGATTCAATTCAACGTCTGCGACAAGTCCTGGCTCTTCAAAGATCATCTTGCGTCCACGGATGAGATGACCAGGAATAAGGGAAAAACAGCGCATCATTATGCATCCAGGATAGTTCTGGTTGAAGGATCTTCAATCAGACTCTCCCAGTCACATGGACTAAGTACCATGTTGGGATTGAAGATGCCCTCAAAAAGCTGGAGAAGTCAGGTATGATCCAATCGCGACGTCCTTCTTACACGACTTACCATGGAGGCGCTCAGAGATGCGATTACACCAGCTTCAAAATCATCATGCACTTCCGTAGCACGATAACCTCTAGCTTTGAGTATCCGGGCTGCACCCTCAGCATGCCCAGTCCAACGATTTTCTGATCCTATTAATGCCTGCAAAAACAGTTAATCGCTAACGTCACTGCGACGATGGCTGGCAGAACTTACTTGGCATATAAGAAGCAACTGGATGGCACACAGTATCTCGGGAGTCTGTGCCGTCACGATATCGTTGACGGCAAGCCTCAGGTGAGCAAGCGCCCGTGAATAGTCAACAAGTGCATTCGGCGATACTTGACGACGACTGATACAATGACTGGAATGTGCTGCTACGACAGCTTTGGCGGCAGCGTCCAACGCTGAACTTCTACCGAGCCTCTGAGGCACATGCTCGAGAAAGGGTCCAAAAGCCCAAGCGAGGTTGTATTTGAGGTCCACGAGGGGAGTCATCGTCTGTATAATTGAAGCGGCAAGAAGATCCGTTGTACTGGCAGGAAGAACAAGAGTGCCGATGCCGATAGGCTTCAGCACGTTATGGCTGGCTGGAGATGTGCTGCAGCCTCGATTCGTGATAAACTTGTATCTGCGCTCCCCTGACCCCTCGCAGCTGAGTCCAAGACGAAGACATCGTGAGCAGTCTGGCTTTCTTTGGTCGCACTTCCTATAATTCAGCCGTCGTGTTCCGGGTCTGAACGGCGGGCATCGCAGACCTTCTTTTTCTGTTTGCGGCAGCCCTCACAGCCGCGTCCTGACGGAACACCAGGCATCTTGACCCCACGTAAAGCTGACCGACTTTCAGGCACCTGGGTTGGACCATGATACTTGTTGGAAAGGAACAGAGAACGTAGGTCTGAAGCTGGGGCGGCGCAGGATTGCAGAGCGCCGCATATGACCTATTTCGGACTAGTCTGCCCGCTGAGGTACGACACAACTTGCAGCCACTCATCTTCGACGACGCTGCCTCTCTACGGTAATTTTATGTCATCTCGAAGTGACAGACACGAGAAGAGGATTTCCTATCTTTTGAGAAACACCAAACGTTCCTCGGACTCCCCATTCAAATGGCAAGTGCTACAGTGTGTCGCAGACCGATGATCAGCACGCCTCGCATTTGGATGAGCGCGGTTAGCAAAGTTTCCCACTTTGTCTTGATCCATTGCACTCTTTTCTCGTACTTAGGAACTCCTGCACGATGTTCTTGAACGTTTCTTGTCGACTGACTAACCACATCTGGCGCCATGTAGCGCTGCGGTGAGCATCCTGGCGATGTGGCTATGCCATGAAACAGAAACCCTCACTGACCAAACTGTCAACATGACAACATATATATACATGGTCTGCTATCGTCTTACATCGATGTTCATTTTCTAGCTTACACCGTTCGCATCTGCCACACCTCGCACTCACAGCAATTCAGATCACCATGACCGAGTCAAACAGTGTCTATCCTTACCCACCCAGCCATGCTGCACCTATCGTCCTATCTATTATCTTGGCTGCATCTTTAGTTCTACATATCTACCAAGGCTTGTAGGAAGTTGTCGCTCAACGATCGTAACCAATATACTCACACGATTCCAGCAAATATCGTCTCAGAGGACTCGCATACTTCATGATATGGGGCGGCATAGTCTTCATCACTGGCTGGATCCTCCGCACTGTCTCGAGCTACGACACATCAAACCTCAACCTCTACATCGCACAATACGTGTTCATCTACGCTGGCCCGCCAATCCTTGGAGCAGCATTATATAGCGTTCTTGGCCGTCTGCTTCGATATCTACCTATGCATGCACCTCTAAATCCCGATCGTGTCATGGTCCTCTTCATCTATCTCGGCGCTACAGTCGAAGGTCTGACGGCTGCGGGAGCAAGTCTAATAGCCACATCCAAGATTGATGCGGCACAGCGACAGTCCGGGGCCACACTGATCAGTATTGCGCTGGTCTTGCAAGCAGTGATTGAGCTTGTTTTCATCATCATGGTTGCAATAGTACATCGACGCTGCGTTATGGCAAACACTTTGCCTAGAAACATTCGCCGGCTTTGTATCATGTTGTATGGAACATCAACTTTAATCTTCATACGCTGCATTTTCCGCGCTATCGAGTCCTTCGCTACAATCTCAGCAACCTCGACTTGCAATGATATATGTCGCACGGTTCTACTGCATGAATGGTATCTTTACGTCTTCGAGGCATTGCCAATGGTGTTGTATACCTGGTGGATCAATGCGATGTACCCTGGCGCCCTGTTGCCCCGAGACCGCAATGTGTATCTGGGCCTCGATGGTTTGACTGAGAGACGCGGTCCTGGTTGGATTGATAAGAGGTCTCGATGGGAAACTTTTGCTGATCCTTTTGACATCGGTGGTTTGATGAAGGGGCGGCAAAATCATGAGAAGTTTTGGCTGGAGCCTGAGAAGTGGATGAAGGTTTAATACGTTGTATCGAATTCATGCCTGTAGTGGGTGATATTGAGATGTTGTTTTAGAACGAGGGTGTTTGTCGCTCTAAGCAGTGCCAAACATTAATGTCACATCCCAGTTTCACCTAGACAGACACATATCCCGCCTGTCTGATCTTTCTCGCGCCTGATATACTGCCTACACTGTCTGCGGCGTGGCTGTTGCAGAATCATCGGTCTCCACCTTGTCATCGTGAAGCGCAAACTTGCTATGCTCTCTGATTCTTCGTCCAAACTTCCAGAAGCCGAAAGCCACAATACAGTAAGCAGTAGCGATACCTGCCAATATGGAAGCTGCACCATTGTTTCCGACGTTCTTAAACATGGCAGTACCAAATAGAGGCAAAGCACCGCTCAACAAAGCTCGCATGATTGCCAAGGGTGCGTTCGCCGATGCCGCCCATGAGCCATATGTGTCTGTGAGATAGCCTGACAATACATAGTCGAACTCGCTGGCGGCGAAGCCAACGATGACGAGAGCCGACATCGAGACGAATGGCGAGACTGTCGCAACGGCGGACGGGATGGTCCAAGCAAAGTACCAACTTGCTACAGCAAGCAGAGGAGCTGCCAGATAAAACCCAAACAGTTTGTCTTCGGGTACTGCGGGCGCGTTCTTTTTCCTCTGCCTATTGGAGATGTTGATGTCGTAGAAACGAGGCAATAGAGAGAATATGGACCCGATGGTGAAGGTCAGGTTGATAAGACTGCTTTGTCTTGCAGCATACCCAAAGCCATCAGAATAAACCACATTGATGGCTTCTGTGAAGAGATATACTGTTGCATATACGATTGAGCATACAAGGGAGACGGAGGTGACGATGGGCTCCGTGAAAAAGAGTTGGGCAGGACGTGTCAGGCATTCAGACACAAAGGTCTTCAATGTGGGTGGGGTCTCTTCGACAAGAGGACGAAATTCGGCCTTAGGCCTGGTTAGATTGTTAGCATTTTCAAAGATGACGCAATGGGTCAGTGGTATCTTACATGTCTTTGTGTTCGTTAGTGACTTTCTTGATTGCAGTCTCCAGTAGTTTGCTTGCCCTGCTTTCCTTTAGAAACACAGCCAGTAGTGTAGTAACAGCAGTCAGTATAGCTGCAATCCAATATGTCCATTGCCTAAAATTGATCAGCAAGCAACTTTGTTGGAAGGATGAATTGAGACCAACCATCCAAGTGTGGACGTGGCGAGATATGTCCCCATGACTGGCCCTATCCCTAAGCTTGCAACAGCAGCGATGACCCATATACTCAATGTCCATATTCTTGCCCTCGCATCCCAGATGTCTTCAAGTGACCCACACGCCACTGTACTGGGCAGAGCGCTGGCGAAGCCTGAGAAAAATCGTCCCACTACGACCCCAGCAACATGATTGGGGGCTGCGACCACGATATTGGAAACAGAGAACAAGGCGCAGCCAATAATGTATGAAGGTCGACGACCAAAGCTTTCGGTAAACGGCGGAAGTACCAGACTTCCTATAGCCTGGCCCACCAAATATCTGCGGTTTCTGTGAGCTGTACGACTCGCAAGAGAGTGATGTGACATTTACAAGGTTGTGAAGCAAAATATTGCTACCGTCTCCGAGATTTCCAATCCTTCTGCAGCATAACTTGCTGAAGCGGTCTAGGACGGGCAATAGTCAGGATTCTGCAGGAGGAGACGAATGACCAGCACCTTACCCCAGTATTGCTAAAGGCTGTTCTGAGACTGAATTAGTAGGACTCAAATCAATGATATAGTGTGAGCTCACGCCAGAAATTCGAAAAGAATCACCAAGAACGAGTCGTAAAATTTCCGATTGGTGTTCCAGTCTCGGGGATGCTGTGTTCCCCCCTCTTTCCAGTAGACTAGGCCCTCCTTCATGAGAGCAAGGCCGTACTTAGAGAAGTCGGTATGAACACCGTCATCTGTGCAGCTTGAGTCGTTAATGTCCTTCTGTTTTCTGGACGCATTTGACGAGTTGTCATTGTCGCATCTCAATGTTTCTTGACTGCTGAGCATAACACCACAATTGTGTGCTGCGATGTTGATATCGGACAAAAATCTCGTTTGCTACGCAGGCAGCTTGTTCGATTATATTTACGAGGCTGATATGGAGATTTCTTTAAGGATGAATGAGAGATGATGAGAGTGAAAGATGTGTCGTTTTGGTTGAATATCCATGCGCCGCCCAAGACGATCATCTATAGCCATTCTCTCTTCATAGCTTCTTCTAAAGGAGAACACGATCTCAACTTCGAATCTGGGTGCGAGTCCTGAGCACAAATAGGTGCGTTGGCCTCATGTGGTTAAAGCATAAAAGTTGTGACGTCATTCTTGCTTCTTTGCTCAACATTTCGAAGCAGATCCCTCTCCACTGCCGTAAAGACGGTTAACAATGTGATGCGTGCATTACGGAGCAATCGAGATTGGAAGGCCCCGACTGTAAAAGCAGTATGATTCTGTTGTCTGGAAATGTCAATTGAAAGGAAGCCGGCCACTGGTCCAGGAATTCTGCTTGAACAAGACCTTGTTGTGTCCAGGAGTTGTAATTTATGAATAGATTGGAGTAACATGACTCGGGAGAGTCCTTGAAGCTTGCGCAACAGCGAAAGAGAATGTTTACGCACGTCATCTTCATACCCGAGATCCGGCAGTACTAATTGGTGGTGCGGCTCTTGCACTTCATACCGAGAGAGAATGACATCCTAACATCAGGAGATCCATCTCACTCCTTGACAATCTTCCGCCTGGTCGTAAAACTCCTGCACCCGCTCGAAGATCCAGTCCGATGTGGTATTAGTAGCAGATTGTCCTACATTGGGTCGAGAGGTTGTCAGACACTTATCCTCAGCATTCACTTGATACTGAAGGCAACTTTTGTCCGCCACGCAGATGGCCCGACATTCTTGAAGGGAGTCTGCGGGACCCCGGTCGTCCGTGCAAAAATTATCCCAATGCGTGCGTGTAGCATTCATGCGAGGGAGAGCAAAAAGCTTGAAGATGTCTCGATGGCGCAAGAAACTGGTATTGTTCTGTGGATATGCGTTAGCAACGTACGCATGTCGAGGTTGGGCTCTCGAGATGACGAACTGTATCTGACATCCATGTCTTCTCGAAATCAAACAGATCTTGAATGACCGATGGCGAGACGTGGTGATATGAGACGGTAGGCTGGCACCACAGCTTTGTATAATTGTAATTCATGTTTCCAACGTCGTCACCTTGAAATATAGGCCAAGCCCATGTCAACGATGTGCCGGCGTCTTTGAGAGCTTTTCCAAGTACACAATCGCCAGCCCAGTGACCTTCCGTAAAGTCTTCGTATTCTCTCTGATGAGCTTGATATTGAGCCACCACACTCTCGAGGGCGGGCCGAGAGACGATGAACCCCATACCTCCATGAGCGAATATCACGTCGCCAATTTGCATTTCTCCTCCAAGATAGTACGATTTCGTCCAGTCGAGATTCGATAAATAGACCAACAATGTCTGCCAGAATATGAAAGTGTCAGGCTCGACGAAAATGTACCATTTCTTGTCGGGATAGTCATGCAAAGTCCGGTTGACCATCGGAAGGAACTTGAATTTGTCCAGCTTCCTAGACACCGAGGTTAGCTGAATTCGCGACATGTACAGACTATGACCTTACCAGCCTGGATTTTCGGCCTTTCCAATACCATGATCAAGCCAGATTGACTGCCCGCTCAATTCATCCTGATGTAGTACGGACCTGCCGCCCTGCTTTAGTCGTCGCCATAGTTCGAAGTCCGGATTTGTGTCTTTCAGGTGCGAATCTACACTCTCCAGAGCGTCAATCACCTGACGGTTCTCAAAATCTTCTTCGTAGTCAGAGAAGATGATGCTATCAGGATAGCGGCGTAGTGTTGTAGCCATATGAATAGGCAGCTTGTCTTGAATCTCTGTCGAACCAGTCCTCATGACAACAACTGTGTCGTTCGCCCCAGGAAGATTCTTGTATTCGAAGCCGAGTGATGAGGGCGTGTAAGCATTGCGAAGCATTCGCTTTTCCAAGCTGGCGAACAAGGGTAGGTTAGCCCAAAAGAAAACAAGAAGCACACACACAGAAATCGCGCGAAGGTATGCCTGTGACTTTCGCCGTGAGAGCACAAGAAGGGGCTCCAGGCATCTCAACGAATGTCCCGCAGCGAGCATTTAAATTGGAGAGTAGTGTGGCGAAAGAGAGTGATCGTGTCCTGGGCTTGGAAGACACAAGTGCTGCTGTTCCTGGTCGAGATTCAGGCATTGACTTCCAATGCCCAATTCGGGCTGATAAATAATGGGACAGACATAGTGTCAGGAGGCCCAGCAATAGGCATCAACGCCAAGCGCGAGCCAACAACAGAGGCCTGCAGAGTGCCGCTGACCACCGTCACACCGAGAGCGCCTATATTCCTGGGTGCATACATATCGGAGCGTTCCTCCAATCAGAGGGCGCACGAAGCCGCCGCAAAGATTCGTGTCTACCCAAGGATCATATAGATTAATGAGGCTTCCCGCGAGCCGCATCTTCGGGTCTACTCGAGAACACGTTCAAGCATCTTGTTTTCCAATGAACGCAGGCGCTATGTTCCTTGATTGGCGCGGCAGTCGAAAGGCCAATTAAACTCCATGACTTTTGATGCACACAGAGGTGACAAGGTCACGATTCATGATGAATGTCCATGGAAGGTCGCTCCTGTCGAACATGGACCGTGCTCGAACAAGGCTGCCAAGATTATAACATCAAGACTCTGGCCTCGAAAACACCTGCGTGCTGGAGCAAATTGGAGCGACATACCTTGGACAAGGCTGTGAATGGAGCGACATACCTTGGACAAGGCTGTGAATCAGGTGGCGCGGCTGGACCGGCTGTAAATGCAGCCGCACGATATCTGCAAAGGTGAACTGAACATATCGGGATGTGACAATGCTGTTTGAAGATAAATGAACATGCATACAAGCGAGACAGCTCGATAGCCGCCCGGTAGCTCTAAGGCTTGAAGCACATACCGATGCACCGTATCATGACTGCCCGCGGGCGCAGACATAATTTAACCCGGCTCTGACTTTCAGTGGTGAGTCTCCCTTCGTACTTGATTCTTCCATTTACATATCCATCCTAGTCACGGTCTGACTGTATCTTGCAATGTCTCGCTCCGGTATTCACAGTAGTGTGATATGCACATTGCTGTTATTTGTTGCTACCATCGTCCGAGGCCAGACCACTACCTTTTCGACCCTTCCGCCTGCACCAACATACTCCGACGGAGAATTCACGAGTCCAGACACTAGTAGAAACCAGGTCATCGACAAAGGCGTCATTTGGAACGTTACCTGGGAGACAAGCTTCAACAGTGTCAACTTGTATCTCATATTTGGAGACGGATGGAACAGTCCAAAAGCGCTAACAAGTAACACGGCTCGAACCTTCTTGGTCCTCGCTTTACTGACACTTCGGCAGTCGGTACCACGGATACCTATTACATTTGGACGGTCGACGACTCTGGCAACAACACGCTGCCCTTCACATTTCGAATTGCCAATGCTCAAGGAACTGAAGATGAGCAAGCGAACGGTGGCTTTGCTACAGGCGGGTTCTGGATCCGCGATGATGCTTTAGCGAGCACGACTTCATCAAGCACGACGTCTTCGACCACGAGTACATCTAGCACACAAACATCTAGTACACAATCATCAAGCACGAGTATACCGAGCACGACTTCAACGAGTACTTCATCTACCATGACGGCCAGCCCAGCCAGCACGACTCCAATCAACCCCGCTACCAGTGATCGCTCTGCTCAGGGTACGTCGTACTCCGGACCCCCTCTATCTTCTTCTGGATCGCCTGCTCTTGAAACCAACACTTCAGCGCCGTCCCCCACCAACATATCCAGTCCTTCAGGCCTGTCCACCGGTACACTAGCTGGCATAGTAGTCGGTGCAGTAGCCTTACTTGCCATCATTATCGGCGCCTCTCTTTACTTCCGAAGACAGCGAAGACCTTTGCTATCACCGAAACACCAAGACCTGATGGAGATCCAGATGTCTCAAGATGGTCAATGGGGACATTCCAAGCCAACTTACACAGTCCATGATCCCTCGTCGTTTCATGAAAAATCAGCAGACGGGATTGTGGAATTGCCCAACTATCGATCCTCTCGTAGGCATGAGCTCGAGTGAAACCTTTCGCTTTCTTGGACATATTGATCTACCTCATTGCTTCATGATTCTGTTTCGCTTCACTCTTTCCCTAAAGATAATGTTTCTTCTATAGATATGTATGATAGCAAGCTTGACTTGCCCGAGCTTGTTCCACGAGAGTTAAGCCTGCCGTACACGCATCACATTTAAGGGCATCGTGCTCGCCCAACGTGATTCGCATTGCTGATGATTATCGTGCTTCCGTCTCGATGCCGTGGTTGGCAGACATGCCCATTGCAACCATGGTTGTCGCATGGCTGTTGCAGCCCTGCTTCCTTGTTTTTGCAGCCATGCATACATACTACAGCCATGTTTGATCCTTCCAGCCATGCTTGCTTATCACAATCAGGCATCTCAGTTGCAATGAAGATCTGCTATTGCAGCTGATTCTGCTTATTGCAGCCAGACTCGCTTCTTCTCGTCAGGCTGACTTATTATAGCCACGCTTAGTGTAATTGAACCCGCCATCTCGGGATGAGAGCATCCTCGTTGCACAACACAGTAAAGTAAACGGCGAGGAGCGGCAGGATCGGAGCCGTAGAGCCAACTGACCATATTCCTAATCAGGAACTTCATCCCTATCGTGGCGGTCCGGCGACTAGTAGCGGATGCGCCTCTGTATTGTACACCCACGTGTTCTTGATACCAGTCCTGCTGTCTTGAACGTCATACGGTGCATCCTGAGATCGTCAGCAAATCCAAAACCAGGAACTCACAAACTGCGAATGCTTGGTCTTCGAAACCCTCAGATGTAGTAGGAATGCATAATGCTCAAGAGGGCTACTCAGAAACTACCAAGCTGGGTCACGTACCTCAGGATCATTCTTGGGACAGGTCGTTCCACAAAGACCCAGCAGAATTTCGAGATGCTGAGCCCATAGAGTTGCCCAACTACCGCACGTCTCGTCGGCATGAGCTACCTTGAAATCTTGACTCTCTTTGTACGGCGTAGCTAGACCTTTGGCATACCCCTGTTTTGTACTCATGGCGTATCAGTAGTTCTCTCGATAGTTCATATTTAGCTTGTTCTAAGCTTAATACCACTGATTCGGGCCATGGTGTGATACCCCGAACACTCTAGCTGATTCTTACCATGTTCAATAGGCGTCGCCCAGCATGTGGGAGGTATGACCAGGCGGCAACGTTCGACTAAATACATGATGACCAACCTCTTTGAGAGACTCGGGCGCCAAAGGTCGACAATGGTCCGTCCGGAGGAAACAAACGAGAAGAAGAGAGGAAAAAGACAGATATCATGCATGTCAAACTCCCAAGCTCTCATCACCGTCGACAAAAGCGAGAAGCTCGCTTTCGTAGTCGTATTTCCTTCCCGACTTGATCGGGGTTCTCAAGTCTTGTTTCAGCTCCTCGGTCGTACTTGGCACTTTGACAGTAAATTTGACAGAGCGTCTAGTGTCTTTGGGATAGATATTGACAGAGACAGAATGAACGTCGTTCTTTACTCCGTCGTATAAGATGGGGACGCAGCTCACTTTTGATGGCGGGTCTCCAGAGGGAGTCATGTTGTGCGAACAACGAATTGATGGAGAATTGCGACCGGAGAAGGCAGCGACCCCTCGATCACGCCTTTTTGATCGACAAACATCGCATGCCAAGCGGCATCGTGCAACCCAATCAACGGAGCTCAAGCTTCAACAAGCAATCTGGACGTGCTTTACTGGAGCAGAACCTCTGAATGAATGATCCGCAAAGGGGAGTGACAGGCCAGGCAGGCAGGCTGATATTATGCCTGTTCCTCGTTCCCCGCGTGACTGACCATCCATCTGGATCGATTCTGCAGTTCAGAGCTTTATAAGATGGACGACGACTCCGAGCCCGTGGGCCCTGGTGTCGCTTTGTTGTCTCGCTCATCGTCAGACATCTCAGAGCAAGCTGTCCGTCGCAAGTTCAACATGACGCGAACAGGTACTTTGCGAGCCTACTATCTCGGCTGTGTAGTCTGTATGGGCGGCTTTTTGTTTGGCTACGACTCTGGAATCATTGGTACGACTGTTGGTCTCCTGTTCCTTAACCTTTGCTGAAGATGCTCTTCCCCAGGCGGAGTCCTAACTCTTGCATCCTTCGAAGATGACTTCGGCTATACCAAAAAAGAAGCAACACGCAACAGTTCTCTGTCGGTCGGCCTCCAACAACTCGGTGCTTTCCTCGCATGTTTTGCTATCTGGCCTGTCACGCATCGCTTCGGTCGCAAATGGGCTTTAGTACTGTGTTCGGCCATTTTCGTCATCGGAGCCATCATCCAAACTATCGACACTCACTCTTTCAGCGCTTTCCTGGCTGCTCGATTTGTTGCCGGCATCGGTCTAGGAGGCAGCAGTGTCGTTGTGCCCATGTTCTCGAGTGAGATGGCTCCAAAAGAACTGCGTGGTCAGATTGGCAGCTTCTATCAGCTCTTCTACACGCTTGGTAGGCAACTCATCGGCTGCGTCTCACACAACCATATCTGACAGTATCACAGGCATCTTCACCTCCTACTGGATCGACTACGGTGTAGGCAAGGACATTCCAACAAGCGAGGCCAAACAATGGCAAATCCCCATTGGCATCCAAATCCTCCCCGCCGCCCTTCTCGGCCTTGGAATGTTCACGCTCAAAGAATCGGTTCGCTGGCTGACCCTCAAAGGCCGCCACGCCGAAGCCTGGGAGTCTCTTCAATGGATTCGAGCCGATAGCGGACCCTCCACTCAACTCGAGATGGACGAAATCCGCTTGGGCGTGGAAACCGAATTGCGAGAAAAAGAAGGCTTCCAGCTCCGCGAACTCTACACCAAACCCGATAACCTCAAACGCACCATCACTGCCGCGGTAGTCTTTGTCGCTCAACAATCTACCGGAGCAACCGCCTTCGCAACCTACGGACCTCAATACTTCAAATTACTGGTGGGGAGCAAAGGTAACAACGACCTCCTGCTCACCGCAATCTTCGGCGCCATAAAAGTAGCCGCATGCCTCACCTTTGTCGTCTTTGTTGCCGAGCGTGTGAATCGCAAGATCGTGTTGACCCTTGGCGCCCTGGGGATGGCTGCCTGCCAGATCTGCACCGCTGCGATTGTGCGCTCGAAGCCTCCCCCTGGAGACGCAACTGTCACATCCTCTGGCATCGCCACCGTGGCGTTGATCTACCTGTTTGTTATGATATATAACTGGTCATGGGGTCCATTACCATGGCCTTACATCTCAGAGATTTTCCCTACAAGAATCAGAGAGCCTGGTATCGGTATAGCCGTATCCTCGCAATGGCTATTCAATTTCGTTTACTCAATCAGCACACCTTATATGATCAGAAACATGGGCTGGGGCACTTTCTTATTCTGGGGTATTGCGGATGTGGTGATTGCGGCAGGTGCTTGGTTGTTCTTGGATGAGACTAGAGGAAGAAGTTTGGAGGATATCACGCATACGACTGATGGAGTGAAGAGCTTCGGCGATGAGAGGGAGTATGGAGCTGGGCAAGGGGATGGTGGGAAGGGACCTGGTGTTGAGATTCGATAGGTCTTATTGATCATGAAGGCATCGGTGCAAGGGCTGGACAGACTGGACTAGGATATCCAGAGATCGTTCAGTGGACTCAAACGGAGACCTATTCATTTATGCATCCAGTGTTTTTGGAGGACAAAGGCCTGGTACAAATCCAGTCTGTCCGCTCCCACCACTGGAAGGCAAGAATACAAAATCTCTTCTTGTTTTTGCTTTCATGCGTTCAGTCGTTGTGCTGGCTTTACACGTCTGGTTGTCGATACTTTGACTAAAAAGGGGTCGCTGACGCGTCTATCAGACACAGTACATGCACCTCTTCTCCACCAAGCATATGCATCTCGTGGATAGCGGAAAGCCATACGGTAACCAAGTACTCACAACATAAAGCTTCTAGGGTAGATCGCAATGCTCTCCTGACAACACATTCCCTCAGTTATTTGAAATACTCAGCACTCGATTCACGAGCTCTGTTTTGTCAGGAAACAAAAACAGAGAGTTGACGATGTGTGTATCGAAGCGTCTTTCTCGTATTTGTTGAGCGCTTCATCTTCTCTGTTGTATACGACTGATCTTGATTCATATATGAATTGTCGAGATATCCTTCTGTCCGATAACCAGGCCATCGTTTCCTTACAGACCCATCTCTTCCACTTCACAAGCAACATTGATACCGAAAAAACGCACAAAGTCCAGACATTCCACCACTTCAACAAAGTACCTCTTGAATTACCGCGAACGACCGACTGTATCCCCACCCACAGCTACCCCGTTGACTCTCAGAGCTTTGAAGCTCTGTTTCGCAAGGATAATGCTCGTTTCTGCTTAATTGCTTCAGCCGTCATTTGCTCTTGCTGCTTTTGCTGTTTCACCATCAACAGTTGCTCTTGCATCTCCTTGCGCTGTTCCTCCCTCGCCAGCAACTCTCGAAGCATCAGCAAGCGCTTCATGTTCCGCTTTGACAGCGACTCTAACAGCAGTTGGTAGTCTTGCAACGCGGTGGGTTTCTTGTCTTGCATGTTGAGCGGTTGATACAGAGGTCGGTGCGGGAAGGGAAGTTTTCTAGCCCCTTTGGATGTATGGTGGAGCGTATGGTTGATGATTTGATGGGTTTGGAGGTTGAGGTGAGATGTAATATGCGTCGTGGACAGAGAAGGTAGTTCAGTTCGGTCGTGGAACCATCTAGTGGTCAGAGGCATGATCCACGCTTGGACCATGCCAGCCTGCATGCCGAGGTGGCACGACATGCATATCGGCGGCTGGAGAATGCGATGTATCATCTGGATAGAACGAAGCCCGTAAGTAATCTCCTCCGTGCGAGTATGAAGGATGCTCTTCCATCGGAACTTCGTATGCCGAGCGGACATGCGAGTACTGATGAAGCGACTCTTGTTGCAACGGAACTTGGATCGGAGTATACATTGCTTCTGATTGAGAATAGAAGATTCGGTAAGGCTCCAGATCGGTTAGCAAGGTATTCAAATCCATATCCCTAATGCCGGTCTTCAAGTTCCAGGCTTTTTTGTTAGCCGCCTTCACTGTAACACCAAGCTGTGCAGCTTCTTCATGCAACGCGCATAATTTGAGATGCAAGGAATTGAAGCTGTTTTGTAATTCGGTGTTCATGCAGCATATGTTGTGCACCAAGGTAGGCAGGCTTGTGGCATCATGTCCTTCGAGGTAAAAGGCATCAATTGAGATCTCAAGTTGTTGCAAGGTCTCGCCCAGGTTGATGAAATCCTGTAAGAGTTCTTGTTCCTGCCCGTACAGAGCTTGGCGACGATCGTCCGTGTCGCCGTGATCGCCGCCACTTTTCTCATCGCTTTGCAACTGTGACATTTCACCACCTTGGAGAGTCATGGAACTGGTTGCGGAGAAAGCGTCATCGCTGACTGTGGAGGGACACTCATTGCTGACCGTCTGCATTGTGTCGTTGGTATCAGCTTGGATGCTCAGTCGTCTCCTGGGCATCGAGCGTGGAATCGGAGGTAGTTCTGAGGGCGTCCACTGATCCCGATACATATTGGTCCGGCAGCAGTAGCCTGGTTCGACGGGTGTCGAGGGTCCCAAGACATAAGATTGTACACATCCAGGGGCATGGATGCCATATTCCTCAGCACCGTATGACATATGTGCGTCCGAGCTAACATCGCCATGCTCAGGCATCTGGTCAATGTATTCGTGCGAGTTGAGCGTTGTAGGAAGCCAAAGGCTATCGCCTCCAGTTTCGTCGTCACCGTTAACCAGAGAAGCCATAGCTGTGTTGTCAAGTGATAGTCCTGACATACCTATGTCCTCCAGCCAGTCAAATCCAGTCATGTTGAAGGAGAAGCTTTTGGTGAAACAGTTGGACAAAGATGTGACTTTATGAAAGTTGAGGAGGAGATTGATTGTTATGGCGAAGAAGTTTCAAAAGAGAACAGGTGTATTGTTTGGTCAGAATTGCGGGTTTCCCACGTGGTTGAGAGAATTAAGACGCCTTCTTCCCGCTAGGACTGGACGTCCACACAGGTTCGCGACATCAGGCCTGGGCAAGCTCAGGCACCACTCAATCTTTTAGTTGTTTGATGATGTCCAGTGAGATGTTGAGACCCTAGCATTGGATTGCAAAAAATTTTGCGACATCGGATCATGCAACGTTCTGCATCAATTCAGCGATATACTGCTCCACTTTCTTCGCAACCAGATCGTTGTGTTCTGTGCCGAGGTCAGAGCTTTTTCGTGCTGCAATCAAAGAGCAACTCACTTATACAGAAACCGTGAGGAGTGCCATGCATATCAATCTCCATAGTAGGTTTGTCTTCATCTCCCGACTGCCCTGTGGCAGCCCTGGCAGCAATGAGCTCATCTCGAGTCTCGTTGGCAACCCAATGGTCATCAGTGCCGAAGTAGAAGTAGAGTTTTGTCTTGTTGCTGCTCGAATTCTGTACTTTGGAAATGCCCCAGAGCTCATCGTCCCAAGCGTCTGCGGTTATGGTCTCCATCTCGTGACCCGCTAGGTACCTAGATCATGTTAGAGGTGAACATCGTGCAAATTCGGAGACTTGCAACACACAATGCTTGCCTGACACCACCCTGACTCTTGATGAAAGCGGTTGTGGGCTCTGCGGCCAGAGCAGGGAATCCAGTAACAAGACCAACGATTGCTTGTAGCACACCGAAAGGGACCCAGGAGAACAAGAGACGAACAACCACGCCTGCAATAGCGGCAAAGTACGGAATGGCAAAGAACAGCTGCGAGGACACTAATCAATGGATACGTCCAGTGGCAGACGGTGGTAGAAAACCACGTCTTTTTAACGGATGTGTTAGGACAGAGATGACATACACTGAACTTCTTGCCGCTCGGGCTCTTCGCAATGTGAGTGACTGTAGGAAACAAACAGATTCCACCAATGACCTTGGTATCATTGCTCAATTGCTGCGTTGTAGGACTTTGCTTTCGTCGTCTCAAGACCTCGAGTAGGATATATGAGCCAACCGAGTGGCCCATCAATATCACTTTCGTGGAAGACCCTTGCCTTGCATGGCTCTGAATTGTTCTTTCGAGCATCTGGCCTATATGCTCAATCTGTTGGTCCAGATCATATGGTCCTTCGGCTCCATCATTAGCTTGATGTTGACGGTTTTGGTCTTGAACACCAAATCCACGAAGGCTTGTTCCTGCAACTTTGATGTGAAGGTCTGAGTAGTTGGTACGAAGGCTATCGAAGCACAGTGTCAGAAACGTGCGATAGTATTCTATTAGGCCTGGATTGCCGGTGATGAAGAAGACCAGAAGTGGATCACGCGAAGAGCCCGTCGAGCCGACATGTGTGAGGTCGACCGAGTCTTGAATTGTCATTCTGAAGGGTTGCTGCACTAAGATCTTTTGACCAAGTTGAGTTGGTCGCAGCAAGTACGTTCATATGCGCAGAGCGTAGCGGCGGTGAGGAAGCCCCCTGTACTTGTCAATTGTCCGAAGCTAGTGATGGATCTAGTAATCGCTGATGGGAGTGTGCATTCTATCTCATCACTGCGAACAGTAAACAGAAGCGACGCAGTGAATCGTACAGAGGATGCAGATACTTCAGGCAGTCGCATTGGTTCATTGTTCTGCTATCGTCGTCAGGGCAAGACCAAAAGGGCGACGATACCTATCGTTGAGAGATCGCGATCGCAGCCGTCTTGTTCCGTTTTACGTGTGTTTCATCCGCCGCTCTTGACTGTTACCGCTCGAAGTAGAATTTGCGAGATGGCAGCTTCCTATTCGGCGTCGGCACAAGCTCCTTCCGAGGTGACTAGAGCGCTTTGAACAAGCAGATTCAAGCCACGGAAAACAAATGCCACAACGCGCCGAAGCAAAGATTCCCGCTCGCCATCTCGACGCACTCGCAACCCACGCCAGAGCGACACGCGCTGCACCACCACAAATCATCAACAAAGCACCACCACCCTCCACCGCCATCGCCAAAAATCACAATATTCACACGACCATCGAAATCGAACCTCTAATTTAGTACTGGACTCTTTTTGACTAATTATTTGCGTTGCGTTGACGCATCGCGCGAAGTTTGCCTCTACTCGCTGTTTTCCCCCCATCCCGCCTTTCGCGACACGCAAATTTTTCAGCGCTGGCAAGGACAGCTTTTCATTAATCGCAACGCCAAGCCTTTTTCTGACTGCATAAATTTTTCCATCCCATCACAACTTTGCATGAGAGTATGCAGAGCACTCGTGCCTCCGGTGCACGCTTCAGGCAGAGGAAACTCTCGACCAAGCATCCGCTACAGGTCGTCAAGGAGAATGAAATAGAGACCTTTGCCATCGATGAGGACCCTCAACGCCACATCCCTCATGTCGAGACCGGTGTCGAAAAGGCAGAAGAGACCGAACACCATCTCCAGGCTGTTATCTCGGCCGCTGCCGCCTCTTCGCTAGGTGCCAAAGTCAACCAAGTTTTTATCCCTACTCCAGAAACAAAGTCGAGTGGCATTCCCTATGATCAGTTATATCCACGACAATTTGCTGAACCTGCCACCTACATTCGCTTCAGTTCATCGGTCGAGGACTGTATCGGGCATCAGTACAATATTGACGAAGAGGATGACGTTTTCTTGCTGAACTTCAACTCTTCAAAGAAAGATGATGAGAAACTCTCGGAAGACATCTTCGAAGAATTGATGAGTTTCTTTGATCTCAAGTCCGACAAGAGTCATCCCTTCGCCAATATTTCCAACGCTCCGATCCTGACGTTCGAGGAAGCTGAGGGGTACTATGACGATCCAGAAGATGAAACAAACCTTTCAGTAGAGGCGCGAAAGTGGGCCAAGGAAGTGTATGAGCACTGGCATTCGAGAAGAGTGCAAAATGGCAATCGCTCTCTTCTGTCAAGTCTCAAGTTCGAAACTGGTGCCGATACTGACGACAACGACGCATATGTCTGTTTCAGACGCCGCGAAGTACGACAGGCTCGCAAGACCAGAGGTAGAGACGCTCAGGTGACTGAGAAGCTCAAGAAGCTGAGACGAGAGCTTGAAGATGCCAGGCAGCTTCTGATCTCTGTCAATCAGCGTGAGCGATTGATCAAGCAGAGGATAGAAACTGAACGTAGAGTGTTCGAACAGCGCAGTGAGTTGAAGAAGGTCAAGGTGCAGCAAGGGATCAAGGGTGAAAAGGGAGAAGACGAAGAACTCCTTGTTAACCAAAGAGTAAGTCATGATCTTCATACCTTTGTCGTGGTTCGCGCGCTGATGTTGAATAGCCCACGCCCAAGCCCAGACCAACAAAAGCCGATGGACAAAGACCCACGACATTGCGTCTCCCTGGCACGAGGACGGAAGCCGTTCGCGCAGCCCCAGAGAACGACCTTGTGCAGTTGTCAGACATCCAGGAGGAAGCAGCGGCGGCGATACAGCGATCAGTCGAAGAAAAGATTGGCCAGCATCGCAAGTGGAACAAAGATTGGGTCGACAATACTTGGGGACCAATCACACCACCAGCCGAGCCTTCATCAGCGTCTGGCTATCTGCCTCGCATCGAAGAGGTTCAGTTGCCGACACCTCCAGCTTCTTTGCGGTCGGAAACATCACAAGACCATGCCAAGGATGTCGAGATGAAAGATGCAGACCTACCTACACCGGTCAGTGCTGCGCAGGAACAAGCGCCTCGTACCATGTTCCGCTTTAACTCTCCGCCGCCTGAGCCAGGATATGAGAGACCCTCGTACAGACGGCGATTTGGTCGCAATGGGCGCTTGTTCATTGAACAACGCAAGCCGCGTATGTTTGTTCAGAGCAAAGGTGTGATTGGAGACTCTGACGACGAGAGTGATGGTGAGACGGTCGTGTATCCAATGGATTGTTACGACACGCTAGGCATCAGCTATCGGGCCAGCATCCTAGCGCCGCGCAGGCCAGTAGACCCGGCCGGCGACCACATGGCACAGCTGAGACGCGCAGGATCCAGCGGCGATGTGGCAATGACAGGCGGTGGGTCGACAGCGGGACATGGAACCAGTCATGGCCAGGGCGAAGGGGGCAGCTGATTTGAGCTTTTTTCTGGCGAAAACTTTTTGTGATACCACTTTTTTTTCTTCTCTTGACGGCCTTTGTATAGTAGATGAGAAACGTCAAGAATCGCTCGGTCTCAGAGACCTATTTTCCTCTCCAACCGGGGTCGAGTCCGAAGTCCGAAGTGGTGATTTCTTCGCTTGCGATAATTTGGTTATACAAGGCCGAGTCCTGGAGTGGGGGCAACGATGGCATGTGGAGATGCCGCGTTTGCCATCTTAGGAGCAAGATAGAAAAGATGAAGCCCACGAGAGGTGTGTCAAGGTTCCTTCCTTCCCTGGTATTCGTCGGTGGTGGTTGGAAGGGTGCGAATAAGGCGGCAAGCGGGGCGGTGGTAGTACAAGAAGAGGGGACGAGTCCAGGTGTTGAATAGAAGGTGTTACGAGCGAGTAGGGCAGAGGCTGACTGGGGAAGTATGCTCTCGTCAGGCGTCGAACAGGTGTGAAGAACTGGCGACAAGGAAGTCCATGACTGAGGCGGCTCTGTGTACTGACGGAAGCAGTAATCTTGTTTGGCGGACTGAAATGAGAAGGACCGAGCAAAGGACGTGGAGAAGGAGTGGAAGAGAAAATAGAGGCTGTAGGGGGGGACAGGACGACGACGAGGCAGCAATTGCAGGAAAAATGGCTGAAGTCGTTCTTTGCAGAGGTTGGTAGGAAATGCTATTGCAGGATAATATGGAAGAGCACAAGGCCAAGCCTAGGGCCATCGAGCGTTCGAGCTTTTCTTGGCGTCAAAGTCCCTTCTCCAAGTCCGTCTCTTAACACCGTCCGTCGTACCTGCCTCATACATTTTCAACATCCACCAAGATGGCTATCGCAATAGGTCTGGAAGGCTCTGCCAACAAGCTCGGTGTCGGTGTCATCCTTCACCCAACTTCCCAAGCCGACAGCCCCCAGACACAAAATGCTCCTTCGAAACATGACAGCCCTCCAGTTCAAATCTTGTCCAACCTGCGTCATACCTATGTCTCGCCTCCAGGCTCTGGTTTCTTGCCCAAGGATACAGCTGCTCACCATCGTCGCTGGGTCGTGCGTCTGGTCAAGCAGGCTATGAAGCAAGCCAAAATCTCAGTCGACGACATTGACTGCATCTGCTTTACCAAAGGCCCCGGTATGGGTGCCCCTCTCGGTGCCGTCGCTGTTGCTGCTCGCATGCTCTCCCTCCTCTGGAACAAGCCTCTTGTTGGCGTGAACCACTGTGTCGGCCATATTGAGATGGGCCGTGCCATCACCGGTGCCCAGAATCCTGTCGTCCTCTATGTCTCTGGCGGAAACACTCAGATCATTGCATACAGTGCTCAACGCTACCGTATCTTTGGCGAGGCTCTCGACATCGCTGTCGGCAATTGTCTTGACAGATTTGCTCGCGTTCTGGCTATCAGCAACGACCCTGCTCCTGGCTACAACATTGAACAAATGGCCAAGAAGGGCAAGGTTCTGGTCGAGCTCCCATACGCTGTCAAGGGCATGGACGTCAGTTTCTCAGGCATCCTCGCCCGTATTGAGGAGTTGGCAAAGAAGCTGGACGCTGGTCAGAACGCGAAGACTGAAGTGTGGAAGGATGAAGAGACGGGAGAGGATATTACTCGCGAAGATCTATGCTTCAGCTTACAGGAGACTGTTTTCGCCATGCTCGTCGAGATTACCGAACGCGCCATGGCTCATGTTGGTGCAAGTCAAGTTCTGATCGTTGGCGGTGTTGGCTGCAACGTGAGACTGCAGGACATGATGGGTATGATGGCCAGCGAGCGTGGAGGAAGTGTCTTTGCGACTGATGAACGCTTCTGCATCGACAATGGTATCATGATCGCCCACGCTGGTCTGCTCGCTTACCGTATGGGCCAGACTACAGACATCATGGACAGCAGTTGCACACAGAGGTTTAGAACTGATGAACCCTTGATCAATTGGAGAGACTAGGTCTCATGACCGAATCCCTCAACCGTCTGTATCTCCTCGATACTGTTCCCTCACTCTTTGGATCATCTCTATTGCAACTGCAATAGCAAAGTCCAGCTCGCGCAGACTCTTCAGTCATCATCAGAGTCCTCAGCCTTGATGAGCTTGGTTCTCTTGCGGATGAGAGATCTGCCCTCATCTTCGTCATCATCCGCGGCTTCGGCACTGTCGGCATTCTTGGTGCGCTTCTTGGAGGGAGTGGCTGCGGGAGCGCTCTTCTTGCCCTTAGGGGTGGCCTTGGGCTTGGCGGGAGTGTCTGCGTTGTTGCCGGTCAGCCGTGGCTCATAGTGCTTTGGATCATACAAACTCACTGGGTGCAGTGGGGAGAGCGTTACCATCGACGTCGGTGAAAAGCTTCTTCTTGATGACACCTAAAGTGGAGCAACAGTTAGCACAATCTGTACAAAAGGCGACGCAGAACAGTCCATAACCTATCCCAGGTGTTGGCGGTGGTCTTCATGGTGTTAAAGCCGGCAGCCACCATGAGTTTTCCCATGTCAATCTGGTCTTATTAGCTCAGTGCCTGAGGGAACATGTGTTGACGACTCACCTCGGGAGGACCGGACTTAAGACAGCGCCAGGCGGCCTTCAAGACCATCTCCTCCTTTTCGGTGAAGACAGGGCCCTTCTTGTCACCCTTGGTGGTAGACTCGCCCTTGTCAGAATCGTTGTCGGACATTGTTAGTGTGTTGAAAGTCAGACGGGATGAGTGGCTCGCGGCGGTGTGTGATGGAAGAGGAAGGGGAAGATCAAGAGGAAAGCTTTGCGATCTTGTTGGGCTTGATGGGCCAACCTTCACCTCTGTTGTGCCCGACAACACGGCCCGCCTTAGTTTCGATCTCTACGGATGTTTCTGTTGACACCGTCCAACGGACTTCCTTCTTTGGCCGCGGTCCATCAGCCCGATTTGCCTTAATCGCCTCCCTTTTCCTCTTCCCATACCTGTTTCCAAATCGAAACAAGCACTCGAAATCCAGAGCTCCCTCATATCTGTCTCATACATATTTGTGGATGATCGTTACGTCCATCAGTGGGAATTCTCGACCTCGATCTTTGGTTGCCCTTCGTATCCCGCAGCGAATTGTTTTTCTCGCAGTTGAGAGCTGCTTTGAGATACGATCGCGAATAGAGTGAACCGTTCCTACCTGAAGAACGTTGACCTTGACGTCGATCTTCTCCGTCAAAACAGTAACTACTGAGCAGCTGCCGCGGCCTTCAGTCAGTCCATAACTCCAGGTCGACGTGCACATATATATTCCTCCTCACCTTGTCCCTCTATCTCCTCTCTCTCCTCTTTCTCCTCTCTCGCACGTCACTCTCCAGTTCGAGTCATCCGACTAGGACTACCTTCCTCTTCACAACACACTTCTGGACTACATCATTCACAGTCCACCTTGATCACAGCATCTTACTTCAACATCCCTCTCTTACCTCGTATGCCCTCCACTTCCTCCTTGACCAACACTATCAACATTGACAGATCTTTGTATCAGAACTGATATGCGTGCAACACGCCTCCAGACCAAGAAGCGCGCCTCGATACGCAAACAGATCACCAACAACATCATGAGCAAGGGCAAGAGCGAGGAAGCTGCCGATCCGACTACCGCGATGGCGGGCAGTCCTACTGAAGATCTTCTCGCAGAACATGCTCCTGCTGGAGTGTTTCCCCTGCTCGATCTGCCTGGCGAAGTACTAAACATGATTATCAAGCACGCAGTTGCCGCGCCCGACAAGGAAATCATCATGCTCGAGAACGCCGCAACTCCTGCCCTCGCCCGTGTCAGCAGATATCTGCGCAAGAGCGTACTTCCTATCTACCTTGCCATCAACACATTCCGCGTCTTCACTGAAGAAGCTCCCATTGCCCAGAATCATCAGACTATGGAAGCCAAGTTCAAGATCCAGAACCAGGTCATGGAATGGTTGAAGCCGCTTGGCCACATGACACCCCTCTTCAAGAGCTTGATCATCCACTTTGGGGTGGAGGACGATGCTCAGCTCGTCCTGGAGTACTCGAGCGAGGAAAATGGCATCACAGTCAAACACGAGACCACATGCCGCTACTGCTACAAACTCGGCGAGCGCCTCCCCATCCTCCCTCGCGCTATTCTCGACAGCATGCCCCCTAACCTCAACCTTCGCCACCACATCGAGCAAGCCGAAGAGCGCAATACCATCATCGGCGACGAACATGCTCAGTCCATTGCAGACATCGAAGCCGATGTCTACAGCAAGCGTACCGGTATCAAGAGACACACCTTGGCTCTCAGTATGGCCAACATCATGGGCATTGAGCGTGTCATCAACCAGGGCCAGATGGTCTTCGCCATGGCTGTTCACACCATCAACATGAAGCGCCTCAAGGACACACCCAACATTATCAAGCACAAGGATGTGGAGTACATTCTCCGCAAAGACACAAGCATTTGAGAAATGGAGAATGCGGAAGAAAGACGAACTGAGAGTCAGATATCGACTGGGGCAGTGAGGCAGAGCTTTTGGTTTTCTTGCAATGCGTTGAGCTTCTTTTCGGAGGAAACGGTTATCGAAGGGGGCTTGGTCATGCAGACGAAGGACACTTTCTGACAGGTTTCTTCTGGGACTCTATCTTGCGATCACAATCTCGGAGCTTGGCTCTCCATTCTTGTATACTATCACGCGAAGGAAATCCAACACTGCATTTTCCATGATTACCAGATTCGTCCACGAGGATACGTCGAGAATCACAGGTAGTAAATCGCGCTCTCTAGAAGCAACAAAATTATAGACTCTCGAACCACATCAACGACTAATTGTATACTCCGTCGATGTGAGATGGAGCTAGAGTCTCCAGAAAATAAGAGACCAGGGTGACTGAGCAAGCCAAGGCCGAAGCTCGCCAGCAACTACGTCAACTTCGCGATCAACAAAACTTCCCAGTCGCAACCACGCGCTTTCTTCTTCACACACCACCCGTCGCACAACACCATGACATCTCTCTCCTTCTCCCTCGGCGGCTCTTCTTCGAAACCCTCTTCACGACCCTCACCCCCACCCACAAAAAGAGCAAACGGCACCAAACGCGACCATGCCGCTCTCCTCGACGACGCCAGCGACGACGAAGACACCACTCACAGCAAACGACAAACAATCACTCACTTCGACACAGCAGTCGGCGGCGCCATAAACGCCAAAGCCCCCAAAAAGGAAGAAAAGGCTCCATTGGTGATTTCGGCGCTCGCGAATCGAGATTGGAGGGAAGCGAGTAAACGGCAACGAGCGCAGAAATATGGCATTACTGCTGAACAGATGGATGCGACGAGTGCAGCGCAGATTGCGCAGGGAAGTGCGCAAGGAGCAGATAAAGTGGTTAAAGAGACGGAGGCTGTCAAGTATGGATTAAATGTCTTTGCGCCTAGCTCTGCTGTGCCAGAAGAAATTGTGGAAGAAGAGCAAGAGGAGGAAACACCACAACAGAAGACTGCAGAGCAACTCGCCATTGATGCTCTGACTGGTGCGGCACCAACATCAACACTCACGATTCCTTCCGCACAAGTCACGGAAGAAGACGCCTTTGCATCGTCCTTCCACTCTGCACCTCCCGCTCCTTCGTTATCAGACTACACCGCCGTCCCTGTAGAAGAATACGGCGCCGCCATGCTACGAGGCATGGGCTGGAAGGGCCCCTCCACGACTCCCTCCGCTCCAACGAAAAACGGCAAGAAGGCCCTTCCACCAGCGAAACGACCTGCATTGCTGGGTATCGGCGCAGACCCCAACGCAGCCCAACAATCCGAGGAACTAGGAGCCTGGGGCAAAGCCTCATCTCGCAGAGGCAAAGAACCAACAATGTTCATTCCAGTCTCTATGAAGAACAAACGTACTGGCGAAACTTTGACCGAAGAGGAACTCAAGAACAAAATACGCAGAGATAAGGAAGAGGCGGAAAACCAGCGTTTCGTGGTCAACGATTTGGAAATCAGAGATAAGAAGAGCACTAGCAGGAGAGATGACGGCGGCTCAAGGAGAAGAGACGATTATTCTGATGATGGTGAGGACAGGAGACGAAGGAGAGACAAGGAAAAAGACAGAAATTACGACCGCCACGACAGATCGAAAGACCATCGCGATCGCAGAGACAAAAGAGATCGTTCCCGCGACCATCGAGACAGCAAAAGAGATACTTCTCGCGATCGGTACGAGAAGAAGTCTTCATCGCATAGAAGAGAACGCTCCAAGTCCCGGGATCGCGATCACGAGAGAAGGGATAGAGACAGAGATTATGAGAGAAAAGACAGAGATAAAGATTATGAGAGAAGAGACAGAGATAAAGATTATGAGAGAAGAGACAGAGATAAAGATCACGAACGAAGAGACAGAGACAGAAGGGATCGATATGACGATGGTTACAAGTCTTCGAGTCGTAGGGATAGAAGTAGAGATGGAGGATATCGGTCTTCGCGTCGATAGGTACAAGGATAATATATATACAAAGATCTTTCTGATTGACGAGGAGAAATGATATCGAAACTTGTATCCTCACACTTTTGTTGCTTTCTTGCTATTTTGTGTTTGGAAAGATTATTGCTTCTCGTATGCAAGGATGTTGTGTGAACTGGTTATAGAAATGCGCGGTATCTCTAGTAGACAAGAAGGCTCCATCAAGCGCCCCTGAATCATCGTTTCTCCATGGACTTGATTTCCATATACAAAACACTGTGCATTTTCATAGCTTCGATCTCAGCTACTCGCAGCCGTAAGGCACAAGTCACGGTAGGTGACCCCTTTATCCTTCCCTCCCTCCTCTCCTCCCCTCGTCAACAAATCCGATGAGTTTTGCTTTCATCCGGTCTGATGCCAAAAGTGCTTTTTTCGGCTTCTGCCTCGACTTTTCTCTGGGATCCAGAAGTGCTTTGCTGTTGATTGATTTCTCATGCTCTTTCGCAGGGTCTCATACGGAGTCTACTGCTTTGAGAATGCATAGTTGGTCTCGTACGACAGTCACGTCCCGCAGAGAGTCGTGGTTTCCCGGGCTCTCCTTAGACACAGCTGCCATCTTGGAAACTACTGTGCATTTCTATAGCTCTTTTGAACATGACATATTCTTATACATGGATAGTATCTAAAATCACTGAGTCACAGCAGAAAGGCATGTTTCAGTGAAATCGGTTTGCGAGAGAAAGTGATTCAGATGTCGAGATCTATCTAAACTCCTTTGATCACTCTCCCTTTCCCTCTTCCTTACTTCTGGCCCTTTGATTTCTCCTCCTCCCTCCTCTCTCACTTCATCTCATCCTGCCTCTGTTTCCAAACATCATAATCCATCCCATCCCTATACGCCCCTGAATACTGCTTTTCAATCATCTCCTCTGAGATCGGCAAGTCGTACAGAGGTATCTCGTAGATTTCAGGCGGGTGGTCGAAGATCTCGGGGGCTTCGGTGACGTTCTCTCCGATGGTCGTGTCCAGCTAGGCGTGTAGATTGTGCCAGGTGGCAGATGCTTCTTGCTCGGTGATGGTGTCGCGGTCTGGGCGGTGGAGGTCGGCGAGGAGGGCGGTGTAGTCGAGGGGCACAGGGTAGGAGGAGAGAGTAGAGGAGGCGGAGGAGGCGGAGGAGGCGGAGGAAGCAGAAGAGGCAGAGGAAGCAGATGAGGTAGAGGAAGCAGCAGAGGAAGCAACTCCTGAAACAACCCCAGTATTTTGGGCCCGGGGACCCGATTCTTGCTCCTCCTCCTCCTCCTCCTCCTCCTCCTGCTGCCGTTCAGACCTCTGTTCCTCTATCTCCTGATTGATCTCAGCCCAGTCATGCTCTTCCCCCTCTTGCCCTCTCTGCCCCTGATCTCTCAGCGACACTGCCCGCTCTTGCGGCTCCTGAACCCACCACCAAAACTCCCACAAGCAATCCTCACTAACCCCCTGTCTCTGGCCCGCCCACCCCAAGAACCAAGCAAGCAACTCCCTCTTCTCCCTAAGCTCCATCTCTGCTGCTTCCACCGCTGCTGCAAAGTTACCGTGGTGGTACTTCATCTTTGCAATCTCCAGCGCGGTTGCAGCGCGAGAGTTGGCGGCGGCGAAGGAAAGCAGATGGGCGGTTACGCCATAGCACCATTCTTGGTACTTGGATGTGGCGGTGTTGGAGAAGGCGCGGGCGGAGAGAATATTGGCGTTCAGGAGGTTGAAGATGCGGGAGTAGATGGCGTTGAAGGAGGAGGAGGAGGGGGCTTGTTGCTGAGGAGCAGCAGAGGGTTGGTCAGGGAAGAGGGAAATGGAGCAGAGAGAAAAGGCAGAAGTGGCACTTTGGGAGGGGACGAGGATGAAGTCTTGGTGGGAACCCATTGTTGTTGTTGATGTCGTGATGGTCTCAATGGAAATTGATGGATTTGTGATGTCCTTTGTGATAAAGTATGCTGATGATACTTTGCTGATGTTGTTGTGAGATGAAGTCCAATATGACTTTGTGATGCTGGATAGCTTGTGTTGACGAGATTTCTTCTGTTGCGGATATCTCAAAGTTGGAGTAAAGCAGGTAAGGTACGTTTCAGGAGACTTGAAAAGTAGAGAGTGGTATGTGAAGCTAGTGCGTTGGATGCTGTGTTTCTGGATTCGTCTGCGATTCGGAGAACGAAGGAGAAAAGAGGAGAGCGAGGACGTTCGCTGTTTTGTATCTACCAGTATGACTCTTCTGTTGCGAAACTCATGAGAAACAGAATGGGAATGAATCTATCGTGACTCTTTCTGAGGTAGTTTGCGCGTGGTCGGTGACAGTCCGCGGTGGACTCGGCTGCGGATCACTCGCAGCCAATAGATTGGGTGTTAGGGAAGGGTTCAGTACACCGCCATCACTTTGGAGCTCGACGACATTGCGAAGGGAGTCGGGACAATGTCGAAGTGACGGTATGCTATAGCTTCCAGTACAACACATAATCGTCGACTCGAGTTCGCGAGGTACGGCGAGGTCCATACCGTGCTAAAACATGACCTGATGGTTTCCTGATCCGAAAATACGCCGCCAGCAGACATCGAGCGCATGAACAAGGAGTCAGATATTATTTCGGCGTACGACGACTCTCGCTAGACTAGATTCGGGGTGGCCGTGTTTGCGAGAACCTGGGACAAGGGCATGCCATGGGCATAGTCGTCTGGGACAAGCAATTTTAGTCCAACGTCGCGAGCGACATTGCGTGGATATCGAAATGCGGACCGGCGAGACCCGACGACGAGCAGTGGACGCAAAAAGAAACACCATGGGCAGGAGTCGAACCTGCGACCTCCCGATCGATGAGAGAATTAGAGACTTAGGTAAGCGAGCGTAGGAATTTAGGTCGGGATCGGGTGTGCTGACCACTGCACCACCATGGTCGGATGTGACATGATCAAACCAGTATATAAGGGTTGACAGAAGAGAGAAGCATTGGGTACGAGTGATCTCGGGTTGGCACTTGTGTACCTGAGGCGGCAGATCTGCGGGAAGCTTCGTCCATGTGTTGTACGTCCGCCATCCAGACAGGACAGCATTGGCTAGGTCCGAAAGGCATTTCTAGTGATGTGGTAATTTTTATCGTGCTTCTGACCGCAGTGTTCTCATCATGAACATCGTTAACAGTGTAAAACATGACGACGACCTTGTTGATATAGGATAGTGACCGAGTAGATCATGAGGTTCACACGTGCTCGCCGCTCTCCACCTGAGGTTCGATTAGTCGAGCTACCAGAGATGTTCAGAGTTGCGGAGCCTTTGTTGCGAAGAGCAACCGTGATAGAAAGTGGAAACTGTCATCGGTACAACCCGCTACTTTCGTCCCTGGTATCATCGGAGAATAGATTAGGATGTCTTGGATTGGAAGTGGGCTGTATTGAGGTCAAGATGTCTGAACGGTAAAGAAACAATCTGCACGCGAGACTGGAATCACTAGGCAGATCTGGGCACGGGTCAACGAGCAATGACAGCTGGGACAAGATGGGAGAGATAAAAGAATAATGGAATACAAACGCCTGGTTGACGTAACCTATTTCTATGGGGTATAATCCTGACCGTAGCGCCCACAAGATGGATAAAAGTGAAGGTATGAGAGATTGCGAGTAGAGGTTCAGTACTGAGGCGGGACGAAGGAGCTCTTGCTCGTTCGCTCATCGTAGACGTGGAAGCCGAATTCGGCAGCATTAGGAGGCGTGTATACTGCTCGAGATTAGCACATCAAATGCAAGACACGTGGCGAGGACCACTAACGATGCAGCGACATGGCCGGCTGTGTAGGGTTGGGGTTGAAGACGCGGTGAAGGCCGATCTGGTCGGAGATGTAGGTAACCTCGTCAGGATGGTAGACGGTTTCTTTCTTGACTTGCAGCGGATGGACAGAAGTGTCCCCAGATTCAGGCTTCTCGTAGATGGTCTCAGTCAGGTTGCCTTTGAGAATCTTCATGATACAGTGGGCATCGGCGTGATCGTGAATCAGACTGCCTTTGCCGGGGTTCCAGACGATAAGTATCAAGTTTGCTTTGCCGTTGACATTATCGACAATATTCCGTGTGTATCCTCTACTCTTATCTGCGCGAGCATAACGCTCCCAGTGCTTTAGGTTGGATGTGTATTTGGCCATGATGGCTTTGATATGGTCGGGGTCGACATGGGCCGAGTCGATGCCGGAAGATGGACCTAAGTACTGGCGGATCTCTTGCACGAGCTGACCGAAAGGGTCATCGGATACGGCGGCTTTGCAAGTGGCACAACAGTGCAGGTGAGGCTGGGTGGTGATATTGACCATGGAGGAGAGGGGAGTTGCAACAGACATGATGGAGTCGTGAAGCCAGACTGTGCTGCTGATATATCTAGACGGTCTTTAAATTATTTGTTGAAAGCAGTAATATGACTGAACGAGAAGCAAAAGGGAAGAAAGTGGTCATGGCATGTCTAGACGTGATATTTGTACTGATGGTTGCTCAAGCGAGAAGTCGGCGATATTTGACGCAATCACGCAAGTCAAGGGCTCATGTTTGAGAATGTCGCCGGCCTTTGACCGCGTGTGGGTGGGCTGACTCTTGTTTGACCGTTCAGATGAGCCATATCTCATAGAAATTAGCGCAGTCGGTCCATGATTGAAGAAAGACTCGAGAGTTTTGAGAGAATTATCGCGTGTCACCAAGAGGTTGTGAGGTTGATAAGGTCTTCAGGTGGTGTGGGTGCACCTACTCGGCCCTTGCAGAGAAGGCGGCGATCCGGGAAAGAACCCCGCAGTCGTCATTGTCTGGCTGGCACTTGCCAAATTTGCAACTTGGACTTCTCACAAGCCGCAAGCCGTCGCCCGTGTCTATACCGCATTCCAACCATCCACTCTCGCTACGTCCGTCGCGAGCTATCCTCATTTTCTGCGCACTAGTCGCTCTATCTCACACGAACACCGCCCACCATGGCGACTACCGTCGACAAGGTGCGCCACCATCACAATTCCGAAGCAAGAAAAATTGTTGCTCACACGATATCCACTACAGATCAAGCAGATCGAAGATGAAATGGCCAAGACCCAGAAGAACAAGGCCACCTCCTTCCATTTGGGTACATATCCCCATTACCTGCGACCAAGCAAGAGTCAGAGAACACAAGCCTAACCACTACAATAGGTCAATTGAAGGCCAAGTTGGCAAAGCTAAAGAGAGAACTCCTCACCCCGTCATCAAGTGGCGGTGGTGGTGGTGCTGGTTTCGATGTTGCTAGAACTGGTGTTGCCAGTGTGTATGTACATCGAGCCGAGTCGCTACCAGACACGACCTAACCCTCGACAGTGGTTTCATCGGTTTCCCCTCGGTCGGAAAAAGTACCCTCATGAGTCGATTGACTGGCCAACACTCCGAAGCCGCCGCATACGAATTCACAACCCTCACCACTGTTCCTGGTCAAGTTCAGTACAACGGCGCAAAGATTCAGATCCTCGATTTGCCTGGTATTATTCAAGGTGCCAAGGACGGAAAGGGTCGTGGTCGTCAGGTCATTGCCGTCGCAAAGACTTGCCATTTGATCTTCATTGTCCTCGACGTCAACAAACCTCTCACCGACAAGCGCGTTATCGAGAACGAACTCGAAGGCTTCGGTATCAGAATCAACAAGGCGCCGCCAAACATCCACTTCAAGAAGAAGGACAAGGGTGGTATCGCCATCACAAACACCGTCCCCCTTACCCACATCGATCACGACGAAATCAAGGCTGTCATGCAGGAATACAAGATCTCTTCGGCCGACATTGCCATCCGTTGCGACGCCACTATCGATGACCTGATTGATATTCTGGAAGCAAAGAGCAGAAGTTATATCCCTGTCATTTACGCCCTCAACAAGATTGACGCCATCTCGATCGAAGAACTTGACCTCCTATACCGTATCCCCAATGCCTGTCCCATCAGTTCCGAGCACGGCTGGAACGTCGACGAACTCATGGAGCAAATGTGGGAAAAGCTCAACTTGTGCCGAGTATACACAAAGCCTAAGGGTAGAGCTCCTGATTACACCGCCCCCGTCGTTCTGAGAGCAAATGCTCGCACCGTCGAGGACTTCGTACGTTTCCCATGCCTTCTTAGAAACAGTTTGAAGCTAACATCTCGCCAAGTGTAACGCCATTCACAAGACCATTGTCGAACAATTCAAGGTCGCCATTGTCTACGGCAAATCCGTCAGACATCAGCCTCAAAGAGTCGGCCTTGCTCACGAGCTTGCCGATGAAGACGTTTTGACCATCATCAAGCGATAAATACGCGCATGCACGTCACTCGCCTACAACCATTCCTCCCTACATTTGATATCCCCGGTTTGAACGACTGCCTCGAGTCGCGATCAACGATCCCGTTGGTCGATATTACTTGCTGCAGCCCTTGTCATACCCACACAACATGCGCTAGTGTCCACCTCATCACACTCTCGTATCATGAACAACAATGACCGGTCCGGTAAGAGACCTCTTTTTTTTTCTCGTCAAGGAAATCCTCATTTCAGATAGACTGGCCTCCGCCCTTGGAAAATACACGGGTTTTATCCAATGATTTTCATCATGTTCTTCATCTTTCCTTTTACTGCTTCCCATCTTTTTTTGATGCATGCAATTTTTTGATTGGCCAAGATCTTGTTATCTTTATTTCCACCCGCAAAGCAGGTGCATAACCGCCCCGCCATGGCCTCGGCCCGCATTCGACGCTTAATCAAAAGCGCCCTCACTCGACCTACGATTCGTCAATTCTGGTTGTTTTTGAAGCCAGCCATGCCGCTCGGTGAGGTGATCCAATAACGCAAGGCAGCTCTGTCTTGTGGAGAAACACCATGTCTCGCTCGGCTTGACCTTTCGGGTGCTGCAGTGTAGCCTGCCTAGTGACGAGGGTTTGCGGTCGTCTGCGACGGCGCTGTCCGAACGAATGCTGGCCTGGAGCTTGAATGCTCAACAAACCTGACACTGCGCTTACACTGTAGAGACGTCCGTTTGAGGACGATTGCAGGCGGGATGTCAGGACTAATATACCACTGGCCTACGGCCGGATCAATAAGAGTTGCGACATGGCAATCCAGGACACGATTGGTGTTTGCGATGTGTTGCGCTGTCGGCGCTTGGACCTCCCTCCACCACCACCACAACCTCCACCAGGCCTTCAGCCCACAGCAAGCAGGCAGCCGATCGTTTGGTCCCAGCTTCCTGAGATGATTGCGGGCGGCTCCCCTTCCGTGTGGAGTTCCCTTATGGCCGTGCATGCAATGATGCAGGCGGCCAACAAACCGGCCGCAGCAGCAGGTCCTTAGAGTCTTTACGAGGCCCCAGTCCTCTACATCCAACATGCACGATGGCTCAGCACTTGCTTAACAGGGCTTCAACACGTCTGATCTAGTGGTTGGCATCCATCCCCCTCCTTTTCTTCGCCCACTACGCTGGTCCAGCTCTGTACATCATGTCAATTCTCTCCTGCCGCTGTTGATCTATGAACAATTATTGCGGTAATCCTTTCGGAGACCAGCCTCGTACCGTCCCGAAGAGGTTAACTTAATTTCTCGTAGGCACGCCCTGCTTTGACACTATCGTCCCCGATTACCATCACTTAGGCAAGCAACCTGTCTGTTCCTGGGTCTTCTTAGTATCTGCACTTATGCCTAACAAACTGCAGAAGCTTTCCCTACATATCGTCAAGGTTCAACGTCGAGCTGCATGCTTCGGCTCGTATGGGGACTGTGCTTTACTCTGTCCAGGAACCACTTGCATGCTCACCAGGCTCAAGTTTCCTCTTTCCCTACAGATTCTGGCCACTTGGAAAACCCTGCAACCAATAAATACATCGCCTGGACTGGTTCAAGGCTGTTTTGTGTAACTTCCCACAATGGACGATGGATCAGAGCAACAGCATCCGACTACCTTTGACAGTATTCCGATGAGGTGGTCAGAACAACAATCATACCCTCACTCATATCATGGCACACCGGCACAGGAGTATCCAGGATTTGGCTGGGGGTCGCCACCACTTCCAATTCAGTCAGCTGCTTTCTCACAATCACCGCCGCTGAGACCAACACATCAACAACTCCAACCTTTGATGGTGCCGTGGCCGAGCATGATAGGAAGTCAACAGACTTTCTATCCACCTTTGTTACCGCAAGCTCAAGTGGGTACGACATCGCCTCCTACAGTAACACCTGTGTCAGCAGGCTCGTCTTCCCGGTCGGTTCCATCGGTGCGCAAGACTCTATCGGATGATGATCGCCGGAGAATGTGTAAGTACGCCGAAGACAATCCAACAGCCAAGCAGACTGAGATAGGGTGTAAGTTTTTGTTCATACCACAAGGAAGTCCAAGGCTAACTTTCAACCAGATTTATTCGGAGTAGAGCGAAGGTGTGCCTCATAACATACTCAACACTACAATCATGACTAACCAACAAAACAGCACTGTGTCAAAGGTTCTGCGGAAGAAAGAGCAATACCTAAACCATGCCCCACCAAAGGAAACCCCACGCTCACCACCAACCAAGCGATCCAAGGCACGACTTCCTGACATTGAAAAGACTCTCGCAGCCTGGATATCAAAGGAGCAAAAGAAAGGCTCATTCATCACTGACGACGCCATACGCGAACAAGCCTACTACTTTGCCTCCATCCCCGGCCCTGAGAACCCAGCCGCCAATCCGATCAACAACCCAGGCTGGCTGGAAAAGTTCAAACTCAAGCACCACGTCAATGGTTTCGGGACCAAAGCCACCAGCGATATACGCAAAGATTCCGTCGCCACTGTTGAAAGTGACAATAAAACGCCAACATCACCTTCTGATGACCCTGTATCGTCTAGCTCACCAGATACCGTCTTTCCGGCCATCCTCGATACTACCATGGACTCCAAGCCTACTTTCCCCTCCCACCGCAACAAGCGGAGAAAATCACCTCCCTCCATTGATACAGCGATAACCTCTCTGGGCAGCGGCACCGCTTGTTTCAGCCCTGCACTGCTATCCCCTACTTCCCCTTTCTTTTCCTCGTCTACCTCTCAGACGTCGCAAGGGTTGCACTCACCATTCTTGACGCAGAACTTCAGAGCATTGGATACGTTTATGGTTGACTCGCCTCCGGCAGAAGACGAAGCACATGGATTCTTTGGCGAGGGGGCAATGGGAGAGGCAAAGGAGAGGTTGGGGAGTATCGACGAGTGTATGGAGGATGTTTCTTTGACCGCCGGGGATGCAGATGTCAAGACTGTTGACCCCAGCGCCTTGAGTGGTTTAGGATTGAACGTGGACTCAAGGACAACAACAACAACAACAACAACAACAAAAGCCAAAGTCACAGAAGAGGAAGCGAGAAAGGCGTTGAGTGTGCTGGTCAAGTTTTTCGAGGATCAACCTAGGGGTAGTTTGGATGTTGCCGAGGGGATGCTGTTGGGGAGGTTGAAGGAGAAGTTGTTGCGTTGATGGGGACCCATCGATGCAGAAAGATATCCAAGAGTCAAGAAGCTTTGGAAACCAAGAGGTGAATCGAAAGGATGGTTGGCATCAAAGTCTGACTGGTGTTTGTTTCGAGGATTGTGGATTTTTTTTTTCCTTTGCAACCATCGTTTTTGTTGTTCCTTTATTCTCCTCGTGACTTGTTTTACTCTTTGACTTTTCCTTGCTCGTCAGACTTAACCTGCTGTGTCTCGGGTAAGTTGCTTCTTTCGCTGCCAGGGAAATCTTTTGCTTCAGCTTTCTCCTGTTGTTTCTTTTTTTGGCACTTTATCGGCATTCCATGTTTTCCCCTCTCGTGCTATTTCTTCTTTTTTTTATATTCCCCCTCTTCATTTTCCATTGTTTCGTTTTCGATCATACACGTTATACACAGCATGCCGCAGTTATCAGAAGAGGGGAGAGGAAGGTCAAGGCGGAAACATATACAGATTGCATTTTTTCCTCATTGGAACTGCTCGCGCAGATAAGGGGGGATTCTTACAAAGTCTAGGATTCCCTTTTCACAGTTCGGTCTTGTTCATGGCAGTCGGTAGCAATATAGTACAGCAACATAAGCAGTTCTTTTCTTGACACATACAAAACTAACCTTCCATATCTTCTCTTCCTCTTGAAATCCTCTTCACGATACTTGTATCCTCTGCTCCGCAAGCTCAGGAAACAATCTCACAACAACCAAATCTACAATAGCTACCACCAAATGCTTATTGAGATACGCATCTCCGAAAGTCTCCAACATTTCTTCAACCTGTTTTTGCACTTCCTCTTCACCTCTCTTTGCAAACACTTGCTTCACCACAATAGGTGGTAACGCAGCAATAATGGAAGCGGCACATCTCGCTCGCAGTTCCATAGCTTCTTCGGGTGTGGGTGGCACACGACCGGGGCCAAGAGAATTGTTGGGAAACATGTTTGTGCGGATGAGTAGGAGGATGGACGGTAAGCGAGTGGGATCGAGGATTTTGGTGTGGATGTGGTGGGAAAGGAGTCTAGTACGTAGCAGAGAGTCAGTCAAAATGATACTTTCCTTTTCCAATCGATCGGGTTTGCAGAAGAGTGAATTGTCAGGGGATGCGATATTGAAAATGATGCGTATGCGTAAAGTGTGTGTGCGGGTTGTCTGTCGATAGATTGAACGACAAAAAGCCTGGAATCCTGTCCGGATCATGCTGGGCATTTCGCCACTGTTACACAACAGATGGTTTGCCTAAGCGCCTATGAGCAGCAAGCAAGGAAACATAAAGCGGGTATCCAAGATCGAGGCCGCTCGCTAGGCCGCAGATGGGTTGCAGCAGATGTTCAATATCTGAACTTATTGGCAGACCAAGACGGCGGTGCTCGGCATGTGTCGCTTGCTCTGTTTTTCGAGACAAGATAATATGCAGCTTCCGTATCGAGAGTGGCGTCTCCGGGCTGCAATACTACATCGCCTGCAGTAGCAGTAGAAAGAACGACCTCAATATTTGACGTAGATGCCGGGTAATGTCGCGACATTGAGAGTCGGGGTTCGACTTCCTTGCAATGAGCGCTTCAAGACGCGACGTGGCGTCCTCTCACAAAGTCCTGTGTGCGTCCAGAGTATGCAGCGCGAGCCATCATGTCGGTATTCTTTACTGCAAGCGCCATGTTCTGCAACCAAGATGCGGCTGACAGGTGGGCGGCCCGTCGCGAAAGGGTATTGGCTCAAGCCGGGATCAAGTGACTGAAAGTACATGCGGGGCTACCAAGAGACTAGGCCGACATGGCCAAAATCCGGTGGAGGGGAGACAACAAACAAAAGTTGATCGGCGGATATCGTAACCGACGAACGGGATGTATATCGATAGGGAGAGAGAAAGGAAAACGAAACTCACCTATCCAATCTGCTGTTTGTGCAACCCACCTTCCACGAACTGCAGATCAACAGCCACTGTATGTACGCACCCATGGTGGTAAGCCATGGCATCTGCAAGTCCAAAGAAAGCAAATGCGAGCAACAACTCCAGAGGGACATTCCTAGGATTGGTCTCTTCGGACTGTCGCGTGTTGAATGTTGGGATAGTGAGCCGCTGTCATCCAATTCGCCATGCATCGAGTCTTCACTGTTATTCGTCCTTGGAGGGAGAGATGCGGCGTCTGACAGAGCTGAGAAGAACGCGCGTAGGGATATGAAGGCAAGGAAGGCGTATTGCATGACCTGCAGGAACACGCTGGAGAGAGCGTCCACTGGACATCTTCTCGCGATAGCCGGTGGCTCCTCAGCGTCGTCACTGTCATCTGCCAGGAGGCCAAACTTCTCGAGGCGATTCGGACTGATGGGTGGTTGCTGCAGTACATCGGATCCAGAAGGACGAAGGATGGCAAGTAGTTTTGAAACAACATCCCAGATGAACCAGCCTTCACAGATGTTGCCGCAGACTCCGCGCCCAATGATCAACTCGGAAAATATCTCAGTCACTAGCACCCTTAGAGGTGGATTATTGAGATCTTCCGGTGGAAGCAGATGAGACAATACTCCTTGGATTAGCAGTTGACGCCATGCAGCTTCATTCTCAGCCTGATCTAGTGATGCAAGAGATCCGGCCTCAAACGGGACCGGAGAGAGGGCAGGATGAGGATTGATGGCGTGATAGATCTCTCTCGGATTTGCTACGAGGAAAGAAGTGTAGGATCCGCTATGTGCAGTTCGATAGGCTGATAAGATGTTAGTCAGGCGATTACGATAGGTTTCAATCGATGTCACAGTTACCTGTAACATGGACGTCGATCAATTCAAAGAGTTCATCGAATATCAAGGCCTCCAGATCCACGGCTGTTATTCGCAGCTCAAGAGCGTGTGTGCAATGTGCGATGATTTGAACGACCTGATCGGTGAATTGCTGGTCCGGAGTGATTCTGGAGTACCAAGCCTGTACAAAATCCTTGATGATAATAGAGATGAGAGCATAAAGTTGGAGGTCGACTTGATTAGAAGAAGTCAAAGGAGGCAGTAATTCAGACAAAGGCTTGGATGTGTTTCGTGCTCTGCTACCCTCCGGGCCTGTGAGTTGCTGAGCGCATAAAGTACGTTTGATGAAAGCGATGGTGGCCTCATCGGAATAGATTGAGTCGAGTTTCTTGGTGCTCTTGGACCTCGTGTGTCTAAGTTTGGACGGATTGTTGCTGCCGACGGACGTGTTGCTTTTAGTCCTCGCATGCCCACGCGGAGCAGTGCGGCCTTGTTCTTGGTCCATTGGTAATTTCCAGGCTCAGACACATATTTAGGATCCGGTCATTGTATTGGCGCTGGCATTGGTGAAGATTCACAGATGTCGATGTCTAGTTGTGAAGGCGAAGTGGTGGACGGTGTTGATGTCCACAAAGGTGCTCGGTAATTTGGGGTGGGGCCATGGTCGCTGGCAGGTGCGTTGGACCCCGGATCTTGATCTTGCTTGACATGACCCGGATCGTCACTTCTTCATCTTTGACCATCTTTTTGACTCTGTCATTGCCATGGCTTCTACAGATGGTCTTGACCAGGTCGAGGGTACGTTAGCATTGCGACTCCTCTGCCCGATCGTTGCTGATTTTTCCACAGAGCAGCTCAAAGCCGTCATCGACAATTTGTACATGCTCATCTGCCAGGCCCATGAGTTTCGCGGCTCGCAAACAACAGAGGCCATGACCTTTGAGATGTAATCCACCGCTTCCACACCCTGGAAACCCGGCCCATCATGCTGACCCGCCATCCCAGCAAACGTCTCATCCAGAACTTGCTCTCTTTGTGCCAGTCCGCCCGCGTCCTTCCGACCAGTCTCCCGCCAGAGGTCATCGAATACGTAGAACGATCGCGCAACCCCGACATTTACACTCGCGAGTTCGTCGAATTAGTACAGAGACTAAATCAACAGCTCAAAGGCAGAAGCCAAGCTTTCGCCGACTTCAGAGACATACTAGCAAGAGAGATGACCGCCGCCCTGCCCGACTGCAAACAAGACATCACAATGGTCGTCGAAAGTACTGGAGCCAGAGCTCCGGCCTGAATACTCTTCTATCTCGCTTCTATACCCAGCACCCCATGCAGTGCCTCCGACATGAACATCAAAAGACAAAGGGGACCATCTTCCACTTCCCGCTCATGCTGTCGGGCCCAAATTTCTGTACATACCACTCTCTGGTCCCGTCCGCCGTCACGCCAAGATTCACCGCCACAAAAGCGAGAGCACAAACGACAGTCCAATTGAGCAAGGCACCAGCTGGCGCTGCAACAATCGAGATGGCAAAGTAGATCAAGCACTCGACAAAATAGTGAGGGCAGACCAGACGTTGGAATACGGGATGCTCCGGCACGCTGTACTTCTTCAAGGATGCCATATATGCATGACAGTCATGCTGGATTCCAGAAGCAAGGATGAAAATCAAGCAACCCACAAATGTGCGGAGCGATGGAGGCTCGATGGTCAAGTGTGAGAAGTCGAAAGATTTCTCAACAAGAGTTGCTAGGAAAGGGAAACAAGGTCAGAGCAGCAAAACACGGATTTTCACAAGACGAAGACCTACGAGCTCCTTCGATCCAGACGGCTACGCTCATGCTAGCATAAAACCACACCCCCAAAGCCCAGTGGCCGATCCACATGCGAGCATTGGAAGGCTTAGTAAATTCCAAACATTCATACAAACGACGAACACCTTGAAGGAGCATCAGTACCCATGTGACGATGATTTGATCCAAAGTCATGGACTTTTTGATGTCGGTCAAGGATGCCAGACGGCGCCAGAGCGATTGATCAAGAAGGATCTGAGAGAGCCATATGAAGGAACACAGTGTGGACACAAGGTAGAATGAACCAAACCAACTATGAGGCACTTGGAAGGTGGCAAGTGCGTCTAGTGGGTTGGCGGTGAGTTTCTTGGGCTGTTGGCCATTTTGACGAGAACCATATGCTAAAAAGCGAGTGCGAAGAGAAGGAATGCAATGTGCAAGAAGAGCCTGGAAAGAGTCAGTATACACGATCACATGTTCCGAGTTCTGATTCCATCTCACAGCTACGGCTGCCAGCAAGAAGGAAGCCCTCAAGAATATTACGAGATCGAGCATGGCGCTAGAAAAATAAGTTTGCGAGGCGGTTGTTACAGAGTGATGGCGTCTTAAAAGGCGCATGCAAAGACTCTGGTCAGGCGCAACACAACCTAGCAGCAAGGCTTCGCTAACAGGCTTCGTAGACTTCGAGGCTGTCCTCGGACGGGCACTGCACAAAAACCAGGCAAGGACCGGCCTCGATTATCGGTGAGATTGCTAGAGCATGGATCAGCAGCGGTGGATGCACGTGACTGCGTGGGGTCCGTGCGTGCGTTAGACACGGCGGACCGCCTTTCGAGGTGCAGCTCTTGCTAACGGGGACTTGACACTTGCTTCTTCCAATCCACACACAACCTCTGCCCGCCCCTTTTACCACCAGCCCACTCGACATTCCACCTTGCGGAGCCGGTCTTCGCGTTACCCTTACATTGCATGGCCATATTCGCGGCATGAGCCACAGCAACCTCCCCGACAGCAATAACGCGCTTGTCCAGAATGCGCCGCCTCTCGCTCCAGTCGAGGCCACCTCCCCCATGCCTCTAGAAGCCAAGTCTGTCTCCTCACCATCAACAACCTCTCGAATAATACAAAAAGGCTCTCCCGAGTCCGGAAATAACCATGCCTTGGACGCCGAGAATGACTCCGAGGCTGAGACTTTGATCGTATCGCCCGTCAAGAAACGCGACATGCTCAAGCAGTCAACGTCCGCTCAAGCGCTAGAGAGCATTGACGAGATTCCTGAGAAGTCTGCTGCTTCGCCCAGAGATATTCGGCCACATGTCGCTTGTGACGCTTCGATCGACAATGCCCAGACTAACGGTGATAAGCTACACAAGGATGAGGAGCAGGTGGTCGACAAGGACGTCAAGATGGACGAACAGGACACCCGCGCCAACGGACAAAATCAGGACAGCGACAGTGACAACCTGAGTGATGTCTCCTCTATACAATCATTCGAGGACGAAAATGTAAACGAGAATGACGCGAACAATAACGAGAACGACGATGAGGATGACGAAGACGAGGACGCAAGATCATGGGCATCAGACAAGGACGACGAAGGACGAACAGCAAATCCACGAAAACGCAAGCATACCGACGTAGATCAACCGCGCCGGAAACGGAGATCCAGCCAAGAGCACTCAATCTCTCCGCAATTGCGTAGACACCGCCGGACTGCTTCAGCACAATCGACTAGGCCAAGCCAGAGCCGGAGCAACAGTGGACAGCATTCACACACAGCCGGCGTTGCACGGCAACGACGCGCCGCTACTCACTTCCCGGTCCGTGAGAACATGCTTGCAAGGAACGTCTGGGACTCGGATACTTCATCCGAAACATCACATCAATATCCCAAAAGCAGACTTACTCGAAACACCAGCCGTGCTGTTTCAACACCAGGTCGACCAATGGGTTTAGCAAAGCGCCACGTCAACAAATACGGCTTTACTCGCCTGGCCGAGGCATGCGAGAATGGCGATCTTGATGGCGTCAAAGAGTGGCGCGTGAAAGACCCCGAGCAACTCGAGCAGCGTGAGTTTGCTGGAAATACGCCTCTGCAAGTCGCTTCTCTCAATGGCTATCCCGAGATTGTGAGTTACCTGCTCGAGCAGGGCTGCAATCCACATTGCGCGAACGCGGACAAGGACACTCCTCTTATCGACGCGGTCGAAAACGGCCATCTCGATGTTGTTCAAATCCTCCTAAAGGCTGGAATCAATCCTCTTCACTGCAATCTCAAAGGCCAACAAGCTCTCGATGTCATCACCAAAGAGACCGACAACGCTACCGAGATTCGTGCTGTTTTGCGCGAAGCCATCGAAGACTGGAACAAGAACGGCAGATCCGAACAAACATACAATGTTGAAGAACCTGCTTCAAGACCTGGACCAAAGCAAGGACTTCAATTTCTTGCACGCACATACGAAAACCTCCTCAAGCTTGTTAGCGACAACGACAGGACGGCCGTACAAGAGTTTCTCGATGCCCGGGTGCCTGTTGACAATAACGTCGTAGCAGCAGCGGCAAAGACTGGAGACCTTTACCTTGTGAACATGCTTCTCGCCGAGATGAACCCTAAGAAGGCTCGTCAAAGACCCGACAGACCCATGCTCTCAGTTATTGGAACTTCTCACTTCGACATGGTCAAGGCTCTGACTGAACTCGATCAATTCGATCCCACCTGGCGCTCTAAGAGCAGCAATCTGACATGGTACGAAATCGCAGAGTCCAAACAGGGACCGAGATGGAGAGAGGAAAAGGCACTCTTGCAAAAGCTATATGAGAAGGCCGAAACCGCCAGGAAACTCAGCTCCAGCCCAGTCGCTCGACGTGAGCCTACCAAGAAACGACGCAGAAGTGTGGAACGCCATAACGACTCGGATGTGGAGATGGAAGACGCCGATTCGCCAGAAAGAGCACGAAGCAGAAGACGTTTGGTCTCTAAGAAGGACATGCGCACGGAAAGCAGAAAACGATCATCTTCTGAGCTCTCCGATGTTGCACCTCCTAGAAGACATGGTGAACGACTCTCGGATCAGACCTCTCTCAAACCTCCTGGCCCACGGAAAGTAGGACGCCCACGAAAGCACAGCAATTCTCACCTTTCCGAACCACAGCCCAAACGACACCGCTCATCCTCGATGATCGAGCCTACGGCAGAAACCCACACCACACACGATTCCGAAGACGATGCTCAGCATGACGATGATGATGATATCAAGATGGAAGAACCTGATCGCGAGGCTGCAGAAGCGGAGGCCAATCGCAAAGCCGATCTCAATGCCAAGGTCAATGCTCAGAAACTGGCGGACCAATTGCGTAAGGACGAACAGGCTCGAAAAGAGGAGGAGGCTGCACGACGCAAGGAAGCTGAGCGCAAGGCCGAAGAGATACGCCAGCAACACGAGAGAAAGCTAGCAGAGGAGCGCCGTCTGGAACGCGAGAGAAAAGTGCAAGCCCTTCCAAGTGCTCTGGCTCACATCGTCAGTCTGACGGAAGTTCGTGGAAAGGAGAGACAGACATATATTCAGAGACACTTTCTTCCTGTTCAGGTTGTCAAGCGGGCTGATCTAGCAGATCTGCCGGATGAGGGCAAGCCCGACGACCTCTGGATGCTCAGTTACCAGGCCGCCGCGATACTCACAGGGAAGGACGCAAATGCTCTCTTGGACCTTCCGCTTGATACCAAGGCAGAGTCATCGTCACTCTCTGGAGCGTCAACAGCTGAGGTGACCGAAGAGCAACGTCGCTTGATGCTGGCATGTTTACAGTCAACAAGTTTGGTTCACGGGCTTCCCTCGAATGAGGACATGGAAACATCGGAACCAGGAAACTTGTTGGAAGAGCTTGCAGAAGCTGAGAAAATCCAGCAACGCATCAAGGAAGACCGAACCAAATTTCTCAGCATGACTTCTCTTCGGTGGATGCGCTTCAGCGACTTCTACAACCTTGCGACATCGGCCGAGTATCCTCACCTAGCCGGACTGGATATCCAAATGAGATTTGACTGCTGTCTCGATCCGTTCCCATTCTCGACAGACGTCAAGACAAGCAACGGCACGAACGAGCACGACAAGGATAAAGAAGGAGTCAATGGCACGAACGGCACCGACGAAAGGGGCCTTTCCGCGGCTGGACCCGGAGTTACGACGATTACGGTTGTACAGGATTGAATTGAACCGATATGGCATGCAAAGCACAGCGTTTTCTGATTGTTATTTTCCCTACTTCTGTTCACACAAAGCATGCATGGTACAGAGAGCAAACAGTTGAGAGCATTGTCGTTTTCTTCCGAAGGAAGAGTAAGAGGGGGAGGGAGTCCTGTGTGTAGAATTGCTAGTCGATGGAGATTGTGGATCAGATGGGGAAGTCCTGTCTGATCACAACTCAGTACATAAAATTAACATTTTCCAAAATCCTCTGTACACAGCTTCTGTTGAAGGCTTCAGCTCGTGCCCGAGATGAGCTTCTTAAATCTCTTGGAATCATTCAATCGTCAAGACTGCATGACCTTGAGACAAGGGTACTGATGGAGCTGATTCGGCGAAATCGCAACGATGCCGAAGACAAAGTTCCCCATATTAACACACGTCACCGACACGTCTTGCACGGAGATAGACGGAAGTCGCTCGGCAATTGCAATATGCATCCATTAGGTACGCATCACCACTACTCTACACCTACACCCCAAGTCGACTCTCCCTCTGTTTCCCATTGCTTTCCTACATTGTCCTCTAATCGACACAACTCAAAGCAACCCGCAAACATGTCAAAACTATCCCCGGCCCTCAAACAACTCATCAATGCGCCATTCGCGCGTCCTGGAGCACTACCCGCACCCCAAGGCATCAAGACCTTTTACGAGAACTTGGCCAAGGATGCAAAGGACAGAGGCGTCGGTGTGCCGGCATGGTTGTCCATGGCCACCGCAACGACCATGACGATGAACTCGCCCGACTCGCTGGCCGAATTGTTCCACGCTGCTTCTCCCGAGCACGATGCAGTGGCCACGGCGGAATTGATGAGGGAAGTGGGATTGAAGTGTATTGGATTCAATGGCGTAAGTATCTTCTGCTTCCTGCCCTCCTGCCGTTAAAAGTACCATAGCTGACGTGAAGGCCAATCACAGGTGCCCCGTACAATCAACATGCTGAATGCCTTCCGCGCTTCTCTTCCCTCGGACATCGTATCCTCCCTCTCCACAACACCCACCCGCATCCCCTCGCCCACCAACATCACAAACATGTCTGCGCGCGGAGAGGCGCTGTGGAAATCAATCTACGACCCCTTTGACAAGAAACTCTACTCCAAACTCGCCGACTCACATCCCGACTTGCCCGTACACATTTTGCACTCTGAATACGGTGCTCTGTTTGCCGATCCCAACGAACGCACTCAAGGCAGAGGAGCAGTGGGCAGAGTGTTGACGAGCATTGTTGCAGTGTCATGCTTGAGGACGCAAACGGGAGTGGGGCCCCAGGTGTTGAGTCATGTGTTTGGACTGCGCAAGGCGTTCAAAGATGGCAGTGCTGAGAAAGAGGTGCAGGGTGGTGAGTGGTTGGCTGGCGATGAGGGCAGTGTGTGGCTTTTGGAGAGCGTGGATAGGATTGTCGAGGCGTTGAGTGGAGGCAAGGGAAGCAGTTATGCGCCTGGATCCATCAAGGCTAAGCTTTAAACGTAGCAGAAAGAAATGCGGTCATGGACGTCGGAGTAGTAGTAGGACAAAAGCATGTATTGTCCAATGTCTATAGATGAGGACGTAGATTTCAAAAAGCTTGTACAAATGCTTGGAGATTTCATGGATATATATGGTGTATAGAAAAGAGATGTTTTTTACATGTGCAATCAATGCAACCAGATTCTTGGTATATCAGATCACACTTTTCTCTCTTACTCCATCTCACGGAGATCGTCAGCCACCTTGAACTTGGCAGCAGTCTTTTCTTGCACTTGCTCGACAGTCATGCCAGGTGCGACTTCAGTAAGAGTGAGACCACCGTTCTTGCGATCGACTTGGAAGACACACTAAAATGTTCGTTAGCAAGAGCTCCCCAAACAAAGGGAGAAAAGATGTAAAGAACTCACCAAATCGGTAATGATAGTCGATACAACCCTCGCACCGGTCAACGGCAAACTGCACTCCTGCTGAATCTTGCTGACTCCATTCTTATCCACATGATCAGTAAGCACCACAATCTTTGTCTGATCGGGATTCGACACCAAATCCATAGCGCCACCCATACCCTTCAGCACCTTGCCAGGAATCATGTAATTGGCAAGATCGCCATTGGCACTGACTTGAAGCGCTCCCAACATGGACACATCGATATGGCCTCCTCTAATCATAGCGAACGATTCAGCAGAGTCAAAGGTGCTGCCGCCGGGAACGATGGTGACGGTTTCTTTGCCGGCGTTGATGATGTCGACGTCGACTTGTTCTTCGGTGGGGTAGGGTCCCATGCCCATGAGTCCGTTCTCGGAGTGAATCCAGACCTTGATTTCCGGGTCTAGGAATGACGGGGCGAGTGTGGGCATGCCTACTCCCAGGTTGACGTAGTAGCCTTGCTTGAGCTCTTTAGCTGCGCGACGAGCAATTCTCTCGCGGCGGACCTCGGCATCGCTCTTGTTGGATTGGTCGCTGCCGGCTTCCTCACGCAGTTTCTTGACTTCGAGTTTCTTTTCCTCGGTCGCGGGGACGATGCGGTCGATGTAGATGCCTGGCAGATCGACCTCGTCGGGCTTGATTTCGCCAATGGGGACAATGTGTTCGGCTTCCACGATACTGCATTTTGCCGCTTTTGCCATCATGGGGCCAAAGTTTCCAGTCGTGTAGCGGAAAACACAGTTTCCTGCCTCGTCAACCTTGTAGGCGCGCAAAATGGCCACATCACCCTGAATCGCATGCTCCAAGTTGTACTTTTTACCCTTGAATTCGCGGGTTTCGCGCTTGTTGCCTGATTGCAGGGTCGTGGGCATCTTTGAGCCAGCCTTGGGGGGACCCATGCGGATGGGGATTTCTCCGGTTTCGATCCAGGTGTGTACGCCGGTGGGTGTGTAAAAGGCAGGGATACCGGCGCCGCCTGCGCGGATGCGCTCGGCGATTGTGCCTTGAGGGGTTAATTCGACGTCGAGTTCGCCGGTGAGGTATTTCTTCTCGATGGCCTTGTTGGTGCCGAGGAAGGATAGAATGACAGAGGTGAGTTGGCCGTTTTGGACCAGTTCGGCGAGACCGTAGGGGCCGGCGCCGGCATTGTTGGAGACGGCTTTTAGTGAGTGCAGGTCCTCGACTCCTCTTTTCGCCATGGCTTTGATGATTGTATCTGCACGTTTTCCATCGGATTCAGTCTCGACAGTCTCGAAATTCAACCTCGTGATCAGAAATCAACTCTGTGAGTGGAGGAGATCAAACACATACCAGCAGTACCACAAAGACCAAATCCAGCACTCAGAATCGTAGAGCCACTCTTGATATCAGCAACAGCCTCATCGGCGCTAGCATACACCTTTGACCTCGAGCGATCAATTGTGGGCGCCAAACTCTCATTCAACTCAATATCCTCGACACCGCTGTCAGCACCAGGCTTGACATCATTGATGAAACCGCGAGAAAAAGTCAACGTAGCAGCAACGCCGGCACGCTTGTTGTTCAATGCAATTCTCGCTGTGGCTCGCGGTAGTTGTGCGCGGAATAGAGCATTCGAGGATGAAGGAAGCAGAGCCGAGAGACGGGTGCATGAGCGTCGTGTTGCAGCCATTGTGTGTGTGTGTGTGAGAGAATCCGAACCTTCGATCTTCTACAAGGGAGAGTTGGAGAAGAGAAAGGGAAGGGAAAAGGATTGCAGCTGTATATACAAAAGATTGAAACATATGTCTCGTAGCTTCCCCCTGCCTGCCGGCCGGCCTGCCTTTCGGTATCTGCGATCGGATGGCCGTGGCCGGATGTGCTTTACGGCAAGCCCATCGCTGACGTTGCCAGTTGGGTTCCGAACTCGGGTTCGTCCGGGGTAGTTCTCCATACTTCCGCCTCGGCCATCTCTCCGCGCTCTTTCCCCGAAGACGGGCAGCGATATAGTGATGTGATGAGTGAATGACATCTATACTCTGGATACAGAAAAATGCCGGAGATCGTTTGTGATTAGAATCGCGAGGACAGATGATTTGGTCGCATTCTCGATATCGCGACTGGAAGACTTGACGCTGTCGAGGAAGAATCGTGTGGGTTGATGGCTGTTTCTGGATAAGCACATTTGAAAAGTCAATTTTGACCACAACGCAACGAATCCGGATAGCATTTATCCGCAGAACAATATATCGCTTCAATACTCCTGAAAGTAATCTATAAGAGTATCGGATAGAGTATACCATACGTGGTTTTGCCAGAACATCGTCGATAGTCTTAAAAAGCATAGTTGAGTATACGACCCTGGCCAAGCATAATTTCTTGGCGGCCATCTTGGAGCCTCAGGCAGGTACGCAAGTATTAGACACAACACGATTACATGTCAGAGAAAGGATGTTCATTCGAGCTTCTCTGTCGAATATAACGAGAGCATGGCCTCATTTGTCTAGTACCCCCGTCTAGCATTATTGAATAAACTCATCAGGACATCTGCCTGTGCTTGGGGTTGCGGCGGAGGAGCCTGCTGCTGCTGGAAATGTTGCTGAGGAGGCGCAAAGCCAGGAGGTGTAGGCGCATGGGCATCAAACTGTTGTTGCTGGTGTTGAGCCATTTGCCAAGTCTGCTGCATTTGTTGGGCATTCATCTGATTCATCTGTTGCTGGTGCATAGAATCAAGCTGATGCTGTTGCATAGAATCAAGCTGATGCTGTTGCTGCTGCCGTTGCTGTTCGAGTCGGTGTTGCTCGAGTTGCTGTTGCTGTTGCATGGCGTAGTATTGTTGTTGATCGTGAGATTGGAAGGGCGAGGCGAGGACAGGACGTTGTAGTTGCGGTTGTTGTTGACCGTTTTTGAAGAAGTGGAGGAGGTTGACTTGCTGGTTTTGTAGTTGATCGTAGTCATGTCTTTGTGGCTCTGGTGCTTGTTCGTGGTGTATAGTCGGCGGTGGTTGATACTGTTGTTGTTGCTCCTGTAGCGATGGCGGCAGTTCTTCCTCGACATACTCTTCTTCCACATCTGCCACGGCAGCCGCATCTCTGCTGTCCTCGACTCTTTTTGCGCATTCTTGAATAATCAAGGCATTCACGACTCTTGCTTGTACAGTGCTTCCTCCCTCCTCGGCAAAGATCCATAGACCGTAGATGTTTGTGCTTCCATCCTCTCCCTCGACCTGCAAGATGACATACTCGTCCGTCACTTGAACCGACTCGGCGGAGAACAATTCACTAGAGAAGTTCTCAAGACCGCGGCGATTCAAGACAATACAGCTGTATCGTTCAATCTGCGGACCTCCGACCAGTGGCAGCAGTGAACAGACGAACAATGTGCCCTCAGTCCCTTGCTTTTCCCAAGTCGACGAAGATGGATTGAAGGTGTAGACAACGGCAAAGGGAGCGACAGAGAGGATCTGATGAACCGAAGGGTCGTGCCGTTGCAACACACTGAGGTTCAGTTCTTCGTTTGTGCGCGCTGGGATGGGCGCGGGCTGAGGGAGAGTCATGGCGTCGGTTGCGTATGCTGTGTCGGTGTCGTAGTCTGAGGGAACGTGATGCGCCGCAGGTCGCGGGTGCGAGTTGCGGTTATTGCGATTTTTCGGCGGCATTTGGAATGTGTTGTTCGAAGTGATAGTGATATGCGCACGTCGTTTGTGGTTGCTGTTCGGTATCGCATGAGCTGTGCGACGTGTTGCTGTTTCGAAAGCCGTTCTCCAGGGACGTCATGCTTTGTTCACAGTCAATCACCACCACCAATTTCTAGTCACCATGGGCCTTTCACTCTACAGCTTTCTTTGTCCACAGACACATCTATGTGGTCGTCAGCTCTAAAATATCGTACACTTTACTCTTGTCTCTAAATGCTATATATACAACTTCATCATGCCAATCATGCCTCCTCAGCGGAAGATGGCTTTTGTTTGTAAAGCCATGTCAAATAATCGCCTACACGCTCGATGCTCACATCATCTGTGTCCACATTCTGACTCTTCTCAGGCTTGACATATGGCATACCAACCACGATCTTCGGCTGGTTCGCTGTCTTTTGATCAATTCCAGCCCTCATCTTTCTGCCCTTCTCACTGAGTTCCTTCAGCATATCGATATAGGCAATATTGTAACTCGACTCTGTGCTGTCGGGATCTGTCTTGTCGAGGTTGCTGTTGAGCTTTGCATATGTCTTCTTGCGTCGGACCTTAGCTCCTGCGTATTCTCTCCGTGCCACCTGATCTGATTTTTCGGTCAAGCTGTAGTCGATAGTCCAGTTCTGGTGTTTCCTGAGGTTCTCTGGCCGTTCGACGTATTCGTCGTTGACTTTGGAACGCACCGTGAGTACCAACCCTAGAATTGGCTTGTCTTCGTCTGGTTCCACTTCTCCTTCTGACTCTGAAGCCGTGGAGACATTTTCAATATCCTTGACGATTGTATCTTTTCCAGTGCCCTTTGAATCCTGTGCAACGGTCGTCTCTGACCCGGCTTCAGACGAAGTTGACGCTGGTTCAGCCTGTGACACCTCCTTCTTAGCGGATTCCTGAACCAAATCACTGCTCGAATCTCCAAAGCCATTGGCGGCGTCGTCGTCTTCCTTGGCCAGATCGTCGGCTTGTTGCTGTTTCAGCTTGTACGCTGGATCACGCAAATTACGTTCCCACTTGGCAATCTTTTCTTTTTGTGAGTTCTGAATCGTGTCAATATCCTCTTCACTCATGGGCTCTGCATATATATGCATGGATGGAAGGACTTCAGCGGCTTTGGTTTCGAAGCAGAAACGAATAGACTATGTCAAACTTAGTATCGAATGGGATGCACAAGCTTAAGAATGCTTACCTGATCAGGGAACTTCTCGGTGACCTTGTTCAGAATCTCATTTAGCAAGCCGATGCTCAAGTTGAATTCACGGTCGCCCAAAGTGGTATCAGGTGTTCCGTGAAGAGCTTGATCAAGCTCACTCATACTGATGTACTGGAAGCCAAAGATGCGCTTGACATTGTGGTACGCAACAAAAATGCCGTCCATATGTCCCATGCGAGCTTGCAGAGAATACTTGAGTGCAGTACCGCGCATCATATCGTAATACTCTCTCTCAAAGCTCTCATACTGACCTTGAGCTTGGCTAATCTCATATCCGGTCATTGGCTCGTGGTCACCAGAGCGCATACGGACTGGAAGGACAGCGCGCGTTTTGATATCGAACATGCCAGTTCCAGGTAGACGATCATCTTGAGCGTCCAACTGCGATCGAAGCAAGAAGTCACCGAGTGAGGAGTAGTGGTAAGCTTCGGGTTTGTTTCGCTCAACCTCAGAAATTCCGTCGGACTTGTCCTTTCTGTACCTCTCAAACTCGGAGGTTGGCAAAGTCATGAGTTTCTCCATGGATCTTCCAAGCAACATAAGGACATTGGCACCATCGAATTCCTTGTCAGCATCGATAGCGTAAGTGTCACCTTTACGTCTTAAGAACATGAATGTGGGTGTACGATTGAGTGCAGTGAAGCTTTGCAATGTGTCGGGAAAATCCCTGGATAACATGTCCGTGTTGATTTTGCGCCAGGCGGAGAGAAGGTAGTGGAAGTGAGCCAGTGTGCTTGTCATGCTCGAGGTAGAGCCAACATATTTCTTGCCGTGCTTTTTGGCAAATTCTGACAGGAAATTGTCCTGGGAAGAAGTCTTGTAGGCAGTCAGAGCATCATAATCAAACTCTGTGACCGGCATGATCTTTTGGAGGTATGGATCGAAGTTGTAGACCCTCGAGCGCCTATCTTGCAATGTGTGAACGCCTGGGTTAAAGAGAACGCGATCGAGGCCATGCTCTAAACGAGGAACACGCGGCTGGTCGACGTCCAAACGATCCATCCTGATTTGAGAAGCGTCCATTGTCTGTACTCCATTGGCCAGCAACTTGTATGCACGTTTTTCTTCTGCTTCTCTCCGCTTCTCCGACTTGAGAATACGTTCAGGGGTCTGAGGCGCAGGGGCATTGACAAAGCGCCTACGCCTAGTGCGTAGTCTCCTTGGAGATGTCCGGCGGAGGGATATAGGGTCACTCTTGATAGACAGCATGGCATCTTTCAATGATTGTACAGCGCCTCCATCGTATGAAGAAGGGTTGGAGTCGTCGATCGGGGGTTCTATTGACTTGAAGAAATCGAGAATGGATTTTGGAGGAGCGTCGGTCGCTGACGATTCAGTAGCTGATTGCATGAGGCTCATGAAAGGAGTACCCGTTTTTTGTTCTTCGAGCAGGCGGCGGCGAACCTCGAAAGGGGCTTTCATCCTCCTAACGACATTCGAAGCAGGACCATTGCCGGGATTGATATTATCCTCAGATTCCTTTGAGTGCCGAGTGTCATGGTTCTTCTCGGCAGTATCGTGGTTGTTGGCAGATGCTTCTAGACGATTGTTCTTTTCAGACAAGGTCGAGTCTTCGTTGGTGGACGGTGACGGGGGTTGGGCTTGGTCGTGCTCAGCCGTCTGGCTCGCGTCTTTGGTAGCGACAGGCTGGACAGTGACAGTTTTTGAATTTTCATGGTTGGCTTCAGAATCCAGCAGGCGCGTCGAGTGGCGGAGCGGGCGTGAGGTTATGGCCGAGAACAGGCGCAGACGGCATGGTGGACAGACATAGGCGCTTCCTGTGTAGAGCGACCGGAGCGGGCGGACGCCTTGAGAGCGCCAGCTGGGCATCGAAAATATTGGTATGCGTTTGCGCAATGGCGACGACCCGTCAACGACGAACAAAGTTAACCATTCAATTATTCTCTAATCGATAGCGCAAGGGCCGGCCTGTCTCGGTCCATGTTTCCTTGCCGGTGGCCGGGGAGCCAGTGCTCGTTAAGACTTGATTATTGAACGGATCAATTCTGCTTGCTAGCATTTATCGACCATCTGTCCCTTAGCATAACAAGATTGCTATCATCTCATGACAATACTGAGATTGATAGAAGCTGCTCAAGGATGACATCTGACAGTCTCTTGACCTCTTCAATATAACTCACACAAGGGCTTCTCTAGCCAAATTTCGATCAGCTGCCCTCTTGCTCAGGCGCGTACGCCGAGTAGCCAAGTAGCCACCGACCGTTAGCAAGTTCGGTGCGTCAACGCCTCTGACGAAGACGCAAATCGATCGATTGTGGATCGTCTTCCGGCTGCTTTTAGAACATTCAGAGTTCAATGCGACCGGCTCGCGAGGATTCATCTTTTGCGCCGCCCTGCTTTCCTCTCTCCTTCGTATCACTCTCTCTACCAATTACGAAGCCTCTTCTGCGTCGACATGCTGGTCTCTCCCTCCCACTGACGTGTACCGCCAATCCCCCCCCCCATCTTGGTGTCGGATCATCTAATTTCCCTCTCCTTCTGATCTCCCGCCGCCATGAACTCCGGACTTAAGCCAGCTATGCCCCAGTAGTGACCTCTCCACGACATTTCTTCTTTGTAATCTTCTTGTTTCCAAGCGCCGTCCGTCATGCCCCGTTCCAGCAGTCGGGAGCACGCCGGCCGGAGGCGCAGTCTCTTCAGCATTCCCTCTTTTACTCAGATCCACCCTACCACCTCCCGCGACTCTCCGGACAAGCTGAACAACGACTCGACCAAAACCCTCAAGAAGCGTCGCGGCCCCACTCTTGTCACCAATCTCGAATCTTCACCAGAGCTGGCCCACGATGAGGATCCCTCTCCAACTTCGGCAAACACCCTACCTTCGCCCAAGCCAGTCACACGCCCCGGCTTGAGTATCAGGAGTGGTGGTGGCCGACCCGTATCCTCTGTCTTTGGTTCCCTTCGATCCATGCGCTCAATGCACGAAGACGACACTCCTTTGACCACCACCTCCAGCCGAACACCATCCATCAACTGGGCCGATTTCGATGCCAGCCATTCTCAAAAAAGATTAGTCCTACACCATGGCGAAGTCCAGACCAGCAGTAGCATGTTTCGTAAGAAGAAAGAATACCTGGTTTTGACCGACACCCATATTATACGCTACAAGAATCAATCCAAGGCTGCCGAAACCATCGCGAGCGTCCCTCCGCCATTCGGCAGGAGCCCAACAATCCGCCATAGTTCGTCCCATTCAATAGGCTCTTCTCAAGATCTACAATCATTACAATCCGAGTCATCAGGTGACAAGGAAGGTCGGGTGTCTCTCCGCCATATCGTTGCTGTTCACAGACTCGATGATGGCCGTCCTTACTTTGCCATTGAGGTTTGCTACCTTGACGAAGACGGCTCTCAGGCTTCAGCCATGGTCATGCAGTTCGGAGACCCCGAAGATCGCGACTTGTGGTTGCGCTCGATTCGCCAGGCCGCCAACAAGGCTCGCCTTCAGGACCTCAATCCAATTTCGGTTGTCAACTCGAAAAATGCTGCAAGAGCTGTGGAGCGCGAGAATGATTACGACCCTGCCAACTATGCCATCTACAAGGTTATACAGCGCCAATTCACGAAATCACGATCCTCGACCGACGACTTGTCCAAAATTGCATCGACCGTTTGCTTCTTGGCCATTGGTATTCACAAAGTCCATGTCATTCCTTTGGTCAAGACCACTAGCCGTGTCTCATCACCTTCACTATCAGCCAACAATGTTCCCACATCATACGGCATCCTCAACATGACAGCGCTTCGAGTCAGTAAGTCAGACGACCACTTTGAAATCACCTTCCGGCAACCTCTCAAACGACCAAAGACTTTATACCTGGCCTCTCTGGCTTCTCACGATATCGCCCTTCGCCTGCATCATGTCGAGAACGTTCTCCGTCCGGAGTGTGCCTCTCGCATGTTCAAGTTTAGCGTCCCTCAAGAGATTGACGATCAGCTGCCTCCCGTAGTGAACTCAGATACAGAAGACCACTGTTGCTTCGAGCGCACGCTAACAGCATATTGCATTGCATACGACGTTAATCCATCGAATATTCGCTATACCATTGACTACGTGTGCGAAGATGCGCCTCGCTTCCAACTGCTACCTTCAGCAGACGCGCGGCGACAAAACTACAGTGCGCCTGAGCTTTTGGCTGTCATGCGAGCTCTGCGATACAACGAATCATTCAATGCGCTTTCTTTTGCTGACGTTCAGCTGGATGGACTCAACGGACTTCATGACAACTACGGCTCCGAGCACGTCTGCCTGAAAACAAAACGAGGAACGCCAATTCGATTGACTGCAGAAGAGCTAATCCAGTCCTGCTTGCTGATCCAGGAAGTTCGTGCCTTGGCCGCGACAAATAAAAAGCTCCGAAGGATGGACTTCTCTAGATGCATTATCGCAAAGCCTCCAGACTACACAGATGATTCCGAGGCTAAAGTCAAGGACATTGGATGTGGCATTGTCGAAGCCCTTTCTCCGCTCTGCAAGCACCAAACCACAAACGTCGACTGGATCGCATTAAATGGTATTCACCTCAGTGAGACTGATCTAGATTACTTGGTCGGTGCAGCAAGTGACAAGGCATGCCACTTCCGTGCTATTGAGTTGAGCAGATGTTCGTTGACCGACCGCACACTGAGTCTAATACTGGATTCTCTTCGCGCACAGGACAACACTCTGGAAGCGTTGGACATTTCTGGAAATCATGCAAGACTTGCGCCAGCTGTTTTTGATGGACAGATCAGTGTGTTTGGCTTTATCCGTAAGCTCAACCTATCTTTCGCATCCCGGACGTCAGGAGCTGAACCATTGTTCAACGCGGAGACTCTCCTGACCTGGCGTTTGGAAGAGCTTAGGTTGACTGGCACAACACTCAACGAGAATACAATCCAAGCGCTTGCAACGTATCTCAAGCATCCGCAGTCAGACACGCTCCACGAGCTGTACTTAGACTCTGCGTATTTGTCCGGCAGTGACATTGCGACCATCATGCGCGCTACTAAAAGGGGGTCGATCGAGCCGCGTGGGCTCCATCTTGACATCAGCCACAACAACATTACTAAAGACCACGACCAGCTATGCAAAGCAATTTCGGATGGTTCAACGCCTACGCATATCTCTCTTCGCGCCATCGAGTACCGCGAAGAGTCAATGTTCCGGCATCTGATCAACGCGTTGAGAAAGAACCAAAGTATCCAGTTTCTTGATATCTCAAGAATGACGTTACCCAGCGATGCGAACGAGGACACCAGCCGTGCACTGGAGTTACTATTTGCAGAGAACTTCACCTTACAAGAACTGGACATCTCAGGAGAGGACTCGCGTCTGGAAACTTCACGATTTGGTGTTGGTCTCAACCAGGCACTGAATGGCCTTCGTCACAACACGGGCTTGCATATCCTTCGGGTTGAATACCAGAGACTCGGTCTGCCTGGTGCTAGTATGCTGGCTGAAGTTTTGAAGGTCAATAAGACGCTACGAGAGTTGTACTGCGAGTTCAACGACATACCTCTCTCAGCCTTTACCGACATGATCAACTCGCTAGGCAAGAACACATCACTCGTCTACCTGCCGTATATGGAAGAAAGTCGACTAGCAGCTCTGAAACAGACAGAGACGCAAGTCAAACAGATACGGGACGAAGTGCCAGCTGCAACCTCACCCCTGAAGCCTTCAATATCTACTCCTCTTACCAAACCACCGCCTTCTTCATCTTCATCGAGTTTCCGCAAAGGTTTCGCCAACATGAAGAGGAGCGTCCACCGCAGCAATTCAGTAACCCCCCCATCCTTCCCGTCTCTGGCACCCACACCTCGTCACGCCTCGTCTCCGCTCTCATCCTCGCGCCCATTCTCACCCTCGAAAACCAAAGTCAACAATATTGCCAGTTTACCCATCGCTGCACCTTCTGTTTCGCTCACCGATCAAGACATCCAAGCCGCCTTACGCTTAGTGACCGAATCCTGGGACCGCCAACAATACCGCCTCCAACAATATCTGGAACGAAACTGCTGTATCATGCACGGTGTACCCACATCAATGGAAATTGAAGAGGAAGCCTTCGAACGCACGACCAGCGTTGGCACCCTATCCCAACTCATCGAAAAAGTCAGACTGGACTCCACACCTACTGTCGAGAAAGAGATTGATTTCGGCGAAGGCGGATACGCACTTCCAGAGCTAAGTGTTGTAGACAACGAAAGCGATATGCAAGCTCAGGAGGGACTCAGACTTTCCTTGCCGCCACGATTGCAGTTGCGACATGATGTTGAAGAGGATGAACAGCCTTCTGTTAGTTTCAAGCAGTTTTTGCTGGGTCGCCACGACATGAGTAGTCCTGAGGATATGGTTGATGGAGTCAGTTCTTCGGGCGCTGCTACTGAGGGCGAGGATAGCGAGTTGCCTAGTCCTGAGCTTGAGATGGGTGCGCCTGCTCCTAAAGGGTTGGCTGGTTTGGGGATCAATCAGGGAGATCTGAAGACGCCTACTCAAAAGAGTTTCTTTGGTTGATCTGCTCTTATCCTCCTCGTCCCTCCTATGGGGATGTTCTGGATGCTGCTTCCTTTTCCTCTACCTTTTCTCTTTCCTGTTTTTTTTTCTTTCTTTCTTCTTCTTCTTCTTCTTTTGCTTCACACTTCAGGAGTTTGTCATTTTCTTTTCCCGCTGCGAAAGATGCAAACGGCGCTCCTCGTGAAAAGAGAACCACAATGGCTTGATTGGTGATATAGGCAAGGGGCATGGTATCCTGGTTGGGACGCAAGGTGCATAAACTCCAGGTGAGGAGTTTTCATCATCACTATTTTCCTTTTCCTTCGCTTTTTGTGTATAATGTTGAATGAGAATGTCACTTGAATGAAACCGAGCATCCTTATTTCTATCTCTTTTCTATTCTTTTTCTTTCACTCTGCCAAACCCACTAACTTACCATATTTGACCCCAATATTGCATCCAAACTGCACCATATCTCTAACCCACCATCTCACTTGCCCGTCATGAAACCATTCTTCCACTATACCCTCAGTCCCCACTCAATCTTATACCACATTTCCTGAGAAGAATTTGAGTGCTCTGGTGGGCACTCATCCCAGCCGCGCAGCGCCGCCCCGCTCGGCCAGAGCGCCATATGAGATCAGGGGTTCGCTCTGGGCCAATATGATCTTTCTTTGTCACTACCCTGGCTTTCCTACCACCTTCTTGCCGCAACCATGTCTTCTCTGTAGCACGTGGAGACGGTGTTGTGGTGCGTTGATAAAACGCAAGATCATATTGGACCAAAACAAGAGATTCTTCATCTGCATCGCTTCTTCAAAGAGTCTAGCAATCTTTCCATGTTCTTCGCTGACGATTAGGACTCCTCGTCCAGTCGATGCAGTCGTCTGCTTCTCAATCCGCAAGCAGAGGTACTTATGTTAGGTAAGCCCCGCTCTCATAATCCTATCAGTTTCGTGAACTGGTCCAGGCGCTCTGGCCGAGTGGTTAAGGCGTTTGACTCGAATGATCTTTCTACATCTTCAGCTATCAAATCCTTTCGGGGGCAAGAGTTCGAATCTCTTGGGCGTCGACATCGTTTTTGTTCCCTGGTATGCCTTGGTATCTGCCTAGGAGGAAAGAGGTATATCTATTTTTCTGGAAGAGAAGCCGGAGGACTGTGGATGGATGGTCGGTGGTGGTGGTGGTGGTGGTGGAGAAGGATATCTTGACGAGGCTTCATCGCTTCTACTCGAGCTCAAGGGCCGGGGAAGTGATCGAGAGTGCTTTTCTACATGGAAGCAATTTACCTGGAGAACAGAGTACAGAATAATACTATGGAGTGGCCTTCGACGCAACCATAAAAGTCGCTACTCGAAGCGGCTTGGATGCCAGATTCGCGCGACTTCATGCGTGGGCGGCTCTAAACTTCTGCAACGCGATCGCAACAACCAACCGCATCCATCCTACTCCTTGACTACAATCGCCATATCACATCTTCCTTCATATAAAAGTCCAAACCGATCATGTTTGCTAGCCTTCCAAGATCCTTCCATCCTAAAGGGGCCCAACCGGTCAAAAACATACGTCTATTCTCCAATGGCAAAATCGCTAGCGTGGACATGGTGAGATACCACTCGGATCCAAAATACCGCAGAGACGACCTGGACAAGCGCGCCGAACGCAGACGCCTACGCAAAACCCTCGACCCAATCTACGCTGCCAAGTGCCATGCTGAGGATGCCGCAACCTACCAACGACGCAGACTCTGCCAGCGCGTCTATCGCCAGCAACTCTTCAACAATTGGCTCAGACGTGGCTGGCACGCTGCAGGTTTACCCTGGAAAACCCATCGCTGCGAGCTTGCGTTGGAGGCTGTTAGACATCGCTGCTCGAGTTGTGGGTTCCCGGACCACAAGGCAAAGTTCTGGTGGACTAGCATCGCTGAGTTGGAGTCCTACTTGTGCGGCAAGTGTGCGCTCAAGTTGAGCTGGGAAGAGGTGTGTCCTGAAGGGTTCGAGGGTACGGCAACCACCAAAGAGTTCACGGCGCGCGCGAGAGAGTTGGGTATTGAGAAACCATTGATGCACAGGCCGTAAGAAGTGAAAAGTGTAGGAAGCATTTAGAAGAGTGATTACGAATTATGTTACAGATGGAAGTCTGTGATTGTGTCTTCTACCAGGGATTGTGTAGCAAACCTCGTGCAACGGTGAGCGAACATGAGAAGGTCCATTGCAAAAGATTGACTGATCAGCAGGTCATGAGAATCAAAAGGAATTAGACTGTATCATACTGTACTGTACGAGTATGTAGCAGCGTCTGTTTTGTAAAAGCAGAAGGATCCCCACAAAGGCCGTGTCAGATCGAAAGCAGAACACCCCCTTCCCAACCTTTCAAAAACGCCATTGAAGCAAAACCCAGGGTATCATTTTAGCCATCCTCTCCTCTCCCACCAAAATCAGACTCCCACCTCGCCAAAACCATCACCGAAAGCAGAAAATCATCTCCTCGCATCCTCCCAATCATCCCCGTCATCATTAAACCCACTATCACAATCATCACTCTCAACCTCGAACTTCGTACCAAGCGCTTGCTGCCCTTGCCTGATCAAGTCCTGAATCTGTCGATCGAGTTTACGCATACTTTTATCAGTATTGCGGTCTTGCTTTTCTATACGATGAAGAAAGCGCTGAGCATCAGGACTGAGATTGTCATTTCCACTTGCACTTGCACTTGCACTGGCGATACTGGAGCGACGGTCGGGATTGAAGCCAGTGAGGCTGGAGCGACGGTCGGAGCCAAAGGTCGTGCGGATGGGCGTGGTGACCGGAGAGCGGTGTGCGATGATTGCCGGGCGTGAGGATGCGGTGGGCCGAGTGCTTGCTGTAGATGCGGTGGAAGCAGAGCGGTCTGCGAAGGCTTGGCTAAAGACGTCGAGGCGGGATTGTTGGGCTTGTGGGGAGCCGGTGTAGGAGGTTTGACGTGAAGGGGCGCGGCGGGTGACTGAGCTGAGGGCACGACGGTTGCTTGCTCTTGTGGCGCCGAGATGTGTAAACTCGTCTGTGGATATGTTGCGGTTGTTGGATGGACGAGGTGCGTCTACCATGACCCAGCCGGATTCGGTCTGCTGTCGCTTGAGTGAGCGTTCGGGGGTGTTGTCCTGCTCAAAATCGCCAAAGAAGTCGCTTGTTGGGTACTGTCCAGGCAGTGGAGTAGGAAGTTGGGTGGGTTGCGCAAAGTCATAGCCTCGTCCAGAACCAGCATAGAAGCCAGCGAAAGCATTCGCGCGACAAAAGTGCCAGACTTTGCCTACGACACCTCCTACGAACTTCATAGCAAAGCCTCCCCATCCTCTGGTGTCTGATGTGTCGCTAGTGCTGGCCATGCTGGTGTAGCTGACAGTCCTGCCTTTTCCGTTCCTCTCCCTAGCCAACAAGCCCGGGACATGTGCAGTGTCTTGGTCAGGCGATTGATCAGAATCCCATTTCCAGCGGAAGTCCCTCTCTCCAGTCAGATCGTCGTGTCGTGAAGCAGCTGCAAGTGTGGGTGTGTCGAACTTGTAGTCCAGTGTGTAGTGTTCATTCGCAAGAGGAGCTGGGCTCATGGCTTGAGTAGAGTAATCATATTTGGCTGCGTGATTGTAGGAAGCTGAAGTGTTTGCCTTGTTGGAGTTTGCGCGCGATCGTTTCCTTGTCAAGGCGGGCTTGTCTTGTAAGGGCGTGGCTGCGAAAGCCATAGCGTCGACATGCGACAGTCCATGAGTGTTCGGTGGACGAAAGATGTTGCTGTGCAAGCGACCCGCCTGCTGATCCGGAAAGGGGTAGCTCGAAGGCATCGAGTAGACAGTCATATTGTCGAGGTCGAGTCCAAGATGTGCGGCGTCAGAGGACCTTCGAGATGATAGGGTTGACTTTCCAGGGACCTTTGAAGCGGGGTTGGTGGTTGCCTTTTCTTGCTCAAACTCGTTGATGGTCGAAGGCAATCATCGACGTGCATAAACACATGACTGTCATCCAAATTCACTCCTTAACGCGGGTCGAGTCTGGATTTCGATGGTCAAGCATGATGATGCTTGTTGTTGTAATTATCCATCTCGCTAGCTTGACATCCGTCATGGTCGCCGCCTCGAAACGCCTAGACGCCCTGTTGACCCGCCAACCGTGCCGTTCGCGCGGCTACTCCCGTCTTCGGACACTTCTTCTCCATTCAGCGGTCTGGCCATCACCAGCCTATACCGACGACCTGCTCGCCCTCTTCTTGACCGGCCAACATCCAAGCTCTCTCTGGACACTTGCAGCGTCGCCTTCGCAGTCCATCATCGCCGTCAAGAATATGGCCTCGAATTGGACTTCCGCGATCATCTCTCGATTCTTGTGCCTGAACATTGCTCCAGCTATAAGGTCTTAGCCAGCAGCTACCTTTCGCATCTTCGCGCATTCGAGGTCATTTGCCTCAGCCAACAAATCTCTATCTCCAGAGGAATTCGAAAAGAAAAAGCAGGAAGGGTAATCCCTGGATAGGAGAAGTGGATAGGTTGAGAAAGACTTAAATTTCATCTGATAACCATCTATACAACTTGCAGTCTTTTGCAGACCACTGATCTATGCTCCCCATGTCTATCCAATCTTCCTCTTCTTGTTATACTTGCCCCTCGCCTCCACCTTACCTTCCACAGGCACAACCCTCCTCGCCGTGAATAAATAGCCTTCTGCACCACCCCTCCACGTCATGAGCGGATGCGTACGTCCAGGCAACACCTGCCAAGGTCTAATCCTCGTGGTCTGCAATGTGGGCGCCAACACCATTCTTGGATCCAGTGGGAAGTCTTCGGCAGAAGGCACAGTATCAGCAGCGATGTGATCGAGGTAAGCAGCCTTTCTGTCTTTAGAGTACAAGTCCATGATTTCGGTCAGAGGCTCCGGGGTGGGTGAGTAGATTGCTATATGGGCTGATCCACGGAGGAGATGCATGGTTGAGGCGAGGATGGTGGCTGGTGACATGTGTGAGGCGATGATCAAACCGTCGAAGCCTCCTGCGCGGGTTTCGTCCACAATGCTCTTGCATCTTGCCCAACGGCGTCGTTTGCGGTAGTAAGCTCCCCTCTTTCCGGACTTGAGTGTTTCTAACTCGGAGGGAGGCAGAGCTTCGGGCTCGTGGTAGGTGGGGTCCGCGGTTGGGTCGAGTAGTTGTAGCCAAGTGAGGGTTTTGAGATGGGTGTGTAAGGGATGGGTGGCTGTGGGGTTGTTTGTGTCGTAGGAGAAGTATTTTAGCAGGGAGAGGTTCGGTTGGGCGTTTGCGTGGAGGATGGTGAGTGTGTTTGTTGAGGAGAGGTTGGTGTTGTGTTTGTTGATGGGGCGTTTGCGGCCGTTGCTTTTGGGTCGTTCTGGTGAGGTGGGTTCTTCGTTGGTGGGCTCGTCTTTGGTGTCCTCTTCCTGCATCTCAATGTCGGCGTCGTCGTCTTCTGTGGGTGCTGATTGTTGTGCTCCGGTCTTGACAGGGGCCTCGTCGTCGTCTGACTCTTCATCGTCGTTGTTTGAAGGGTACAGGAGACCCATCTTCTCAGCCATGGAGGCTACAACCAGGCCACCAGTGTCGTCGACGACTAGCCATCTTCCACCACCGAGTTGTGTTCCTTCTTCCGTGAGAGTTGGTTCTGTGTCAGGGTGGTAGTGCACGTTTGCCCAGCTGCCGACCAAGCCCAGCGACTCCTCTCTAAGCTCCATAACTCTCGAAGACTCCTTCTCAGCAATCATGTATTCGGTCAACATGGACACATTCAAAGGCAAGACAGTAAACCTGCGCAAGTACTTTTTGTGCTTCCTCAAAGTATACTTTGCCAGGGCAAACGACGTCTTTTCACTCAAATGCGTATGCGACTTAAGAATCTTCTCAATGATATCTCTTCCAGAGCCAGTTCCAGCCTTCTTCAACTCTTCAATCTCATCCATGCTGAGGACCTGACGAGAACCATCGTCAACGGTAAGGCGATTGTTTTTGAGCAATACAGAGCCATCGTCAGCGACAATATCGAAGGACTCGTCGGCCTTTTCGGTGGGGTTATCTGAGGAGGGAGCATCCTCGGCGAGGACTTCGGCGTTTAGCTCAGAGGCTGGGACGACGCGGAGGCGTGAGACATCGGTGTCGGATTGCTTGTCGGTGATTTCGTAGGTGAGGTAGTAGGGTCTGCCGATGAGGAGGTTGCAGGGAAATGAGCCGAATTTGCCGATTGAGATGACACTGTGGAACAAAGAGTTTAGTTGATGGCATTGATGAAGGCAAGAGATTGGGGGAGATCATACCTGTTCGGGACTATGTGGACCAGCTTCAAGGTGTCTGAAGGTAGGCGTAGTAACACATACTCGCCGACATGGACGCGCGAGTGCATGGTGGAGAGTGGTGGGTTGCGACAAGATTGTCCAGCTCGATGGACTTTTTCTTGGACAAGATCTGGATTGCGGTCTCTGGAAATCTGGGGAAGGAACTCTTTCGACCTTTCCTTTTAGAGACCAAATTGTGACGTGCATCTTCCGCGTGCTTTCGAACGCGTCTGCTTGCGAAAAGGCAGCTGCGCTCGCCCAGCAGACATTAATTACAATCACAATTCGTTCTGTGTCAATTCTCTGTCCAACGCATCAGCAATCATGTCAGACTACGAAGATGAAATGGACGTTGATGTGCCCGCTGCTCAGTCCTCGATCCAATTCTCGTCAAACTCAAACGAGAAGGGCAAAAGAAGCGCCGCCAACCTGCCAGTCGAGCTACAGGACACACTACCATGGCACGTCTCGCACTGCTACCATTCAATCTCAAATCTAACAATGATGCAGGGTGGAGAAGTATCGACCAAACACTCTCGACGACGTCTCGGGTCATCAAGACATTCTAGCGACAATCAACAAGTTCGTCGACAGCAACAGATTGCCCCATCTTTTACTCTACGGCCCTCCCGGTACCGGCAAAACCTCGACCGTCCTTGCTCTCGCCCGTCGTATCTATGGGAACAAGAATATGCGCCAGATGGTCCTCGAGCTTAACGCTTCCGACGATCGTGGTATCGATGTCGTCCGCGAGCAGATCAAGACCTTCTCTAGCACAAAACAAATCTTCACCTCCTTTGGCGACAAGTCCGGTGGCGACAGCAGTCCGGCTAACTTCAAGCTCATCATTCTCGATGAGGCTGATGCTATGACATCGACTGCTCAAATGGCTCTGCGAAGAATCATGGAGAAATACACGTCCAACACCCGTTTCTGCATCATTGCCAACTACACTCACAAACTCTCGCCTGCTTTGCTATCACGTTGTACTCGCTTCCGCTTCTCTCCACTCAAGGAGGCCGATATTCGACGTCTGGTCGATATCGTCATCGAGAAGGAAGACGTCAACATAGCCCCTGACGCCACAGACTCTCTTGTCACATTGTCAAAGGGTGACATGCGTCGCGCACTCAACGTCCTGCAAGCTTGCCACGCTTCATCAACGCCACTTCATCTACCAGGTCAGGCACCCGCCCAAGGAGCAAAGATCGACCGCGACCTAATCACAAATGAAACAATCTTCGACTGCATCGCTGCACCACATCCTGCTGACATTGCAACCATTCGAGACACGCTACTATCCAACGCTGATGTGACTTCATGTCTCGCAACAATCAACACACTCAAGGCAAACAAAGGTCTGGCTCTTGCTGACATCCTCACTGCTCTCGGTGAAGAGCTTGCGAACCTAGAAGTCCCAGCTCACACAAAGGTCGCATGGCTTCAAGGCCTGGCCGAGATTGAGCACAGACTGAGTGGTGGTGGTAGTGAGAACCTCCAGACTGGTGGTCTGGTCGGCACTGTCAGAAACGGCTGCGAGATTATGGAGAATAAGAGCAAATGATCCAAAAGTACGGCTAGGAGAGTGTCAAGCATGGAGTCAAGGAGTTAAGATGGGAATCATATCGGATGTGTATAGCTATGTCTCGAAACAGACGGAGGTCGGATGTTTGCTCTGGCATTGACTTCAAATACCACTTTTGCATGCCTACATTTCTTGAGCTTTGCTTGTCGATAGGCCGTGTACTGCTTATCTCCATTCGTTCAAGAGTCGGGTCGTGACTACCGCATCTCTCATCTTGGATCCGCAATGTGTGTCAACCGATCCTTCTGCCGTTGAAATTAACCCAGGTTTGGCGACCACTAAATGGCTGTAGACGTGCCATGATCCCACACGTCACCAGATCCGTCGAGGAGCGAGAAGGGTTGTCCAAGTTCAGCCGAGCCGTTGAGGACGAAATCCTGGCATGAACATGACGGGAAGGAATCCGAAGCGCAATCGAGCCGAAGCTTATTGCCAGCTCTCGGCCGAGTCCTCTTCTGCTCTTTGGTTTGATTCTCCAGCGGTGTCTTATGTCCTCAAGCCCATGCTCAAGAAGGAGGAAACACGGTATTCTGCAAACTTCTCGTTAGCACAGAGCCCAAAACCTTCCAAGCATAACTCAAGAAACATACAATGAAGCTCTCCAAAGCACCTTCAAACAACTCATTCGCAACTCCCACGCCACCGGTGTGTTCAACAGGCGATATGGGGCTCTTGACCACGTATTCGACGTAGAGGTTTGCCCAGATTTGATAGAGTACTGTACGCATACTCGCTATACGTGTATCCGTGAGCATTACAAACTTTAGATTCGTTGCTGTTTCGAAGTAATGGAGTTTGTATTCTCCGGTGCGGTAGGAGAGGAAGCTGTTGCATGGGTTTGTCAGTATATTTACTTCTCTGAGGTAGAAGGAGGAGGTAGAAGGGGTTGGGCATTACCTGTCATCTTCACCGCCCAACTGCCTCACCATTCGTCGCAGAGAAAAGATGGAGCCGAAAATTAGTTTTGCATCGTCTTCATTTGATAGGGCTTTGGTGTTGACGCCTGGGATGTGGTCGGCGCTGAGGGTGGAGGCACCGGATTGTCGTTGGGCTGTTTTGAGGGATTGGGATAGTGGACGCTGGGCCCAGCGTTTGCTGTATATGCATTCGGCTTGGTTTCTGTTAGAACATGTGGTTTTCCGTGAGAAGTCATGGACACGCACTATGTCTGTCGAAGATGTAGAAGGAGTAGACGGTCATTGTGATGAGAGTGGAATTATTGGTGCAATATCAAGGGATGTTGTTGGTGGTTCGGTCTAGCCCTCTGGCAGGTGATTGTGGAGACTCAAAGGACGCTGTGAAGACTTGGCAGGTGCAGGATGCAGCGAGGGCGCGTCGAATCATGAAGGGAAACTCTGGATAAGTTCGGATAGTCGGGCCTCTAGCGTTCACCTTGTCCCATCTGCGTTGCGTACGCCTACGTATAGGCTGGGATTTTTGTTAAGAAATCAGAGTCAAGCAGCAATGTTACACGAGCATCTTTCCATTTGACTTTTCTCCCTGTGAGAATTACGCACCCTTTCGTTTTCACGCGCGGCCGACTCTCTCTTCCATGGCAGAGTCACAGATTGCGTCCGAGGCCAGCAACGCCCGCTCATCATCATCATCTGAAGCTGCTGAAGCGGGGCAGCATCATGACCGCAATGCTCACCTTCTGCCCTCGCGTGCTATCTCGCTCAATCTAGCCAGTGCAAACACCAGTCATGGCCGGCCTGCTGCTGTCAAACACATGTAGGGCTTTGCAACCAAACAGCCTTTGACTTGGTCCAATCGTACTGAGCATCCGTCGCTTTGCGCAGGTCCCTGCCGGCATACCAGAGCCCCATAAGACACCACAAACGAACCGCCTCGAGAACAACCACCGTCAAGGTACAACTCCGTATCTCCTATCTGCCGATCGCCAGCCACTCTGACGCACAACACACAGGAAACACTCAATGCGCGCACACAGCATGGCTCCAGCGACGACGACGGCGCAGCCGTCCACAAGATCAACCAATACATCATCAAGCAAGAAATCGGCCGCGGCTCCTTCGGCGCAGTCCACCTAGCCGTCGACCAATTCGACAAAGAATATGCCGTCAAGGAGTTTTCCAAATCGCGCTTGCGCAAGCGCGCCCAATCCAATCTACTGCGACGACCGAATCAACGTCGACAGCCCTTCCACCGAATGACCACTGCGGACAAACTCGCTCCGCAAGGGAACAACTCGTTGGACTTGATCAAAGAAGAGATCGCGATCATGAAGAAGTTGCATCATACCAACCTCGTTGCGCTGATCGAGGTCTTGGATGACCCGGAGGAAGATTCGCTGTATATGGTTTTGGAGATGTGTAAGAAGGGCGTCGTCATGAAGGTTGGTATTGACGACAGAGCCGACCCTTATGACGAAGAGACATGCAGATGCTGGTTCCGCGATATGATTTTGGGCATCGAGTATCGTAAGAAAACTGGTTACACATGTCTACGGACAAACAAAGACTAACACACCATACAGTACACGCTCAAGGAATCGTACATCGCGACATCAAACCCGACAATTGTCTGATCGACGAAGATGACGTTCTCAAGATCGTCGACTTTGGTGTATCGGAAATGTTCGAGAAAGAGTCTGATATGACTACAGCAAAATCTGCGGGTTCGCCTGCGTTCATGCCTCCAGAACTGTGTGTCGCCAAACACGGCAATGTTTCTGGCCGAGCTGCTGATATCTGGTCTATGGGAGTCACGCTATACTGTCTCAGATACGGTAGAATCCCATTCGAGAAGACGCACCTGCTTGATATGTACCAAGCCATTCGCTCTGACGGATTTACATTACCCGAGGAACAAAACTCGACTTTTGAAGATCTTATTCGTAGGATTCTGGAGAAGGATCCCGAACGCAGGATCAAGATGGAGGAACTCAGGACGCATCCATGGGTCACCAAAAATGGAGAGGATCCATTGCTCTCTGCGGAAGAGAATTGTGCCGACATGGTTGACACACCGACTGAAGAGGAGATGAATCGCGCCATCACGGGCAATATGAAGCATCTTTTGGTTGTGGTACGTACAAGCCTTCATCACAACTCGATCTTGCCACTAACACTCTCTCAGATGAAAGCCGTCAAACGCTTCAAAAAACTCCTCTTCCGCAAACGCCCAGAACTAATGGATGGTCTCTTCGGCCGCGCATCCCGCATAGTAGCTCCTCCCGGTAGTATCGAAACCAAATACAGACGCACACGCAGCAGCGACGCCGACGACAGAAAACCAATGGAAGGGGTCCTCGCAGCAGAAGGTATCCATCACGATATCGTGGTATCAGACGACATGGTATGCAGTCCCGGAGAAATGGATGACCCAGCAACAAACCCCATACACGAAGCCCTCGAACATGAAGAAGATGCAGACAAAGATGCACAACAAGATTCTGTGGACCGCGCTCTCAAGGGACCTTCACATAAAGGACATGCTCATGACCCGTTGTCTGAAACAACATATCTAGGCATCGGCACCGGAACTTCTTCACCTTCAACGACCCCTTCTCAAAAAACACAAGACGACAATGCGCAAACTCATGTCGTTTGCGAATCTCCTGGTGCAGTCGACAGCAACTTTTTCGAACAGGCCTATCAAGAAGAAATGAAACGTATACACAGCAGACGAGGAAGAGAACCTACCATCTATCTTACTCGCCGCGTTGAGAATAACAAGGAGATTGCTGGGCATGAAAGTGTTATTCGCGATGCGTCTGAACCGGCGCAACAAAGTGCTAAGAGCAAATGGGCTGGTTTGGCGAGTGCAGTCCGTGGCAATGATGGTAGTGAGGCTGCGAAGTCTGGAGCTGAGGACAACGATGATTGAACCCGCTTCCGTCGTCTTACCATGGGAGGTCGTCAGTCCATCGCTGGACGATGGACTTGGACTTTTTCGCTGATGAACGGACTTCGAATTATCGTTGGCGACGGCTTTTTCTTCTTTCTCCTAATTTTTCGTTAAGGTGGGACGGGGACGAGCAACAGAACCTGAGAAAGACTTTTTTGTATTCATAGCACAATACAAGGTATTGCGTAAACAGCAAGATTCATACCTACTTATATACATATATACACACACAGAGAAATTCTTTAGCCCAATAGTTTCTTTGGCCAGACCATCTGAGTTCCACTTCACACAGTTTCATCCTTCCGTTCCCTTGCCGTCTCTGTAGTATCCTTGGCTCTTGGTCTCTACAGTATCATTGAGCCTTCCCATCTCTATACTATCCTTGCCCCTTCTCTTCTCAAGCAAACCCTCTACCTCTGCGATAGCGCTCATAACAGCAACAGTATACACCATAAATTCTACGCTGAACAACCACATGTAGCCACTACAGCCCAACACAGCATCCCTGCGACCTTTGCTGCACAGTTCGAAAACATGTTTGATGCTTGGATGGTCGGAGGATCGCCAGAAACAGAGAGCTAAAGACATAGAGAGGCAGTGGAAGGGTCTTGGGTATTTGCGGTAGAGAAGATAGGTGAGGAGTGGGAGGATGAGGATACTGGGATTTGAGTCGCTCATTTTCGTCAAAGGTTTGTGAGGAGATGAGGAGAGGGAGGTCTGCGAGAGTTGTTAGGATCAAGTCTTGTTTCAGGTGTTTGGGTATCTGATGTATGTGTACGTTGTAGGTGTTGATTTTGTCCTAGAGAGACAGAACACTCAGGAGGGTTTTGTTGTCAGGGGTATATCGTGAGTATAGCTCAATGGTTCGTAAGGCCAGCATGAATCGAGACAATGAGGTCAAGGAGGAATTTGCGAAATGTGTTGTTGAGATCAGATGTACTGGAGAGATGACACCCAGAATTTGTCCGTTTGTTTGATGCGAGTCTTGGTAAGCTCTATGGGTGTGTATGTAGACAGCTGTTTATTCTAAATGCTCTATGCGAATGGTATAGGTGAAATGCAAGTACACAGGCCAAGTGTCTCGAAGAGCTAAAGATGTCATGGTGGGGTCAGGGTGCTATGGTCGACCATGACGCGTGTCCATGGTTTGTTTACGCAAACTCAACATGGCGTTGTCATTCGTGGATGTTGGATTCTCTATCGATAGAAAACGTGATAGGTCAGAGGAGCCAGCGGTATTCATATCTCCATCGTGTTGAATGACAACATCTCGAGGACCCACCGCAAGCTTCACAGACCCCACCATCCCACTTCCTCGTTGTTCCCTCTTACCTCACACCAAATGTCGCACTCTCCATCTCACAGCAACACCTCCAGTTCTTCATCCTCCAGCATGGCTCCACCTCAACCTCCCTCCTCCACCCCCGGGATCCTACACCACGTCCACCCCGTCTCGGCCTTTGAAATCACACCCTCTCCTGGCTCTCCACAACCTCGCAACCTACTTCTCTGGATCGGCGGCCTCACGGATACATACCACAGTGTCTCCTACGTATACACTCTCGCTACCTCTCTACCTCCCTCATGGTCACTCGCCCAAGCCAATCTCTCCTCAGCAGGCAGTGGCTGGGGCACTTCCTCCCTCTCCCAAGACGTCGCCGAGATTTCCTCTCTAGTATCCCATTTCCGCACTCTAGGAAAGCAAAAAGTGGTGATTATGGGTCACTCCACCGGTTGCCAGGATTGCCTGCATTACTTTGCTTCTCCGGTGAGCAATTGGAATCACAGAGAGCTTGTCGATGGCAGCATTTTACAAGCTTCCGTTAGCGATAGAGAAGCCATTGCCATGGACATGCCTGCCTCTGAACTGGCCTCCACAAACGCCACAGCAAAGGACTGGTGCAGCAATGGCACAGGCGAAAACATACTCCCTCTCTCCCTCACTGCCTCGAACTTTGGCAGAAACCCAGTGAGCGCACGCCGCTGGGTGTCACTAGCTTGCGAAGGCGGTGAGGACGATTACTTTTCTTCTGACCTGAGTGATGCTCAATTGCAAAATACATTTGGCAGAGTGAACAAACCGCTGCTGATCTTGTATGGAGAGGAAGATGAGTATGTGCCGAAGTCGGTGGATAGGAAGGCTTTGGTGAATAGGTGGATTCCGTTTGTGAAGGGCAAGGTGGATGAGCAGAGTAAGGAGTTGCTGGGGGGTGCTAGTCATAATTTGAACGGGGATGATCAGGAGGTTGTTGATGAGCTGGTCAAGAGAGTTGGTAAATTCTTGAGCAGCATTTAAATGTATGACTAGAATGCATGAATCGATGTCACAGCTCAAAAAAAAAAAACGATATATCTAGACACGATATCTTGGAAATCCTTGCAAAGACATAAAAGTCAAGAAGCACATCAATACTGACACAACAACAATCACATACAGTATGAGAAGATGGGTGTGGGAGCGAAAAATTTTCTTTTCTTTTGAGAAATTGACTGGTAGAGCTACTTTTAATCCCTTCCCAAGCCATAAATTTCATCTCATCACATTCCGACCAACAATCCCAGGAACAAACACTTAGTTCTCGTGGAGAAGAGTCTTGAACTCGGAAGCGGGAGCGACGGGCTTGCCGTCCTCGGCCTTCTTCTGACCAAGACCAGCCTTGGAGAAGGCAGTGGCGTAAGGGTTGAGGCGGAGAAGGACCTGCTTGTTGCGCAGAGGGTTCTTCTTCTGGACGTTGGTGCGCTTCTGGATGGCACCACCCTTGGCGGGGCGGAGGACAGACTGGACCTCAGTGGAGTTGATGAGCTTGACAATGTCGGGCTGGGCAACAGAGTTCTGGGGAAGAAGGAAGTCCTTCTTGAGGGCAGAGGCCTCAGTGGTGGAGCCGTAGATCTTGTCAAGAGCCTGGAAAGCGGAAGAGGTCCAGACGATGAAACGGCCGAGGTGACCACCAGGGGCGAGCTGGAGGAGGTTGAGGGAGAAGACAGTGCAAGTCTCAACACCGGGGATGTTGCGGAAAGCGGTAACGAGCTCCTTGCCATCCTCGCTGGGGTTGTAGACAACGAGGGGACCACGGCGCTGGCGGTGGCGGCGGTTTCTCAGCTTACCCTTACCGGCGCGGAGCTTCTTGGAAGCCTTGACCTTCTCGAGGTCGGCACCGGCACCGACGGCCTTGAGGAGGGCGACGGCAGCGGAGGTCTTGGTGATGGCAGCGTTGCTGAAGGCGGTCGAGTTGACGACGAGAGGAACCTCAGGAACGGTGGCGACCTGGTGACCACGGGCCATCAAGAGAGCGGCGGAAGAAGAGGCAGCGATGGCAGAGGCGGTAGCGAAACGCTTCTGGCCAAGGTTGATCTTCTGCTGCCACTTGCGCCAGACCTTGGTGGGGGCGAACATGCGACCGGAACGGCACATGTTACCGAAGGCGGCCTGACCGGCACGGTGAGTACCACCACCGGAGACACGGGGGATACGGGCAACAGCACGGCCTGAGGAAACATTGTGTTAGGAGCGGTGTTGTTGGCGATCCGATTTTTGCTCTCAAAACGTACCGGTACCCCAGGACTCAGCAGAGGTCTGGTGGCCAGCCTTCTCGCTCACGGCGTAGGGCTGTCTCTTGTTCTTGGCCATACCAGTGTGGACGGACCTGCGCGGATTGTATCAGTCAATTGTCCATTGGCGGAGTCGCGGGCGCGGGTTCAATCGTACTGAACAATGTCGGGACGGATGGGAGCCTTGAAGACATTGGGGAGGGGGTGGCTAGCCTCGCCGGCCTTGCCGTCGGCGGAGATGATGGAAACCGTGGGTCTGCTGGTCATTTTGGCGGTCGTGGATTGTTCGTCGCTGTCGTCGATTCAAAGAGAGAAGATGCAAAGCGCTGAAGAGTTTGCAAATGTCGGGGGGTGCGGCTTCTCGCTTAGCTCAGCCAGGAAAATCTTGGCGCAAGGTGGTCATAGCTTCGCACACTACCCGATGTTCAGTCGCCTACAACATGAACTTGCATTATATTATGCTGCGAAAAGTGAACGTATCCTGTGGGGGATAGCGTCGACAAAGTAGGAACTGTAAGGTGGGCTTGGGCTGCTCGAGGGAGCTGTGTTGAATGCTCTTTTCGTTCTCACTTACAGCGCCTTCCTTCCAGGGAAGACTCAACCGAGACTTGATATCCAGCTCAGATACTCGTGCCCCCTTCTGAGACTCAGCTCTCGCGTTGCATGTTCGTCGTTCTCATTCTCACTGGCCTGACATTCTCGACCAGCATGGACGATGATAGTATGCATGTGTCTTGGAAACGAGCCTTGGGCGCTTACAATCTTGGGTCCTCGGCGTCACCGTCTGGGAAAACCGCGCCGCATCTCGGATGCTCTTCAGATCACATCTCTAAGTGCGTCGGACACATTTAATGCAGACATGTGATGGACAGTATTTCCTGAGTACATTGACTCCAGCCGCGCGTGGCGTCTATCTCAGGAAGGCACGTGTAATGCTGCGTACACTCTTACATTGCAAAGAGCCACTTCTATTGAGCAAACCTATCTCGTCGAAGAATTGTCCGTCTCAGCACTCCAATGTCACGAACATCCCTCGCTAAGGGAAAAACCAGAAAAGTATGGTCTCGCCATCATCTGAGAGAAACAGAAATCCACGGGTAACGCGTTCAAAGACTGCATACGCGTATGTCCCTAGTCGGTCAACAATATATCTGTAGTAAACATAGCATATTAGCCGCCAGGAACTGCACAGCACGTCAATCTGATTACGCGCATTGGCTCGTCACTATGGTGGCGTTCAGTACGGCGGCTACCTGCAGCATGGGTTTACATCTCCAATTTCGCGATGAGTGTCCATGAGAAGACGAAGAACACTTCAAGATGGCGAAGGAACGCCATTTTGGTTCTCGATTGAGACTTCTGATACCTATCGATTCAATTTCGAAGTCATGCCCTCGATACCATTTACTAATGATTCGACCAGAGCTCAGGAAAGCAATTCACTGCGGTCCAAAGTCTCTGAGCAGTCTGAAGAACTTTCGGTCCGAACGGACGATAACAAGCAGGCCTTGTTCACGTTAACAGCCAAAAAGTCATGGAAGCCATGGACTCATAAAGCATACTTTCTTGTACCAACCATCTTGGCTTCTGGAGCACTGATAGCTATCCTGCAGATTTATCTGGAACGCAGTAATCGAGACACTGGAATCTTGTTTGCCTCTAGAATCATAGATCTTCCTCTGGACCAGAAGTTTCCCTACCTCTATCTGCCGACAATAGTGTCGCTGTTGCTCAGTTTCGCCTGGGCTTGGCTTGATCTCGATGTTAGAAGGCTGCAACCATTCCTGGAACTCTCCAAAGAGCGCGGAGCACGTGGAACTGATTCGCTCCTGCTCCACTACCCTTTCGATTTTGTAGCCTTGGTGTTGTTCGCTGCAGCCAAACGACGGTATGATCACCACTCTCATGCAAGGAACCTCACTAATGCTGTAAAGACACTGGCCAGTCTTCTCGGCGTCTCTAGCAGTTGTGATAATTCACTGGGGTCTGACACCTTTGCAATCAAGTATGTTCGCGACGAGAACAATCGAAAAAACTATTCCAATTGTAATGGCAAGATCGACGTCTTACCTCTCTTCACGAGAGCAGGAGTCCAGCTTGACTGCTGAATACGCACAATCGGTTTATAACATTGCGTGGCTGAACGAAACCCTGCCCCCTTTCATGAGTCCACAAGGCCTACTTGCCCCTTTTGGCCTTTTGGGAACCGTAGGGAAGATAGAGTCTTCCGAGACTTGGACTGCATCGACTCGCTTTTACTCAGTCGACCTTCAGTGCGAGAGGGACAATGGTAGCCTCTCCAGCTCAAATGGGTGCCATTACTCTGCACAGAATATGGCTTTGCCACCAAAGATTAAGGACGATGAATACTACAGCCTCTACGTGGGATACTGGTACGAAGAAAGTATGGACTCATACCTACTGGGGTCGTGTCCCGACGACGCCAACCAAACGTTGCTTGTCCGTTGGTCTCGAGGTCAACAGCGACAAGCCAATCTGGCTCTCAACGAGATAGCAACCGTTCCAAAAGAGGAAGCCACTCTATGGTGTACTTCCTCATATTACCAACAAGATGTTGAAGCGACTGTGTCTGTCCCAGCTATGGGCGTTCTGGAGATTGTGCCTACCGGCCCCAAGACGGCGTTGCCTATGGACTTTTTCAACGTCACAGATTTTGAGTGGGGACTCAGTCAGGGTTCTGATAAGAATGCGAATCGTGGAACATATCCTGATGTAGGTATCGGAGGAGGTTGGCCTTCACCATATGATCGACTTTGTCACGAGTTCCCGAAATTAGTGTGGGATCCACAATCCGCATACCTCTCCAACATGGCAACTTTCGCACTCGGAACATACCAGCGTCCGATGGCCGAGTACCTCGACGCAGAGGTATTGAAAGACTCTTATCAAGCAGCCTATCGCCTTCTGTTCGCACGACGCTTGTCAAATGTTTTACACCCAGCTCTTAACATCAGTACAACAGTGCTGGGTAGCCGTCGTTACAGCACCCAGACTATCATCATGGTTCCTGCTTTCGTCTATGTGGTAGAAACTATGATCGCGTTCACAGCGACTGCTGCTTTCGTGGTATTTCTTCTATCACTCTTTACGAGAAACAAGCTCTCGTTCGAGCCTGCAAGTATTGCTTCTCTAATGGCTTTATCAAGTGGCGACTGCCGTCTGATAGAAAAAATGTCTGGGGACGATTGTACAACTACTGAAGATTTGAGCACTATGTACAACGACGCTCAGTTTGGGCTAACGATCTCCCGACTTAATCAAGGGCCAACTATATGCTTTACAAAATCTGATGACCGGTCTTCGAGCACACTGTTTCGACAACCATCGAAGCCGAAGCTCACGCTGCCCATGGAACTGTCGTGGACTTTCGGATTCTGGTTTATGTCCCTCCAGGCCGGGCTTTCGTGCGCGTTGGTGTATGTTTATGTCCGAATACAGACAAATAATGGTATGTTCTGACGCAACCATAATTCGTATTTGCTGACAGCCATAGGTCTACCTTTACCATCAAAGTCACTCTTTGTCAACCAACTGCTGAAGAACTATCTACCTATGGTTGTTGGAGCATCTTTCGAGCCGATATTCACAATGATCACAAGCACATTGTGCATGCTTCAGCCATACGAGCAGCTCCGACGAGGCCACGAGAAGCCAGGACGATCGATCACTCTCAACTATGCGTCTCTGCCACCGCAGGCCGTGGTCTTCCGGGCTCTCAAGAACAAACATATTGGACTGGCTTTTGTTTCCTTGATGACTATATTGGCAAACGTCCTCTCTGTCGCCTTCAGTGGCTTACTGACCGAATCGAGTGTACTGATTTCTCAGAATACCGACTTTATGGCCACTCATCAGTTCCCGCTGAACGGGACCAGCATAGGTAATGAAAGTTTGTCGAGGAATCGACCATCCTACGACTCGTACTATGTCGCATCATCGAACCTCACGGCTGATACACCGCTGCCGCCATGGACAGACGGCCAATATTTCTATCTCCCATTCGAACCATACGTGCCATCGGCTGCTAACATAACGCAACGTAAAGCCGCGACACCTGCAGTCAAAGCATCACTGCATTGTTTCCCGATGCGTCAGGTAACGAATGGCCGTGACTTGACATTGAAAACACCCGATGGAAGAATCACATGTGATCTCGGCCTTTGGGCAAGTTTCACGAGCGCACACAATAATACGCCACAGGCTATCGAACATGTGAGCTTTGCCTCGTCAGATCAAAGCGAACAAGGTCCCGAGTATTGTGATCTCAAAGTCATGGCGGGCTGGACGAGAGCCTCCAAAGCGCCTGACAGTGGCCCTCTTAATGCCTCCTGGGTTGGTTGTATGCCTGCGCTTCAAGTCGATGTCCGCGAAGTTACAGTCGACTTGAAAGGAAATGTGTTGTTCTCTACTCCGTTAAACTCCACGACCGGTATCCCGGAACACGTTTTTGAGCCAGATGACATGGGTGTCGTCAACTCCGTACATAAGGTTCTGGATGCTACCAGCCTAGTGGGTTTATCGCATATCACAAACCCGAGCTGGCACAACGACAGCTACCCCAGCAACTTCATCAACTATCTCATGGCACAAACGACCAACAGCACGGCTTTCCTGGATCCTGTGTTGTCACCACCTCCTTTCGAAGAAGTTGCACCGCTGTTGGATTTGTTGTATTCGAAACTGTTCGCAATCACCCTTGCCAACAACATTGACAAGATTCTGTGCCCGTCCAGCGACACGACAACTCTCACAGGCGTGTCTATGGGGCCCGAGACCAGGATATTCGCTCAAGAAGAGATGCTCTTTGTCGCCGTGGTCATCTTGGCTGTGTTCTTCTTGGTCACACTGGTTCTGTACATTCGTCGACCGTGGAGGATCCTTCCGCGTATGCCAACAACACTTGCAAGTCAGATAGCCTTTTTCGCCGCAAGTCATGCATTAGTAGATCTTGCTGAGACATCAGGCATGTCTGAGAAGGAGCGCAATTCATACGTCAAAGGATTGGAGCAAACATACGGGTTCGGGAGATTTGTGGGTACAGATGGAAAACCTCACATCGGAATCGAGAGGGAACCCCTTGTGCAAATTCTTACCAAACAAGACTTGCGAGCCATGCGCAAGGACGCGGTGATAGACTGAGTTGTGAAAGACTGCTATTGAAAGCGCCATTGTCATTGCGACACAGGCGTCTCGAGAGACAATAGCGAACTCAGGTCGGCGGCTCAGAATGTACAACAATACATGTAACCTGCGAGTCAAGATTCAGGTGTTACAGGTCTCAAACAGAAGCCAGTGTTTCATGTTAGCGACTGAGCTCCAGCAGCCCCGTGGCCCGAATGTGGATGCCGGCAGATCTAGAGGTCCAAGCTTCTACACCTTCACACGACTTGTCGTTCATTCATGTCTTACCAACCAACGTTCATGGACAAAAACTTGTTCAGATATGGCAAACATCTTTCCAACAGTGCATGCTGAAGTTAACAAAATTGAGCAACACTTCTGATAGCCAGTGCGACAAGAAAGGCAAGGAAGTACGGCACAAAGATCGCTTCTTTGTTACATCCACTCCTGAAGCACAGACGTGCCGCCTTCCGAGGCTTGTGCATCTCCTTTTTCGACCGCTACCTCACTTCTGATCATTGATTGGACGCATCCAGGAAATCGTTTGCTTCTATGCATGCACCACGGAAAATAGCTTTGAGCGGGTATCGACTGCAGCGGTGCCAGTGTGGATGCGCCGTAAGTCATGACTCTGCCAGGCCAGCTGCACAATATTGATCACGGCCTGAAAGCAAATACCCAATAACACTTGACACGGATTGGCAGGCTATGCAAGTTAAAGGAGAAACAGGAGACAGATCGATGTCTAAAAACAGCCAGCCAGATTCGGCGTCAACTGTTGCTGTCTCGTCCAGATCCAGGGACTGCTGTGTGACCGAAACCAAGCTTTACCGTGCTGCAGGGGTGGCCTTGACCGCCATCGTCCTTTAACACGCGCGATCAACCACGCGCAAACTTGCACGGACATGTGCATGATTTCTTCGTCCGGCTTTCGTAATGGCTTCGCTCCGCGCTTGGAACGATTTGACGGCTTTAGTTCAGTCTCACCAGTTCAGTGAAAGGGCCCCTGAAGACGCATATTTGGCTTCCTACTGGACACGAGCGATCTAAGGCTCAGTGGTCCATGACCAATTCTCTTCCAAAGCTCGATGGGTGAGTCTCCACTATGCGACTTGGCTAGGCTACGCACAGAAGAAGGCGTGTGCTTGACCTGCAGTTCGCATACATGTGGCGGAAATAGGGATACCACCCTTTGCAAACAAGATTTGATATAAGAACAGTAGGTCCCTGGACCTCCCAGGCTTCTTGCTCTCTCTTATTGTCTCATTGTTGCTTTGGAATCGCCTGGTGCAATTCCTATCACATTCTTTACAGTCTGCAAGAACGTCACGCGCTAGTCACTCTTTTTGCTTGATCCTTCTAGATTCACTCGCTTGACCTTCTGGTTTAGATCTTGCATTGTCAGGTATGTTTTGATTTCCTTGATTCTTGCTGCTGGTCTTGTAATTTCATTGTTAAGATACTTGCTCAAAGCGCATTGTGCATTGTTTACTGTCATTGTTCCCATTCAAGCTTGTATTGATCCATTGTGTTGTTCAACCGAGACATCATGATGTGTTGGCACTCCATATATCCCTCGAAGATTCTCTGTAAATTCCCGAGACAGACAGACACACAACTCGAAGATTCTTGAGACAGACACCTAACACATTTTCTTCCCAGTTCTACAAGCCTCGAATCTCAAGTCGCATAGCCGGACTAGCGATATAAAAGCATTCTCAGAGCGAACATTCTTGCACTACACTCTTTATCAACAAAACTCCAACCTCACAAAATGTATACCTCAACTGCTGTTTTGGGCTCGGTCCTCGCCCTCATTGCAAAGTCCAATGCTCATGTCATTATGAACACCCCGACACCCTATGGCTTCAGCACTCTCCAGACTTCCCCGCTCAACGGTCAAGGTTACAACTTCCCCTGCCAAAGTGGAAGTCGTGCCAACGCTTTCGACGGTACTGGTGTTTCCAACCCCATGAAGGTCGGCCAAGACAACGATCTGAAGTTCACTGGTAGTGCAACCCACGGTGGCGGCTCCTGCCAGCTCAGTGTGACCTACGATTACCCTCCCCCTGCCGACAAATCTAAGTGGAAGGTCATCCACAGTTACATTGGTAGCTGTCCAGTCACCGCTCAGGGCAACATTGCTCAAGTCGGAACTGATGCTGATGGAAGACCTACGGGAGCTCAATGCACTGGCGACGACCAAAGCGAGTGCCTGAAAGACTTCAAGTTCCAGATCCCTGAAGGCATGAAGAACGGTAATGCAACTCTTGCCTGGACTTGGTTTAACAAGATCGGAAACCGTGAGATGTACATGAACTGTGCGCCTATCTCAATTTCTGGTGGTTCCGACGACGACACTTTCTACAACAACCTTCCTGAACTTTTCGTTGCCAACATCCCAGGCCAATGCAAGTTCGACGACGGAAGCTTCGTCGTTGGGTTCCCTGATCCTGGCAAATTTGTCACATATGGCGAAGCTGTCACTCCTGGAGACCACGGATGCGTTGCCCCTGCTTCTGGCTCCGGATCGAGCTCGACTCCGACCTATTCATCGACTTCGTCCTACGCTGCTAGCTCTGCCGCTACTGCTCCTACTTCGTATGCCGCAGCTCCCTCGCAGTATGCCCCTGTCCCCACTCTGGCCACAGCTGCCACAGCTGCCAGCGGTGCCCCCGTCCCCTCAGGAACCGGCTCTGCCAGCAATGCTTCTGGTGCCTGCGCTGACGGGAAGGTCTCATGCCAATCTCCTGGCGAGGTCATGTGCATTGACGACCAGACTTTCGGTATTTGCAACATTGATTACTGCGCCGTTCCTCAAGCCGTTGCTGCTGGTACCACTTGCTCCAACAACATTGTCTCCAAGCGCGATGTGGTGAGAAGAAGAAGTTCTCGCATCCATCGCCATATTCCCAATCACATCAGCCACAAGAAGAGTGTTTGACCAGATCAACAACCTTTTACGACAACAACTTTAGGATCCGGTATCCTTGCATTAATGAATGGGGAATGTCCATACTTGAGATGAGACGCGAGTCTCGGGTTTCTCTGCGTTAGTACTTGCATGTTCTTTGCACATGATGAATCAATTCTTCTTCCTTCACACATAATCATCTGTATCGTCCTGTCTTTCCAATGTGAGCGTGATTGTCAGAATCTGAGGCCGAATCAAAATAGTTAAGTTCGATCTTAAGCATATGCACGTGATGCTGCACCATCAAAGTGAGATATGCATTGTCATGTGGTGTGACTGCGAAAGTGGTAGATGGCGGCAGTGGTATTTCAACTTTCGGAGCTTTGACGATGACGGAATGGAATTTGGCAAGAGCGAGGCTTCGGTGGCTCACTCTCCCTCCGCAAGCTGACCGCCTTCCTCTCGGCACTGTTCGTTTGACCTATGAGCCTTCTCCTGAATATCTGTGATAATCTCTAATATTCCTCAAGTTCTCTCGGTATACACATGAGACACAAATAATTAAAGCCCATTTTCTCCAAACAGACAACAGTTAGCGGGCTACGTCAGGCATCATTAGCTTGAATCAGCGTCAAGCAACACCGCCACAAAGTCGCAGGGTCTACTGGTCGCGGCTCTCTTGCCCCTCAGCCACGCGACCGGCCATTGCTGCCCTTTCGACCTCCACCGACTCCGACTCTGACCTTTTTGCAACAACCACACACACTGCAATCATGTCGGACCAACCTATGGAGCAGGACAAGTATGTCGATACCGCCGTGCGCGCTGTCACCAACAAGCGCCCCGTCCCCGAGATCGATTTTACACTTCACACCATGGAGGACGGCACCCAGGTTAGCACTCTGGAGAGAGTGTGCAAGGGTATGTACTCTGTTCCCGGCTGTTGTTCTTGTCTGCTCTAGAGCTCGGTCAAGTCATTTACTAGATCGAGCTGACCCGCAATCCAACAGACGTGCAAGCGCCCGCCTTCCACCCGCCGACCGACGAGCAATTCTTCTCTCCCTCAGACCCCAACAAGCCCAACCTTCAATTCCTCAAGCAACACTTCTACCGAGAGGGTCGTCTTACCGAAGACCAGGCGCTATGGATTCTGAGCGAGTGCACAAAAGTCCTCGAGAGAGAGCCCAACCTTCTGGAGATGGACGCTCCCATCACCGTTTGTGGTGATGTCCACGGTCAATACTACGATTTGATGAAGCTGTTTGAAGTCGGTGGTGATCCCGCAGACACGCGCTACCTCTTCTTGGGCGACTACGTCGACCGTGGCTACTTCAGTATCGAGGTATGTTCTTCCATTGCTCTTCTATGAATGCGCCAATCTGACAAGATATGCAGTGTGTTCTCTACCTCTGGTGTCTCAAGATCTGGTATCCCAACACCTTCTGGCTCATGCGTGGTAACCACGAGTGTCGCCATTTGACCGATTACTTCACCTTCAAGCTCGAGTGCAAGCACAAATATTCTGAGGCCGTGTACGAGGCCTGCATGAAGTCGTTCTGCGCTCTTCCCCTCGCTGCTGTTATGAACAAGCAGTTCCTGTGTATCCACGGTGGTCTCAGTCCCGAGCTGCACACACTCGAGGATCTCAAGAGCGTACGTTGTAATGTTTCTTCTCTGCTCTGTTCCATACTAACATGCTGTGTAGATTGACCGTTTCCGTGAGCCTCCTACCCACGGTCTTATGTGCGATATTCTCTGGGCCGACCCGCTTGAAGACTTTGGTCAGGAGAAGACGCAAGAATACTTTGTCCACAACCATGTCAGAGGATGCTCATACTTCTTCTCATACCCCGCTGCTTGTGCATTCTTGGAGAAGAACAACCTGCTTTCTATCATTCGCGCACACGAAGCTCAGGACGCTGGATACCGCATGTACCGCAAGACCAGAACTACTGGATTCCCTAGTGTCATGACCATCTTCAGTGCACCCAACTACCTGGATGTGTACAACAACAAGGCTGCTGTCCTCAAGTACGAGAACAATGTCATGAACATTCGTCAATTCAGTGAGTGCTGCACCGGCCATTCATGAGACTTTAAGAATTGGAGTTAACGATTGAACAGACTGCACACCTCACCCATACTGGTTGCCCAACTTCATGGATGTCTTCACATGGTCGCTTCCTTTCGTTGGCGAGAAAATTACTGACATGCTCATTGCCATTCTCAACACGTGCAGTAAGGAGGAGCTCGAGGAAGAGACCCCTCTCTCGTCTGGACCTCACTCGCCACCTCTCCCATCGAGCAGTGTTGCAAACATGGACCCGGATAGTACCGAGTACAAGCGCCGCGCCATCAAGAACAAGATTTTGGCTATCGGACGTTTGTCGAGAGTGTTCCAGGTTCTGCGCGAGGAGTCAGAGCGTGTCACCGAGTTGAAGACAGCTAGCGGTGGAAAGCTGCCCGCCGGTACTCTGATGCTGGGAGCTGAGGGTATCAAGCAGGCCATCACGAACTTCGAGGATGCTCGCAAGGTTGATTTGCAGAACGAGAGACTCCCTCCTTCGGGCGAGGAGGTTAGAAGAAACAGCGATGCAGCCAGAAACGATGCTCTGATGCGTGCGGCGCAGGAAGCCGAGAGCGACCAGAAGCTGGCTGGTGTTGCCAGAAGGATAAGCATGTGAGTATTTGAACTTGTCTTGTGATGTTTCAAGACGCTAATCAGATATACAGGTCTTCGGGTTCAGGTCGTAGTGCCAGAAAGTAAGATACCCCCATGGTATTCGGGAGGAGTTTTTTCGAGAAAGTCATTTTATTTTGAGCCAACACGACGACCTGTAGCGGACATGTGTATATTACAGCTGCAAGTGACAGCACGCGATGCATTGACTGCATGGAATGAATACACTATTGAAACGCCATTGATAATCTCTATTACATATTCGAGTGATCAAAAGATGTGCTGAAGATTGACTTTATGTATGGGGAGCTTTGACGATGGCTTGGCGAACCACATGCCATGTCAAGTTGCGGGCAGACCGGAGGAGAGACACGATTGAGAAAGGTCATTATGCTTCTTCGAGTGCCATTGGCACGGAAGCCCTTGTCGCCAAAGACTTGCGCCCGTCTGGTTCCTTCTGTATATACGCCATCATCAACATGGCGGCTTGGATCGTCAATCGCTCGCAAGCAGCCATCCGCTGTCGCATCCACGCGCCTTGTACATGAACAACCACTCGCCCGCACAACCATTACTAGCTCGTACACCTCATACCGCACACATATCAGACATGCGACCAACTTGGCCTCAAGGACAGCTATCAATCCTTCCTCAAATGTCCCTGCCAAACACCAACAACTTTACGCATCTCTGGATCGACTGAAGGACATTGCTAGCGACTATGTGAATCAGAGCAGACTACAACTCGCATTGAAAGGATTGGAGACTTCGCGACCTACTGTGAGGATTGGTTTGCTTGGTCTGGGACAAGACGGAGATGTGGCTGCTAGAAAACTTGCTCGTGTCTTGCTTGCCGATGCGCTGGGCGATGAGGGTCAGTGGGAGAAGCTGCTGCAGCAGCCATCGCAAGATGGCAAGCCTTTGCTTCTGAGGTAAGATAAGAGAATATATGTCGCTTGTGCTATTGCTGATTTTGGACAGATACGGAGCTGAAGACGACATCCTACCCACCAACCCGCTCGTCAACGAACTAAACATTCCGTCACGCGTCCTGGAAAAGAACAACCTCGAGATTCTGATTACAACTCTTAACACAGCCAGCGGTCCTAACATCACCGCTGATCCTTCGGGACTCGCAGAAGCTATCTTGGTACCCCCGTTGCAGACTCCTGTTGCTTCTTCTGGTCGTACTGGCTTTGTTCGTTACCCTGTTCACAAGGCCATCGTGGTTGGAGAAGGCATCCAAGGATGTTTGGACTTTGGCCGTATCTCTACCGCTCTGGAAGCCTCGACTCTGGGAGTCTCTGGCGGCGAACAAGGACTCATTCAGGTTGCGCTGAGTGTACCACGCGACAGCCCTCGCACACAAACCAACGACACCGGATTGATCTCCCCCATCGACATCGACCAAGCTGGAGTAGCACTTGATCTTTTCCGTCAGGATGTCGCTAACAGTGCTATCTTTAACACAAAATGGCAAGCCAGCAACATCCAGTCAATCATCAAGTTTCTGGCTTCTGACCCTATGGATCCTATCACTGGCGATGCTGTAGGTCTGCGACCAACTCTGGAATCACACATCCGCTCTACACTAGACTCTGCAGCCGATGCTATCGCTCTTTCCGAACGAACCGCCAACAAAGCCGTCATCTCCAACAGTATCCCCGACCAAAAGCGCCAGGAAATCTCACAAGCGATTTCAGCATGGGCGCAACACGCACACACTGACTTGCAAGTCTCTCTCGCTAATGCATTGGAATCGCGCTCCTGGAGACGAACAACATGGTCACGATTGCTGTGGCGTGTAGATGATGTAGGCGTTGCCGCTGAGGAAGTCCTGCGTTCACATTGGCTGTTGGACGCTGAATCCACACTCGCTTTCCTGGCCGGCAGAATTGAACAAGCTGGTTTCTTCCGCAGTAAAGGCAATGTCGCAAACTTCAATCCTGAGTATGCTATGCATGCTTCCGACCGCAGCCTTGATCCAAAGACCGGAGAGGTGATTTCGAAAGAACGAGCTTTCCTTGCCGCATCTCCATCCACTGCTGCTGTGCCAACGTCAAAAGGCTTCTTCGGCAAATTCTTCAGCGACACAATTCGGGATCCTACACCAGCCGACCTTCTCAACACACACGCTCTCAACGCCAAAGTCGTAGAGACGGGCGGCATCGACATTTTCCACACCCGTCCTTGGCCATTGGCCATTCACTTTACGCGTCAGAAGCTCTTGCACACTTTAGTGCCAGCCCTGCAATCGCGCGCTCAAAGTTTACTTGCGCAGTCTTTGACTACCATTTCTGCGACTTCTGCTCTGGGGGTGTGGGTTTATGTTGCTTCTTCTGGGTCCATGCTTGCTGAAGCGGGTGCCGTGGCTGCATTGGGATTGGTCTGGACGTTGAGGAGATTGCAGAAGAAATGGGAGGCGGAGAGGGAAGGTTGGGAAGCGGAGGTCAGAGAACATGGCAGGGTTGTGCTGTCTGAAGTCGAGGATGTGCTTAGGAGTGTGGTCAGGAGTAATGAGAGGGGTGTATTGAGGCAGACGGATCTAGAGGATTGGGAGAGAGCTAGAGGGGCGTTGAGGGAGGTCAAGAAGGCGTTGGGGGATGTTGAGCATGTGGAGGAAAAAGTGCAGGAGATTGGTGTTGCGAAGTGAGAATAAGGTATCATTGACCGTAAAAGTATTATATGCAATACCTTTGGCTTTCTTGTCTTTCGTGTGTGAAAAGTTGAGGTACACAAACAAAAAGAGTAATGTCTGCAATGGGTCACAAAGGGCCATCGCTTCCACATATTCTGCTGCTCTTTTCTGGAAACTTTGAGGAGATTTCTCGGGCTGTTTTGGATTGTTACATGGCAATATACTCTTACACTTCCCCCATCCTCATTCCATCGTCTGAATCCTCACCGTACACAACCCTCCCAAGCCTTCAGAGCTGATGCTGCAAAACTGTTTGGCGCGGGATCCCTCTTTTCCAGAGCGGCGGCAAGAGCACTCAATCTCTGCTCGTATTGCCGCACGATTGTGTTTGCGCGAGCGGCATCGGGCATTTCTGTACCGAGGATCTTGATGGCGAGGGAAAGACCGTGGTAGATGGACATTTTGGAGAGGAATTCGATTGGGGGGCCGACGGTGGGGAGGTCGGTCTCGGCGGGCTTGTGGGGTGTTAGTGGATGTTTTTTTTGCTGAAATAGGGGGGAAAGAGGCATGGAGCAGGGGAGGGGTGAGACGTACTTGGTTTGATGTGTTGAAGGTTGCCATGAAGCGGGTTGCGTAGGCCTTGACTTTTCCGTTTACATCTTGGCCGTTTTGGTATTGCTGAGCGTAGACGGCGTGGAGTTCGAGGAAGAGACCAATGACTGCAGGACGTGTCCTGGGATCATTAGGCGATAGTGTTCTTCCAGATCCATGGTCTGCGGATTCGAGCAATTCGGCCAGATCATCCGCTTGCTTCAAAGCCTTTTGCAAACGCTCTTTGTCCCAGTTGTCCAGCGAAGCGGTTTCGCGTAAAGCGTTGAGGACTTGGTTTAACACTGCATCATTCTTGAGTGTGAGTCCAGTGGCAGCCGACCTCCTCAACGAACGCAAAATGACTCCAAACTGATCCGCCAACTGCAACTTCCGGAGTATCTTTTCCTGCAGCGCCAAATCCGGCTGCGGACGAGCTTTGTGCAAGCCCTCCAGCAGACTGGGCAATTGTCTCCATTCGCCATTCTCTTCAATCAGCGATAAAGCCTTAAGAATCAAGGGTTTGCGAGCAGGAATGTCGGAGCGGCGGTCAATGTGCACGAGTTGGATTTCCTCTTCGCCGAGGGTGGCGTATGCAGGGTTGTTTTGGAGTTCTTGGGCGAATTTGTCGCCGAAGATGAGGTGGCGCTGGCGTTTGTTTAGGTAGGCGGGGATGAAGTGTTTGGTGCGGAGTTGAAGAAGCACATGGTCGAGTTCGGGAGAAGAAGTTTCGGCGAAGGTGGGCAGGGTTGCTGTGTTGTTGTCAGGTGGTGTTTGAGAGGGGCGCAAGTGGTATGCATACCGGTGTTTCTTTGCGCAGAGGACGAGGCAGTAAAGGAGCGGGTCTGGGTGCTGCGACGGAGGGCATTGACGGCAGAGCGCTGAGTACGCACTGCACACGTCCTACAAAGATCCGTCATGATTGTGTATGAGTGGTGTTTCTGCGCAGCAATCGTCAATCTTGTTGGCGGTTCGAGAAGCAGTCGCAAGCTTGCGGCGTCGTGATTGGTCGGCTGAACTTTTTGCGGACGGCCGAGAGAGCAGCCAGCATCAGCGACAGCAAGCATCACTCCTGCACAAGTCGTCCAACTACACACACAACGACCATGTCTGCTCCAGCACGACCACTGGCTGCCCTCAAATCTGCACTGCGCCAATTGCGCGCCGACAAGCACCATTCTCGCTGCTATGCCACCGCCGCTCCCGCCGCCATCCCCGGCAGGCCTGTAAACTTCCACCCGGGCGCCATCATGACCGGCCGCAGTACGATAGCTACTCCACCCACCCTTTCTCTGCAGCTGCTAACATACCTCTCACAGACAACGAACACAGCATGAAGAAAATCCCCGTCTTCCCCGCCGTCCCCTCAGCCCGCACAACCTGCAAAGACCCCATCGCCGCCCTCACCACCTCCCAAATAACCACCCTCGACCCCACCGGCGCCCGCACCCGCCTCTTCTCCCGCGAAAACACCGACCGCGCAAACGTCGGCGACATCCTTCTCGTCCGCCTCAAGAACGGCGACCAATACGCCGGAGTATGTCTCAACATCCGCCGCCAAGGCATCGACACTGCAATCCTCTTGCGCAACAACCTCACGCGTGTGGGTGTAGAGATGTGGTATAAGATTTACTCGCCCAATGTAGAGGGTGTTGAGGTTGTGCAGAGGAAAGAGAAGAGAGCCAGACGAGCAAGACTTTACTACATGCGCCAGCCCAGACATGATGTGGGCAGTGTGGATAACATTGTCAGGCAGTACCAGAGGCAGCGTGCCATGTTGCGCAGCTCAGAGGTCAAGAGCAGAGATTCCAACTCGCGCAAAAAGAAGAACAACAAGCGTGGTTCCAACTAGAACTCTCGTCATCAAAGAAATTTTTGCATTTGGGCGGCGTTCTTCTGGTTCGGCTTGGAAGCAGACGAGAAAGAAGTCATGTTCTTTTGTATTTATATCTGTACAAAACCAATCCTTTACAAGACAGACTACAACACTACAGTGGCGCAAATTGTTTCTGAACAATGTGCTCGAGTCTATAAACCATCAGATCTCTAGTAACTTTCTCCATCTTCCATAAGATCGGAAAGAAACTTCCTGGAGACCACGCGACTCGAGAACGCAGGCTCAAGTTTCACAAAGATGTTCGAAGCACCGTTCATGTGGTTGAGCACCCTCACTCTCGCTCACAAAAAATGCAGCGTATACCCTCGATGAACTCGAAATCACGAAGAGCGTTTCATCAACAGCTCTTACTGGGATTGCGAAACCTCCATGATCAGTATCAACGTGTCTTTGAGCAGAGCAAACGAACTGCATACAATTCTCTCAAGCTATAGACCTCTTGGAGTCCACGAGACAAAAGACTTGGACTGATTTCCCTTTCTATGCCTGTGCCTGTACCTGTGCCTGTGTCTCCGCTTCTGCTGCCTCTCTCATCGAATTCGCAATCACCTGCGCACAAATCTCATCTTCGCTCAACGTCTGGCCTCTAACCTCGGGCGTCATGGCAGCCAACAAGACCGCCTCCTCCACTTCCTTGTACTCGTTGCCCACACTCAACACCATATGACCATGCCTTTTCTCATCAGCCATCAATAACACAGCAGCTTTGGCGTTGTTTTCTGGAGACGACAGATTGACTTGCACACCCGCATAGTGCGATTGCAAAGTCAATGCAGTGGGTGTCCAGCCAGGACAAAGCGCGTTAACGCGGATGGGCAGGGCGGGGAAAGTGACGGGGACTAAACCGCGGAGTAAGCCGAGGACGCCGTGTTTACTGATTCCGTAGTCGGCGGCGCGGAATCGGGCGTAGGAGGAGGGTGAGCAGGTGAGGACTAGACTGTAATTGCCCCCGTTCTGTGGTGGGGTTTGCTTTTGGAAGTAGTGGAGGGCCAGGGAGGAAGTGTTGATGCAGCCTTTGAGGTTTACGTCTAGGGTTAGATGGTTGGGCTCGAGTGGCTCGCCGGCGGATGAGGTGAGGAGGTTGACATAATCGGTTGAAGGGCGGATGCCGGCGTTGGCGAAGACGTGGTCGATGGTCTTGTGCTGAGAAAGGGTTTTGGTGAAGAGGGAGAGCAGGGAGTCCCAGGAGGTCACGTTTGTGGGGATGTAGGTGTAGTTTTGGGATGGGAGGTCTGGGGGCGGGTTTAGGTCTCCATTGACCACTGTAGCACCGAGGGAAAGGAGCAGGTTGGCTGTTGCGAGACCGATGCCTGAGGAGCCGCCTTTTGGGGGTGTTAGTTGGAAATGATGACTGGGAGAGGGTGGTGTCTATAGCATACCGGTCATGAGAACAATTTTGCCCTTAAGAACCTGCAGGTCCGCATCGTTGATGGTGATTTCTGCCATTTTCTTACAAAGCGGAAACGAACAGTCTAGATGAGAGCTGAGATGCGAAGAGTGCAAAAGAGTTTGGATGGGAGCTGGAATGACGAGACTCGAGGTGAGAAGAGAAGGGGAAAGTGGAAAGGAGAGCAACAAGAATAAGGACAAGTCAGAGATATACTACCTTCCAAGCGTGATGTGTTATGAAGGAACTAGTCAAGTTTTTACTATATTACCTACTGCTGTTTATAGGATACGAAGGATTAAAGTAGCGAGAGAGGGGATCAGCAGAGGGGAAGTAGTCTGAATTGTTGCCAACACGCCCTCAACCTCGGCCTGATGGGAACTCCATGGAGATAAGATAAGAGGCTTGACCCCACAATCAGCAAACAAGACCCCGCCGCATGACGATGAAATTCGTACACAATTAAATCATGGATACGGCAGGAACGCTTCGAGTACATTCCTTGAGAAAAACAATCCGGAAATTCCTGCGATAACAAAGTATGAGTGACAGAGCGCTCGAAGCTCTTGCCGAACGCGTTAGTGCAAGGAGGGAGGTGAATTACGCTGCTTCCGGTCTTTGTTCCTTCCCGTTAACACTGTGCCTGCATTCAGAGCGACGATTTCGGCAGTGACGAAGGACGGCAAGCCCTCGAGGTACCTTTCTCCCAGCATTATCCCTATCAATTTCTCGGATTCGGATCCTCATACTCGACAGGTCATCTTCGAAGGACAATCCACACCGCGACGCAAATCCTCCATTGTCAAGAACATGTCGCGACCCGGCGCAACACGAAACGACACATCATGCTTCATCCACAGCATGCTGGAAGAGAAAGAGGATGGTACCAGACACGAGAAGAGTATCGAGGCTGAACATCAAGAAAGACCGGCAGACAAAGCCTCGGGCACGCCTCCACAACATGGCGACCACATGCAGTCGCGACTGCTCACCAAGAAGCAATTGTCTGATATGGCATTTGGTATTCGTGAGCTGTCGAAGCGGCTGGGTCGAGTCAAGTTGATGCTCAAAGTCAAGAATGTCTTTGTGCTTACCAAGCTCACTGATGCCACCCTCTGCGCCCAAGCGGCAGAGCTGACAAAGTGGTTGCTGAACCAGGAGGCACAGTACACCGTGTGAGTGTTGAGAAAGTTCAAGGAAGATGAAATTATTAGCTGACAGTGCGTAGATACGTCCAAGATAAACTAAGGGATATGAAATCCTTCGACGTTGATCAGATTCTTGAAGGTGACGAGTCAAAGACTAGTCGCCTAAAGTACTGGGATGAGGAACTCTGCAGAAAGATGCCACACAAATTTGACATCGTTCTCGCGGTAAGACTGTACCAAGAAGACTGCTGCGGCCAACGGACTGACTTTACACAAACAGCTTGGTGGTGATGGTACTGTTCTCTTCGCCTCTCTCCTGTTCCAACGCATCGTACCCCCAGTTCTCAGTTTCGCCCTGGGCTCGCTAGGTTTCCTTACCAAATTCGACTTCAAGAGATACCCAGCAATTCTTCCTCGAGCATTCAACGACGGCATCACTGTTTCTCTTCGTCTACGATTCGAAGGCACCATCATGCGAAGCATTCGTCGCAACGGCGATAGTGATGATGATCACAAGCAAAGAAGATTGGATGAGGAACTCATAGGTGCCGAAGCTGATGATCATCACACCCATAAGCCGGAAGCTGCATACCACATTCTGAACGAGATTGTACTAGATCGTGGTCCTTCTGGATCCATGGTTTCACTGGATGTCTACGGCGACGAAGAATGCTTCACCACTATTGCGGCGGATGGTCTCATTGTTGCCACCCCGACAGGTAGTACAGCTTACAACATGGCAGCAGGTGGTAGTCTCTGCCATCCAGATAACCCGGTCATACTACTGACCGCCATCGCTGCCCATACTCTAAACTTCAGACCTATCATCCTTCCCGACACCATGGTCTTGCGTATTGGTGTACCATATGACGCACGCACTTCCGCATGGACCAATTTCGATGGCAAATATAGGTATGTCACATGCTCCTCACGATTTCCTTGCAATCAAGAAGTCACTAACACGATTGAAACACAGAACCGAGCTTAAGCCTGGCGACTATGTCACCATATCCGCTTCTAGATTCCCATTCCCCGGCGTACTACCCTTGAACAAACGTAGCGAAGATTGGATCGAAAGTATCTCGCGCTCATTCGATTGGAACTCGCGGACCAAGCAAAAGCCATACACGGAAGAGAAGAAGAAGGATGAGACCGAGAGCAAGGAAGATGGTGAGAATCAGGAAAACGGCGACGCTAAGGCTTAGACCTTCGAACGGGCAAAGATGCATCTGTCTGGAAGTTTTTGGTTCTTTTGTGTTCTGCGCAAACTACAGATACTTATACCTATACACTTATCATTCTTATTTCCTGCTTTGATTCGTGTGAAACGACTTCAAGTCCGTTCAATGCCTTCTACTTGAAATCCTAGTGATGGCAGACCCATCTTTGCACGAGGACGACCATTGGAAGCAAGCTCTACGTTGGGCACAAAGGCCACATGTATGTGCACTCTTCCAAATGTCATTGTGCTTGAACGTGCTACATCTGCCATTTTCCGTTGCAGGTCCCTCATCAACGTCGAGCAGATCTCCAACTCGCTCTCGTTGGCTTCGTGGCAGGATTCCGAGTAGCACCTACCAGAGCTTTCGTGAAGCGCGTCTAACCATGTTTGTTGGCATCCAACAAGCCTCCTTGGATGGCTTTCACCTGATCGAAGACAACGACAGTGAGCATACCAACGCCAACACACTAGTGACAGTCTGTCTCACTCTCACTTCTACTCGTGCACTCACAAGTCACCCGAGTTACCCCTATCTCGTGGCGGTCCGTTGGCGCAATGGTTTACCATCCGCGTCGGAATCTTGACCTGCTCGGAGCCAGATAAAGGCTGTTGGTGAGACGGAGTGGGAGGTTCTTCTTTGGTTACGATAGCGAGGTTTCTGCTTGCAGAATACCATCAAGCATCAGGGTGCCATAGGTCTCTGGGACTGGACGCATATAGCAGTAGCGCAACGCAGATGTCACAATCGGTCATTTCGGCATCTGTTTTCTCGGATTCATTAGGAAGGCTCCTTCTTGGTGCATGGAGTCTTGCCAATTTTGATCAAGTCGTTCCAATAATGGATCATCCTTGGATCCTGCACACTCGCTTCAGACCAAGACTCGAGAAATTGTGGGTATCGAGACACCAACCAGAGCACGAGTTTTTTCGTGGTGATTTCTAGGATGGAAAGCAGCGATGTTAGCTTCCTCGCACGTGCAAGTTCCGAGATTCCTCCGGATGCGTACCCTGTTGGCAACACACACCTCATCCCAAGTTTCCTCGAGTCAATAACCTCGACTCAATCGTACCACCATACAGACACGGCCAATTGTTGTATGTCAGGATCTACGAGTCGCTGCATCCCGTCATATGAGGAGTAGTGATTCTGATTAACTCTGACAACACTCGCCCACACACGCCGAATCTCATTGTCCCTCAGATTATAATCACCTCGATTGCTACAGTATCAAACAGAGCGTTTCTGCCCAAAGATCAGTAGGAGTCATCTTGAGTAGGAGTCATCTTGCTTAAGAGCATACCGAAGATGATTTAATATCAAGATCTGGTTTCATTGGTTTGCTCGACTGAGGCATGTGGCATTCGCCATTTTCTCGACAGTTGATCAACCAACCACATGCAATCACAATGCAAGCCGGCATCAGGTCTAGGTCTGTCGAGCATTCTAGTACAGCAATGAGATTGACGAGGACTTTGTGGAGCGTTGATCCAAAGAACATCACTTCCTACAGAATGCTCGAGGCCGGATCCGGAAAGTCCTTTGTTGGAAACCATTCTCGTTGGCTTTCGTGCTATACCTTTGACATATCTATCACCGATGAATTACCTCCACATATAGCACGCTCAACAAACACCATCGACAACACCTACTAAATCCTCTTAGACGTCTTGCAGGCATGAGTTATCCCGATCCATACCGCGACGACCGAATCGACATCGAGCTGCGCGCACCCCCTCGTTTCCAGGCACCTGAAGGACAATCATGGGTCTTTGGCGCAGCGCTAGGTGCCGGCGGCTTTGGAAGGGCATATCTCTGGAACCTTGTCAACAACGCAGACCAGAAGGTAGTCGATCGCGTCGTGATTAAGTACACCGAAATCCGATCGGAACAGGTCTTACATCATGGAGGTCCAGGACATGGAGAGATCCGGGAAGTCTTTATGCAACGACATCTAGTTCCCAATGGCACGCCGCCGAATAGGGTTTTCACTGTACCTTTGCTGGGTGCTGAGCATTGCTCCTGGTCGCTCGACTCCTGGAGATTCTACTCACCATACTATGCTTTTGGCGATCTTAGCGATCTGATTCGCGCGCAAGATACGATGGGAGACCACCGACAGATTCCGGAACCATTCGCCTGGTATCTGCTCTACCGACTTGCGTCTGCTGCTGTGGTTATGGATGAGGCGTTCAACACCGATGACACTAAGTACGAAGTCGTCCATTGTGACTTCAAGCCCGACAATATATTCATGGGCGCTCCTGGCACCTTGGGGAAGAAGAACAGTTTCCCTGCATATCCACCTGCGTATCTGGGAGATTTTGGAAATGCGCACATCACATATCCAAGAGATCCTCGTACCGATCTGATGTATGGAATGTGTACGCCAGGCTGGTCCGCTCCCGAGATCACAAATGTTGGTTATAGAAGAGCTCCTTGGCAAGCGCCAGGCGGTTCTCACACGGTACGTAAACGATTCAGGCTCTACAAACCGGCAGCGATGTTACAGCAGTGTCCGATCTTGAGGGTCTCTTTATGATATACACCAGCGCTAACATACCTTCAGAACATCTGGCAGATTGGGTTCATCGTGCAGTCTATACTCATGGGGATTACCAATTGGCACCAAGATATCGAGTGGGAAAGATACGAGAACGCCTACATACCTGAATACACCCCACTTCCAAAGCGCCCACATGCAAGCGAAGAAGACAAACGTCTTCGTAGGGACTACAGCCCCGAGCTAATTCAAATCCTCAATGCTTGTGTACAATTCAGGGTAGAGAACAGACCGACACCCCAGGACCTAGTGGCAGCGATCGAAGATACCATGCCTCGATTCACTCAGGGCATGGAGCGTTGGGGCACCGCTGAGTGGTTCGAAGAGCTCAACAGTGGTGGCGGCGATACCACCATAGATGACACCACTTTGGGCGATACTACCTTAGGCGATACCACCCTAGACGACAGCGCGCTTTCAGGACCAGGGTCAGGAGAAGGATCAGGATCATCACTACTCCGGCGCGGCAAACGCATCAAGGATGCCACAGACTCACTTGTCGACAAGTTCAAATCCCTCATGTGTTTCCCACGCGCTCGTCGACACAAACGTCGCAAGACCCCCACCGACAGACATCTCTCTCCCTTCAGCAGAGAAAGAGCCAGAGCCGCATCCCGCAAACGTCGTCAAGACATGGTAACCCGCCAACTCAGAGAGGGTCTTCGACCCAAATATCACCGCTACGTCAGTGCCGACCCCAGCGATGATATCTTTATGCTGGAAGACGATCTGAAGATCGTTCACCCCAAGCGTCCGGCGGTGTTGGATGATTACTTTGATGCGCCAGGTTCGAAACCCACGACGTATAGAGAGGACATTGATGATGTGCCTGAGTACGCGTATACAAAGGCCAACTATGAGAAACAACATCGTGAGGGTGACCCTGATGAGTATCCGGCGGTTGGCGTGAGGACGTTTAATTTTAGGAAGGAAGGGGAGAAGGAAGGCGAGGTCGTGTGGCCGCATGCATCTCAGAGGTAGTCTTGTTTTCCGAGGGATAGGGGATTTGCGTCGGTATAAGCTGTTTTTTGGAGTTTGTTGTCTGGTTTCTTGCGTGTTCTGATCTGGACTTTGCGGTTTGTCTTGTTCAGTAGTCGTTTCTTTTTCTGTTCAATCCCTTTGTTCCAATCGCGCTTTTTCTAGTCCTCATGGGCTATCCGAACTTATACCATGTGCTCTGTATCCTCACTATCGCATGGAAGAGAAAGCAATCGGCTCGATGCGTGTCTCCTCTTCAGATCCGTGGGACAAACACCTCTTTTCTCAATGACCTTGTTATTCCGATGAGCCTGATTGAAAGCTCCCTCTTTCCAGAGCAGCAAGCAAGATGGCAATACATCAACCTTTGCTTGCAATTCCACACCTACCGATCCATCACCATCGCCATCATCATCTCACCAGCCTCCCGAGCACAAGAATGGCCAACCCCCAATCAAGATTCCACCTCCAGGTCCCCCTCCAGACCACCAATCTAAGTCCCAAACCTCCCCATCCACAGCATCGACCTCAAGAGACTCTGATATCCAGCAGCTCAGTACAAGACCAATGGTTCCAAAGCCCAAGACCATCTCCTGCTACCTTGCTGCCCTGAGAGCTACTTCAACCCATTATCCCATCTTAGACTGCAGAATACTATATAAGCCTCGACCCGTTTCTTTTCCGTGCCCTCGCTTGCTGGAAAATACTGATATCGAATATACAACAGGCTACACTGTCTAATTCCATCGGTGCACTTTTTTTTCGAGAGTCATGTCTAAAAAACTTTCGAGTGAGGTGTGGGCGGTTAAGTGCAAGCGATGCCATATACATTCATGGGTTTCCACACCTCTTTCTGGCGTGAAAGCTAGCTGCAAGTTCAGTTGAAAGAGATTTTTTTTTTTTTTTTGCTTAGCCACCACATGGTTTATCAAATTCAATGCGCGATTGATCCTCGTTCAAAATTTGCGGTTGTGATGGAAATGAGATGATGGAAAGAAATTCAGAAGTGTTGTGGACTGTGGGTTTTACGAAGATGGCATGCAGGGCATAAATGTACGTTCAGAAGGATATTTTTGACTGGCTGGGAGGGGTGTGTCGTGGGTGTAAGTACTATCAAGCGTGTACCCAGACATTCAACAAAGAACTTTGCTCGCTTTGTGGAGAGAGCGCAACGACGGCTGTAAATCGATGTTCATTATTTAAATTGATCTTTTTTGAATTTGCACGATATACATACCCCTACTACTTACTCATCCTCATCATCACTCTCCCCCATAACAATCTCCGGAACCACGAATTCATCATCATCATCATCGCTATCCTCTGCAGCAGCAGCAGCAGCAGCAGCAGTGACCTGTGGCTCAATACTCTTCTGTCTCTTATCCACTGCCTTCACTTCATCATCTTCTCTTTGTCTTTTAGCTCTGTTTCCTTGGGTGGCGTCTTCCATAGCTTCGGCATCACTGTCTTTGGAAGCGTTCTTGGAAGAGACGTATTCGTTTAGTGCCCAGTTGACCAGTTCTTGCTCTTTATCGGCGACGTCTTTGTTGCTGGAGACGTGTGTTGATGAGGCAGCGTCCTCGGGGACTTCGGAGGCAGCAGCGGCGGTAACGTCATCTTCTTCTTCGTCTTCTGCCTCGGAAGCAGAGTCTTCGTCCTCGTCCATGGCTTCAGTCTCAGTCTCTGCGGCCGTTGCTTTGCGTCCTGTTTGGAGAATGGGCATGCGAGGACGTAGAAGAGCTTCTACGGATGCATCGCTGGCGTATTCGCGCGCAAGAAGGGGCAGCAGAGAATTTCCCTTTCTGGCGGCTTTGGCGGTGGAAGTGTGGTTGAGTGTACTCGCCAACACTGCATCTTTGTGGCGCGAAAGCACTGCTGTGCGGTCCATAGTCGCGCGCAAAGCGATTGAACAGTGTTCAGCTGGCAATTGGCCAAGCAGCGTAGGGAGTAAATCCCAAGCTGCTGATTTCAAGCCTGCAAGTTCTGTTTTTGCGGATGGCTTTGTAGACGATTGCTTCAGGAAAGTGTCGGCGTTCATGGTTGATTGTTGTTTGTTGCCGTTGCTGGTTTGGGGGTCTTTGTCTTCGGTGGTGGGGAGGATGTCTTCGCAGCATGCGGTGATGTATTTCTTGAGGGCGGCGATGGGGTCTTTGGTTAGGGATTGGCCTGAGATATCCAGGATTTTCTTTCCGACGATGTAAGTGGCAGTTCTGACTTCGACGTTTGCGGAAGAAGCGTGGAAGATCCACATGATTTGGTCGAGGAAAGGCTGGAGAGCTGGAGTGATGGCGTTGCCGTAGCGGTCTAGGATTATTGACAGGACTTCCAAGCATGCGACGTGGATGCGAGGAAGGACTTCGGTGAGAGCATCGCGCTCTTCTCTTGCAGCGTCACGCTTGAAACGGATAGTACTTCTGGCCGAGCTGGTGGAAATGGTGTTGGACATGAGTCTGGTAAGCAGATCTGCAACAGCGCCGACAGAACCAACAACTGGAGCAGATGTTGCAGAAGCGAAGTAAGCACTGAGTAAGCGAAGATTGGTCATAAGTCCTTGGTAGCCAGCAGTGACGAACTGGGTTACCGGACCATCTGCGGGGGTGCTAGCTTCCTGAGCTCTGGAGTACGATTCAGACAAGATGTTCTTGTTGATAAACTGGGTGCCGGTGACAGACTGCCAGTCTTCCTCGATGCTCATGAAAGTTCTATCAGCCATGGCATGAGCATTGTGGAGATTGGCGATCAGACTAGCTTCCCATTTGTCGCTGGCACCGTTCTTTGGCTCGCATTGGTGAAGCAAAACAGAGACACGAGAAGCAAGGTCCACAATATAGTCACCTGAAGCCTTGTTCTCGAAGACGGTGGTCAAAGCCTTCGCGACGGCATCCTGATGTTGACGGAATATGGTAGGGTGGCGAGGCAGAAGTTGAGCAAAACATTCCAGGGTAGCCTTCAACTCTTGAGGCGTGGGTTGGCGCGAGGCAAGGTTGTTCAGACAGGTAGACACAAAAGTTGGCATGGAAGGAGTAGTGATCTCTCTGATCAGAGTTGGGAATTCCCAGGTGAGCATGAAGATGCGGGTCAGAGTAACAATGGTCAGACATTTCAAAAGAGGAGGGTCGGGTTTCTTGAGGAGGATCAGAAGACCGCGGGCCCAGGCAATGGACTTTTTGAGAGTTTCCCAGCCTCCAGCCTCGATGGCTGCTTTGATGAGGACTACAGCAGCCCAGCGTCCCTCAACATGACGGTCTCCAAGCAATGTGTTGATCTGAGTGTTGAATCTGTGAAGAGCAAGCGCAGCATCCGAGTCCTTTTGATTAGCGAGATCGGGCTGGGTGAAAATGTCCTTGCAAGAAAGCAGAGACTGAGCAGTTAGAGCTGCGACCTGGGGAAGCTCAGCCTTGGATGCATTCGAGATGCGGAAAGAAGCTGCTCTCAGCAGAGAGACAGAAGTTGCCAGAGGAGCCATGTTTGTCTTTCCAAGATTCGATGGTCCAAGTCTGATCCGGAGTTGATATGATAAGGAAAAAGAACATGTGAAGCTTGAATATTTTCTAGAAAAGTCTGGGGAAACAGGGACGGCAGCCGTTGGACGGAGAGCACGGACGCGAGCCGGCTAGAACGGGGGTCGGGACTCGGGGGTTGCATGTGCAGCATGACGGAACATCAACTTTGGTTTTGTTTGTGACGCTCTGGATGCCTCGACACAGACGACATTAATCATGAGTGTATGTCGATTTCGTGCAGAGAAAGTCTGAGTACACACTGACTCGATGGTGTGCAGGTGTCAGAGAGCGACAAGGCTCGACGCTACATCGCCAGCCTCAATGCCGCCCGTCTGAACGGTGCCTGGTCCGACGTGCCCGAGCTGGTCCGCAAGGTCGACAAACACGCGCCGCACCGGAGATGCCTGACCCTCGCCGCTGCATCTGAGGCACAAACTGCGACGTCGTCCAATCGCCGTCCTGGCACTCAGACCTCGGCCGCTTCCCACACCAGCCTCCTCGATCTAACTCCCAGGCTCGTCCAGGCCGTCGAGAGCGAAAAGATCCTGCTTGAAGATGCCTTCCAGGCCAATGTCGCCCTTCACGAGATATACTTCCTGCGCGCCGAATGGTCTACCGTCCTGGGCGGTCTGAAAACAAATGTCTGGTCAGAAGTCGCTCCTTTCGCACGGTCGCCCGCAGAATTGAACCCCAACACCCGCCTGGCGGTCCTCAAATACTGCTACTTCCTGGGTGTTGCCACAGAGCAACAAATCTCGCCGGAAAGTGCTCTCAGTGTATACAGCCAAGCTCTTTCGGCCATCGACCAAGCCCCTGTCAATCTGGCTGGTCTCTCCGAATATCGAACCTGGGCTGCCCGTCTGTCAGGTCGCATTTCCACTCTCCGATCGAACCAGGGTCACACATCAACCCTCTTTGCTGCAAATGCTGCTTTAGTCTCATACAGAGCATGGGCTCGCAACTGGACTGGCGATTCGGCCTCAAAGATTGCTGCTCCGAGTTACTCTCTTGGTCCCTATGATGTCTCCAACAAAGATGTGTGGGCTATGTACTACAACTTCCTCTCTTTCGTTCTCAGCACAGACTTGGTCTACACCAACTCCGCCGAGTCACCTTTGGCTATTCACAACCCTAACCATGCCACTAGCGATTTGGTCAAAATGAGGCTTCGCCAACGATCTGAGTTGAAGCAAGTCGAAGCTGCATACGAGAGTGTGCTGCTCTACAAGACAAAGTTCCCTCAAGCAAATCAGACCAACGAAGAAGTGGAACAATGGACAAACTCGGTCATCGCTAACTGGTCTATTCTGTGCGGTCCGAGATGGCGCGAGATCGATCTTGGAGAGGGTGGTAAGGCTGTCGTCAGTCGCAGTACTCTGGATATCCTTTATCGTGCTGCAACCAAGACTTTCCACTCGACATTGATCCTTCGTCACCTCTTCACCGTCCATGCCTCACTGGCTGAGTTCGATCTTGCCATCAAGGCCTTCGACTCATATACAGAGATTATCAGCCGTGCAAAGTCGAGGGCTGAAAAGACTGGCCACAACGAGCCGGGACTGGACAGTGATGACCTCGTGGTTCTGACCGCTGCTCAAGCTATCGGTGTTCTGTGTAGATATGGATCCCAGGCTGAGGGCGAGAAAGCCCTCGAGGTCTCAAAACGCTTATCGGACTGGCTCAAGCAACCGCGTCCCAGTTCGGCTATTACAGTCTCTAGGAAGGACGAAGATGGTCGCCAACCGGACAGATCTGCTATCGATGATGAGACTGCAACCGGAAGACTTGTCTCGGCCGAGGCCTCTGTTGCTGCTTATCGCGCTATTGGTGAGAGCCAGGCAAACTTTGCACGACTGACCCATGATCCAGTACAACGATCAGAATACAGAGAGAAGGCTATCAAGTCGTTGAGACTGGCTGCTGAGATGTCACCAAACGGCAACCTCGACCCAGAGACTGCTCTTCTTCTAGGTACCGCTCTTGCAGAGAATCGCCAACTATTACCTGCCACCCAGATTGTCAAATTTGCCTTGGCTTCTTCGCAAGATGACGAGTCCGGCAGCGTCGTGCAAAAAGGACACATGATCTCCCTTTATCACCTCATGTCCTTGCTTCTGACAGCACGAGGCGATTACGAACATGCAGTCGAGTTCTGTGATATTGCTTTCGAACAATTTGGTGGCGTCGACATTATGCTTCGAGACTCGGAGGGCGAGAGCCTTATTATGCAGATGGACGAGTCAGAAAAGGAAGGATTACTGCAACTTCGTCTGACGCAGTTGGCTCTTACTGAGATGCTGGATGACAGCGAAACGGCAGTCGACGCTGGTTCTCAGGTGCTTGCACTTTATCATAAGTTGTTCGCCACTTCAAGCAATGGCGTAGCACCACCGTCCAAAGACGCAGCGGCTTCCTTTGCCGCACCATCATTGAAAACGGAAGGCACATTTAAGAGCGTCGGTGGTAGTATACTCAGACGCTCAAAGTCCACAAGAAAGACTGCAGACGGTCCTGCATTGGATAAAGATGCGCCACCGCTTCCCACTACGAATAATAATGCTGCGATACCAGGAACGACCACCACCGATGAGAACACATTGCAAGAAAAGCACCACCACAAACTCCATCTACCTCATCATCCACTGAAACATCTCCATCACCACGACCACGCAAAAGATCCCGAGAAGGAGGCTCTCGCTTTTGACACTCCTGCCGTTCCTACTAAAGATGGATCTGACCAGAATCGACCATTGCGTGAAGTGCCACATAATCTTGAATCCAGCCAGCAACCTGCGCCAATCGGACATTCAAATCAACCACCCTCGCAAGACCTCCGTCTGCCTGCTCCATACCCAACGACCACACCTGCAGCACTCCGTCCACACTATCCTTCAGCTAGACAAAAACGTCATAATGTATCTCTGTTGATCGAAGTCTGGCTACACATCGCAGGCCAATACACACGCGGCGAGTTTTTCGAAGATGCGGAAGGTGCGATCGAAGAAGCACACAAACTGGCAGAAGACTTCCAACATGCAGTTGGCCGAGAGGATTCTTCCGCCAGAGCATTTGACGAGAAGGGCTGGGGCAATGGTCGCAGTGCAAACAGACTGTGGGCAGACGTCTGGGCTGAGGTAAGAACTCACTGTTCTCTATCACTGGTTTATCGCGATGCTAACACCAACACAGCGCGCCGCTCTGGCAGCAGCAAAACACCGCCCCCATGACGCCCTCGCCGCCTACGAAAGAGCACTGTCACACTATCCCGACCACGCAGCCGCCATCGTAGGAATTAGCGCCATCCTCCTCGACGTCTACGCTCAAGTCATTCCTGCCGAACTGCCCCTCCCCAACTCCATCATTCCTCCTCCTTCCGCCTCAGCACCCACAAACCCTAAAGTGTTACCTCAAGATCCCACGCCTTCAGTCGAAGTCCAAACTAGACTTGCAGCCAGGGACCGCGCGTACTTTCTGTTGCAATCGTTGACGAAAAGTGGGGAGGGATGGGATGATAGTGAGGCTTGGAGTTTGTTGGCTAGAGCTCATGAGGAGAGTGGGCAGTTGGATAGGGCGAGAGAAGCATTGTGGTTCTTGGTCGAGCTTGAAGATGGCAGACCATTGAGACCTTGGAATGTTGTTAGTAGCGCGCTTTAATATCTTGTTTGATGGTATACAGATTCGAGGCAGAGTTGATAGAAGAGTGCATAGGAGAGTGTAATGGAGATGATCAGAGCTCAAAGTGTGGTTTCCGTTTTTGTTCTGCTGATGCGATTCCGATATGCACGAGAGGAAAGAAAACTAGCTTTCCGAAATGCAGATAAGCCTTGTATCTGCTTGCGGGTTTGGGAAGAGCGCTTATACTGAGCTTTCTATTGGCCTATTGCTGTAGGTACCAACCAGCCAAGGCTGAGAGTTCGAATGTGGGTTGAGTCGAGCTACGAAGGGACCGAGCGGAGCGCATCCGATCAATAGTGCTTCGCCTACAGCCTGGTCTTGAGTTGTATGTCAGACTGCATCATGCCGCACTATGGCTAAGTCCAGAATACCGTTCTTGCGGCTGTATGTTGGTTTGTATGCTGGTTTGTTTGCTGCTTCCGAGTGTGCTTCTCCAAAATAGGTAAGCACGTTACACAACGCCCATCTGTTCTCGCTTCCATGGTTGATGACCTCGATATGGCTTGCACCAACTCATCTGGCTATCTTGTTTGAGATGCATCCTGTCGCTGAACATGGCGAGGTACCGTAGATTATTTCCAGATGGCGCTGCGGGAGCGCCGAGGGGAGCGGGAAGGCTAGCCAACCTAAAGCGCAACAAGCTAGCCAACTTAAAAGACGATATGCAAAGAGTTACACTAACACCAGAATCGAACTCGATTGTCTCACAAGACGTACAGTGCGCTAGATGACACTCGCATGCAGTACTAGTCTGGATGGGGCTCATCAAAGCCTCGGTGCCGTAGGATCCAGCCAGTCCAGAATATGGCAACCCTATCGATTGGCTAAGGACTCAAGTCAAGAAGTGCTGCTAAGGACCAAGGTACAATAATATCGAGCTATCGGGCGGCTGCCAGGGAAGGCTGTGAGTATGTACAGTACATATGCTTCGTCACTAAGCCTCCAAACGCCCAATGTTCAATACCCAAGTTTGGCCTGCTTCGCCCTTCGAGAGGACTATATTCCACCCCCGAGAGCACCGAAATTCCTGGCTATCTTCTACCACTGATCTACGATGACTTCTCAGGAGGACATTGAGTTGAGCAGGCTTATGCTCCCTCGCCCCTCAGATCACCACGTCGCCAGGGCAGGAGCGACTCCACGACCGGTATCCGCAGCCTCAACAACCGAATCATCCTCTGAGCCCGCTGTACCAGAATTACCCCGACCATCTTCACACCACCTTTCAGACTCCAATTATACCATACAGAATGCCTCTGCTTCGAACGACAAGTCACCCTTGATTTTAGATGGTGGAGAACATCCACGATCACCAAGTAGGAGAAAGAAGACATCCGACCCGTGGACACTTCGCCGTCTTCCATTACTGGGACTAGTCACGTTCATTGTAATGCTTATCGTTGCACTCGAGGTTCTCTATCACTTCTCGAACAAAAATCATGGCCTTGTTGCCGCGAAGCAGGATGCAGCATATCTCTGGAAGTATCTCCCAACCGCAAGTAAGTGAAGCGGAGCGGGACCGCTTTGAAGAATCGCAGTCTAATCATCATAGTATTAACAACACTCGCATTCTACTGGAACAAGCTCGATTATCATACCAAGGCGCTTATGCCATGGAAGCTCATGTCTGAGAAGCCGCAATCGGTTGACCAAAGCCTACTATTAGACTATGTCTCTGGCAACCCATTAGGAGTCCTATCAGGAGCTAGAAAGTATCGACACGTGCCTGTGATTGCGTCCACAACGGGGTCACTGGTGATCGTCCTCGTCACTGTGTTTTTTACAGGTTTATTCATCTCGCAATCAACATTAGTGCATGAAGGGACGACAGTCTCAGTTTCGAGTGCTTTCGATGGCACTCAATTCGACGCCACCGCTGTTAACAGCTTTCCTATCTTAGCTGTGTCCAGCATCCTCTCCGACAATCTTTCTATCGACTATCCTCCGGATACAAATGTGAACTACGCTGTGGGCGGTTTTAGTCTTGAGACCACTTTACATGGTTAGTCCCGGCAGACTTACTGGAAGCCTCGCTGACAATGTTCGCAGGTTCAAACGCATCGAAGTCTGGAACTGTGGAGGCGTTCCAAGCGACTTTGGACTGTAGCAACGGATCCATCAACGCAACCTCGGTCACAGCTCAGCCTTACTACTGGGACATCGAACTTGATATGGTGGACGATGACTGCACAGCTACACTTCTAATGGAACCAGTAGAGAGTTTACATCACGTCTACGTGGAACCTTTGGTCGTCTTTCAACACTTCTATTCAGGCCTCAGCGCCGACTTTCTTGGAGGGTCCCTTCCTTCGCGAGTGAAACCATGGAGGCTTCTCGTACGATGATTTTATCACGATAATCCTGGCAACCTGGTCTCGACAGCCAACTGAATATTTAGATTCTAGGACACTAATGCAGGACTCGCAACGCCTCTACACAGCGACCACAAGTCAGATTGCAAATCGGTTTTTGAGAGCAAATACCACAATGACAGCCTCGGGTTCCTACAGGACAACTCAACTGCGCGTCACGCTCCGCACTCCCGCTCTCCGTATCATAGAGTCTGGGCTCTCAATTTTGATCATATGCGCTTGTATTGTCGTGATGGTCTTCTCTCCTTGTCCGCCTGCGTCGACTGCATTAGCATCAATAGCTGTGATACTACATAGCAGCCATCAGCTCAAGCCTCGCTTCTACAGAAGTGAAGGAAGGCCTCTAGGATACATCAAAGAGAACCTTCTAGGGCAGTCATTCTCTTCAAAGGGTCAGTCAAACTCGATACAACTTCAAGGATCAGATACTGCCCTTTCAACGAGCCCTACTCTAGCCGCAGGTACCACTACATAGTGGAGACCAGTAGTTTTCTCTTTGTACATGAAAATTGCACTATTGACACTACCATTGATCATTGTCGCCAGCCTCGAAGCCACATACCAGGTCTCTTGCGCTAGAGATGGTCTAAAAAATGCTCCGTCAAATCCTTACTGGCACTACGTGTGGACTTGGATTCCTGCTTCAACTATGACACTAATCAGCCTTTTGTACTCGTCTCTCACCTGGTCTGTCGCACTTCTGGATCCCTACAGTATCCTAAGAACCCACAGTATTGCTGCTCAACACACACTGTGCCAAGGCAACTTATCGAAGGCTTCTTTTCAGCTCACATGTCAAGGTTTGAGTTTCAGACGTTACGCGCTTCTTGCAGTCAGCATTTCAGCACTTCTTGCGCCTCTCCTGACTATCATTGTCAGTGGTCTCATTTATGTCCAGGCTATTCTAAAGACAGAATATAACCTTGTCATACCACTCGCCGACCATATCTTGAGTCCTGTAGGACAAAACATCGGTCTAGAAGCCTGGAGTCAAGCGTCGCTTTTTGCCGCCAATCTCCTCTACCAGGGCTATGGCAGCTACCCGAAAGGAACTCATGGATACTTCGTTTTCCCTGATCTTGCTCAAGGGTGGAAGGGCGGAAGGGATAGTGCTTAGCACCTACATGTGAAAAGAGTCGCATTGGAAAAAGCAACATAGCCTTAGTATATAAAGGCGTCTTCAAAGGAAAGGAGGGGTCTAGTTAAGTCATAAGAAAGGCAAGAGGAATAGGCTTGGTCAAAGAAATGTGCAGATTATGCATTGTGAGATTGTGAATAAATACTAAAGATTACTAATTATGGTAGATAGAAGCTTATGACATCGATTTCCCTGTCTCCTCAATCCTTCTCACCACACTTGCCCTCATCGTGTCAAGGTACACTCACTCCTTACCAAAGGCAGGGAAAGCAGGAGCAGTAGTGCCATCGCACGAGTACTGAACAATAAAGTCAGACTCGGAAGTGTTGCTGTCCAGAATAACAGTGCCATCAGGGGCTTTGATAGAAAACGAGAATTTGACGGGTCCGCCCATTTGACCAAAGAAAATACGGTAAGGGAGGTATTCCCCAGCCTTGAGGGTGTATGTGGCAGTGGCGGTAGATTGGAACCCAGTATCTGAGTTCCAAGAGGCGGCAGCAGCTGCATTGCCTCTGCTCCAGCCGTGCTTGGCGGTCTCGCCGAGATAGAGGAACACAATGTCGTCAGGGTTTGAGAGAGTGAAGGTGTAGGTGCCAGCGATCTGGGCAAACAGCTGTATGTAAAATGTTAGCCAACCATAAACTCGATAAGGTGAGTAGCAGTGAGAAGACTTACGTAGCCGCGGTGGTTCAGAATGAAATATTCCGAGGGTGCGTAGTTGCCAGAGTCGTAGATCTGAATACTTTGGGCTGCGTTGACATTGATACCGCCGACGCTGTTGGTGGTGCTTTGCCAGTTTGGCGTCTTGGTTGCGTAGTTGGAAGGCTCGACCCACAGGACATTGTTGCCTTCCGCGTAGACGCCAGCGCCGTAGAAGGCATATTGAATACCCTTGTTACCGCAAGCGCTAGGGATAGCAGAGGCAGTGACAGTCAGTACGGAGGTCTCGAGAGTGGTCTGAGTTGCGACTGAGATGATGGTGGCAGGAGCAGTGGAGGTAGAGGTGCTAGTGGCTTGGCTGACCAACAAGGAGCAGGCGCTAGACATGACAGAAGCAGGATACTTGCTCAAGACAGCAGGGGTCGACAAAGATGCAGAACCGGCAGTCACAGCAGCACGCTTGTCGATGCTAGCGGTAGTAGTGGTTGTGCTGAAGGCGGTGCTGGTGACGAACGGGGTGACGAATGAAGTAGGAGTGACAGTGGCAACCAGAGCACTGTAGCTGAGAGCTGCAGAGCAGAAAGGTTGAAGAGTGGCGTACTTAATGTCCTTGACAGCCTGGTAGATAGCACCGACAGTATCGCCCTTTTTAGGGTTGAATCCAGGGTTGGAGGTGTTAGTGAAAGTATAAGAGTACTCGATCATGTAGTCTAGTCGGTGTCAATAGTTGCCATGCAAATACGAATTTTTGGTTGCTCACGGTCATTTCCACGGTATTGGCCCTTGTTGGTCGCATAGCTCGAATCCCAGGCTTCGGTGTAACTACAGGGTGTTAGTGTTTGTCGCGCATCCCGTTTTGGAGTACTCACAGAGAGCAGTATTGGCCTTGACTGTTGGAAGTCTTGTTAAGATAAAGAAGGTAGGTGTTGAAAAAGTCGCAAATCTTGGGAGGAGTTCCATCCTTAGGAGCAGTGGCGATGTTGTACTTGTTTTGAGCTTGGCAATGAGCGGCGCAAAGAGATGCGTTGAAGGGGCCAGCGGTGAAAATACGGCTTCCCATGAAAGTGTCGTAACCCTCGTGATCAAGAGGAGCGTTGATAGCAGCGTTATTGAGGTACTGAACATTGCCGAAACCTGCAGGCACTTCGAGTGTCTGGTTCATGTAACCGTTTGAGCCAGCGATGGCAACTTGAAACTTGTTACGCCATTGGCCGTAGTTATTGGCATTTGAAGACGACACAGGACCTCCCCAGAACACACACTTTTGAATGATTAGCGTTGATCTGAGAATGAAAGAAGAGATATTCACCTTGATGATGGTGGTCGAAGTGGGGTTCGGGCAGGCAGCTGCAGGCTCGAGGCTGGGATCCCTTTCGAAGTACAAGTTGAAGGACATGCAACCGTTGATGGCATTACACTTGGAAGCACACTTGTCGGTGTCGTATGAAGAGAGAGTGGTAAAACCCCTACAGTGACAGTACAGTTAGTGTGATTATACCAATGAAACGCAATATTGCCGCGTTCCTGCTGAACATGCGTAGTTCATTCTACGAGATGTCGTCTTGGATAGTGTTTTGACGAAACACGCCCCATGAACTGCTCGTGAGGATTGTGAAGACAGCGCCAGCAAGAATGCGATATCAGTACTTTCGGTGTAACTTACATGTAGCCATAAGCTGAGTTGGATGCGTTCAAGTTGGTGAAGGTATTAGAGTATCCGGAAGGAACAGGGGCACTGGAAGCCGCGGCAGCGAATGCGGTATTGGCTGCAAATGCAGATACAGTGTCATCAGTAGGTTCGGCTGGGGCAGCATAGGCTCCTGAGACTCCAGTAGGCTGGGCAGCACATGCAGCTCTCTTCTCGATGACTGCAAGAGGGCTTTGAGTAGCGATGGCGCTGAGGTCCACAGGAATCGAGGTGATATCGTCGGTAGCTTGAGCGGCAAGGGAAGTGACGTCGTAGGTCACACTTGAAGCGGTAGTAGTGTAGGAAATGTTGGGTTGAGCGGCGACCATGTCAAGGTCGATCAGCTGGGGAGCTGGAAGAGCAGCAGCCAATGCTGCGAGAGCCGGAACGGCCAGAGAATAACGCATGACGATGCTACAAAAGAGTGTATATGGTGGGACGAAAAGAATGATTGAGAAGATTGGAATGAACAAAGAAGGAACGATCTAGTTGACCTGTGATGATCGACTGTGGATTGATGTTTTGCATACACGGACATGGGCTCATTCTTATATCTCATCCTCTGACTTATCTTGGTATAACAATGTCTTGGTATCTCGTCGGTCATCTCCTCTGACTTTTGTGTCATACGCGAGTCTCAGAGCTCGCACAGGCTTCTGTCATCGCGATGAAACCGTACATGGAAAGAGGTGATGTTGCGAAGAAGCTGAACATGGCTCGCCACTGACCAGGCACAGGCTCGTGTGTGTAGTGGCGTCTAGAAGGCTTCAAAGCCTACGGCACTTACCTCAAATGCAGGAGGGACCTGATGCTTTCAGCAAAGCGACTCGGCGCATTGTCGTGAAATAGTATCATCGAGACTTCCCAAGACTTCGGAATTGGAAGTCCAGAGCTGAGCTGAACAATATACGAAGTGAAGACGGACGCTCCGGACCACTAGCGCAGATCCTCTAAGGATCGTGGATGGCGAAATACCCTGCTTGGACCTCAGTATGCCCGTGTTGCTGGGTGTCAAGACGGAAGATCGGTGTTGCAGAGGTGCATCAGTAATAAGAAGAGGGCTTGTGGCTTGTGGGGCATGTCTAGGCGAGGCTGCAAATCTATGGCCATATATCTTGGTCGAGTAGCAGTCAGCACCAAAGAGCATCCTGGTCGTTCCTTAGGCACGTCTATCTAGTTTCTGTCTTGAACATGCTTGATAAAGCTCAGGCTTCAACTGTTCTCCGTTATCGCTCAAGTAATCGACGTTGTGTTTCGAGTCCTAGAATTCTGGCTTCGAATTGGCGAAGTTCGGCCTTGACTCGTTAGATTCAACGGTTATAACACAGACCTTCGAAGCCGCAGCGTAGTCTCTGAAAGTCTTACCGACCTCATTTCCACCTGCTGCCCAGACTAGTGGTTGCTATACATATACAAAGATGCTCCGCCTCGTTGGTTCTAAAGATCCATTGCGCCGCTTTTCTCAGCTGAACAAAGAAGATTGCGAAAGTTGGAAGAGAGACATGCTCTCAAGACAATTACGTTTGCTCATGCCATAAGGTTTATTTGCTAAGGCTGTCTCCAACATCAGGGATGGAGAATACTAACACCACCATATTGTACTACGGAGAGTGTCTCGTCAGGCTGTTAACTTCATACAGAGACCACGAAAGGTCCAGTGAGCTTCTGGTCAAACTGAACCAAAAGATGGTGAGTGGAACCGTCAAAGCTCCAGTCATTTTCTCCGCACTTGTACCAGTCGTGATCGTCACCGTCCTTCTTCCACTGCGGTGTCTGACCAGAGTGACTCTTCTGACCAAGAAGAGTCACTTGAACAACACGGTTATCCTCAGCTTGGTAATCGAAGCAGCCAGAGACAGTCAGCTGGCCGTTCTCGTACTCGAGCTTGATTTCAGACGTTGCGTTCTGCTTGATGCTGTCGCCGTCGTCCAGGTACAAGGAGCCGATGGCTTTGCCATCGCGTCCTGGTGCGATGACGATGTTGAACGGTTGCTTGCGCACATCAGTGGTCGTGTAGCCCGATGCGTTACGCATGGGAATAATACTGCCACCGCGAATGTAGAGGGGGATATCTGTGAAGTCGACATCCGAGATGGTGATGTTGGCACCGGCACCCTCGACGGTTTTGAAGGTCTTGAAGTCGTAGAAGCGGTCGTTCGGGAAGTAAACATCTACACTGGTCGAGTTCTCCTCGGTGACAGGAGCAACCAGAAGAGAATCGCCATAGAAGAATTGAAGGTCGAGAGCAGAAGTGGCTTTGTCGTGAGGGTACTGGAAGAACATTGGGCTGATCAGAGGTGTACCATCAACAGTCTGCTTGTGCAGAGCAGTGTAGATGTAGTCGAGCAGCTTGTAACGGATGTCAATAGACTTGCGAGCTGACTCTGCAACGGTTTCCCATAGGTAAAACTCCTGAGGGATGGAGCTGTCTCCATTGTGATTTCTGTAGAATGGATTGAAGGCGCCGAGAGATGCCCAGCGAGCACAAAGCGTAGTTGTCGTGTTGCCCCCAAAACCGCATGTGTCTGAACCAACCATAGGAATCTGGTAGATGGCGGCAAAATCGAGCATACCTTGGATAGATTGACGGTAGAGCTCCCAGGTGCTAAATCAGGTCAATACAGAGCTCAAAAATGGTCTAGAAAGCACTCGCCTCAAGTTATCACCCAGCCACTTGCCCACGGCCTTACCAGCGCCTGCGAAAGTCGAACGAGTAATTACCAATGGTCTTCTTCCAGGTCTGCGTGCCTCAAGTGCGTTTCTAGAAAATGAGCTCATCATGGTTCCATACAAGTTGTGGACGTCAAGCTCCGCGTGTCCATCGGCATGGATGATATCAGTATCGAGAGTGTTGTTAGATACGCCACCGTAAGCCTCGACAGTATTTGCGTTGTCGATTTGATAAGGGGGAGCGAGAAGGTTGCGACCAGGGAAACCAATTCGTGCGGACGACTGACGCTTATCAAGCGGAGAGTACTGCAGACCGACTGATCGCTTGGCAGGCTTCTTGACGTCGATTGAGCGTTTAGTGGCACCAGGGTCAGAAGCAGGAGCGAGCCATGGAGGAGCATATGCAAGATCATCCGGAGGGTAGGGGCTACTAGCATTTGGCTGAAAGGCTGCTGGGAAGCCTGGAATAGGGCGAGGAGCAGATCTGATGGCGGGTCTAGTAGGAGGGAACCCACGATCCTCAGCACTTTCTTGAGGGTTCGCTCCGAAGTAATTGAAATTGGCGGCCTCATTCATGTCTGTATTGTCGTCAGCATGGTTCATTTGATATGCGTCCAGAGACACTCACCAATCCACAGAGCATCGATATCAACACCAGTTTCAGCATCGAAAAACTTGGCAAATTCGTTGGTCCAGTACTCCTGGGTACCGTTTGCCAGCCAATCTGGGAAGGCGGTGACACCAGGCCATACAACACCCTGGTAGATGGAGCCGTTCTTCTGGAGAAGGATTCCTTGGTCACGAGCACGCAGGAATGACTCGTAAGGCAACCCGTTCTCGCGTTCGGTCTGGTAAGCCATAGCGGGATCGACCATGACAATGTAGTGCTGGTTATGCTCATGGAGGTAGTTCACGTATTCGCGAACACGAGCAAGAGGGAACCGGTCAGGATCGGTAGTCTGGAGATCGAGTCAGTATCTCAAAGCGGACCAGAAGCCTAGCGATCTTACCATGATGTAGCGCTCATACATGTAATCAATATCCTAGAGAAGACACGATTAGCACGAGTTCATGAATTTAGGTGCTACTCCAACTCACGGTCCACATAGTCTCAAGCGGAATTGCAGCAGCGGAATAGTTGTAAACTACTTCGGCAATGGCGTAGAAGTCACGGTATCCATAACGGCACTGGTGGAAGCCGAAGCCCCAGTAGGGCATCATCGCAGCTTTTTGGGTAACACTGCTGTACTCTTGCGCGACCTCAACAGGGCTGGGACCATCCAAGAAGTACAGGTCAATCACACCTCCCAAGGTGTTGTACTCCAGATATTGACCATCAGCTTCGGTCTTGTTGATCTTGATGTCCATACCTGAGCTCGAGAGAAGGAAGACTCCGTGAGTACCAGATTCTACTCTGTGATCAAAGTAGATGGGGTGGTTGCCGTAAAGGTTGGTGCCGGAAGGGATACCGTAGGCATCTCTAGACCACAGTGTGCGAGTGTAGTCGGTAGTGTTGAGGCGGAGAGAATCAGAATGTTCTCCGAGACCATAGATGTTAGGATTCTCGGGAAGAGAAGTACGTAAACGGAGATATTGGTCCTCAAACACAATTGGTGACTTGGAAGTATCGAAAAGTACTTCCTGGTTAGATTTACGAGTAATCTTGAAGCTGAAGGGATTCTGCTCCATTGAGAACTCAAGTGTTGCATCACCAGCCGATACCGAGTTGTTGGCATCTGGTGTAGGGAACACACTGGTAGGGACCTGATAGGCGATCTTGCCTTCGTCTTCAATCTTGACATGTAGACGCTTTTCTATGTATTGTCAGTCGCGTAATCGGATAATGTACAGAGCTTTATGCACGTACCGGAATCGTAATTCACAGCCAGGCGGAGGTTCTGAATGTCTGTGCCATAGGCGTTGCATGCTGTACCAGCCAGTGTCAACTTGGCGGTCAGACCAGTGTCTGTGTTGACGATATCTGATGCCGAGTATCCAGGACAGTCATTGATGTTGCCTGCTGCCTGTCTTCGAGCTACAGCAGCGCCAGAGACGCTACGCAAGAGCGCGAGTCCGTAGAATGCTTTGAGCAACATCTTAGGGAATCGAAACCTGTCCCTACCCGTTTCACGCGAGGGAGATCCAGCTTTATACTGACAGAACGTAAGTAGCGCAGCCACCAGAGCACATCCTATTGAGAACATCGATCATATACACGGCGGTATTTTCGGAGTCGCAGTCGCGTTGCGCCGAGGTTACCTATGCTGTACAGTACGTCGTCTGGGCAGTGGGATAGCTCAAAAGCTTCCTTGCCGTTGCAACGGGCCATCTTGATGGCAGAAACGGGAAGGTGCGGTGCAAGAACTTGTGGAGGGATTCTTGGAGGCTTCCACCTGCGTAGGCCAAGTCTTAATAGCAAGGAGATTTGCTAGTAGTTTTGAGTTCCTCGAGCGGAGCCAAGACTATGACCCGTTCGTATAGAAGCCATGCGATGATGCTTTCTTCTGCCTTTGCATGAGCGAGGCGTATGCCAAGGCTCTTTTCCGCCAACGAACATCCACTTTTGTGAACGTCACTCCATTTCCTCCCAGATTTTCCCCTCACAGAGTGGAGAGATATAACAACTTACCCCTCTCTTCGGGTACTTGGCAGGAACAATGCCTTGCTATCGAAAAGCTTCCTGCCTTCGCGTATACTGTATGTGCGGCGTTGGACGCTTCGTGCTTTCGCGCGGCGTGCCGGTGCTGTTCTGATTCATAAACGGTATTCATTGTGTCGCGTTGCTGCCACGTGTGTGGTACCTACAAGAGCTTCCTCAAGCGATCTAGTGCGTATACTGTTATAGTCGGAGTGATGCTGGATTCCTAGCCGAGGTGTGGGATAGCGCCAGTTCACATGGCTGGGTACGACGGTGCAACCTCAAGCAACTAGCAACTCTTTCTGCCAACCTCCATCCATTGCAGTCAAAGCAGTCGGGATTCGGGATTCGTGAAATACCCGAAGGATCATGGAGCGAGGTGCATACGCCCTTCCTGTAGTTTTCAAGGTGTGATGACTTCGCGATGCGAAGGACGCCCTACACACACAAGTCGATGATGCCGGGAGGGGTTAGTAAATCCATTCTGATTACTGCGTGGTATCCTCTGCGACATCGCATCGTTGATCGAAGCTCGAATCAAACGCTTCATGTGATATGAAGTGGATGGTGAGTCTTTGCGGCATCAGACATAATCTGAATCTGCGGCTTCGTGAAATATTGTGGTGTGGACGACACCAAAATATTGTAATGTCAAACAAGTCCATCACAACGCCGGGATGAATACGATAAATGCTTTCAACTAGACAATGCCACATTTATGGAATGCTATAGACCATGGATGTCCTCGGGCTCATGCCTCACAAGGGGAAGTTACGCCGATGATCGTCTAAAGAATGCCAAAATTCTTGTCTCCAGGAAGACCCTGTCAGATAGTCGGCCATGGTACATCGCATCTTCCTGGTGTGCGAATGCTTGTAACGCAAAACACTTGCAGAAATGCACAGTGATTCTGAGAGGGATACCAGGGAAGAGCGATGTTGTCTCGAATCTATGACCAGAAGCACTATTCATTCCATTCTTGGTACTCGATGATACCGTCTTATCCCGGTCTCTCTCTAAAGCTGCTCTACGGCATCGCTCACGCGCCATGATTCTGGAACCTGCTAGAGTACTCTTCGCTTCGCAACACCGTCACGCTAAGACTGAGCGTCACGAATGACATGTGGCTCCCCAGCGCAAAGATGGGGAAATTCATAGTCTACGTTTTGTCCCCGATCATGGTCATGAAAATTAGTGCCAGCAGTGAACTGCCTCAGTCTGGACATTTTGTGTCCAATTGGTTTCTCTCTTGACCTCGCTTGTTGATTCGTTGTTGCCTCCAGCGCTCATACATTCTCACCTCGTGTTCGATGTGTCGATAGTCCGAGACTGTACCGTCGCAGATAGTGGACTTGAACTCAGACCCGATTCGAGGCTTCGAGGGCCTTCTAAGCATCTTTTTCGATGAGTACGAAGTGAGAGCGTTGGTCGGAATACTAGAGCAAGGCGGCTTAGACAACGAGGAAGTCACGCATGTTGGCGCCGAATGGAAAGCCCAGGCGAGGAGGTCGAAGGCAGAATACTGGGTACTTGGTCCTTTCGTCGGTTGTGAACGAGTCGACAAGTGCGCCGGATGTCAAATTCCGACTTTGGTCATTTGTGATTGGTTGATCGTGTGAAGACAACGACTCCGAACGCTTCTCGTCATGCTACTCGCTCACTAATGCAACCTCGCAAGTCTCACTCAACTCGACCTGGAAAGTCGAACCTGCACCCGATGAGGGAGCGAGGAAACCCGCGGGCCGCGTCAACCGTATGACATAAGTCTCGTGCTGTGATGGTGATGGACGACAGCGGGAGGTCGTGCTTGCTCGTCAGGAGAAGGCTGAACAAAGAAGGAGCGAGGTTGATCTTGCTCGAGCTTGGCACCGAAGCTTCCGTTCCGACGTTCATTGCTGCAAAATCGATGCAGGAACAAGCATGACTCCAACCACGAACCACTTCTTTTTTCCATCGCCTCTTGCCAGCCGCCTTCCGGTTGCTATTTTTCGATCGATTTGCTTCTTGTTCCTGAACATTCCCCATAAAATACCCCAGTTAAGACAACGGGACGGCGGCAGGGTTGCTTGAGCTTATCTTCGACATCATTCGTTCATCCTTCAACCTTTTCGTCATGTTACCCACACTCGTACGCGCACGTATCGAGACACGGTCTCACTGGAATCGCTAACACCAGGATCTTCATTCCGTGCTGCCTGTTCCTCTTCGGTCCTGCTGCCGGATCTCGCAGAATATGAAGGGCAATCATTTTCGCCAACACATCAATACATGCGGTATTTATCATGATCGGAACGCAACACGACTGTGTCGGACTGGATAGTTGAATTCACTGTGTATTTACGAAGACCTCAGACCTTACAATAATCGAGCGTGTTGTTGTCGAGCATATCCCGCCGCCATAACAGCATATGGTATTGATATTCACGTGTACCCGAGTACCCCATCCTTCTACCTCGCCTTTCTGCTGTTGGGGTACCAACCCGAGTCAAAAGACCCGCAACCCGAGTGGACAACATGGTTTGTGACTGGGGTGTTACCTAAGAGGATGTCTTTTGTCAGCCACCTCCACTTCCTACACTCGAGCCAATGCTGCGCTGCACTTCGTATCGATGACGCTCGAATCAGCTTTCGACTTCCGTCTTCAACTTGATGCTAGGGCTGGCTATGACATCCACCGAAAGAATGGCTGGTGATCATCGTCGATACAACATGTTGATCACGCCTGCACCTTCCAACAAGCGTGTATAAAGAGGTGTTGCTCGACCTCCCATATTCACTCTATCATCAACAACCGTTTGTCGATTCTACCGACAACACCTCTCTTCGTCTCATCTTTCTTTCGCTTCTTCCTTACCTTCGCTCATAGTACTGTCTCGTTGTCGAAAGACCAACATGAAGTACACACTCCAAACCCTGGCCCTTGCCTCGGCCGCATCCGCTCGCGTCCTACAGACTAGACAGTCATCCTGCTGCTTCGGTATCAACGTCTCTGGTGATGGCGTTCAGGGTGGCTCGCTGGGTCAGCTCACGGATGGACAAAACCGCTTCGGTCCTAACCAGTCTGGTGCTACCTACTGCATTGACGATGGCAAAATCACCGACAAGAACGGTAGAGGATGCATCTTGACTGGCCCCACCACTCAATTTCAGTGTGACCAGGGTGCTTCTCCTACTGGAGGCTTCTCTGTTGCTTCCTCTGGTCAGGTCGAGCACGATGGTGATGCCACATTCTACGCTTGCCCCGTCGATGACAACGGCAACTACAACATCTACACCAAGCCTCTCGACAACATGCCCAAGTGTGTCAAGGTCGGCCTGAGCAGTGCTGACGGAACCTGTGCTGCCCCTTCATCGGCACCTGTGTCTTCCGCTCCTTCATCTGCTCCCGCCTCGTCCGCCCCTCCTGCTACTACCGCAGTCTCTGTCTCTGTTTCCGTCTCCACCCCCGCTCCCTCTGTCTCCGTCGCTGTTTCTACCGAGCAGTGCCAGCCTTCCACCGTCGTAAAGACTGTGACCCAGCAGAACAACGTCACTGTCCCCGTCACCGAGTACAAGACTCAGATCCAGACTCAGACTCAGGAGCACACCGACACTGCCTACCAGACTGAGACCAAGCAGGTCCCCACTACCATCTATCAAACTCAGACTCAATACAGCACCATCAACGAGACCAAGACCGTCCCTACTACTGTCTACAAGACTCACGAGGAGACCACCACTGTCTACAAGACCGAGGAAATCACCTCCACTGCCGTCCGCACTGAGGAGCAGACCCAGACCCAGACCCAGACTCAGACCCAGCCTCCCGTTACCGAGGAAGTCACTCAGAAGACTACCGTCGAGCAGCCCACCACTATTGAGCAGCCTACTACCGTTCAGTCTCCTGTCACCGAGACCAAGTCTGTTCAGCAGCCTCCTGTCACCCAGTCTGTTACCGAGCAGGTGACCACCTCAGTCGCCAAGCCTACCACTGTCTCGCAGGCCCCTGTCACTGAGACCAAGGTCTCTTCTTCTCAGCAGCCTTCTGCCACTCCTTCCGGTACCGGAAACTGCCCTCGCGATCTCCCCGGCATGGACTCCTACTTGAAGCCTCGCCTGATCGTCCCCGTCAACAGCAACCAGCCTGATACCGCCTACGGTACTCAGTACAATGCTTACGTCGGCAACGGTAACAGCACCATCTTCAGCTTTGACGTTCCCCAGAGCTACGAGGGCAAGCAGTGCGAGGTGATTTTCACCTTCCCAACCCAATCCCAATTGGAGACCTCTTTCGTCTCCGAGTCCGGCAACGGCGGCATCGACTTCAAGCAGTTGAAGAGCGCTGCTGATGAGAAGACCACCTTCAACAACCAGCCTGCCGTCGCCAAGGACTTTGGCGAGAAGGGTGTCTCTACCGGTAACGCCTACACCATCACCACCGGTGACTGCGCTGTCGGTCAGACCATCTCATACGAGCTTACCGCCACTGGCGATTATCAAGCCTCGTGGTTCCAGGACTGGAACCCCTGCCCTATCGGCCTCTGGGTCGTCGCCAACTAGGAGCATGATTTGATATTTTTCGTATCATAGCATGAAAACGTGCTTGATCATTTGTACCAAAATACCGGGAGTATGACTCGTCCCGCACCAACTTATGACTCTCCTTTATACATTTCTCCTGTCTGTACAACTTAGATATAGTATCCTCTAGAATAGTGTAATGCAACCTCACTACCTTCGAAATTTCTCATCCTTCCATCTTGGGTCCGTAGAAAATGTGTACTAGAATTCGCACAAGGGGGAAGAAGACCATCAGTCATCGAACGTTCGATTTTAGCAGGCGCTAGTAAGGCAGTCGGTAAGTGGCTAGGGACAATCTCTCGACGTGGGAGCTTTATCGTTAATCTATCTAAGGTATGCTGGATTTTGCCGCTATCTACTAGATTTCTATGGTTAGTTAGGATGTGCGGATCTGGTGGCAACACAACAACTACGCTTTGTGCTCGCTGGACATCTCTCGGCACCTTTCAGCTTGAGTATCTCGTATCATCTCTTACTGCTCTTCTAAGACTACGTCTTCGCGAGCCTTTTGGCAACTTCGTCCTCACAACATTCGAATCACTCGGCCCCGTCCTTTTTCATTGCAGCCCTATCTCTTGCAATTGCGTCTGTTAGTGACCTACGAGTGTCTAAATCGAGTAACCTGGGGGCATGCTTCCCTCTCTCTTCCGGTTCGTTTACTTCTTAGCAGCGCTACTCCCACTCATACTCATCTTCCCAAAGCTGTCCACGAGATCATCACCACTATGACTATAGCACCAGCGCTGGAAGTCTCGCTCCTTAGCTCTTTCGGACGTGAATCTGTTGTTTGACTTTTGGAAGGCAGAAATACACGGAGTGAGAGGCTTGGGCTTTGTCTTTGCAGTGTAGGAGCTGGGATTGTATTTTGGTGGTGGCATTGTTTGGGCGTGTTTGGGGGAGGGAGTTGGGTATGTTGTGGGCGTGGTTTGCGGATCGTGGTTAAGTAAGGAAGAGAGTGTGATGATTTTGGACTGGTATCGAGACCTTATGACTGTTTTATACACCTTATTACATCCTTGAGCTACCTTGCTAGCAATCCAGTTCCGAACTCGATCTCTCACTCTCAACCAGAACAATGGATTCGGGGGTCTGTGGCGAGAGTGAGACTGTTCGAGAGCACAAAGATAGATGTCTCGAGATGAACAATGGATTCACTGCTAGACGTTTCAGTTTCTTCTGCTCTCATCATATATCAATGAGGATGGGCTGTATAATGGCTCTTTGTTCATTGTTGTATGAGTCAGATGTTCTGGTCAGTATGCTACCTTTGGCGATTTGTTATTGTGAGTTTGCTATCCGAGGTCGAGGTCGAAGGTAAGGCAGAGCATAGTCTCAATATGCTGTAAAACGGTAAATACATATACCTTGATTGCACCTGCCATCATCAGTAAAACCATTCGCACCAGTAAACAACAACTGACCCATCCAAGACTTCCAACTTTTGATCCTTACTAATTCTAGACACTTTTTCTTTGCCTAAACCACTTACCAATCTGCCAACCTCATCTTCCAAACTCGCTCCAATGACCCCATTCGATTGGCCAACGAACCGCCTTGAGGCCTCTCAACTCCGCACCTTCACCCCTTTTGGCAGTAACCAAACACAACTCACTAACACACAAGCAGCACAACTACGGGCGACTGGCTTTCAGGGACTGCGTAGCTTGGATAGAAAGTTTGAAATTATGAGAAGCAAAACGGTGGATGTAAGCTACGAGGATCAGTTATGTGGCTTGATGAGAGGTGCCGGGATTGGGGGGAAAAAGAAATGAAGGCGATAGAGTCAGAGGAGGAGCAGGCAAACGGTGTTCGCATCGTTCCAGTATCTAATCAATTTCTACGGCAGCAAGCTCATGTAATAGGCCACGAACGGAACAGTCTAAGGACTATTGGTAAACTGAGGCTTATAGAGTTTCGAGTTCAGTGTTCAAGAAAGTGCAGGACCTATCTCAGCCACATTTCCCCCTTCACGCTGCCTTTGCTCACGCACCATCTCCTTGACCAAGAACGAATGTGTCTGAACATAGCTCTCGTACTGCGCAATCGTTTCTCCAATCTTTGCTATCCTCTTCTCTAGCTCCTGACTAACCGCCTTCAAATTCTCACGGAACCCACGCGACACCACAACCAGCCGCTGTAACATTGCCATAATCCGAAGTTTCTTATGCCTTGCCACCACGACCCGTATCTGCTTCTGCAGTAGTTCCTCAGGAAACATGTTCTCGGCGACTTCGACGGGGGAAAGGCAGAACAGAGTGATGAAAGAGGCATGATCGGAGGTCTGTTCGCCCGAAGTCCTTGTGAAATTGCATCTCTTGTAAGGGGTCTCTGGGTGGGCAGTAGATTGCGTCTGAGTAGGAGCTTGCGTGTGTGTAAGGGTTTGATGCTTGGTCCTCGATGGCCGGATTGTGTTGTCCCTTTGACGAGGTCGAGCTAGCATTGTCTTCATGCTCACGCTTTCGCTTCTTCGAAGGCATGATGGACCCAAATTCTGAGAGAACTTGGAAATGGGAGATATCAGCAAAACTACCAGCGGTCCTTTTGCGATGCGATCGATGATTGAGGAAAAATGATCGAGGATGGTGTGGATGTAGAAGGGACGTTTACTGGGATGAAACATGCAAGGGCGACTTGGTTTGAGGTGCGTGCATCATGCGGCACGGTAGCGCTCAACATGTGCACCACTCTTGAGCGACAATATTGACTTCCCGTCGACACTGTTTCTGTTATTTTCTTGAGAACCTCGAGGTCGATCAAGCTTCCAAATTGACGAATTTGTGCTGCCAAGGGTCACTCAATGCTCACATGTGTATGTTCCATTGATCTCAAAAATGGACGATGGCAGGAAAAAGGAAACCAGGACTCGTGCATATGATATATCACTTCCTCTTACAAACGTACCAATGCGGCACGGAACACGTGATACCTTGCCGCTGGCAAGCCTTTTCCAGCCATCTTCCTTTATACTCTGTCATGCTACCTATCATCCTTGCCCATAAACACAGAAACATGGCACCGCCTCTTCTATCTCCGACTCGAAAGGTATGTTCCCCCCGTCAAACATACACCCATTTGAACTTCTACTGACGGCCACGATAGCTGCATATCTTCTACGATTGACACGTATCGAGTCTCAGCACAAAATATCCTTTGAATCAGAAGCTGCACCTGGAAACACAAGCTTACGCTCAAGGGTATCTTTCTGCCCATCTCTTCTGCTTCGTCAGGTATCGAGAACGGCTCTACTGCTTGCGCCCAACAGCAGCAGCTCCGTAAAGACTGCGCGGAAATCGATGTTGGATGCTCTCTAGACCCTGCTCCCTGTGGTGGGACGAGTCAGTACGACGGTGCTCAGGAGCATTCCCTTAACCCTCGAGGAGCGAAAAAAAGGATACATAGTCAGAATGAGCTAGACATTGACAGTCTCGTACCAAGCGGGACGGGCAAACGCCCACGCTTAGCATCTCATCCTGACGCTCATCGTTGGCAGGAGAGTGTAGTTCCCGGACCACCGCCATCTCAACAACATCACAGCACGACTCCCTCATAGGGCAGTCTGCCGGATTCTTCTTTGACAAGATCCAGATCGGGTAGTGTAGTATCCTTCAGTGGGCCTTCGACTCGGCAGGAGAGTGAGTTTCCAGGAGCACCGCCATCTCAGTAACATCACAGCACGACCTCCTCGCAAGGCAGTCTGCTGTCTCATCCTTTGACAACAACCAGTATGAGTAGTGCGGTATCCTCCATTCCTTCTACTCGAGCAGGGCTTAGAAACTCACGGCCTTCCCTCCATGTGTTCAGCGACCGAGCTAAAATGTCCCTGCTGACAACTTTAGTGTGCGGAGGATCCTTGCCATCTGAATTCCGAGCCAAGGCGTATCCCTTCGTCAAAGAGATAGTCTGGCTCAGACCTCAATCTCAATGAGCGACATGAAGAGTTGATGAATTTTTACCTCAAGAAGGCCGACCATGAAGCGTTTTGCGTCTGGAAGCTGCAGAAATTCACGAGAATGGTCAAAAAGTGACCGGCGGCATCAGCAGGGCGACAGGCAGCGGATTCCCCAGTCTCACACAACTCTGTGACTTCAGCCTGCGAGAACCAATCGTTGGGAGGACGTGCTGGAAAGCACTGATATGGATCACAAATTGGCTGTTGTTCGAGGTGTTGTGGTCAGTAAAGTCCAAACAGCTTTGTGAAGCAGATGGTCGAGATAGAAAAAGCTTAGGATCTCATGCGCTTGGAAGATCGGTTTCATTCACGGTGCCGGTCTCGAACATCTTCACGTGAATGGACCAAACATGATCGATGCTTGTAAAGGGAAGCGGGGGTCCTCAGGCGTAGGGAGAGTTGAGACGCGCTGTTGCAGCTGAAATGCCCACTGCCATATTTAATCAACATCGACATCTGTGGCAACTCAGCGAAGGAAGTAAATGCCTGGATTTGATGTAATAGCGTATAGCTGTTCCTGTATCTGTCTGAGGTCGTGATCCGTTGCACGGCGGTAAGGAACGAACGAACGCGGCTAGTCCAGCTATAACCTCGTCGTTGTCATCTGTCGTTGCCGTACTCATCATTGGCGTCGTAGTGATCGTCGTTGTCGCTATCGTTGTGGCCGGCGTCGTCGTGCTCTCCTCTGACACCCCCGACATCGTCGTCTGCTCCCCTAGCACCCCCACCGTCCCCGACTCATCTGCACTCTGAGTCTTCTCCATCTCCCTCTGAATCCTCGTTCGAAACTCCGGATGCCTGCCCAAAAACTGGCTATGCCAATTCACACCCAACTTGTCAGCATGACTAAATCTCGGCACCTTTCCCTCTTTCTTTGCTTTCTCGTAATCATCATCCACCAGCTTCTGCGCCCATTCCTTCACCTGCTTCAACGTAGGAGGGAACCCTCCATCACAGGCTTCATGGATGCGTTGCTCCAAAGCGGCTTCTGCAGAAGTGGAAAGACGTTGAGACGCAGCGTGAGATTCAGCATATGATCTATGCGTGCCTTTGACGCGGCGGTAGAGTGTATTTCTACTGACGCCGAAATGATTCGCGACAACGAAGAAGCTTTTTTGGTGGGACTTGTAGTAGGCGACGGCGAGCGCTAATTTTCGCTCGACTTCGAGTGCAACTGCTGGGTCGGTCTTGCGCTTATAACCCATTTTTGCGAGGAAGGTGTGTTGGGACTGGAGTGCGGGGAGCTGATTGTCGCAAGCAGATAAATAGGCGCCGACGATGAGTTGGATAGCTGGGTGTCGAGGTTAGGAGAGGGGGTCTTGAGACGCAAGGGGGAGTTGAGACGACTAACTGCTTTGAGCTTCTCCATGGCTGATCTATGTGTCTCGCCCGCCCGCTCTATCACCTTTATCAGAGCTCCACCTGTCAGTTCTACAGAGAAACACAATATTGTCGCAAGCGCTCTCTATACCACAGCGTCTCATCGGCAGCTGCCTCGTCGAGAACGTCGATGATTAATGATAAAATTGGCCTCTTGAAAGCCGGTTCAGCTCCGAGCATGTCTCAATACATCCTTCAGAGCACACTTTATATGCTGATATATACACATTTTACACAACGCGTCTGCTCACCCTCCTATTCTCCCTCTGTCGCTTAACCTTCATAACATCCCTCCTCCTCTTCTTCCACGCACGATTACTATCACCCCTGTTCTCCCAGAACCACTTTGCAAACTCCGTCTCCTCTTCCTCCTCACCCTCCTTAACCTCCTTGACACCCAATGGCTCCATATTAGCATTCTGCCATTGGTCATCTTCATCTTCGTATCCCTCTTCGATATCATCGTCGTGAGAGAAATTGTTGTTACCAGCAAACGAGAAGGAAAACTTTCTGCCGATGGCGGCCGTGTCGGGGGTGGGTGCTGCAGAGCGGATGTCGCGCGTGCGGGTGAAGGGGGTGGATGGGTATTGGGGGTCTGCATCTTCCATGTCTTCATCGATGTCGTCGGTGATGCCGAAGGAGAAGGATGTATTGATGGGGGCAGGGCGGGGGGTTGTGTCTGAAGGTGCCTTTTTCTTGAAGAGGGCTTCCAGGGGGTGGATATCGCGGGGTGGGGTGGTGGGTTTGGGGGAGGTTTCCATAGGATCAAGGCTTGAAGTCGAGGGCTCATCTTGTTGCGATGGGAGTGCTGGGGCAGCGATTTCCTCGGCGCCTTCTTGGATTTCTTCTGCGATTTCTTCCTGTTCGGTTTCGTTGACTTCGTCTTCGTCATCGTCATCATCGTCGCTGTCGTCACTCGTCTCTTCGTTACTCTCGGACGATACATCCGAGCTCTCGTCACTCGACGAGTGGTATCCTAGCGACTTCGCACCAGCGGTGATATCCTTGTGCATGGCAGGTTGCTTGGGAGCGGCAGGCTTGATCCTGATCTCAACAGGCGTGTCCACCATGCTGGCAAGTCTGACTTCACGTTTCGGCTTGACCTGAACCTCCTCGATGACATTTCCCTCTGCGTCCACCCATCCCATGCCGGGGACAAAATCGGCAGTGGCAGGAGTGCTGCTGGAAATGCTGGACCTCAAGAATGAAGGTACGGGTTTGTTCTTTTCGAATTCATGGATGATGGCGATGTCCCTGGGCTGTTTTGAGTTCTTGTGCTTCTTGTCTTTGCCGTCTGCTTTTTGAGCCATCAAGACGGCCTCGGGGAGTTTTTGCTTGAAAAGAACCTCCTGCTTGGACGAGTATTTAGATTTCTCCCTCTTTGGCGTTTTGTCCTTCTTGTCTGTCTTGTCGCTCTTGGATGATTTCTCTTTCTTGTCCTTGTTGTGTTTCGAGGGTTCCTCGGTCCATCCGCGCTTTACTTGTCTGTCGTCGGGAAGCTCGAAGCCAGTGATTTCCTTGTCCTTTTTGTTGCTCGATTTTTCCTTCTTGGCCTTTTTGCGCGGTTGCTTTTCTACTTCTGCGGCATCGTCGTCCTTGTCGTGGCGCCTCCTCTTCTCGGGTTTGGCTTCTTGAATAGCCATCTTCTGTCCTCGCAGTGTTGCACCGTTGAGCTTCTTGCGCAACTTGTCGGCGTCAGCTCTGGGTAACTCTACAAAGCCAAAGCCGCGTTCGGGAAAAGTTTGCACGGTGTGGTAGGATATGTTTGTGGCGTTTGGCTGGATGGAAGCTGGGATGATGTTTTGGTAGAGGGTCTGGTTGAAGGGTGAGATGTGTAGGCGCACGCGATCGGTCTCTGCCATTGCTGAGGGGGGTTTGTTCCAAGCAGCGGTCAGCGCAGCTGGGAAAATTGTTCGGCGCGTCTGCAAATGTGACTTGCACATGAAAATCGCCGGCCCCGCAGCCTTGGCGGCATGGCCGCTGTTCATCTGGCCATCGATTGTCCATCAACAGTGATCGACTTGACAAGTACAGAGACAGAATATCAACATGAAGCAACGACTACAACTTCTTCTGCTTTGGCTGGCCCTGATAGCCCCAGCTTTATGTGCTTGTACGTCTCTCTCCGGCTTTTACCCACAACAAGTGCTGACTGTGACCTCTCATAGCGGCAACATCTTTCTGCAAATGCACATGCTTCAGCAACAGCACAATCATACCCTTGACAGAACTTCCTGGAGAATCAACTGCCAAGAAAGCAACATGCAACGATTGTAACAGACAGTTCTGTCTTTCGTATAATCTGCCTATATGCAAAGACGCCAAGGACGCTGATGTCTTTACTACTTGCTTCCAGAGAGACTCGGCCAAGGATCAGATGATTGTCTATACGTTCATTCTCGTTACTTGTGGATTGCTGATCTGGGCTACGATAAAGCCATATGCTGAGACCTATCTCGAGGTATGTATCTCTCTTAGACTCTGGGAACTTGATACTGATTTACATCAGAAATTCCGTAACCGACACAGCTACAATCCAGTTGCACAGAATGGCAATTGATATGTTTCACGAATGCAAACCGAAAGAAGCTATTCTTTTGGCATGATACCCCGGAAATGTACAAGTGTTTTATATTCTTACAAGCAATTTAATGCCACAAACTCATGACCACAACCACGTCCTCACCTCCTCAACAACCAGTTTGTCCAGCTCTTTGTCTTTTCTTGCACTGCCAACACCGAAGCTGCTGCTTCTCTGTCTAGCGGGCCTCCAACAACAGCCTCTGCGCCCACTGTTTGCGGCTTCTGCCACTTGTGCTCCTCAACCTTATCTTCCACCGCCTTGACAATACCCAGTTCCTTGACCTTTTCCTTCGCAACAGTCGCCGTATCCTTGACTTCAACCGCAGCGTCCTGAGCAGCCGCTCTCGCAGCAGCGCCCAGATTACCTCCCTTTGACTCTTCCTTTGGTGCCGACGAAAAGATACGGCTGATCATGCCAGGCTGCTTCTTTTGGAGTTCGGCGGCTTCGGATTTGGTGCGCTCTTGGTTGAGGAGCAGGATTTGGTCTTCGTCGGCGAGGCCTTGGGTGAATGCGATGCGGGCTTCGTTGATCTTGACTTGGTGCTTTGCTTGTTGGTCGGCGAGCCATTCGTTGCGCTTCTTGCGGTTGTGCATGAGCATGTCTCCGATGGCGAAGGATGCGGTGACTCCACAGACGACTGGTGGCGGCAATGTCAGCATTTGGTTTGTCGTTGTTGTGTTCTTTGCTCTTGTCTTTCGCCTCTGTTTGTAGAGGAGTTAGACTCAAGAAAGGGTGTAGCGCATACCGGTCAATCCTATCAGTGAATACGCAGTCACTCTGTGTGCTCTATCTGCCCATCTTCTTCCAACTCTGACAACGGCATCGAAGTTTGATTCCTTGCCCGTTCGTGCTCTGGCAGCCGCAGCTCTTAATCTTGCAATCTTTTGCTGGGGTGTTTCTCCCGAAGGCGCAGCTTGACCCATGTGTACCGGAGCCGGAGTAAATTGTCCTTGAGGTTTGGCACTGGCATACGGTGTGGTTGCCGTGAAGCGAGTGGCATCTTTGGCTGATCGCACCATTTTGGCGAATGTGTTGGGTGTTTTGTATAAACCAAGGTGGGCCGGGTACAAGAGTCCAGAGTGGTGTCTTTGAGGTATACTAGTCGAGTGTATGGAGCTAGGTGGGAGCAGTTGTTGTAGAATGTTCTTGTACCAAAGGGTCAAAAGTTCAATGATGTCTAGAAATCGCAACTTCTTGCATGGTCATGTCCTTCTTGGCGCATTTTCGGCTCTTTTCTTCCGTGGTCGAGTGTCAAAGCCCTAACGCTAACCTCTTATGGTCGGCGTTACTTCTTTCCCACCTTGCTGCTCCAGAGCATTTACCATTATTGATATAACAGACAACTTTCCAAATCTAGAAAGCGAAAGGAGACGACAAACATGGCAGATCCGACAGTCACTCCCGATCTTGCTTCCATCCTTGCAACTCTCGCACAATTCGCACCTCAGCAGCAAGAACAACAAACTTCAGCACCACCACCCGCAGCCACAACTCCCACAATCACAGATCCACGACTTCAGCGTCGTCTTGAAGCACAAACCTCCCAATCAACTTCCCAGCCTTACAACCAAATACCACAGCACCTACAACAAACCAATGTTCAATCACCAACACCCTATAATCCTCAAGCAGCAGTCTTCCAACCAGTGATTCCCCAACAACGAGCCATTCCACAACCATCGAGGACATCAACGCCTCAGCAACAGGAACAAACGATTATCGATCCAGCAACTATCACAGAATGGACTGCAGGTCTACGTTGCGTGACCAAAATCGCTGCTCAGAACCCTTTGTTTGCGGAAAAGATTCGTGGTGTAAGATATCCATACTTGAGCATTCTCAATTTCCCTATACATGAAACTAACAAGATGAACAAGTTGATCAACGATCAGAGAAGAAATGAAATGCAATGGTGAGATTTTACAAATGCTGAAAGAGATGTGAGAGGATAAAAAGCTTACAAGAAATAAAGGTATTCGGGCAGACAAGCACTCAAACAAGTGCAAGCAAAAAGATGCACATCCTCGAATGAACTCCAAAATATCTTGTAAGTCTTTCACTTTCCACCTTTTTTTTTGACTTCTTCCTCCGAAGTTCTTCTCTCATTATATCCTACCCCATCTCAGCTCCAAGCCTCCTGCACCCACTTCCTCACAGTCAATCCAACCTCCTCCATCCTCCAAAACTCAAATCTCACATCTCTTCCAACAGCCAGAAAATCGGCAGCAAACCAACCCCCTCAATCCCTCAAACACCCGAGGAAAAAGCAGCAGAACTCGCAGCCTACGATCAAAAGCTCTACAAAGCGCAATGCACTATGAACGAGAGCATGTCGCAAGTGCTCAAGCATTTGGGCGTACCGTTTTTCGGTACTCATGCTGCGTTGATCTTGCCCGATGACAAGACAAAGGCAACGGGTCAAGATGGTAAAGAGGGTGGACAAGATAAGGTGGTGGACGTGCAAGGAGAGAGACCAAAGTGGTCGCCGAGGGTCACGGCAAAGGAGTTGATGGAGTTGAAGAGAAGGATGGTCGAGTATTTGGAGGACATGTACAAGGCTTGAGGGCTTGTGTGACAAAACCTGACCATGTCGGAGGTTAGAATGGCACTGTTGGAGGTGTTGTGAAGAGCAGCTCTGGCGAGGGGCACTCAAGATCACAGAGAAACCAGAAAGAGGTGCTAGCATGGATAGGAAAAAGCCGGTCGTTGTAGAATCAAGCGATAGGTAGGCAACAGAGCAAAGTAAAGAGCGATACTCACACGCAGAGTCCGCAAGAACAAAATGATTTTCAAATGTTGACAAGGATTTATACGCATTACAAGCGAGCGACTCTGATCCACCAAAAAAAACATTCGCAAACCCACAAAAAAAAAGATCAGTGTATCTTCCCCCTCTCTTTCCTTCTTCTTCTCACATCGCACAATTACATACATCTCATTCTCTTTCCTTCCCCCCTTCTCATTTCATCGGCCCCTCCCAAAACTATTTGCTCAAATTCAATCCAACCATCCCTCAAACGCCCCCTCATCCCCAAACCTCGCATACCTCACCTGCTGATCCCTGCTTTCCTTTTCCCTCTGTCTCTCTCCAGCCTCTAGATCCTCCTCGCCCCAAATACCCTCTAGCATACCTTGCTGTTGCTGCTGGCCCTCGCCTCCATACACGCTATCAGCAGCTTTGGCAAGTACACCTACAGCAAGAGCGGAAGCAAAGTCAAAGGCTTGGGACAAACGGTGGGTGGATAGTAGAGATTCTCGGCGGGCGGTGGAGGGGGAGAAGGTGGGGGGTGTGTAGGTGTTGCGGCGTGGTTGGGTCGCTACTGTGTCACTAGCAGTGGCAGCGGTGGAAGGGAATGAAGTAGCCGTGGGGGTTGTGGGTGAGGAGCGGGTGGGAGTGGCTGTTGCGAAGAAGGAAGTCGTTGGCGATGGATGCGTTGACGAGTCCAGTGCAGTTGTCGTAGAGCTAGGGTCGGTGGTCGAGGTACGAGGGGTTCGAAGGGAAGAATGAGATGGGTTGCCGCCTGAAGAGATGATCTGGTGGTTTGTGGGACATATGAAGATGGGTAGGCCCATTGTTTCTTTTGCTAGTGTATCCATTTTCTGCTCTTCCTGCCCTCGTGCGTGGGTTGTTCGAGGTGATGCTTGGTGCTGTTGAACTCTCTGACGGGAATCGACGAGGAAGGAGCTTTTGATGTTGGCGATTGGTGTATTTGATATATGTACTTGTGTTGCAACCGTAGTTTTTTGCTGTTCAGTCTCTGATTCCCTTTGAAACGTTTTGCAAGACAAGCACAGTCTGAAAAACTGTGTTTCTTTTCCCTCTAGGAGAAAGCAGAAAGTTATCTCGTCGGGATATGTAAAGCTACTGGAAACTCTCCAGTGGTATGTGCGAAAGGAAGGATACAATCCAGGATCTTTTCAGAGCAACTGTGCACTAGATTATGACAGGAAAGCGAGCGTATATGGAAGACGAGAAGGACGGAAGGAGAGAGTAGAGAACGATTGCTCATCGTTGGAGCACTCATCAAATAGGTACAGCTTTCATGAATGTAGACCTTTTCCGGTGTTTGGGCTGCATGCAAAGGAGAAAAGGCTTTGGTGGAAGGAAGGAAGACAAAGGGAAGTTTGGAAAGATTGAGGAACGGCCGCTTCGAGATGACCCCTTGATGTGTGGCGGGACAAAGAAGTTTTCGAGCTTACCTATTGCTCTTCGAATATACTCCGTAGTAACTTGTTCTGCTTTTTGGCAGAGTCGTCCAACCACGAGATTGTCGGTCTTCTTGATCTCTTCACCTGCTTCATACTTATCAACGAACGACCTTCCTTTTTGCATAAAAAGATCCCAACAGAGGAACTTTGGAAGACAAATCCAATTCTGATATAGTACAACGCTCGTAGCTCTTTTCTACATTCTGCCTCTTTTCCACCATCTAACCCATAGCCTTCAAGAAATTGGCCTCCTTGATCTTGGCACGTCTGTTCTTCCTCATAGACTTGGTCAACGCATCTCTCGCTTCCATAGCCTCAATTGCACCTTGCAGACTTCCATCTCCGGCAGGCAGATCAATGGTTTGTTCGTGCAGAGGGATCTTAGGGGCGAGGGCTTCCGGATTGAGTAGTTGTTGTTTGCGGAGTGCTTTGGCGGCTACACGGCGTTGCTTTTTGGATTTGGCTGAGAGAAAGAAGAGTCAGTGATGGTTCTACAAAGCAACAACGAGGCCCACGGGATAGGAGAAGAGAGGACGGGGCAAGAAGGAAGAACAAAGGCGCAACAAAAAGAACATACAAAACAAATCTCCCTCAACACTCGCAGCACCATCGCTACCCTCCGCACCCTTCTTCTTCAAGATCCCCCACAACCAAGCAGGATACTCTCCGTCCTCCAACGCAACAGGATCGTTCTTTCCCTTGACGAAATTCAAGCCTTTCAATGGCGTGCCAGCAGCAACGGAGCTCTTGACCGTGGGAGCTGCTTTCTCTGCACTGGGTGCTTGGAGTTCAGCAGCCGAGGGCAACGGACTCAAAGGTGTGGAAAAGGGTTGTGCAGCGCCTGTCGATGTGGCGGCGGAAGGTGTGTGAGCAGAGCTGTTTGGGTTGCCCTGTCGTGGTGCGGCGGTGGCTGCGAGCGAAGGCGATGTGGTGATGTTGCGGCGGAAGGGGAGGGCGATAGGGCGCTGGATGGCCGTCCGTAGGCAGCGGGTGCAATTCATTGTGTGTGGTGGGTGTGGTCTCGTGAAGAAGGCGATCTAGATTTCGAGATGGATGCGCGCAACATGCGATTGAACAAAGATTCGATGGAGATGGAGCGCCAAGGCTTCCGCGAGCGGACTTTACTCGGTTGCGCTTTCCCGCCTCGAGGGTTCGTCGTTTATCACATGCATTCCACCGAGTTCAAAGAACTGCTCATTGTGCAGTCAAATACCGTGCGTACGGTATTTCTGGGCAGAGCAAGGTTCTAGATCCATGAGACAGATCGACCCCACCAAACCGTCGAGCAGAATGCTCTAATCAGTACTGCAATGTCGAACAACTGGTGATGTGATTGCTCCGATGAGCATGCTCTGCTTATACTGCATGCACATAGACACGGAAGAAGTGATCCAAGAAACAAGTCGGCATGACAGCCAGGGGTATATTCAGTTATTGTAGGGAGTGAAGCACAATCAAGGAGAGAAATTTGGTATAAGGACAAAGGCAACAAAACACCCACCCCCCTGTGCAAGTGCTTGTTGTGCAAATGAACACCCGTCGTTCAGTCGTAAAGTAAAACAAGTGGCCTGCTCTTTGCCAAGTATTGGGGAATCGAATGTTCGTCAATCTCAGGAACCGTGACGCCGGTTGGTCATAACTCGTGTGTGTATCTGAAGGCAAGAATCTCTTCTGTTTGGGAGCAATTCTCGTTCTCAGGCATGCATCCCAAGAACAGAGCTCGGTTCTCCTTCTGGTTTGCCTTTCGGCCTGTCTTTCGAGGTCCTCTTCGAGATCCTTTTCGGTTCTCCTTCATGTACTTGAAGACTAGAGTCTATCCTTCTTCAAGGCCATCTTCTTCAGATGTCATGCTCCTGGCATTGGACTGCGTGCGTGGCTTTTTGGATGGCGACGATTGATTATCTCCAGACTTGCGCTTGGTTCCTCCGTTGGTAGGTTGCTGCATCGGCATACCACCATTCTTTGCAGCTTCAGCATCGAGAGCAGCCACCTCCTCGGCTGTGAGAAAGCGTCCTCCTGGTCCACGCGGTCTGCGCATAGCATGATTGTGACGGGATTCGTGCAAATAAGGCTTTCTACCCTTACTCGTAAGGCGCAGCTGTTCCTCAAGTTTTTGTCTGGCCAGTCGCCTTTTGAGAATTCGATGAAACTGCTTTGCATTGACGTATAGTGGTGATTCCTCGGTAGTACCGGTAGGGGCTTCGGGTGACGAGTGTTGCTGAACAACTTGCTGAACCATCTGCGGCGCGACTGATGCACGTCGTTGTTGCTGCATGACAGGCTGAGGAGGCTGGACTGCCTGACTCATACGGCGTGCGACCATTTGTTGTGGGATTGCCTGAGGTGCTGGCATTACCATTTGACCAGCCATAGTTGTGTTGACGTTCATGTGACTTTGTGATGGCGACCTCGGCGTTTGCCTTTGCTCAGCCTTGACGGACTGTCCAACGCGTGGTGATTGTCTAGGGTCTTGCGCAAGTGGCTGCATTGTCTCGGGCATGTAGTTGTAATTGCCCGAGGCAGCTGCCGTTGCCATGGCGGCGGCTTGTGTAGGAGACATCTGGTTTGCGCCCAGACCATAGTGCATGCCCTGGACTGGGTAGCCTTGTTGATACATTGGCATGACTTGGTGAGGACCAACGTTGGAGCCTGGTTGTTGACCATAGGCATGACTTTGTTGTGACATGATGGGAGAGACTTGGTTTTGCTGGGTGGGAGAGGTCACCGGTGGGCCTGGTTGACCGTTGTGAGTGGACGCGTATGCGTGTGTATGCGCATGTGGTTGCTGGTAGGTTGTGTAGTCCATGGCGACGTTGTATCTATCTCAGCGACTGAGTTGTATGAGTGAAGATGTTGCGCGATGATTCGATAGAAAGGGTGGATTCGAGTGACGAGGGTTTGCTATTCGATATAGCAATGGCAAGGGTTCAGACGAGGCTGATCCTTGGGTGAAAGGCGAGTCGAGGTTGTCGCACAATCGGATTGTCATACAAAGCCTCTCTAGTTAGGCGTGTATTGGTGACGATGGCTGGGTCGCATCCAAGTCGGAATTGTGTCCAGAATCCGGGGTGGATTGAGAGTCGTTGCCAAAGCAATCAAGCTTGTGAAGCTTCAATCGTCTCGACGCGTCTTCTGCGACGCGATGGTCAAAGGCTGATTGGATTGGTAGGAATGAGATGAAGAAGCGCAATGAGTCGACCAAACAGAACGCGAGGGTGGAGCGGATCTAGTCACGGCCGGGAGCGTTAGCAGGAGGATGCGGGCATGGGCAGTGGACATTCAAGTCGCGGCGTGGCTGTGGACTGCGGTGTGCACCGTGGAGTAGGGCGATGCGCTGGCAAGCCGCATGCAAGCCTCGACGCAGCCTTTCTGCCGCTCAATTTCCTTCTGATGCCTTACCTGAGATGTGGAAGTCGCTTGATGACGGGATGCGACGAGTGTGACCTCTTGCGCTGGCGCAAACGCGTACAACAATGATGTACGGACTACGTCGCTGGGCGTTCGGCTTGCTTTCTACGTGGTGGTTGCGGTTAGCATTGCGCTCTGCGAATATGGAGTCCTCTCAATGATCAACAAGCAACGGACCTTCCAACGTGACACTGCAGGTACGCACGCGCAGAGAAGGTGTATGCTTTGAGCGACAACCTATCAAGCTGCTACGCCGAGGCTTCGACGCGATTCACCTTGGTAGGCAAGCTCCAGATACCGTCGAATCACGGCGGCTAAAGACGGTGAACGAGGCGATTGGTTGATGGTACAAGTTCCCTGGATGAGAAGGCCTGTGCAGGAAATGGAGGAAGATGACTGGCTGCTCGAACATCGAAGATGAAATCTCCACTTTCTGCTCTGGCGAGTCAGCCATCACGTGGACGGCCTCTTCCCGGCTCTTCCCTGTTGTCGGTCGTCCCGACTCCGAGACCCCGCCATGGCTTTGCTGCTTGTCTATCTAAGTGCAACACCATTACCTGATGGCGTGCTGCTGGAATGGTTGGTTACACAGCAGGCTGCTTGGGTGCCTTGATCTCGAGCCGGAGTCCGTGAACAGCACGCGGCTGGGCATACTGATTCATCTTACATATGCAACCTCGGCAAACTCACTTTCACAAGCATGTGTTACAAACACAAGAATCCCACCGTTCGAGACGACCATGGCATGTTACGGAGTATATCTCGGCGTTCGGCAGCATGATTTGAACATGGTCCTGCTTTTCGAGCTAGTTGAGGGAGTGGAAATCATGAACGGGAGGATGACCAGATCACGTCTATAGCTGTGCAATCGCGCATGTATCTCGCTGTGATGGCATAGCTTCGCCCAAGGGCAAAGAAGTCTGGCTCGGTCGTTGATTGATCCAAAAAAGGCATCCATCTAGGCTGAAGCCTGGATTGCGTGGTCTGTGGTCGAAACCTGTAAATCGAGCATGGAAGTTTGACAGTTCCATACCTTTCGAAAACTTGGCCACCTTGAGACTACAAGCAGAGAGCCGTTCTCATTCGAACAGTTACAAGGTACAAAGCTCGCTTGTTCCAAGGCCAAAGGTCGAGGGATCCGCGAGAGGAAGTCGCGAATTGCGGGGAAAGTCTTGCCTTGCGGGCGCGAACAACTTCAGCATAAAATCAGCACAGACTCGAGCACAATAATCGACACTCGATATTATCATATGGCCGTCCACATCGCGCCTCTCACCGGGCCATCGCCAAAGACATCGGCATCACCTCCTCCACTGTCGACGTCTCTCTCATCGTCAGCAGTGCGGTCTGTGTCGCCACAGCCGCCTCCTGCAAGCCCTCTCACGCCTCCTGCCCAACCGGCAAAGTTCGCAACCACAACCCCACCCGTAGCACCCATACAACGACCACAGCCGCCTCAGCTCATAGAGCAGCCACCCTCGCTGCCTTTCTCCAGCCATGAGTCAAGCGATGCCATCGCCTTGAGAGCCGCCATCTCCTCTCTCCAGTTCCAGCGCCTCCAGGCTCAACGAGACTTGCGCACTCTCGAGGACATTAAGCGCCAGGCTGTTGAACGCCCGGAAGAATATCGCCAACATGTGATTGCAACCGCCCAAGCTAAACCGCAACCTCCACCATGGGCGACCAACGACACTTCAGACCAAGACATGGATGACGACGAGGATGCCCTTCCTGGCGCTTCTGCCTCGAATGGACAAGAGCCTACCGATTCACAATCCGATTCTACAACCAAGTCATATCCAACCTCATACGGATCTATGTTGCTGTCACGATCGACAAAGACCACATCCCAATCTTCCAGATTCACTGCTGTTCCCCTACCGCAGGATGTCGTCCGATGTCCTCCCATCGAATGGGCAAAGTACAACATCATTGGTGAATCCTTGGACAAACTTCACAACGACCAACAAGTACGTCCAGGAGATCTTGGTTCGTCTCAGCGTGAGAGCGTTGTCGCCGCTCCCTATAACCCCTTCCTGGACAAGCTGAATCCCCGACCTGTCTCAGAAACGACCCCTTCGACGAGAAAAGACAGTGGCTCTTCTGCCTCGGATCAGAACGCTCAACGAAAATCCAGCAAACCCACTGTCTGATGAACCATCACTGGCCCTTTCATTTTCGCGCTAAAAGACATGAGCTACAAGACATGAATCACGTGTACGGATATATATTATGAGACACCCAAGCAACAAAAAGTAATTTCCTGCTTCTGCAAGCACAAACTCAATGCTTCTGATAGAAAAACAGCAATCATCAAATTCAATCAAGCGCCTAATCGCAAAGACACGAAACAGGTAATTTTATATTAAAACTGGCGTTTCAAAAGACCTCAGCGGCTGCATATCTTGGCGTTTTGTGTGTCGCAGTCCTGCTTTCTGGTACAACATTGCCAGCACTTTCATTGGAATGGAGACAGACGTCATGTGAATTCTTTGTAACTATGCCAGACACAAGCTGGTAGGTTGTTTGCTGTGAGTCTCACAAACATGTGGACTTTGTTTCCTGTTTTTTGTTCTTCTCTCCACCTTCTTTACTTACAATCGTCGGTGTCCAGCGCTCGCGCTGATTTTCTGAAAAGTAATTCCGTATTACATTGCCATCTGTTGAACTGAGGACTTTGAATACACTTTCACGAAATGCTGCGTCCTACCGCGCTCATACCGGTCATCTTTGGCCTTGCAGCCTTGGTCCTAACTCTGCTATGCATATTCGCCGGAAGCAAGCCTTCTTTCATGCAGGTATGATATACCCCATCCCCTCGCCTTCTTGCCCTCTCTCTCTCTCTCTTCTAACATTCACAAAACACAGGACTACTCAATCATCACCCTCAACACCTCCCGCATCGGCCAAAACGTCTTCAACACCACCGCCTCCACAAACTCCGACTCCAACATCTTCTCTCAGATCTGGGACAATGTGACCAACTCCATCGAATCCTCCATCAACACGGATATACACTCTTTCGCCAAAGAGTTGGGTCTGCACGACTTTTACTCTGCACATCTACTCGATTACTGCGAGGGCTACTACACACCCACCGCCGTCCCCAACGCTACACTCTCAAAATCAGACATCGGGATCAATGTAACGGCTTGCAGCAACAGGACTTCCTTCTTCCACTTTGATCCCACCACTGCACTGCAGAGAGAGTTGAACAAAACAGGCACCGGCATCACTTTGGAAGAATTGCATTGGCCTTCCGCAGTAAACTCAGGCATCCGCGCTTTACGCATCGCGCAAAAAGCCGCATTTTTACTCTATTGCATTTCCGCTGGCCTCATCATCCTCGCTACAGCTTTCTCTTTGCTGTCGTTTTTTGTGCACGGCAGACTTTCGGCTTTTGTCGATATTTTGCTTTGGACGCTTGCGTTCTTTGCTGCGCTGTTGGCTTCGGCGATTACGACTGCTGTGGCTGTCAAGGCTGCTCATGTGGTCAACGAGCACGGGAGGGATGTTGGAGTGACTGCGAAGAGAGGAGGAAAGTTTACGGCGTTGACGTGGGTGGCTACGGGCTTGTGCGGGTTGAATGTTTTTGTGTGGGTGTTTGAGTGTTTGAGGGGTAAGCGGAGGAGAAACGGAGAAAGTTTTGTGGGCAGGGTTGAGAAGTGATGGATGATGGGGAGTTTGGGAGAGATGCTGGTTCTCGGACTCATGACAGTATGTTTGATTGGGATGTGCTGAGGACGTTAGAATGGGCCAGCTTGGAATATACTTGGTTTACTCGGGACTAAGTATATTACTCGTTGAGATTCAGAGATCCTTTTTTCGGGGGGTAATAAAAGAAATGCTTTTTCTGTCTTTTTCGTATATTTGTTACTTTTCTGTGGATTTGAGTTGCGAGCCGCAGATGTGGAGGAGAGGTGTTTCTACAACTCCATGGTGGCAATCCTACCACCAACCTCTTGTCCCCCTCTACCCCCAAAAGGTCCCTCATCGACCTTCTTCCTCAAAGTCTTGATCACATCCACCCACTCTTCTCCCTCTTCCCCACTTTCCTCGCAATAAACACTCAGTCTATTGTACACTTCCTTGAGACACTCAAATTTACTCATCGCAACCCTATAAGCTGAATTTTCTGTATCGCCAACTCCACCGACGAGGTTGGAAAAGCTTTGGGTGGGGGAGAGGAGGTAGGGCAGTGTGTGTTCCAGGGAAGGTGGAGAGAGGATAGCGAGAAAGCCTTTCTGTTGCTCGGCTAGTGCGGTAGAAGGCAATGCTGCTCTAAAGGCGTCGGAGCTGGGTGTGGAGGTTTCAGACAGAGGTAACCAGTTTGCAGTTACAATACTCCTGATCAAGCTGATTGCAGCCAGAGCAGTTTCCCTCAAAGCAATGATATTGGCGTGTTGAACCAGGTCAGCGAAAAGAGAAGGGTTATGATTGAGATAGAGATAGTAGAGTGCGTATGCAGCTTGTGCTTCAGACTTCCAGGTTGCGTCGTGTGTTGTGTTCATCAGAGGTGAGGAAGCAGGGTAGTTGATTATTTCTTGCTTGGAGGGCCCGTGAAAGATTGTGGCAAGTGTTGCTAAGACATCGGCGTTTGTGTGTTTGGAAGGTAGAAGTGAAAGTGGAGATGAGGACCAGTTGTTGTTGGTGGGGAGTAAAGCGCTACGAGGCAGCGAGGCTAAGATGTGTAAGTCGTGTTTGGGTGACTCTTGGTGAGCCCAACGGCTGGGCGATAGATCCAAAGAGCTTTGTAGACGCTTGATGAGAGTTGATTTCAACGGGCTGGCCAGGAAGTGGGAGGGATATGATGACACGTAGGCGGCGACATAGTTTGCTGAGGGTGCGTACAAGAACTGGACATCCAACGGATCGTGACGAGGGTTTGATGGATCCAGGTAGAAACTCATCGCCTTCTCGTGAAGCTTGTGCTGGATGAGAAAGTCAAGAGCGGCAGAAGAGTGTGGTGATCCTGCCGACTCGGTGGGAATGATGGTCAGAAGCAAGGTTGCGTAAAACTCGACCAAGCAACGATGCATCAGGACATCACCGGCCGTGTCCACCATACATGCTGCAGCGAAATACAGCATACCCTCTCCTTTACCATCGGTATAGCGCTTCTCGATCTCTGGATGATGTGCATGTGTGATGGCATTCCAGTTGACGGCACCAACCTCAGGCAACCATTCCAGCAGTCGAGCTTGAGCAAGTGTCCTCTGACTTCCCGACAACTCGACGCCCTCAGTATGCTTCAGTGAGCAGACGGAAAAGACCAAAGCATAGACATCTTGATCGCCAAACACACGCTTCCACATCAATCCCTGACTGTGACCAGGCAGCGACTCCTCCGCACCAGCACCCGGAGGAACCGCATGGTCGACCTTGAGCAATGCAAGCAACACATCCCCAGCCTGCTTGGCGACACCCGCATCACCAGTGCACAGCCAGAGATTTACCAATGCAGTGACAACTTCAGGTTGTGCAGCAATAGTCGCAGCATCAGTAGCATTTTCAGCAGCTTTGCTCAACAGTGCCAGCATAAGCTTGTTGTACGGTACAGCAGCAACATGCAGTCCGCCCACAAAGTCCACAGCAGAATTGAGACCGAGCACGTCCGAGAAACTCAACGGTTCCAGCAAAAGTACCAAGAATTGAATTGGCTGTGTCGGATCCTGTTGTAGCACTGGCAGAATGCGGGAGAGCTGTGAGATGAGCGTAATGGAATCCTTTTTCGAAATTCCGGGAGCCAGTGCTAGTGAGCATGATTCGAAAAGGCGTTCGTCGATATTTGTGTTGATTGGATCCTGTTCCAGCTGGCTGAGATGGGCTTGGAGACGTCCAAGTAGATCTGTAGAGGCCGCCATGCTGTATAGAAACGCGCAAATACTTTTGTTCGATGACTTCTTATTCGTAGATGACTTTGTGATGTTTGATAATAAGCTATTTCAGAGAGAGTGTTGTTGTAGCATAATGAAGGTGGTCGAGAGGCAAACGCGGGCAAACAAGATGCACGTCACGTGAGTGGTCAAGCGTCAAGTTGAAAGTGAAGTGAGTTTGGTTGTTTCCAGCATTTTCCGCTCCATGCAATATGATATATAAAAATGTACATAAATTCGTCTCGTCAATTCAGTAAGTCGTTAGAAGTTCAATCAATCCCTCTCAGAGATCAATTGCACCGACACCTCCCATTTGAGGCCGCCAGATCCGTAACCTCCACCAAGCCTGTTTCGCACAAGACTCGTAATTCTCTCCCTAGTCTTGGCCAAATCAAAACCATAGTCACCTGCTCTATATCTCAGAGTCAAGTTGGCCATGCAGAGTCCATAGTGAACTTGCCAAAACTTGGCATCCTGAACGGCTGAAACGGATTTATCGGTTTCGATTTCGGAGATAACGTCCTTGATTGACGCACTGCCAGCAGGCGCCGAGTAAGACATGAGAAGGATAGACGATAGTGATGTGCCTAGGCGGACTCCCAGACCGATCATGGCAACTGCGATGAAGAAGGACATTGCGGCGTCGAACCAGTGGTATGCTTGGATGCTGAGCAGCGGCAGCAAAAGCAGGAGTGTGGAGCACGATAGAGTGATGAGATGGCTGGGGTTGCTTAAGACAGCGCCCCAGCATGAGATGAACTCGATACGCATGGCCTTGCCGATGCGAGCGTGGTTCTTGAGCACAAGAGCCGAGATCAGAGTGACGACAATGGCAAGAAGGGCGGCGACGTCGACGGATCCGGCCGAGATTCGACGATGAGCATGAGGCGAGTGGGCGACATGAGATCCCAAGTTCTCGAGAGAGTGTTGGATACCATGAGACAAGACATCAAGGCCCATGAAGCCGATGAAAACAGCAAGTCCAAATCCTACAAGCACATCGAGTCTTTCCAGACCGAATGGATGCTTGACACTGGATCGCTTCCAGACCTCGAAATTTCCCATGGTCTCGACCAAGACGCAAGCGATGGCTCCAGCAGCATCGAAGAACAATAGGCGCGAAAGAGCGGTCATGGCGAGAGAACCCGAGGCACTCCATTGAACGTATGCGGCAATCAGGAAGTGGCAGAAGCACCATGCGAGACGGGCCTTTTGGTTTGATGTCATGCTGTGTTGGACCTCATTGCGAGTGGGAACGGGGAGGGAGGCGGGTAGTTGAAGAGGGGCGCGAGGAGCAGGTTCAATAAAGATTTGGTGGGAGACACTAGAGTGCTTGTACTTGTGACCGCGACGCTTGCCGACATTGATGTCCTGGACGGTATCAGTATTGCGAATCTTGACATGTTCAGGGTGTGCTTACGGGCTTGGCCGGAGATAAAGTAGCAGAGTATTGCTGGGTGGTAAAGTTGAAAGGGTTTGCAGCGGTGGTTGTGGGTTCATCGTCCTTCTCGGACGACTCGTCAGGCTCGCTGATGACAGTGGCCGGGCTGTAGGCGTCGGCAGGTGTGGATAGCGAGAAGACAGGCGATACCAGATCGGTACGACCAGTGTTCATGGAAGTGCTTGCGGTGTCCGGAGGTGAAGCCGATAGTCGGTCGAAAGAGCCCGAGAGACGCGATCTGACTGGAGACTCGTTGTATGCATGCTTGATGCGCAGTCCCGACTCGGCCAATTGAGGATCCATCTCGTCGTCAGATATGGTGGGAGTGCTTGGAGGATCCAGCACAGGGAATTGGTTCGCAGCCATGGCCAGTGTCGGCAAGCGAAGAGAGCGTTGGCGCTGAACTGTCGACTTTCTTTGTCTGGCTGGGAGCGGATGTTTGTGGAAAGCGGTCAAAGGAACGACGCGAAGTGTGTGCAAGCTGCAATTCAGAGAGAGCGTGAAGTGTAGAGACAGTGTGCAAGCAAAAGTCGGGTCTAGGGGAAGCGAACGTTGACTATCCCAGTTCTTCGCGGATCCATGGGAATAGGACGCGCTTCAGGGGGTGTTCCGCTGTCTCTCTGCGCGACACTTTGACGTAGGCGCTGACGCCGTTGGAGAAAGCGCGACATGCCTCACCTTGTCCCCCGCCCTCGGCCCGCCCATCATTCGCGACTGCCTGCACCCTGCTTCCTACCAACTGACTTGGCCTTGTTTCGTGAGTCGCGGCTTCCCACGAAGATACCCAATTCTTTGCTGTAAACACAAGCAAAAGAGACGAGTTCGAAAATGCATCTCGTACACCGAAAGTCTATTCTTGGAATTTCATGACAACGGATGGCAGAAACATGAACGGCGCGACTGAGACAGACGCCGTTGGAGACGGCCACTTGGCAAGCAGCAGCACCGTCCATCCACCGCCAACCCCCAAGCACAAGCAACGGAGCCTCTCTGCCCGTCTCGTCCAGCGATTCAACTTTCTTTCACGGCCAGCACCCGGCGAACTGTCGACATCAGCTCCTGCTGCGCTTGGCCTTCCAATGCAAGTAGCAGAAGATGAATCCACCCATCCATCCACCCGTCCACTCAAAGCCCGCAAACGCAAAGGTTCGCTGAGGAAAACGGCCTTGCTGGGTCCCGGTCGCGTCAAGCAAGACCTTCCTCCTGCCACCGGAATATACACGTCCACAACCACCGACAAGGACGCTGACTCTGCTCTGGCCGTCCGATCCATTGACGATGCTTTGCACCATGCTTTGGCTAGTCAAGACTTGCACCAGCCTCGTCGTTTGTCTCTAGTCGACGAGCTCTCCCCAAACTCGTCGCCGCCCTCGGTGCCGCCTCCGCCTGTGCATCCAGATTTGGGGTCGCCGATCATCAGTCCCACGAGCCAGAGCTATGCTTCGACTACTGACGATGACGACCTTAGTATGGCTGCCACCGTAACACGTCCGGCTTCGTACTTTGACTCTCACCCTGTCATTGATGTTGTGCGCCGCCGCTCATCACAGAAACATGCGCCTTCCCCACTTTCCGCCTTGCCGGTGCTAGCACACAATTCCGACGATGCCTACGACTATGCTGAGACAGAGCGATGGGGATGGGTGGTGCTAGTCGTCACATGGGTTGTCTTTGCTGTGGGCATGGGAAGCTGTCTGGGCGTATGGAGCTGGGCATGGGATGTCCAGAAAAAGCCCTATGCGCCGCCAGAGTTCGAGGATGACCCTACATTGCCTATTGTTGGCTATTACCCTGCTTTGATCATCTTGACTGCCGTCATGGCTTGGGTATGGGTTGTCACTGCTTGGGTAGGCATGAAGTACTTCAAGCATGCAAAGATACAAGGCGATGATTGATGCCTGTCTATTTTCGTTTCCAGCACATACCATGATACCCAATTGTTGCTTTCGAGGCTTCTCCTCACACACTCTTCCCAAGTCCTTAACATCGTGGTGTTTATAGAGCCAGAGCCCATAACTTCGCCCATCACATCCTACTCTCTACAACTTGACCTCCCTAGGCTTAACAAACACCCCCTCACCCCTCGCACAAACCACCAATCCCCCCTCATCACCCTCCCTCTCCTTCTGCAAAACCCTCGCCTGCAACCTCACTCCCCTTCCTCGTCGTTCCACTACCTCAACCTCCACAAGCACAATCCCCGGCGTGCGGATCGGCGCTGTATACTCTACATTCAACGTCTTTGTAAATGTAGGAATTGAAGGTGCAGAGTGCAGAAGTAGCATTCCCATGCTTTCGTCTAGGAGGACTGCTGTTATGCCGCCGTGCAGGATTGCAGGGTGGCCGTTCAGGGATGAGCCGAGGGCGAAGAGGATGGAGATGTTGTTCGAGGCGGATGAGGAGAGGGAAGAAGATGGACGAGGGTAGAAGATTAAACAATGGGGTATTGTTGTGGGTGTCAAAAGGGTGGTTGCGATGAGAGAGTCTTCAGAAGAGGGTTTAGGGGTGCGTGAGCGAGGTTCTGCGGTGATGGTGGAAGGGGTGAGAAGAGAGGATGTCCAGGGTATGCTTGCAAAGTAGGCGTGGGAAGGTGAGGGAGGTGACATGGTCTTTCAGATTCGGTCGTGACCGAGAGCGGTGCAGGTTTCGATAGATGCGACTTCGAGTCCTTGATTCTGTTGTGACCGAGAGTAGTGGGAATGATCGTTTATGCGATTGGGATCCTCAGAGTCCGAGTGTTTGAGGGATTTTGATGTTTCGGTGTGCTTGATTTGGAGACAATCGTTGTTCACTCTGGTCAGGGTCGAGATGTGGTGTCTTCACTTTTTATCACAGAAAATGAATGGTTGTAGTGAGAGGTACGAAGTTACTTACTTGGAAGATTGATGGTGCATATGAGGCTCAAGACAAGCCGAGGTGACATGGGGAAGGTCGGCAGGGTCCTGTTTCCCCGCTGTCGATCTTCGAGCAGTAAGCGAGGTGATGATCATGGGCAATCAATAGCAGTTCATTCAGACGTCGGACTGTGTCAAGTATGGGAATATAAAAGGGACACTCCATAGAGACGACAGGTCAGAAGCAGTATTCGGGGTGGATTGGAGAAGTTGAAAAAGACAATGTGAGACATTACTGATACAGAGAGGGTATCGGGTATTGCATGCAAAACAGACCAGATCTCATACAGATTCTTCATCAGAAAACAAGAAGGAAAAACAAACAATCTTCCGGGCCGTTCAATCTCATTTCCTCCTCATCTCCAGCGAAGTCATCCTGTCGTCTCCAGGGAACTGGTCGTGTCGACTGATCATACTCTCGAGAGTCGCAGTGTGTGTGAGAACATGCGTCAAGTCATCGTTGGCCAAGGACTTGCTGCGCATGGGCTCCAATGATTCAGCACCACCGCTAGGACCGCTCTCGGATCTGGACCTTGAAGGGTCGGCGGTAGCAGGGGACAGCCTCTCCATACTCTTGCCCGAAAACAGACGAGTAAGCTTTGGTCGCAGAGAACCAAGTAGTTTGCCCTTCTTCGGTGTCTTTGGTGGTGAGACAGTCGGCCTGGGTGCTTCTTGAGATGGGCGAATGGGTTGCGAGAGCATTGTGTGAGAGGCCGTCTTGTGAATTGTTGGATTATGATGTTCAGACATTGCAGCATCATACCCATGACTGCCTTTCCATTGATCAGTGACGTTGTCCATGGCTTCCTGTGCTGCAGTGCTGTATTCAGGGTACAGTGTCTCAGAAGCTTCAACCAGGAGTGAGAGCTTCAGTGTATCGCGGATTGTCGCATTCATGTCTTCGCTAGGATGCCAACCCATGGCGCGCACGTCGGATCGCATCGACAGGTCTAACCTTGCCTGGATGTCCATAAGTTGAACCAGGTAATCCACCTTTTCGCGTATCAGAGTGCATAACTCGCGACCCTTGGCTACATCCATTATCTGCCACGCTACTTTCTTGTTGACTCCGAATTGTTTGCGGGCCTTTGCGTGAGGATATGCCGTGACTACTTCTTGCAAAAGTTCCAACTTCTCACGGAAAGCTTGCAATCTGAAAGGATTGGGAGCCAGCATATGGGCCTCGCGTACTTTTGGTGAGCCCTTGAAGTGGTCAAGTCCGTAGGTTTGCAGCATCTTGACTTTGGGCAATTGTGTCATTGGGCTTGCAATGGCAGCTAACGAATCCACAACACGCTTCCTGAAGCGCGGGTCATCGAGTCTCGCATCTCGTGTTCCAAAGTACAAGGCCTTCTCAGGTTCTGGGTTCAGTGCGCCAGGATGCCGTGGAATGGCAGAAGTGATTCCTGTAGCGGCCGGTGGTGAAGTAATTCCAACCGCATCTCCCCAGATCAGAAGACGGGCTTGTTCGATACCGAGCTGTGTTGTGAGAATCTCTTCGGCGTGAGACTCCTCATGGTTTCCATGGATCAAGTTGATAGACTCGACGCAGTCCGCGAAAAGGTCAGCAAGTGAATAGGCATCACTCAAAGACGTCGCGCTACCGTGGTGATCCATCTTAGGTAAGTGTTATCTGATGTATGTTGATGTCGAGATTCGCCTCTATTACGATTTCCTGGTTCCAGATGTGGTCGCAAAGCTGTTTATCTCTGCAAGTCCCAAAGTTTTGCTATGACATCGGCGGCGCGGAGGATCCTGATATCCGACTCTAAATACTCAGCGAGGAAGACGAGATGGTCTCCGAGGACGAACTGACGAGTATATAAGATGATAAAACCCAGCCATCTTTCTAGATCATTGGGACGCTAACACTCCTCAACTGCTCGATAAATCTTCTGGAAAGGTCAGAGCTTCTCAGCCAAAAGCTTGCTCCAAATCAGGTCTTGGCGACGTCTGTTTTCGTGATGTTCTTGACACCCTGTCTTGCAAACTGACTTCACGTCTCGTTCAAACTTTATCGTAACTCCTTCCAATCTTTCGTTCTAGATACCATAAGATGGTGATCAATATCTTACTTCATCGCTTTGCGATAAAAGCATTCTACAGCTCGTGAACATACTTGATTGAGTGAAGGATTATCGTCGCCTCTGGACAGCTGCCGACCTCACAGCAAACGGCAACTCACACTTCGGTCGAGAGAATTTCGATCCTTTGTGCAATAAATGTTTCCCATTACTGCCATTCATGAGATAAGTTTACTCTGGCTTCGAAGGAACTGCGCGAGTTCTGGATTGGGTCCGTCATGTCCTTCCATCGCAGCCTGAGTTGCATTTCCCCTTGCACCACCCTGAACGTCAACATCAGCACCATGCTCAAGCAATATCTCAACAATCCTTCTGAAGCCTCTATATGCCGCTGCTTGCAGTGCAGTACCATGAAACCCACATACAGGCACATTGGGGTCTGCGCCTCTCGATAACAGCAGCAGTACTGTGCTCTCGAAACCTGCTTCTGAGGCTACTTGCAGCGCAGTACCGTAAGTGCCTCCGCTTTGATTGACATCCGCACCGCGGTCAAGAAGCAACTTGATCACGTGGTCGTTTCCTTCTCCATCAGCAGCAGCTTGCAAAGCGTAGCCGAAAAAGCCGCTCGTGGTGTTAGGGTCTGCGCCATGCTCGAGCAGCACCCGCACGAGATCCTTGTTCGTTGGAGTGGTGGCAGCTGCTTGGAGTGCGTTACCGAAACTGCCACCTTGTGCATTGACATCTGCGCCATGTGAGATGAGCAGTTCTGCAATCTTCGTGTGGGCCGGACTGTTGTTGATACACGCGGCCTGGAGCGCGTTGGAAAGTCGATCGCTACGAGCATTTGGGTCTGCACCGGAGGAGAGAAGGAGTTTCGCAATCTCAAGATGGCCTTGGCCTGATGCGCCATACAAGGCTGTGACTTGATTTTGGTCGTTTCCAGTCAACGCGTTCAGATCAACACCAGTAGCGACCATCCCCTCGACTTCGTCTAGACGGCCTCCAGCTGCGGCATCGTACAGCAGACCCGCGTCGCTGAGACGAGTCATGCTGTCAATGCGATCTCGTCTTTATGGTGGTCTCTGAACACAATCTAGGAAAAAAAAGAAAGAAAGAAAGAAACACTATGCTGCGAGCGAGAGCAGCGCGTGATGAGATCAAGAAAACAAAGACACGAGATATAGGCAGCAGTCGCGGTGCCTAAGCCTCCAAAGTCAGCCACTAGAAGCCGCGACGATCTCTGCTCGATCAGGGAACCTTAATGATCCTGACGACCGCTAGTGTCACAAATTCGTGAGTACATATCCTGATCTTTGTCTTCGGTTTGTTATCGAAGCTGACATTGTCCAGTAACGCATCTTGTTTGTTCTGCTGCAGAAAGATCCTATCTTCAGCAAGCTTGCTGATATGGTACCACGCTCTTCTTCTCCAGCTTCCCCGGGCTCTCCTCCTTGGTAGCCTGGGGCTCTATTGTGTTCTTCTTCAGGCCTCAATATCTGTGCCGCAATCATCTCGAGCGAAATCCCAGCCTCCTTCGAGATCAATGGTTTAGTCAATCTGAGGATCGGAGACCAAGGCGCCGTCCGCAGAAGTGACTCAGAAGTTCAAGAAGTCAGCCAAGCGCTCGAGAATCGAACTTGATTCATTTGCTGGGGATCCTTCGTCGAAGTGGTCGCCGATGACTTGAGGGGTACCCGCTGTAGTCCATTCCAACGCCGGTACATCCACCTCGTCAACCCACAGTGGGTGTTCTGTTCCGAATCGTCCGTGATTGGCATCCATGGTATCATCCAAGCGAGTATCCGGCTCATCCCCCTCATGGTCAATTGGAGGCTCATCTACGAAGTAATCAGGCACTGTTTCCCAGACCATGGGCTCTTCACCCGCAACTGATCGCTTCGTGAATTGCGAACCATCTTCAGAGGGTTCGGGTGAAACAGATGGTCGGAACAATCTGTAGATTGGTGGATCGTCGCGTAGGCACAGGCAGATTTCTTCACTCATCATGCTCTCGCCACAGATGTAGCAGAAATAGGCCCCACATAGGCACCTAACATTTGTTAGCTCATGGCATTGTGCCGAGTACGACTTGATCCGAAACTCACTCCATAAAGTTGCAGCCATCTTGTCTTTGCACGATTCTCAGACAGCCGTAGCAACGCTGCCAACGCATCTCTTCAGCGAGCTTGAGTATCGAGGCCAACTCAAGATCCGCAGGGCAGTCACCTCCGTGGGCAGGAGCCTTACAGGTGACACAAGTCTGCGACCAGCACCAAGAACACATGGCGTAAATATCTCCATCCTCCTCGATATCGGCGGGAGATATGAATTTCGAACACTCTGGGTTCGAGCAATATGTCCTGTCGATGGTAGCAAATTCTACTCCCTTCTCTTCGAATAGAATCTCGAACTTAAGATCCAGGAATCTCTTGACATGCTTGATGGGGATTGGGGTGTTGGCGCAACACTTGGGAGGGTAGCAAGATTCATCTGTCACTGCTGCATTGAACATGATGCTGACGCATGAACCGCAGTAACAGTGTCCGCAGGATGCAACAATGAGATCTCTGACCGGCAGCTGTTCTTCGCAGGCTACACAGTGCACCAAGTTCTGGCCAGAAGCAGTTGTGCTGTGCTGGATGTTGTCGAGATCCAAGGAGTGCAGGAGGTCCGCAATGGCATCTGTGTCATGTGGGCCGACAGTCGCAATCGCCAACTCTACAGCCAAGGAGTTGTATTCACCTCTCTTTGCCAGTCTGGCCATGACGGTACGAAGCTGAGACTCTTCATCCGGCGCAGCGTCGACGATTGTGACGATATCAGAGAGGTTCAGAGGAGGGTGCTTTGCTCTGTTGGTTGCTGTAGCCAGACTGGAAAGTAAATCTTGACGATGGTTTTGGTGTGCGTTGTCAAGTTCTCGGATCTCTGCAGCGAGGTCGAGGAGTTCTTGTTCACCGGATTGGTGTGCCTCAATGACTATCGGATCCATGTTTTGGTCCAGTTGACGGAAGACTTAGCAGTAATAGTGATGTTGAGCGAAGAAGTTGAGTATAAATCGGAGGTGTGACAAAGGAGATAGAGCTGCGGTGAGTGCGAGCATGTGAATGCCGATGAAATTCTCGGATGTGAAAGTACTGGCAAGTCCGAGTCTTGGTCACAAGAACACCGTGTAAGAAGTCTAGTGAAAGAACTGACGCGGAATCTTCTCGAAACCACTGACAACACTTGTGTAGGATGAGATATGGGTTGAACGCTCAGTATCTCTTCGCTAGAGCCTTGTTTCTTCGTATGTGAGTAAGCCAAGAACCATATACATGGATATCATTTGATGGACAACGTTCACAAAGGACTGAATCATTGACCGAGTTACCTTTTCACTTCGTGTGTGCCTTCTCTATCAGTCAAATTCATCATACCAAAACATTGCACAAACACGCTCCTTGTGGGTCTCCACACTTCACTTGTCTCACAATCCATTGGATCCACTCAGGATGAATAGTTCTTCACCACTTAATCTCAATACCCCGCCCGAATCGAAGACCCGCCACTCTTTACCTGCCAGCCTGACCTCCGAACACATGTTCCTTAGTACCCTCAATTGCAACGAAAGAACTGTCCGAGAACGTCACGAACGAAAAGTGAGTCTCCAATATCTTCGACCTGCGACTGAAGCTCGTCGCGGATGATATTATACCTCTGCACGTCCTCTGGCTCAAAGATACCGTACATAACCCGCTGGGACGGAGGATCTATACAATTACTTCAGCAACATCCAGTGGGTGTAGAAACTGTGCGAGCCAGACTTACTGATTCTCATCCGAAAGCTATCTCGAACCTTTCGATGTTTGAATGTCAGAAACATCAGGGCTATATCCAATGGTGGCATCCCTGGGAAGCACAAATCTGCCAGTTTAATTGCCAGATGTATATCCCGTTGTGTTGTCGAGCTTGTAGAAGACCACTTAGAGCGAAGTGTCAAAACACGATTGGTCCATCCCATTCTGCCTTCTAGGTCATCGAACTCTGGATAAAGCTCACATAGCCCAGCAACAATAAGGTGCTGGAGGGTAAACACGCAAGAACGTCCTTTGTGGTGTACTGTTCCCTGAGAGAGGTGCTCCCCATTGTAATAGCCCGTCTTCTTTCTAAGTGAGATCAAACTGTCAAGGGGATTGTGTTCCAAGGAAGAGTCGTAACACTGCTGCATCAACCACATATCTCGTGCAAACTGTCCTTTGGGAAATCTGGTTGTGTCAATTGCGCAGATTTGAACTTGTTCTGGAGCCCATCCGCGCTGCTCGGATCTCCAGATGGCGTATTGGATGACGAAAAGCAGCGAATTGCTCCAGGACATAAGGTTATCAGAGTCTGGAGCACCAAATAGACCTTTGGTGAGATGATTGTGTAATCTAGAATTGGCTTCTTCCTTGTCTAAAGAAAGGATGTTGAAATGGTCGACTTCAAGGTCGGAGTATACGCTTGCTGCAGACGCCACGACTGTATCGTCGGTCCTTTCGGGACTCGCTAAGTCGAAAGCCCGGAAAAGATATCTTGAAGTATCAAGAAGGTCATTGGCGCCGAGAGTGTCTGTAGGTATAAACAGTGTCGGACCACCAGGACGTTTTTGTAGTGCCTGTGACCAGAACTCGATCCAGATCCTCTTGGTATGTTCTCTCGCTTCCATACGATCCGCATACTTACGTTCACGCTCCGCCTCAAAGCAGGCTGCATAATCTTCATCGATCTGAAGACGATCCTCGTGCTCGTAGAACTGCTCGCTTTCGTAGTCTGGATCGTAAGGCGACGTAAGAAATGCTTCGTCGATGTAATCAAAGTAAACATCATCAAGAGCGCGCTTATAGCATTCTTCTAAGATCCTGAGGTATCTCGGTTCGCCGGAAGATGTGCTGCTGAGAACATCTCGGACTGTAGCTCTTAGCTCTCCCTTGAAGTACAGCAGTAACTTCTTGACTTCTGAATTAGGTTGGCCGAGCGAAGACATTCGAGTTACTACCGAATCCTCCGAGATATCATTCGCCGATGCCACCATACTTGTAAGTCTGGCAGTGTTTTCGTTGATGGCAGCCAGAATGGACAAAGTCTTATCCATAGAGATATTGATGTTCGGACTGCGCATGAGTTGTCTCGCATTCTCTATTATTTGTTCAGCAACATTCACTAGCTTCATGCATCTCTCTCTGAGCTTTGTTCTATCTTGCTGCGTGCTTCGAGGGGAAGTGTCGTCGGCGACAGTCAGTCGTCCTATCATATCGACGGCGTTCTCCAGAGCTGTCATTGTAGCGTTCAAGCGAAATCGTATGATGAGAGAAAGCGAAGTGGAAAGAGGTGCAGGACGGTACGTTTTAATGTGTGGACACTGCTCATACGATCCTTCTGCGGTGTGTTGGCGACAAAGGCCGTGATTGGTGCAGTTTCTGCATAAATAGTTTCATGATCCAGTGACGAAGCTCTCTAACCATTCTTGTATTCGCAAATAGTGAGGTCGTTTGCTTATGCCCAGCAATGACTCTTTGACGAGATCACTTTCTCGATGCACCTTGTCCGGTCCAGATACTAGAGCCGATCATTTTCTTTTGCGGTGCTATGACAAACAAGCATAGTCTCGATTCGTCGAATGCACCATGTAGCTGAAAACTGTTGTTGCATTCTCAAAAGCTGATCTAGAGGCCCCTCGCCATGCAAAAAGAATAAACGTGCAAAGCAAAAACTACCAATATCTGATGCCATCGCACTCCCTTCCCCCCTCAGTTCTGCTCACAATCAACCAAAGGGTACAACTTGAGCACATCCCTGATCCTGCGTTTGCAGATGGGGCACTCTTCCATCCTCTTCGCACAATCGACACACGCAAGCACGTGTCCGCATTCGTAGAAGGCAGCATTGACTTCCGTGGAGTAGCAGATTCTGCACAGCTTGGCCTCGTCTTCGCTGATCTTGTGGTATGTGGTACCTGTGCCCGATTTTTTGCCGTTCTCCCAATTGCCAGTGTAGACGTTGCCGGTACGGTGGCTTGTGTAATTGCCATGACCTTGTGGTCGACCCATGGCCCACTGGCCATCATAGGTATCCCCATTCGCGTACGCCATCTTGCCGTACTCTGAACGCTGATGATGTCTGAAGTTACCAGAATATTCGTTGCCGTTAAGGTAAATCATGTGGCCGTAGCCGTGGTATTGGCCGAAGTTGTTGACTTGCCCCTGGTAGTATGGTTGCGAGATATAGTCTATCGTGATATTGCTCAGAGTCTCGTCAGACTGTACAGACCCTTCGGAAAGGTCGTTCATTTCCTCGTCTTCGTCATCTGTGTCTCCGTAATGCAGAGTGTCGTCCTCACCGTTAGTAGTGCCTGACTGAGAGCCGTACATCTTGGGGATCCACTCGGGCACGGCCCATGACTCCTTCGCACCCAGCTCGAAAGTGTCGGGACTGCGAACATAGATGACCACATATGCTACCGCACTATCTTGGCCTGGAACATGATCATAATTTAGGGGACGGTCGGAAGGCGTGAACGGCTCCTCGACGGCTTTCGGTGGAAACACACCCTCTTTTGTTCCAACAGCCTGTGCTCTGGTCTGGCACGCTGGATCCTTGTTGTGCATGTACGTATACCAAAGGCCTCCAGGCCCGCCAGGGCGAAAATAGCTCGAGTACTTGCCGGCGCGTAGGTAGCCTTCATGGGTGATGAATCCGTAGAGAGTGTACGTAGAGCGGCGGGAGCGGCGGCCAATCGTGATCTGGTCGTCTAGACGCACTTTGTTGAGGAGTTTCTTCCATACCCGCTTCTTTGAGTCGAATACTTGGCGCTCGAGCTCAAGAGTCAGGACCTCATTCTCGAGTAGTATCTCTGGCAAGCCTTGGTCGACAATCTCCTGGATTGACGTTTTGCCGATGATTGATTGTTTACAACGCCGATTACCAGAGAACGAATCCGTCCCGAACAGATTGTATAGTCCTCCAAGGGCATTTTTGTTGACTTTTAGCCTGTCTTCCATGTCGACGAATAGAGACTCCATAGCCTGCATGGCATCCATAGTATGCGAGGCGCCGCGTTTGGAGAAGAAGTCCGCAACAAAGTCACCAACATGAGGTGCACGAGGATTCTTGTTGATCCAACCGACTCTAGATCGCATGCGCCACAGGATGGATTGGAGGTGAGTGATTATGCTGTCATCTTGCTTGGTAAAGCGGTCGGTAGAGCTGAGATCGTAGAGCATCCGACGGAATGGACGCAGATGCAGCCACAAGGCCAACACAGGATACAATGCGCAGGCCTCGAAATCACCAAAGAAGGGTTGCAAGCCGGTCAAAGCCAACCGTTGCGAGTCTTTAGGACTCCACAGGCAGCCGGTAGGGTCATCGATCACGCGGATGAATGCTTTGATGGCTAGAGTATCATTGCGAAGGAGAGGTTGTCGCTGAGCATAAGAGCGACGATGAATTTCGTACCAAGGCAGACTCGTGAAGCGAGTCCAGCCGTGGTCAGGTGAGTCTTGAGAGAACTGAGAAGCGTCTGCCTTGAACTCGTTCACGCGAGGTTCTTCGGGGTTGTAGATAACAATGGATATCTGCGCAGCAACAGTTGTACGTCTCATGACCTTGGCATCGCCTGACAAAGGCAGGGGCAGCTTGTCCGCGGGCCATTCCTCCGGCGGTGACGACTGGACAGAAACATTTTCGATGTACAGACTGAGTCTATCGGTATGCATGTTGCCGTGTGGGAGCAACTTGATCCTCCAATCGTGGCCGCCAATGCGGACGGTCGGCGATGTGATGAGGAGATTCTTTCTGGGATTCTCTTTTGTGCCATTGAAGTCGTTGAGAGTCCACTCGATCTTGCCCTGCTCTTTCGGGACTAGTTCCGGGTCTTGTAAGTCGAAGAAGGTCCTTGATTGCCAATGCTTGTCATCTAGAGCACTGTTCTCGACGTATCCTTGCATAATTCTGGTTTCTTCGGCGTCGGGAACTGTCGTATCTTCGTTGAAAGGATAGAAACTTCTTGCCCGCTCGTCGCTGATGTGGCTCCTATCATCATCCTCGTCGTCCTCTTCCTCGCTGTCCTCGGCTGCCGCACGAGGAGCGGGCGCTAATGCTGGGGGCGGAGGGGGAGTGCCGGGATACAGATCGATAGGCAGCGATGGATGTACAGGCGCAAGCGGTGGTGCGTCGACAGCGTTTGGGACGTCGACGATGTTGACGGAGGTAGTGGGTGTGTTATGAAGGGGTGAGTTCTGTGTAGAGTCAGCATGTGGTGCATGGACGGACAGCAGTGGGATGTAGAGATGGTGTGCAGTGTGACGAATGTAGTGGCCTAAGAAGCAGTGAGGAGGAGATACGTACTCGACCATCAAATATGGGTTGAACGGGCTGTAACCAAGGGTTGACTGCAAGCGGAGGGTTGACGGCAGTTCCTTCGGCGCCCTCCATGTTGGAGTCGTCGTGGATGAGAGGAGAAGGACGACCTGAAGGAAAGCTGGGGCTGCGAGGGATTGCAGGCTCTGGAGTAAGATGGTCTTCGGTGTCCATGATAGCGGAAGTGATAGATTGAAGGTGGTGAGCAGAGTCGTGTGATAGCGGTTGTGGGGTTGTTGGGTGAAGTTGCAGGTCGGCGTTTTCGTAGGCAGGAGCGTCGTGGATCGGGCTTGCCGTTTGCGCGTGTATCGCGTGTGCTGAGTGAGAGAGAGTGGCAGCCATGCTGGAGGCGTTGGCTGAGCAGTCTGAAGCCGGGCATCAAACGACAGTCGACAGCAAAGCAGACAAGGCCAGCTAAAGGTCGCCGTGCGGTGTCCCTGGATGACTGTTCGCTCGCTGGCCAAGACGAGCCCTGGTCCAACCAACTTCTCTGGTATCACATGCAGCATGCATGCGCAATCAGGACATCCCCGCTTCTGCAGCCACACGCCATTCGAGCGCCAAACACCCAACAAACTGCACCTACCTTACGACAATGCTGAAGACCAGTCTGGCTCTGTCCATACTAGCAAATCTTCAAAGAGCTTCAACCTCTGGCTTCAAGCTATCAAGCAATACAAAGCTGTCATCTGTCATAACACTTCCAGCGTCCGAAGCTTGAATGCCGCCATGGGAGGAATCTTGAAAGGCCTTGTCGCTTCAACGTAGAGACCGATATGTCATTTGGGTACCTTGTCTACTTTTCGGTGGCTCGAAACCAAGCTTCGAAACCCCAAGGACAAGGCAGCAGCAGCGACAGCACTTATCTGAAAAGCAGATGCTCATCAAGGTGGTGCCTGCTCCTGACCTCGGCATTCGGAGTGGCACGTGCTTATGTTGCCTTCTTATTGCCGCGCGGGCGCTAGAGCTGCGGCTCGGCTCGCGCCTAATCCTTCATCAGCTTAGGCGCCCTTCTCGGTGGCTAAAATGGAATCTTGCAATGGCAAGACGAACTCATGCACCTTGCCTGCACTGCTCCCTTCCACCCAGAAGTGTTTCGGCCTTGAGCGCATACTCGCATCGGTCTGATGCATCGGTCGGGAAGGGCAAGAGTTTGTGCCTCTTGTCCAATTTGGTTTCTCGTATCTGTAGAAACGTTCAAGCCACCTTGGCGAATGTCGATGCAACGATCATAGGGAACACAACCGTCGCCTCGGCGTAGACCTGCAGGTTGTCGTGTGTCAGCATGCATCTTCCAATCATTTTCCGAGTCCAACCGCCGCAAGCAGTAGTACTCACTTTTACGCTCTCGCCGTCGATCTTGATCTTGCCCCAGCTGACGGCTTCATCTGGTCGTGCGCCCGCGTCGCTTCCGTCAAACTCGTTGCCTGTGTTGATGATGACGGCGCTTTCTGCTCCATTGCGCATGAGACAAGCATTGGCGATGTGGTGTTTGACTATGCCTCCTCCTAGGATGATCATGCCTGCACGCTTAGCTCTGACTGCGATTGTGTTGATCTTGCGGATATCTTCCACAATATCCACACGCAGCTGCAGTGGTGAAGCCTTGAATGTGTGGAAGTACAACATGTCGCCCAAACTTCCATCCGTTATGGCCGGACAGAACACGGGAATGTCGTTCTTCCATGCCCAGTAGTATACAGAGCTCTCGTCGTTGATCTCTTTTCCAAGTCTGTTGATCATCTTACTAGGAGTCCAGTTGATGGGCTCCTCGGTGTCCTTTGATGCCTCTTGTTCTTCCAGCATCTTGTCGAAAATTGGTACCACCCAGTCTTCGAAAGCGCAGTAATTGCTGTTCGGCACGACCAGATTACCAATTCTGTTCATACCCTTGGCTCTCAAGGATGCTCCGGCCGTAGAAAAGGCACCAAGATATGTCGGAGCCAGACACTTGATAAAGTCCTCCTCAACGCCTCCAGCAGTAGTGACAATGGCTGAAACATGCTTGTGCTGGACCAACCACCGGAGAGTCTCGCGCAGACCCGAGGAAATGAGGTTTGATGTGTATCCTAGGAAGATAGTTGTGCCTTGTCCCGTCTCTTCATCCCGCCATTCACGCTATGGATCTTCAGTCAGTCGCGCTGCTAGCTTCGAGATCTCAAGATCAAATTACCATTCCATTGATGATCTGTGTTGCTTGTCCGACCGATGTTGCTTGAAACCCCATGTTCGTCATACTCTCTACCATCTCAGCTACGGTGATATTGCGGTTGGCGAATTTGTCGAAGTCGAGTCCAACTACAGGCACGGCGCCTTCAGGTACGGGATCGGAGGGCTTGAGGACAGCATCTTGGGCTCCGGTCGGTGCAGTCATGGTTGCAATGTTGTGTTGGCGTAAACGAGAGAGATGCGAATGGTCAGCGCGAGATGAGCGGTGTTGTGCGAGTCGACGGCGACTATCTTCTTGTCCTGGCGCGACTCTTGGTCTAGGAGATTTTCGGTGAACCCTGAAATTTTTGAAGCTTACTAACGCGACAGCTCACTCTAAATACAAGCGGCTCGGCACGGTTATACGTGCAGTCCAGCTAAGTTCTGATGACGGTTGGACGGGAACGATTTGCACCCAGATTCGAGTGCAATTCGGATCGTTATGGAAGCTTGTTGACGTCGACAACAAAAATCTCCGACCATATGTACAGACACAAAGGGTTGATGTCGGTCGTGCAGACCACTCATTAAATTCGAAGATCGTCGACATCTCGATTCGCAAATCCCTGCGGCGCGGCATCCTGGCTTGCCTGGGCTTGCAGGTGTCGCAGCCGAGACTTTCGAGCTTCATGGCCGTTACGATACCTCAAATGACATATGCGATCAACCTTTCATCATTCTACATAGCACGCGTCTCGCACAACCACTGCATCCTCGGTTGTGATAGTCTTGACAAGTGTTGTATTGTTTGTGCAATGTACTCTTTGTGCTCCAGAATGTCAGACTCCAGATGACTGGATTTTCATCAATGTCTGCTTAGTTCCTGGCATTCCGCCCGAGCGTACGGTTCCCACGGGTGGGCGTACTATCCACGAGATGCGTGAAACTAAAAGCACCGGCCAATCAGCATGACATAGAGTTTAGGCTTTCGTCGCTCCGCACGCCTACTCTACACGTTCTGTTTCTTTCTCCTGTCTTTCGACATCCTCCAGACATACACCTCCATCTCACTCCGACGACCTCAGGGCTCACCGGGACATCGATATTCGGACTCGTCATCATTTCCGCTTTTTTTTGGTGCCCAAGTGACCATCCCGCCAGCCTCTTTCGTCGTGATCGTTCGAGATCCGGCCATTTCCTGGACTCTCTCCGTCAGATCACTCTCTAAAATCAGCCTCCACAAGTATTCCTGCCTTTTGGCTTTGTCACGAGTTTGAAAGCCGCGTTTCCAAACCTCGAGGTCATCTCTTCCTGGTGTTGAAAGCTGGGAGGGAAATTGTGACACAGAACACGGGTGATTCGAGAGTGCCTTGTCTTCGAAGGCCCACAAGCGCGGATCTGCAAAGCCCTACTTCAGCCTTGGCATTTAGATCTGACTTGCCAAATCTTGCCACGCCTTGACTGCAGGTTTCATCGCGCATACCACTAATCAACTCACTCCTTTGACAGCGAGCGCAAACACGTCCAATTGCACGCGTCAATTTTACCGACGAATCTGGATTAATACCAATTCACTTCCAGCACCCAGCGGCGCATCACACGTCAACGCAGCACGTGCCTCACGATCTATTTTCTTTCACGATAATGTTTTGTGCTGTACTTTAGTAGTATGTCGTCACGCTTTCCTCCGGTACACGAGTCCCGGTATCCACCTCGCGCTCGGTCGAGATCACCGCCGCGGTATGAGGGATGGAGACCGAATGGACCACTCAACCCCGGATTCAACAACAATAACAACAACAGACATGGCGACTTTGAACGAGGACTGGATCCTCCCAGAGGTCCCAGAACTTTTAACGACAGCCCCAGAGGTCCACCACCAGGCCCAGGAACCGGCCCATCAGCACCACTTGGACCTCGCGGTAGAGGCGCACCACCGAGACCAGAGTTTAGAGAATTGAGAGACGCGCCCCCTTTAGGAACTGACCGCTCATTCAGAGAGCGTGACTTTGATCGCAGAGCGAGACCCGTGTCTCCTAGAGCTCGTTCACCTGTAAGAGGTTTCAGAGATGGACCTCTTCCGCCGCGTGATCTCGACTTGGGCAGGGGTCGCCGCGATTCTAGAGACGGCCCAATCAATGCTGGACCCGGTTACCCAGATGCACCGCCATTCGGACAACCCCCATTTGGCAGGGGTGGCTTCAACGGCCGAGGTCGAGGACGGGGTAGAGGTGATTTCGGCTTCCGCCGTGGACCTGCAGACGATCGCAACACATTCAGACCTCGAGACAGGTCACCGCCTCCCACAAGGTGGGGAAGCGTATCTCGTGGTGATAGGGACGATTGGCGCCCCGAGAGACGTGAAGACGACCGCTGGCTCGACCGTGATGACCGTGAGCGTGAGCCTGATCGTTTCAGGCGAGACCCTGCAACTAGCCGATTTGACTCGCGTCCGCCCACTCCCCATCAACAAGTGTCGTCAGCGCAACCTCCAGCTGAGCGCGCACCGCCCTTTGAGTCCTCGAGAGATGACTTGGCAATGCGAAGACCCTCGACAACTTCCTTATCTGGCGTCAAAGAGCCCCTCCGACGTGATATACCGCCTCAGAATGTAGCTCCTCCTATGCCTCTACCACCGAACGATCTTCTGGCTGGCCGTGTCGAGTCATCTGCTGCTCGTTATGGATCTCGTGCTTCTTCGCCACCTCCTTCTGCACCACAAGTCCCTGCTTTTGGATCTCTGTCATTCAAATCCCAGCCGTACAGTGGGCCGACTTCGAACGTGTGGAAAGCATCACCCGAAAACAGGACTCCAGCAACACCTGCGAAGCCGCCGGTCCCGTCTCCGCCTGCGGTCAAACCAATTCCAACTGCTCCCAAAGCACAGCTCGCAGCACCACCGCCTGCTGCTCCACGAGCACCTAGAGCACTTGAAAATGCACCTCCGACTGCTCCTCGAGAATCTTTCGTTGATAGAGCACCCCCTGTACCGCAAGCCAGAATTTCATCTGCGCCGCAGCCTCCAGCTCCTACCGGACCATGGGCTCTGAGGACAGATGACAGAGCATCCGGCCAGTTTGCTCCGGCAGCAACTCTCGAAGGACGTAGACTGTCCGGTTCTTTCCAGCCAGGAATAGACAACGCGCCTACATCACCTCGTACCCTAGGATCTGGCGTCGCTCAAATTGCGCAGATGACACCCATGAAAACCTCGGAAGCTTCGTCGAATTCAGTGCCAACTCCTCAGACGCAGCCTGGCTTCGGCAATATTCAGGATAGCAGAGCACCACGTGCTGATATGGCACCGCCGAGACTCGGCACACCACCTCCGGCTGCTCCTAGCGGCCCACGCAATACTCACACATTCAGCACATCGCCCGTTAAGCAGGATTCGAATATCCCGACTGCTCCCAAAGCCATCCGCGGACCTCCCATAGCTCCAAGGGCATCAGTGGATCGCGGACAACCTCTCCACAGGCCTATGGACAGGAATGGTCTTGCCCCTTCGCGTGCGCCTCCAGGAGCTCCAAGGGCACCCGCATGGAACCAATGGATAAGACCTGGAGCTCCCCAGTATAGAGAGCCTACGGTGCCTGCTAAGAGAGATTTGAACGGCGATGAAAAGGCACAGCAGTTCATGCCGAGGACTTCACCTCAAAATATGAATCGCCAAGTCTCTGATCCCTCATCCATGAGAACGGAGGAGGTCAAGGATGATCGTGCCTTCAAGACCGCTCCTGCGTCTCCCGAACGAAGACCGTCCGATGCCAATGCCGCCATCAATCCTCCCTTCCAGAAGGAATACAGCGTGCCAAGCCCTGTGGAACAGGTAGAGTCTGACGCTGCAGTGGATGCCGACTTAGCAACACCCGATTCGTCTGAAGATTTCATCAGTGACGAAGAAGGCATGGATCTTGACGAGGAAGATTTCGCACAGAGTAAGGCCAAGTTCGAGAGGCAAAAAGCACATCTGGAAGCCCAAATGATCGATCTCAATGCTAGACAATACAGAGCAACTACTCCCTTGGCGCAGATTGTCAAGCTTGCCAACATCACCGTAGAAGACCTTCCCTCTGCTCAGGATCCCACCATAGGGGAAGCCAAGGATGATATTATGGAAGGCATGGAGACTTTAGAAGCACCTGCACAAGCAGCCTCACCCTCGCACCCACGATCTATGACAACGCGAGAAGACGTTTCTAATGATCTCATCGTTCCCAAGCAGGAGCAGATTGAAGAAGCGGAAACGGCGACCATTCCACCTGCACAGACAACTTACAAGCAGCCTGAACCGGACCGAGTTCTTGAATCTGCTGAAGTTGATCAAGGCGAGGATGTCGACATGGACGGCAGCGAAGATCTGGACTTCATCACACCCGAGCCCAAGCGAAGCATTGAGACAATTACTCTGCCTTATCTGGCGAAGACACCTCTCACTCCCTTATCAGATCTAGGCGCTTTCCACGAGAACACAGCACGTCTGAATGCCGTGAAGCCAGCGCTGATCATGCATTACCAAGCGCAAGCAGAGGAAGAGCAGATTGTGCAGAAAGATTTGCACGAGCAGTATGTCGAAAAGTATCGTGCCTGGAAACTTGAAACACAACTGCTCGATCGTGAGCGAGCAAGCAAAGAGACTGAAGAGAGACAGATGTCTGTCGAGCTCGGTCTTGATATTGAGTCAAGCCCTATCATGGAGAATCCTATCTCAGAGTCGTCTCGCTCTAGGTTGCACAAGTTCAGCAGCGAATATGACATCCAACAAGTCTTGAAGCAATCCGAAGAGACAGCCAGACTCGAGCAAGAGAAGGTCGAGCGCGAGTCTAGGCGAGCCCAGATCGATCTCGAGAAAGAAGCTATCCCACCAGACATGTGGGACGAGGCTTCAAAAGAGAAGAGGATCTTCAAAAACATGAATCGTTACAGAGACCCGATTTGCCTCACAGATATCTACGGATATGAGCCAGAGTTCGACACTTTCACTGAGACCGAGCACAAACGCTTTGTCGAGCTGTTTAAGGAACGGCCAAAACAGTGGGGCGAAATTGCTGCTCAATTGCCTGGTCGGTCGTACGCTGATTGTATCCACCATTACTACAAGTACAAGTGGGATGGTCGTTTCAAGGAGAAGCAGAAACGTAGAGCTAAAGGCGGTGGTCGTCGTGGTGGAAAGACAGGTCGCGCGAAACCAGCCACATTGATGAGCGACCTGCGTAAAGATGGCGAGGAGGATAGTTCCTCCGGACCAATGCTTACCGAGACCGGAAGGCCGAGACGTGCAGCAACTCGCACTGCATATACAGCGGAAAAAGACCCCGAGGTCAAGCCTACACCTGTTGTCCCAGCTGTCAACAAGAAAGTTCCCGCGACCGGTGAGGTTGGTTCCGAGAAGCCAGCTAAGCGACGCAAGACGACAGCTGCTGGTGACAAGCCGCAGAAGCGAGGCAGACAAACACTGGTCTCGACTGCCACTTCTGTGACTTCACCCGCCGGAACTGACAAGGAGGCCGTTCTCAGCCAGGAAGACTTTGCTCGTGCAAAGCAGTTGGAAGAAGCCGCTCTTCTTACTGGCATTTACACTGGTACCAGAACTTTGGGCGGACCTCAGCATGTGGAGTACGCGCATGATCCACTCCCGGTCCAAGTTTCGAACGACACTGCAGAAAGGACTCGTGCTCCTGCGCAGACTTCCATGCAAAGGTCTAGTGCATCAAGCTACTGGTCCGTGCCGGAGCAGACAGATTTTGTCAAGTTCATTGCTCACTTCGGCACTGATTTTGGTGCTATTGCCAACCACATGGGCACCAAAACTCAGACAATGGTTTGTTATTCTTCAGTCGTGCAGAATTTCGAATGCTAACTTCGTCATAGGTCAAGAATTATTATCAAAGACTTGTTGAGAGTGGAAATCGTCCTGACGTCGTCGATGCTGCTAATATTGCAAATGCTCGCCGCGATCGAGGAGAGGACATGGGTGTTCCACCGACACCGACTCCCATCAACAAGAGGAGATATGATAATCCTGGACCAACTCTGCCGAGAACAGCTTCCGGATCACAAGGTGAGGTCATGGACATTGACCCTGTTCCATCCACACAGCCTTCGAATCATTCCCAGCCTTCATCGCAATTCCAGCATCAATACAGATTCTCGATGGCTACACAGCCAACACCGACAATTCCGCAGAGAGCCGCGCCTACTCCATTGCAGCCGCATGGATCTCCTGCTCTTGGTAAATCTGGTCCTCTTGCACAGCCACGTGGGAGCATATCGTCTTCTGGTCCGAAGATGGGCTTCTTCTCCGAATCTAGAATGGAAAGACGCCCTACTTTGCCAGGTTCAGAGCGTCCGGCTCAACAGCCATCGCCATCGTTGATGCATCAACAGCAACCAACACCACCTGGTCTCATGCACCAAAACTTGTCACATCTGACCTCAGAGTTTGTTAAGAACCTCAAGGAGGAGCAAGAACGTGCATTGTCAATCCAGAAGCGGGCCTCGCAAGAGCACGTGCCTCAAGTGGCTCAACACTCAATGTTTCAGCCTCCTGCTGCTCAAACCTCCGCTCCTACTGGATCTCCACAACTTCCAATGCTGGACAGGCCTTTGGAAAGGGATGAGCGCTCTGGTACTCCGGGAGTGTCGTCTCTTGTGCACCCTCGCGCTGGCCCAGCAATGTTCCGAAATATCATCGGCTCTCCTGGTCCGATGCAGTCTCCAGCTATCAGCATGCACCCTCCGTTCAGATCAGGTCATGTGCCGTCTCCGCCTAAAAGAGAAGAACCGCCGATGTATCGACCTGGCTCGGTGCCAGCACCGTCGCCCGCTACTTCGGTGGTTAAGCCTGCCATGTCGCTGACTGCAGGACCTCCAGCTGAGCCTCGTAAGACGTCCAACTTGGCGTCTCTACTGAACTCTGAGCCGGAGGAGCCTCGCCAAAAGAAGAGGATCGGTGATCAACCGACGCCGTTCACTCAGTCGCCGACACCATCAACCCTGAGTGTCGCGCCTTCTGGACCTGGATCGAGCATTTTCCCTCCCAGAAGAGATGCTTTCAATCAGACACCTGTATCAAGACAGGAATATGATGGACGGTCATCCTATGCTCAGCCAACCAGCCATGTGCCAACTCCAGCAGCTCAGCATGAACTCCTGACTGGTAGATCAGGTACACCGGTTGGCTCAAGACAGCCTGAGTGGCAATCTCGTCCACCTATGGGTCATAATTTGGCTTCTAGCTCGCCGCATCCACCAGCACCTCTTGAACGCGATGTTCGACCGTACTTTTCGCATCGTGCCAACCTTGGTAGTCTCAACCAGCAGTCGCGAGCAAATCCATCGCCTCCGCCAAACGCTCATCCTTACATGAATCACTCTCGGACACCATCGGTCAGTGGTCGACCGATAACGCCCAGTCAGATGCAACCTCAAGGTCCCTCCAACTTGTCACACATGGCCCAAGCTCAAACTGCCCAAGCACAATCTCAGATCATGCAAGCCAACCCATACCCGCAGCAACACGGTGGACCGCCGCACATGCAGCAGATTCAGGCTCATCAGCAGAACCAGTTCAGTCACCGTCACAACAGCTCTGGTGGGTCATCTCACAGCGGACTGCACCAGAGACAGACCAGCCGGGGTGAAGAGATGTCTATGATGAGACAACAACAGCAGCAACAGCAACAAGAAAGAGAGTTCCACTTAAGTCGTGAACGCGAGCACCGCATGGAAGTGGACCGACAGTACAAGGAGCGCGAAGCTCAATTCCACCAACACCAACAGCAAGAGCAGCAGCGCTACGCCCAACATCGTACACCACAGCCGTTCCAGCAACAACCTCCCTCAGGACCCCCTCAAATACTGTCCATGCGCGAGCAAGCACGTATCGAGGCCGAACAAGGCTACCGCGATGCCAGGAACAGAGAACAATATGAACAAGAGATGCACATCAGACGCATACAGGAAGATGAGGAGAGGATGAGATATGATTACCGAAACCCGAATGGCATGTTGAGCAGAAACTCAGGAGGAGGATATGGAGGAGGAAGTGCGGGTTTCCCGCCGCCCGGTCCGCATAGGAGATGAAGAGGTGATGTAAATCTTCTTGTTTCTGATTTTATAGTCAGGTCTTGAAGTAGCACACCGGGAAGGAAAGAGCCGTTTGCATGGAAGGTGCAAAGTGTATTTGTTTGTTCGGGATACCATTGAAATCCACCCCTTTGTTGTCTTCGATTCATCGGAAAGAGGTTGTCTTTCGCTCATCAGAAACTGACATGTGTCTTGTACTGTACAACAAAGACATTGTCTCACTCAGGCACGCTTTCTCCTGACAACCCGACACTCATAGTATCTATAAAGCCTATTCAATACCCCTTCCTTGATGTAACATCCATCCATCACAGCAATCAGAATCTCGAATCAAGAAACTACAAAATACACAAAATGTGCAACAAAATCGCCTCCAACAACCCCTCCTCCCCTGACCTCCCTATCCTCTGTCGCCGCCCAAGACCCATCTGTCAGGACTGCTACTGTCTCCTCAAATGGTGCTTCGACCGAAAAAACTACTGGTGCTCGGGCTGCAAAACCTACCTCAAAAGCTGCGATTGTTGCGGTTATCGCAAAGCTGGCTGGTCTGCCAGTAGGTGAACAATGGTGCATCAAGAGCAGCTTGGTTTTTCAATATGTCATATGTCTTTTGGCGCTCAGGGTTTCAAGTATGCTGTCGTTTTCATCAATCTTTTCTTCTCCAACTTATGTCTTCTTTTCTCCTTGTGCTTGCCTCTGTTCTGCAATTTTGATCGTGACTGACGATTTTATTGAGAAACGTTATTTCACAGCACTTGCATATTGCCAGATCTCACATGCAAGCCTACTACACATGCTAATCGGGGTTCAGTTGTTCACACTATTTATATCGCCATCGAATGACTACCCTCGGTATTTCTAAGAGTGCTGTGTCGAACGACTTCGACAACGCAGAGGAACACATTTCATTGTGAGTCTTCGAGGCTGCTGTGTATTCTCGACATCCGCTCTTACATTTTAGAACGATCTTCTATCAACTTCCATGGAGCATCAGTTCTGTGCCAACACATGTTGACGCGATTTGCTCGAAATCATCACTTCTTCCTTCACTATTCACGCCGCTGACAGCCTCGGGTCTCCCTACTCCACCACTTATCATTCTTTCTCAACTCTCTGCAACATCTTTCTCCTTCCTACGGTCCCACATCACGAGATACTCATCCTCTTTATCCATCCTTCCCTCTCGCGAGGACTTGAAAGTGTTACCTCTGCCAATTCGAGACTCGATAGTGTCACGCACTTCACTCTCACATCTGTCCACACAAACACAGTACGAAACAACACGAGATTACACCACTTCACTTTCCTGACCGCAGAGCATCACATCTTCACTCGTGTGTCCCTTTTAATTCACCGGCTCGTCTCGGCGCTTACTTCGACACTCCCTTCGTTGTCCTTCGTTCGACGAACGACATCACGAAGACTACTTCATCTCAATCTTCTTTCCACAAAGACGCGAGACAGATATTCCCTCTCGTGCCTCCACGCAAACACAACTATATTGACAACCCCCTTCTCTCCACACGCAAAAACAACACAACAGAGAACACCGCAATCATGCCTATGAGTTGGGATGCCGCTGCTGATGCCAAGGTGCGTATCTCGTCTCTCTTTCTTCTTGCTCTACTCTCTTTTCCACTTCCTCCACCTGCTTCCACTCCACTCGCCCTTGACCCGCTCTTTATTCTTGTCGTCTTCGTGCGTAGACGCAAGCATAAAGTATTTGTGGGGACTCGGCGCAGTATCATGATGATAATGAAGACTTGATGAGAGGTGAAACGCTGACCAGAGAAAACACTAGCTCTTCACTGTCGTGATGGCAGTCTACGATATCAAAATCACTGGAGCTCAGAATGAGAAGATTGCCAAGATGATGGGAGAAGGTGAGTTTTGATGTGTTTGATCGCTGAGCTTTGTTTCTGGTGCTTGCTGTCGTCTCTTCCCAACTGTTTGCATCTCCATTTCTCCTTCCTCTCCACCTTTCTCTCCCTTCCCGTCTCCACAATCAAAACAAACCCACCAACAGAAACCAAAACAGACGTCACCCCAAAAGCCATAACCCACCGCCTCTCAAAGATAAAAGCCCAAGCCGCTTCCTTCTCCCACGTCGCCCCCGGTACCCCCGCCTCAGCCCGCAAACGTCCCTCAACCCCCAGCAACAGCGGCAAGACCTCCAAGACCCCTGCTTCCAAAGGCAAAAGCTTTGGCATTGCAAACAAAATCCTCGGTCCCAATGGCAGAGTCCTCTCTGCAACCCACACAATCACCACTCTCATGCACGATGATGGTCAAGATGATGAGGAGGACTTTGATACACCCACCAAGTCCCGCGTCAAGACTGAGGCAGGATCGTCGAAGAAGAGAAAGATGACTGCTCCCAAGATTGAGGATTTTGTGGGTTATGCTGAGGTTGAGGGGATGGGTGATGCTATTGATTCCAGTCTTGCTTACCCTGCTGAGGTTAAGATTGAGGAGGATGTTGAGATGCAGATGCAGATTCAACAGGGCAACAACAAAGCTAAGGGCAAGGGAAAGGAAAAGGCTGAGGTCGTTGATCTGACTGAGACTGCTGATACCATCGACATCACCGATGAACTTTGCCACCAGGGAAAGAGCAACGCAATTCCCAAGGGCAAGGGAAGAGCCAAGGAGCAGGCAGAGATTGGAGCAAGTGCCACTAACGTGAAGGTCAAGAAGGAAGTCGTGGATATCCAGGATGTGTATGAGGATGAGGATGCCGAGATGGTCGTTTAAGCATCACTGCTCAATCCTGCTTCTTCTCCACTTCCATCACCCACGCTTTTGCATCAACACAGCAACAAGAACGAAGACGAGAAGATAAAACGATACCGGACAACCACAAGGAGAAAGAAGCCTTGTGCAACACTCAGCTAAGAGGCAGAGAGACAAAGAGATGAAACATCCCGGAATCGACTCCAAGGAACAGCAAGCAGAAAAACGACAACAAAAGCAGATGAAAGCAACAAACGACGAGAAATTGAACTCGGCAAAACACAATCTGCACCCAACACCCACCAACCCAAAAACGCCAAAAGCAACAAAAAACACCAGAAAATATCAAACCGCAGAAAGAAAAAAACAGCCAGTCAGAAGAAACAGCATCCAAGTAGCAAAGAACATCAAAGGCAGCAAATTGAGTCACCAAGACAGCGAACGAGGGAAAAGAAACAGACTTGTACAACAGAACATTAACTAGCTAGTATGCATCGAAATCCTCCCTCCAATTTGTTCCTCTCCAACCTCTCCATCGAATCTTCTTTTCATACTCCAATCTGGATGCCCCCTTCGCCTCCATCTAAGCACTTTCAATGGAGTCTTCCTCTTATGTGACCCTTGTGTTTCCACCTTCTCCAAGCGATCACCTCCCCATGAAGCAAAGCTCAAAAGACACAAGCCGAGAAGGAGGATGATTACTATCATCCCCATCAGAACACACAACAGACGGTAGGGGAGGGACTCGTATCTGATGATGAGGGTGAATGCTCTTGTACAGTGACAATGTGCGATGTGGGAAGAATGCCGCTAATTTACACAGTAAGTCTCGATGAGGTGAGAGCGGAAGAGGTTTGTGTACGGATGGGGATACGAAAGTCTCAGACGGTATGGACAAGGAATAGTTGGCATGCTTGAGGGGCAACAAGCACAATGAGAAGTATGGGAAGTGTATGAGGCAGCGAGAAAAGAATCATAACAAGTCTACTTCCAAGACTCAGTGTTTGCTAGCACACTGCTCTGTCCTCCGATAAACACCTCTCTGTCCTTCAGTAATACGTCTCCCTGCTTCATCAATACCGCAGCTCTCTGTTCATCAGTGATATACCACCTTGTCCATCCAGAACGCATGCTGTTCTCAGGGATCCATGCAAATAGCAACTTCCACCGACATTGCATCTTACTCAACGAATCATGACACAATCGCCCTTTCCAAACCAGTCACTGTCTGTTTCAACCTTCAACCCCTCCCATGCTTCCTTGATGTCGAAGTCGAAACGAACGCTCCACATCTTCGGTCTTCTCCCATCACTCTCGGCAGTGATGTTTCCTTGTCGGCCAGAGAAAGAGTCATCGCCGGCTACGCATGCGTTACCGTGACCCCAAACAGTATCCGCTACAGTCTTCCACACTGCACTCTGGTCCATGACCATTTGCTTGGTATAGAAGATCTTGCACTCGGCAGGCTCGTAGAGAAACTGGTAAGGTGTTTGTGTGTCATCGTTACGTCTGATACCGTCACGGGCGTTGACTGCGGCTGCTGTCCCCCTAGCTAAGGGTAGGTAGGAGTAATCGTTTAATGCAGTGTAATTGGAATCTTGCTGCGGGATCTGCTGGGAAAATTGCAAAGCGCCTCGGGCTAGTGAGAAGATTCCGCCTCATGGAAGCGCGCTTGCACCTTTCGTGCCGCCGACAGTTTGCATGGGATCAAGGGAAGGGCGACCACCGAGGGCAATAGTCTTCACACCTGCTTCTTCACGGAGGAACTCGGGGAAAAGTTCGCAAGTGGAGGCGCAGAAGCCATCGGTGACCAAGACAATGTTTTGTGGTTGGAAAGGCTGATGGGTTATGTTTGACAGCGCGCCGTAGCCTGTGATCGATATACCGCCGGAGAACTGGCGTATCTCTGGATCTTGGAGATCCCAGCGAATGAGCGATGTGAAAGTATCGTTACCCGGACCTTGGGGATGGGGGCCGTATCTCTGTTTCCAGCTCGAGGGTTTCTTGTCGTCCGAGTCGAGCCCTGTGTGATAGTTCCAAGGGAACACCTTGCTAGTTTCGAGACCGCCGCGGGTGATGGGAGTAGAAAATAGCTCACCAAGCTCGTTGATGACTTCGTGAGCGCGAAAACGGGAGGCACCGTATGGATGTATGGAAGGAAACAGTTGCTTGAAGAGGTCGTAGCCTTGGACAATAAAACCGCCGCCATTCGCGCTGCAGTCGATGATCAATTTGGTCTTGTTCGCAGCAAGGGCGGCAGCGATGAAGTCCGAGTTGATTTTCTGAAAATCGCGTCCTGCCCTGTCATCGGCGCTTACAAAGTCTGCCACCGTCAAGACGGCCACATCTGCAAACTCTTGTCCATCAAGAAAGTAACCTCCATTCATGTTCGACCTCTGTCGAATAACAGGGGTTGGATATCCGATAGCAGGGGTCGTTTGAGTGTGACTTTGCGATGGAAGTGGGTTGTGGAGCTCTTCAAGATAAGGTGGATGGACGAACTGTCTGTGGTATGGAGTACTCATGTCGTTTCTGATCTTCTCGCCGTCTTGAGCTTCCAGTACCTCCAAGATCTGCTGAAAGTCTTCGGGACGAGGACTGAGGAATTCTTGGTACACGTCTGACCCAGACTCGACACGGCTCAAATCTACTAGAACCTTGGCAAAATTCTGGTTGACGACCTTGGATCCATTGGCAAAGGTCAAAGTAGTCGACGGCCCTGGATAAACGTAGCGACCACGACTACCGCCTGTAAAACTTCCAGTCCCGGTACCAAGCCCTCCGAGCGAAACTTGTGCGAGTGAGTAGAAGATGTCATTCCACAAGGCATCCTTGTCTTGATGAGCGCCATACTGTGACCAGTCCAGCAGGAAATCAGTCGTGTCTTTTCCATCTATCTGGACGATATGAGAAGGCTTGAAGGACGAATTGCCAGCATACGAAACCAGAATATCAGTGTATGCGTATACCAAGGGTAGATCTTTGCCATCCTCGGACACTGAGACAAGTGGAGTTGTTCGTCCAAACCGGAAGAGTTTCCCGACGACATCAGATATGTACACAAAGTGACCGTCAAGAGCCTGCTGCGTGGTTTGGTAGAGATCCCATCCGAAGTCGTACTCCCGTTCGTAAATTCCGTGGGCAACGTTGGTTTCAACGGCGTTGAAAGCAGACCAAAAATCGTAGGGCGGCTGGACGTTTTCTGCATACTACGATTGGAAGTCAGTGGATGAAAGGGAGGAAGAAGTGGATGCACATACTTTCTCTGGAGGATCCTTGACATAAGAAGTGGTGGATTGCCATTCCAGGTAGGGCTTCATTGAATCCAGCAACTCAACAGCAGCACTCTGGTTGAAGGGTATCGAGTTGAGACACTCGTAGGCGAGCTCAGCAGGGACTCGGGGTCCAGGCTCGTCGTCACTTGTGTCGTTTGGGGCGTTTGAGGCTTGGACGGCCAAGTAGACTCTCTTGCATGGAGAATCTGAGGCCGAAGGTGTGGGCAAGTCTGTAGACAGAGCAGTCGAAGAAGCAAGCTCACGAGGCGTCAGATTCCAGTGAGATCCATGACTGCGTGGAACACGATGAGCGGCTTGGGCCAGCATGGGCAGCAGGAGCCACAAGTAAGCCAACATGATTGCTTTATAAGGGATGTTGGAAGGGATGGAAGTGAAGTGATTCAGAGTGTAATATAATGCAAACGCACAATGGAGAATGCTGGATGATCAAATGCTCGATGCTGAATGTTGATTGGGTTGGATGTAGAGGATGAAGTCGAACAGGATCAAGAAGCAGACGTCGGACGGGAAAGTGTGGCTTCAACAGCAATGGAAAGAGCGATCAGTGCGCCACGTGGACGACGAACTTCGCTGATCACAGTGACCATGACGACTACAATAGTGACTGAGTACACAAGTCTTCCAAGAAGCTTCAAATAAAGATTGGATATGCATAGCACGTCGTGGCCTCTCAATTGGGGTTATCTCAAGTAGAAGCTTTACGGAATATGCTGACAAGCCTCTCGCCCTGATCCTCATCACGCAGCCTTTGAACCAAAAAGTCCTTCAGATCAGCCCAGAACTCATCACTCTGCAACATCTGAGTGGCCGTGTCATGAGCGTGAGGAAGAGCTTCGGCTTCGGCTTGAGCATGTTCGGACAGAGGAGCAGAGTCGGGAGGCAGCTTCTGTGAGTCGTCGGCCTTGACAGCAGGAGAAGCGGGAGCGGGAGTAGATGCTTGGCTTGGAGTTGATGCACCGGCGAGAAGCATGACGCTGAAGTCTGCCTTGGCCGGGAGAGGGTCGGGGAGGATGTCCTTGAGGGTCTTCAGGTCGGTGCATGGTCTCTTGTTGAGGAGAAGCTTGATCTTGGTCTTGTCGAGGCTAAACTTTTGAGCATATTGGGTCTTGAGCTCGAGGACGGTGGTGTTGGGAGGCTGGGCTTGGAGGTCGAGCTGGTCGGAGCCCTTGAGGGGCTTGAGCGTGACAGTGATGGATTGCGACTGTTGACCGGCTGAAGGTCTTTGACGGCGAGGAAAGGGGTGGACTGGCTTGGGCAGAGTGTACTGCACGAAGCAAGTCAGTAATCGTGAAGAGATGATCTGGCAGGATAGAATGCTTACAGGAGCTTGGGCAGGGTACTTCCTGGGGTCCGAGACGTGGTCGCTGCTGAGTCTGGAAGGGCGCTTCTCCAGGCCCGACATGAGCGCTTGTGCAAACATTGTTTCCGACATGATGGTGAAGAGGCCGTCTACCGATGTAGTGACGAGTGTGATGTGGTATGCAACGGTGTAGGGTCGAAACACACGCATGTCCAGAGTCTCGTCTCACCCCGCACTTTCGCTGATGTCAGTCCGAGCTTCGTCTTGAAGTTCGATGCTCCTTCATCTTTCCACTTTGCGACTTTTTGCTTCACAACTCTTCCATACACATTCGTCATGTCGACGCTATACAATCTCGAACCTCCGCCGACAGCCAAGGTTCTGCTCAACACGACCTCCGGCGACCTCGTCGTTGAGATCTTCGCCAAGCAGGTCCCTCTCGCATCTCGCAACTTTCTCCAACACTGTCTGAACGGCTACTACGATGGCACAATCTTCCACCGCTTGGTCCCTGGCTTCATCATCCAGGGCGGTGATCCTACTGGTACTGGCTCGGGTGGTGTAAGCGCTATCAACAATGGTGCTCCCTTCGCCGATGAGTTCCACTCGCGACTCAAGTACAACCGCCGTGGTCTGCTGGGTATGGCAAACTCTGGAGACAAGAACGACAATACCTCGCAGTTCTTCTTTACTCTGGACAAGACCCCCGAGCTGCAAGAAAAGAACACCATGTTTGGTCGTATCGAGGGAGACACCATCTACAACCTGATGAAGATGGCCGAGGCCGATCTGGCTGGCGACGACTCGGACAGACCGCTATACCCTACAAGAATTCTTTCTACCGAGGTTCTGCTCAACCCTTTCAGCGATATGGTCAAGCAAGCTTCCGTTGCCGTATCTGCAGTACAAGAGACAAAGGCTCCCAAGAAGAAGCGCAAGGCTACAAAGACTCTCTTGAGTTTTGGACGAGACGACGAGGAAGAGCCCGCTGCACCTGTTGTTAAGAAAGTAAAGGTCAACCCAAACTTTACCGCCGCCGAACCACAGCAACCAGAAGCCCAAAGCAAGACCACCGCACCAAGGGCTCCCGAGCCGACGAAACGAGAGAAGCCTGCACCCATAGAACCTCCAGCAAGATCGCCATCACCTCCTCCACCAGCACCAGTCACCTCAAAAAAGCCCGTACCCGTAGACTCTCCTTCGCCATCTCCCACGCCCTCACCAGAACGCCGCAAACCCACCGCTCTCGAACGTACAAACGCCGAAATCGCCCAACTAAAAGCCTCAATGCGACGCACAACCACAACAACCTCAGCACCCGAGAAGAAGCTCTCAGCCCTCGAATCCATGATCCCAGCCTCGGCAACCCGCGGCCGCAAACGCGGAAAAGCAAAAGACGATGCCTCCTCCCTCTCAACCTTCAACGCCTTCAAGACCCGTCTCGAAAAACTGCCTGCTGAGAAAACGGCACCTACCACAGCTGCTGCCCCAACGATGCCAGAAGTCAAGGCAGTTTCAACAGAATCAGCGGTGGATACAGAAGAAGCACTGTGTGATTTACATTTCATCGCAAATTGCCAGAGTTGCAGCACATGGCATGATGAAGATGCGAATGAGCAAGAAGAGGATGATAATGATGTTACTTGGATGTCACATGCGTTGAGTTTTGCAAAAGATACCCTGGGCAAGGATCTGGAATGGAAGAGGAAGATGGAGGAGTTTGAAGTTATTGATCCGAGGGAGAAGACGAGGGAGATTGTGGGCGATAAGGGGAAGAAATCTGCGCAAGGGAAGGAGTGGGACAGGGACAGGAAGGGTAAGGGTAAGGCGAAGGCTTGAACACATAGATATTGAAGATCAAGGAATAATCTTACTTCATCCGACACAAATACTACCTTCGGTATCCACTTCACACAAATATGCACCAAAAAGGCATCAGTGAGGCACCAGTGAGATGAGAAAAGAATGGATTGTCTATTGTTCTATGCACTATTGGTAAGCAGGAGAAAGCAAAAATGCAATATCATTGCAGTTGCACAGCAGGAGCAGCAGCAGCAGCGGTATCAGCAGGTCTGCCCTGTTGGCGCAACTCTGCATCCACAACAGCACTTCCCCGTATCAACCTCTGCCACCACAAAGGCGGATCCAGGGGTCGTTGTCCATTGTGGTTCGCCGGGTAAATGTCGTTGAAGAAGTAATAGACTATCGCCAATGTTAGCGAGGCCAGAAGAATGACACAGGGAAAGGGGTTCCACTCACCATGACCAACAGCAATTCCACACAACTCATCCTTTGGCCAGTTCCCATGCATGACCACACTCAACCCAATCATCACCCAAGGCAACCACGGCGCCCTGAATACAAACAGTCCCAGAAAGCTGAGTTGAACATCCGGATGTTTGCGACTCCAGATATACACAAGCGTACTGCTCAGTATACTTCCCAAAAACACCACTGACACCAGTGGAGCCAAGCAAAGTAAAGTAGTAATGGCATAGCATAACATCCAAGTAAAGTGGGCTTGCGAGACCGCAGATTCCTCCAGCATGCGTGCGTAGCGTTGGATGAAGAAGATGTGGAAGAGCAGATTCAAGGACAAAGGGCCAAAGTAAATGAATGTAGTGAGCAGGCGCCAGTACTGTTTTTGCACTCTCTGTCAGTAACCAGCATCAGTAGAAACGAGAGTAGGCAAAAAACAAACCTGGCTTCGAACAAAGACAGCACGGAACGAATAGAATAGTTGGAAGGGAGTCAGGATGTGGCATTGCACCAACAGCCCAGTAACGATGGTAGCGGTTGTCCACCAGCGCGTGCACACGGGCATCTCGAAGAACCATTGTTCCAGAGGGAGAGCGCCTAGGTCGCCTCCACCGGCTGCTCCTAGCATAGCTGCCATGATGTTTTGCTGTGTTCTTCTTGTAGGAATGTCCGAATGTCGAAAGTTGGATTGAAGAGGAATAGTAATCAACAAAATGGACAGGTTTACATCGAGACCCTTTGCGGGCGACAGGGCAAGCAACAAACGTAAGCTTGATAGAAGGCCGAGCCGAGGGGCTGGGGGGGAGTGAACGGAGATAAGATTAGATAAGGCCTTTTGTGCTGCATCGCCAATGTCCGCATTCAGCACAACGCGACTGCCCTGCTGTTGCTGCTGCTGCTTCTCTTTGCTCACAACAACAATCCAAGACAAAGAACATACATCGTCGCTGGACTATACAACACCTGCCGCCATCACATCCACGTGACTCTCGCCAATCCCACCATCAACACCAACCCTTTACGCGACAAGCCCATCTTCCTCATACTTTGTATCCGCGCTCCGTCTCCACCACCTCCGGACACAACAACTGCTCCCACATACCTCGCGCCCACCTCCACCTCTACTTCACCCTCACAACACAACAATGGCCCCACGCACATCCATGGCCGGCAAAACAGTCATAGGCGGCAAAGGCATCAAAACAAAAGCACCGCGCCGCTCCTCCACTGGCGCAGTAAAACAATCCCGTCGCTACAAACCCGGCACCGTCGCTCTGAGGGAGATCAGGAAATATCAACGCAGTACCGATTTGTTGATTTTGAAATTGCCTTTTGCTAGATTGGTGAGTTTGGAACGCACATTTTCCAGCCCTCTGCTTCTTGGAGGTTGCCCCAGAGCTTGCAGAGGGACGATGGAGGAGGAACAAGGGTAGAGTTGAGGATGTCTTGCTGACACGAAGGTGATTCCACAGGTCAGAGAAGTCTGCATCTCCATGGCACCAGCTGGCTCGGGCATCTACCGTTGGCAATCACAAGCAATCATGGCGTTACAAGAAGCTGCTGAAGCCTTTTTGGTGCATTTGTTTGAGGATACGAATTTGTGTGCTATTCACGCCAAAAGAGTCACGATTATGCAAAAGGATATTCAGTTGGCGAGGCGGATTCGAGGGGCTTGGGGTGGTCTTGGTTGAGTTGCTTGATACATTGAAGGATGAAGTTTGAGGAAGGTGAGGAGTTTGGCAGGAGAGGGGTATTTGTATTTCAGGAGTTCAAGGGACGGATGGGTACGCATGGGTGGTGGGTGGACGGTGTTTCTTGCACTTTCGTCTTTTTTCACGGTTCTTGAGGCTTGGATTCTTGCTCTCTGCTTTTCTGCACCTCTTCATCTACAAGAGATGAAGCTTATTGCTCGGCGTTACACGAAAGCCAACAGCGTAAAAGATATCTACAACCAATTTGATTTTGCAGAGTTTCGATGATTACGTTTTCCAGAAAATGGCTCTTTCTGTTTGCATTTCCCATGACGAGAAGCCTACACTACACATCCTTTACTTACCAGCAGCTCTGTTTCCCTTCCTCCTCTTACCCTTGACATCTCTGCCTTCCTCGATAGCCAACAAGGCCTCCCTCTTCTTATCACCCACCACATTCAACGCATCCCTGACAACCCTACTCTCCACGTTAACACCCTCCTCCTCATACTCCTCCATCTGTCTACCCACTCTTTCCTCAATAGCCTGCACTAGCCCTACATCCCTCTGCCCCACCAAACTCACCGACATACCTTTGCGTCCTGCTCTGGCTGTTCTTCCCACCCTGTGCACGTAATCGTCTGGATCGCGTGGCAAGTCGTAGTTGATGACCAAAGCCACAGAGGGGATATCCAAACCTCTGGCCGCGATGTCGGTGCAGACCAAAATGCGAGCGGCGTTTGCGCGGAAGCGAGCGAGATTGTTGGTGCGGTCTGATTGTTGGAGGCCAGAATGCAAAGAGGTGACGCGGTGAGAGAGGCTGCGGAGAAGATGCTCGAGTAGATTTGCCGTGGAGGTGCGGTTGACGAAGATGATGGTTGGTTTGGAGACGTTTTGATCGGTTTGGAGGAGTACGTGTAGGTATTTTTCCTTGTGCACGACGTTGACTAGGCAGTAGGTTTGGTGTAGGGTGTCTGGGATGGCGAGGGTGTCCAGGTCAACCTGTGATTTGCTATTAGTCTATCTGATACTGGCGGTTTGGGGGCATAGGAATCACAACATACCTCACACACGGCAACGGGAGGTTTACCCTTTGCCCTGGGTCTGTCCTGCAGTGCTCTAACCTCTGCCGTAACAGTAGCAGTAAACAGACAAGTCTGTCTCTTACTCGACTCGGGCAGCACCTCCATACAAACACCCAGATCAGGCAACATACTTCCCTTGCCCGCAGCCAACAATCTATCGGCCTCATCCAATACCACGAATTTAACTCGTCTCAATCCAGCAATACTCTCTTCACCACTACTGTTGATATGATCTGCAAGTCTACCTGGCGTTGCAATAACCACATGCGGTCTCTTTGCCAATTCGATAGCTTGAGCCCTCATATCACTTCCTCCCGTCACCAAGCAAACTTTTAGATTCTGCACTGCGCCAATCGCCTTGAACTGTTCGAAAATCTGCAAAGCAAGTTCACGAGTTGGCGTCAACACGACCCCAAAAATGCCAAAGGGGTCTTTGGACCATTGTTGCAGGATTGGCACGGCAAAAGCAACGGTCTTTCCTGATCCGGTTCTGCTGCCGCCGATGCAGTCGCGTCCAGAGAGGATTTCGGGGATGGCGGCGGATTGGATGCGAGTGGGGTTTTTGATGGCCATGTTGGCGAGGGAAGAGACCAACCAGGGGGATACGTTTAGATCTGCAAATGTGGACTTTTCATTGCCCTTTTGGGCTGCGGCGATGGTTGAGGATGTCGTTGGTGCAGGTACGGTAGCAGATGTGGTGGTTTTGGCCTTGATGCGGGAGATGGATGGTTGGATGCGAGAGGTTGTAGCCATGGGAGCAGTTTTTTGGGTCTGTGCAGTTTCTGGCTCTGAGTCCGAGTCTTCTGATCCGGTGGGTGAGAGTCTGCGGCGCTTCCTGGATCCATTTTGGTTTACTTCTTTGCGCTCGCTGCGGTTGCTGATGGCGCCAGAGTCACTAGAGTGGCCAGAGTCCGAGCTGGCGATGAATGCGGCCATCTTTTCCTTGTTCTCCAGTTGTTCGGTTTCACTAGTCCTTGCAGCTATACAGTAATATTTTTTGTGGTGTTGTGTTGTTGTCGTTGGTGGTCGACTATTTTTCGCCTTGAATGGTCCGAAAATTTCATGTGCACGTGACGCTAGTATGATCTATATCGACCAAAAACAAAGAATCTCGAATCGAGCGACCATGGTTTCGGTGATATCTTGTGAACTCAAATATCTGTTTTCATATATACAGAACGTCTCGAATCGTAACTCTATTATTTTGTTTTCCACGCTTGATCTAAGCGGCAGTCTGTTCCTGCTCCTGCTTCGCCTCGTCAAAGAAGTCGGGAACCATCTCCTGCTCACGGTATCCACCTCTGGTGAAGCTCTTCATAGGAGTGAGACCGTACTTTGCGAACATGGCCTTGTCTTCGTCCCAGCCGTTGCAGTCAGTAGTCAACATCTTCTCTCCAGTGAAAATGGCATTGGCGCCAGCGTTGAAGCACAGGATTTGCTCTGCTTCACTCATGGTAGTGCGGCCAGCGGCGATTCTGATGATAGTGGCAGGCATGACAACTCTTGCTGTGGCGATGGTGCGTAGAATGGCGTCGAAGCTGATGCGTTTGCGGCTAGGGTCGTCACCGAGTGGCGTACCCTTGATAGGAACCAGAGCGTTGACAGGGAAAGATTCAGGGTGGGCAGGCATGTTGGAAACAGTGTAGAGCAGACCAACGTGGTCTTCGGGCTTCTCGCCCAAACCAAGAATCCCGCCAGAGCAGACATTGATGCCAGCCTTGCGCACATTGGACAGAGTCTCCAAACGTTCGTCATAGGATCTGGTCGTGATGACGGTTGGGTAGTGCTCTCGCGAGGTGTCGACATTGTGGTTGTATGCGGTCAAGCCAGCCGACTTGAGTTCATCGGCCTGGTTCTGGTCAATCATGCCGAGTGTGACGCAGACCTCCATGTCCATGGCGCGCACGCCCTCGACCATGGCCTTGACGTTCTTCAAGCTGGTCTTTCTTCCTCTCATGTCACGCCAGGCTGCACCCATGCAGAAACGTGTGCTTCCATTCTGCTTTGCGATACGGGCTTTCTCGAGTACGTCGTCGACTGGTGACATTTTGGTTGCCTTGAGACCTGCAACTTGCAATCAGCCTTGTTCTAGTCGAGACTCATATAGGTCGCGGAGATCATACCAGTGTTGTAGCGGGAAGACTGGGCGCAGTACGAGCAATCTTCCGAGCATCCACCAGTCTTGATGTTCATCAGAGTGCACATCTGAATAGACGAAGGAGAGTGGAATCGGCGGTGGAGAACGCCCTGAGCTCGTGTCAATCACATACAGCTCCAATGCTCACACAGCACGTGCACCTACCGATTGATGTGCCAACTCCATCAGAGGAGTCTTGTAGATTTCGCGAATCTCATCCTTGGACCAATCGTGTCTCGGTCCAGTCTGTCTCATGGCATCTTGAAGCACGTTTCCGGTTCTGGGCAGAGAGCTTGACCCTGCTGCCATAGCCATGCGGTCGTCCACGACTGTGCTGAAAGATCGGCCATTGGTGATTTGTCTCAACGACCGTGCTGCTTGTCGGGTAGACATTGTGAACGTGATGATGAGTGAGGAAAGAAAGGAGAGCGAATGAATCCTCCAACACAGTAACAAGCACACGGTTCAATAACAAAGACGGCAGAGAGATTGTGAGTGATGAGTCGACCAGACAGCAAAGGGTGAACTGTTTCTCCGTGCTCCCTCGGTATCGGGGTTGGTTGGTGGGGGGGAGCTCAATCGCGGGCCGGTCATCAATTTACCGACTCGCACGGTGATTGGCTGCATCGTCGGACAAGCATCGGAGACAGGCGCTAGAACCGGCCATTGGGAGATCTTCGACAGACCTGCAGGGAAGGTGCTCTTTTCCCCTTCGGTTCAACCAAATTTCTGTCGACCTTGGCTGCTTGGAGGGAGCAGAGGTTGAGAGGGGCCCATATCAATAGTCCGTATTCTGAGATATCTCCAATCTCAGCTCCTTTCTCAGCTGAAGGATTGTGTCGCAACGAAATTCTTTCCAGTGGTTCTGGCTCAATATTTGGAAAGCATGTCTCCTTGCTCGTATGGTAAGGTGCTTAATGTTGCAGGTCATCAGTCGAGACCGGCCGCGTGCGTGGTGCCATCATCATCTACGAGCCCCTGCTGTTTGCTAGCAGAGCGTTGGCTTTGTCCGGACGTGCCAAAATAGATCTCCAGTGACACGGACAAGCCAAGGGTTCGAAGTACTGAGCATTGCTTTGTTCAATCAAGCTGGTAGCAGGAATATAGAAAGGTCTCACTAACCAAGCATTATTGCCTGTTTTCTGGCGGTTGTTGATATTGATGCACATGTGTTCCAATACAGGTACAACCGTCGCATATCATCTTATGCAGTCTTGTTCATAAATCGTTGCAGACCCTGTGCTCCCGTTACCCTTCACAACTTGTGTCACCGCAGCTGCTATGCACCTGGCCGTTGAGCAGACGTTGTCGCGACCGCTGAGACGGAACAGCCACAGTCCATCAGCCGCGAGCAACGGCTGTTTAGGTCAGGTCTTATCACGGGTTTCGAAGAACGACATGATATGAGATAGAAGGTGCTAGACAGCAAGACAAGATACATGGCAGTAAGCAGAGTGCTTAAACGTGTCTTCCTGTCGCTACAATATACTCGTCGGCCAAGTCTGCGGATTCGTGCATTGGCAAAGGATTGCTAGCATGATTTGCAATGTCCGAGGTCCAGCCTCGGTTTTAGCCAGAGAAACAGACCAGAATTCCGTCGAAGACGGCACCTCCACGTCAACACGAAGAGCTGATGAGACCGGCAAACGCAGAGCTTCGACGCGGAGTCACACCACCGGTTGCTCAAGCTGGGAGAATTGCTTTCTACGCGCGTACCAGCTGCTCACAAGAAACATGTTCACGTAAATCCCGAAAAGTGCTCAGTCGAACCAGAGTTTCCCATCACAGACTATCAGACGGACCTGAGCGAGTCTCCACATAGTGTATGCACATCAATATTGAAGCTGAAAGGCTGTGCTGACATGGCATACCATGTACATAAGCTTTATAGAGAAACATGATTGACGTGTGCCACAAAGCGAGCACCCCCTGAGTCTCGGAGAATTGAATAATGCCACGGATTACGGCGCCTGGCTGAGACATCTGAGACGCGAGCCGTATCCAGAGAGCTGGTTTGAACGTTGTTGCCGAACAATGTACAACGGAGAAGGTCTCTGAACAGTGGAAGAAAAGTCACTCTCACACAGCTCGAGGTCGCAGAGCCAGACACACCGTTGTGGCATTGCCGGGGGCTCGAACTTATATACTCTCCATGTCATGAGAGAAGGGCTGCCGGTAGAGCAGACTGCAACTCAAACGCCAACCCCAGCGAGGAAAGCAGTTCTGGTACCAGCTCCCACATAGACGAAACCCAAATTACCCCAGTACATCGAATTCCAGTCCCAAAATTGCCAATAGACATCAAGACCTACGTCTTTGACGCTGTAGATGTGACCAAAGTCGGCGAGCAAGAGACCAAAGAGAAACACTCTCCAGACGCGAAGGTTGGTGGTTGAGCGTAAGACAAGGGCTTCGTTTAGTGCGAATACAGCGTACATATTTGCGAGTTGACTCAGAACGATGCTTTCACGGGCGGATGGGCCGAGAGAAACGGCCGAGGCCGAGGTGTAGGTCATGTCGAGGTAGTCATGTTGCTGAAACCAAGCGTAGTAGGCGCCGACAGCGGTAGCAACAGGTTCAATGTAGAGGAAGAACAGTCGGTACCACAGTGCGATGGCGGCGGCATTGGCAGAAGGCATTTTCTTATGGTTGTGATGAGTGCAGCAGGGAATAATGATGTACGTGCATGCAAAATGCTGCAGGATGGGAAAGAAAAAATCAAAGCAGGATGCAGGGTTTCGGATGGCGGTAAGCCAAGAGCAGAAATGACGATTGGATGATATGATTAGTTATGGCGCAGAATGGGTTTCCCTCGGAAGCAAGCCAACGGAGGGAAGAGGCGCACAAGCGGACGATGAACGGGGACGGTGGATGATGGAGACAAGCAGCAAGAAACAACAGTGACAAGGACGACGACAACAGCAACAAGAGTGATTCATGAAGCAGCACAAGCTCACGACGGTGCTGAGCGTGACGGAGGTCAGACGGGAGGCCTCGGGACGGCGGCCTGCTGCAACAGTATGGACAAAGTGCGAGACAAGCAAAGTAAGATTTGTCGAGGAGGTGAATTGGAAATGATGACGGAAGTCCAGTCCAATAACGCGATCGGGATGTCTCAGGTCTAGATAGAGTGTCTCGCTATGCAAAACAAGGCAAAGCGCCGGGCAACCAAGACGGCCTGATGATGGCTAGGGCCAATCCGTCGGGCCAGACGACACTTGGGGTGCTGGGAGAAAAACAGGGAGGTTCCTGTTGGTGCGCGCAGCGAGTGCAGCGTGTGTGGGAGATCGCAGGAGTCGACCGCGGGATTTGACTTTGCTACTGTTTGACACCAAGACGCTTTTCGATTCAACGGCAAGAAACGCAGGCTGTTTCCTGCTGCGCTGCTGTTGCTTCCCTTCCTCCTTCTTCATTCCAAACCAATCGCCGCCGTTTCGCTGTCCGTCTGTCGCCTGTTCGCTGCCAGTTTTATACCATAAAAACACATCGGCCGCCGCGACTGGGGTCCCCCGCCTAGACACTCGATCCATAGCCGTTTCGCTTCCTTCCTTCCTTCCCTTCCCTTTAACTCTCCTTTCCGCCTCGCCCTCGTCTTTTTCCATCTTCGACTTCTTTCGCCAACACCACCACCACCACACCCGCTATCCAACCTGCTCCACTCCTTTTTTGAACACGGCAATATTCCTCGCTCTGAAACTAAAAGTTTCCACTTCGGCCGTGTTCCTCTACTCCACTGTCTCAGCCGTAACCCGGATCCACTCTCACTCACTTCGACTCGATTGAATCCCCAAAAACTCTGTTTACTCCTTGCCAAGGGGCCTCTCTCAAGCCACCATGTCCGATTATGACCTAACTCACGTCTACGACGCTCACCTCAAGTACTACCCGTCCTCCCAGGCTTCGAGTGGTGCCGAGTCCTCTTCATCCTCGACTCTGTCTTCATCGCCCACCCGACCCTACACCTCCCAAGCATCTTCCACCGCCACTCTTGCTTCATCCATCCAAGGCCAACACATCTCTCGTCCATCAACACATCCTGTCTCCATCCCTCAACAATATCAATCACACGACCCCGAGGCTGACATGTTCCGCGACGTCGAGTGGAGATCACCTAAGCTGGACCAGAGTGAGAGAGAAATGTCTTTGAAGCGCGCCTCCTCGGCGGAACCTAGCCAGGGCGCCAACACAAAAACCAAGCAACAGAAGGAGAACGGCATCTTCAGAAAGACTTCGCAGAAGTACAAAGGTCTCCGTGCACACTTGCATGGAAGGACCCGACGCAACTCTGGCGACCTCATGGAGGGAGTCGAAGGTTCCGTTTCTGCAAGCATCCCCGAAAATTCAGCATCCATCGGTCCTTACTCCAGAGGCATTCAGCGTTTCAACCCTACCAATCGTTTACTTCAGTCCTTCAAGGCTCCCAGACACGACACACCGCAACCTGCCAACGGCACCTCGCCCACACTTCAATCATCCTCGACCATGCCCGCCCTCCACTACAGTGCCGATCAGCAATTCATGCAACGATACGTTTCCGACACACACGCTGGCGAGGCCGCTCGCCGTGCTGCTTCGGCGACCAATGCTGCCAGCTACGCACCAAGTAGCCGCTCCTTCGTTCCCCAATACCAAGCGACACGAGATCTTCACCGTAGTCGTATCGGAAGCATCCCTGGAGCCAGCGACAGTGGCGCTGATCTTGCCTCCAACGCTGACTTGGACGTTGAGATGGCTGATATTGCAGAGATCGTGGTCCCATCCACCAAATGCTCCGATCCTGTCGAAGCGCTTCCCACCGAAATTGTCGCTCTCATTCTCGCCCATCTTGACCCCGAAAGTCTGAAGGCCTCCCAACGTGTCGCTAAGAGCTGGTCTCGCATCGCCAAGGATCCTCTTATCTGGCGCGCTCAATATCTGCAACAATACGAGAAGCAGACCTACGTGTCTCCTGCTCCTATCCAGATTGGTGGTGCCGGCACTGGTATCCCCAACCAGCCCATGCAACATTGGGAATTGATGCACGACGCAAGAAGACGTATCGACAAGAACTGGACTCGCGGTGACCAGGGCGGCAAAGGTATCTACTTGGCCGGCCACACTGACTCCGTCTACTGTGTTCAGTTCGACGAGCAGAAGATCATCACCGGATCCCGCGACCGCACCATTCGTGTCTGGGATATCAACACCTACAAGTGTCTCAAGGTCATTGGCGGTCCTAGCGTCCGTCCTTCTCCCGGTCCCAAGGTCCTCCGTACTGTGGAATACCCCAAGTTCCAGCACGCCGAGTCATCTGTTAATGGCACTGCCTACGGCAACAGCATCTACCACGTTCCTTCCGACTTCCACAGCGCTAGTATCCTTTGCTTACAGTACGATCACGAAATCCTCGTTACTGGTTCCAGTGATAACGATCTTCTGGTTTGGAACGTCAACACTTACGAGCCCATTCGTCGTCTGAAGCAGCACACTGGTGGTGTTCTCGATGTGGCTTTCGATGAGAAGCACATCGTCTCCTGCTCCAAGGATTGCACAATTATTGTCTGGGACCGCAAGACTCTTGAGCCTATTCGCACTCTTACTGGTCATCGCGGCCCAGTAAATGCTGTCCAGCTCCGTGGCAACCTCCTCGTTTCTGCTTCCGGTGACGGTGTCGCTCGTCTGTGGGATCTGAACAAGATGCAGTGTGTTCGCGAGTTTCCCCAAAAGGAGCGTGGCCTGGCTGCTGTCGAGTTCAGTGATGACGCTAAGTTCGTCCTTGCTGGCGGCAACGATCATGTTACCTACAAGTTCGATGTCGCTTCTGGCGAAGAGGTCAAGACATTCACTGGTCACACCCAACTGGTGCGTTCATTGTTCCTCGACACCCAGAACCGTCGCGTTGTCAGCGGTTCCTATGACTTGGACTTGCGCGTATATGATTACGACACTGGCGCTCTTCTTGGTCGTTTCAACGAGTGGACCACTTCATGGATGTTGGCTGCCAAGTGTGACTACCGTCGCATAGTCTCGACCAGTCAAGACGGTCGCATCCTCATGATCGACTTTGGCCGCGATGTTTCTGGCCAGGTCATGCCCGGAGTCGAGCTCCTCAAGGGTGTGAACCCGCTCTCGCTATGAAACCGGGGAACATGAAGCAGCACATACGTGGGACGAACAACAAGGAGCATGGGATTTTTTCGAACAAGCGTTGATACCTCTTGACATTCAAAACGGGGTCTACTTGGGCCAGGCCAGCGGTATCTTTCATTTTCTGTCACTTTTTCTTTTCCGTCCAATAGACCACTTTCCTTTTTTTTCACTTTTGTCTTTTGGAGACACGGGGGCTGGGGGCAAGCACAAGGCATAATCGAGCGTTCTGTCTTTTTCATTTTGGGTGGTTCAAGAACTATGGGCGTTCTTTCTTTGATGTGTTGGATTTTTCTTCATCGTTCTCTCTCTCTTTCTTTCTCTTTTGACTCTGACTCCATTGCAAATTCAACAAGGTGCCTCATTGGCATACTTTTTCTACATCACTCATGCTTCCTTGGTCTTCGTTTCCCGCTTGAACAAACCCCTCTGCTCGAACACGCAATTGTTTTTCTGCTTTTGAACACGCAAAAAGTCCTGAACCTTGTGTCTCTCAGGCTATCCATTGGGCAGTCGTCAGCTTTTTGTAATTATACGTTCCAGCAATGGCATTGCATTCTCAGATCTTTCCATGTCTCTGCGTAGGAGTATTGATTCAAGTCACTACATCAGTGACCAAGTTTCGATGCTTAATGCGTGCTCAAACGGCTTAGAGATGTCCTCGCTGTCACTCAATCTTGTCGTCCACCGTATAGTGATGCAGACTATAAGAAAAGGCAAAAAGATTCTAGTATCAACAAAGCCCGGCCTTGGTTCACAAAAAAATGATCCTCAAGCCCTGTAGTACCTATTCTTTACCTTCAGCACAGCCGATACATGGCTTGAAGCTCGATGATCAGCTCGTATCACAGTGAGAGGCTCCGGAGTACAGTTTTCCAGGAGACAGAAAAGAAAAATATTTTGCGTCAGGGTCGTACCCACCGACGTCAAGACTTGCAATACTCGAACTCACGACAACTTTGAAAACCATGCATGCGAGTATAACACTTTTAGTCATGGGTTCAGGCTAGTTACTAGCACAGCAGAACGTCCAGGATGGGATACCGAGCAAGATGAAAACCAAGTATCATAGAAGTCAAAAAGGGGGTATCTTTTCTAGTAGGGAGGAGAAAGAAGCAAAGGTGACTCTATCGACCATCACAAAACAATCAACAACTCTTCAGAGCTGTCGTAAGAACAGGTCATCTCTACTTCATAGCCATCAGAAGCTCCCTGAACTTCGGTCCCAACAGCTTGATCGTCGTCTCCGCTGACGGCGCCTCTGGAGTTTTGTCACCAACAATCTTGTCCGCCTGCTTTTGCTCAACGGCAGATCCTTTGGTCTCACCATCGACATCCTTTCTGGCCTCTTGCTTGACACTGGCACTGGCACCCGTGCGGACAGGTCCTTGAGCTGTCTCAGGGGTCACCAAAGTGGAGTCGAGCAATTCCTGCCATCTAGCCAGATAGGCTCCGGGTCCGTATGGTGTGGAGGCTTTGTTGCTGATCACGTCGCTGATTCTAGCTGCGGATGACGCGTACAGTGCATCCACGTATTTTGCTGATGCATCGACTTCTTTGCGGACTTTCTCTTGCTCTTCGGGCTTGAGTTTGTCGAATGCGGTGGAGAGGGACTCGTAGATTGATGGTGAGGCGTGTTGTTGCTTGAAGTTGGCGGTTACCTGGTGGACATAGTCCTTGAACCACTGTGTCACTTCCTTGCCGTTCTTGGCTACTTGGTGTATGAAGCGATGCGAGGCGCCCATGTGGCTGTGCAAGAGTTGAACGAAGTCTTCGACGCTGGGAGCTTTGCCATCCTTCTTGGGCTTGCCGACTTTGATCATATCATCCATGAAGGCCTGGAAGTCCCCAACAGTGGCACTGAGATCGACAGCTTGGTGAACCTGTCTGATCATGGGCTCGTAAGCAGAAACACCCTCGCGTACCGCTTGCGTAAGGTGATCGGGGCTGTTGTGGCAGAGAACGTCGATGATCTTGTTCCTGTCACGGACAGCTAAGCTCAGGGACAGGAACTCAAGAGCCAGTTTGTGCTGCTTCTCGTTGAGATCCGGACTCGCTGACGACAAAGATAGAATGGTCGATACAATCGACATAGACTGCTCCTGGCTTCGTCTGCGGCATTCTTCTTGCTCTGCTCGACTTTGATCCATCCAGGCTTTCAGTGCTTCGCGTTGTTCCTTGGAAGGTGCATCTTTGTCTTTCTCGATCTTCTCCAGTCTCTTCTTAAGCTCCTTCTTGTCCCAGCCAAGAGTTGTAGAGATTATCTGTTGCATCAAGTTCATACCCTCGTCGGCTCCACTGCTGAGACCGACCCAGTTTGTAAGGCTGCCGACAGACACTTTTGCGAGGAACACCCGCACCATTCCATTAATCATAGTGGCGACATTTCCGACCTTTAGTGTCTGTCTCATGAGGGTGTACGGCGCACTAGAATTGAAATCAGTAATGTTCCAGCGTGGGTACAGCCTATTATCAAGGCGTAACTGCGACAGTCCACTTACAGCTTATGTACATTCTCCACCATGCGAAGTAATGACGGGCCTTCGGGACTGATGACAAGTGTATAATGCATGAAGGACGCAAGACTGCAGCACATCAGTCAGCGAGATATCAGAACAAGGATCGAGACTCGATGCATACTTTACAACGACAAACTCATGAGCAGCTTGTACCAGACTGTCGTGCTTGCGCAGGTCGTCCGTCTCTGCAGCTTTGGCGAACAGCTTGTCGAACAGATCACCATAAACCAGCTGCTGCATGAAGACGTACCAGGCACGTAGTACATCATCAGGCTTAGTTGGATCGAAGTGTTGTTCCTTGAGGGCCGCCTCATCCTTCTTGATGCCACCATAACATCCTCTGGCCGGATATTCTATCAAGGCCGAGATGGCAGTGGCCAATGTCTTTCTGATGCCCAAGAGACCTTTGTCGTAACTCTCACTCAGATTTGCAGCTGCCAACTCTTCTATTATGCTTTCGACTTGTACCTTCCAGAAGTCGGGCGAGACATCGCGGAGTCCAGGGAGCGGGAGGATGAATTTTTGGAGCAGCGATTGCAGGATGGGAGAGGACGTGGTTTTCGTATCTTGGAATGGAGGGCCGTATTTTTGGATGGCGGATGGCGATTTGAATTGGCAGATGTCGTCGTAGGTTGCGTAGTGGGTCAAGAGGTCGAACAGAGCACTGCTCTGCTCGGGACCTAGGTGTGAGGTCGACATGTGTAGAGGATAGAGATGCTGTAGTTGGTTATGATCCTAGAGTGCGAGTGTGAGGATAGAAAATGTCGAAGGTCGTGTTTGGTTGTGGATAAGAGAGAGTCGAATTGACCTGGCAAACACATGAAATCTAAATGTCGGTGTCGTCATAATTGAAGCAGTCGCGATCACGCTCACGATGCGCGTGCATGGCCCAGCGCTCTTTCCTCCTTGACATTTCACACTCTCAGCAAGTTGTCGAGAACATGATCTAGTCATATGCTTGTCTCGTCTTCTTATGCTTACCACTATGTGTCAAACTTTGGCCGTACAGCTGGTTTGACTGCATTCTATTTCTGAGCATGCGACGCAGTCTATCCCGCTGCTCTATCGACGCGCTCCAACACATCATGCCCAGAATCACAACCTCAGGAGAAAAAACTGCAGTCCTTGCCAGCGTCTAAGCCGATAACTAGTAAGGTATTTTGTTCATCAAGCTCACTCAAAGGCCACTATGAAGCTGGTGCCTCTGCTCCGTTCGGCTCTACGACGTGAAGGATGAGCTTTGGAGGCTCAAGGTACCATGCATATCGCACGATTACTTCGTTTTGAACAAGCACCTTCAACAGAGGCTTGGATATCTTGGCTTCCTCTGCAGAGAAGGGAGCCCTGATTTCCCTCACGGGTGTCTACTTATTATCAGTCTTTCGAAGTAAACACACGTGTATGTGGTGAGCAAAGAGGCATACATCATTATAGCCAGGAATCTCCGCCTCGGATGAGTTTTGAGTGTCTGCCATGGTCCTTCCAGATTGTTTGAAGGAAAAGCGAGGTATGTTACAAAGTCTAGGTCATTAGGAAGGACGCAAACAGAAGATAAGGACCACACCCTAGACTAATACATTTGTCGCTTGAGATGGTTGGATGAGTAGGGCTGTGGATGACATCACACTCCTTCCTTCGCTCTTCGTATCGATTGGATCATCAACTTGAGAGATAGCCTGTGATGAGCGTGTGTGATCGGCATCAGATCGCAGTGCCAACCAATGTCGAAGTAAGCACGTAGTTTCGCAGAAGCATCTTGGAAGGAACGGCTTGTAAAAAAAGACTTCGACGTGGATTTATTGCTGTATCTAGCATCTGGTATACCCAGACTTCTTTATTCGTTTGTATTATTTTTTACTTTGTCTTTCTTCGGGAAATGCATCCTGTAAGGGGATATGTACCGGGAGAAGAATTTGGGGCGCCTGCGCCTGATCAAAACCATTATGCCGAGTCTATGCGATGTGAAAACGCCAAGTCAATAAAACGATGATGAGGGTATTGGTGAAAAGAGGATCGCGGGATGTTGAGATGAGCCTTCTAGTTCTTGAGAGCGGGAGGAGTCGAGGGACGAGAAGGGTTGGGAGTGTCTGAGATGGCAGATCCCTCAAGTTTCTGCGTGACCCCGAGAATCTCGCGAACCTGCTTCTGGCGCTCACGCTCGATACCGTGCATGACAGCATCCAGAACGTTGGGGACGGTGGCCTTGGGCTCAAAGCGAGGGGTTGTGCCGTGCTGGTAGACACCAGTCTCGACCAGAATAGAGTACCAGTTCTGTTCGGTGACCTTGTTGAACTCGTTGGTGCCACGGATGTCGGACTCAGGGGTGTCTCCGACAAAGTAAATGGTCTCCGGAGGAGCGTCAATACCGTGGGTGTACTTGCGCCAGTGTTGCAGGAGACGAGTGGCGAACTGGAAAGTACCAATCTGAGGTTTGCCGAAAGCAACCGTCTCCAAATCTTTACCAGTGACGGCCTTGTACATAGCCTCGAGGGAGACGCGGAGAGCACCCATGCCGAGACGAGTGTGTTCGTGAGAAGCGGACCAGATGACATCGTTGTGGGAGAAGAAGACGGGAGGGCCCTCATCCAAAGTCTCGGAGCGAGTGCCGACGACACCGCCCTTGGACATCAGAAGATCAAGAATGATCTGCTGGTCACCGGCCCAATCACGGCTGTCGGCGAAGACGAAGATGGCCTCGATCTTGACGTCCTTGAAGTCACGCTCGCGGGAGTGCTTCAAGTCATCCTCGGTCATGGTGCGGAAAGGTGTGGTGTCAGGGTTGTACTTGATGATGTCTCCGGGAGTGACGACGTCCTTGAAGCCATAGCCCTCAGCGACCTGACGGCACTTGTCGCCCTCACCACCAATGACGAGGACGGTGTTGTACTTGCTAGCCATCTCCTTCATGGGTGTGTGACCACAAATGAACTGACCAGGTGAGACTTCGATGTCGAGCTGCTTGCTGAGCTGAATGCATCTCTCTTGCTCAGTCTTGCCACCACCGTTGGTAAGGAAAATGTAGGGACTGAAGAGTCAGTATTGAGACTTTGCCGTCCCGAAGGAAAAAGAACTTACATCTTGATTCCATATTGATTTTGACCGTTGAGCACCTTCATGGCCTCAATAGCCTCGGGAATAGGACGTCCACCACGGATCAGAACACCATCGATATCGAAGGCGTACGCATATCTGTCGGTGACACTCGACTCCTTGGGTGTGTCAGAATCCTCAAGAGGAGTGATTGCTTCAATCTCTTGTCTGGCCAATTCCATAGAAGCCGCGATATCGTTGGCTTCCTGGTCGACGAGGTGGGGAGGTACGACGATGGCGGGGCCACGCGAAAGAAGATCAGCTGTGGCATCCTCGCTGGACAACCTGCGCAGAGTGCGCGGTCTGGGAGGGTTGGATTTTGTGGTAGTGCTCATGGTGGCTCTGAAATTTGATTGTGACTGATATGAAGGACAACACAGAGGAAGACGGAGAGAGAGAAATATGTGGGAACCGCGTGCGGGGAAAAGAAGGAGAGTGTCAACAACCTAGAGGACAGCGAGCGTCATGGCCGCCTATGTATATATGAACCGAGAAAGCACCTTGGGTTCCTGGTGCCTCTGGTTGAACCTAGCCCGACTCCGCGCGATTAACGTAAAAAGCCTCTGACGAGTTAGCGCGGCGGACCATTTGGTCAACGCTCACCAAAAAATGTTTGCGGCTCAAATGGATACTGAGCTTCATCTCCTCGACGCTGCAGTAACGTGCTATACCGCATCTCAAATCCGAGGTCCAGACCCTGTGGATGGCGCCAGGTCTTAAAGAGCGTCGTCTGGCGATATGAATGGCGTACAAATGATGTTTGACTTGTCTTCAGTTGTCAAGCGCAAGGCCGATGCTTGTGACGACATGGTGGCGCTTTCCCACGTTGCCGGCGAGCGTTCCTCCTCCGACCTCCCGTGTTTTGCTGTCTCAACCGATTGTCGATGTTGATATGCCGTACAAATCTGCATCAAGGCGGATATAACTAATATTGTACTCATCGATAGGATCACGTCTTGCATCCCTAGTCGTTTGGATCCGTGAGTGTATAGAAGATTCGATCCGAGTGTAATCACCGTTGAGATCTCACACATCGTGCAAGAGTTTGAGTAGGTGATTGATCGAGAGATACCGGCTCAATGTCCATGCAGGATTGTTGGTCTGGCAAATTGACCATAAGAAACCCTTGCTCAGCATAACTAGAGTGTTCATGCTCCGCTTCGCCCTCGCTTGGAGCCATTCCTCAGCAAAAGGCGTGTCAGATAGGTCGGAGAAGTAAAAGTCGCACTTGGTGTTTGACCAGATTTGGAAGTGACTACCCACACGGGTAGCTTCCTTAAGTATGGAAAGATGTAGGATAGCTTTTCAGCGCTGGAGGGATTTCTCACCTCACCTCAATTATTCACCATTCCGAGCACCATGAACTGGACTGGAGGCAAGCTACGACGAAACTCGAAGAGCAAAGGCAATGCGGTGGTTGAACGTCAGAAATCACACTTTGCCAGAGCCCGCAACAAAGCGCACAAAAAGGCTACCTCTTCGACCAAAGGCTGGAACGACACTTCCCCCACCCGGCCTGCATCTCCTCCGCCACTCAAGAAAGCTCGAACACAGCACAAAAACTCTGCAAGAGTACAACAATGGTCTATATCTGGTCAGAAAGATGGGCACCGCCTTGTAGGAGATTTTGTGCTGCCACCAAGGGACAGCGAAGTCCACGTGAGGGTGGGCAAACGAGCCTTTGCCAGTCAGCTCGACACGACTGTGGCTAGTCCTTCGACCAGGGTTCGATCGCACTCGGTACCTCACTCGGATTACTCCTCCAACTCAATGCTCCTCGACGATTTCGACCAGCAAGGCTCAAGAACCAAAGTCTCCGATAGTGGCGGATCTCATCATTCGGATCAAGGCAACAGCTTAACATCATCACGCTTTCCAGAACGAACACGGTTCGCATTGAGCGACTCGTCAGAGGACATCCTGCAGAGCCAGGATGATACCCGGCATCCCTCAGACTTTGCGGCACGTGCAACCTCAGTTGTTCATGCTATCACAGGTTCTGAAAATACTTCGAACAACACATCAACCGAGGTAATGCAGAGTAGTCCGGATACGGCTGAGAAATTAGGAGTCTCACCGGTCAAATTGCGACATGAGCATCCGGACATCTCTGGAGCTTACGCTCTAGGTTGTGCTACAAGTTACAGTCACGAGGACCTTGAAGATAAAGATGATGCTTGGCTGAGATTCATCCAAGAGGAGAAAGTGGAAGTTGGTCATGTAAAAAGTGATCGGTTTGCTGCACCTCAATTTGAGAAGCAAGCCTCGCCAAATGCTCTACCTACTTTGACCGTGGTTCAAGACGAGCCGCAAGATGAGCCGCAATACGCGGTCAGTCTTCGTGACAGCACCCCGCATTCGTCCTGCCCAACAGCACGCGCGTGTTTGCTCGAAACAGGAACATTCAAGCGGATAGGCGGTGAGACAAGCGAGAAAGGACCCAGACTCGGCAACGACGATCAAGTATGGAGACGTTTCGTGCTGGGCTACGATCCGGCGGAGGCTTCATGACTATTCGTTTCCATCAGACATGGAGCGTATGGAATTCCAACTTCGAGACGTACTCGAGACGTACACATTCAGGGGTCGCTGGAAGAGGTGAAGAGTGCTACCACAAACGTTTTCGACTCCATCTGAGACTTGACCTCTTCGAGACATACAGCGGTTTCTTGCTTGCTACTGCAAGGTAAACGGCCAAAAGCATGCCACACGCAGTTAACGACATGTGGGGTTATGTGTTGTTCTTTCTCCCAGCACACGGGAATAGTTTCTGACATGTCGCAAAAGCTCCACGAAGTCAGACACACATGGCTCCTTCAATGCGTGTATATCACTATCGAGCGACTCACGTGGTACAAGATAGGATAAGCCGAGCTTCTTATGCATGTCTACAACCACAACCTCTTATTAACAGATGACGGTGAGGTGCTTGTTCACGCACGTGTTGACTGCCCAGCCCCTTGTCAGCATGAACACGGTTGTGGCGTAGGATGTAAAGCACTGTAACGCTAATGCGACAGTATGTTTAACGTGAGCGCCGGCAGGTCAAGCCGTACCAAGGACTGTTTGACGACTCCTACCCTTGATACTGAGATATCCTGATACTCACCCCACAAAGATGTCGTTGCCTGACGTTTCTTGCGCGAGCCGCAGAACAGTTTCGGATTGCGATGCGAAGTGTCCCGTCTCATGCCGTCACGCTGTCCAAACTTCAGGGCCGGATAGGGTTGAGGAACATGGATGCTCTCAAAGTATCCCAATCTCGTTTGGCTCCTCTGAAGGATTCGAGAGCGGTGGGTTTAGCTACATGAATCCGTATCTAACGGCTGCGAGTTGCAACCCCCTTCGAAAGTCGGAGCGAGTCTGGCATCCTAATTCCCGACGATGAACAAGTTTGCCCAGCTACGGATCGACTGCACGGTGATGTCTACAGCCTGGGTGGGCCTTGGGACGATGACAAGCCTGAGGGTGCGGCTATCTAGCCGTTGTGCATTTAATACGGTTACGGGCATATATGAATTGCGGGGGAAGATTTCAATCAAAAAAACAAGGTGTCGCGGCAGATTGCGATGAACATTCGATGGAGCGTGTTTCAGCTGCGAGGGCTCGGAGCGGATGCGGCCGGCGCGTGAAGTGCGTAAAGATGCAAGTTTCGCCTTACCGTCACCTTACATGGGCCCTGGTCAGTGATCACGGCAATTGGGAGAGTTGGCGAGTCGCAAGTCCCAAGTTGATGCTGGCGTGAGCAGGAATCGATTACCTACCAAGGACTTGAGGGCCAGGGAAGCAGGTTTCGGTTGTCACGGTGCATGACAGGCAGCAGATGCCCAGAGGACATGGTTCCGTGGGCCGTGGGATGCAGTGGTTCCTTTTCGTTTTAGTGGAGCTGTCAGACTAAAGTTAGCCTACGACGGGGGTAGGATGAGCTTGGCGAGAGGCATGTTGGAGGTTTCGTTGCAGTTTTAGAGGGTGCCAAGTCAATGGTAGCCGTATCAGGAGATGATGCGAACAGTTCTCGAAGGAAGCAGGCAGGCGTCAGCGCGGTTGGTATGTGTTGGTCGTGCATGCGTGCGGAAGGATTCGATCATGTCCAGGGGGTCGGGCTCAGATCATGACATTGACTCTTCGGCTGACGGCAGGACGAGCCGGGCACTTTTTGCGCCAACGCCAAATAACCATTCACCCTTCCTTTTTGCTCTTTACCTACCATCGCCCGGCCTGTGTCTCACCTCTCTCCTTCATCCCCGGTCTCCGCTCCGTTGTTGCTGCTGCTCTTGTTCAAGACTCTTGCTACGCCCTGCCGACCTACATACGTTCCTTACCCACTCGCATCGCCCAACGGCCTCAGCCTCCCGGAACAAACTATTCTCGTCAAGCCCCATCAGCCTTAAGCTCCATATTCTATCGCGACCGCCTTGTCTTGCGAGATCCATCTGCACCTGCGCGCCACCCGTCGCATTACCAACACCCATACCCCCCGGATAGGCTAGTCCTTGGAAGATGCATCACCGCCTCGCCATTCTCTCGACATGAGCCTGACCCAGTCCTACTTCGCCGCCGTCCCTTCGCAAGAGTCGCCTCGACACGACCTGTCACTCAACCACCACAATGGCATCTATACCGCAACACAACCTCTTATGATCCCTACCAGCGCCCCTTTCTACCCGAATTCATCTCTCGCCATGGCCTACACCCCTACATCCGCCGCTTCAAAGGCCTCGACAGCTGCCAATAGCCCCAATGATGCCTCCATGTCACACTACCAACGCTCCGTTGACCGGGCCGCTCCTATCTCTCTGCCGCCTCCTGCCATGTCAGACTATCCTTCTCCCGCGCCTGCTGTGTCCTCGTCTTACAGCTCCATGACCGAGGCCTTTGGCATGTCCAAGGGCACTGGTCTCATACGCCGACTATCTCGTGGTGCCCACAACAGACTCAGGCGACGTCCTTCAACCACGCAAACCAATCGCATCCGCGACCAAAGCGCCGGTCCCGTTCTAGTGCGGAGAAGGAGCGACAGCACTGGTCAGTCCGATTTAGCCGGTGATATGTCGGACCTGGATCTTGGACGCACTTCAGAGGATGGCAACGAGGACAACATTACTTCCTACCCACCTCCAGAGTCATCAATATCTCTCGGTCTTCAAGCTAGTCGTAAGGTTTCAGCAGCAATGGCCGAAGGTGGTGTTGCTCCAACCATCTCATCAGTTCTGGAGCAAGGCACCTGGCTCACCAAGGTCACCAAGAAGAAGCGCAAAGTCCTCAAATTTCGCTTGGACCCTCTGGCTGCCAAAGTGTGCTGGAACCCCTCAAATCCTTCCAAACAGTTTTACATCGATGATGTCCGCGACATCAGAGTTGGTGCTGAGGCAAAGTCATCGCGCCAGGATATCCAGATTCCTCCAGACCAAGAGCGATGCTGGATCACCATCGTCTATGACGCCTATGAACGATCGAAGGGAAGTTCTATCAAAACCATGCATCTTATCGCTCCAAACGACTTCATTGTCAAGCTATGGACTGATGCGCTGAACGTCGTGTCCCGCGAGCGTATCGAGATCATGAACGCGCTATCAGCGAACCCCGAAAAGAGCGAGCGCAGCATGAGGATGGCGTGGAAACAGGCCACGTCACGCAAGAATCCTGACGCCGAGCCAAAAATCGATTTCGACGATGCAAAGTGGATCTGTCGCAAACTCGAAATTAATTGTTCCATCAATACCGTCCGTACGCACTTCAATCACGCGGACCATGATATGGTCGGGGAGCTCAACTACTCGCAATATCAGTACTTTGTTAATCTGTTCAAAGTCCGCAAGGATGTTCAGTCACTCTACTACGGCATCAAGCGCTCTGAAGAGCCAGAGTTGAGCCAAGAGGCTTTCCTTGATTTCTTGCGCAAGGAACAACGCATCGATGTCGACAAGGATCGTGCGTCATGGGAAAACAAGTTTGAGCTTTATTGTCGAAGCGCCTCTGGGAAAACCACTGATCGACAGGTACCCCCCACCATGAATCTGCAGGCTTTCCAGACCTTTCTTTCCTCTGGGTCGAACGGGGCCACTGCATCAATCAAATCCGACCCTACGCTTGATCGTCCACTAAATGAATACTTCATCTCAAGTTCCCACAATACATATCTCATGGGTCGCCAAGTTGCAGGTCTGTCCAGCGTTGAGGGCTACATCTCAGCCCTTGTCAAGGGTTGCAGGTGTATCGAAATCGATTGTTGGGACGGCAAGAACGGCTTGCCCATTGTCAATCACGGTCGTACTTTGACCACCGAAGTCATGTTCGAGGATTGCATTGCTGTCATCTCGCGCTATGCGTTCGCATCTTCGGTCTATCCATTGATCATCTCACTGGAGGTTCACTGTAATCCAGATCAACAGCTGCACATGGTCAACATCATGAAGCTTTATTTCGGAGACGCTTTACTTACCACACCTCTGTTGGACAACGCATCTGTGCTTCCATCTCCAGAAGAGCTCAAGAACAAAATTCTGATCAAGGTCAAAGCTGCGTCACAGCAATACGGAGCACTTGATATTGCAGATAATGCTAACGCTAGACGGCAACGAAGTTTCAGCTCGCCGTTCAGCCGAGCTGCAGACAACAGTGTTCCTCCATCACCGCTGCAGAACGCTGTGAATGGTGATGGACATACTACAAGACCATCAAACACCTGGCCTGTGCTGCGTGGTTCTTCATCTGCTCAAAGCACAGTGCCTTCAACATCGAGCTCTTCGGAGGACAGCGATAGCACGCCTGCCTCTGTTGATTCAAAAAAGAAGAACAGCAACAACAAGAAGACTAGCAACATTGTGCCCGCTCTTGGCGCGCTTGGTGTCTACGCTTGCGGCATCAAATACTCGGACTTCTCTGCCCAGGAAGCACGAACATACAACCACATCTATTCCTTTGCTGAGAACACCTTTGAACGCATCTCCAGAGATTCTGAACTCAAGAGCCAGCTTGAGAAACACAACTCTCGGTACCTCATGAGAGTGTATCCTGCTGCCATTCGTATCGACTCTTCAAACTTCAACCCGCTTCAGTCTTGGAAGCGTGGAGTTCAAATGGCGGCTTTGAACTGGCAGACTTACGACATTCACATGCAAATGAATGAGGCCATGTTCGCCGCCGGCACAGATCGGACTGGATATGTCCTCAAGCCAGAGGAAATGCGCTACACCAAACAATCTCAAACCAGCAGCTCCTTGCTGGAAAGTCTGAAACTCCACAAAAGAGGAAAGCATTTGGTGCAATTCAGCATCGATATCATCTCAGCCCAACGTCTTCCTCGACCTCGCAATCACAACCCTGAGCAAGGCATGAACCCGTATGTCGAATATGAGGTATACACCGCCGAAGACAACAAGTCTCGCGGCTATGCCAAGCACGATGGAGGCATTGACATCCAGCCTTCTGGTTTGGGACCCTCTGTGAAGAGAAGAACCAGACTGATCGAAGGCAATGGTTTCGATCCAAACTTTGGTGATTGCTTCAGAGTTTCTCTTGAAACCAAATACCCCAGTCTCGTCTTCGTCCGCTGCACAGTCTGGAACTCGCCCGACGGACGCAACGCCTCGTCCAACAGCACGCTCCTTGCCACTTTTACTGCAAAACTCACCAGCCTGCAACAAGGCTATCGCCACCTTCCCCTCTTCAACTCCTACGGCGAACGCTACCGTGATGCCAAGCTGTTCGTCCGCATCAGAAAAGATACACCAGTTGCTTTGTCGTTAGCTGAAGCAGAAGCGAACGACGAATCTAGCCCTACTGTCTCGGGACCGCGGGCGGAATCCATCAGACAAGGGTCAAGGTCATGGTCTAGGAAGATCTTCAACCGAGCCTCGAGCGAGAGAAGACGGAGACCACAATGGCCTGAATGGCAGGGACCTCTCAGCCGAACCTCCAGCACTGAACGATACTCATGATTCCACGGCCTTGCATACAATCACGCCTTCCTAGCCACGAGTTGACTTGTCGGCTTTCTCTAGGGTTTCTTATCTCTCCTCTGTTATCCGATCCATCTCATTGTCAGGGGGTCTCTTTCCTCTTTGGGCATCTTTAGGCGGGAAGTCTTTGGCGTTTACCTGGATCCATCGTTCTCGAATACCCCCCAACATCAATAGCGGTCCGCCTCTTCACTTTTTCTATGATTGATTATTCTACATCAAACACTCGTTGTCCCCGTTCAAAGAAACACTCGCTGGTGGCGTTCCTCTCCCTCTACGCTCCAATGAGAGCAATTCTGATACCCCTGTATTATTACCTCACTCTCCGCTCAACGATGTTGAAGCTTGAGAACAACGTTCGCTTCTTCTCCTTCTCGGCATTTTCTAGCCATGTTTCTTCTTCTTCTTCTTCTTCTTTTGTATACAATTAGATCTTGTTGTTTTCTTTCCATATTTCTTGTTTGGTTTACCCTCTGACGAGCCATCATATCGGGCAGGCACCGGTTCATGAAATTCGAGGTGGATGGTGTTGGGTGGACGGCGGCTATCAATTGAATCTTATGGTCTTTGTACCATCCTTCCCTCCCACGCTTCCTTGATGATATCTTCTAAGCACCTTGCTATCGTGAACCGTGATGTCTCTGGAGTGCTGATGATGTGTCCGAATCTGAGAAAAGTAGTGTTGTAATTCTCGTGCACGCCTCTCCGTCGTCACACGTGTAGCTCGCGGGATATAAGATAATGCTGAAGAGAACAAAAGAAACGCCATGCTGTTGACGTTTAAAAAAGAAAAGTAAATCAACAAGTAAAGAAGGGTATCCGTGTACTGAACAAAACTCCCAAACCCGAATGAAAAAAATGCCTAGCAGTCGAGCCGCCAGCACCTCGATCACCACTATCAACCATCCACCCACCACCTCTGCCGTCCTCCTGCTTTCCCCTCCTCGCACTGCCAAGTTCTAGTTGATCTTCTTGATCCTCTTCTTTGCAACATCAATCTTGCCTTGCACACGATCGACATCCGTATCCAACATTCCCAACATCTCGTTTTGCACCACCAACTCTTCATTAATCATGATTCCCATCTCCTTCATTCTGGTTACTGCTTTGCCAATCTCGAGAACGTCTTGCTCTTGCTCTCCCATGATGCGCTGTTGTAGCTGGAGCACACCTTTGTTGTCCAGTTCTCTTGTTTTGTCTGTTTCTTGAGCAGGGCCGCCGAGAACGCGACGGGAAGACCGCATGGAGGCTGTGTTGTGCTCGCCCCAGAGCGCGCGTTTGTCGCTTTCGGAGGCGGTGGCTGCGGCTGAGGTTGCGCTTAACATGCTTCCTTGAGGTTTTACGACTAGAGATTTCAATTGGGATTCCAGGGTTTCTGTTTCGGAGCGGGCGAGTTGGAGCATGTCTTTTCGTCTGCGCACTTCGCCTTCTCCCAGGCGAGAGGATTGGCCCCAGTCGCCGTCGCTGTCGTCTTTGGCTTTTGAGGCGGATTTGGACAAAGCGGCGTCCAGGGTTGCTAGGCCGGTTGCTGCGCGCACCAGAGAAGCCTTTGCAGAGGCGGAGATGGCGTGTTGTTCTTGTGCGGTGGCTGCTGCGTCTCGTTTCTTGAGCAGTTGGCGTGCTTCCTGCAATTGATCTTTTACAGATCTGTGCAGGTCTAGCCAGGCGGCTGGATCGGCAGCTGCATTATCATTTTGCTGTCTGATTTTCTGGGATTGCGAGGGATCGTTGGGCAGGCCTAGGAAGTGGCGCCAGGATGTCGAGGAGCGCCAGCGTGCGTCGTTTGCGTCGAGGATTGCGCGGACGTAGGCTTCGAGGCCGCGGCGGCGTTGCTCGGTGAGTTCTGCATTGTTGACGGTGCTACGCAGCCAGGATTTTGCGGGTAGAGGGGAGGGAGGTGCTGAGCCGGTTGTTGAGAGAAGGGTCTCGTGTAGGGAGGTGAAGTCGGAGTAGCGTTTGCGCGTCTCGTGGGTGCGGATGGGGAGGGCGAGTTGGATGTGGTAGAGCGTGTATGATTTGTTGCCTTGTTGGGCTATCGAGGTCGTCGGAATCGAGATCTGGAGAGAGGGCGCCATGGTTGTGTGAGGTGCAGAGAACGAGGAAGGGACGATGGACGTTAGGCACCATGTCATTGCTGGCTCTAGGCCGACCACACACGTGCCACCGAGAGGGTCGGCCCTCTGCCGCAAACTCTCGCATCCACCTTTGTTGCTTCGCTCGACATCTCGTCGTCTTTGATTTTTGCGTCAACACCTCACGCTCATACAATCAATTACCATGCAAGTCTGTACACTTCCTATCAGACAGGTCGCCTTAGGCTCGAGGCTATGGTACTCGGCCATCACTTCACGTGCTTTCTCTGTTTCCTCTGCCTGGATCAAAGCGGCCCAGACGGTCCAAACACCAGAACATGCAATGTCCAGAGATGCCGCATTGTCAGAAACACCTGGACTCGCACGGAGTTCCGCACTATCAGAAGACTCCGAACTCGCAAAACGCTCAACACGAGCACGCTATCAAGAGCGCCAGAATGCATATAAACGGGCCAAATATGCAACCGATCCCAAATGGCGAGAAAGACATAATGCGAGGTCGACGGCATGGGACTCGCTTCAGCGTACTTCTAATCCTGAATGGAAGGCTAGCAAGAAGGAATCGGCTTCGCTTTATTATTACACTAAGCTTAGAGAGGATCCGTTTTCTGTCATCCGAATCTCACTCCGCAACTGGGTCTATCACCTTCCTCTCACCAGGGATCGACTGTCTTGGAGGAAACATCTGCCAATCTTGACCGACGACAGGGTCGAACGTCACTGCGCCTCTTGCCATTACAGTCCACGTCGCGGAGGGAGTCGGCTTTGGTGGCAGCGACGACAGAGCCTCCAAGACGGTGCTACTCTCTATGATTGCAACAAGTGTTTCTGGAAAGATCCAGAGATAGCCTTGCCCCAAGGCTTTGAAGACGTCAAGACGGTGCAGCAATTATTCTTACGCAGGGAACAACTTCTGGGTATCAAAGCAAGACTACGGAAGAATGCCTTGCCGCCTCCCAACATATGAACAAAACCATCCTGGAACGCTCACGCGTTGATGAACTACAGATCAATCCCTAATGCTGGACGTTGATCGGGACCCGACATATTTTCGCGTATGGAGTTCAGAAGCCTTTCGCCTGAGCTAAACCTGATCGTCTTTGGTGCTCACGGCGAGTCATCCCTATCGGCTCTCTGTTTTCTCTGAGCGCTGTGTCTCTGCAATTCGCAATCTATGGAGACGAGTAACAAGCGACTGTATCTTGTTTGGCCATCTCGAAGCTGGAACCACCGTTACCATGATGAGCTCTTTCATGACAATCAGAACGAGGTGTGGCACGCTGCAGTCACAAAAGACAAGTCTGTCTTGTGTGCAGCAGATGTCACGATAAAGTGGCAACATGTGCTGGAACTCCCATTCTTACGCTCACATTGGTCGTCTTCATCCATCAGGAGGGTTATTGCTTTGTACAACTTGCTAGTTGCAACGCTCACCAGAGCCTTTCTGGCCCCATGGCTCTCGTGGATGTTGCAGCACTGTCGATGTCATGCGCTCACAGCCACTTCATCTCATCAGGAATGAAGTTTATGTAATAAATAATGTAGTAGGTCGCCAGTAATACCATCGCATTGCATAGACATCAAGCGTTGTTTTTGGTAAGAAAAGTCTTGTTGTTGATGCAAAACCAACTCCCACATCTAATTAGTCTCTTGCCTAGCCTTGTAAGCATTCACCGAACCACCAGCCAAGATCTTTGTCCGCGCTTTCCCTGTCACCTCTGCACCTCCATTCTTATCCATAGCACCCCAACCACCACCACCGGGTGAATTGATGACAATCCTGTCTCCCTCTCCCAACTTGATGGTTCCTTTGGCGCCGAGGTTGATCACTCTCTTCTCCTCCGAGTACTCGTCCTTCATGATGACCAAGTTGAGGCCAGACGCACCAGCGCCACCACCCTCGAGTCCGTATGGCTGCCTGCTGCGTCGTTCAGACAAGATCGAACACTGCACCGGCACCCTAAACTCAATATCCCTCACCGTGCCCTCGCCTCCCTTGAATTTTCCTTGACCACCTGAGCCTTCTCTCAATCCAAACTCCCTCAAGATACAAGGGTAACGTTTTTCAAACACCTCGGGGTCGGTGATGCGGGTATTGGTCATGTGGGTGTGCACGCCAGACTGACCTTGCCACGAGGGACCCGCGCCAGAGCCACCAGCGATGGTCTCGTAGTAGCCGAAGCCTGCGTGGTGGGCGCCCGAGACAGGGTCCTTGCCGCCAGTGCCGAAAGTGAGGTTATTGCAGCAGCCCTGAGAGGCGGCGCAGGCGCGGAAGGCGAGGAGTACCACATCGGTGATGCGTTGAGATGTCAACACGTTACCGCCCACGACTCCAGCACCTTTGGCCGGACTCAGCAAAGAGTTTTCGGGGATTTTGATATCGATGGGGTTGAGGCAGCCTTGGTTGAGCGGGATGTCTGAGCTGATTAGAGCGCGCAGACAGTAGATGATCGCCGAGTTTGTGATTGCAACTGGTGCGTTGGTGTTGCCATACACCTGTGGTCCTGTGCCTGCAAAGTCAAAAGTGGCGGAAAAGCCGTTCTCGGGGGAAATGGTGATTTCGAGTTGAATGGGAGTGCCGTCATCCATGTAATCGACTGCTTTCAGCGGCTTTCTGCCAAACTCTTCGTATTTTTGCTTGAGCAGTTCGCGCACGGCAATGTCAGAAGCTCGTTGGATGGCGTACATGTAGCGGTGTACGGTTGACAGACCAAACTCGCTGATCAAGCCTTTAATAAGAGTGATTCCGCGTTTGTTTGCTGCAACTTGGGCTTTCAGGTCCGAAATGTTGTCTTGCAGACATCTGGTACCGGAGCATCCGTCGTATTGTGCAGGGTCCTCGAGGAGAAGCTTTGTGATTTCTTTTTCGTTGAATCTGCCTTCCTCCACAATCTTGAGTGACTCGATGGCAGCACCTTCCATGTATAGTTGTGTGGAGGTAGGAGGCATACTTCCTGGGAGGATACCTCCGATGTCAGCATGATGACCTCTCGATGCCACGTAGAAAGCAATGTCATCTCCATCGAAGACGGGCGTGATGACAGTGATGTCTGGAAGATGTGTTCCACCACAAGAAGGGTGGTTTGACACAAGTACGTCACCGTCCTTCAGTCTGCCCTTCCAGAGGTCATGTTGGTACTTGACGGCAAACTGCATACTGCCAAGATGGACAGGAACGTGAGGTGCATTGGCAACCAAGCCACCATCGTTGGAGAACAGCGCACACGAGAAGTCGAGTCTTTCCTTGATATTAGTGGACACAGATGTCTTTTGCAGCGTTCGGCCCATCTGCTCGGCGATTGACATAAAACGATGTCCGAAGATAGACAGCTGGATGGGACTGAACTCGTCATTCACAAGGGCCTTGTCGACAGTAGTGGCAGAGGTCTCCTGATCTATCACGACGCAGCTCTCCAGCACATTGGCAACAGCATCGGGAAGGACGACGATGGTCTGAGTCTTGTCGATGATCAATGCTGGTCCGGAAATCTTGCTACCGACGGCAATAGCAGGTAGCTCATAAGTCGGAGTATCGAGGTACCCCTTAGCCTCATAGTACACACGATTCGTAGCGTCAGATGCAGCTCCGTGAGTATTGAGAGAAGCGGCTGACTGCAGTTGGGCGTACGGACTTGCGGCAATCTTCTCATGTGCCGCGCCAATCGCTCTGACTCGAAAGTCGTCAACTAGAATGGCCTTTTCTGGGAAGAGGAAGCCAAATTCGCGCTGGTGCCTCTCCTCGAAGGCTGATTGGAAATCAAAGTCTTCGCCCATGAGCACCATGAGAGAACTGCTTGATCCGGCATAACGAAGATTCAAGAATGTCTCGTAGGTGATGCCCTCTTCTGTGAAGCCTTGCTGCTGCAGCTCAAGAGACGCCTCAGCAGCGAGTTCCTCGAGTTGCTTCTGGATGGTTGGCTGAGTCTCTGCAGAGTAGGTCATGGCTGCTGGTTTTTGAACCTCGTGAACCACATCTGCCAGACTCATACCATAAGCAGACAGAATCGAAGAATACTTGTGGATGATGATTCGCGAGATGCCCAGTACTTTGGCCACAGAGCAGGCGTGTTGTCCACCTGCACCACCAAAACAAGCTAAATGATGCGCGGCAGTGTCGTGTCCTCTGGCTTCTGTCAAACTTCGGATAGGTCTGGCCATACCCTCATTTGCGACATTCAAGAATCCTAAGGCGACTTCTTCGGGTGTGAAGATGGCAGCGCCATCCTGACGTTGTTGTTGGTTGATCTCTTCAGTCAGTGCTGAGAATTTCTGTGCTGTGATATCGCGATCAAGTGGTTGGTCCTCCTTGGGACCAAAGATTTTGGGGAAGTACTCTGGCAACAGTCTTCCCAGGAACAAGTTGGCATCAGTCACGGTCAGCGGACCTCCCTTGCGATAGCAAGCAGGACCAGGATGAGCTGAAGCAGATTCGGGACCCACATGGAAAAGTCCGTTCTTGAACGTCAGAATAGAACCACCTCCAGCTGCAACAGTGTTTATGTCCAATTGTGGTGACTGAATAGAGACACCTGCAGTCGTGGTCTCGAAAACGTGCTCGTAGACGCCAGCGTAACGAGACACATCTGTGCTGGTGCCTCCCATGTCGAAACCAATGATAGGTCGGCGCTCTTCTTCGTCCCACGATGTTTGTGCGTAGCCAACGACACCACCAGCTGGACCAGAGAGGATGCCTCTCAGACCTCCGAACCTGCGGAAGTCGACAAGTCCACCATCAGATTGCATAAACTCGCAACGGGTGTTCTGAGCTCCAAGACCACCTCTGAAGTTTTCTGAGATTGAACTGATATATTGCTTGATAACTGGTGTGAGATAGGCATCTGCAGTGGCCGACATTCCGCGTGGCACTGCCTTGATCATAGGCTGCAGCGCGCTAGAAAGAGATACCGAGAAGCCCATGGCGACAGCCAAGTTGCCAACAAGATTCTCATGAGCGGGATATGCGTAAGAGTGTAGGAAGATGATCGAGATAGAGCGATATCCTTGGTCCCATAATCCTTCCAGAGTGTTCATTATGGCTTCGGGATCTGGTCGTCGCAGTACACGGATACGCTCGCCAGTAACCGCCTCCACGATGTCAGGATCTGCGGTATCCAAGTTCGTCGATTCGGGGTTCGGGTTCTCTGTGTAGTCCTCCATAGTCACACGCTCCTCGACCTCTATCACATGCTCGTAGAGAACATCAGGTTTTGCTGCCGAGAGATCGAAAATGCTCGGCCGTGACTGGTTGCCGATGAGGAGAAGATCTTTGAAGCCCTTTGTGATGAGCAAGGCAGATCTGGCGCCCTTGCGTTCAAGCAGAGCATTTGTAGCCACAGTGGTTCCCATGCGAATGGATTCAATGTGGAAGAGGTCGAGTAATTGACCTCTGGGATGGGGATGACCGGTAGCCAGCTCCAAAATTCTCCTGATACCTTCTGTTGGCGCATCTTGATAATTTGCTGGATCTACTGAAAGAAGCTTCAGGATAATGTCGTCGCGTCCAGGTATGGCGGCATGGACGTCTGTGAAGGTACCGCCTCTGTCAATGGACACCCGAATCTGAAGCGGTTTGATGGCCATTATTGTGAGATCAATGCTAGAGTAGTACGAGATCGAGTATGCTCGTGGTTTAATGAATGGTGAAGTAATACGATACTGAATATGCTCGAAACTTAGATGTCCTCCTCAAGGACTTATATCACAGACTTACCTTGAGCCCGATGCCGCCATACTACGCCAACTCACATAATGAGAACTGCCTGACTGACCAAGCACGATCGGAGACCCATACCGTAATGTGTAGTAGGCGAAGAGACGCGGCCGGAGGACGATAAGGAAAGAAACGATCGGGGACCCACACCGACGCTTTGGCCACCTCTCGCGCAACCCCACTTGTACCTTGATACTGGTCACAAAGTTTGCCCGGCTATCAGCATTTCCATAGACTTGGGCGGAGAGTATGATAGTGCCATTAGACCGATGTGTGTGAAATGATATAGTCGATATCAACCATGTAGATTGTTTCTTGTAAGGAAGACATTCACACGTCGATATGGCAAACACAAAATACCCGACTGGAGTCTCTGTGCGACTGGCTTCGAGAGATGGTTCCCTGACTGGCGTTACATCTGGCGTTGCACCCTCCTTTCTTCAAGCAAACCTCATCGTTCTTCCATCTCGCTATGCAGACGATTTCCGCCTCCTCTGCGCTCGGAATCCTGTCCCTTGTCCTCTCCTAGCCGAGTCCTCGCAGATTGGCTCTCACGACAGTCTGAAGTCATACATTGATGGCTTGTCAGGCGATGCAATCGCATCCGACATTGATATCCGTCACGATGCTCCCCGATACATGGTCTACCAAGACGGGAAGCTGGTGGATTCGCATGTCCCAGACGTCACTGCACAATGGACTGAAGACCATGTTGCATTCTTGATCGGATGCTCATACAGTTTCGAGACCGCTTTGGTCAATCACGACCTTCCACCTCGTCATACTGTCACACAGCGAAACGTCCCCATGTACCGAACGAACATTCCACTTTGTCCTGCTGGTGCATTCACTGGATCAACATACGTTGTATCGATGCGTCCATACGCACGTTCGGATGTGGAGAAAGTGAGGGACATAACTCGGCCATTTGTGACTACACATGGTGAGCCCATCGCTTGGGGCTGGGACAGTATGAGGAATTTGGGCATTTCAGATATCAATAAGCCCGACTGGGGAGATGCACCGCTGGAGATGGATGGTCAACCGCTGGATGTAACCAATCCGGATGTTGTACCTGTGTTTTGGGGTTGTGGTGTAACTCCTCAAGAAGCTGTGATGAGAGCAGAACTGAAGGGTATCGTCTTGGGACATGCTCCAGGACACATGATTCTGCTTGATGTCAAGGATGGAGACGTGTTCAATGTCAAGTAGTTTGTGTGCACGAATGGACATGTCTGCGAAAAGTGTTCGCAATTGTTTGTAGAGTTCAAATTACCTCCTTACACAATCAGATTGTTTCCATGTTATGAATGTACCAACCAGCGATTGTAATCTGTGTCGCTACCCGCTATCCAGCCAGATGTGATTTGATTTGCGGTATGATTAACTTATCGCACGAGCTCAAAGAAGACTATGAAGAATACCTGGATTCGAACATGTGATTTGTTCATTGAACTATATAATCCCCACATCAAACATAAGACATAAGTCTGGTCACATCTACAGATGGTACTTGAAATCTACAGCAGCGTCTCCGGTCTGCACCCTTCTAGTATCCTCCTCACCATCCGCAATTCTCTCTTTGGCATTGTTGCAGTGTCTAAGGTACAGCCACTTGCAAAGGATCAAAATCTGTGCAACACCAAGAGCTCCGAGCGAGAAGGAGTTGCCGAGGACATACGGACTCTTTCGGTAGATCTGTCCTGCTACAATACCAGCAGTGTTACCGATAGTCTGTTGGAAGCCAATAGCAGTGGCTCGGCGGTATTGTGGTGCAACATTGACATTGAGCCAACTCATGTTCAGCCCAGGTCCGTTGTAGACTGCTACGGCACACAAGAAAGTGCCTAGGAACTTGACTCCATGTGGTGTTGGGCAGATGATCAAGATATAGCCAATGATGCCGAAGATATTGGCAAAGGCTATCAGCGGTCCACGAATGCATGTTCGATCCGAGAACCAAGCGACAGCCATAAAGGCAAGACCGCCGAAGACGTATACCGGGATCGTGAGGTATTGCGCTTGGAGCGAGTTGTAACCCAAGGATTTGATGATAGATGGCAGGAAGGTCGAGAATCCGTAGAGAAGGATATCTTGGCAGAACTGAATGAGGCCACTGAGGATGACCTTAGGATCAGTCAGAGCAATCTTGACTTCCGCCCAGCTGAAGTGCTCGGATCCCATGTAGGCTGCGCGTTGCCTTGCTCTGACTTGCATCAACTGCTTGTCATCGTCGTTGAGGAAGTAGGCATTATTGGGGTCGTTGGGCAAGAAGGCGAACACGACAATTGCTACGCCGACTGAGAAGATACCCTACTACATGTCAGTCTGGATTCGATGAAGTAATGTCTAGTGACTGACCTCGATGATGTAGACCCACTTCCAGCCTGCCAGTCCGGACACTCCGTCCATTTGCAAGATGCCGTAAGCCAAAAGTCCACCAAAAGCGCCAGCGAGCGCCGTACAAACGAAAAGGTAAGCCACTCTCTTGGCCATCTCCTCTCTCTTATAGACCATCGTCAAGTAGAGGTTCAGACCAGGGAAGAGACCTCCTTCGCAGGCTCCAAGGACAAGACGCGCTGCGTAGAGACCACCAACGCTAGTGATAAAGCCGCTGAAGATGGTGGTAAGGGACCACACCACACAGAGACCACCAATGGTATATTTGGGGGTGAACTTCTTCAGAAGAACTGCCCATGGCGTTTCACTCAAAACGTAGGTTGCGTAAAATATCGAAACTGCTGTCGAAAACTGCTCTGCACTGGCACCAATATCCTCGGGCATACCAGCAACTTTGACCTGGGTCATGTCAGTGTACGAATTTAAGATACTGGTCTTCCACAAACTTACGTTTCCAATATTGCTGCGGTCAAGGAAGCAAGCCAAGTAAGTCAGCATGATGATAGGTACCAATGCTAAGTCCAACTTGGCAAGAAGCTTCTTCTCCCTGGCAGGGTCGATGAACTCTCCAAGTTGTACGTCGACAGCATGTTTCTCGCCATCCACCACGCGGTCGTCGTATTTCTCAGACATGATGGATAAACGATTAAGATGAACAACAGATGGTGAGATGGATGAACATTCGAGAGATGGGCTAGACTTATGCAATATTTGGGTTGTTACTTGCCTCCAGAGGTGACGTTTAGCCGATCTTCCTCCTATCTGGGAGATATGCCTTCAACCACGAGGCGTATCATACCCCGCACGACCGGGCAAGCTCTCCAGGAGATAACATTCCGGTACCTCACGAAAGGATGACATTGCGGTTGCGAACTCTGATCGGACTCAATGCGCGACAAGGAGAGAACGAGCGATAGCAGAATGGATCGGGGTCGACCAGCGAGCCAAGCCACTAGCCTGGGATTGGACGCGCTATCGCCATATCTGGAGGCATCCCGACACAAGCCGCTGGACAGCGAGGACCGGAGCAACAACTGACTCGTCATTTCCGTCGCGCTACTAATATTCATTATCACATCGCGTTGATGCCCCGAACCATGACCATTTCGTCAGTGCTCTGTTGAAACCCCGAGCATATCCTGCTTCGACAACGCTTCCACACATCCGCTCTCAGATGCCGGCTGTTTCTTCGCTGTACATGACTGTGGGGAAGTTTCTAGACTGCCATTTGACATGAACTGTGAGACCGATGTAGGACGGAAGAAATGGCTGCGAACATAGCAAGCACCTCGCCAGTATCTGAAAGCAACTTGACCCGCCCTGTAGCTTGCAAGAGATGTCGAGGCCGCCGCACATATTGCTCCAAGGAGCAGCCGATATGCGCAACTTGTAAGGAGGGCAATCACCAATGTATCTACGAGACCGGCCGCAAGATCGCAGTGTCAGAGAGGTGGGTCTAGCTCAGCAAGCAGAACCAGCCTGAGAAGCATTCGCTAACCTATATACAGCTACCTGCGAGACCTCGAAACCAGATTGAAGTCGTATGAGGGTACCTACCACTAGTCTTATACAATGCTGTGTGCCACTGTCGTGCTGACCCTTTTCTACAACAGATCCCATAGCTGTAGTTCCTCAGCCTCCGTTTATCACCTCGATCGGCACGGGAGATGATCCAGAGCTTGATGTGAATCCCCTCATGGACAACTTCGCCAACCTCGTCATTAGTCCGTCTGGCAAGCATCACTACCTGGGAAGCTCATCATCAACGATTCTTGGAAGGAGGTTTCGGGATATTGTGGGCATCACAAACCCCGGGTATGACTTTGATCGAGAGTACTCGACGTACAATCACTCTGCTCTACGACTGCGTCGTCTTTCGATTGTTGACAATGTTATGCTACCTCCCGCTGCTTTCGCGAAACGGCTGTACCTCGCCCAACATTCTTACATAGGTACTATCTTTGCGTTCTGCACCCCAGAAGTGTTCGAGGAGCAGCTCCAACAAGCATATAGAGGCCCTCCGGATGTGGGAGATAGAGAAGCCTGCCTTGCATATTGTCAGACACTGCTGGTCCTGGCTTTCGGTCAGCTATACTCTGTCAACCAATGGTCTGGCTTCGACGGTCCACCTGGGTTTGACTTTTTCACACAAGCTCTTCAATATCTGCCCGACATGTACGAAGAAGGATCCGTCCTGTTTGTAGGCGTCTTGGCCTTGATCGGATACTTTATGCAGAACCTCAATCGCCGCGACGCCGCCTTCTTGTACGTGGGCACTGCATTGAGGATGGCCATATCTCTTGCGTTACATCAAGAGGTACCAGACCCTCGTCTTGACGAGGCGAGTAAGGAACAACGACGTCGTATTTGGTGGAGTGTCTATTCTTTGGACAGAATACTCTGCATAAAGGGCGGCAATCCCTTGACTATCGATGATCAAGACATCGCGGTCAAACTCCCAAACCGACTCAGCAACGAACCTGAATATTGCCCGGCAGTATGTTTACGACACTATACGCAACTATCACGAATCCTTGGACGAATCATGAAAACGGTCTACAGAAAGACACCCAAGAGCGGCTCTACACTTATGGCTTCTGTCTCGGAGATCATGACCAGTCTATCAACATGGCATCGCGATCTACCTAACGAACTCCGCTTTGATCCCAACAAACTGAATGTATCACGAGAGTCTGTCTCAACATTCTTGCATTACCATCAGTGCATCAACCTCACTGCTCGCCCACTTCTCTTCCACGTCGTCGAGAAACGTCTGCATGGTAACGCTAGCGATCTTGGTAGGGATTGGAAGGAAGGATTGTCTTCAACAACCATCGCGGTCATATTGATGTGTGTATCGGCTGCAAAAGACTCTGTCACCATGATGACATTGGCTGCAAAGAAGAACCTAGTTGCCACATATGGCTACATGGATGGCGAGCATGCCTTTTCAGCAGCTATTGTCCTTGTCATGGTTTGTGTCGCCTTTCCTGCTAGCAAATCAGACATTGCTTCTATGGATCAGTCGCTCGAGTTGCTTCGCGGTATGGCTGAGAAGGGCAACACTTACATTGCTGCCAGACATCAACTTCTGTTTGATTTACGCTCCCTGATCTCCCTGCCATCTACCAACATCGCGTCTACGCCACCTGCCGTAGCGACGTCCCAGCAAACTATGACTTTTGTCGAAGTCGATCCGATGTTGTCATACGATGTTGGTGATGTAGACCTTGGGCTCTGGGAGGAGGGCTACATGAACCCAGATTATGACATTCAGTTTGATCTGACGCAGTTGACGCAAGCGGCACAGAACACGTTTGGTGCGGGACCAATCTGAGCCCAGTCTGCTTCAGGCTGGCATCATAGCCACTCGCGTTCTGAAGAGGAAGTGGCTGATTCTGCAATTCACACGCCGGAGGTTGACATGAGCAACCTAGGTTCCATGTCAACTTGTGGCATAGCAACCTCCTGAAAGTGTCTCCCGGACATGCGTTGTCACCGAACATTGTCCGCTACGCTCAGTCCCATGGTAGACCACAGAAACAGAGACAGAGGCTCAGCTACGCTATGCAAGTGCAGTCTTCGCTCATCAACCCACTACAAAGCATCTTCAGTACTTTTAGAAAACTTGGTACCATCGCTGGTCACTCTGGAGTACGCTCCTTATACCTGGCCTGCCTCTCTGTGTGGCTTGAGGTTCAACGCGGACATCCTTGGTACAGCCGGGAGAGGCTCAGGTCCATGTGTTCACGCCTACACACCTCGCGCCCTGCAAATCCGGATTGAAAGTCCGTTCCAGGTCGTAAGGCGGGGAATTCAGATGCAGACATCTGGTTCACGGACCTCCCGCTCTCCTCTTCCTGTGTTCCTCTCTTAGTAAAGTGGCTCGTGTCAAGTAAATCAAAGGTCGAGCAGAGACACGATTGTTTTGATTTCTCAGAGCAAAGTATAGAGAATTACTTTTGCATCTCACATTCCCGCCTCCCGGCTATCACTTTGATTCGTCGATAAGAAGAGTCGGTGTTCATCAGAATCGCCATCAACACTTCACAATCAAACATATGTAGCTCTCTCAATTCTGTATTCCACTTTTAATTCTGCTATCGTTCTACGCTTCTGATTTCTATCATTCGACATACCCAAAACGATATATGGGAGACGTAAAGCAATAGTCTGCGACCACGTGAGAAATGCTAATTCTGCCGGGAAGTGACGTTGGTGACCATTGCAGCCACGGTGCTTCCAAGTGGCTGGCATGTAAACAACAAAGTAAGCACAAGTCATCAACGTCACGGAAGAATACATAAGCAAGCGAAACATGATCATATTCTTCTGATTCTCTCTCTTCTTCATACTACTTTATGTACAAAGTCTTGCATCCCCGCCTCTTCTTCATCCTCATTTCATCAGTTCATCATGAGCGAAAAGCAATCTAAAAACGAATGTCATCATCGTGCGTGCGTCTGCTTTTCACAACTCCCGCTCGTTCTACCAAGTCGAGTGGTAACCAGAGGGCTGGGTGTAAGTAGTCCAGCTGTTGTAACCACCGTGAGTGGTAGAGTGAGATGAAGAGTGACTCGACGAATGGCTCGAAGACTTGGAAGTCGAGTGCGAAGAAGACTTGGACGAAGACTTTGAAGTCGAGCTCGACGAAGACTTTGAAGCAGACGAGCTCAAAGTGGCAGTGCCAGAGGTGTGGGGAACGGGGGGAACGGTGTAAGTGCCGTTTCCAGAGCCACCGTTGCCAGTGCCAGGGGAAGTGGCACCGTTGGCAGGCAGAGCAGCCTTTAGAGGCAGCTTTCTGCTGGAAGAACCGACGTAGACCGTCTTGGGATACTCACTGACGTACCAGTCGTCGAGTGCGGGGCTCCAGTTGCTGATGTCTCTGCGAGTGATCTGGGCAGTGAAGGTCTTTGAGGCACCGGGCGCGATAGAGAATTTGTCGAATTGACGCAGAACAACAGCCGGGTCGTCAGGACCACCAAGAGAGATGTACAGCTGAGGAACTTCCTCACCCTCGACGGAGCCAGTGTTGGTGACAGTGGCAGTGACAGTGTAGAGGATGTCGTAGAGACCGGGGTTACCGCCGGGAGCACCAGAAGCGGGGAGGAGAGGCTGAGGTGCGCTCGAGGCAGAGCCAGCTGGGAAGCTGTAGTTGCTGCCGTAGTAAGGGTCTTGGGACGAAGCGCGAAGGTTGGTGGAGTTGAGGTAGGGGTAGATGTAGTACTCGATGGGTCTAACATCAGCGGGGAAGACATAGTCGGCAGAGTTGTTCGAGATAGAGCCGTAGACAGGTGCAGCCTCGGTGAAGCCAGAGGCAGGAACGTAGGCAGGAGCCGAAGTGTTGACCGAAACGGAGATGTCAGAGTAGCTGAAGTTGGTGTAGGAAAGACCGTAACCGAACTCGTAGACGGGGGTCTCGCCGGCTCTGTCGAAGGCTCTGTAGTCAATGAAGACACCCTCCTCGAATTGGGTCTGAGGAGCTGCACCGCCGTTGTTGTACTCGTAGAGAAGATCGGTACCGTAAGACTCGCGGGTCTTGCCAAGGGTGAAGGGAAGCTTGCCAGAAGGGTTGACCTTGCCGTACAGGACATCGACAATGGCGTTGCCTGACTCTTGTCCAGGAACACCAGCCCAGAGAATGGCGGTGATGTTTTCGTGGTCGTACCAGTCATTGATCAAGACAGGGCCGACGGTATGAAGCACAACAATAGTGTTCTTGCAGAGGCCCGCAACGTGGCTGATGACTTCCTCACCACCTTGCCAGAGAGTAAGGTTGTTGCGGTCACCTTGATTGCCATCGACGATGATGTAGCCTTCTCCGGCGTCGGCATTGGCAAAGACTGAGAGATTATGTTAGCCGGGTCTCGTAGGTGTCATGGTATAGTGCAAAACATACCGATACAGGCACCGTTGACCTCGTCAGCACGCTGGGCGAGAACGTCAATCTGACTGAAGGCAGCACGGTCAAGGATACTCTCAACAGACTTGCCGTGAGAGCGGACTTCGTTCTCAATGGCTGAGTGAGGTGCAACCAGGTAAGGGAAGTTGGCTGTTCCGCTACCCCATCCCCTATTTCAAAAATTAGCATCCCACCACCAAACTGGACATTGAGAACATCACGAATACGTACATTGCGAGCGTGCCGTTGTCACATCCCCTATCAGAACAACCGTTAGGACCGTACTGATTGTCAGCAGCATCCTCCCCGAAGACTCCAACAAGTTGTTCGGTGCCCTTAAGCGGCAGAGCACCGTTGTTCTTCAACAAAACAGTTCCCTTGGCAGCAACCTCACGGATGTTGTCACGGTGATCTTCTTGAACATCGACGTGGTAGTTGAGCTGTTCGTAACCCTCTTGAGCAATGTAGTGACGGTAGCCGAAAGTACGGGTGGTCCACGAGGAAAAGTTGGGAGCGTTCTCGACCTGGTGGTCTTCTCTGTCGACAAGGTACCAAGCAGCGACGATACGAACGGCCATGTCGTCGATTCTGTATTGGGGAACAGTTCCGTTCAGGACGGCGATCGTGAGGTTGGCTCCCCAGAAGGAGGTACCGCTGTCGAAGCCAACGTCACCAGGCATGGTCATATCGAGGCCAGCAAGGGCACTAGAGACACCAGAGTGCTGTCCACTGCGGAAGGGAAGTTTTCTTAGCTAGAGAAGATTGATTGCATATGGGTACTTCACTTACGACCAGTCCGAAACCACGAAGCCTTGGAAGCCCAATTCAGACTTGAGAACCTTGTTCAGGAGGTGAGAGTTTTGGCACTTTGCTCAGTCAGCAAATATTCATCTCTCGAGTATATCCTTGATACTTACGACATAGCTGTTGTTGGCCTGGTTGTAAGAGCACATGACACTGCCAGTTCCAGCACGAACAGCATCAGCAAAAGGCCAGACGTATAGCTCGTGCAGAGTGATATCATCGACGTTGGCAGAGACAGCATCAGAGATGTTAGGGCCTCCCTGTCTGAAGTGCTCCTGCTCGTTAAGAATGTAGTGCTTGGTGCAAGCAATAACACCGGCATCCTGGATACCCTTGACGGTCTCAGCGTTCAAGATCCCAGAGAGTACGGGGTCGGGACTGAAGCCCTCCCAGTTACGACCACCCTCGGGACTGCGGCCAAGAGGACCAACGACGGGGCCGAGCATGACATCGACACCCTTGTCGCGGTGCTCGCTGCCCATGTCATTGCCGCGGGTGTAGGCGAGAGATCTGTCCCATGTTGCGGCAACGGTCACGCCGGCGGAGAAGGCAGAGACAAAGTCACCTGTAGTCCAGTCAATACACAGAAGACTTTGCTCTATTGACTGTCCATCACTCACCGAATCTGACACCCAAAGGCGAATCCTGCAGACACAGGGACTTGAAGCCTAGGCGGGGGATGGAACCAGTGTTACCAACACATTTCTCGGATTCCCAACTAGAGACTTGTCAGTGATGCAATTGTATGGCCAAGTCAAACAGAAACTGACCCAACACCTAAAGATGATTAGCAAAGCACAGACATTGCAAATTCCAACGCGCGAACATACCAGTGGTCAAATTGACCTTCTCAGCAAGAGTCAACTGAGACACAAACGCAATAGCCTTCTCATATGCGCTAGCCCATTCACCAGCACCAGTTCCCCAAGGAGAAGGATAGTAGGGGGGAGAAGTTTGGTTGAACTGAGCGCCAGCTACAGCATAAGGAACCTCGGAGCCAGGGTAGTTGGTACCAGGGAACTGCACAGAGTGTCAGTTGAACTGCTGTGCGACTGGGCAAGCTGCGGATTACTTACAGGAAGACCTGCAACAGGAGGGTTCGGGTAGCCGCCTTGCGCATTGGCCAGCTGAGCTGCCAGCAACAGTGCCAGGCTCTTGAATCCAGACATCTTCTGCGTCAATTGTATCTCAGATCGAAGACAAGAGTAGATGTGGAACAAGAAGAGGTGAGCAAGAAGGCTGAATGCGATTGTTTGTGCAGAAAGAGAAGAAGAAAAAGAGAGCTCTTTCCTTCACTTTCACTGCAGCTTTCCGTGCAATGAAACACCAAAGGTAGCTCAGACATGCGGCTATGCGAATCAATTTATAAGCTCCATCTGTACCTTCACTTGCACTTTTTACCGGCACAAACACCCGAGTGGAATATGCACCACAGCAAGAAATGATGCCATACAAGGATCTTTCTGGGGAGGGGCAGTGGACATTGGATGCTATATTGATCATCTATGCAGGCACGGCACAGGACAAAGAGAGGGGTGCATTGCAGTAGCGTTCACTTGTTGCCTCTTACGAGCAGTCTCCCATTGACGTGTTCGTCACTACTTGCTCTTGGTCGCGCAGCAAGGTGTGATTCTTGAAGACCGACGCGGTCCGAGAAGAGTGGAAGCAACGGGAGTAGAGCCAACGTTTCATGGAAAGAAGGTAAGGTGCCATGTGTGCTGGAAATCTTGGTTAGATCACCCCAAGGTTTGTAGATCATACCCATGGGGAGAGGTTCGTGATCGATTTGAGTAGAGAACGCAGAGCTCAAAGTAGAGAGCATTTGCGGCTCAAAATCTGTAGACATTGGACTCCAACTTGCAGCCTCGCATCACACCTTAGATATGTTGAGGGAGTCGGAATGGTATATCTGCCTACTCTACTCTTGACAACGACTTATCGTTGCTCCCTCGTAGAGCCTCAAGAGGAAGTAACTCGATGCCTACTGACAAGCAACCGTCCCACAGCACAACCGACGCTCTCTGGCCCACACTCACCGCTCTCTAGCATATCCCTCTTTTCTCAGATGTGGAGAAAGCTCAGATGTCGATCACTCACCCTTACACCTCGGCTGTATGCACGTTTGATAAGTAAGGACGAGGTCATGACGCCCAATGCCAGCAAGGTGGTATCCTGCCAGCATATGTACTCCACTACATCTCACGGTCACGAGCACATCATTCGCGAGTCTGCAGGATCATGCTGCAGGAAAGATGATGAAGGTGGTAAGCAAGCACGCAAGTCAGAAAAGTAAGGGTAAAGCCAAAAAAAAAAAAAGATGCCATGTATTTTTCGTACGTACCATGTCACGTTTCTTGCTGCTTCGCTGCCTGCGGATGCAACCCACCGCTATCGGCTGCCTTTCGGAGATATGCAAGGACTAGAGTCAATGTCCCTCTTTGACACTAACTGCGGGGTGCGATGCGGCCCAAGGTTCTAAGCAAAAAGATGGTAAGAAAGCGGGGGTGAAGATGTGAAGATCCACACATCAGATTGACAAGATGCATCAACAAACCCGTGATCATTTGATCAAATCTAACTCGGCCGAGAAGCAATACCTGCAAGTCGTGCTTAGAAGCTAAACGAATTGGCCTGACTAGAGTATGCGGCGAGCTGCGAGATTAAAACAGCCTGCTCAAAACTTGCCAACCGGATACCACTGATAAAGTTGTTGGTTGACCCAGGTGCTACGATACCTACTCTGTCGATATATAAAAGCAGATTGCTATCTCCATCAGTTTTCACAGAACCCCTTTCCATGTTCCTTCCAAGAACCCACACCTTCCAGAAAGACTCGACGAAGAACAAGCAAGCTCCACAACGGACGGCTAAAGTCAGCAAGGGAAAGGCTTCGACTCACGCCACAAGGGAAGCAAGACGCCCAGTCTTTTCCCACCTACCTCATCGAGTGCTTGCGCTCCCTCGACACACACACACACAAGTGCCCCGCTGTCCGTGTCATCGTGGCTGCTGAGGTCCACAGCTGGGCACTGTAAACCAAGAAGCTCATCTTGGAAAGAACGAACGCGGGCGGCAGCGAGGGCCGCGATCCCGTGATGATCAGTTGCAACGAAAGGTGGACTGCGGCCGGATCAACATGAACCCCTCATCTGTGATGGATGTCTCGGCAGTGGTGGAGAAACTCCAAGAGACAGGTAGATCGTAGAAGATGCTGATCGGGTTACATGCGTTGTAGCGCGTGAGAGCCTGAGGAGTAAGAACTATTTACCGGCTTGGCTGACTTTATCCTCCAGCTTCTGCGACTGGAGCACCTTCTCTGCGCCACAAGTACAGTTGATGACAAGAAAGATCGTTCATGTACACTTTTTGGTCATATATATGAAGAGTGGTGAAAGTAATTATACAAAAGAAAGGGAATCCGCTATGCGCAAGTATGAAAAAAAAAACGACGAGATGCCAAAGAACAAAGAACGAAACCCCCCAATGCCCATGACCCAAAAAAAACTCCTTTGTTCGTTTCGAAGAGTTTATTCTATACACATAAGAACATCTGGAGTCTATTGGTTCAGGTCCTTGAATACCACCGGTGCAGGGTTGGAGGAACCGGGAGGAAGAACAGGTCCATCAGGCTTCTCGGGAAGGCCAGGAATACCTGCACCGGGACCCTCACGGTCGCCGCGGCCGCCAAAGTACTTGCTGAAGTCGCCCTTGTCTTCAAAGGGTCTTTGACCAAGCAATCTAACGAGATCGTCGCGCGTCAGGACTTCCTTGCGAAGCAGTTCCTCGGCGACGATGCCGATCTCCTTCTTTTTCTCCTCGAGCAGGTCGCGACATTGCTTGTAGGCTTCGTCGACGATGCGCTTCACCTCGGTGTCAATATTGCGGGCGGTCTCCTCTGAGAAGGGCTTCTGGAGCTGGTTCGGGTCGTCTTCGAAGTAGAGGTAGCCGACCTTGGGCGACATACCCCACTTGGTGACCATGGCGGTGGCCATACGGGTAACCTTGTTGAAGTCGTCTGATGCTCCAGATGTGACAGTCTCGAAGTGGATTTCCTCGGAAACACGACCAGCAAGAGTCATGGCCATACGGTCCAGAAGCTGCAGGTATGACATGAGGTAGGTGTCACCAGAGGGAAGGTACTGTGCGTATCCAAGGGCTCCCTGACCACGGGGAATGATCGAGACTTTGAGGAGAGGGTCGGCGTACTTGAAGTACCAACCACAGATAGCGTGGCCAGCCTCGTGGTATGCGACTGTGCGCTTCTCCTCGGGCGAGAGAACCAACGATTTCTTCTCGAGACCACCAATAACACGCTCAATGGCCTGTTCGAAGTGGATCATCATGACAGTGTCAGCGTTACCACGAGCGGCGATCAAAGCGGCTTCGTTGACGCAATTGGCAATATCTGCTCCAGAGAAACCAGGGGTAAGTGCTGCAAGGCGACCCTTGAGATACTCGATGTCTTCCTTTGTGACAATGTTTTTCAAGTGAACAGCAAAGATCTGCTTGCGTCCATCCATAGTCGGCTTATCGATCGAGATGTGTCTATCGAAACGACCAGGACGCATAAGAGCTTGATCCAGAACATCAGCACGGTTGGTACCAGCAAGGACAATGACCTGTAGGGAATAGTTAGCATGCCGTTACTGCTTTGGAGTGTAAATCCTGAACTCACCTGTTCAGTGCTGGCGAAACCATCCATCTCAGTGAGGATCTGGTTGAGGGTAGCCTCTCTCTCGTCGTTACCACCACCGAAGTTTTGCTTCGATCTTGACTTTCCAATAGCATCAATCTCATCAATGAAGATGATACAGGGTGTGCTCTTTCTGGCATTCTGGAACAGATCGCGGACTCTTGAGGCACCAACACCGACAAACATCTCAACGAACTCGGAACCACTGACACTGAAGAAAGGTACGCCAGACTCGCCAGCAGTTGCTTTGGCGAGCAAAGTCTTACCAGTACCGGGAGGACCGGAAAGAATAGCACCTCTGGGGATCTTTGCACCGAGCTTCTGGAAGCGCTCGGGTTGCTTCAAGAAGTTGACAAACTCCATGATCTCAACCTTTGCCTCGTCCATACCAGCAACGTCGGCGAACTTAACCTTGACGTCGGTCTCGTGGTTGAACTTCTTAGCACGACTCTTGCCCATACCGAAGATACCACCACCAGCGCCACCGCCACCAGCACCAGATGCTGCTCTCCTCGAAAGCCAGAAAATGGCACCGATGAATAGCAGGGTAGGACCGAAGCTCAATATCGTGTCAGCCCAAGATACCTCGCGGCTGTACTGAACGGGGATTCTCTCGGATGATGGGATGCCGAGTTCGGCCTGTGCCTCGTCGAGTCTGCGCTCGAAGGCTTCGACCGAGCCGATGGAGAAGTAGTAGTAGAAGTTGCCGTGAGCAGCGGGGCTTTCGGGGTACATGGCTTGGACAGATTGCTGGTGAACGTGCACTCTAACCTTGTTGTTGTTGACCACGACAAGTCTCTCGACGAGGCCCTTGTCGAGGAAAGTGTTTCTCAGCTCTTGCCATGTGATCTCGCGCGAGTTCTCGCTAGGAACGACCAGACGGTAGATGAGGTATGAAGTGAAAGCCGAAAGAATGATGCTGTTCATATCCAGCTTGATATCCTTGATGTTGTAGGCTGGGCCATCCTTGTCTTCGCCCTTGTTGTTCGACTTTGACTTTGAACCAGCACCGGGATCGTGGGCACCAGACTTTTGCTGAGCGCCCTTGGCCTCGTTGATATCGCTCTCAGCAGTCTTTCTAGCCATGGAAGATACTTGACGCCACAGGCGAGCGGCGACAGCGGGGGTCATGTGGCCTTGCTTGACCTCGTCCATGGTGTCGCGGAGCTCCTGAGGTATACCGTCCTTGCGAATCTTCTGAAAACTCTTCTCTACTTCCTCGGCCATTGAAGCGGGCATACCCTTCTTGATCTGGTTGAAGACCTCGACGAGCTCCTTCTCTTCCTCGGGGGTAAGCTTCGCGAAGCCAGGACGAAGGGAATCGGATTCAGATGCACCAGCCTTCTCATTTGTTAATGGGCCGCCCTTGTTGTAGAGATGCTCCATTCCCGGGGCGGACTGGCCCGGAGTCTTGTCCTTGGCTTCATCCTTGTCGCGAGGCTCTTCGGGTTGGGTGGCGTAACGGCGGACACGCTGGTATGCGAATGTTGGTCGCGGGATGGAAGCAGGTCTTAATGATAGCGGGCGGCCACGGGTTGATATTTGGTAAGTCGGTCTGTACAGGCGACCAAGGTTGATGGTCTGCCTCAGGATGCCAGACATGATTGGTGGCGGGATGTGAGGCGGCAAGGGTGAGAGGAGTGAGGGGTGAGTTTAGTATGCAACAACCATCCAGCGATAGGACAGTGTAATGCGTGCGGCGACGAAGGATGAAGCGGCGAGAGTTGGGTCGAGAAGTGATGACTAGAAGGCGAGAGAAACGCCCGACAGTCAATGACGCGAATCTGCTGTTCATTGGCGTCCCGCAGCGTTTCAGTCATCTCTCCGCCGGCGTTTCCCGTCCGCTTGCTAAGCATGCCACCTTGACACAATCGTATCGACTCATCATCATTGGCATTGAATGCACTTTATATCTATAATACATAGTGGTGATGTTGAGTCATTCTTGGTTTATTGTCTGCACGAGATATGCATGTTTGCTGTACGTTGCCTCGGAGAAAAGTAAAATCGCTTATTGTCCTAAATCTTGCATGTGATTCTATTCTATGATACATATATGCATAAAGTGCTAACTAGACGATCTCTGGATTTGATGTCCTACGCATCGAAGCCAATGCTCTCCCTGTTGTCATCTACAAGCCTTCCGTATTCGAGCAAGAGTCTGAAGAACCACACTTCGAAATCCTCATTCCTCAGTACTTTGTTGCTCCACTCTCTGCCTCGCTCAGCCATCTCCACAGCCATACTCTTGCCGACTTCCTCAGCTCCGAAGTAACGGACTGACTCAAGAGCTTCTTCTGCTCTCAGACTGAGAGGCACGTAGTGGATCCAAGGCTTGAGCCACTCAGCATGCCACTCCCGGAACACTGCCATCTTAAAGACCAAGCTGTGCGATTTGAGGAAAGCGTAGAATCGACCACTGAAGGCATTGCCATCGATGTCGAGCAGATACTTGTACTTCCATGCATCCTGTTGGTCAGCTGGTGGCACAATCTTGAAGAACTCCTTCTGCGCGTCACAGTCACCAGGATCGCATTGGCCAACGTGAGAGAAATGAACATCCATGAGTTCCGCATAGTCATTGCGCGGCACAGAGCGCATTTGCCAGTCGGGAGTCTTGTCATCGCGTGATGAAGCCGAGGTCAGGTGTGCATCGTACATAATCTTGGCCTGGTCAGGCGCATTGAGCTTGTGCACGAACTTTTGGCGATGTTGACGACGCCAGCCTCCGTCGCGTGAGAAGCCTCCAGTCGTGCTACCAACCCACCACAGCTTGCCTTCTTTCTTCTCCCAAGCCACGTCTTTGAGTGGGTTGTAGGAGACTTTGCCATACCAGTACCAAGGAGAAGGATACAAGATGTCCTGGAAACTGCTCATCTTAGACTGTGAGAAGATGGGCACGAGGTCGTGCACAACATTGAAAGCATTTGGTCGGTCGAAGAAGCCATGCGATGTGCCAAATGAAGGAGAGTTGCAGATGTCGCTGAAGGCGGTATCATTATATACAAACCCTAGCTCGCTCATTGCATAGGCTGCGATGTTATCCGGGGTGGTCTCTTCCTCAAGCGCTCTGGCAGGGGTATCCGGAGAACACGACATGCGTGAAGGGATCCAGGTGGGTTGATGCGCAAACACGTTGAAGCGAGTAACCTTGACCTCGTCAACTCGTTCACCGAGATTCAAGTCTTTGGGACGAGGCGAGAAAGCGTCCTTGGGACTGGGGTGGGCAAAAGCGGCGGGCATGTTTTTGGTCTTCGCGACGTCGACCAGACGAGACAATTCGTCATGCGGTACAACGACTCGAGGTTCATCGTGGATGTTGAAGGCCAGGTCCATGTCGGGCAGGTACTGGATGAATTTGTCCATCATGCCGACTGTCGCCTTCTGCTGCCATTCTTGTCCGCTCCGTACGTGAGTCACTTTCCCATCTCGTATCATCAAAGCAATCAGGTTGTTGCCATCGAAACCGAGGGCCTCTTGAACTCTCCGTCTTATGGTCACAGGCTTCAGACCCCAGAATGGGAGTAGCGAGTGATAGACGGTATCGAACTCGTCTATCAGTTGGACATTCCGATCGTGGGCGAATTGGAACCACTTATCGAAGTGAGGTGGAGGTAGGATGTTGTATCGGCGCTTGTACTCGGTGACGGCTTCTTTCAAAGTGCGTGATTGTCGTTGCAGGAGGGCACTGAATTCGTTCTCGGCATCTTTTGCCAGATATTCGATCGGATGTACATGAGTGTCGTTGTATTGTAAAAAAGCGGATAAATCTTGGTCGCGCAGCGGAGGTGACCAGGGACCAGCAGGGCCAGTGGGACTATTCGGACTGACTCGAGCTATTAAGCGGTCGCGGAAGTTGAAGACTGCAAGCAAAGCAAGCGAGACAAGCAGCAGCAAGGTAAGAAGGCGTCTAGAGCGCATGTTTGCTCGGCCGTCTGTCGCAGAATGTCGAGTCGTCGAGTTCGAGCGGTCATGGAGAAAGGCGTAGAGAGAGGCCAGGCATATCGACGCGAACCACAATCGTCCCAGGGAAAAGTTGGCTGTCAATTCGGCGACGAGTGCAGCAACAAGAAGGGTCGAGGCGGTCGTGAGCTGATCGCACTTATCGACCTGCGAAAACACCCTGGTCAGTTTCCTTGCCGAGGTGGGTCCGCTACTCATTATAGGGCTTCTTATCTCTTGTTCGACTTACCGCGAGGATCATCGTTCTGTTCAACGTAGCATGCACGACTACCATGCAGATGCCGAGGACCACCATGATGATCTGTTGTGGTAGAAAGGCAAACCAGAACGGACTGGTGCTGAAGCCCTCCAGGACGAAGGCCGATAGCCATTGCGCCAATGCAGCTGCAAACGACACATCGACCAGTACCTGTTGTGTATCTTTTTTGATCGTCGGCTGAGACAGCAGGCCGCTCACAGATATCACTCCGTCGTCAGGCCCGCTCGTAGAGACCGTCTCTCGATGGGCGGATTGCAATAGCGACAGAACCACGGCCACAAGCACTGCATTACAACAGCCCAGCGCAAGCGTTTCCCGCAGCTCGCTCACATAACTCAAAGCTACAAGTGCCGATATAGTGAGGACTGCTAGAAGTCTCGAGTCTCCGCTGGTTTGTTTTTCTGCAGACCGAGTGTCGGTACCCGAGTTGAAGCGCACGGTGCCGAATGCATCCACCTTTACGACTACGCAGACGACAACGGGGAGGAGAGCCTTTGGGAAGCAGGATTTCAGCCAATGTTCATATGTATTCGAGGAGCAATTCTCCTGACCTTGGCCCAATATATGTGACGACCTCCTTCCACCGCTCTTTCGCAGACGATGGACAGGGCCAATAGCACTCCTGCTGCCCATGACAGCACCCGTCCTTGCGAGTCTCCATTACTGCTGAGGCGGCTCCTAAAGCGTGCGTATGCCCATATGCAAGTCCATGCTGCAGCACTCGTGGTAAGGAGGTGTCGCGGCGAGGTGCCAACTAATGCGAGGGCGGCGGTGACGAGCAGGGTACCCAACAGCACCGCTTGCTGGTTGTCTTGAATCGCCCGACCCGGCGATAGCATCGGTGTCTTTCGAGTTGGCGACAAGTTCTCATTGTAACGTTTCCCCTGCTGCTACAACACTTTCGAATGACCTCCCTCCTGCTTCATGACGCGTGAGCTTGGCAATCCTTCTACCCGAGTCCCCGAGCCAAACAATAGAAGTAGCCGGTGATTGGCTACATTACTTGGCTCTATTCTACACGAATGTTCAACTATGTTGCTATCACAAGACCCCCTCACAATCTTAAAGACGACCTGGTAGTACAAAGAGGCATTGTTTCAGAGAGCGTGTGCTGCTTTGTACAATCATGTCTGATTGGTGGATCTGAGCTCGAGTCAGGCACAGGGAGCCGTTTCCGACCATCAATAAGCGACGCTGGCTGATAAGCACGTTATCAATGCCCGAGGCCGCATGACCGACTAACTCCGCATTGGCCGTGTCATCAGATACCCTCTACCTCGTCCTTCCTTCTCGCAACGACCCTTTGTTCTCTTCTTGATAGACGAATCGATCACCTTTTGCTGTTTGAGTATCAGGCTGCCCGTCTACAACATATACTTGAGAGCGTAGAAGCTCCGACACCCACCGCCAACATGGCGTCAAGAGCGATGATCCCGATCCTGGTAGCCATGATGCTACTGACGGGCATGTGCAACACTCTCTTTACCAAGTACCAGGTAGGATCTTCTGAGTCTGGTCTTATCATCTGCTTCTGACACCGCCACAGGACATGCAATGTGTCGCCAACTGTGACGATCCCGACCCTGCCAAACGCAAGAACTTCGAGCAGCCCGTCATTCAGACGCTACAGATGTTTGTTGGCGAGTCCGGATGCTGGCTTGTCGTCTTCGTCTCGTATCTCTTCTCTCGCTACGTCAGCAAGTCTTCCGATTCAACCGCATACGAGCGACTCAACACCGAGGACACGCGTGAACCTCTTTTGCAAGAAGACATCGAAGCTCCTGCCGATGCTACGAATGTGCCCGCCAAACCCTTCGCCGACGCAGAACACGCCGGACAAAGACTCCCGCTCAAGGGATGGAAGATCTTACTGCTTGCCCTCCCCGCATGCTGTGATATCGCCGGAACCACCTTGATGAATGTGGGCTTGTTATTTGTAGCAGCCAGTATATATCAGATGACCAGGGGTGCTCTCGTACTCTTCGTCGGACTCTTCAGCGTCATCTTCCTCAAGAGACAGCTGAATGCTTTCAAGTGGGCCAGCTTGTTCATTGTCGTCGCAGGAGTGGCTGTAGTTGGTCTGGCCGGAGCCCTGGAGAACAAGAAGGCCACCGTACCCGGAACTGCACCTGGAGCCGATCCTCCGAGCATGGGCGAACTTCGACACCAGATGGCCCATGGCACCATACACCTGATTCGTGACGCCGCCAAGAGCGTCACAGTCGCTGCGCGAGAACACTCGGCAGCTCAAACCATGGTTGGAATGCTCTTGATCGCGGGAGCGCAGATTTTCACGGCATCACAATTCGTTATTGAAGAAAGCATCATGGCAAAGTATGAACTAGACCCTTTGGCCACTGTTGGATGGGAAGGAGTGTTTGGATTCTCGGTCACAGCTATTGGTATGGTGATTCTGCACTTTGCAGTTGGACGTACGGACGCTGGCAGAGGAGGATACTTTGATGCAAAGGAAGGACTGTCGCAGGTGTTTCAGCACCGAGCGATTGCTGCCAGCAGTTTGTTGACGATGGTTTCGATCGGAGGGTTCAACTTCTTCGGGCTGTCGGTGACTCGTACAGTGTCTGCCACAGCACGCAGTACCATCGACACATGCCGAACATTATTCATCTGGGTAGTCAGTTTGGGACTAGGATGGGAGACATTCAAGTGGCTGCAAGTGGTAGGATTCGGACTGCTGGTGTACGGCACCATGGTGTTCAATGAGATCATCCAGCCGCCTACCGTTGGATTCTTGCGCAAGCGAATTGCGCTTGAGCCGGAAGATGACAGAAGAGGGAGAAGTGATTAGGCCATTCTCAGATATCAGTGTTTATTATAAGTCGCAGAGGAGTGGAAATTATGCACGTCATTTGCACAAAAAGGGACAGCCCCCACCGGTCGACGGACGGGGCGTTTGCGATGCGATCGATGGTCTTTCTTAGCGATTGGATTCTTGCTTTCCTGTGACGCGCTACATTTCTCCTTGGACCTTCACATTCCGTACGACTCCTCAGACGACCATCCATCATGTCGACAGCCCCATCATCACGTCGGTTGTTCCAGGGCCAAGGCGAAAACATGGGACCGCCAGGGAAAGCAATTGCTCGGCCACGACCAGACAGTAGCAACCGGCCAGTGCTAGGTGACCTGACGCCGAACGCCAAACTCGACAAGCAGCAGCAACAACAACAACAACGCGGTGGCAGCCCGCTCAAGCGACAAGCAAATATCCTCGACGATGCCAAGGGCTTCAGCTACATCAAGCGTCGTCGCCTGTCACACAACAATGCCCTGACACGCCGCATCACTCCGCAACCCACCCAGGATACGCAGAAGGCGCACGACCAGCCCGACCACGACTCGCACGACGACACTGGCAGCGGTCGCTCCTCCCAGAACTCCAACGCTACCCGTGCCTCCTTCTCGTCCCTCATCAACTACGACCCCTCGTCACAGCACATCTCGCAACAACATCAGCAACCCACCCCTTCCTCGGCATCAATGTCCATCAGAACCGCTGCCCAAACCCTGCGGCTACGTCTCCGCATCGCCATTTACAAAGTCCGCACAAATCAAATCAACGTGCCCTTTTCGCGTCTGCAGATCATGTCCAAGCAACCCACTCGACAACAACAACCCCAACCTCAAGCCCCTCCCTCGCCTGACGCCCTACCCATGGCTCCTCCGCCGTTACGCTCTTGCAACGACAAAACCCCTCACGTCGCTGATTCGCAAGCACAAGCTCAACAAGCTCTCTTCTCCACGCCCAACATCTTCTCCAACCGCTTCATGCCCTTCAATGCTCCCTCAAGCTCCCCACCGTTAGCACACGATCCTCTACCGCGTATTGCAAGAGAAGCACAGGCCCGTATGGCTGCTGCCGCCGCAGATAGAGATAGCCTGGACTCGGAAGCTACAGAGCTGGCTGATGATCATGATGAACACCCCGTGGCTGAGAGTCCCTTGGATAGGTCTAGAAGACATCACATGCTACCGCAAGCGTGAGCTTCTGGCACCTCATTTCTTTATTGCACAATACCGGCATACTTTGGACCCTCATGAGCCGTCCGCGGAACGAATTATTAGATGAAGAGAAATGGACCACAAAAAATGGCTTCTGGGGTGGCTTCTGGGATACTTACGGCGTCATATGTTTTTCAAGCTCTGTTGCCCTGGGGAGTTTGGACTGGCTTTCTGTTCTTCGATATCCGAATTTGCTTTTTTGATCGCTTCCTTATCATCTCATCTTTTCTAGGATATGAGCTTTTGCTCTTCTTTCGCCTTTTGCGTTTTCTCGTCACATCACGCTATCTTACTCAACACTGCCTTTTCTGACGGCGACGAAATTCTAGAAGACAGGAACAACGAAGAATCAATATCTTGTTACTTCCACACCCTCTTTTTTTTCACAGCCCCCATGTTTACGCTTGAATTTTCTGGTTCAGCAACATATGATATGCCACTATATAACAAGCTCTCGTCGAGGCGACCAGGGGCCCGGTATCTCAATCATCTCGTTCGCGCAGACCGACTGAAACCTCCTGGGTGCAGTGCCCTTAATGCTGAGATGGATTGGTCACTCAAGTAGTGATTGGGGCAATTCGAGTATCCCACTGGTCCTTCCAATGTTCTAGTTTCTCTTTGATTTGGGTGGAATGCTTTGGATGATGGGTGGACACTCGGGACACAGAGTACACCTGGTTTCTGGCTGTGGCACGATACTTGATCTGGTTTGTGCTATCTTCGAGTGTCCTTACAGAGTTGCTATTGAGATTTCCACCTATCGAGGGCAATCATAGCAAGATGGCTGTCCCGCGTACTCAAAGTCACAAGGCCTCTGGAATGTCATCTTCCGCAGCCCAGACCAGTTCACTCTAAGCCCCTACGAGAGATCGATGGTACAAGAGAACAACCCTTGCTACTAAGAAAACAAAGCTTGTGGCATATACGTTTGTGTATATGACCGGCTTGCAATCTCAGACAAATGCAGCCTTTGCAACTATGGCGTCCGTTTCTTGCGGATCGAATGCTCACGAATTTGGCTTAGCTGGCCAGGGGAAACAACTAGATCGAGCTGTGGCATGTTGCATTCAGGTGAAAATCGATCGGAGCGTGGGCATAACAGTTCGGAGAGTGGTTCACTGACCTGATGACTTTCTTCACCATCTTCCCCTCCTTCGCCTAATGGTCAGATGGAAGGTACACTACATGGGTTGCACGAGTCTATGTACCCTGCCAGTGCTTCTTGTGGCTGCGAAGATCGAATGGTGACTTCAATGACGGAAGAAGAGGGCGAGAGATTGTGCAATCGGCTTTTTTTCTTGCTATTGGCATTGCTGTCTGTCTGTTTTCAAGTGGTGAATATGATTTACTATCATCGAGATATAAACTTTCTTCTGTCTCAACGGCTGTCTGATCTTACTTCTATATAGCTTATATCAGTGTTCTCTACACCTGTCTCGCCTCAATCACCTCGATCCAAGACGCAAGTACAAATATGAATAATGCAATATATGGAGCCAACAATAAGGCTAAAGCATAGATGTTTCTCGGCCTTAGAAAAGATCGCCATCAGAAACGGTGCTTCGTCATTTCCGTATAAAGGCTCGAGTACCATGTGTTGATATCAAGTCTTATCCATTGTTACTAGTACAAAGCACATATCTGAACGCCTGTAGGTGCTAGACACTGTGGTTGTATTGTGCTCTGCTCAAGTCTCGATGATTAGCCATATATAACGCGCGACTGGATCACTCTTGCTTAGGTAAAGACTGTCACAGCCACCGCCATGCCCTTGTTTTGTTAGCGAGTGTCCGAGAAAACCATTCCTTGCAGTGAGAATAAAAACGTTTCATCGGTCACACAACTAACCGGCTACAAGAGATTATCATGTCAGTATACCTAGCACTTTCTTATGCGTCTCCCTACGATCTTCTGATGTGTCACTTCTGTGAAGTGCATCTGAGATGATCATAGAGTAGAGTTGCGCGTGGAGACATGGTTGTGGAACCATTTATGTCTCACTCCCTCATCAAAGCGCTCAATACTTCTTGTCACGAGATATGTTTTGTACTTGAGTTATTTCAACACTGGTCTCGAGTTTACCCACCATTAACATAGTAAGAGCGGGAGGTAGAGCTGGAGTAAAACAAATATCGAGGGAGATATCACAGCAGTAATCAGTATAGTGGATAAGTATCAATGGTGATCTACAGCACTTTGGAACACCATAGCAGGATAGCGAGTGTAAGGTACGCAGGTTACCGGGTCAATGAACCTATACTCTCGATTACCATCTCGGCACTTTTGCTGCTAGATTTGTGCTTCTGAGATGGCGTCTCCCGGGAATCAGAGTAGAAGAGGAGGTAGCACAAGGCAGATATTGGAGTTGTCGACCTGGTTTCTCATGTACGCTTCGCCCTTCTTTGTAGCCAGATTTGGTTCTCAGAGTTCGATTATTTCCTTGCGCAGTCCTCTCATACGTCCCTTTCCACGAGGCGGAAGAAAGACTCGAATTATGGTCATCTTTAGGCTGATCATGATAGTGGCTTTGTTGAATTAGGTATAGTGTCGAAATATTTCTTGAATATGCCTATGCACGATATCGCTCCCTTGAGGCGTGCCTTGATGGAGAGCAATGATATGACCACTAGGTCAAGCTCGATACCGCTTTGTATCTGAGATCGTGTGACGACAGGCGAGCTCGTCACATCTTAATCAACTGCTTGTGTGGTGCTATGATCTCAAATGCAAAAATTGTATCTCTACGTGACCCTACCAAGGGAGCTTGAAAGTCCGATCCTGGATTCGCATAATACATGGATAGAGAGGCATAGCCGGAGAAGCCACAGTCGTGGACCTGTGAGCCCGCGGTTTTGGCTGGGGCAGAAGCAGCGATCATGGGGCTTATGAAATATGACTCCTGTGTCTGTCGATGTTCAACGTAAGCTTGGAGATGTGATCGTATAAGCTATATAACGTGACCCCTATATCTTAAAAAGAAAAATCACAGGTCTGATGGCTCACGGGAAGTTTCACTTACTCCTCTCATTCCTTTGCTCGTTTCTCTAGAGCTCCGCATAATGTCCTAATATATGTTTAGGAAATTGACCGTAGTTAAACTAGACCTTCAAGACAAGGCGTGTATCTACAAATATTTCAGGTGGTGATCACACTCGTGTGAGCGTCGAGACATTCTTTTTGATAAATTACCGACGCAATCATATCAGAGCATCCGCAGTCGCGGTGCAGGGTGTAGTCGCATCATTTGTAAGAGGGTCGAAGAGAAGAAAAGTGAAAGTGTGAGTGGATGCGGGCTGGGACGTCGAAGCTCGGCGTCATGATCAAGCCTGTCACGGCAGATCATGATCTCTTATTCTCCAAGTAACAATATCCTCCTCCGTCCACGCTTGCGACTCTCCAACAAACATCGACTACAAAGTCATGCTGTAAAAGTGCGCCAAGCCTTGTATAACAGCCATTCCACACAAGTCAGGAGAGAAACTTCAAGCCATCAACCATGTCGTTGTGGAGGTAGGTAATGTCGTTTTTCGTCCACCTTTGCTCCCATGCTCAAGAAACAAAATTCCATTTCCATCGGTATTGCCTTCTATCATTCACATACTGTCACCTTGTACATTTGATTGTATCTCCTACATCATTTACTCTTGTTGTCATACAATCATGTTCTCCCCACTACTTTTTTCATCTTTCCCTCTTCTTCTCAGTCTCATCTCTTCTCCCCTCTCCCTCCTCCCATATAGACACCTGCTAACCCTGCTTAGCTACTACACCTCCCTCTCGCCAAAGACGCGCCTTATGGTCGGCGGCGGCATAATCGGCTACGCATGTCTCGGTCTCTTCCTCTCCGACACCGCAGAAGAAAAACTAGGCTACACACCTACTGAACAAGATAAGAAGCGTTTGAGAGAGGCTTTACCGAGAATCAGAGTTGTGGAGGAGTAATGCACATCAATGGGAGTGATTCAAATGGAATATGCGAATATGGAGTAGGAGTCGAAGACAGAGTGGAGGCAGTAGGGGGTAAAGCTGGAAGCGAGAGATGGAGAGAAATTCAAGGAGACGCTGTATAGGGGATAACCCTGCTCATGAATTCCTACAAACAAGGATAGAGGCATAAATCGATATGATACATACAGTTATGATTCTGCATCTATCTTCGGCTTGACGCGGCTCTACAACAAGCTCCTAGCAAGATGGTAAAATGCCCAAAGTCAATAACAAAGCCTATTCAGCTCTCAGCTGTTTCTGTTCATATGAAAAGCTCCGCGAACCACGTCAATTCCGGAGCTGACGACTCGACATAACACCAACCAATCAGGCTCGGAAGAAGGCCCGGAACGAAAAGTGTACTTGTCAAAGAAGAAGATTTATGCGACATACCTATAGGCACCGATTGGGTTGCGATTCATCGAGATGCTGTATTGCTGTGCACTACTCTACCTAGCATAACGATTTGTATCGCATCCTGATCTCGCACAGAAGTTCTATCTACTCGCACAGTTGCACATCACCAACGAGAGCGGAACCGAGAAGGAGAGTTTGTTAAACAAATCAACTAACACGAAAGTGGTATACAATCGCATATTCAAAGTTTCTGTTTCCACGTTCGTTGTGGTGGTCCCCAGCGTTTGGCCCGGTCTAGATCGAACAGTGCTCGCGGCATTGCAGAACTTACTTTGATCTGTTGAACAGACCGCTATCCTAAGTAACGTGGAAGTTGTCCGATTTCCAGTCATGCTCCCATCTAGTTGGTGTTAGTAACGTATGATATTTGTGCCCATACCTAACAGTCAGATCTAAGTGTAACAATCTAAGCTCGTTAGCAGCTCGTACAGAATGCAACCTCAGGTCTGATAAGGCCAAGGCTTGTCATGTCAGATCAGATCAGATCAACAGATCACATCCTCGATAAGTGTTCATGCAAGCGCAACACGCAAGCGACTTGCCAGGAAAACGTGCGAGGCAGGATTTGCCTAGCATACCAACGGTCGTGTCAGAGCCCAAAGACTCCCGAGGCCTGCCTGTTTTGGAAGGCGCATCGCATGGCCCGAGTTTGTACATGGTTTCCATGTCCATGCCGTCAGCGCCACACTGCAAGCTCGCTCAACAGCACTTGCATTGTTGTCGTGATTGTTCCAGCGCGTTGCGCGCGCATCGGGTTTTATCGAAGCATCGAAGTTTGGAATCGAGAACATCGCAGATTCGGAAGTACCGATTGTGGAGGATCAACATAAAAGCTTGGCATGCACGTGTCGTTCACGAAATTATGACGAGTGATTAGCCCGAGACGCGAGGGCAAAGACCGACCGTGTCGAGGTATTTGCATTTCGTGTAGTAAAATTTGCCGAGAGTGGATGGGCCAAGCAAAAGAGAAGGAACTGCACCGGAAGTTGCTGTGTTAGATACGTAGCTCGACACAATAATAAATGTTGCATGCGGCTTTGAAGCACGCAAGGGTCGTTTTGACAGCCAGCGCTCAGACCCTTCAGTAGTGCGCCGGGAGCTCGGGTGTTGTAATTGGCTTGAGGCGCGGATGTTGGACGTGGCTTGGTTGAGCTGTGAGTTCAGATCAAGAACCTGGAAGGTCAGCTGCAGCGTCAGTGTTGCATGAATCTTTCATTTGGAGGATGATGAAGCTGATACTGTATGGTGGAGGAATGGTGGAACGTAAGCGGTATAGGTGAGCATCAAGAAGGAACACCATCAAGGTGGTCGTGTGTCATACCATTGACAGGGTTCGACAACCGCTGTGAGTCTTTAGATTCGTCGTTGCACTCCATACGTGCGTACAGATAGATGCTGCTTCCTATCCAGATTAGTGCTATCTGATTTCCATCGAAAATAGATATCATCGATCTGAGGTTTCAGCCCTCTCCTCGCGTAACCTCAATCTCTCGATTCGCTCGATGCGGATCTGAGATGCGCTGAAAGAAAATGTCACTGGTGGGCTCTGATCTTCCACCCCCGGAGGGAATATCGATGAGGGGGTGAAAAGCATGGAATATGATGCATCAAGTGTCTAACAAGGAAGTAAAAGCTAGTTGCTGAGTGACGAATGGGTGAATGGGTGTCGATGGAAGCAATCGGAATCTATGGTGTTGAATCTGGCAACCTCGTGCCAGATCTCCCGATTACCGAACGGAGTCCAGTCCCATTGGTTCGGCATTCGGCTCCGGAGCCTCAAACGTCACCTACCCTTAACGACATCTTGCCCCCACTGTCAGACATGAACGAACATAGCTTGAATTTGCTCGTTGCGACCATCTATCTCGAGCAGCTGATGTGCGCTGTTGACAGCCACATCGTTGCCATCAGCGCAACGCAATATGGGTCTATCACTGAACAGCTCTGCATAAGCAAAGCAGAAGCGCGACATGCAAAGCAAGACTAAATATGGGCCTGTGTAGTTCATTCATGCGGCACGCCGCGTATGTCGCACATATTATTGACTCGTCTACCTTCTTCCTCACAAGTCAAACGTCGTTGACAACGGTGCGAACGCGTGTTTCCTTGGTAGTTTATCCGGAGAGCGACTCAAGAGGTCTGAATGCAATCATTCTTCATCATTGTTGTACTTCGAGGTCCGGACGTAGGCTCGATCGCCGATTCCATCGAGTGTTTTGTGTTCCTCCTCTTCTGACCGACGCGCTGTGCTGCGCGTACAGGCTCAAGGCCGCTGTTTTGGCATACACAGACCAAGCCATGGCGACACGCTCTTGAATCGGTTCCTGCTGTGCCAATCACCAAGGCTTTGTCGTCGACACGCGGTGCGGTTCTATCGAGGTATGGAAACTCGAGGTCCCAAGGGTCCCTGTTGAGGTAGACGATGGAGGGCGGAGCTGTTCAGCCGTATCGCTACAGTGGGGGCGGTATCTGTCAGTCTTCAGGTCTTGACTGCCATCGACTCAGAACTTGGCCACATCTGAAGGTTCCGCACTCCCCCCTGCCCACTCGGGTTGAGACATTTGTACGTTGTAGGGATATTGATTCTGAGAGAGTCCAGCTTGACCATCTGGTTTCGCCCAGTCGTGGACATTGGCCTGGTAGGTTTCTTGCTGGATGTGAGACGAGTCCTGGAACGGCCAGATCTCTGCACTATACTCGAGTCAGCGTCCATACGTGCTGATGTATACAGGGGTTATTCGAGACAGAGCTCACTTCTCCAAGAGGCTGCGTCCGCGGAGGCTGCACATCACTGAAAACAGATGACGACTGATAAGAAAGGGGCAAGCCACTCACAGGCTTTGTAGTGTTGAACCATTGTTGCCTGGAAAACTGTACAAGGTCTGCTGGCCAAGGCGAGGATCAATCATCAGGGGCGGTTGTTGAGGTGGACTCGTGAAGTCTGTCATAGGGAGAGGATCCGTGAAGATGTTCTGATCGCCGTCTTGTTGATCTTGAGAGTACGTCGAAATGGGGGACAGGTTGGACACGGTGCCGTACTCCACGAGGTCGCTCAATTGATCCGACGGTCGTTTCCTCGCTATCGGTCGCGCTTTGCGTAGTGTTTTGGCGTAAGTTTCGACATCTGGACACTCTCTCAGACGGCGAAGATGGTCGAACGCTTCGTTGTCTGGTGTACCGTGTAGAGCACTGAAGACGAGCTCAAAGTCGGAATTTCGTTCCCCTAGTTCCTTATTCCGGCGTCGTACAGCTTCCACTCGTGATATGCCTGCTTCGGAGTCGTAGACACAGGATTGACCCCTTTGTTGACAGAGCATACACATAGGTCGCTCACCGCTGCACTAGATGCTTTGTGGTCAATATAACTTCTCCACCAAGTCAATTCTAGAAAGTGCTCACCTTCACCTTGCGTTTTTGACATGATTGACACGCAGCCTTGACAAGTTGTCTTTTTGGTCTGGTCGATGAAGATGCATCTGTGCTCATCTTGCGAGCGAGAAATTTGACTTGAGGCCAGGGTGATGGGGAGTTACGGTAAAGGGCGTACACGCCAGGGAGATTGTGGAGCTCAGGTATTGCCGGTAGAACTGACACTCTTGTACTTGGTTGTGCATGGGGATTGTCAGTGTCCAATGGGCGGTCTCCAGATAACTCTTCCCGAAGTGCCGCAAGCTATTCCCAAATCGACGATGTGAATCGTCGGTTTTGTCGGCCTCAGATCTGGTACGTTTTTGGGAACCTCGACGCACCAACCGGAGGCTTCTGATACGACTATTGCGGAAACACCAGCGCAATCGCAAAGCAAGAGGCAGGCGTGTGAGAGCTTGCGGGAAGTAGCGTTGTTATGAAGAGGGAAGATGTCCGGTTGAAATGACAAAGCCTCCTTCGGACTAGACTCCGAATGACCTAGTTGTCAAGGTCGACAAGATGGGACTCGACTCGGTTGCTAAAGAATCAATGTGGGGACTGCCGAGCTTGGTGTTACGAGATTGTTTTACCAGATGCAGACTCTTACTCACTGCGGATGGCGAATCGATCACCCTGGGATGCTACTCAGCGTCAAGTAAAGCGAGATTGATGTTTTGATGGTGGGGATCTGCCAGAGCACCTGGACAAAGGCCGCCCAGCCGCAGCTGGCAGACCATTGCTCTTGTACTGTGGCACCCGTTGTGACGATAGGCAGACTCAGCATGCCAACCGAGCTATGTTTCGCTCACGATGCCTGTGTTGGGAGGACAGACGGGGAGTCGGCCAAGTTGTCCTGGGCCCGCGTAAGCGCTTAGTCGGCCGAACGTTCTCCCAGACCGAAACCTTTTACGTAGGGCAGGCCGTCGGGATAGCAAAAAAGAGCAAGGCGTAGGAAAGGAGGCAACTGAACACCATGTAGAGACCCATAACCTGCGGCTCTTCTGCATGTCTATTGACTGGTTGGTTCATGCCACGCACGAATCCCGGGGTTGTCTGATTAGCGCTTGCTGCATCGGCCACGCCGCCACGGCAAAAACTAAGCACAGAACTAAGACTCCACATCTGTGGCATGCCTCTCTCACGTTGACACGACCATACGCCCAAGATGAAAAACTTCAGCTTCTGCGACATAAACTCCACTACTAGCTGCTATTCGCCACATATCGTCAACCCCGGCGAGGGGACGATACTGCACTGCACTGTGGCTTTTACGTATACGGCTTTTCTTCGTTACGCTCTGGCGTGTTCTTGTACTTGCCTGGACAGGACCGATAGCTGCATTGCACCAGGCATAACTACATCGAGGAATGAGTAAAACACAACTATGCCTGCAATTCAGAAGGGGCATCATAAAACATAACAGCGTCACTCAAAGCTTGCTCTTGCTAACAATGCTGCTGTTGCCCTTGCCAATGCACGATACAGCGTCGCCGACCATCTCGTCAATAATTTCCTTGGCCGACTTTCTCTCGTTCACAACAGCTGCAGCCTTGCCCATAAGGAAGGGTCGAGCGTTGTCCATAGTATCATCATCAAGATCGTCACCTAGGCTCTCGAGATCATGTTCAACGGGAATGACACCCTCAGACGTTAGTTTTTTGATCTCGGCCTGTCTCTCATTCTCCCACTTTTCGATGTATGGGTTCTTTCGGACGCGAAGTGGACGTCCAGTGAAGATGATGGTACGGACGTTGTCGTCAAAGCCAGATGTGCGAACTGCCTCCTGATGAGCCTTACTGGCACCAGCCTCCTCACTTAGTACAAAGCGGGTACCGATCCACACAGCTGTGGCACCGAGCATAAGGGCGGCTGCCAAAGACTGGCCATTGAAAAGACCACCAGCGGCAATGACTTGCACTGGCTTACCGGTCAAGGGACTCTTGTGACCCTCACACAACTTGACGACAGTAGGGATCAGAATTGTGGTCGGGACATCTCCAGTGTGCCCACCTCCTTCTCCACCCTGAGCGCAGATCATGTCGACGCCAATGTCCAGACATTTCTTGACATGCTTGGGGTGTCCAATCATGTTCATGTACAGAACTCCGGCTTTGTGTAGCTTCTCGACGATGTGCTTAGGAGGGACGCCAACAGCGGAGACGAAAAGGGAGGCTTTGGAGTCGATGATAATGTCGACAAGTTCATCGAGTTTGCCCTTTGTGTAGTCGTAGCTGCAGTTCGTGTGAGTAATGGTATGCAAAGTCCTGGGGAGATTGCTCACTTTGTCTTTCTGGCACTGCCACCTACTTGAGGAAGCAAGAGATCGACTCCAAATGGTGCATTCTTGTCCTTCAGGTAGCTCTTGAGTTCTGCGATCTGCTCACGCAACATGTCTGGTGTGTAGCCAACTCCGCCAATGACACCCAAGCCGCCAGCGTTTGTGACGGCAGCGGCAAGTTTGGGGCCTGCAGCGACGTTCATGCCAGCTAGCATGACTGGATGGTTGATCTTCAAAAGATCAGTCGTGGTGGTTCGGATTTGCTCTGCTTCTTGTTAGCAAAACGCGTGGGGGTCCGGTCCACAGACGTACTCACGTAAGGATGCCATGATGAACGTTGTATTCGGTATGTGATGTTGAATGGAGAGTGGGCGTCGTAGCAAGGGGTGCGCAAGGCAAAAGTAAAGAGGGAGGAGAGGAGAGTCGAGCACGACCGAGGAGGACTTAAATGTTGATCACCAGATGCCTCGGCATCCTGAAGCTTCGGCAAGGTGTAGCTTTGCATACTCATCTTCAGTCACCAGACTCCTGATGCAAACATCCCCTGGACATCAGTCTCACACCAATGGTGTAGTCAGTGTAAATGCGACTTTCCAATACCATGCAGAAATGAGTCTCTCTCGTGCTGGATGGCAGATCAGTGTTATTGTTGGCCGAGCGGGCGCACAAGCCTCGAAAGCGGGGCGTGTGGGGTAGCGTTTCGGACGAACCTCCTTCCTGACAGGGTCTCCTTTCCACGTGAGAGCGTGCTCGGAAACACAACCTTGAGAACCACATTCTATCTCGTTCCGAGTTGGACATCTATCTCCAGACAACCTGTGTCTTGCTCAACTCGATAATGCTTCGGCTGTGTAGAGCTCCATAAACTGACAAGAGCACCAAATCCAATGCAAAGAACATCACCTCTTCCGCTATCGGATCTCTTGCTTCCAGAACAACCCACTTTTGACTAGCGATCGCGAAAATCTTCACTTGGACCTTTTTGCCGACACAACACAACATTCCGGAATGAGATACACCTTCCCAACGACCAGACTGTCTTACAGATGCGCTCATGCATACAGCTATCGCACCTCACCTAACTTCTCCCTGACCCGCGCATATTTCCAGTTCTCAAGGACGACCGTGCCAACACAACTTCGTCCAATCTCACCTCGAATGACTGGGTTGACTTTACAACAAGGCAGAACTAGTACATTGACAATGCCGTCGATCCATCGCGACATGTCCACAAAAATGGACACCATTCGAACAGCATATATCGCTCTTGGGAGCAATGTAGGCGACAGGCTTGACATGATCGAAAAAGCATGTCTGGCATTGGATCAGGACCCTGACATCAAGGTCACACGAACTAGTTCGCTGTATGAGACCGAACCAATGTACGTCGAGGACCAAGCTCGGTTTCTCAATGGCGCTTGCGAAGTTGGTGTTTTCATGGTAGAGTGTCGTGTAAAATACTGATATCTATGGACAGATACAGACTATACTTGAGCCGATGACGCTATTGGACAGACTACAGGCTATTGAGAACGAGCTGGGTCGTGTCAAGCTTATAGACAAAGGACCTCGGAGCATCGATCTGGACATTCTGTTGTACGAGGATCAAGTGATCGATACTGAACGCTTGAAGGTACCGCACATCCTGATGCTCGAAAGGGAATTTGTGCTCCGGCCTCTCTGCGAGTAAGTGTTTTTATTTCACAGAGTCGACCGCTATATCTTACAGATCTCCAGCATCATCCCGGATACGATACCTTCAATCGGCCAAACACCAGTATCTCTCTCCCAAAGCCTGCGTAGGCTGTCAGCTTCTCCTTCGACACCTATATCAACCACAACGAGTATGGGTGAAAACACATTTTCAATTCGAGCTCTGGAGCACACACGTCCTACGCATATAATGTCTATCCTCAACACAACCCCTGATTCTTTCTCGGATGGAGGCCTCAATTCACCGACAGACGAAACAGCACTTCGGAAGACAATCTCATCACATATTCGTAGAGGTGCTACAATCATTGATATAGGTGGACAATCTTCGCGCCCCAATGCCGCCGATGTGACAGCAGAAGAGGAGATTCAGCGTGTTTTACCCGCTATCAAGATCATCAGATCCCTACCCGAAGGATCCAACACTTGCATCAGTGTCGACACGTATCGTGCTACAGTGGCTGAGGAAGCCATCAAGGCTGGAGCCCACATTATCAATGACATTTCTGGAGGCTTACTAGATGCTGATATGCTCCCTACCGTCGGTCGTCTGGGATGCACCGTATGCTTGATGCACATGCGAGGAACGCCAGCAACAATGACCAGTGCGGAAAACTGCTCGTATCCCGACGGACTGATTCCTACGATAGCCAATGAGCTTTTGGACCGCGTCAGAGCAGCGGAGGCAGCTGGTATCCGTCGCTGGCGCATAATTCTGGATCCTGGTATTGGGTTCGCCAAGACGACCGAGCAAAATTTGGAGATCCTCAGACGCATGAGCGACCTCAGGAGCTGGCCTGGCCTGGTAGGGTTGCCATGGCTCTTGGGCAGCAGTAGAAAAGGCTTCATCGGCAAGATTACCGGCGTGGTGGATGCGAAGGAGCGCACGTGGGGCACAGCAGCGACCGTGACAGCAGCAGTTCAAGGTGGAGCTGATATGGTGCGTGTGCACGATGTGGACGAGATGGCCAAAGTGACCAAAATGTCTGACGCGATCTGGAGAAGGTGATACAAGGACGACGTAGATCATTTGAGACGTCGTTGGAAGATTAGAGTACAGACACTCTGGCCTTGTTGACCGCCGAAAGTGAAGGTGGGATACTTGGCCTCGTCGAAGAATTGCAGCTCGCCATCAGCAGCGACAAACCAGTTCATGACTTCTTCCTTGGTCCAATTGCATGAGGTGATGATGAAGAATTGACCAGGCTTGACGAGGGGAGTGATGTGTTCGCGGTACGACTCGCAGATACGGCGACCCTGAGCATCTGTCTCGGAAGACAAGGAGATGGCGTCGAAGGTGCCCTTGTCCAGAACAGCATCGAAGCCTTGGCCCAGCCACTCTCCGGGCTGCTGGGTCAAGAGGTCCCATTCCTCGAACTTCACAGGAGCCCCTCCTTCGCTGCGTGCAGCAGCGATCTGGCGGGCAAGCTTCACACTAGTATCACTGTAGTCGACCCCAACCAGCTCTCCAGCCCAGTCCTCGTCCAGCAAAGAGAAGAGCATGTGTCCATTGCCAGTGCCCAAGTCGAGGATGCGCGAATCGTCCTTGCTAAGCAGGCCCTCATCTTGCAGAGCTTCGAGACGCTCGACAACCTTTTCCTCAGCGCCGCTGTCGTCGAACCAGATTGTGCCCTCGTCTTGAGCGTCCTGAGCGTGGTTTGCGATTTCACGTGCGTAGGCTTGATCCCAGCTGGAGAGTTGGTCAGCCGGTGTCTTGTTGTCGCGTGATTCGGAAAGGCGTACTATTGCTTGGTACCGAGTTCGCTGGGGTCGAGGTGGGAGCGCATGGTTGCGGTGCGTTTCGCAGATGACTGTCTTGGTCAGTCGGGCGTAGAGTTGTTGTGCAGCAAGGAAACCAAAGAGAAAACCCCAAGCATGGCGGCGCTTCGCATGCGGCGGTGCTCGGTGGTGCCAACGGGCCGCACGGACTTGGCATGATGGCAGCCATGACTTGGTGGGTGCGAGGACGAGCTCGAGCACGAGTACGAGAGGCTGCTCCTCCTGACACGCATGCCAATTGTCCACTCGAATCGCACCGAATCTGCTTGCCAACACGTATCCTGGATGCCGTAGACCCACAGAACCACGTCTGCCTCTTTCTCCCCAACCCGCATCGCTGTGTCCGTTCCCCGACTCGGTAGCAGCTAAACCGCTGCCGTTGCCTTTCCCCGGACACGCAAGCCCCCCGTCATGGCCGCCGCATACTCTGCGAGTGCTCCGGCTTCCCTTCCACCGACAATGTCGGCACCGAACGCCCCACCGGGCACCTTCACGCCGGGCACCAAGGTCCAGGTCGGCTCACACCGCGTTGTTATCGAGAAGTACTTCTCCGAGGGAGGCTTCGCTCATGTCTACACCGTCCGTGTCCCGCCCAAGGACTCGTCGAGCAAACCCACCATCGCCGTCCTCAAAAGAGTCGCCGTGCCGGATAAGGATGCTTTGGCAAACATGCGTACCGAGGTCGAGACCATGAAGAAGCTACAAGGCCACAAGCACATTGTCACATATATCGACAGCCATGCCAGTCAGCTGAAAGGCGGCGGCTACGAGGTCTTCTTGCTCATGGAGTTTTGCTCGGGTGGTGGTCTGATTGACTTCATGAACACACGCCTGCAGCACCGCTTGACCGAGCCTGAGATTCTGAACATCTTCGCCGACGTCAGCGAGGGTGTCGCGACCATGCACTACCTCAAGCCCCCACTCCTGCATAGAGACTTGAAGGTCGAGAACGTCCTCATCACAAACTCGACAAAGGGTGCCATTTACAAGCTATGCGACTTTGGTAGTACCGCTCCTCCACGACCTGCCGCTTCTAATGCCCACGAGGGTAGAACAATCGAGGAGGATATCCAGCGTCACACCACAATGCAGTACCGAAGTCCTGAGATGGTAGATGTTTGGCGCCGGCAGCCAATCGACGAGAAGAGTGATATCTGGGCGCTGGGCGTCCTTTTGTACAAGCTCTGCTACTATACCACTCCTTTCGAGGAGGTCGGCCAGATGGCCATCTTGAATGCCTCATTCAAGTATCCCCATTACCCTGCATTCTCATCCCGCCTCAAGGCGCTGATCGGTAAGTATGTTATCATCGGGATACGTTCGTCCTACTGACCTCTGTCTTGCAGGCTCTTGTTTACGAGAGGATCCTCGTCTGAGACCTAATATCTATCAAGTCGTCAGCGAAGTGTGCAGTATGCGCGGCACTCCGATTCCCATCAAAGACGTTAGTTTCACCTGTTCAATCCTACCTCAAACATACCCTAATAACGGTGAACAGATTTACGCTCAACGTACACAATCCGAAGCTGGACGCAACCAAAAACTTCCCGATATCACCTCTCCTGTACCATCTCCGTCTCCGGCAGGCATCAGCCATGCGTCGCCCGTCAAACAAAAACAATACATTCCAGAAATTGCTCCAATGAGACGTGGTAGACCAACCGCTGCACCTCAACCTCAGGCTGCAGCTGTGTCCTCCGCTAAGAACTCGGATCCGTTCGCCGCTCTCGACTCTGCCTCGAATACCATTCGATCTCGTGCTGTAGACGAGCTCTCAGCCAAGTTCCCCTCGCTGGACGAGTTCTCGATCGCGCATGAGTCAGGAGGCTTTAACTTTAGCTCGTCGAAGCCGCAAAGAAACGACCCCATCACAAGCGCACTAGCAGACGATCTTTTTGCACGTCCTGCGTCAGCAAAGAATACTCCACCACAAACAGAATCATTCCCACCTCGGACTTCCAGCAAGCCTAGCACAAAACCTGAGACTGGCGTCAAGGCCGAAGCACCTCCCAAGCCCAAGACATTGCTACATCAGCCAGCACCTCAAAGACCAACACACTCTTCTGCGGGCGCTTTGAACTCCCCATCAGAAACTCAGCCTACGCAACCTTCTTTACCATCAATGCCAGAGATTAGCAAACGTCCGATCTGGCGAGTACCGGATCCGGATCATTCGAGAGCCTCGAGTCAGCCGCGTGCTTCGCCTCTGGCTCAAACGGAAGCCAATAGGCTTCAACCTAGCGCACCGCCAGCTCAGAGGCCTGTGTTGCTAGACTCCCACAGATCTAAATCGCAAACAGCCACGATGACGATGGCGAAACAGACGACATCTTCCAGACCCTCCTTGGAAGGCCATAGACCCTCATTTGGATATGAAGACGGTATCAGCAGGGCAAGATCTGCAAACTCAAGACCACGACCTGTTAGCGCCGCATACGTGGACTCGAATCTTGATTACCTGCGTGAACAGGAAGCAGAGAGGAAGAGGCCGTCACTCGAGATTAGAAGATCTAGCCGATCGATCAGAGGTAGCGAAGTCAACTTGGACGATGCAAACATTGACAGCGACGCCGACTATCTCAGAAGCTTGGAGAGCAACGATGGTCTGAGTCGGAGAAGTAGTGGCAAGAGTGCTGCTCACAACAAGCGCTCCAGCTTGTCTGCACTCAGCTTCAGCGGAACAAAGAACATGTTGTCTGGCAGGTTCAATGATGCGTTCAAGAGATTCGAGCAGACAGGCGGAGAGGTCAAGGTCCACAAGGGCGGTAGAGGGTCTGATTCAGGATTCAGAACTCCCAGCCCCAACCCACCGATGCAGACCGAGAACAACCTGCTAAGCCCAATCTCAGGCTCAGATACTAATGAGACACCGCGGCGTCCCGAGGCTGCCAAGTCGGATCTCGACGACCTGATTGAGACCGAAGACGTGCCACCAGAAATGCGAAGAGAGATGGAGAGACTACAACTCGCACAGGAAGAGAAGCGAGTGGCGGCAGCAGCGGCCGAGCACCGAAGTCGTGGAGGCGCACCTCCTGTACCCTCGAAGGCGAACATGATTCAACAGCGCGTTCAATCGTTACTGGACGATGGCCAGAAATCACCAGTACGCAAGAGACAAGCAGAAGGCTATGGACGCTACACGGAAAGGACAGAGACTATACAGCCTGAGCGACGACCGACGCCCACGACTCAAGCCATGCCCAAGAAACAAGCGCCACCTGTTGCGAGAAAGCCAGCTACACCTGTGCCTGCAGCAGTCACTGCACCTGGCGAGGTGGACATGAACTTGCGGTACCACAAGGTCAGACAGTCTCAATCCTTCCCGATAGCGGCAGGCACGTATCCTCTCGAGCATTCAGTATCGGCGCCTGCACAGAGAACAGGCGCAGTACCGAGACCGAGTGCCCCCACTAAGCCAGCGTCACTCAAGACAGGCGGATCAAGTGTATCGCAAGGGCGGCCACAATCTTCAGGCATGGCGAGCCCGGTGTACAGCCAACCTTCAGGAGCAGCTCGCGGTCCCAGCCTTGCAGCACTTATTGCGCGCGACAATGAAGGAGTCGCAGGCGTCGGTGCTGGAAACAGTGGCGGCATGGAACAGGGGCTGCGACAAGAGTCGGATTTTGCCAATCAAGCAGATTTCGATGACTGGCAAGCGGACTTTAGCAAGAGATATCCTAGTCTGAGTGGCATTGAGATGGTGGAGAGGGAGATAGCCGGCACGAGTGGAAGTAGAGATGGCGGGCGACGTGGGGTGAGAGTCAGGGATGTATAAGTGATGGATGGGAAGGGTCAGGATGTAATATAGAGATTCTGGATAAAACATGGGATTCCAGAAGTTGCATGATGTGTCGTGTACAAGAATTAGGTTTCGGGAGGGGCACTCAAGGTGTGGCTTGGTGTTTGTGTTTCACAAAGGCCGGCGGATCTTGGTCGAAAGTCCGACGACTGCCCCAAACGCTCCCCCCACCTTACGCATCGCGAACACGGCCAGTTCGCGCTTTCCTATTGCTGTCCGTTCAAGAGAGGCGCTGTTCTTATTCTTGTCCGAGCATAGTCCGCCAGCGAGAGACGTGTGGCGCCGCCAACACGGTGAACGAGGCAGGAGCGTCATCCTCACCACAAGACGCGCGCCTCTTCTCCGCTATACAATCCGCCAACTCGTAAACACGAAACACGACCACCATGGCGCCAACCACCGCTCGCCCGCGAAGACAACGCCGTCTGTCCAATGTCACAAACTCTTCCCTCTCATCAACATCTCCCGAACGCGATGCCGATGATGACAACGACTCGTTCATGCTCCAGCCCAACGACTCGCAGTCGTCAGTCGCTGCCTCACTTGACCTCATGGACGACGTCAACTTCGAGGAGCGCTGTCGCCTATCTCCCGTTTACCGTCTGCCCGCCGAATTGCTCATCGCCATCTTCGGTCGACTCGCATCAACAAAAGACCTCATGTCGTGCATGCTAGTGTCTAAGGATTGGGCTCGAAACAGCGTCGCCCTGCTGTGGCACCGTCCACAGACAAACAACTGGGCCAGCATTCACAGCGTCGTAAGGTCAATACGCAAGACAGAACGCTTCTTCGCATACCAAGATTTGGTCAAGCGTCTCAACCTCTCCACTCTGGCCGCTCAAGTCAGCGATGGCACCTTGATGGGCTTGACAGCCTGCAAACGCATCGAGCGTTTGACCTTGACCAACTGCGCAAAGTTGTCCGATTTGAGTCTTACTAGCCTCATTCACGGCAACCGTAGCTTGATAGCACTGGATGTTACTCAGCTCGACCAGCTCACCGATCGCACCCTTGAGCTTGTCGCTCGCAACTGCATCCGTCTACAAGGTCTCAACATTACCGGTTGCCGCCGCTTCACAGACCAGTCTCTTGTTCAGATAGCCCAGAACTGTCGTCAGCTCAAGCGTCTCAAGTGCAACAGCTGCTCTCAACTGACTGATATCTCGATGCTGAGTGTCGCTCAGAACAGTTCACATTTGCTGGAAATTGACCTTTACGATTTGCCATTGCTCGAGTCAGAGTCTATAACAGCCCTTCTGACTCAGTGCCGCCAGCTACGTGAACTGCGTCTTGCCCGTTGCCCTCTCATCACCGATCAGGCTTTCTTGCAGCTGCCATCCAAAGCTGCTCCCTTCGATGCCTTGCGGATTCTTGACCTTACGGATTGTCAAGAACTCACTGACAAGGCCATCGACAAGATTGTGCAAACGTGTCCGAAGCTTCGCAACCTGATCCTTGCCAAGTGCAGGCAGCTCACCGACAGGGCTGTATGGGCCATCACCAAGCTCGGCCGTAATCTACACTACATCCATCTCGGCCACTGCGCTCGCATTACCGACGCATCCATCATCGCTTTGGCCAAAAGCTGTACTCGCATCCGATACATTGATCTCGCTTGCTGTAGCAACCTCACTGACCAGAGCATCACTCAATTGGCCAACCTCCCCAAGCTTAAGCGCGTTGGTCTTGTCAAGTGTGCTGCCATCACTGACAGGAGTATTCATGCTCTTGCGACTTATGGTGGTAGAGTCATGCAAAAGCCTCGAGACCGCCAGCAGAATGTCAGCGCTCTGGAGCGTGTCCACTTGAGTTATTGCACTCTCCTTACTCTCGACGTATGTATTAAAATCCAACTGCTCTTGACATCTCTTTTCTGACATTCAACCAGGGCATCCACACATTGCTTAACAACTGCCCCCGCTTGACACACTTGAGTTTGACAGGCGTTCAAGCCTTCCTCCGCGACGATCTAACAGTCTTTTGCCGCGAAGCCCCTGCCGAGTTCAATGACCACCAGCGTGAAGTCTTCTGTGTCTTCTCGGGCAATGGTGTTCAACGTCTACGCGAGTACCTCAATCGCGCTACCGGTCCCGGCATGGAGACAGGCATGGTTAATGATTCTGACGACGACGGCGACGGCGCCACTCTCCGCAATCTTCCTCTTCCTCCACCACCGCCTCCTCATCACCCCAACCTCATCCACACATGGCACAATCCAGCCTTCCACAATCATAACGACCAGGATATCGAAGACGAAGACATGGAAGACGATAATGATGGGGTCGACACACCCGATGCCGGCCATGGAATCGGCATCATTGACGCTGCGGTACACGGCCATATGCTTGACCTGGACGTTCACTCGCCTCCTGCTAACAATCCTGGCCATGGCGGTCCAAACCCACATAATCATGGTGGTGCGCTATGGGCTGGTGGTAGTGGTGAAGCTCAACATGTTACTGGCATGATGAGCGCCGCTATGTTGGACGACGTGGACGAAGGTACATCGCAGTGAAGTGACGATCGTCACTTCTTGACAACATGGGTTTGAAGCGACATGGGGCGCGCATGATTGCATTCCAATGGTAGTGGGCTGGATGGAGTTTTTCTCAGCACTTTTTGAGTCTTCACATTCCCAGAAATGGACAGGGAGTAATCACCAGGGGGCGTTTTGTGTTTCATCGAGAAATGAACAGGGGGATGATTGCACAATTTGGGAGTTTTTCTTTTCTTCGGTCCAACACGAGGCCAGGAGCCATACTTTTTGACCGCAGCTTTCCTTTTCTCTGCTTCTGCAGTTTGTTTCGAGTAGGTGGGAGATTACAAGGAGCATTAGGTCGAAGGGTCGACGAGGAGTGGGAATTAGCGCTTTCTTCTAGCAGCTGCTATTTGTATTGAGATCAGTGAATCATTGGTCTCTGCCACCTTTCTATCTCAGACTTTCTTCTTCCCCGAGTCTCACGTATCTCAAATGGTCGTTGTTCCCTTGAATACTGCTGCCGTTTCTAGAGAAGATGTGGGTGGTTGAATACTTTTTGCCGAATCTTACTAGAGTTTGCAAGTGCTCGTCAGATCTAAGCATTAGGAATCGTCCTTGAAGGCATGTAATACCGACCCCGATAGCACTCACATCTGCCGCCTCGGGAGCTCGAGAACAAATGCACGAAGCGACCGGATCGCATCGGTAAATATCCAACTAGGAACAGCAAATTTTGAGCCACCAACGGCGAAAAGCAGATTTCAAAACTCTTGTTACACGGAACGATTTTCGTCGACAACCCGACATGATGAGGAGAAAGAGAGAGATGGTTCATCGGAGTTTTTGCTTTGTTCTGCCTTCTTGCAGATGTTGGACGTGGTTCGTGGGAGCCAAGGAGGACAAGGGAGGTAGAGAAGTAGATGGGTCTGTGAAGATGAATATAGTTTTGCGATCTCTCTGCTCCTTTGAGCTCATGATGGTGGCGAGGTCTTTTCATGTTAGGGCTTCGTGTCGATTTGGAGAATTGGGAGCAGAGAAGTAGAGTTATGGGCCTGGATCTCTGCTTTTCGCCCATACCAGGGCTCTAGCACAGGATGATGACATGTTATGTAGTTTAGCAATCTTGATGTTGTAGAACGATGCTGAGTGGACTGATGGGCTACCAGATGAAGTTCTTTTGGCTAAAGCCTTCAACGAGGTATGCTAATGCTGTGATAATTGGACACTAGGAATACTGTATGTAGAGGTTCGATATCCTTCTTCGTGGGTGATACTGGAGTTGTATAGTTTTTACAAACATGTCATCATACGCTTCCTTTTCAATCTTCGAGACGGTATCAGCAACCGAGAAACGGTTCGGTGATGCATAACATCGAGACTCTCTCAAGGGCTGGTGCGCGACCCTTGTCTCTCGTATCCATTATCCTAGTCCTAGACGCTCTATCAATTTTTGAACTTACTGAGCTGGAAAAACTCTTCGCCACCAGATGGTACGACTTCTGAGTTGAGGTGTATGGCTCTGCTGCGACATATCAGTCATATCGCAAGCCTGTGATATCAGGAGGAGTAGGGAAGCAGACAGAAGTGAGTAGGTTCGTGGAGCAGAGAACATCTCTGTGATCTCGTCTCCTAGCATCTTCACGATGTTTACTTGTCTCGTGAATGACAAAGATGGGAGTCAGAGATATATCGTGAGTAGTCGTTGTCTTCATGGACCTGTCGCGCTTTTTCAAAGACCAATTCCAGGGTCCTTTGCGTCAACATATCGCTGAGGACTATGATTTCTCGTTGAAATCGCTCCTCTGCTCTGAGGCCTTGTCGCAGCATGATGACACTATAATACTACAATGCTGAGAAGACTCCATATACTGGTCATCTAGCGTAGCGTCACCGTCTCTTGCACCTACATCTCAACCTCAACTGGGCCTGTGAGAAACTTTTCTGTAATCTATGCGTTTGTCATGTGCAATGTGTCTGTAGAACCAAGTAGCTTACTCTCATGCCAGAGAAGCACTCTGACATTCACCAGCTAATGATGGGTTCATCTGTGCAGAACTGGAGAAAATGGTCGATACTCTCTTCTAGAAAGGATATGGAGAAATTCATGAGGGTCCTCAGTAGACCCGCAAGAAGAGTCATGTCTTGGCCGCTGCATTGATTTGAGATAGATAACATATGACAAGTGCAACAAGATTCAGGTTACAGGGCTACAGAGTAGCTGTAGAGACTGATAGATGTTGATACAGTGGTCAAAAGGGCGTGCAGAACAGAGGACAATTTAGAGAAGCTTCCAAGACAAGTGTAAAGGTTTCATCGGACTTGTGAAGCTATCGCGTACCTACCTCATGTTATAGCTCGACGAGACCGCAATGGAGAGATCTGTCAACATTCCTCGCAACTTCCGCATCAGATGATCATGATAAATTCCTCTCTTGCATGTGACTTGGACTAAGAACTACCCCTTGCATTCCATACTTAGTATGTAAACAGCTCCTCCTTCCAAACTAAACATCCACCGACATGGGTATGGGTAACTATACATTGTGCCTGAAGTACGTCGACCCCTGGTTGCACCAGCCCAGCACTCACACCACGGTCTGCTATGTCTCAAGCTTACAAGCAGGAGAGTGCGAAGTGCAATGTCGAGAAACGTCTCGGGTCGACAAACATTCCGTTTCTAAGCTATTCCGCGTCGTTAATGACATTATAGATAGAAGGTGTGAAGGATCTGTTCTTCTTGAGAGATCCCGGGAGAAGCGACGTTATCGACTTCGTTCGCGATGGTCTTCGTCGATGAGCTTACATGTGGGTGGATCTATTCCTTACTTTATATAGAGTTCGATGTCGAAGAAGCCCTCGGGTCAAAGACCGTACCAGTCATGAAGGTATCCCGCAGGATTGGCTAGTATTCTTTTGGTGTAAAAAGGAGCTAGGGAGTGCGTCTCTCACACGAGGAAATCAGACCCGATCTTGTACTCTATGGTTCCACGAGGGCAAGATAGTGGCACAGGTAGGTACTGTGTTACGAAAGACAGAACGCTCTGCCAATCAAAGCTTACTTGCAATATAGAAAGATGCTGTCAGGTTGTGATTCAGCGTAAGGACTCTGAGATATATGGGGAGATGAGTAGTCCAACACTCTCAACTGTACTGGACTCTCTTTGTGCAGCAACTACATCAAAGCCATGGAGTACTCGGGCTCACGAGTCAGTCCCAACTTTCCTGAGAGAAAACACATGAAGTGCCAGAGGTGTTTCCATATACTAGATGGCTGAGACGAAAACAATTGTATGTGGGAGGAAAGTGGAAGTAGCGATTGTTCGAGTCGGCGTTGTCGTGAAAGCAAGAGCAATCAGGAGCGATGTGGAAGGAACAACCACATTGTTTGCACCATCACTTCCGTCGCCGTGTGGCTGTGATTTTCTTCGCAAGCAAGTCTTGTTCGGCCATGCTGCTTGTGATTGACACGGCACACCAACAACTTCCCGTTCAGCACATCACTTGCATCATCTTTGACTCGACCACATCGAATCCACCACTGTCACTTGACGTGTCTGACTTTGCAAACATCATTACCATGGCCGAACACTCTACAAGGTGCCTTACCTGCAAACATCTCACTGATGGCAAGGACTGATCGATCTCAGTGTCTACAACTCGCGTCTCTTCACCTTCCGAGCAAGCGAGAATGGCGCAACCACGACAGTCCACTCTGGCGCCGTCGCCGCGGTCTCGGCGCCCCTCAAGCTCCTGATGGAACAAGAGACACCCGATGGCCCAAGGACCAGTGCGACTCTCCATGGTGTGCGCGAAGAGGATCTCCTGCGCTTTTGCGACTTCTGCTACACCGGCACCTACACTGATCCTTACCCGATCGTGGTCAAGCTCGCAGCACCCGCGATCGAATCTGGCGCCAGCGAAGGCAATGGTACCGGCGTAGGCAACTCCACCGCCTTGATCATCACCGACGACTCCGGCGTTCAGCCCCCGGCAGCCAAGCGTCCTCGCACTGCATCTCCCGCGCACTCGTTGACCGGGTTCGGCAGACCCAGCATGCTCGGTGCCGCACCTGCTCCCGAAGTTGCCACCTCGCTCAATCTAAACAACAAGATGAAGCTGCATGGAGTTTTTGCAAACACGCCCTACACCACCGCAGTGCCTCACGTCTTCGGCACCACCACGAAGAAGTCTAATGGCATGCCCGTCAATGAGAACCACACCAACGTCCTCATCGCCCATGCCGCCATGCATTCCTTGGCCGTCAACTACGAGATCACCAAGCTGAAGAAGCTGTCCTTGCAGAAGCTGGCAGATAAAATGATGCGTTTCGACTGCAAGCCAGAACGTGTCGGCGATGTCCTGGCTCTCGTTCGCTGGGTCTACACTACCAATGCCGAGATGCCAGGTGACATGCCTGAGCTGAAGGATCTCGTGGTCAGATATGTTGTCTCTGAGGTCAGCGGATTTGGTGGTACCAAGGAGTTTGGAGACCTGTTGATTGATGGTGGCGAGTTCGTCAAGGACTTTTGGGGCATGGTATTTAACAACTTGCTCTAGACGAGTGAGCAAGAGGGTCCAGTCCAATATTTCTGCTTTAGCTGCTTCGGAGGGAGGTACACCGGATGATGAAGAGCGGACTATTGCAGTACGACATCGAGTAGGTTCTGAACGGGTTGTGAAGAGCCACTTCATCGCTTGATAGATACCTATAGCACATTGCTAGTTGTATTGATCTTCTGTTCGCACAAAGCAAATGTGATAAAGAGACTCTGTTAGCTCATTGAGTATCTTTCCTGTCGTTGTGAGCTTTTAGGCCTATAGAATCCCGCATATTCACTAATGGTCAGTGGTCAACACATACTTGTTGAGGCAATTTCGAGCTTGCAAGAGATCGCAGGCTCCCGGCAAGTCTTGCGTTGCATCTCGTCATGCGGACCACCCCTTCTGATCCTTATTCTTCACATCCGTCCGCCTGTATTCTCGACTGTTCGAAGTTTGCCTGAAGCAAGAGTAGGAGAGGACGTCAGAGTGGAACTTGGCGGATAGAAACGGCGAAGTAAGACTACGCTATCGGTAAGCCTCTAGAGTCAAGAAGGCTTGCACCTCAGTAAGGTTTGCTTATAGCAGAACAGAGGAAGATTAGGTCGTAGAGCGCTCAAGTCTTGATATCATCGTCGTTAGTGAGTCTGATGATCCATCCTTCTGGACATTTACCTATCTGTTGACATCAACGGTTGATCTTACTCATACTCGCCGTAGCTTCTTTCTCATGCTCTCAGTGGGCCGACTTTAGCCCTCAAACCACTCAGTCAATTGTCATTCCAAGGTCTGTCTCTCGAAAAAAGAATGACATGGACCAGTCTGAGAGACAGCTTGGCTCACAGCCATGCAAAGCCGGCCTGACGTCCGTCGGAAGCTCCATTGGAGTGATTTCCTTGCTGACCATGAACCTCGTGATCACTTCCCTGCCTCACCACCCTCCAGGGTCAATGATACGATGAACGAGAATATCAAAAAAAAAAAAACGAGCTCGAAAAAGAAAATCAGACCATACTATCGTAAAGCCCTCACTCATCACCACGTGCCCTCACGAATGGTGGTTTGATGTTGATCAATACCCAAATCCTAGTTCCTGCCCACCACCGACTCGCCGAAGTCCCGGCTTCCGTATCAGCTGGTAGCTTTATGCACGTGTTTATGCAAGAGATGCGGAGTTGACACATACCGCGCGTGCGGAGTATACGCGATACGGGCAAATACGATGCTTATACGCGGGGGCTGGAAGCTGCAAAGCAGATTGAGTGCATGAAAACAAACAGAGATGCTCGGCTGGATGCAGGTTGATACGTGGAGACAAAGGAACATGCACCGGTCAATGAAGACTAGAAGGGAAACCATCACTCATGGTCCGGAAATTGAAGCAAGAAAGGAATGAGATTCATAAAATTCGTGTGGTGTTTGCGATAATACACGGGCGCTCTGCGCATGAGGCAAGACAGTAAAACAAAAAAAGCCTGTGAATGGGTATAGGTAGTGATTGGGTCAAGATGTGGTTTTTCCAAGGTCCAGCCATCAGATGAATATAAAAACAATACCGAGTCCTCCTCTTTCCTTGTGCTTTCACCCAGCCATGCCGCAGAATAGCTTTCTGAATCTGCTGGGTTTCTTGGCTTTGGGCATGTTTGCTTCGATTTTACCGGCGTCGATGCTATTGGCTGAGGTGGTCGAGCTCTCGCGCTTCTGACGCTGGGCGGCCATGGCTGCGAGCTTTCTCTCGGCTTCCTGTGATTTGGCAGAATCGTTGCGGACTGCGTAGTTTTCTTCGTCGCTCTCTTGGAGATCGAGAGCGGGAATCAAGGGAGTAGGCGCAGAAGAATGCTTCGAGGATTTGCCAAGCATGGCGGCGGTAGCCTCAACACTTTCCTCCTCTTCGGTCATGTCGTTGGACGCGAGATCCATGTGTGCGAGACCAGATGCAGTAGTGCTGGTAGTATCAGCGCGACGTCCTCGAGGACGCTTAGAATGGATCAAGACGGTGCTGGTGCTATCGGCGCGAGCTCTTCTAGCACTGGCGCTCCTTGAGATAGGGATAGGAGCTTCATCAGTCGAAGTAGAGCCATCGACTTGTGAAGATGTGGAGCGTCGCTTGACACCGGCAGAGCGGAACATGCGAGCGATACTGCCGCTTCTTCTAGGAGAGTCGTCTTTGGGAGTAGCAGCAGAAGACAGCTCTGTAGGTGACTTTATGGGAGAAGCGTTGAGCTTGAGGGAAGGCGAACGTAGCATCAGATCGTCGTAACGATAGCCGGGGCACCAGCCTTCACGAAGAGTCACCCAGATAGCAGTGGCAGTGATCAATGCCTTGAGAGACTGAGTTGTAACAATAGGATCAGTGGAACCGACAGGATCTTGGCTAGCTTCTTCTTGCTCATGATCGCTAATCTCTGGCGAGGGTGCCAGAGCTGAAGGGATAGTGTAAGAATCATTGATATCAAGAGAGGCGGTTGTAAGCGAAGCAATTACGGGATGACGACGAGAGTTTGGCGAGATTGTGCTGAAGTTGAACTTCTTGTTCTGGTTGGCGGCGTCGGTGCCAAAAGACGTCGTCATGTCCGAGGCGGATTGACTTCTTCTGGCCTTGGGGCGACGAAGAACCCAGCGTGCAGTCATGCCCAGGCCATGTGCATCGGTGCTGAAGAACTCATAGCCACCGTTGGGCAGAGTGTAGGCTTCCCACTCGCTCCCATCTTCAAGGAAGAGCTTCGCCTTGGATGTGTTGTTGCCGTCTCCCTTTCGGCCTTTGCAGACAAGGGCCAGAACGTCTCTTGACTCGTCTTCTTCTTTGGGTGATGCTTCGTGTTGGTGGTACTTCTCAGCCTTGACAATGGCTAGGTCGGCCGGACAGTGGCCGTGTTTGGTACGGAGGGTCTTGGAGATGGCGCGCGACAGCGAAGGCGAGAAGATGGCCGAGGGAAGGAGTTCGTAAGCAGGCATTGGCCTCGCAGACTGGGATAGTTGGTGCAATTGCAACAATGGTTTGGCGCGAACGTGGATCTTGTGTCGCGCACTGCCTTTGGGCGGAGCATGGGCAATGCTGTATGAAGTCTTGGGGCGAGACGATCGCTTCTTCCTCCCGCCATTGGAACTCATCAGTGAACCTTCGCGAGAGGCATATCCATCGTCAGTCAACATGAGTGGCAGCGAGCTTCTGTTTGGGTTGTTCCTCTGGCTCAGCGGGGTATCGTGCTGCATTGGTAGTGATTCGGTAGTGAGATTGTTTTGATGGCTTTTGATATTCGCATCCCGGCTGTCGCCCAACGAGAGAGTCTTGACGGGGGTGGTTGGTGTTGTAAAATAGCTCATGAGCATTGTTGGCAGGGCAGAGACCAGCCCGGGCTGGGGAGGGGTTGCTACATCGGCCGACTCCATGTCCGTGTGTTGAATAGTTGCCTTGTTACAAAGAATGGGGAAGCCGCGTTTGACGTCCACGGGCCAGCTATTGTTCGAAGGTGCATCTGCACAGGTTCCAGTGAATGTAAGAAGACGCGGTGAAAAGTGAAGCTGCAGAGAAAGGAGGAACCAAGTCGAAACGGTGGTCAACTCTTGTCGAAGAGTCTTGACCAAGACCAAGACCAAGAAGGCACCTATTCCCGTACGACGCTCGTCAGATCTCCAACTATCCGCGTATGCTTATGCGGAAGGTGGGTCGAACGCTCTTGGCTGCCAAGCGATAAACAGTAGAAGGAATATGTGATGATGACACCAGCAAGGCCAACTAGGATCCTTCGTGCTGACACGCTCTCCAAATGCCGCAAATGATTGACAAAGTCGTCCGTCAGACCAACTTAGATGCTGCGGACGAGGGGCTATGCCCGAGTACATATACAATGAACTGGGTTGCTACAGCGGCCTCTTGTCCCTGCAGCACTTTGCCCGTTTACGGTTAGCCTTGCGGTTGCTCGCGCTTTCCAGAAAATCTCATCATCAACCTTTGCACAAATCCGGGTTTCGGAACTAAACGCATCCTGAACGATCGGCTCTGACAATTGTCCGTACCCCGTCCGTATCGTCCGACTCGGCCTGTTCCAAGGCAGACATCGCTTTCCATACCTCCCATATCATCTGATCAATATTTTCGTTCTGCGCTTCGACTCGCTTCCCGCCCGAATCCGCTCGCTTTGCTGTCGTCAGATTTTGCACCCTTTGAAAACTTCTTTGTCAGGACCCGCTGAGACCAGAATTCCTTCAACGTCCGACTCCTTTGTTGCCAATTCTCATTTCGCGTCTCACCCTATTACGTCTCTGGCCCAGGCATGGCTTCTCCTGATCGATCGAGCTCCAGCCCGCTGCTTGCGGACGTTCGAACATTAGCATGTTTGTTTGTTCTATGGAAGTTGTTGCTTCTCTGTATCGCTTATGCCAGCCCCGGACCCGGCTACGATACCTCTACCACGTTGCTCTTCGCCCGTGCGCAGTCCGCGCTGTCCGAAAATACCCTTCTGGAAGACTTTGCGAAACGACTCGCGTCGAAGCTTGTCCGCTGGGATGCCCTGTATTTTGTGAGTGTTGCTCACCGAGGCCGTCTTTTCGAACAAGAATGGGCTTGGGGCTGGGGCTATACAAATTTACTCGGTCTGATTTCTAAAGGTTGGTTCAATGCACCCGAGTCTACAGCAGAAATAAGGCTGAACACAACATCAGTCCTTCCTCGTGCTTCTTCGCTATCACCATTGTATGTTCAAGCGTTTGCAGGAGTGTTGATTTCTCATGTCTCCCACCTGTTGTCTGTCTTCATGCTGTATGGCTTGGTTCATCACCTTCCTATCATGAACATACCTGAACGTCGTAAGGTTGCTTTCATTGCAGCATCACTGCATATCTTCTCTTCTGCTGGCCTGTTCCTTTCCGCGCCCTATGCCGAGAGTCTCTTCTCGATGCTGAATTTCCTTGGTATCTTGCTACATGTTGGCATCTCATATGGAATGCCTCTCGAAAAGTATGGACCGTCCGCTCTGATCAGGTTGTTGCTCTCAGGTGTCTGCTTCGGACTGGCCACCACATGCCGTAGCAATGGTGTCTTTAGTGGGCTCATCTACTTTCACCATCTCTACATGTTGTTCCACTCCAAGATCAACGTCCGTACGATCGTGACTGTTGCAGTCATTGGCTTGTCTGCTATTATGATCTTAGCGGGTATGCTTCTGCCACAGTACTTGGCATATCAAGACTTTTGTGTGTTTTCTCCAGCCGACGAACTCAGACCATGGTGCTCTCGAAGCTTGCCTAGTGTCTATTCCTGGGTGCAGGAACACTATTGGTACGTTTCAGATGTTCGTGTTACGAACCTTACTGACATTGTCACAGGAACGTAGGGTTCCTCCGCTACTGGACCGTCTCCAATATCCCCTTGTTCTTGCTTGCAGCCCCAATGCTGTGCGCTCTGATCGGTACAGGGCTTGCCGCTCCTGATCTCAAGATTGACGTTCCTGGAAAGCGCTCCAAGCAGGCATCAGTTTATCTCTTGTGTCTTGCTGCCCCACAGATACTATTGGCACTGCTAGCCCTTACGACCTTCCACGTTCAGATTGTCAATCGCATCGCTACTGGCTACCCGATCTGGTATATCGTAATTGCCGCGGGTATTGTGTCACCCAACACACTGGACGAGAAGATCAGACCAACTCGTTCAGGTGAGAACAAGTCTTTTGTTAGACACGTACAAGATCACTTGGGCAGGCCATCATCGCAACAACTCATCTTTCGAGGAATGTTCATGTATTCGATTATCCAGGGTGGGCTATACGCTAGCTTCATGCCTCCAGCATGATGTCGAAAGATCTCGAAGGCTAGATCGAAACCCTTGAATACATCAACACACTCAAGCCATCTCCAGATCAACCAAGATCTTCACATGTCTGTCCTTCTCTTTGATCAATGCCAGAATACCCTTCTCAACCAAATCATCCAGAGGAATCTTCCTTGTGATCATCTTGTTGGGTTGCAACCTGCCATCAGCAACAGCCTTGATGACCTCCACAAAGTCCTTGCGCTGATAACCCAACACACCAACATACTTTCCCTCATTAAACACCAAACTGTTGGGATTGAAACTCACCGGCTTCTCCCAAATAGCAACATTGACAACCGTACCTCTCGCCTTGATTGCCTTGCATGCAGTCTCAAAACTAGCAGGTACGCCAGCACAATCAAACACAATATCAGGACCTTCTCCACGACAGAGCTCGCGCGAAACTCCCACTACATCGTAGACGTTTGGGGCAATGACGTGGTGTGCGCCGAATTCTCTGGCAAAGGCTTGTCGCTGTGCGGCGATTTCGCTCATGATGATTTTCTTTGTTCCGTGGGCGACGAGGACCTGGACGACTGCGAGGCCGATGGGGCCGCCGCCGAGGACGAGAACGGAGGCGTTTTGGGGGCCAAGGGAGACGAGGGGGGAGGCTGAGACGGCGTGCCAGGCCACGGAGAGGGGTTCGACGAGTGCTGTGGTGTTGGTTAGTGGTTGCTTCAAGGCTGGAGAGTAGGGGGAAGCAAACCTCCGGTGTCTAGCTCGACGTTCTCTGGTAAGGGCAACACTGCATCCCATGGCACTGCGACTGCTTCACTCAAGCCACCACCTCCTCCTATCGTCACACATCAGCATCTCCTTCCTCCACGCCTCCAATGGTGCTTTGCAAACTTACCGCTCAATCCAATGAATCCACCATTTGCACAAGCATTCTCCACACCATTCCTACACGCCCCACAACTCTGACAGAAAATCGTAGGTTGAATAGCGCATTTCTGTCCAACATGGAAGTTTGAAGCGTCGGGCACATCTGCATGGACTTCCAAGATCGTGCCGCTGAATTCGTGACCAAAGCCTATGGGGACTGTTTCTCTCGTTACTGCATGGGGTTCGATTGGTGCGAAACTGTCATGATGGTCAGAGATGATGTTTGTACATGGTGGATTGGAGGTGTGCTGAAAGTGGATCGAAAGGGTGACTTAAGAGGGAAGTGGGAAACTTACGTCGGACCAGCGATATACTCGTGTAAATCCGTACCGCAGATTCCCACATGCGAAGGCTTTATGAGAATTTGGCCAGGGTGCAATTGAGGGCGAGGTATTTCCTCAATGCGCACGTCTTCTTTGCCGTAGTAGCGGGCTGCGCGCATCATCTTTGCGGTATTGTTCAGTTGCTGTTTCTAGAATCGTTTACTCTGCACGATTGCAGCGAGGGAAGCAAGAGGGGCAGCAGAAGCCTTAAGAAGAGCAGTCCTGTCCCTTTTGAACAACACGACCATGGCCAAGATTGACATTGGCAATCCTTCCGCCCGTCCACGGGATACCTGTTTGAGCGGCGCATCTCCCTCTTCGATGTCAGCGGCTGGCAGCAAGTCTCGTGAGCAAAGCGTGATATGGATATGCTTTTCGGATCCTCCGCAGACCCCGCGCGGGGTAGAGTGGATCTGTTTTTTCACATGCTGATCTGTGGGGAAGGAGGAGGAGGTTTGGCGGAAGAGGTGCACATGTGAGGAAGAACGGCAGCAGATATGCAGAAGGGCTCACGGTATGCTGGCATGTCTTTACTTCGATGAAGATCACGTAACTTGGCCCTGGAGTGGTTCTGGTTGCATCGAACTGTGGTGGAAGTCTACATTGAGGTGCCCACCGTCTCAATCCAGGTACTAAAGCTGAATCCAAAACGAGACAATTTGCTAAAGAGAACGTAGGTAATCAGAACATCAACGCATTCAACAAAAGTGTAACAAACGGTATACAAGAGATTCAAGAAGGAAGGACAACAAAAGCTATATACTCCGTGCGTTGTAAGATCAGCATGCAATTTCTCAAGCTCCGATCCGCCCTTTGACCACGTTGAGCTTGCTTCAATATCAGGATATGGCTCGAATACATACTTTCTGGCCTGGAACTTCATGAGTCGAAGTGGTGAGTGTAGAATGTTCCGTCTCTTTGCCTTTCGGATGTAATACAAGCATGCTGAACTTAGTCTTTCCACATGAATCATTTTTGTGTGTCGAGGATTTCCTTCGCCTTGATTTTCTGTAGCCTCTGGTCAATACGTGCTGGCTTGACTAGGCCTGATGTTGTGAGCTTCGCGGTGATGGGTATAGTAGGTGTGGGCTTGTTAGGCGATAAGGATAGTATGAAGGTACCGATTGAAGGTCCGGCTCCGTCTACATGTTTCTCAAGTTTAGCGGACGTGGATCAAGCGAAGAGAACTATGGCTGATGAGTTTGGCCGTCGTCTTCGCCGTCGTTGACCATGATCACATCCAGGTGGTTCTCATTGGCATCCTCATTCTCAAGCTCGAAGTATTCAATGGGACTGGAATCTGCTGTGTTGAAGAATTCATCAGGAGAGAACATCGCGTCTGGGTCCTTGTAGATTAGACGATTTATCCAGCGAGACATCAAGCTCTCATCGTCTTTATGATGTTGGGGTCTCGGCTTTACGCCTTGAATCAAAGTTGCCACGTACGCCAGTCTTCGATCCAAAGCAGTCTGGGCTTTGATACGTTTCGCGTCCGGGGCCGATTCCACTGGTCCAGATGCCTTACGTTTCTCTCCAGTCGCAGCACCGGTGCCCGCATCATCGTCCATCTGTGTAGCATCCTCAGCAGCAAGTGAGTCGTCAATCTCACTGCTCATTTGTTTGACCCAGCTTAGTGTACCCCAGCGATCCATTCCATCGGCATACTGGGGCATCGTTTCCTGAATCGAGGCCAACAATGTTTGCGGTGACGGACGTTCTGCCATATCAAATTGGACACAGTATTCCACGATATCAATCAAGTCCTGACTGTAGCCAGCCCATAGGTCCCTCTCTATCATGCCTTCCCACGCAGGATCTTGTGTATAGACGAGTCCTACGTCGTCAAATGACTTCTCGTATTTCGGTCGGACAACATGGTCACGCCGACCTGGTACACGTTACTCCGCGATGTTGGACGTACAAGTACGCTCACGCCGTCCGGATCTGCTTTTGGGAGGTCTGCTTCTGGTGCAAAATAACCCCTGGTGCCCCTTCCTAACCAAGTCGTCCAGCTGGTGTCACCGGATGTGAGGTAAGACATGCCAAAGTCACCCACATAAGCTGGAGGGTAAGAAATCTGAAGCCGGGACAGATTAGCACAAGTCCACAAATTCAGAGAGGTACAAACACCGCGCTTTGCTGGTCAAGCGCACTCGATTCTGCGAGATATCGTCTCGGGACGGCATTTTCTGAAGCAGAACAAGGCAGTAGCCCACCACTCGTCACGACGTTGGTACTCTCAGCTCAACTTACATAATCAGCGTCTCTACCGAGCGACCCTGGGTAGCCCATGAGAATATTTCCAGGCTTGATATCGTTATGTATGACCACTGGTTCATCTTTGCCTGGTTCTCGGAATGCTGTGTCCATGGCCACAAGGGCCTTGGCCATTCGTTCGAATGTGAACCACAAAAATGGTTCTGGGAGGGGTCGAGAAGATGTATGCTCTCTTATAACCGTAGAAAAGTCCCCTTTGCTGAAGTAGTCCATATAAGTACGCCAGCCCTCCGCGGTGCCCGGGATCTTGGCCGCTGCGAGGACCGGGACAGTGTATGCCTCGGTGGATCCACTGGGCACAAGTTGTTGCTGAATATACAATTCTATTCACTCGCCTTTGTGAGGGCCAGTCTCGAATCGTTGGCTACTTCTGACATTGGTGTTCCTGATGACGACACGTCTAACAATCTTTTGAGCGTCGTTCACGTGCGCCCACAAGTGAGCTGTAGCTTCACCTCCTTCAGCAAGCTTTTTGACATACATCCACGTATGATTGAGAGGAAGCGGAACAGTTGGAGGATTCGTATCCTCCCGGGTAACGGGCGCATCCGTCATGTCGTGTTAGTCGGTCGGCGAGTTATATGTGTGAAATTAGGGGTTGTCAATGTAGTGCCAGTCGTAACTGCAATGGCTATGATGGTGGCAAGCCAAACGGATTGTGGAATTGGCATGTTCCTGACAGTTAATTGATCACTCTTGAAAGAAATCATGATGCACATTGAACGAGATTCGCTGGATCCGGCCATATTTGAGGACAAAGAGAATGTCGACAGAAAAATTGTGACGGATACGTGGACCGCAAGCGGACGAGTCTGGAACAGAAGACATCGCTCAGACGCGCGACTGCCATTTTCTTTGAGTCCAGGATCAAGAACTATCTCCGCCCTGGTGAATTAGCGAAAGCGCACATCGCATCGCTGGGAGGATCGGCCGTCTTCCATGACGATCGGCGGGCTCTCAGACTAATTCCAGCAATATCTCGGTTTGAGCGATGATGAAAAGCTCGATGAAAACCTTTCAGCGAAGTTGGGCTCCGTTGATCGCTCGAGGTCGTCAGACCGTGAGTGCGGAAGGTGCGGTGGACTTGATTGCGCATGGGCCATGATGATGACATGATAGTAACAAAGACCCGGTGAATCTGCCCGCAACATACCTCGAATAAATAGTCGCTTCTCTATCGAGATCCACTTGCAATCAGTTCACAAGATATCGCAAGAGGAGTGAGGAGTTATTGCCAGATAGATATCACAGACAGACCATCGAGATACTATTGTGCATCAGCAACACTATCATAGTCTCCAAGCCTGACTCTGGAAGCTAGAGCACAGCGATCCCAGAAACTATCTTTGTATAGTTCGTTCAATGAAATCAAGCCACTAGGTCGGTGGACATATTTCAGCCTGCAGCTCGTATCCTGCGAGGTGATGCGATGAGGGCCGTCGAAGTATCTGTCTTGCTGAAGACGGCATAAACTTTACCTTCAATGCAAAAAACACTACTTCGACATCCGGGTTACATCGTCGACGTTGGAGCGAAGAAACTTTCTCGACTTTCTTGACCTCATGGCATGATTCTTTGAGACGAGAATCTGGAGGATACCACACCCCATGGAAGAGGTACTTGAACGGAAGAGTACTGGTGCAGCAGGTGTTCTCACCAGTGGAGGCTGACTCAAGTCGGACAAGCAACGACCTGTGAGCATTCTGGCTAGACTTTGTGGTCTGATAGAGACAAATGAAATGTGCTGATAGTAACAAGCGCTAAAGAGGGTGTATATAGAATAAGATAGATCTGGTCTAAGCAGGAATGACGTCCAGAAACGAACAAGATACAAGATCATGTCGCGCGGCCAATAGGACTTCCCAGATCGTGCATGGGTATCTGTGACTCATTTGAATGATGGCTCTCACGGTTGTTCACAGCAAAGCCGTCGCGATCGCGAGTGAAGTCCCGTGTTGTCGGTTTGCCTTGCTCAAGATCGATCGAGCGATCCTCAGTATCCGAATCGCCCACATAAACTTGGACTTCTGTTTGACGTTTGATGCCGTGGATGTCTTCTCGGAGATCCTCGTCACCTCGGGTATGTCCGGCAAAGGCAGTGTTCGTCACATGTTTCAAGACTCCATGGCGTTCGTCTCGGTCGTCACTGAAGGTATGGTGTGATTTCTGGGGATTGGGCGTCCCAGGGTATGGCGTGCCTTGAGATGAAGAGTGGAAGTTCATGTCCTGCTCGTTGGATCGTGCAACCTTGACGATCATGTCCGCCATACTTATCTCAATGTTGAGCTTGACCATCTGTGGTAAGGATGTTAGCATAGTGATGCGTGGAAGAGTGACGAGGTCTGGATCAAGGAACGATATTTGGGACCTACATATGCGACAGGATGGAATTGCACAAACACAATGCCGTTAGGAAGAGACATGAGACCAATGAGCATAAGATCCATGCAGACAGAGATAACTCCCAAACGAGTGTAGTAAGCAACTAGTGGCTTGTATTTTCGAAGACCGTGCTGCTGAACCAATCTGGCCTTGACGACCTGGTAGGAATAGTTTAAGCTGACAATCTTGAAGCTGCGGAATTATGAAGACTTACGTAAATGAAGTACGCGTTCAAGAAGGCGTCTACAAGCATGATCAGGATCTTACTTGCACGGTCCCAGTACTTATTGATGTGCACAAAGCTGTCTGATGTCAGTATCGCCTGAAGAATTACAGCGTGAGCCAGTACTTACACCATGCTGGGTGGCGGTGTGAGATGTGAAGGAATGAAGATGCAGAACACAGCAATATTGATGATCGAGATGACTACAGCAGTACCGATCTTCAAGCGCTGTGCTGTCGCCTTGCGCTCGGAAATGATCGAGATTCGGTTGATGATGATTTGCATGAGGAATTGAACCTCAAAAACATAGAAGAAGAGAATGAAAAAGAGAAGGGCAGGTCTAGAGACAGAGTCAGCTCAGTCTTGAGTGCCAGCCGGTAAAGTCTGTCTACCCATTGTGGACGGTGTCTTTCAACCAGAGCCAGCACAGTATACCAAGGGCAAGATTGGCTATAATCTCACCCCAGACCATGTATATGTATGCAGACTTCCATGGATTTCGGTTGGCCTTTGTCTGACGAATGGCTCTGGTCGTTGTCAAGAACCCGAATCCAATGCTGAAGCCAGCCGCGCAAGCAGCAACCTGGTAGTCACCGGAAGACGACATGTTTGGCAGCAACCGAAATAGGATGAGTGCTCAGTAGGCGAGCTCAAAAAGCTGTCCGACATCTACATGGGACAAAAGCTTGATATGTATTGCCCATGGAGGAACGTCCGTGCTGGCCGACTCCGCGGCCGCTACCATGACCGAGCATGGTCAAAGCATTCGTAGGGCTTCGTTCTGTCGGACGCGGCTCCAGTATAACTCCACAAACGGTATGGTAATTCCTCTATTGGTGTCTGCTGGTACGTGCTACTCCGTTCACCTACACCTATGTCGAGATGATCGCCGGACTGAAGGATTTCAGTAGCGTTGAGTGGGCCATCTCCTCCTATGCTTTTATCAACCCAAGCCATCGAGGTCGATACGAAGGCGGAGGTCGAGTAAGAGATGTTCATACACGTCAATGCATTTGTATGGCTGAGCTGGAACGCCGACCTTACGCCTCTGTAGATCTGGGGTGTGTCTAGGTCAAGTTGTGTGGATCTCAATATGAATCTTGAGTCGATCATATGGAACACGAACAATTGTCAATTGTGATGTCCTTCTGGAGAATTCTGTAGAGTTGTTCCCTCGGTGTACATGTGTACTTGGATGAAAGATTGTGCCTTACCTGAAGCAGCGCAGAGTCGTCAGGTCCTCTAGAAGACGCCGCCTCTTTTTTTCCTTTCCCACCCACTTGTGGATCGCAGACACGTCTGTTGAAATTGTTTGACGGCTGGCTGATGTTGCAGTGAACGGGTACGGGACGACCACATCGAGGGCAGGGACACGAGTCAGGTGGAGATTGGGTACGAGGATCGGTAGGGCAGTGCGACGACGAGTCACGATATTTCGGTTAGACTCAACAACAAGCTTAACCCTGGTGGCGTTGAAGGCGTCAATGGTTCATTCAGAAATTTTCATGTTTGGTCCCTGGAGACTTTCGTAATTCAACGACCATAAGACATTTTGAACATTTGGTGTTCGTGGTGCTGAAAAATGTGTCGTGAGACGTCAAAATGTTTCGAGGGCTTGGCCACGCCGAGACCTTTCGTCCGGAACCACTGTCGATTTGTCTCCACGACATGATGAGACTCGAGTCATTGAGATGTCACAGTCTACCGTTTCTGGACAGCGATACCGACCCGAGAGACACAGACCATGTGTAGTCGACTCTATGTCCGCGTCTGGATCAGTACTCTCGCCTGGCCTCCACGAATGTCGAACTGCTCAAGATCAGCATAGGGCATGATGCGTTCTGTGGTCTCGGTGGTCAGAATTGATATTCATGTCGCACGCTCCATGACTGCCATAAGTTGCAATCCCTTGATGATCACAACGAAGGCAGCGCCTCTGTTGAACCCTGATGAATATTTATCCACTATAAAATGCATAGCTTCCTTAGTGAACAGGATGCGTTCACTGGAGTCGCGATATTTCAGGCTCTCTTTGTACTAGCCTACTATTTGGAAAGTATTGTGCATTGTGAAAGCTTCGATGATCATGTTAGTGGTATATATGAGATCTAGTTCTTTCTGCCAGACCAGTGGGCTACAAGCATCTTCCGACTCTCCAAGCCAGCAGCCATGAAGACCTCAGCATTGCCGAACTTCGCAATACTGAGCAAAACTCTGACTTGCTCCTCGGGAGTGAGACGATCCCTGTAGAAGCGCTCAAATACTTTGACAGCTTCCTTGGTGTTATTGACCCCGACAGGAGGTTGTCTCAAATACTCAGGGGGTACCAAATGAGCCGATCTTGCATCTAATCGGTCCTCCAACTCCGTACACTTGTCAATGAGAGCCTCTGAGAGTCGTTGCGACTGTTCTTGAAGGTCGTCAATAGCGACCTGCGACTCCATGTGCACCTCCTGAACCCCTGACTGCTCTGCTGACCGTATCTCAGTGATTGCATCATCCTTTGTTTCTTGCAGTGCTGCAGAAGCATGTTCGAATTCGTCATTGACGTCGGAGACATGGGCAGCGACCGCTTCGTACATGATAGCAGGCATGTGAGTAGCTATGTAGTCTGAGATCGAGGGCTGTGCCCAAGCCGTCAATTCAGAGGTAAGGTTATGAGTTTGTACTCTAGCAGCGATCAGGGGGATTTGAGCTCGTATGGTGTTCGAGACGAGACTCTCCAGTTCTGAGAGCGTAAGAGTGATGGTTGAGGAGGTTCTCCTGGTGAATATAGTTGGCTTGATGTTGATTTGGTTCAGTGATCCGGTTGACGTTGAAGAACCGGTATACAGTGGGGAGTGGTCCTGAGTAGCCCGATCAGGGTCCGAGATATTAATGGAAGATTGAGCGCCTTGAGCGACCTCTTCCTCTTGTCCTGAATGGTCCCTATATCCTTGTCTTGGTTGGATCTCATGTGTGGTACGGTCGTCTACTGTGGACTGCTGGGACAGTCGCCCACATGTAGAGCTAGGAGTGTTTTCCTCAGTTGGCGAACCCAAAGGGTACTTGGCGTTGTGCCATGCCCATTGCAATTCTCTATCACTCCTGATCTTCTTTCGCTTCGAACCCTCCTCTTGAGCATTGTGGGGGCGCTTGACCGTAGGAGGGGTTGATGGATTCTGGGGAGTACAAGTCGCATTCGGATCTGTTTTGCTATAGATTGGCGGAGCAGCTTGATCCAATGTTGGAGATTCGCAAGGCGGAGTTTCAAGGGCGATAGAAACACCTGTACCGTCTAAAGGATCTGGAAGGGAGGCTAACTTGTGTTTGTATAGCTCCCATGCATCCCAAGCGCCGCCTCGTCCTTCGTATATCGCACGCAGGTTGATGTATATAGGAGCGAGAGTCTTGGGTAGCTCATGCTGAAGTCTGTTGACAAACTTCCGGACAGTCTTCTTATTGATCATGAAGATGTTGAATACAGGAATATTAGAGAGTGACTCAAACTCCTCAAGACGATATAGGGGCATGCCTTCCCAAGACTTACCATTAGGCTCGTGCGTCTGCATAAGGACACGGCCAGAATATGGCTGCCTATCTTGGTGGACAGAAGCACTGAGCCAGCCTTGAGCAGCTTTCGCCGAGTGTGCTTCTAGTAGCTGGCTAGGCAAATCTGAGGGTACTATGGATCATTAGTTCTGTACATTGATCTGCTTCTCGGGCGGATGGACTTGATCATTAGGTACTTACGAGGGGTGAGACTCTTCTCGAACAGGACAGAACGGGGATCGACAAAGAGGAAGAATTCGAAAGGAACAGATCTGTCAGATATCTTTAGGTTGATGGTTCTTTGCAGCAAGATAATCCATAGATGATCTGCCTGCTTGGTGCCAAACCACAATGTTACTGGCTGAGTCCCAAGTCCCAGATGCTTTGGCTCGGAATTTTCTTCTTCCCAGGTGATTATGCAGGACTCAGAGAAGACCCAATCAATGTCTAGCCCGGATTGAAGAGCTCTCGGTGGCTGCATCATCGCGATACAGGCTTACTGTTTACGAAATGGTTAGTCAAGTCCTTGGTACGTATCTCAAGGGTCTCTGTGTACCCAGAGCTATATCTCTCATCATCCTCCTAAGGTTATTCATTCCATCAGAACGCACAGTTGTCCGCGTGATAGACCAGTTCATAGGAAGCCGACGACAAGTTTCTCAAGAAGTGCTTTCCATTCACTGGAAGGACTTAGTATTCTTACAGCTACTAGCAAGACATACCCTCTCTAGCAGTTAAGAAAAAAAAAACAGGATGACTTACCGCTAGCAGTAGTAACCAGCTTGCCAAAAGGTCAACAGTGACGCGTCGGGTGAGTCAAGCGGATCAAGCCAGATTATCAACATTCAACACGGCTCGGGTTTCAGAAAGTCGAGGTCACGACATGTGATACCTTGTCAAAATAACGTGCGTACATGAGTGTATTTGACTTGAGATTTCCCGAGACTGAATATTCAATGGTTGTTGGAAGGCAGCGCCAAGAGATGTCGAGTCGGCGAGAGGCGTCAGTTTCGCGATTGGTCTGTGCTTTTGAGCCGTCCAGCTTCGATTCCGCTTCACCACGCCTCGTCCAACCCCATCCTCATCATCATCTATACCACCTCCACAACACGCTCATCTCATCGTACCCATCATTACCAGTCGATCGTCCTGGCTTTATCTTGCCGCAGCTCTGAGCTGTACGTTTCGTGCCCGGGCGGCGCGTGCAGTTCTCTGATGTGGTCGGGTTCTTTGCCGGGCGGTAGCGCATCTCTTTTGTCTTTCCTCTCGCTGTTTATGTTCTTGCTTTACCTTGCCACGACTGGACAGCAGCAATGCACCGTACATTTCAAGACCTGGCGATTATGGTCCTCTGTATGTACGCGTTCAGGTTAGGGTCGGGTTCTCTGCGAGGCTGCAGCATCTTGCACTGTTTCGTTCGCTGCGTGCGCTTGAGGTCAACACGTCACCTTGGCTTTGAACATGCTTCAGCGCTCTGCACACTACAATGGGTCGCCTTGTGTAGGAGGCTCGGTGTGCAGGCTCATTGCTGTGGGTTGCGTGCCCCCGAGTGGCAGTTCTTCTCTTGCATATCCTTTCTTGTTCTCTCCCATCATGTATCCATTCCCCTCCTCTTACTATCACTGCACTACGGAGCCAGGGCTGCTTCTTTAAAAAGCCCGGGTGGGTGGGTTCCTGTGCCTTTGGCATGGGGGCTTATCATTAATTCATATGAACAAACTACAATTTGCTCTCAAGTCTGTGTGTGTGTGCCAAATCTGCGTATGTCGTGCATGTCTAGCACTCGTTCATCATCGCTCGGGCTATGTATTCCCGTATAGCTGGGCGTCTGCGGTGATATAGAAACGGTCGTCCAGCAGGTGAAGTCGCAATAAAGTGCAGAAGTGGGCCGTCCGAGTTCATCTACCGAGCGGCCGGGTATGACGGCAAAGCACGAGGGACGTATTTTTTTGAGGGGTGAAGGTCGAGCGGTTCGCGGCACAAGGACTGATCAACTCTTTTCTACTTGAAGAACTCCTTCTTGTCCCACCTTGACTGCCTCATCATCTTACACGAACATCGACAACGAGCAACCAAACCTTGCGGTCGAGGCGCGCCCAGCAAATCGCACCCACCGACTTCGGCTTGGCAAATCCAAAAAAGCTGGGGCTTATAAACATACTGTCGTCATGCATCAACACACAACACAACCAGAGGCGTCGAGACGACCCACGAATGAGGAATATGAAAACTCTTCCGTGTCATCGGCAGCGGATATGGAGAAAGAGATGATTGCGGCGAACGCCTTGAACGAAGGGACGACGCAACCCTACGAAGACCCCATTGCCGAGGACTATCAACGACAACACCATACCGACGGAGATTACGTTGAGAAGCAGACGACGAGCAGGTCCATACGCTCAGAGAGCGGCGTAGCGACGAACAATCTTGAGAAGCAGACCACAAGGAGATCGGTCCGATCAGGAAAGGCAGTCTCGGTGAACAATGTCGCTGCTATTCCCAACGGTGGCACCAAAGCATGGCTTCAGGTCCTCGGCGCGTTCACGTTGTTCTTCAACTCATGGGGCATCAGTAAGGATAATTCTCTTATAAGAAGATGCAAGCAGCGGGCTAAATCCTTCGGCAGTCAACACCTTTGGCGCATACCAGACCTATTATCAATCCGGCATCCTCTCTTCTTCGTCACCCTCGGACATCTCATGGATCGGATCAGTACAAGCTTTCTTGCTCATGCTTGTTGGTGCTTTGACCGGGCCAATCTATGACGCTGGGTACTTTCGGACATTACTTTCCATTGGCAGTTTCTTGGTCGTCTTCGGTTTCATGATGTTATCCGTAAGTACATTTATGCCACGAACGTCTATGACCACAGACTGACCCGTTCTCAGCTTTGTAAAACGTACTGGCAGGTCATTCTGGCCCAAGGAATTTGTGTCGGTCTGGGTGCCGGATGCTTGTTCGTCCCGTCCGTCGCTATCTTGAGCACATATTTCAGCACAAGGATTGCCACAGCAATGGGTCTTGCTGCTGCTGGAAGTAGTCTGGGTAAGTTCTATCTATTTCTCCGATTCCATCCAGACCACTGACGTTCCATACAGGCGGTGTCATCTACCCCATCGTCTTCTACCGTCTCGAGCCGCGCATCGGTTTCCCCTGGGCAACTCGTGTCATCGGGTTCATCGCCTTAGCTACTCTGATTGTGGCTAACTCAGTCATGCGTGTACGAGTCCTCCCTGCTGCTCGTCGCGCCGTCTTCGACCTGAAAGCCTTCACCGAGCTGCCATATCTCCTCTTCGTACTCGGAGGCTTTACGACCTTCATGGGACTCTACGCACCCTTCTTCTACGTCGAAAGTTACGGCATCACGTATAACATCACATCTGAGAGTTTGGGTTTCTACACTCTGTCCATCATCAATTCGGCGTCAGTATTTGGTCGCATAATTCCCAACCTCATTGCGGATCGTACGGGGCCCATGAACATGATTGTTCCTTGCTGCTTGATCTCTGGAGTGGTTGCGCTATGTCTCATTCCTGTTCGCAGCGTTGCAGGGCTCGTCATTGTATGCCTGCTCTACGGATTCTTCTCAGGCGCTCTGGTATCATTACCACCCACCGTGTTTGTGCACTTGACGCCAAATCGATCACTCATAGGCACACGTATGGGTCAGGGCTTCAGCATCATCTCAATCGGTTTGTTGCTTGGCACACCTATCTGTGGATGGATTCTGGACGGAAGCAGCTTCACCTACGTATGGGTGTTTTCTGGAGTGTTGATTATCGCAGGCGGGTGTCTTATGCTGTTGAGCAGGTACTTCAAAGCCGGAGCTAAACTTATGCAAAAGGTTTAGAAGTATGTAGATTATTGTTCAGACAGTGACGCATTTGTTACAGTATCATTTCCACAACGTCTTTGGCGGCTTGAAGTAGTCTTCACTTGTACTACTATGATATTCTTACTGGTCTAGAGTGTGCAAGCAAGACCATTTCAACCATTTCAAATCACGTTGAATGAAGAGGTCAGGGATCGATGGCAGCCGAGAAGCAGCGTCTTCGGTCTTGGCGGCTTCAGTTGCCGAGAGTGGATTGCGGCGTCTTTGTTATACCCTTTCCATCACTCGTAACCCGCTCCGACGAGGAAGCGCATACACTCACACACCGTCGCATCCCCCAGACACGATCGACTGGACTATCGCTGCCTTTCTGGAATCTGGCGACACTCTCAGACTCGACCAGGACCGCGACCACTCATCTGGACGCGACGGGACAGTGACATCACGGACGGCGGTCCCGATCACTCGTCCGCATGTCCGACAAGCAGGCATAGAAGAGCATGCCAGGTCGCATCGTCATGGACAGCCTTGCCGCACCCAAGACCAACGGCTTGAAGCCCGACTCGCCCAACATGACCTCGACCGCGACCGCGCAACCCACCGCTTTGGTCAATGGCCATAGCAATGGCACAGTCAGAGAGGAAGAGAAGGTCTCGCCGCCCGAGCTGGAACACTGGGCCCACACCTATGTTCCAATGGGTACCCTGCTGGAACGCATGGCCCAACAATGTTACTTTGATTTGGGCGAGGTCATTGAGCAGATGGCCGATCTGAACATTGGCACACCGCAAACGAATGGCGCATCCACTCCAGCCTCGGATGTGTCCAAGCCGAGTGTGGACAAAAAGTTGCGGCTTATGAATTTTGCAAATACCCAGCAGGCTCGCTTCATCAAGGCCTTGGTTCTCTCCGATTGGGCTCGCAACATGGGCGACATGGACAAGCTGATCGAGTTGCGCATGTGGTTGACACAGCAGGACGAGGCTTCAACACAAGTCGGGGATGCCATAATGCAAATGAAACACAACATGATCGGTGCCAAAATGCCCAATCCAAACATCCAAGGAGCCCTGGAACTCTTGTCCACGTCCAAAGCCCCATGGCTACCCGATCTCGGCTACATTGCGCCAAAGCCTCTATCTGCTCAAAAACTGCTCAAGACGCTACGAGATATGAACTTCGTCCTTTCCGTGCGACTCAACTTGCATGAACAACTACCTCCATATTTCTGCAACTATTCAATAGCCAACGGCCGTGCTACCTTTGTCGTGCCCAATGAGTTCGAGCTTGATCTGGCTGTTACCGATGAAGATACCACATCACCCTTCTACTTTATCGACATCCGGTTTCTGTTCTCCGATGCTCCGCCTCTAGCCGATGGACCTGCTCGTGCACATCTAGAAGGGAAGGTCAACCAGCTACTGCAGATGGAAGGTCTCTCGGCCGCTTACGACTTCCTCCATGGATTTGTTCTCACACACAAAATTACATTGCTACGAATACAGGCCTCAGACTTGGCACGCACGAGGTGGACTGAATGTCTACACGTCGAGCCTGTCCACCGTTCGCTCATCGTGCAGTACTGGACGGGTCAACCTGGATCGAAGAGTTGGATCGAGGTCGGAATCAAGAAGGGGCAAAAAGCTGAAAACTCAGACCAGTCGCATACGCCTGCACGGCTCAATGTTCGCTGGTTTAGAGCAGGAAAGGAAATACCTGACACAAACTTTGCGATTGACACGGCGAACCCTTCCATGGAGCACCTCCTAAGTCAAGTCACTGCTGCGCATATGACTCTGCGCCTTGAACTGGTCAACAATCAGCTTCTGGCCATCTCACCAGCAAACTCCATTCTTGATATCGACCTGAAAGCTTCGTCGACGAATCCCAATGCATGTGCCTTGTCCATGAAGCTCGCCAAGCACGGTCTCGATACCACGCTACGCATCATCCCTGTCAACGGCAGTATCTCGATCTCACCTGTTTCTGCCGCATCTATAGACGTAGAAAGAAGGCTGAACTCCGATCCAACGATCGACGCTGCACAGATCCTGTCCTATCTCAACTGCAAGCTCGTGCAAGATCAGATCACGCGGAAAGCTGTACAAGCCGGCTGGCTTTTGATGCCAACCGCCCAACAAGGAGATGTGAACAAGATCTTCTCTGAACAAGTTGTTCGTCGCACCACGTTTACTCGCCACGGCTGGGGTGAGGATTGGGCCATCTGCCTTACCATCAGTCTGCAAGGTACCAAATGGTGGATCGTCCGTTTGGCGTCAACAACACCAACGTCCCGTACAATCAACACAGCAGAACCGCTCTCAGTGCACTCATCAAAGAAATCATTCGATCGACATACGCTTATGCTCATCGAGTCCCGCGCTGTAGCTCAAATCTCTTTAAGCAATATATCCTCTCAGCTTCGAAGCGACAAGATCAGTCATGAGATCAGACACGTTTCTCCGGCAACCACGCAAACGACATCATTACCTTCCGCTTCTACCACTACAGCAGTCGTCGGAATCAAATTCGAGGACTGCATGCAACCCTCTTCTGCGCAGGAGCGCAAGGTCTGGAAACCTTGGTGCGGTAGCGCTATGATACTCACACACCACGGCGTTGATGAGACCGCAAAAGACGCAATTAAGGTGGTACACGTTCTTAAAGCCAACTTGACTCCGCACACAGCACGGATTCTTGCGCCCCTGGTAGGCACACGAACAGCTTCGCAGGACATCGTGTTTGCTACCAATGGTATCCTCGCTCTGCAACTACGTACCCACTTCGGTGTTGACCTGATCTCCATCATAAAGAGCAAGCTCCGACGAGTGCGACGTCTAGCGACCTGTCTCGCCGCGATTGCAGAACGAGAATTTGCAGTCGAGAAAGTGGCCGTTACTGGATTGGTGTTCCGATACTCTGCTGCTTCATCTGCTCAACGTCTCAAAGCAGGGATCTTATTCACTAATGATGCAGCACAACCAATGCAGTTGCGTTTCGCGACTGAGGACACACTAAATCCACATCGACGTGTCCAACCATTACTCCAAAACCTGCTTCTCGCACCTCCCGGTGTTTCTTCCATGACGGAAGAGAGGTCACGTGTAGGGAGATTGTTCGATACACTGCACACGACCACACCCCTCCTCTGCGCCTGCGCGACAATCGAATCAAAAGACCTAGCAGCAAAAACTTCAAGGGTTACTATCAGGAACCTGGCACACCTTCGCATTGTCTACTCTTCTCCTCTGCCATCAATAACTCTCAACATCGAAGCCACAAGAAAGGAGGGGAAGAACTACTGGAGCATCACAGTACTCAAAGCCTCTACACCTGAATATGTTAAGGCATTGGATCTGCTGCAGCAAGTCTGGCAAGGCAAAGATATCGATGGGGTCAAGGGATTTAGAACTGGTATTGTTGCTGAGGTGCAAGTCATGGACCGACTGTTGCTCGACTTTGATGCTTTGATCAGAGCACAAGGCGGTGATGCAAATGGACAAGGGCATGATATCGTGGTTCTGGACTAGTCGCTTGTGAACTTTCGGTGGGCTTTTGATGCTTACTGATGGCATGAATAAGCTTGGGCGGGTCGGAACGGCACTTCACTATGCCGTGGAAGGAACGGCTCGTCGCTACGGCAGGAAAGAGGACATTGCCCAAGCAAAACCTCAAGATTGAGGAGGTCGAGAATTTGACGAACATGAGATTCGGCATCATGGCTCTCATCGCCTATTCATTCAAACACAAACAAGCACAAACTTATTAATGACATAAACACCTTTACTCATCATTTCTATATCATGCGTCCATGTGTCCTTCCATGGCTGATTTTTCTACTGGCCACGCACTTGCACTCTGCTCAATACCTATCATTACTACGCTAAATGTGGCGCAATGACCTAGAGGAGCTGTCCTCAATGTTCTCATATTAAACTGATGGTTGAGCTGTTCGTCAAATCCTCTGTACAGATCCACTGACGATAATCAAGTTCCGTGCCGATTTCTGGCGGCGTAGGATCCTCGATAGGATCCGAACGCACATCCCAGCCTTCCCTCCGACACTGATCGACAGCTTCCGGCAACTGCACTACATCTGACACTTGCGGTTTCTCTGCCTCCATCAATATCTCATCAACAAACCCCTCCCCCACCTTCTCAAACTCCCTGATGTACTCTCCAACAGTCATGCCCATCGTCTTTTTGAACACCCTACACAAATAACTCTTACTGACTCCCGATTGCTTTGCTATACTCTCTAGACCTCCCCTCTCACCCTTCCCTTGCAACCTCCCAATAACACCCATCGCCCGCATAACCACCTCCTCAGCTTCCCCAATGAACAGCATGTCATCAGGTCGACACCGTTTACAGGCGCGATAACCAGCTGCGACGGCGGCGGAGGGAGTAGGAAAGTATGTTACGTTGGCGCGACGGGCAAGGCGAGCGGAGCAAGTGGGTCGGCAGTAGATTCTTGTGGCGAGGACGCCGTAGTAAAATGGTAGGAGGGAAGGTGGTGAGGTGCGGGTGGTCAGGCTGTGCCATCTTTGGGATGGGGGATTTGTGGAGGGGAGTGGTAGAGGAAGCATGAGGAGTAGCGAAGAGACCACGACTGGTCTTGATTATGTAGAAGTATGCTGGGTTGAGTCTCTGAGTGGAATAGAGCACTGGTGATGGATGGCGAGCAGATGATATGGAACATGGATGTCGAAGGATAGGTTGCTGAAGGTTCCTGTATATAGTGTATCTGATGATGGGTTTGAGGGCTGTTGAGATGCAACTTGGGTTTCCATCGCGGGAATCGAAATATGTTTGTAATCAAGTTTGGAAGGATGACGGCGATCGAGTGAGATGTCAATCATGGTACCCGAGATTCATCCGCCAAAGGATCGTGTTGGGCGCTACTGGCATCTCCTTTCTTCGCTGCAAAGACAACAAATCAGCATTCGACAGCTACACTCTGATCAATCATATTGCAATCTGTCAGAAGACAGCTGTAACGGTGAATAGTGGGAACGCCAATACTCATGTTGCAAGCAGCCCAGATGAGCTTCCGAGCTTTCACGTGGCATCTGCTTTGACGGGACCGACTACCAACATGGTTGATTTACAATCTCGAGTGCGATGATGCAATCTGAACAGATCTCGATACTGCACCTTTCGAACAGAAAACGCATTGCTCGCAGGCCTTGATCACCAAAAAGCGTCAGATCTACACAGGACTGCTGATTGGTCAGTTTGAGTACACTCGCTGCTAATTGGTCAGTTCCAGTTCACTCTTCTGCTCATTGGACTATCTTGGGTACAACAATCATCAATCAAGAAATCGTGCATGGTAGGTCTGTCGTATAAGTATAAGTAGGTAAAGCTTCTTGTGTAGGTTTTTGTGTCCGTTGTCTGGTTCTGGAGCTGTTGGACACGAGTTTCAAACACCCAAGACGATTCTGTCTAAATCATTACCATCCTTTCCATCAAATTTGATACACTACCTGGGATCCTAATTCTTAAGATCAAGGTCCATGACAATGCTTTCTCCTTCCTCTCCATCATTTCCTCCACTCTCCGACTCCGAGAAATCCGCATCTTCTCCAGATGCCTCACCACCAACCTACCCCGACGGCGGCCTCCAAGCCTGGCTAGTGGTCCTCGGCGCCTTCTGCGGTCTGACGGCCTCAGTTGGTCTCTACAATAGCACTGGTGTCCTGAGCATCTTACTCTCCTCTTCCATTTTGACCACTACATCTGCATCATCGCTAGGCTGGATATTTTCCATCTATGCGTTTGTGGTTTGGAGTGTGGGTGTTTGGGTAGGCCCTTGTTTTGACGTTTTTGGACCTAGGGTGTTGTTACTTGCAGGGGCGGTTTGCACGATGCTGGGGATGATGGGATTGAGTTTTTGTGATGGTGAGTGTTGGGGTGAGAGAGAGAGAGAGAGAGAAGGGGAAACTGCTGACTTGGGATTTCGCGGACAGAATACTACCAGGTCTTCTTGGCTTTTTCCCTCCTCACTGGTCTGGGATCGAGTTTGTTGCTTACACCTTCCATGGCTTGTGTAGCTCATTGGTTCAACACCCGCCGCGGCCTCGCCAGTGGTATTGCATGGACGGGCGGTGGAGTGGGCGGTATAGTCTTTCCTCTACTCGTTCAAGCCTTATTGCCATCTCTGGGCTGGAAATGGTGTATCAGGATCCTAGGCTTTGTATTACTTGTTCTTTGCGCCATCTGCATCTGTTTCTGTCGCAGCAGGATCGAGCCCCCGAAACCAAAAGACGGAGTATCGACTTGGAGGCAAACTCTCCCTGATTACCGTATCTTTGCCGATGGGACTGGAGCAATGGCAATCACGACTGCCGGAACACTGTTTACGGACTTGGCTTATTTCATCCCCATCACTTATTTACCTGCATACTATCTTTCTCGCCAACACATGGATGATCAGGAAGCTGGAGTCACTGGAGCAGCAGGATTCGGCTATCAGCTTCTGGCTATCTTGAACGCTGCATCTTGTTTCGGACGCTTGACTTCTGGATCTTTGGGTGATAGGTTTGGGCATTGCAACACCATGATTGCCTCACTGTTCTTCTGTGCAGTATCGGTTGCAGCACTCTGGATCCCTGATATTGTGTCTCAAAACCTATCATCTCCGGCTTTACTCATTGTCTTTGTGGTTCTCTTTGGCTTTGTGAGCGGCAGCAATGTTTCTCTTACGCCGATCTGTTTAGGTCAGTTGTGTGAGATTGAGAGCTATGGCAGGTATTATGCTAGTTGCTATACGGTTGTTGCGTTTGGGGTGTTGGTTAGTTTGCCTGCTGCTGGTGGTATTCTAGATGCTTGTGGGGATGATGATGATGCAGACGGAAAAAGGAGGTATTGGGGTGTGGGTGTGTTTACGGGTTTGTGTTATATTGCTGCTTTGGCTTGTTTTGTTTGGGTGAGGGTGAAAGTCAAGGGGTGGAATTGGTCGAAGTGGTAGGGGGTTGAGAGTTGCAGGGACGACCCAACATTTGGCGCGCGGTTTCATGGATCATAAGACTTGAGTTGGGTGTGAAAGTGGAGATGGTCATTATACCAGAACCCCGTTTGCTCCAATGAAGAGTATACAACAAAGAACAGAATAGAAGAAGAAGAAGAAGCAACAGCCGCTCCCAAAAACTCCAAAACAAGACCTCAAGTCCTTACGCTCCCCAAACACCAGCGTTCGTATCATCACAACCTCACTTTTGCAACTTGGCCAACTCATCCCTGACAATACCGCCAGAGGCTCTCCACCAAACATCACCACCCCACCTGACCACTCTCTCAGCCGCATCCAAAGGCCCATCAACAGCAGGTCTGACATCCAGATAGAAGACGGGCTCTCCAGTCTCCTCAGGGGGACCCGAGTAATAATCAATCACATATCTCTTTTCTCTCTCGGTGCCATCAGGATGCACTCGCCTCACGAACCAATCGTGGCGATCAAACGGCGGCTCAGTCTCGTATTTGGAAGGGTACAGCCATCCCATGACCTGCAGCATTCTCGCTTTAGGCGTGAGCTCAGAAGGCCTTCCCATGAAGCGCACAAGCGAAGGATCTTTGGTGTCTGTGTTTGCGGCAATGGCGTCTTTTCTCGCTAGCATTTCGGCAAGGAAACCTGCATTTTCTTCGCCCTTTTTGCAGACTTGCCAGCCGCGTTTGAGGCCAGCTGAAAAGCGGCGCTCCCACTGGACAATCTCCTCCCAAGCTCCCTCGTTCAGGAAATTGTGCACAGCGACCATGGACTCGACGTGTTCGGCAGGCGTATCGGTGTATCCTTTTCTCAACATGGCATTGTACATTTGTTGAGGAGAAGGGTATTCCCAGTTTCCTTGGCCGTCGCCGCGGGGGATGGTCGAGGGTTCGCGGTCCAGAGGGAGGTCGACGCTTTGTTCGTCGTGATCGCGTTGGTTGGAGATGGATTTGGGCATGTAGTTGAGGGGGTTGAGCTTGGAGATGTACGAGGGCGAGCCGGCCGAGGGTTCCTTTTGAGCTTCGGTAGGTGGTACGTAGGGGCATGCTGATGCTGAGTCGGCGGGCTTTGTGATGACGGAGGGTGGTGGTGCGGTGGGGGCGTCACCGGCGGGCTTGTGCATGGGACATCCTGGCTGTGTAATCGTCAGTAGACGGATTGTGTATCGGGTATCTCGGTGCATACTGGAGGGGCGGCGGTGGAGTTTGCGGGCATAGGATGAGGCGCGACAGGCGCAGCGGGTGCCGAATCTGCCCAGAACCAACCCATTGTGGATGATTATATGTGTGTGAGGGTGTTGTGAAGTAGTTGAGGTGTTGCGACTAAGGCGAAACAATATATGCGGCGGCGGCGAAAAAAGTTGATGAATGGTTGATAAATAGAGATTCGGGAGTCTTCAGCCGCCAAACCTGCTGACCAGCCTTCCGTCACTGACTCGTGCTCAAGAATCGACACGTTATCTAATCTGATCTAACATATCTTATTCATGAATCCTCTTCTTATTCCCACTCGACTGGTCTTTTGTATCGTACTGCTTGATGATTTCCTGTCTATGCACCCGCCTTGAGGTTGTTGGTAAGAGTACCCGTACCTCTGCTCGAGAAAATAGCCATGATGCCAAATCCGACATAGAAGAGTGCCAGCGGATATGCGACCAGTCCCCGCATGCCAGTCATTCTTCCCACAGCGCAAAACATGGCACTGCTGCTGTATGTACACCACAGGATCGCCAAGCTTGTCAAGACGTAGCCCAATAGTCCATCCAAAGGAAGCGCGATGCCGACAAAAGATGTCAGGACCAGAGGAAGGAGGCAGTATCCGAGCACAGAGGCCGAACGCCAGATGGTCAGAGTTGCTGAGAAGTGGCCACCGTGCGCAGACGACGCGTCTTGTTGCTGTGCCGATGCGTCGGCCGGAGAGAGGGGCGGTGACATGAGCGACAGGATCCAGTGCAGTGAAATGCTGCCTAGAGCTGCCAGTCCGTAGATGTAGCCAAAGTGAAGCTTGCCGGACTGTATGACGTTAGCAACATGGCACACCTGTGCTGCTTCCAGACTACCCACCAAGAGCAAAAAGGTGCCGAACAGCAGGAAGAAGAGGATGGGTCCTGCCAGGTCAGAGTCGTCCATGATGTGCTGGTCGATTCTAGCCAGAGGGTTCAAGACGGTGAGAGTCTGTCGCGTCGCATCAGCATGCACGTAGCGTATCCCGTCGTCTCGTGTCCATGACCCACCTTTGTCTTGATGTGACCAAAGTTGACACCCAACTCTTCCAACAGCGGCGGCTCTCCTGGGTATCCCTCGGTACCAAAGGCTGCCAGCCATCCCATTGTCAAGCCTCCTTGTTCGCCCATACGTCCAGACACGGCAGACTGGCCGCCGAAGCCTGCGCCATAACTTGACGGGTATGCCGATGTTTGCGCTCCGCTGTTGAATGCTTGGAAGGGTGTCGACGTGCCCGACACTGTTTGGTTCGAGTATGACGAAGGGTAGAACTGTAGATTTTGAGCATTTCCATACGGCTGCTGCTGCTGCTGCTGTTGTTGGGGGTTGTAGTACGCCATTGCGACTGGACGGCTCGATTTGTTGTCCTTGGATGCACTGGACTCGTTGTTCAATCGTGTGAGCTGTCTGTTGTCACCTACTGTAGCCTAGCCTTTGCCAAGATCCCCACAGGCTGCGTCACTTTGTACTTTGGACCCCCAAGAGACACCCTGGCTTTCTTTCCACCATGACTGACGATCACTAACCAACTTTGCATCATAATCTTCAACATGGGATCATCGGCCCAGGAAGAGACTGGAATGTGTAAATAAAACAGTGTCATTGTTCAATGTAAGATATACCATAATACTATCTCAAAGGAGTGTGTGAGTCCAGCACAGGACTACTTTCGTTCAGTCGTCAATTCTCCAACTCGCCCAATCATAGATTCACCATCCACTGCCCTTGTCGTCGCCAGATCCACTCTTTCCACTGTCACCGCCATGGTTCGAGCCTCCCTTGTCAGATCCTCCAGATCCCTTGCTGCCCTTGTCTCCAGAGCTCCAGCCATTGCCAGAGGATCCAGAGGATCCCTTGTCGGATCCCCAGCTACTACCGGAGGAGCCCTTGTCGCCTCCAGAGCTCCAACTACCGCCAGAAGATCCCTTGTCACGCTTGTCTGAAGAGCCCCAGTTGTCAGTACCCTTGTTGGAGTTCTCTCCAGAGCTCCAACCACTGTCAGAGGAGCCTGAGCCACCTTTTCCAGAGTCTCCGCCCTTTCCAGAATCGCCACTTTTACCAGAGCTGCCGCTGCCCCAAGAGCCACTGTTCTTACCAGAGTCACTTCCCTGTCCAGATCCCTTGGAGCCTCCGTTGTTCTTGGAGCCTTGGTCATTGTCCCAACCTTGACCCTTCGAATCACCTCCGTTCTTCGACTTGTCGCCAGAGCCGCCCTGGGATCCTCTTGCAATGAGACTTCTCTTCCAGCCATTGCCGTGACCGGAATTGCCGCTGCCAGATCCCCAGTTACCGTTTCCGTGGCCGCCGGAACCAGAGCCCCAGCCACCTTGTCCGCCATTGCCGTTGCCATTGCCATTGCCTCCCCAGCCATTGAACTCACCACTGTTCTTCTTGCTGTTCAGGGTGTCGGCCCAATATTGAGCATCCTTGTCGGAGAGCTTGCCTCCGAAGCCACTTGCAAAGTTGGAGAGGTCCTTGGCGAGATCGCCCTTGTAGTTACCATCAGATGACCAGCCACCAAAGTTCTGGAAGAAGGACTTGAAGTTGTCGGCCAGATCACCATCTGTGCCTTGTGAGTGTGTGAATCTGGCATAGGAGCATGAGGCAATGACTTACTGTATCCGTTGGAGGAACCGCCTCTCTTCTCAGCTGGTGCAGCAGCAGCAGAGGTAAGCACGCTGGCGAGAGCGATGAAGAGAACTTTGGAAGAGACCATTGTGATTTTTTGTTTGTGTGAAAATTGCAATGCAGAGTCGATAAATTAACGAATCGAGTATGATCAGGTGGTTTGCTCCGGATGTCTTGACGTGTTGCTGATGTTGAAGATGGAGTTGAAGACAGGAAAATCGTCGAGTATTTATGTCCTCTGCTTCTCGGTGAACATGTGTTGCCCCTCTTGCGTGCTTGCAAAGCTCATTCCGTTCTCGTTGATTGTTTCGTGATAAATCGTGCTCTCGACGTCACGATACCGCTGCTTTCCTCGTTCGAGGCGTACGAAATGCCTTGTGAATGGCTTTGATGATGCTGAATTCTGGCTGGTGTCCAATCATAACAGTCCCTTCAGTCCATACTCCTGGTTACGAGATGGGTCCCAGCGTCTGGTGAGCGTGGTCTTACACAGCGAAAGACGAGCATATCGGGAAGTATCAAGGTTCGGGCCAGGAGAGAACGCAGGTCCAAGGATCCTCTGAAAGTCCTGCCAATCGAATCGTGTCAAACCAACATAATTCCGAGACTTGATGGACACTTACTGGTGTACAGATGCCTGCTCATACATTTTCCAGACGCGCGTCCACTCAGAACTGTGCTGAGCTATAGTTCATCGTGGTAGGGATTGATGCGATCGCCCGAGGTATAGACCCGGCTGGGGCATACAGAGTGTCATCCTGAAACGCAGCACTGAGGTCCATAGTGATACATATTAGCAAACAGAAACTGCGAGCCGTGAGGATCTTATACGTGCAGGATACTAGAGCTGACTGTCAGTGGCGCCTCATCGTCCTCGACGTTCCGGTAGGCTAAGGATTCCGAAGCCATGATGTCCGTAGCGCCAGCATGGGCATGCAGAAGTTCTCATCGCATTCGAAATCGTTGAGGATCTCAATGGCTCCAGACAGTCCTAAGTCTGGTCACTACCAGACTGACCTACTGCTCCTCAACCTCCATGGCTCTCTCGTGTGCTTCACGAGAAGCTCACCTGTCGATATTGATGCCAAGACTACCCGCAGTCTTCGCGAGGTCGTTTGTACGACGGCGGGGGTAAGCTTTTATTATGAGTAGTTTGGTAAGTCTGACAAGTCAAGACCATTATGGCGACATGGTAAGCGAATATCTCCGGATTTGATCTGGTCAGAGGAAGAATGGGAAGCCTCTAACTAGCAAGATTGGAACCTGCCAGTGCAATCGATACTCAGACGGACCACATCCAGAGCTTAGGAATGGAGACGTCCTCGCAGTAGTCAATAGCGATGGTTTTGGCACATATTTACGCTGGAGGAGCTAATCGGAGCAACCATAACCTCGACGACTTTCCGATTTCACGTGTCCAGGAACGTGATCAAGAACCAGAGTACATGAGGTATGGGCTGTGCGACTATGCGGCATTGGTAGGCAGGGGTAATGGTTGAGGAGAGAAATCCGGCCATGACCTTGCTGCATCTGCAATCACAGCATAACGGAGGTTAAGTAGGGGAGCCGAAAGCGAACCGACATGGCACTCAGGCAACGGACCGTGTCGCAGTCTCGCAGGACCAACTCATACTCCAAATCATTGAGGTTGTGCCAATATGGCTAATCTGAAGACGATGGTACAGAGTCGCGACTTCTCGAGCTCCGTGGACGTGGTGTTTGGTGGTGTGATTGCGGTAGAATCGCGGCTGGGACACGCCTTCCTCTATCACGAGTCGGATCTTTGTTCTTCGACAAGCTTGAGGCATCAGAGATGACATCGCTTAGTGACTCGACTGGACTCGCATCTGAAGCTCTATCAAATCATCATATGACCGTGCAATTCTTTCCTCTCAGGACGATCGTTTGGATCGCTCTGACATGGCTGTCAGGTTTCAACGAATGCGCTGGAGTAGTTGTCGCGTCACAATGCAATATATAGGACCTGAAATCGAGCAATCCACTTTCAAGAGCACGCCATCCGCTACAAGAGCTCTTGAGCAGAAACACTGGTCTCGTGAGACTTTGCCGTATCAAGCACTCGCTGGCCGACTAGCTTCGTGGAGCGAGCTATCAACCCCGCTGCAGATCCTACCATGATATCTGAGGGGTTTGTTTACTAGTTGCGATATTCGAGACGGGTCATCGATTCTGCCTTCTGCTGAATTGTTCGTCTTTGTCGCCTCTTCTTCTGTTTCCTTCCACGACACCATAGCACTTTGCACGCTACATGTTCACCGTTTTCGAAACACCACGCAAGCATGCCCGCATCTCAGGCTTCAGCCGCAACCGATGGCAATCAGAAGCGTCCCAACTTCCTTGTCATCGTGGCAGATGATCTGGGCTTTAGCGATCTTTCTTGCTTTGGAGGTGAGATCAGGACTCCAAACATTGACAAGATAGCAAGCAATGGCATTCGCTTCACGGACTTTCACGCAGCGGCAGCATGCTCACCCTCACGTGCCATGTATGTAAGATTTCAACAACCGATCCAGAGGGGTATACAAGCCCTAGACAAATACTGTTTCGATGCACGGACATGGTGGTTTAGTGCTACAGAGACATTGGGCAAAAGCAATGGAAGAACATGCTGACATTTATGCAGGATTATGACTGGAACGGACCATCACATTGCAGGTCTGGGAAACCTCATCGAATGGACAAATATCTCTGGTCAGAATGCACCGGCAGAGGGCAATGCAAAACGCTTCGATACTGCTCCTCAGAGAGGCATGCCAGGCTACGAAGGCTATCTCAATGAGAAAGTTGCTACTCTACCGGAGATTCTGCAAGACTCTGGTTATCTGACAATCATGTCTGGGAAATGGCACCTTGGTCTGACACCCGAGCGTAGTCCAAAAGCAAGAGGCTTCGAGAGAAGCTTTGCGCATCTGCCAGCATGTTCAAACCATTACGCCTACGAGCCTCAACTGCAAACGCCTGACCAGATTCCCGAGTTCATGACTATGTCATTCATCGCTCTTCATTCGGAAGATGGCGGGTATGTGAAGAAACTACCCGATGGATGGTATAGTAGTGACGGTTATGGCGACAAGATGCTGTCGTACCTAAAAGAACGCAACGAGCAGAAAGACGAGAGACCCTTCTTCGGATACCTCCCTTTCACTGCACCCCACTGGCCTCTTCAAGCTCCTGATGAGTATATCGCTCACTACAAAGGTGTGTACGACGAGGGACCCGAAGTCCTGAGACAGACGCGTCTGCAAAGGATGAAGGACATTGGTCTCATCGCTCGTGATGTCGAAGCACATGAAGTGATCGCAGACGAGGTCAAGGCCTGGGAGGCTTTGACAACGGAAGAAAAAGCCAAGTCTGCTAAGGCCATGGAGGTATTTGCCGCCATGGTCGAATGCATCGATGCCAATGTTGGCAAGGTCGTTGATTACCTCAAGGAAACTGGAGAACTCGACAATACAATGGTCTGCTTCATGTCTGACAATGGTGCCGAGGGTGCAGCCTACGAAGCGTATCCTATCGTGCAGGGAGAAATGATGCAGCATCTGCAGAGATACTACGATAATTCCATCGAAAACATAGGTCGCGGCAACAGTTTCGTCTGGTACGGGCCACGATGGGCTCAAGCAGCAACAGCCCCGAGTCGTCTCTACAAGGCTTTCACTACCGAAGGTGGTGTTCGTGTACCCTTCGTCGTACGCTTCCCTGCAACTGTAGAGACTCGGTCTGACGGCTTCATCGATGGTCCTGTAGAGGTTGCTAGTTCTGGTTCTCATGTCAGTGTCGAAAAAGGTAGCATCACTCATGACTTTGCAACTGTCATGGACCTTTGTCCTACGATTCTCGAGATGGCAGGCGTCACACATCCAGCACCTTCCTACAAAGGACGCGAAATTGTACACATGAGGGGCCAAAGCATGCTATCTTTCATCGAGGGACGGGTACACTCGACTCATCCTGAAGACCACATTACAGGCTGGGAGACTTGTGGTCGTGCAGCCGTCCGCTGTGGTGATTGGAAGATCGTCTTCATCCCGAAACCCAAGGGCCCTGAGAAGTGGCAGCTATACCATCTCTCGAAAGATCCTGGCGAGATTCATGATCTAGCTGAACAAGAGCCTGAGCGTCTGACTCGCATGATCAAGATGTGGGATCAGTATGTTCTAGAGACTGGTGTTGTTCCTCTGGCACCTGAGCTGGGTGCATTCCTCGAAGCTACGGAGGCACAGATGCCTGAGAATGCATGGATGGAATATGAGTACTGGAAGGACGGGGCCAGAGATGAGCCTGAGAAGTTCTTCAGGCAACCCCCGAGGTTTCAAAGGACTGTTCAACCTCTGTGAATCTTACATCAGTAGCCATGATTAAATTACATACCATCGTTCTACCGGTGGACAACACACGTCCAGTCAATGTATAGAAGGCTTCTGAGCTGAGTCTTGCACATCTCGAGGGGAAAATCTCTATACCGACATCCGAAAGCTGTCAATGACATTTTCGAGCACAATAGTTGTTGAGGCCAGGGAGAGCACACTGGAGCAACCCCCGTTGATGAACGAGCCGGCACCCGGCAGCCATGTCCCACAAGGCGATCCCGAAATTCTGGGTCGATCGATAGACGCTGGAGGTGCGCAATTGGATGCTAGCCCCAGCACATGGATGTTGGTGGTGTGATGGTAGTGATAGGTCTTCAGGCGCCAGAGCCCTCGAAGCGGAGCTACTGCTTGCTGCGATTCTTTGTTGTCGAACTTGCGATCTTGGTGAGGATATGAAGACAGGGGCTGTCAGGTTAGCTACGATGCATGCAGATTGTCTCCTTCTACTCGACGCTCTCGTATTTTGTCATTGACTTTCGATTGTTCTTGAAAGGCCAGAAGATATCAGGCAGATGATCATGATTGCGTTATGCCAAAAGCACTGTCGATTGGCGCGACCTAAACAGCCGCCGCTGTCTTGAATACGAGACTCATATCCATCTGTAACGATCTGTAGCGTCATCCGCGGACAGAGACGATCGTTCGAAGATTTGCGCCAGCGGCTCTGCTGTCGGTGGTGATGTGTAGTGTGGCGCAGCAGTCATCAAAAATCGCGATCCGCGAAAAGTCGATGGCATGCTGTAAACAAGACATTCTCTGGTCAGCTAGAAGCGCACCAACGGGGTATTGTAGTGTCAAAGATCCCGCTACGGGTAGATCGCAAAGTGTAAGCGTTTGACAGCAAAAACAGGCGCCAGACAAGGGTTCAGAAAAGAAGGTCCTTCAGCAGCAGACACAGGTTAGACGGGGTGCCGTAGTTCGCGGAGACTAGAGGGAGTGCTAGAACAAAGTAGATTGGAAGTTTGCTTTGGCCTAGTGTCGTTGTCTGCTGTTTTCAGCTCGTTCCTTCGCAGAGACACTTGCGCGCCGGACCGGCCGCTCGCTGCACGGCACATCCGTCGGAAGATGTCAATCGTGCTGCAGCTTGTATTCATGCTTAAATGTTTTAGGCGCCCGAGTCCGTCTACCTTTTGGCTTCTGACCGCGCCAAAATAGACGATTCCGGGTTCCAACTAGGTAGCTGTACCTCTGCTGGTCGATGGGCGCCAGCGAATCTAAATCAACTGTGTTTCTGTTACCGCCGGGGTCCCCCAGCTGGTTTGCCTGTCGGCGCGTTGGATTTTGTTCGACTAGGCCAAACACTACAGGATCCGCTGCTGGCTTACGCATCCCTCTGCGTGTTTAGTCGAGCGAGCTATATGGAACGGCGATCAAACTACTTGATGATAGTGTGCCAAACCACGTGGGAGTCTTACAAATAAGGTCGTGAGAGTTTACTAACCATGACGGGTTTCAAAACGGACGACGGCTCCTCCTGGTGCTTCTGACCATTGAGTTAGCCTACCCTTCCATTCCACGACTACTTAAACTGTGCTGGATCCTCAAAATCCATTCTTGTTCTGATTGTTTTTGTTCATTTTGCAATGTATAAAAATCTGGACTCGTCACACTTCAACATTTCGTCCTCTTAGCAACCATGATAAACATAAACCGAGACGGAAACCACCCAGATAACTCATGCCTCGCAGGGGAAAAAAGTAAAAGCAAGAACGAAAAAGGCCCACCGGGGCATGCCAAAAGTACAACTACACTCAGGATCGCTTCTTTGGCCTCTCCGAAATTTCGGTCCCAATCGAGTACCGGAAACAGAGATCGAACAGGATACGCCCGAAATGACACCACCCGAAACCAGAGAAGTTGAGAGACGTCGATTAAGAAACGTCGCACATGTGGTGGTATCGCGAAAAAGCAGAGCTTCCAACCACCGAACGAGATGAATGTTGCAATTGCGATGATTATGAACGGCCGCTTGTTTGAGCATTTCAGGCAGACTCAACCGCAAGGATGATAGTAGGAGCTGCGTCCGTTTTTGAGGATGTTGAGCGGACTTTGAAAAGAGGAATTATCGAAGCCAGCGCCTGGCTCAAGTCGAGCTATAGGGGCGCTGACTTGTCGTGGATAGGGCAAGGAAATTACTGGTTGTGTCGGTATGCTTGGTTCTGGGGTTGTTCGGGATCTGGGCTGTTGTTAGCTTCCGCGACATGATGGAAGAACGTGAGTATCTAACGTTGCTGGTAGATTTGACCGCCTTGAGCGTACGGACTTTGAGGATAACCTCCGTTAGTGGCGTACATCTGTCCGGCCGGGTAGGACTGCTGTCCATCTACTTGCTGCTGTGGCGGAGCGTATTGCTGAGGAGTGGGTGGAGCGGCAGGAGCATAGCCGATGGGTGGTAGCTGAGCACTGCTGATGGGTTGAGGAGGCATCATATGCTGTTGCGGGTACTGTGCCGGGGCGGGCTGGGTCGGAGTGCCGGCTTCCTGAGCGGCGCGACCGGCCTCCTGGCGTTGACGCTCCTCTTCCTGCTTGCGAGCGACTTCCTCTTCCTTCTTTTTGGCCTTCCACTCCTTGCGGATTTCTTTAAATTCTGTACGTGACGAGTTAGCGCGATCCTTCCACGTGCAGCTTGTGTTACGGGGTGCATGCGCTAGGGGTATTTTAAGCATGGCTGGCGTGCTAGCTTCCGCGAGAAAGGAGGGTGGTTTAACCAACCCAGCGGACGGAGTAAGCACTAAGGAAATAATGCGACACTGCGACGCAAAATGCGCTGCCCATTTGAACAATCTTTTTGCAAGTCTTTGCATACCTTCGGGAGTGCGCTTTGCGCCGTGCGACTGCATAGTAACATGCGCATTCAGGTGGTTCAGCGTGCCATATGCCTTTTCACAGCCATTCCATCCGCACTTGTACATGCGCTCAATCTCTTCATAACGACGACGCGGACGTTTGTGCTGTTGCGCACCGGGGATCGGGACAAACGAGTAGACAGTGGACATTGGGTGTCCGCCCTGCGAATGGTCAGAAAAACGCGTTCCGGCGCGTCAATGGTGTCTTACAAAGCCATGACTTACACCTGGAGGTCTGGGGACGGCGGCCGCCATTCCTGGCGGTCCACCGGCGGCTGACACGGGGTAGTGCATAGGTTGAGCGTGGTAGGCACCCCACTCGGGGCGAGGCGCGTACATGGCCTGGCCGGGCTGGCCAGGGTATTGGTGCATCTCATGCTGGGGAGGGTATGGAGAGTAGGCGTGTTGCTGAGGGTATTGCGGGTTCTGTGCAGCTATCGTAGGATCTATGGCAATGGCCGAGTCAGAACGCGTGTCGCGCAACGCGCTGGCAAGAGGCATGGACCGACTTGATTGAGCCATTGCAGCGTGAGGATGGCCACCTGGCTGCTGGTAGCGGGGTGCGCCCTGCTCGGGGTATGGTCGCTGGGGCTGTTGCGGCTGGCCTTGAGGTTGCTGCTGGTACTCGGGGAAAGAGGCAGAGCGCGCAGACTGTCGGGCGCGTGAGCGGTCAGGCTTGGATTGGTGGCAGCAAGGGAATTGGCTTACGTCTGGGTGGTACTGGGCAGGTTGGTTTTGGTCTGGGGAGGAGAGGGTCTCAGAAAGGTTGCCGGTATAGGACGAGGAAGCGTAGGGCGAATTCAAACCTGGCTGCTGCTGCGAGTACTCCTGCTTGAGCGGAGCTTGGTGGGCGTATTCCTGCTGGCGAGCGTCCATTGACTGCGGATGGCCGTTCATCTGTTGCGACGCGAGTAGCGCGCTTAAGGACGTGTCGGTAGCGGGCTGAGCTGGTGAAGTGGTGTAAGTCGGGGACATGCTACGCCAAAAGCAGAGTCGCGGTCGAGGATTAAGCACTACTGCTAGTGAGGGGACTTGGAGGGTAGACGAAAACGCTGGCGGCGGCGCGTTGCGGACAGGCAGGTAGTTAGCGAGCGGCCAAAGAAAGGTTGTGTTTTCGCCCAAGCAAATGTGATGTGCATAAGCCGACAAGCTCCACCAACGAGGATGAGCGGGCGCGGTAGCGGAGCGGTGTAGTGCACAAAAGATTCCCAAAGGCGGACTGGCCTGACACTGGGCGATAAAAAACGGCGGGAGACGGCGCGCGTTTTTGACAGATCGTACGGCACGCCCGGACGGCGACAAGACCAGGGGGCAACAAGGGCTGTCGGTGTCGATGGATTAACGTTACGATAGCGTGAGCCCAACGACAAGGGTGGACCAGCTGCCTCTAGTCATGCGTGAGACGGCGTCAAACTCTATTTGATGATGATCTCAAGAAAGCAAGAGCGATGGCTCGTGTGTCGGGATCAGACTCTCGCGGCACGAGGCCAAGAAAAGCAGCAAGAAAGAGAGGGGTGCGTGGTGCCGGAACACTGGGATACCGACGACGATCAAGGAACGAACGACAGCTTGGAGGAGCATCCAGAATGTGACAGGTTGCAAAGGAATCGACCGCCAACCCTCGACCTGCTCTTGCTCTTACACGGAGCAGTGCCCCAAATCCTCCGGCTGCTCCCGTCCGCGAGCAAAAGCCTCCAATTCTGGAAAGAGCAGTCAAGCAAGAGCGTCCGAGGGAGCCTCTTTCATCTACTCGTCGTCGGACTTGGTCAATCGAAGGAATCGTTGTGCGAGTACGCACACGCGCAGCCCTGCATGGTTCGACGCACCTGCCCACTTTTGGAAAGGAACAATCGCTATCTTACACCCGCATTTTGCTCTGTCGTAATACCAAGTGCCCTCGATTTACGGACGAGAGACACTGCGTCCTAACAGCTTCCACTCTATCGACCTCAACCTCACTCACCTCTGTTCAATCTATCGCTGCGTCTCCAACTCAACAATGCACGTCGCTTGTCATTGTCCTCTCTATCCTCGACGTCACTTATGCATAGCACTTTGATACTGTTACACTGGGAAGATTGACGACATCCAGGATTCCAGACGCATTCATGGTCCGAGAACGCTAACCCTCATAGGTGAGTAGATGAGCATGAGTGGCCCGGTGCGTGCAAAGGCTTGAGCTGCTGTTGCTCGGACCGTCTCCTGCTTTACGCGAGTCCACTTCATATCTTCCTTTCTCCGGTGCCGGTCTAGAAGAAGTCAAGAAACTCTTGAGTCTTGACCTGAGTTCCTCTGCTTGTCGCTTTGTGTGTGCATGCATGCAGACATAGAAGTTCAAGTAGAATCAGAGTTGCGTCTTTTGATCTCGTCAGCTTCCCGCAATTCGAGTGTTTGTGAACGACCTCCGAGCTCGCCCGATCAGCTTGTGCAGCTTGTTGAACGCCATGACTTGACGCTCGGCCCAAGCTCGCTGATATACCATTTCAACCTTGATGTGTTTGAGGATACCGAGCGGTAGTGGATCGCTCTGCAAGCGAACGCGCCGGCAATAACTCTCGATAGCGCAATGCGGGGAGACCTGACCTCAACTTTGGTCTGGAGGACTCGACACAAGTCTTGGACGAACAACGTGTCTGCCACAAGACAAGCATACCCACTTCAATCCCGCGTTGAGCGTCATGGTACTCCCTCTGCATGTAACTCGAGTCAGGCCTGGAAGAAAGAAGTACATCCATCATCTTTTGACTTGTGCATATTGGGGGACAATCCACTGTTATGACTATCACCGGGTACGTCGCTACCACGCTCTCCCATTCTTACCATCTCACCTGAGCATGTCCACAACGCATCTCAAAGCAGCTGTATTTTTACCAAAGCTCGTTTCGCTTTTGAAGGTGGTCAATTGATGTGAGATTGCACCTGCCCGATTAGGGAGCATACCACGAATCAATATTCTTCAATTCAATTCTCCCTCGAGATCAGATCACGACACGACTGTTGCATTTCGCATAGATACAGACGCGCCGAATATGCTCTGATTTGCAACGGCATACCTCTTACAGAAGCACGGCATTTGACCATGTTTGTCGACTGCGATCGGTTTCGGGATTGACATTCTACGATTTTATTGTTGCGCCATTGGCTGGTCAGAAGATGTGGCCACGAATGCTGTGGCGGTGTGGAAGAAACTCCCGAAGCTGACGCTGACATGTTTCAATAACGAATGAAATTGGTCATTGGCACACCAACCTGGCCGCTCGGCACCAGAGTGAACAAACAGTAAAGGGGTGTCATGTAGTGAAGTGTCAAACCCTTATTCAACTGTAAAACAAGCTACGCTCGACCATCTGCAAAGGCAGTCATCTTTACATGCATATAGCACGTGTGGTCTAACTCCAACTGACGCTAGTCCCTACAGCCGCATCGAAAAAATCTTGGATGCTACTCAAGTGTGGCTCTGTGAGGGTCGGCATGGAAGACCGGTGCTATCGATCTGCCCGTCCGGGACTGGACTTCGGGGCACCAGGGCTTCTCGTCGATGGCTCTTCCCGTGTAGCCGTCCTCCGAAATGACTGCCCACCTCTAGCGCGCCGCGTCCTCAATATCTGCAACAACACCGACCACCATCTCTGGGGCCCGGCATACTAATGCGAATTCTAAAGGTGCTGATGAGATACAGTATCAATGTCTCAGCCTCTTTCATGCCTTTCTTGCCATCCAGGCGCGTCTGCGAGATTGGAACCTTGCAGACACAGAGCGGCATCATGCAGGCTGGCCCCTCGAACACGAGGATGTATGTTTTTACGTCCGAGTAGACTAACCCTGTCACCTGACATTCGGCAGAGTCTCAAACGTTTCAGTATCCAACAGAGAACCACCGTGGTAGACCCTGAGTACGGGCGCAAAAACAAAGTCGTACTACTGATGTTCGCAAGTTGGCACAAACTCGCATCCGTTGGACTGGAATCGCCGCCGAGTCATCGAGTACGAAAACACAAACGAGACTGCACATCCACCCATTACTTGGAGACCCAAGAAACTCTATTTGATTACGCATATGCAAGCAATGCAGAGCTGCAAAGAGCGTCATGAAATCTGCATGTTCCGCCCTATGCATATTATCGTCCAGCGATAGTGTGAGACGCATCGTGTACTGTACGCAGTACAAGTGCTACAGTACCGCGGCCTCTAGGCGTCTTTGGAAATAGGCATTGCGGGAGATGGCAGCGACGGCGCGCCTGCCAGTATGCATCAATATGCAAGGACCCAAGGCTGCGACGAGTCAAGCTCAATCACTGCTTAGTCAATTTTGAGCACTCTACCACGTCGATGAAAGTCTCAGAGCCATTGAGCATTGAATCGCGCACGAGGGTCTGCTCCATCTCCAGATCACCATTCGGTTTCCACTTTGAATTGTCGAATCAGGATTTGGATCCACCTTCACTTCATGCAGGTTCTTTGATCTAGGGGAGACTGGTCAAAATCAGCGACGGACCTGCACCAGCCATTCAACTTATCGCCCTGATTCCTGCTGGTATCGCTTTGTCAACATACGTAAGAGCAGACGCCATAACCTGATACCTATTCCAAGTGGAGTGAGGGTTCTATGTGGCGGTGTCTGGACCTCAATTCTTCTCCTTGACCTTGTTTTCAATGATCTCCACACAGTCTAGCTTCTCAAGTGGCAACACGCGGACGACAATGACATATCGTCACGGCTTTCTGCACTTCAAGTCCCTCCTATGGATGACGGTGTGAGACACTCCGGCAGAGTCTCCACCAGCATCTCGATACTGTATGTCCCCACGATGGCTCTGCATGATTGTGCTGAGTCCACGGGCTCACACGCTCGCAAAGCTGCTGACCACGGCATCTTGGTCCTTGTCCCCGCTTGCTCGTCGTATCAATCTCCTGTACTTGCTCAAGCTCGAGATCTATCAATCTTCGAGCGAGGATCAATGCCCACTCGGCTCGTTCGCACGTGTCCATTCAAGTACAATGCCTTTTGATGACATCTCGACAAGGGGGCTGTCAGCACACTTGAAGCAAGGGGTCAATGATACGCCCACCGGTGTCGGCCATAACAAGCGCAGAGAGACGGATGGTAGAGATGTGATGCCAAGTCTCCTCAGCGCATAGCTTGTGAACGTACCTGCATTTGCTCGATCTGTACCCTGGACGTCGAAGACCTGCGAGACTCAACGGATGCTCAATTCTGATCTGCATGAAGAAAATGTACAATATACTTATCCTGGACCGAGTTAAGCTCTTCTTACAAGTTACAGGAACCAGAATTCCGTAGACTGGCTTGCCGTCTCTGACCCGAGGACACACAGTAGCTGCTTGGTTACGTGTTCCACATGCATCCCTCGGGTCGCTGCTGCCATAGATCACCATCGGCCGCCTATAGCCTTCTATATCCGCGAGATGCAGCGTTGCAGGTTCTGGATTCTCTTATACACGCATAACTCATGTTGCCTTCCGTCGTCGGTATAACGTGGTGGGCTCTAGATCTCGCTGAAATGATACTGCTGTTTATGGATACATTTGTCGGGCCGACTTTACCAAAGCTATTGCTGGCCCGCCTGCATCTATTCAATACGTTCCGTGTATCAGAGAGCAACAGCACACCATATCTGCAACCACCTCGAGCCGTGTTCAACGGTAAGTTGTGTTGTTCCTAGACACACATATCATGTGGTTCCATCTATTGAGCTTCCGGGCAAACAATAGGTGCTGTCCAATGCTACCGTCACGTTGTTGAGTCGTCCACAGTCCAAGGTGCCAGAGTCGTGGATTGAATCTGACTCCTATCTCACGACCGAACATCTGGCATTGCCTACTGTATGCATAACAAAAGCTGTGACAAGAAAAGCGCCATCTGCTTTAGCTTCTCAGTCGAGTCTCTGACCAACACATCAACTCCTTGGAGAGTCATTTGTCTACCTAGCCGCTGCACGCGCAATAGGTGATAG